TGAAACAGCTGCTTTTGTGCTTGTAACAATCCCTGCAGTATTTCGTCAGCTGGGAGTTTGGTTCAAGTTTGAAACCCAAGACTATCGATCGGACAAATCCAATGTCAGCAAAACTGTTGTACAGTTTGGCAGTTAATTGATTGACCATAATTGTAAGCAACAAAACAACTTTTATTTGCAAAAGAAAAAGGAAAACGCAGTTTGTTCTTGAATCAAAATATTAGTTTCAAAACTGTATGGTGAAAAACAGTCTTGGGATTTGCAATTATTTACAAGAAACTATAGGTTTCAAAACCAAAGCGATTAAATTACACGACTGGGAAGTTCCTGACAATGAAAGTGGTCATTTCCACAAAGTGAGGTTTGTTGTGTGATGGAACCCATACGATATTATTCACCTTTAAGAAATCAAACGCCGTGTATTGTGTAGAACGAGGTCGAGAAACAGAGTTAGGATTAGCGTTATGCAGCCAATAAAAATCATTAATTCTAGTCTACATACCTTATTGATGAGATGGTTCAAACGTCAAAACAAATCGAGTCAACTTCTCAACACTCGCAATAGTATCGTTTTGTGACAACACTTGACCATCTGTTCCGTGGTAGCTTTGGCGTGTAAAACAGGCAAAACGATCAGGAGGTACAACAAAATACAGTTCTGGTTTTGACGGATTACCAAGTATTTCCAAAACATCACAAATCCCAGTTTGTTTGCAAGGATGATCTTTGGCACCGGTCATTTGGAAAAGTAGATTTGGCTTGATGAACGAATCAACAGATTCAAAAATATTGCTAATGGGACGGAAATAGCAATTCGTTGCGTCTTGAACTTGAGAATTGTTGGACAATAACAAAGTACTAAGATCCATCGGCAGTTGAAGTGTAGACTCCAGCTTGGTACGTAAATCACGAATCTTGAATGAACCACCTTTAGCGATGACTGTATGAGCGTGCTTTTCGAATAATGCCCTATTAAGTTGACCAGTTTCACCAATTTCTCGAGCAACAGAAACAAATCTGATAAGATGATCTCGGTCTCTGGCATACACACGGTTGTAAATTTCATCAACCACATAGTCAAAAGCAAACTGATAAGGACCACTGTGGAAGCCATCCTTGACTGATATATGAATCAAACAACTTGAAGCGTCTAGGTTTTCACCATATTTACCAAAAGACTTGACAACTGAATCGATATTGGAAATATTTAAAGCTTTGTCGAGAAAATCCTGTTGTTCTTTTACCAATGCATATTTAAGAACATAACGAGCAATTCCTCCCCACTTCAAATACAGACTTTCAACCAATTCTTGTGGGACTGTAGGAAACAGCATTGGGCGACAAGAATGCAATTCTTCTTTTGACCACACTGGCATATACCGAATGTCGCAGGATCCCTTGGAAAACCGATGCCAAATTTCCCAACGAGGTAAAGTAACAAGAATGGTTTTGGCATCAACATCAACAGGTGCTGAGCCATCAACAATGTAGAATGTTGACGAGGAATCCAAGATTTTCCAAAAAGCATGCTTTCCTCCTTCGAATACACCATTGGGAGTAAGCAGATATCTTTTTTGATCAGCTCCACTCTCATACACGACTGTAGCACCAGAGCGAGCAAGATGCAACAGCAAAAAGTAACCAAAATATGTCTTGCCAATTCCAGGATTTCCAAGGATGATCAAATGACGTATATCAGCAGATTGCACAATAGATAGTGATTTTTCAAGAAGTTTAGGATAACAAGGACGGATGTAAATGGATGATCCAATAGAATGGTTTCCAAGGATGAATACGTCTGCTGGAAGTTGGACAACAGTGTTTACTTCAAGAGGGTTAGGGTAGTTTGTGAAAGCAGTCCAAAAATCCAGTAGTGCGGTTGAGGCTGCTGCAGATGTTGGACCTAGGTCAGTTTGAGTAGGCTGTCTTGAAGGTGGAGGGGAAACAACCAATAACAACACAAAAACCATCTTGAGTAAAGTATTATTGAGGAAGAGAGTCGAGTAAAGCCCAGGTGTTGATTAGTTGGTCTTTGTTACTGTTGGTGTATAGTTGGAGTTGAGGAGCATCAATGTCAGCCATAACAGGACCATACTTTGCCTTGATAGCATCCTGAACGTCACTCAGGTCTTCAAAGTCAGTCACATCGATTTCAGTAGAAATAGTGTTATATTCAACATTGAGGAATCGTTTTGGCATTTTGTGAGCAGAAGAAAGGGATAAAAAAGCAATTTATTTGTCAAATTGTAAAACAAAAATCGACTTTTTAATCGAGTCAAAATAACAAAATTTTGGGATATTTCAAGACAATTCACACGATTTAAATATTTGGAAATTAGTCAAATTTACACCAGAATTAATGTCTCATTAATGTGAGACATTACTAGTGTGAGAGTGTTGACTTGCATTGTGTGAGACATTAGTAGTGTGTGAATGTGAGACATTTCTGAATAGTTTAACAATCAAAAACCATCAACAATGACGTTTGAACTGGAATTCACATGACTTTCTTGTCTCCTATTTTATAAACACACTCACTTCCTTGTTAATAAACAACACAATCGAATATTGATTCATTCCATCACATCTTCAATCAACTATAACACACTTGCCAATAATGACAACCATCAATATGCCATCATATGTTCACGATCCTCAAATTCAAAAGTCAATTTGAAAACCCCATTTTTAAGCATCTACAAGTCTGCAATATCAGATTTGTGGCTGATACATAATAGGTTGCCAATAAAAGTCGACAAAGTGAGCAACTGCAATGTGCCTTGCTGTATGATAGTAACATATCAGAAACTATGAATGCTTTCAAAATCAAAAGTCTGCAAACGATGTCACTGCTGGCTTGTAGTCTCTGTTTACAAACCTACAATCAACATATTCACTGGATTCGTATAATGGTAAATGCTGAACCACAAACCGCTGATGATATTATTATGGACGATGCTCATATTATTGGAAATCAAACGATTGGTGCAGTTTCAGATGCTGTTTCATCACACAGAAAGTCTTGCTACAGAGTCTGAATCCAATAGCAGTGAATCTGCAGTTTGACCCAACACAGTCAATAATTATCGTTTGAAACTCGAATCAAGTGATGATGTTGCTGTTTCAGATGCACTCAATGTCATCAATGCAGTAACATTGTAACCAACTCAAATCATTGATCATGAACCAATTTACCGTGTCTTGATAAAAACACTGATAAACCATCATTCATACATGAGTTTGTCAAAAGTATGGACTGATTGCTGAACAGATGTTTAAAGTGGAACTCAAAACAGTTCAATTCAATGTGCAGCTTTCCCACGACTTTCCCGCTACAAAAAATACAGTCTTGGAACTCAAAGTGTACATCAACAATACTTGTGTGTATTGACCATCAATGATGTTGTTGGTGTAGCATACACAATGTGCATTGCAGAAACGCTTGTTTGTTTGCTGGAGCTATTTCAAGCAAGCAAAAATACTAAAAGGTTCAGTTTGATGAATGCCTGGTGTATATTTACAATGAATTCAAACTCGAGAGATTGTCGTATTTTGCATACAAGACATACTACAATATATTACAACAATATCGTGTATTTCAATATACACCCATTCGATTTACAACAGTGGCATAAACATCATCACATTTGAACAATGGTTCAGTCGTACAAAGTCCAATAACAGCCATGAATTGTATCAGACATGAACATACTGGTGCAAAATTCACATCAAATAACACACCGCAACAAACATGTTTCTGGTAGATGGTGGAATTGATGTCATTGATTTTCAAGTACACGATATTGATGTTGAATGATTCAATAAACTATACTCGTCGACTTTTTGTACTTTTTTCAGTTGCATCGTTTCTGATTCCGAGTTTGAAGCATAATAGTTGCGACAGCGCTGTTGTCCAATTTGCTTGTTTTGTGAATAGTAATCATGATACCACTTGTTTGACGCCTCCTGTTGTTGAACTGGATATGTATGTCAAATATGGATGCCAAATTTTGATGCATTGCAAGTAATTGTTGTAGTTTTTGATCGAGTCAATGAATGGCATTTATAGCTGCTCTATAAAACAAGTTGTTTGAAATGTCCTGTCATATGTTTTGTTGTTTTCATATTCACTAATTGTTGATAATGCATCCAATTGATTTCTGTTTTGACACTGCTTATTTGTCATTGTTGGATCTGGGTTTCTAGATTCAGTAACAAACGTTTCAGCAATTTGGATGTGTTCAAATTCATAATACTTGCAAGTCTGAATTATTTGATCATCATCTGAAATTGGATACGAGTAATCATTTCCACTAACCACAGTATACATAGTATACACAGCATTACTGTATATTGACTTGTATTTTACTCAAAGTGTTGTCCATTCAGTATTCCAACACAATTTCCAACATTGATTGAATGGTTTGCAGTGTTTGTTTTAATTGAACCACTTGATGGATCACTTTCATATCTTGATTCAGCAATATCACCAACTGCACAATGATGGATGTGATTGTAGTCAAACACAATATATTGCAAGGCATTAACGTATTGGTTAGTTTTAGTATATTCTTGATAAAATGCAATGATGTTTTGTAATGGCGTGTTAAATCATTCAATCAAACATTGTCTGTTGTGATTTCCAACATTGACAGTGACATGGCAAACACCTTTTGCTTGTGACAGACTTTGAACAAGTGTATTGCTCCGTTTGTTGTACAATACACGACATGATCAGTTGGTGGTATCATGCAACCATAAACTGACAAGTGATTGCAAGTATGACTGATAGTTACAATCAACACTGGTTGTTATCAGGCCATTGATGCATATGGAACAAACCATGTCAATGTATCAGTCAACAATCCAGTAACTGTTGATGTAATACCAAACACAATACACAATCAATAATATGGTTGTTGATCCATTCATGATACTCGACAAACATCAACACATCAGAAAGTTTAAATTTATTCAAAATCAAATTCATTGACACATCATCAATTCAAATCCAAACCCAGTTCTTCAAATTCTAAGCCATGCTTTTTCATAAACGCTTTCAATTTATGTCTGACATTGCGTACTCTATTCCCTGCCTGTTCATACTCGTGTTTCAATTTCTTTTCAGTGTCTGGATCGTATCTTGATCCAGATATTTCTTCTCCCCTTTCTAACCCTGACCATTGTTCGAATCTGAGGGCTGCATATTCACGACATTCTTGCCATTTTTCGTCTCGTATTTCTTTAGACTCTACAAGTCTTTTCTTCATGCGATCAAAGGTTCTCTGATATTTCTGACTTAATACAATCACTTGATTTGTAACAGTATTGGCGGACTCGCCTTGTCCCATTGGCCGTTTCCGACTTTGTTTTGGAGTGCCTGAACTGGTTTTATCGATTGGTTGTTTCCGGCCTCGTTTGGAAGTGCCTGAACTGATTTCATTGATTGGCCGCTTCCGACTTCGTTTGGAAGTACTTGGACTAGGCTGATCAATCGGCTGTTGCTGAGTTTGATCGGGAATACCTGAACTGGGTTGATCAGCTGGTTGTTGGTCTTTGTCAAAATTGCTTGAACCGACTTGATCAGTTGGATCAGATACTTGACTGGAAGTGCTTGAACTGGGTTGATCTACTACATTCTGCCAGTCTTTATCAGAAGTACTTGGATCAATCGGATCAAATATATTTTGCCAGTTTTCGTCGAAAATGCTTGAATTAATTGCATCAATTATACTTTGCCAGTCTTGGACAGGAATCTCTGGATTAGGTTCATTGGTTGGATCAGATACTTGATTGAAAGTGCTTGATGCTTGTGGTGAACCATCGTTATCAGCCGGTATCAGTATTGCATTAACGGTTGCTGCTGCAGTCAGTACGAATAAAATATCAACCAATTTCATCAGATTGGTCAATGGGTTTAAACTATTAATACAAAAGTAGAGTGTTGAAACTGGTTGATTATAAAACTGAGCGTAATCGATTGTATTTATATGTTTTGTATAGCAAACCAACCCTAACCCTTTTAGGTTAACCAATTATACAGGGTTACTTGATTGCTTATAGTGGTTTATTATCAAACTAGATAGTATGCTGCTCCCTATTCACAATATCAATTTGATCAATTTGATGATCATGTTGATTAAATTATGCTTTTACGACCCTTTGATCAGGTATATTGAAAAGCACACCCTTCAGGAGTGTCGTTTAACCGCAAACGCTTTGATTTACAACTGTACTCATCATGCAATGACTTTGATTTGAGATATACAATGATTGTATATCCGGTTGGTTTCTACTACACATTGACTGCATTGCGTGTTTGATATACAACAACCATCATATGACACACAATCAGACTATAGTGTTGAATCTACACATTGTGCACTTTTAGTAATCATACATTGTACGATTACCAAGTTTGAACCCACATTCATGTATTGTGTTTGACTGTCAATGTTGTCAATACAACTCTGCACATTTGTTGTGTTCATCACCATCCAACCCAATCTCACCATTTCAATCAATCTTGGTCAATGTTGATGATTTACACACTAATTCATTATCCAATCTTGTCTGACATTATTATTGGCTTTAATCACGTTTGGTTTGTACAACTGCCATGAGTTGTACTACCATTATCATTGTGTATCTGAACACCAAATATTCCAACACATCAATAATGCCACAGTGTAAACAGTAATACAGTTGATCAGTCTTGTGGCAAGACTTTTCATTCAAATTTGTATTTGGAAATACTCGATACTGAGCAAATGATCGATTATGTTGTACAAACGGGTTATTAGCAGTGAATGGGTAATCAACCAGACTGTTTACAATGAAATCATACTAAATACACACAATACTGCCAATCTATGCAACAAACATGTATCAACCAAAATAACAGACATTTCTAAAACCAACCCGTGATAAAGGACGGATTGGGCTGTCATATATATGGTTGCATATCTACCAAACAGATACAGGCCGTACCATTATGCATGATATCATCCTGTTGTGGCTCAGTTATATCCACAACATTGTGTCTAGTACACATCCAACCCTCAACGCGCCAGAGTAAAATTGAAACCACTTGTCAATAGATTCATGGCGCTGTACTAGCGTATACGCTTGGTCTGATGGTGACTAGTTGTATGCCAAACATGAGTGCATCTAGCAACCAGCCCTAGATGTTGTGCACATTTGGTGAATACAAGTACAGTTGGATGTCACGGATAGCAACAATCGACATGACAGTGGACACTATTGGACATGTACACTGCAATGTGACTGTCAGCAACCATCACCATCAGTGTGTATCATGTGTTTAAAAAGTACTCGCATGCATTGGATTCAACACCACGTTTGTGATTGGGTTTGATTTGATTTGTATTGGTGGTGTTGTTTTGCATATATCAGTAGATTGTGTGCTGATTTGAATGACATGATCATACATTGTGGTTCATGTATACGATGACAATCTGACCTGTTGACACGGCCAGTTTGTTGAACGACCTGCCAATCTCCAATTTGATTATAGTACAACGTCACTCATTCGGTGTATCAACGACAGATTGCCGAGTTTGATGTTGATCATGTTGTGACACAATCAGCAGTGTTTGATGTATACAGTCTACATTGACCTAAAATGATCGTGCAGTCATACCAACGGAAAAGTCATGGTTTTGAAATACTGCAACAACAGGCTGTTGGATGCTGTTGTGTCCGAGTGATCCAAAACATGACCAATTGAACAATCAGTCAAATATTTGGTACACAGTGACAGTATATGTTGTAGTGATGGATTGTATATGTGATGATAATTATCCATAATCAGGGTGATAATCTGACACTACCTGATTACTGAATACATGACCACAATTGGGAATATCAACACAGCATACTAGTCAAGTTGATTATACACTAAAAGCAATGCTTATATATTAATCCACCCTACAGGGTGTTTCTGAGCTTGTTCATCCTGCATGGTGTACTTGTGTTTTCTAAATGTACATTTGAAAAGTGCTGGTTGTCACCCTTGAAGCTGCCGTCGTTATAAAACGGCAGTCATGTACCAGATTCAACCCATTTTCATCACACTACTTGATACAATGTTGATTACTCTAGAATGCATTATACTTGCGCTACAGGCGGTTGCTGCAGTTCGACTTGCATTAGAATCACCTTTTGAAATTACCAGTCAATCAAATAATAGGCTATCAAAACGATCACCCGTTGTGTTGGGTGGTAGTATCATAAAATGCTACACAATGAGATCCAATGTTGATGGAGTCAATGTATGTATCATGCCATGCATTGTAATTTAATATCAATTTGCACCACGTTTAATCAATCTCACTCGTTTAAAATAGTTGGATTTACGAGTTGATTCATCAGTTTCCGATATAGTCGTACCACTTTCCAGTTCAAGCAACGATATAGGTTTGGCTATACAAAGTATTTCAAGTGGGAAGCCCGTTACTATAAAGTACAGAGGCAAAGAGTATAATGGAATCAGTTCCACAGCCGTTGTGAAGATTTCGGGTACTAGGATAACTGGCATCAATTTACCAGCAATCTTGGTTGAAAAAAAGTCGCCAGGTCTGGTTGGTATTGGTGGAAACCCCGATCAAGGAGTATTTGGAATTGGCTACTCCTCGTTGTCAAAACATCACACATCAGTCCCTGCGATAGATGCTTTGTACAATGGTGGTGTCATTACTAATAACGAGGTTGGCCTTGAACTATGTCCGTATAAAATGCTTTCAAAAAGTTCCATCAATATAGGAAATATGGAAGTAACTGCAAAATGTGGAACGGATGGAACAAGTGTTGCATGGGTAGACTCACCATCAAACGAACAACATAGTGTCAACATCAAAGATATACTAGTCAATGGCGAAAAAGTGGATCTACCCAAGGAATTCCAAAAAACAATAATCGAACATGGACGTATTTTCTATTCATATTTACAAACATGCTTTGTATATATGTATTTTCCTAGAGTAGTCGTGGAAACGCTGGTTGCTGCTATTCTTGATAGTGGTGCGATCCTTGTCAAAAAAACTAAATCCGAACACAAGCACAAGCTCAGCGAAACAGAAATTAAAAAAATATTTTGGGAAAACTGTCTAATGTTCAAATCCAACTACAATATCAAGTGGAACAAGCTGCCGTCGCTTACAATTGTAATGTTTGCTGAAAACCCCGTGACTGATGCCAATCGCAACTCCGTTGTAACAATCAAATTGGGTCCCAAAGATTATATACAGAGAGTTGATTCTAAACATGGTAAATATCTGACAATTGTATGCAGTATGTGTTGTTTGATTAACCTGATTAATATACATGTTGGATTATAGTTAGATTTGCTGTAAAAGCTGGTTCAAATGACAATGCAGCTCTTGGTATACCATTTATGAACCGACTTAGATTGGTATTTGATCGACAAAATAAACGCATTGGACTTGGTCCTGGATGTGGATGTGAAGTCATGGCCGATGGATATCCTATTATTTCAAACAATGATCAGGTGCTCTGGCCATTAACACAGTAAGTTGTTTGATATTGATGTGTGGGTGTGTTGATTGATATATTGATATTGAATTTGATGCATAGTGTTAGATTGCCTGAACAACCAAGTACTTCAAGTTCAGATGGCAGATCTACTCTTAGGAGATTGTCGCAACTTGGTAGTACTCTCCGTGATAGTATTCGTCGTGGTAGTAGGCGGTCAAAGCCTAATTACGAGAAATTTGAGGACTAAGTAGATATATCAATAAAATTGGTTATTTGTTGCATGGATGATGACCATGATTATTTTATAGTTGGTATGATGTACGCCAGGACTCTTGGTGTTAGCAATCATCAACTACAACTGATCAAGTAGTTGTACCTGAAAACACCACCACACTGTCAAGAGTCACAATAACTCTCAATAAACTCGACTGAATACAATTCATTAGTGACAAACTGATATTATATGTATTTTTAATGTGGCGTGTCCATGTTTGATTGTGTGATGTGTTCAAGCCGTGCATGTATTGGATCAGTCCAGTGTGTATTGTAGTTGTTTGGTGCACAATGATCACGCATACTATTGCATTGGTAATACATGGTATGAATTGAATACACATCATGATCGCATAGCTCGATCACGACCCAATTGACACAAACAGTCGAGTCGTGTAGTTTGGATTCAGTTCGACACATTTGTATTGTCAATCTCGGACAAAACATCAAAAGTGAATCAAGATCAACTGAAACAACCAACAGACTGGATCCAGTATGTGTAGTCACGCTGGGCCGCATATACTGATCACAGTAAACAACTCGAGTGTCATTTTACTGGTTGTGGTTATGAGTATATGCCAGTGTTTGATACACAGCGTTACAATGATGGGTCAGCAACAATGTGATGGAACTGGATGTGCAATATCAAAACCATGTCCAGAATACGTGATGTAACGACAACTTGCAGTCGTATCCATGTAAATGGACCACTAAATAACAGTGTTGGTGTGTGATAAACAGTTGCATTACTGACATGTGTCATGATTGTTGTTGAACTATATTGAGATCGTATCCGTGATTCAGAATACAACAAATGTGTGTGCAGAGTTGTATTGACAACATTGACAGTCCAACACAGTACATGAATGTGGGTTCAAACTTGGTGATCGTACAATGTATGATTACTAAGAGTGCACAAAGTGTAGATTCAACACTATAGTCTGATTGTGTGTCATATGATGGTTGTTGTATATCAAATATACAATTCAGTCAATGCGTAGTATCAACCAACCGAATATGTAACCATTGTATATTGCAATGCAGAACACAGTCACTGCAGAATGAATACGGCAGTAAAACAAAGCGTTTGTGGCTGCACAACACTCATGAAGGGTGATTTTCAATATACCTGATCAAAGGGTCGTAAAAGCATAATTTAATCGACACGATCATCAAATTAATCAATATGATATTATGATCAGGGAGCAGCATATTGTCTAGTTTGATATTGGCTCACTACAAGCAATCAAGTAGCCCTGTATAATTGGTTAACCTAAAAGGGTTAGGGTTGGTTTGCTATATAAAACATATAAATACAATCGATTACGCTCAGTTTTATAATCAACCAGTTTCAACACTCTACTTTTGTATTAATAGTTTAAACCCATTGACCAATCTGATGAAATTGGTTGATATTTTGTTTGTACTGAGTGCGGCAGCAACCGTTAATGCAATATTGATACCGACTGATAACAATGGTTCACCCCAAGCATCAGTCACTTCCAGTCAAGTGTCTGATCCAACCAATGAACCTAATCCAGAGATTCCTGTCCAAGACTGGCAAAGTATAATTGATGCAATTGATTTAAGCCTTTCTGACCAGGACTGGCAAGAAATAATTAATGCAGCCAGCTCAATCACTTCCAACCAAGACCAGCAACAACCAATGAACGAAGCTGATTCTGCCAGTACTAGTTCAAGTCGAATGATTATATTGAACGAAAAATATCAGAGAACCTTTGATCGCATGAGAAAAAGACTCGAGTTGTCTAAAGAAATACGAAACAAAAAACGCCAAGAATATCATAAATATAAAGCTCTTGGATACAGGAAATGGTCGGCGTTATCAATGGGCAAAGAGATACATGGATTAAAGTATAAGCCAAAGGTTGAAAAGAAACTGAAACAAGAGTATGTAGCGGTAAGGAATAAAGTATACGGTGTCAGAAAGGAATTGAAAAAGTTTACGGAAAGGCATGGTTTAGAATTTCAAGAACCGAATTCAGATTCAGATTGATGATGTGCCAATAAATTTGATTTTGAATAAATTTAAACTTTCTGATGTTAAAGCAATCAGACATTGACCGTTTACGTACAGTTCAAATGATTAGTGTGTATCTGTTGTAATATCCAAGCAGGATATCTCTAAGCTTTAATCATTAACAAGCAAGCACTAGTACTTGCATTGCACACTCCCTAATTTATCCAAGATCAAATAAAATAACCTTTCAAATAACTCTGAAACTATTTATTAATCTCATATCTATTTTGTTGATTCAACTCATTTGACAACTTCCTGATTATCGTCCAAGCTCTCTTTTGACCAATCTTTTGCATAGCAGCAAATTACATTACATTATACATATTGAAAGACTCGTATCTTTCAGTTTGTTTTACTTTTACAATAAAAACCTATATTCATTAATAAAAACAATGTGATGTGACGTTCAATGTCAGTCTGTAATATGTCAATGGAATATGCGCGAATATGTGCGAATATTAAACATGGGTTTGTGGATACTGTCAAATTATCAAAACCAACCGGATCATTCGTATCATTTGGATCAAATAGTCCAGTGATACCAATGAATTGGTGTCAAATGGAATGGGTTGACTGGTAACCCCAAATGACAAATATACACAATCGCATGGATTCAGCAATGACACTGCAGTGATCAATACAATGCATAGTAGCTGATTGGTGCAATATGATCAAACCATAAATATAATACACTATGGTTTGGCAATACACGATGTTTATTGAATGAACGACATCGAGTATATGACAAATGACAAGTAAACCAACATGCAATATACGCTGCATTACAGCATATGCTGGATGATGGCCCATTTTGAGTTGCAACAATGTGACGAGTCTATGATTGAGAAGGTTGTTGTTGAACACCAGAATCTTGGAAAGTTGCATCATGTTCAGATTATGGCAATCATTGTGATAAGCGATCGTAGAAATACTTGAAGCAATCCTGATATCCGTAAAGTGATTTTGGTGGAGTATAATCATCACTCGGTCGTATTCCAAACGAAGAATGGCTTGTAAGTTTTTTTGTTAATTTTTTAATTTTTTTCTTCTTATGCAAAAGTTTCGAAGCGTAATCATATGCATTACAACTGGCTCTGTCACAAGTTTGACGAGACTCCACATGCTTGGCTTTAGCAGAACTCAATTTCCGACTCGGAACTTGACTCATACTATTGAGCTTTTCCTTCTCTCTAACAAACAATCCTTCTTGAATAGCAGCCCCAAAATATTGACTTTCAAGTAGTCTAAACACTTTTGTGGATTTAAGCCGAGCTTTTGCAATTTTTTCGATCAACGACACTTCAGTAGCATCGAGTTGACCGCAATATTTCTTAAATTTATATAAGCTAAGAGATTCTGGAGAGTCAGATCCATCAGCTGAAGCTCCGCTTGAAGAGGCTGTCGGAGTGCTGGCTGCAGCACTCATGGTCGAACTGGGATCAACTGGATTGGCAATCGTAACCGAACAGATAGCAAGGATTGATGACAGTACGGCAATTGATAGTTTCATTGTATTGGTTTGGTTAGGCAAGTTGTAATGATTGTTGCTCAATACGTCGGTTTGGTGACATATTTGTATACATTATTAGATTGATAATATTAAAAGCATATTCCTTGAATGACCGTCCTAAGGGATTTGTGTTGTCGGGGTTAGCATTGATTTACTGCTATAAATGTCAACATAACTTTAAAGGGATCCCCTTTATACAATTGCCCATTGCTTGATTTAAACCCTGATATCAGGGTTAGTGACCAGAGTATATTGTCGCACTATGATGTCGCTACATAACATATTCCAGATAATATCACCACATGATGGTACACAAGCAATATTGTTCATCCACACCAGTTATGTTGCAAACACTCTGGATCTCGCCTGTTCAACATCACATTGTCACCAATACAATAGTATGTGACATGATCATATTGCACCAATCGACCAGTATACGATCACTGGAGACACCACACGTTGATGTTTACCACTGTATATGTGTAGTGTATATTGGTTATAGTGCATGATATCAACGAGTTTATGCATACTGCTTACACCACACACATCACACACATCAAACCAACTCGGTGATATGCAAGTGCTGCAGTTTGACCAAATCACAATCACCCATATTGTCGACTGTCTAACTTGTTGACATTCAAACCGTGCCATCACTAGTCACAATATAATGGTTGACTGGTTCGTTTGATTGGCCTGACATTGACACTTTGCAAACCTTGACTTGATTCATCAACTTGGATATTCATATAATATTGGGTTTGTATCATCACGTTGGACTCGTTATCAAACACCTTGATGTGTTCATGCAACACAAACTCGATATACACACATTAGTTACTGTTTGACATGACTGAGTCGATCATCAATACCAGACAATGCAACTGTATTAGTTGTATGATACAATCAATCATGGTTGGCTCATCACCATCAAATATCAAATGTTGATCACGTATACATTGATTTGTAATTGCATGGTCTGTTGGCAATGCACACTATGATATGCTTGACAGGTTGTTGATTTGCAGTAATCAGATGTGCATCACCTGTAACATTGGATACAATTGACGAGTTGCAACCGCAAGTCAACAATCATCGATATGTTGGTGATTGTATTGACTACATGATTGGTATGGATTAGCTGTCATGATCGATTGGTGGACAATACAATCCACATTGATTATGACGTGTTGCAACTAGTTGATATATGCAGACTCGACTGATGATCGAGTATATGTTGATGTGTAACTCTGTCACTGTTGGTTTGGATCGGTCATTACTACCGTTTGTATATGCAGTGTATTCATGTGTGATGTATTGAATGTATCAGATGGTGTCATGAAATGTTGGACAATATTCATGATTCAAATATTGACAGTCAAACATTGGTTAACCAACAGTTGTACGATTATACAACTGGTCCGTGTATTGACAAGTGATCAACCTCGATCCGGTTATAGTTGAAACGGTGTATCACAGGACTTGAAAGTTGGCACATTATTGTTGTGGTGTAATATTAGCAACTACACACAACTTGACATGAATGACAATGTTGATGTCGAGACTGTCAATGTATTACAATGTATTGGTCAACAGTGACTGCAATCAATGATAATATTGCAGTCAGTTCAATCCATGTGTTGATTGGAACAATCATTATCCACTTGTCAGATTCAGCATATAAATGAATGTTTTGTAGCGTATTTACTAATCCAACAATTGACTGATTAACAATAATTAAATATTAAAATGTTGAATAAAAGACTCGAGTCATTATATGAATAACGTAATCAATTGAGTTGAGTTGACACTCGATTGAACAATACAAATAAACACATGACAAATGTTTAATTTGATTGTAATTTCACACAAAATTGCTTAATTCAAAGTGTGAATTTGTCTCATTCTTCACACGCCATTAAATTTTGGATTTAAAGTCCAATTTTGTCTCTTTTACAAACTAAATGGAAAACACTTTACATTCAATACCTCAACAACCAACCAATGGAAATAGAAACCCACTTTGATGGAGAATTGGATAGCAAAGGACCACTTGACGATGTTTCAACACTAATTGCAGCCTTTCAAGCAAGACCAGGGTCGCTTCTCGGTAACACTGACTCGGAACTCATCACTCCACTATGTGATGGATGGGGTGGAGACCAACTACAACGCATGGGACTCGCTTGCTGCACTTGTAACAAATGGGACTGTTGGATCCAGTCCACTCATCATCAAATCCAAGAATGATGTTGGCTCAAACCCAACAATCACTGGTTCATACAATTATTTCAAGAAAACTATCCAGATCAATGGTATCAATGTTTCTACAAATCATCTCAAAAGACCTGATCAACTTGACAAACTCGTATACTTGGTTTGAGTATCGGTTTGTCATATTGACTTGTTCATCTGATTCTGCAAAACCTATATCCATTAATATGTATCAACATAGTCTCAAACAAATGTCATTTGGATTTGTTTCTTGGACAAGATTGCACGACACTTTTGTTGGAAATGCATTGATTGTTCCAAACAACAACGGATAGAATTGGAAAAAGTAAAACTGTTGTTTCTTGATGATGCTCAACAGTAATTACAAGACACAAGTTTATGGAGACTTTTAATCAAAGCATCGCTGAGTTGGTTGCCATTAAGCATGCGATTTATCATTGCATCAAACCATCTTTTTGTTGGAGGAATTTCAAGTCCTGTTGAACTCGGTAGTCTTTCAGGTCTTGAAAAGTGATTTTCCACTTATTCCAGCCAAACTCTGTGAATTCCATGAATTCTATGAATTTCTGGATTTACTCGTTATTGGGTTGCCAAACAACATGAACAATGAGACCTTGAAACATGTTCTTGTAACGGAATGTGATGGTCTTGTTGGTGCGCTGTGTGTGTCGATTGATGATCTAAAAACACAATGTCTAAACAACATTGAACCCACTCGAGCAGATCTACTACAATACTGTCTATCAAACAATTCCATGTTGGGTATGACTCGTTGTTTTGGAAGCGACCATTCAGATCTGTTGGAAATGGTTTTAAACTGTTACTCAAGAAATGCCTGACAAAAATCATCGATTGGACAACTTGGAAAACCAGCAAAATATGGAATCTTATTCATCACTCAAAAGGCTGGAATATTGATGGAGTCGTCCGACCTTGAACTTGCTTTTACTTTGCTGTTGGTCAAAAAATACTATTCAAATGGACATTCACAAACTGCTTTCCATCACAACATTTGTCTGTTCAAAAACTCGTACGCAATGTTGTCTCATCAATATCGACCAATGTATTGGAATCTGTTTCGTCATGCGGTTTTCCAAATGAAACAACTTTACAGCACATGTTTATGGAGATATTGGTTTACTTGACTAAACCAGACTGTTCAATCTAACCAAAACTATCAAAAGTATTTTCCAACAACTCGAATGTGACGGACACTATTGCTGGTGGAATTGATTACTATTTGGTCAATGGACTAGCAATCAATCAACACATTGACAGATTTGTCATCCTAAATGGAAACAACGACAATCCAGTTGTAATCCATATTGAGCCTTGAATTCAAACAGTCGTGAATCAAATCATTAATAAACTACAAAAACAGTCCAATATGCCAACTCGCATTTATCCACAACTCGATATGTGATGTTCAAATGTCTAATATTCAGACAGTGCTGATTGCAATTGTGGTTACAATTGTGGTTGTGCATAAATATCAATCCAATACTCGATTCAATACTTGATTCAACTTGAGCATGTACAGTTTTGTAGTAATCCATTTGATCACATTGACAGAATCAAGCAATGATCTGATTCAACAACACCAAATGATGCATCCATATCACTTTTATCAATCAATTGTACACAATCAGTCAATATAATCAACAATCACTGTCATGATTGACATGATTGATTCAATTCATTCAATTGATTCAATTGCAAGAATATGGTCATGGTGTTTCGACTCGTTTGACAGGTGGATCTTTGGCGCCTTTGTGCATGTCGGGCCATGAAACTAGAGGTATGAGCAAAGGTTGGTCCGACATATTTGCCATGATCGTGACAGCCAAAGAATCCGACAAAGCCGATACGCCAGTTATCCTTGGAGCGTATGTTATTAATAAACTCAAAGGTATTCGCTCGCATCCTTACACTACGGACATGAAAATCAACCCTTTGACATATGGCGACCTTAAAACCCGCACAGAGCTGCACGAGGCTGGCAAAGTGTGGGCAGCCATGCTTTGGGAAGTTTACTGGAACTTGGTCACCAAGAGTGGATTTTCTACCAATCTCTACGATGCCAAGGGCAAGGCTGGCAACATTGTTGCTATGCAGAATGTGATGGGTGGATTGATGCATCAGCCATGCAGTCCTAGCTTGGTCAATGCTCGTGATGCCATTATTGCGTCCGATGCAGCCTATTATAATGGGGCCAACAAGTGCGAGATTTGGAAGGGATTCGCCAAACGTGGTCTGGGAGTAAATGCAGCAGATTACACAAACGATTTCTCTGTTCCAGCAGAATGTGGTAGCGGTTCACCTCCACCTTTGACCACTACTCGTGGTCCTAAACCTACTTCTGGATGCACTCGCATGGACATTTGCTGCATCTATGTTGGAAAAAGCTGTGACCAAGACTAAATGCTCAAGTTTGGTAATGGCTTTACAATTTATTAAATGAAAGTATATTGTAAAAATGTAAACAGTTTGTATTGGTATTGGTAATGATTATTTGGTTAGTGTTAATGGACTAATAGTATACTGTCATCTGGAAGTCAGTCTACACTTTCAGGCACGACATTATCATTCGTGTAGTGCAAGTTGGTTTACAGTTTATTAAAAACAAGCTGATTTTTACAAATGATCGAGATTGATTCATGGCAGTTAAACATCACTATTCAAACACAGATACAACACTCTTGTTCGAATCTAATAGTCTAATTTTATTATTATTAGATTGAAAGATCGTCATTTGAGTTTAGAATCTGTTACTTTCCCATCATTTTTCCAAAAGTTGTAGAAAGTTGCACTTTCTTTTGTGCTATGACCTGAGCTCTGGCAACTTTCTTTTGTTCCATGCGTAAAGCTTTTTTTTCACTTTTTGGCAATTTCGAACTGCCTCCTGGTTCACTACGTCCTTTCATCTGTCGCTCCAAGCTTGTTATTCTTTCTTTTATTTGTGGGCTTATACGCTCTGACAATTTTGAACCACCTGATTGTTGCGACGGCTTGTGTTTATCTTGTTTAGTTTTGACCACACCATCTCCTGGTTCACTACGTCCTTTCATCTGTTGCTCCAAGCTTGTTATTCTTTCTTTCATTTGTGGGCTTATACGCTCTGACAATTTTGAACCACCTGATTGTTGCGACGGCTTGTGTTTATCTTGTTTAGTTTTGACCACACCATCTCCTGGTTCACTACGTCCTTTCATCTGTTGCTCCAAGCTTGTTATTCTTTCTTTCATTTGTGGGCTTATACGCTCTGGCAATTTTGAACCACCTGGTTGTTGCTTTGATTTGGGCACCTTCTGAATGACTCTGTTCACATTTTCTTCTAGTCGCCTTTTCGCTCCTTCCAAGTTTATTAGATTTGCTCGTGTCTTTGGACTCAGATCTGAAAATCCCAAACTGCCTAAAGGTTGTCCTAAATGGACTCCCGTTTTATCAACGTGGTCTATGATCCGTTTTAGTCTCTGCCCATCCTGTGATATTTTTTCTAAACTTGCTTTTTGTTGTGAATTCAAAAGTGGTTGACCCGAACTACCCATATTTCGTTCAGCCTGGGCTATGGATTCTTTTGCTTTGCCTCCTATATTTGCCAGACCGTTTATTCGTGCTTTCAACTCCGGAGTCCAAATTGATTGACCTGAATTTCCAGGCACAGCGTTTGTTGGGTTTTGCTGTATTCCCGACAAAGTTCCTCCATCCGCTATTCCTTGTGCTGTTGGGATTACTGGTATAGGCGAGCGAGCAAACATGTGCACATCTTGTTCTGATAATTCTAGTGCACGACGCTGCAAGTGAGATTCATGTTCTAAATTAATAGCAGGAGTGGCTGCAAGAGCCATGCTAGAAACACCAAGAAGAATACTCCATTGAACAAGTTTCATTATGCTGTATTGTTTGAAATGTGTTAATCGGCTCTAGTATATCGATTTCAGTGTCTGTATATTTTTCAAAGTGGGACTGCTTGCATGTTTTATACTCGACAAGGAGTAACAGTGGAGTTTGTTGTCAAAGCACTATCCATATGGATATACTACTTTGGTAATTACACGAAAGTTTTGTGGTTGTCACAAACTATATGAAAGGTTACAACACGCCTCACAATTGAACCGGACTGTGTCGTCCCATCTATTTATCCCAAGTTTAGTAATCGAGTCTACACAGACTTGTATTTGACCAAAGGGCGGCTACCATTCACTGAATCCTGTACACTAACGGCCAACTCCAAGACCTGACTAGTATACCATTCTTAGTCAACATATGCTTTTTGTGTCTTGAAACATTGACATTCGACAACCAGAGCATCTGGGATAAACTGATTGATTTTGGTGTGATATTGTCAAGGGATTATAATCCCTAAACTCAAGATTGGCTGCTTGCTACTAAACCACATCAGATCACAGGGATTGCTGAAAATAACATGGTCAGGGTTAGGGTTGAATGAGTATGTCCTGATGTGATCCTATTGGTCATATAGGACATCACTCGAGCTTCGACAAGTAAAGTTGCATCAGATTGAATTGCATATTCGCCATTCATGATTTTATAGTTATACAAAGTCATTGTCTTGCCAACCAGTTTGCTTTGCATGTGCCAAACTTGGTGTGGTAGATATGCTACTATATAGTACTAGTATCAAAATTGTACCTCGCAGACAAATGATGACATATCAATGTGGTTCATAGTCGAAAAGTAAATCACAGCAAGTAAAAGATAAAGGAATGAACCAATGTTAGATTATGTTGTTTATTAAGCAAAGACAATAGAGTTGGTTTATAGCCAAAGAGAGTTGGAAAGTACATAGAATACTGACTGTTCGATCAATCGACTTTGTGCTGGTAGCGTACCATTGGTAACAGACACTGTTTTGACACCATCACTGGGATTGCCATACAACAGTTGACCAATAAACTTGTAACACCACCAGCATATGCTTGTACGATTACAGCCTGTTCACATGAGATCATTTCATATCTCAATACCCGAGTTTATTTTAAATAAATTCATTCAAAAAACAACTGTAAATCAACAAATAAACCAACAATTCAATCCAGCCAACACTGTTTTATACACCAGTCTAATCTGTCAATCTTGGTTGGTATTATTATTGATTATATTGTGGTTTGTCTCGTCCAAGCACAAAGGCTCGGTTATACTGTCAAATATTACATTTGTCAATACTCACTATCTTGTATTGGATCCCATTTGTCGTCAGTATACTGGATTGAACTAATCACTTGGTAGATCAACATGTGCAATATATCAATAACCAACGTGTACAACAACAGAGTATAAAAGTTGTTTCAGTCGATAGTAATCCAGTGTTATACAGCATATATGATTATTCATGAATGTTGACATGACTCAAGAATATGGTGTCCACGACATTGGTAATGCAATCAAAAATACAATAGCTATTCAGGTTTAAGGGTGGCTAATCAAGCCATGCATAGTGTAGATCTTGATGCTGCATAATCATTTAAAATGGAATCTTTTTAAACTGTATTCGACACTTGGATTCATGCTGGTGTCCAGTTATGATCTGAGCATTGGCTGCCTTATACTTGCCAATTTGAAACAACCGGGAATCAGAGTCAAACTGTTCAACATATTGCGCAAAGGAAACCTAATACATGCCAGACAGTTTGTGGATCCATTTTGCTTTCGAGTCAATACATGTTATACAATGGTTGTTTTAAACACCATTATTGCCATCCAAACACATTGCTCACAAACAGCAAATCAATTGCATGATAACCCTGGCCAAACAGAACTCATAGGGTTGGAACTCATCAACCCGAAATGACATATCTGGCCAAGTAACCAGTTCAAAAAATACAGATCAAGCAGCAGAATTGAGCAAGATACTTGACAACCATTTACTAAAAAACAAATTATGATGATTGGATAGTGTATGGATAAATACAGCACATTTTGTTACGTTCAATTATTCGACATAGCTGGCATATAACATACACAGCCATAGTGGTATACAAGCAATCCATTAACATGCAAGCCGGACAATTGTAATAATTGACATGATCATTAAATGGGTTTATGCAATCACCACGTGTTAGACCCTAAATTAAATGGGCATAAATTATTGGCAATGCTGCAGCCGACAAGTGATTATCTATTGACAAGCCAATATGTTATGTATATTTGATATACGGACTGGCATAATTCACAAATGTCAATACACCATCAATCATCATATTGATTGAACTGGATTTACAGCTGTTTGAGCTAGATGTTGTGTTGGATAGTAAAATACAATTAACATGACATGTGTGGCAATGGATAAATTGGTCAATCTACAAATTCGTTGCTTTATCTACCCTGAATATATACCTCGATCCAGTTAATCTTGCTCGATATCAAGCATTTTAGTAAGAACAATGCAAAGCATATGGATGCAAGAATATCAAGCATTAGTATTGCCAGTCAAGACCATCAAGGTATAAAAATGAGTTGTCAGCCACTATCAAACATCATCAGACTGCTACAAATCAACAACTCAATCTGTATAGTATTGATACGCTTGCCAAATACAGTTCAATAGTATACTGCAGCCACGATGAAATTTTCACTACTAGCCATTGCTTCTGTTGCGTTCGTTGTCAATGCTCAAGGAAATAAATCTGGTATGCAAATCTGTTGATCAGTCTATTTTATGTTGGGTTTATCAATGTTTGGATTGTGCAATCGTTCAAAACTGTACTAATTGACGTACATTATAGAATCCATGCCTACATGGGCCTTTATCAAGGAACACCGTGACGCTGGCAGATTTGTTTTTATGCCATACACTGACGAACAACGAAACGTCGTGCTGACCAATGTTGAAAATAGTTTGAAATTGTGGACCAACTATGAATCTAAAATCAAGAATTATGGTGAGCGTGCCGATCCCTTCCCGATCATCAAGAAACTGCGTGCAAAACTGGATGCATCCAATCTTACCGATACTGAGATGCAGACTGAACTCTTGAGTGCGTTTATTCTTGGGCGTGACTATCATACTCGTTTTGATCCATCTGGACCATATTCTTGTTTCGTGGCCATGACTGGTCTTTCTTTCAGATTTATCGAGGGCGATGCAGATATGGTCAAGAAACCAACCGTTGTTTTTGAAAAATTCACAAAGAATCAAGGCTTGCGTGCTTTTTTTGGAAAGGACTATGACCAAATCAAAGTTGGCGACGAATTACTACTTGTTGATGGTATGACGTTTGTTGACTATTGGACCTTGAACCAGGATAAATCAGGTGGTGCCAATGATTATGGTGGTCAGCATGGTGCTCTTAAGTACATGACGTCTCGTCCTGGTGTATACACTCTTTTGCCAGAAACTGATACAATCAAGTATCGGCTCAAATCAAAAGATACTGGAAAGGTGTACGACATTGAAGCTCCGTGGGTTGTTGTTTTTGATTCATCATGCTGGAGTATTACTAGTCAATTGTATGCCAAAATTTCTGGAAAAACTCTACCGGGAACACCTCAGCCTGCCGACACGAACAGTATAATTGACGCTGATGCACCTGATACCGGAGTCAAACGTCGGTTGAAGACTTGGGAAGAAATCAGAACTCCATCAATGATATCCGAGTACCATCATAGAAAGCAAAAAATTGATCAGATTTTACTTGGACAACCATCACAAAACCATACTTTTGACTACCAAAACGCCGGCGTGTCGACTATCAGCTGGGCAATCTGGAAACCCGAGTCCAAGAATCTTGGCATTATTAGACTGGATGATTTTATGCCAACAAACCTTAAAACTGGTGCACCAGCAGATATGGAGGCCGTTCGTGAAATCCACAAACTTCTCAGTACTGTACTCAAAGACACCAATGCTGTTATATTTGATCTCCGTGCAAGTGGAGGTGGTAGTGGTGAGTTTGCCAATGCCATTCCACAACTTTTCAAACCTGATTTTCAACCAACACCAATGAGATACTTGATGAGTTCTATCGCATACAACACTCTGGTTAATGGCACGTACTTTTTTGACACTTCTAATCCAGCATGGTACAAGACTCCACCTGGTAGCAAGTATTCTATTGATCATGACAGAACTTCGTATAATCAGTCAAACTTGTATGGCCAAGCCTATCTCAAACCTGTTGGTATATTCACTGATGCTATATGCTATTCAGCATGCGATCTGTTTTCAGCGTCTTTTCAGTCGTCCGAAACTGGCCATGTTTTTGGTGAAGATGGAACGACTGGAGGTGGTGGTGCCGACATGTTTTCGCTCGATCCAGAACTTCTTTTGTTCAATCCCATCGATTTTAAGCCAATGCCGTATTACCAAGAGCTTATCAACGAAACAACTGGTCGAAGCTATGCCAGCGTTCTTACAGTTGGATTTCGACAGATTGTACGTGGTGGAAAATATCAAGGTCAGCTGGTTGAAGATACTGGTGCCGTAACCGAATATATTGTACGTCCCCGTTTGACGGATCTATTGCCTGGATCCACTGAAAATTCTCGATTTGACCGTATTGCCGATCAGCTCAAAACACTGGGTGTCAGAACTGGACTGAACAATCTTCACTTTGTTTCTGAACGTATCAATTACTACATTACTAGCAGTGACGTAACCATTGATGTAGAAGTCAAGGGAATCAATCAACTGTCAGTTGTTGATGACACTGGCAAATCACTTTCAGTTGCCGATTTTAAAAGCAACATAAAAAGTCAACACTCGTTCAAACTGGCATCTGTGATCAACGATCTTGGTAATACTCGGGTCAGTATCATTGGCCAAAACAACGGCAAACAGGTTCTCAAAACACATAAGCATATCAGTCGCATTCCAAAACAACAAGACCATTTTAAGCTTGAACGTGGTATCAAATGGGAGTTTAATGGTACCAGTAAATCGGTTGGAATATACAACTCGCCATTTACCAAAAAGTCACAGGGATGGAACTCGGTCAATGGTAAATGGGTTGTTGGTGACGGAGTACAATACAGTCCTGCAATAGTCACTGAGATCCGATCATACTATACTGCACCAGTTGGATCCAACATCACTATTGAAATTGATGTCGCGCTTGAATCACAACTTTATAGCGACTTTTTAGGACTGTATGTCACAGATGCGGATGACAATGTGGAATCGCTTTTGAATACGTTTCGTCCAAATGGTAGGATACTTACAGACGGTACTTCTGGATCCGAAGCAATCGTCAAAAAGTTCCCAGTGACAACCAAGACGGAACAGTTTTTTGTTAATCTCATGTTCAATTCAGATGTTGCTACACAGATGAAAGGAGCAACAATCAATTCTTGGAGTGTTACCATGGATTGAAATGGGTTGTAAATGTTGCTGAACGCACCATTGATTGCACCACCAGACTATGTTTGAATAAATATAGTACTTGCATATAACTATCCTATACACTATTGTTTAAGTTTATTTCAATCAACACATGTAAACTTTTTATTTGGTCGAGTGAAATATGCAAGTTTCAAACCATTTTTTAAATTGGACTGGTTTTGTCATGGATGGAATATTGCAAGTGTTTTTAAACTTGTCAGGTTTTTGTATTTTTTGGTGTTTTAGACATTTGAATGAAAGTTGATATTGGATATTTACCATACCAATCAGAGTTGTCATGGTTGTTTAATGAAACTCGGTACAGATCTGGATAAAACCGCATTTAGACCTGCATTTTCAATGGTTTGATGCGACATGAAATCATTCGAGTTGATAATGGTCATTGCACTATTGTCTTGTTCTTGTTCTTGGACTCTTTCACTGGTTTTTTAGCTTTCATAGCCGGTCTCGAGTTGATTACTTGATTCGCATTTAGTTGATGATTTCAACTGGTATTTAAAACTATGGTTTGATTGACACCATCAAAGCAGTTGAGCCAAACATGTGGACTGAAATGGATGAGTTTGGTGATTGTATAATGTATGGTTATACCAAATAATGAATATATTATGCAAGACTTTCTAGCACAATATTGTATATTCATCAATCTGATAGAAACAACTTACTAGTCCAAATCAAATATTGGATGCATCAACAGCATACTACTATGTATAATACTTGCAAACCACCAACTCACGGTCAACTTTCGGATGCGAATATGTTTGACAGTCATTCTAGTAATGATCATGTATGCACTGGATCTGGTTGGTGGTTGGTGATGACTTGACCTGCATACACAGTCAACAATCAACAACGGTGTGCTACACATTGAATGCATGCAAATCCATGACTGTCAATACTTGTTGTTGAAATGGGTTCAGATCACCATCAGTTTGCTCACTCGTTGCACCGATGTGATTGCATGATCAACCTGACACCAACCAAACCACACTCGAATATATATGTTCCAGTCATGTGCATGGTGTATCGATTGTCAACTCCAACGCATTCCACCATGATTATGGTCACATCACACCATGTTGATGTATGTCGATCGGTATCACATTGCAACCAGTTATCATCCAATGACTGCAATGCAGTACCGTGCATGTATTGTGACTGATACGCTGTGCACCATCAACAAGTGTGCAACTGTCACTTGATATATCGAGTCTGATATGCAACAACATGCTGTGTTTACCATGATCAGGTTTTTGATCAATCTTGGACTCATGATACATGATTTGACATGTTGGATCGTGTGGATGTGTCATGGACTGCAATTTAGTTGCAGACACATATGTTGGACATTGACTGATGCATACTGTGCAATGACTGATCAGTGCGTGTGTGATTGCACACTTGGTGGTATTGTGCATTATGGTTGTTTGACAATGGATGAATGCTGGATTAGTCGGTTATATGCAACCCATTTGAATCGACCTATTTGGACGATCACTCGATGTAACTGACAACAATGTGTATACATGGCTGTTTGATTAGTTGAGTTTCTGTTGGTACCGCCATACATGAGTTGGTCAACAAACTTGTAGCACTGCCAAAATACACTCGTATGGTTTGCTTGCATGATATCATATTGTGGTTTAACACCCAAGTTTATTTTACAGCCGTATTCACGTAAAATGAAATACTTTTCTGTATCGATCTTGTAATGATTGTCTTGGAATAAACAATCGTTACATATTTGTTGTTGGAAATGGATTTTTTTATTGAAACTCTATTCTAATATCAGATATGTTCGCGATCTAGCTCAAGAGAATAATCTCATGAATGTAACAGCTGTTTCCATGCGATCACACAATATTTTGGAGAAAAGGAGAGTTGGAGGTTGAAAAGATGTGGAATGTATTGAAACAGAGATGTGAACATTCACACTGTTTTTGTACAAAAGTGAGCACAACGATCAATCAACTAATGGGTTCAAAAGGCACGTTGTTGCCCAGTAAGATTGACATCAAACATGACTGTTTATCATGTGTTTTAATTCAGTATTTCATTCCACAAGAGTACGGTTATAAATGAAATCCATTCAAAAAATAGTAATAATACTGTTTAAAAATCGTCAAACAATATGATGATTATGTACATGTTAATGTATTCAGTGATCGCATACTGGTCGATTGATACAATATAATCAAATACCACTGTATTGTTAATAAATGGCAATGATTAAATATACAGAATTTTAAGTGCTTGAAAGACTGCAAACAAAAAGTTGCAGTCGTTGGTTATGAAAAAGCTCAAACAACTATTCCAAACTACAAACATTCAAATTAGTATCAATCAGCATACAAAAAAACTAATTGTACATGGCTTGAAAAAATAGAAATGCTCCGTTAGCTTAGTCGGTAGAGCGTTGTGCTAATAACGCAAAGGTCACAGGTTCGATCCCTGTACGGAGCATTTTTATTTTTCATTTTGCAATATTGTTGAGCAAACATAGTTTGATCCAACAACTGCAGCATTCCAATCTAGACAGATACTGTATTTTTTATAAATGCCCAATAGTTCAACTTGAAAAACTGTTTTGGTCAGTGCCAAACTAAAATAAATGCATATCCAGCACGCTTAGTTCAAGTATATGCATGGCTTTAAACCTCGGCAATCGACAAATCAAATATGGATTGCAGCTTATATTGCAATACTCATTTCGAGTTTTAAATCCACAACAAATGTTTTCCAAAGCAACCCAATACCTTGATCAAACTGAGATTTATCAACCATTCAACTTGGTATGTAGTGCATGATATTGATGATTGTTTGCTCATGGTATTTGATCCACTTGATAAAAATGTCGATGCTATTATACTCGACTTGTCATATCTGACAAGTTGGTTTCAAATAACCCGCATATGCGAATGACGACTATTCAAGCATGATCAAATTAGATTGGTCAATAATACTTGAATATGCACGATATTGCTACAAATGAGTGGTATTGACTAAAAACTGTCATATTACAATATTAATGCTTTCAACCATTCATGATTAAATGTAAACTTCAAATGTGTGTACAATTTCTCAAAATAATAGATGTATTTGGCAGTGTAATAGTTTAGTTTTATCGACTCGAGATCGTCCTGACAATAGTTGTACTGAAGTATCATACATTTGGTGAGTAAAAAAAGAGTTCAATGCGATTGCTGCACATATTGACATGCTTGAGCAAATCACCAAGATCATGCATATTTGTAAATATTGATTATTGCAGCATTGTTTAGCATACACAAGCATCTACATATGCCAGTCATATTGCATTTCACGAATAGTTTGGCTCATAGACAAGCAGACTTGGATGAGTTTAAACCAACTTACGTGCTATCGATTGTACTTTTTATGCAACTACTATTGGAGGCTATTGATATATTCCTTGTTTTTCATCTAAACGGTAGTTGCAATTTGATAATCCTGATCACCATTACCGATCCTTGCATATCTCAATATTGGCAAAACTGTTGATAATATTGTCTGAAAATGTGGCAATATCCTTCAGTGTCACTATCTTGACAGGATGAATAATGAGACTATTGATATTTTAATCATTCTACTAGTCGTGTTGGTTTCTTACAAGGCTGCTGTTGTGACTATTTTAAACTCACCTGCGTTGGTAACTGCGTATCCTTGCTTTATTACTGTAATTTTCATTGTGAATATTTTTTATTGGCAAAGCTGAAAAAAGTCAACCTTACAAACTATAGTATTTTATTATGCACTCTGAGTTTACAGAAATGAGATGAATCGTGTCATGTAAACCATTTAGCACTAAAAACCTACACCTTATTATGCCATACTCGTCACACACTACACTCAAGTATACAAGTCATTTAACTAGTACCTGATGCAAGGCAAGCTTGTCAACAGCAGATATTGAGTTACGAAATAATGATTCTTAAATTAATCTATCCACATGAGTTTAAAATAATCTACTTTATTTTCTTGTACACCTTGAGACGCATCCGAGCTTCTTCCTCGTCACGCTTAGAAAACAAGGCATTTGATTCTCGGATAAGCTTAAGGAATACTTCCTCCAAAGTGGTTTGTCCAATTCCCCAAGATTTAACTAGTCCTTCCGGGTTCTCTTCAAGCCATTTAACAAGTTTTGGAACCACCGAAACAGAAGTCGGCAAAAACTGATACAAAAGAGCTCCAGCAGAGTAGTCACCCAACACTGCGTTTGGAACAATATCACGCACAATATTCTGCACATGTTCTGAATCCTCCACATTTGTGACAATAGATACCGAATATCCAGCACCAAACTTGGTTTTCAATGCAATAGCATTGTTGATGGCTCGGAGTCGACCATTGGACATGACACCTACTTCATCACCAAGAACGTCGGCTTCCTCCATCGAGTGGGTAGTGAGAATGATTACCCTGCCTCGCTTGAATCTTTCAATAAAGGACCAAACGCAGCGACGATTGACTGGATCCATGCCTGTTGTAGGTTCATCCATGAAAATAACTTTGGGATCACCAATCGTGGATATCACAAGTGACAGGCGACGCTTCATGCCTCCTGAATATGTCCCAGCACGTACATCTGCAACCGCATGAAGTCGCACAATCTTCAATCGCTCATCAACCAAACCTGGTATATCCTGCTTGGAAACTCCCTTGATGCCTGCATACAATCGGATATGCTCACGCGCAGTTAGATCATCAAAAAGAATATCGTGCTGTGGACAAATACCCATATTGCGACGAATACGCTGTGATTGATACTTGACCGAAAGATTATAGATGAGCGCATCGCCAGAAGTTGCTGGTGTCATGCCGGCTAAAACAGATATGGTGGTGGATTTACCTGCTCCGTTTTGACCAAGAAGTGCAAAAAGCTTGCCCTCCTCAATAGTAAAGCTCGAGTTGCGAACAGCCACTTTTTCACGAGATCCATCGTCAAAAACACTTGTTTTGCCATATACCTTGCGGAGATTAACAATCTTTAGTGCTGGAAAATAATCTAATCCAAAAAATCATACATGTTACCTTTAGCTGCACATTAACAAATACAAGTCATTTTGCACCAATATAAACTTACTTGGATCAAGAGCAAGCCGACGAGCTTCAGTCACATCTGCATCTTCGTTGGCCTCATCCTCAACTACAGCATCCCCAGTAGAGTTGCGAGTCACCCAGTTACGTAGTCGATCCATATTGGCTTGGATATTTTCCAATCCCCAGTAAGTAGGAGTAAACAGGAAATAAACGGGACGACTGGATCCAAATTCGTCTGCAATCACATTATCAAAGTACCACATCAATACACCGTAAAATAGGCAGTTGCACAATAAAAAGTAAAGTGCATTGACAGGTAAAGGAATGTTGGCAACACCCGAAACTCCATAGTTGGGAACAAGTTCTTGAGGAATTGGATTAAAAAGACTCGACCACGCAAAATCATAGCCTGGAAACTTGGTTCCGGTAAGTTGATCAACGCGGCCAGTGGTCACTGTTGAAGTGTCCAGAAACAAATGACCGGCATTGAAAAAGGGGAAAAAATACAACACATAAACGTATCCCATTTCCAAAAAGGGTCTAGTCCACAGGATATATGTGGTTTGAGAACTGGAAAACACAAATGTCTGAAACAAAAGACCGACTATAAATACAAAAATACCCACAAGAATGGCAGTATTGGTTCGACGCAAAAACGTAGTCATGAAAAATGCCATGACCACCATGGCTTCACCAAACAGCACAAATGTGAGGATGCTAACACCAATGTTTGCACGAGTAATGGCTGGAAAATTGAATACGAATCCCCAGCCCACCATCGAGAGCGCATTGACAATCACCAAAATGGATGTGGATAAAAAATGGCTCAACCAGTATACGCTTGGCATTAGACCCATTACTTGCATGCCGTGTCGAAGTTTGAGTTCTTTCTCAGTGACAATCTGACTGAGTACATTGATAAAGATGATCATTTCTGAACAGAAAAAGAATGCTGGGCCTAATTTCATGTACACTCGAGGCAGCTTATCATTAAAAGTAGCTGCGGGCCAATCCTTGATGGAAATATCCAAATTGGCCTTGACGGTAGCAGTGGGATCATTCAATACTGTAATGATGGCTTCATCCATACCACGCACAAACCCAACCACTTCAGGACCGTAAATATCACTGCCTGACGCAGTATGAAGATCGTTGAACCATACTTGGTACTGAACATTAATGGGTCCATTTGCAGGAATTTGTGTAAATGTGATTCCCCATGCTGTCATATTCTCATGTTGCAGAGTGTAGTTGTAAATGAATTGAGAACTTGGAACCTGCACAATGTCATATACACGATTGGCAGGAATAGTATAATCTGTCCAAAGTGGTATGTACAACATGAAATAAAAATTGTCAGGCACATATTGATTGCTCATCAAATCATATTAATAAAACATACTGCTGGTGGTGAAGTCGGTTTCGAGCTTCAGTAGATAGCCAACACGATGCTGATTAATGGTGGCAAATGTATCCATAATCTTAGTATAGTCGATAGTCGCAGCAGGTTGAGGCTGATCATTAGTAGTAGAGATGGGATTGATGGCATACATGATGGTAACACAGGGATTTGCTGCAGTTGCTCCCTATATGCATATTCAGCATTAATCAAACAGTAATGTGCAGGAATAAAATCGTGACAAGAGCAACACATCTCACTTGACAGCGCTGGATACCAGGCAATGGCTGCATAGTCAAATTTTCTGTGGCATTGGGGCGATCTTGGCTGGCATAATCAGCCTGTTGAAGCAGAAACATGATTAAAGAAAAGATGAATGGAGCCAGCAGAGCTTGAGTAAAAGTAGAGCCAATATATCGATACTGAAGCAGAGTATTCTTTTTGAGTAGAATGACCAACTGGTCAACAAATGTACCGAGTGCACTCTTGTTAACCAAGCGGGATTCGGTGGGCATATCATTGTAAGGATCGTCCATGTAAGCCTTGTCTAAAGCAAGATCGACTCCAGGCATTTCAGCAAATTGATAAATGGGCTATCGAAGCTGGATCAAGTGTACAGCTTCAACCTTGTGCAGATGCTAGACAAACTATTAGGGTTCAATCTCGTGTTGTTTGAGTTGCATTTATTTACAGCATATTCGCGTAAAATAAAACATTAAACAGGGGTATCAAAGTATATAATAAACAGCCAGTCTCATATGATGGGTATCGCATCTATTGAATAAGCAGCCAGTATTTATTGAAACGATACAATGGATATTTAAATATGGCTGTCCCAAAGCAAAAGAAAGTGGTTGCAAGATAGTATTCTGTTCTGCATTGACATGTAGCTGCAAAACCCGATTCAAATCAACACGTGTAAATGCATTTTTGGTAAAAATGTGCTACAAATCGGCCCCGTTCCCGAAATCTCGACCCATAAAAGGCAATAACGCGAATCCATCGCATTAATCAATTTTGGTAATAATTGATGCTTTCAATCAATTTCCTTTGGGTTGCGTTTTTATATTATTGTTGAGCAACTCTGGCCATAGTTGATGGTAGAACAAATAGACTTGGTCCCAACTCGGGGAAAGCAGATTGTTTTTAAAACAGGAAAACCTAGACAGACTGGTGCACTGGTACGAAAAGCCGTCGCTGCTCAGAAACGTCAGATATGCACTAGTCTCTGTTGCACTGCGTAAGTAATGCATGAATACTCGGTGATTTTTCAGTGCAACATGTTTTTATTAATGCATCTATACCTCGGTGTCATTAGAATGTGTCCTTTGTTGACAACAAGTTTCATTGCTCTAGCTGCCGCTTATGGCGGCACTTACTATGGCTCATATGGCGCAATGGGTCTTCCCGACGGTAAATATCATGATCCAATAGCTCGACTATTTCAACACTAATGTTCTTACTGCTACCATCTTGTGTGTTATCGATTGTTCATGTTTCAAGCCCATGTGCAATGTTCCAACGTGCATGCCAATTCAGAACTCAATGTGCCGTATTGGATGAACGATTACAATGTTCCTGAGCCTAGATATAGTTTTCCAAAAACGACTCTGTTTGGCAATCCTGACTTTATAAACAAGGAAAATAACATATTCCACACCAACTGGGCTCAGTCTCGCACTGTCATGTCGGGTGATCAAGTGTTTCTGGGCATGTTCAAAACCTGTAGGTGATACTGTGGATTACACCTTCAAATTTACGTGTAATGACTTTGAATGCGTCCATGTATATAATAGGTACAAACTGGTATGGTGAAGACTATGCTCAAAGCATGACAAACACCTACGATATATTCACCGATGCTGTTGGAAATCAAGTTCGTGATTCGTAAGTAATAGCGTATTACCAAACAATCCTGCTTGTCAGTATTGTAACTTGTGTATTCATTCTACTCTATTGTACAATGATTGATTTTAGCACGTATACTTCAGAACCTGAAGGAGGCTGGTTTGACGTTCTATCTCAATACAATACTACCTGGGATCAAATCATGATCAAAAGTTCACCAAAAGTTCAGCCTTCTACTCTTTACGTCTTCAATAGCCTCCAAAAACGCTCGTGGTATCTGTACGCTGCAGATCCAAGCGTCAACATCTCGCAAATTGGCACTCGTCCTCAAGGTCCTGCTTTTCCACTTTCAGATCTAATAAAAGCACCATCAAATCCTGCGTTTGCTATTCCCGCTGCTGCTCCTCGCACTCCCAATGATACTGTGGCTAATGGCCTCTTTGGAACGATCCCGACTCGTTACTATCTTGATTTTGATCCATTTACCAATCATGGCCCAACTGCCAATGTCACTGCTGTTCCTTGGTATGTCCCTGCTATCAATGAAGCATCCATGGAAGAGTACATTCTTGCCGCCCTAAAATCAAGTAGCACGGCTATTGGATTTATTGACAAAACTGCACTCTCAGGCTACGTTAACAACTACAAGGGCTTTTTTTATGTCAACCAAGCCATTGGAAACGCGTTAAAAAACGTTCCTCATGGTGGTATTTACTTCAAAATGGTAGATCACGCCAAAAAACAATATGCTGTCAATATGAATATTGGAACCAACAGTTTGCTTCAAATAGCTCATAATTTTCCTAGTCCAGGAGATCGTCAACTAGTGCAGCTAACCCAACTGAGCAACGCCTTTTTGCGCAATAGCGATCCAGTGAAACTAGGCCACGCTTCCATCACACAGGGACTACGTGTTATGCCACGTATTGTCAAGGACCCATTCAAGTCTATGCTTGGCAACTCGTTAGCAAGCTTCATATACCCATTTGCTATTTCGTTCTTACTTCCCATGTTTGTGATTGATCTCGTACAAGAAAAAGAGTCCAAGGTGTTGATCATGATGCGAATGAATGGCTTGAGTTCTACTGCGTACTATATCAGCCAATACCTCACGTTCATCACGCTGTATCTCATCTCTGCCGTAATCTTTTACATTTGCGGTACCGCATACAGTCTTTCACTGTTTGTAAATACGGCACCTGCGGTATTGATTCTTGTGCTGTTTCTTTGGGGCAATGCGCAAGTGTCGATTGCCTTTTTTTTGTCGGCTCTTTTCAAGCGTAGTCGACTGGCACTTGTGTCGGTATTTTTGTTGGTCATTTGCAGTGTGATGATTGCAGTGACGTTTGATACTATGATTGGCAACAACACCATTTCACCCTACTTTTTTCTGTGGCCGCCATTTGCATTCTATCGTGCTTTGGGTGTTTTGAATCGTGCTTCGTTCCAAGAAGGTATGACTCCATACACCATGAGCATGCTTCAGTCTGGCGATCAAGTGTATATTGCCACTATTGTTCTTGCTGCCTCGACTCCGATTTTTCTCATTCTAGCTACATATCTGATTTCAGTTCTGCCGTCCGAGTTTGGTGTTAGCCGGCCGTGGCATTTCCCCCTAACTAGTCTTTTTACCAATTCCAACAAAAAAATCGATCTAGAAGCCCAGCTTGCCATTTCCAAGGCACTGAATGCAAATGAAATCCAACACGAGGATCAAGATGTTGTGAATGAGCGAAGTCGTGTAGACAGCGATCAGTTTGATCCAAACTCACCATTGGTGATTCGTCACATACGTAAAGTCTATGCTAGCCGAAGCGGTGCGGGTCCAAAGATTGCCGTCAAGGATGTTACATTTGCTGTTGAGGAAGGTGTTGTTTTTGGGTTACTTGGACCAAACGGTGCTGGTAAAACCACTTTGATCAGCATATTGACTGGGCTGTATGAAGCCACGAGTGGATCTGCCTTGCTTGGCGGATTTGACGTTCAAACTCAAACCAGTGAGGTGTACAAAAGTATTGGTTTTTGTCCTCAGTTTAATATTTTGTGGGAATACCTTACTGTGCAAGAACATTTATACTTTTATGCTCGTCTCAAGGGGATTTTCAAGGAGGATGAAGATTTGGCTGTTCATCAAGCCATTGTAAGTGTTGCACTTGAAGAACAATGGGATCGTGAAGTTCGTGAGCTGTCTGGAGGTCAGCAACGCCGTGTAAGCATTGCTATTGCGCTGCTAGGAAACCCCAAAGTTGTTTTCCTGGATGAGCCCACAACTGGACTTGATCCAGAAGTGCGACGACAGATTTGGAGTATTATTGAGCAAGCTAAACGTGACAAAACCATTGTTCTTACTACTCACTCGATGGAAGAAGCCGAGGCTTTATGTCAGCGTATTGGTATGATGGCAAAAGGCACTGTCAGATGTTTGGCTAACCCTACTCGGCTTAAGCAAGTCTATGGATCTGGATATCGTGTTCATCTGAATGCACTTCAACACGATATTGATCGCGCATGTGCATTTGTCGAGTCTGTCCTTCCAAATGGATGGGTCAAAATTGACTCATTTGCTACGAATGCATTGTACGAATTTCCTGCTGCTTCAGGCACACTGACACAGCTGTTTCAGGCTGTTGAAGCTGGCAAAGCTCGACATGGTATTCTTGATTGGGGTGTGGGGCAAACTACTCTTGAAGAAGTATTTGTTCGTTTGATTAGCGAAAATGATGCTGATGCCGACTAGATCTAAGAGTTGGATAATGTCCAAAATGTATTGGTTTCAACAGCTTGGTCAAATAATCGTGTACAACTATGAAATAAAATAGGCTGTAAAATATTGTCTTTTTTTGCATGGCAGAAATTCCTATTTGACTTCAAACTTGACGATCGTGCAATGTATGGCTATACCAAAAGTGAAAGATCCAAAACACCAGTTTAAAACTATAGTTTGGTTGTGTAACTCCTGATGACTGGTGTGTTTGGAGACTAATCAAAAGAGTATTGGATGCTGTAATATCCCAAAGCTTTCTAAACACATACCGAGTGTTGATTCAGGTCAATCTGTAGTAGGAAAGCACAATAAATATTCAACTATTGTTTATTTCAAGGAATCAACCACTGCAAAATAAATACAAGTGCTTCATTTTACGTGAATACGATTGTAAATGCAATTGGACAGAAAGGTAGCAAAGTAGATAAAAGGACAAGTATCAAAACGATTTCCATGGAAAAAGTAAATTGATCAGTTTGAAAGTGAATATTGGATCTATATGGAGGCTTTAAAAGGGATATCCATTAAAGCAGTTCCATTCGACCCCCAAGAGTGCGACCAGTATGTAAATGCAAAAGCTTGATTGTTTGGATCGGCATTTTTTTTGCACTCAATCGGATTAAAGCGTTCAGATTGTGCAGAGCATATATGTCCTAACCCTTTCATGTTATGCCAGTCATATGGCAATATCCATTCTAAACAATAAAAAGCAAGTATAAATAATCAATGAAGAGCCAAATTATCAACATTAATAGAACAATAGTAGGTGGCGTACCTGGAGCAATGTATGTAATAGGTGGTATCGATTCGTTCAAAACTTGCTGATCGAATTCTTTGAGTGCCTCGTACAGTACGATCGGGCCAGTTAAAAGCTCTACACTAGTAGTTATGGGTCGATCTTTGATTTTTTTCAAAAGAAATAGCCAAAACGGGTGACCCGGTATAGATCCCATCCATGGATTGGGAATGTTGTGCACAAAATTATAATCTCGAGACATCAATGGAACAACGACACCTCCTTTTTTAGCAATTGGTGTGTGCGATTTTAAGCATTCTAAATCTAGATCTGCATAGAAGCCTCCATACTATCGAGTCTGAATGAGAAAATAATCACAGTAATAATAATCTAGTAGAAAGCAGCATGCTGATGCTTACCTTGTACATGTACATGTAACGAGCCGTATCCGCACGATTGATTGTGGTGGGCATTTCTTTGAAACGCTTCAGCATCCATGGGAAATGCTCCTCGCACAACCGCATGTTATCATCATCAGTCCATAGAATATACTTCCAATCAGAGTGACTGTTTTTCCAAGACATCTGCCATACTTGAAATTTCTATTGGACCAAAATTGACAAGTCAGATGCTAGGGATTAGCATCAAATCTAAAGGGAGTTTACAAGCTGGTATAAAGCCATGCGACCATAAATCACAATAGCTGATACAACTAGATACACCAAAAAGCATGGTTACTTATTCTATTTACTTTTGGTAAAACAGTAGTCTTCCATGACTGATGGATAATATGTGGAATGGGGACATAAGGCGGAGAGCTGATCTTTGCTATAGTTCTTGGTTTCTCGAGGCAGGATGAATTGACCATGCGCAATGATGAAAACGGGCTGCTTCGAGACTTGTTCAATATTAAAGAGGCTCTTGGGGTCACATAACCCAAATGTATGAGACTGTATACTACCAACACAATACACAACAGAACAACGATCCTCTTGCTTTTGAAACATATATATGGTCGCATGTTTACAGCTCTTATTCCAAACTAAAGCTGAAAGCAACCTTAAAATGCTGATTTTCTCAATAGTGCTGAAATAGCTAGGGTAGGCTGCAGTCAATTGCCAGACTAGTGTCGAAGTGGCAAGTTATATATCGATTTTTGACAGCTGTTTGATGCTGTGCTGAAACCCACTCAATCAATTGAATTTCATAAAGTTGGGCGAGTTCTGCTTTATATCTTGTTTTGTTTTCAAGCAACCCTAAAATCATACATACACTTGCTCGAGTCAGAGATTGTTTTATCAGGAGTAGTATGTATAAGACACCGAATGATACCAGTTTTTTGAGGGTAGAACTTTTCCTGAAAGTTATTGAGGATGTTTCCGATAAGAATTTTTGGTTAATGCATCCATCTACTTTTATTTTGATTCAGAACGTAATCAGAATTGGAGTCCCAAAGTGATTGGTAGCTTTCATGCTATCCTTGTACTCTGTTTTTTGTCGTGGGTTATGCTGAGGTTTCTGGGTCTTCCATACCGAAATGCAAACGTGCGGATACACATATGTTTGGTCAGATTGCTTATATTGCCAATCAATTTATTAAATAACATTTATTTTTATTTAGCAATACTACTGGCGAATCTTGGCCTTCTTGACCTTATTGCTATGAATCGGAAACTTTGGGCCAAAGCAGCTTCTAAGATGAGTGAGCGAGTCAGCAATCATTGTGTCGGTCAAATCCTCGCTGGACGCACGGAGAGAGACGGATTTGATGGATGTCATAAACCAAGTGAACCAGCGAAGGATTTCAGAGAGGGATGTGCTTGTATCGTATGTACCGTCTTTTCCAAGTTTCAAGGTTTCAATCTCGGAAGCATACACTATCCCATCAATATCAATAGCAAAGAAGCGGAAGAGAAGCCCATTTGTCAGAACAGCAAATACAGGAGTCTCCTTTCCAGCAGCCAGTCGTTTCTTGAGCAAACAACCAGCTTCGCAGAGAACTTGAGGAATTGCACTATCAGGCCATTCCTTCTTTGCCTCCACCACCAAAAGAAAAGAGTCCATAGTATCCACGGATTTGGTATCTGAAGACCCAAACATATAGTCCACATCGCCAGTGTAACCGAATCCAGTTCCTTCCCAATCATTCTTGACTTCACAGAATCCCATCAGGTTGTCATTCGCTTCAGCCAATAGAACTTCTGTTAGGATGGCATCAATGACAATTCGACAGGCCTTCTCGTTGTCTAGCACCCACACGGTCTTGATTCTGCTGAGGTTCTCGCACAAGAAATCGCTCGCAACTGGAGTAGGAAATGAAGTTGGGATGTGCAACGAAGGAACATCAATAGTTGCGTAGTCAATGTTCAAGGCTAGACCATCGCTTCGAACGCAGTCGTTGCAGGTAGCTTTGGAGAATGGAATAGAAGGTTTCTTCTTATTCTTTAATTGCTGGACTTGCTTCCATTCTTCGTCCGTGAGTTCGTTGAGGATGACAGGCTTGCTGAGCAGTTCGTTCATTTTTTGTTTTTTTGGGGAAAAAGTGACAAGAAAAATTAGCTTTTTAGACCTCCGATCACTTTGCCAGCCAGAGACATATATGGGTTTTATTATGACTGAATATTCAATGAATTGTTGGAATTGAAAATCCATTTTATTCAAGGAAAGCTCTCAAATCGCTTGTTGGTTCCAAGCCATCTGTTCCATTCTCCAAAGCTACTCTTGATCACTGCGTCAGACTTGATGGTCTAGCCTTGAACATTGACTATGTGGATCTGAAAGCACCAAGCCTGCACATTCCAACTTCATTTCCTACTCCAGTTGCGAGCGATTTCTTGTGCGAGAACCTCAGCAGAATCAAGACCGTGTGGGTGCTAGACAACAAGAAGGCCTGTCGAATTGTCATTGATGCCATCCTAACAGAAGTTCTATTGGCTGAAGCGAATGACAACCTGTTTGGTTTATACAACATAATAATTGATTAAACAAGTGTGGGATTTACTGACATTGTGATGCAGACATTTGTTCAGTTATACAACATGAGCGTGGATAAAGATTAGTGAATTGTCAATGAATTCAAAAACAATCTTGTCGAGTAGATTTGATGAAGACTGGCACTGTCATTGCATAAACGGCTGGTTATTGTGCACAGAATCCCTTGTCCTATTTTAGGTGAGCACGCCCGTAAAAGTATCACAATCTAGTGCATTTTATCCGATCATCCTTCCTTGTTTTCAAGCAACCCTAAAATCATACATGCACTTGCTCGAGTCAGAGATTGTTTTATCAGGTTTATTGTAAATTGAAAGAGTCGCTTGGACTGGATAGTTGTAAAAAATGATCAAGCAGAAATATAACTAGGTGGTGGGGTACATCTCACACGCTGGTGAGAAGCATAAGGTGATTGACGTCCTCGACCAAGGAGTTTTGGCACGCCGTTCATCAGTAAAAAAGATGATGGAGAAGGTGGAGGAGATGGAATTCCGGATCTCGACCTGGTAGGAATAAATCCTGACATGCTTTTGCTGCAGCCTGAGCTGGAATCCGATGAATTGAAAGCAGTGATGCCCTCTGACATGCCAGAGGATGATTCGTCTGACACGATCCATTCTTCCAGATAGTTCACGCTCTGGGAAGTCGGTTTTAGCATAGATGCAGAGTAGGATCCGCTAGATGACGATGTGGCAGAGTAAGATGAATGAGTTGATGAAGATGACGACATTTTAATTGCAGTTGGCATGCATTCAGAAGCGTGATAACCATCAGTGCCAGTAAAGTTGTGACTTGATTGATCGTCCATCAGGAAATCTTGAAACTGGCAAGATAGAGAGCAGTAAATGTAGCTTGAAGCAATACGCTTCTCACAAGTCATGCACCATCCAACGTGATAGTCCATGTTAGGCAAAGTTGATTGGATAAAAAATAGTATTGAAAGAAAGCTTGAAATCCGCAGTAGTCGAGCAGATTTAAAAAGCGGTCAAAGTAGTAGCAAAAAACAAACGAGATTCAGCGAGGCAGTGATGTTAGATTTGAAGAAATTTCCGTAAAAAGTAGTGCGATAGAGGTGGGGCCGAATGTGGCAAGAGAAGTATCTCCAAATCCCAGTTTAGTCGTATTGCTCAAAAGGCGGTGGATAGGTAGTACTAGTATCGCTTGTAGCAGATGTTTCCACAAAGTTCCGAGGTGTCGGTGTAAGAGTGGAGTAAGAGGACAGAGAGAAGGTGAATTCTGTTGATTGTTGAATTTTGAAAGATTGAAAGGGGTGACTTTGGGTAAGATAGGTAATTGGAAAGAGTATGGAATGGAAGTTTGCAAGGTAGAAATGAGCAACAATCCAGTTAGTTATTGGAGAAGTAGGTTGTGATGGAAGCAGACGAGTAACTGATGAAAAAGCGTAAGCAAATGTGGTTGCTGTTGCGTAGAGGAAAAGGAAGACCAACACGGTTTGCTTTTATAGTTTTGGCTGCTGTAAAATCGGAATCGTGTCATTTTCGGATTCAAACGAATCTAACGAGTGGTGGCCCTTATCTAAAGCACTTGAATCTCGCTTGCTCCACTACGATTGTTGTGTTTGACTCCATCATGAATATATGAGCACTACTTGGCTCATTAGTATCGTACTATTCGTCATTCTGTAATGAGTAGTGTCATGATGTTCATGCTGCAATGGATATTATGCCATAATGCTGCAATGCTGACCATTTTGGCATAGCATATTTGAAGGGTGTTCAGTGACTCGACGGTTACACCATTCTCCGCTCTAAAGGCGTATAAGCACTACTAAGCACGCCATTTTTTATTCTGAACCAAATCAATAGCTTTGAATATTAGCCAATCGTGGTGCAAAAAATAAAATACCTTTTATCTAAATGGTGGGCTTGTCTTCAAACATAGATCATTAAAAGCTGAGATAGGCCTCGTTAGACTCGCCTCACCAACCTACTTTGCTAGCATGGTTGGTATATCCAGCCAAGACACCCTTTATAAATACCTAGCAGTTTGGATATATTTTAAGCAGGTCTTGCAAAGCATTGGTAGTTAAATACTGTTTTTTTAGACATGTGGATCAAAACAGCCGTTTGTAATTCCCATAATAAACTTGAAACATGCGCTCACTGGGTTTTAGATGGATAATGCATTATTTTAAATATCGCTGCTTATTTAACAGTACCATTTATACCATGCGAGTCTACTGTCCAAGTATGCCACATTTTCCATATTTAAGCAAGACTTGATATTAGTCGCTGTTGTGGGGTGTAAAACAGCAGTACTTTAAACCATCCTGACTAGTTTTCCTACACCAAATTTGTAGTCTAGTTACATTCATATCAATGCAGCATAAAGCGATAGTTACGGCTAAATTAGGGTCAAAAGATTCAGCATGAATTTAGGTTTGTTTATCAATTCTAGCTTATTAGGGTAATTTCAATTCATAAATATGCGAGTTTCAAGATTTTGACGGTAACCGTGCTTACCCAGACCATTCTGAATTAACAGCTATTGTATTAATATACACAGCTTTGCCACCACTGCTGTTTTACAAGTATGGGGGCTATCAAATACTTGGACATTATTCCTTCAATCGATCCGTCATTTTCATCATCAGAGTTTATAGTGGAAGCAGGATGGGGCACTCCCTCGTTCATTGTTGGTGTAGTCCGTCTTGTTGCATCCAAGCCACTTAAAGAAGCTAAACTTGTTCTTGAATTCCAAGGTGAATCAGAAACCTTTTGGGTTGGTTCCAAGGTTCGCAAATCAGGCGATCCTCCTGGAGAGACCTTTGCTCGTCGATTTCAGCTTGTGGCAACTGTTGTTAGAAACTCAAAAGAAGCCTTAGAACCCAACGAGTTTGGATCCATTACACTGCCATTTAAAATTCATTTACCAGCACAAAAATTGCCACCTTCGTTTACTGATTCCAGAGGATGTATTAAATATAGGTGAGTACCTTGAATATGGCTTTATATTATCCCAACCTCATTACTGGTATATGCATTTTGGCACTCTTGTCAAATATTCCATTTTACGTGAATACTGCAGTAATCTAGCGTTGGAACTGACCCACATTATTTGATATACTTTTTGATTGTATTTAGTCTCAAAAGTACATTGACATGGTCAGAAACTTTGAAACTATCAAGGCCAGCGCACACTGTAACAGTCCCGATTACCATTGTGATGCCACGTGCACATAGGCTCAAACTTATTCGTACACCCTTGACTCTAGAATATGACACGCCGTACGATCCAGACAAATGTACATGCATGATTAGACTACCTACCCGAGTTTATATTCCAGGACAGCAATTTACGATACAGTTTGCAATTCCCTATGTACCTCCAGGTAGATTCATCACTGCTGCTCAGGTATCAATAGAAACCAATACGACATACAGATCGGTTACAAGTGATGCCACAAAACGCAACAGAAACGCAATGGTGTGGAATCCATTTCCTTTGGCTATTGCACGCGAGCTCCCAGCACCGGGAGAGTTGGGTATCTCTGATTCCAACAGTCCATCTATATTTTTTCGAACTGTGCAGCTAGTCACTGATCCAAAACATCACCAAATCACTCTTGAAAGCTCTATTATCACTGTTTGCTCCTTGATAAAATTTCAAGTGTTTTTGGATGGAGACAAAGAGCCTCATTTTGTATTTGATACTCCGATTACGGTAATTCCTGCAGATACAATTAAAGAAACTACTGCGTTGCAAGCACTGAAACTTTCTCACAAACAGATTCGTCCTATAAGTGAGATTGCACTAAGCGCATCAAATCAAATGTTGGCTTGTGGATACAAAAGATCGAGCTTTAGCACTGCTGTTTCAGCCAAGCGTGTCAGTTCTAATATTGATGACAGTATAACTTTGCGGAGCATGAGCAGCAAAAGTGAAGCACTTAGTGTAAACAGTCTGAAATATAATTGCATTGACCAATCATCTTCAACTCATCGTAGCACTTTCAGCAGCAGCCACAGTGATTTACATTCAACAGATTCCTATGATCACATATTAAACATGCCTTTTATGTCTACACGCTCTACTTCTTCAAAAAGCTTGGATACTCAGATCCCATCATCACTTTATCAAAATACTTTAAAAGATACATCTTTAACACATGTCAAATCCAACTCGAGTATGCATACGAGCAGTGATTCGGTATCCAATCCCTCACCTGTACGAAATCTCGCGCCACTCCTCGAGAATTATGTAGTCGAGTTTGCATCAAAAGAATGTCATGATGGCATAAAAGCTGTTGATACTGACAGTGATCCAAGTCAACTATTGTCGATTGATGAGATTTCTAATCGTCTTGCAAATTTGACTCGCAAAGAAGTTGGGTTGTCTAGGGTGTCATCATTATCATCTCAAACTACAAAATCAACCGAGTCTATTGGAAACGGTAAAGCTGCTGTTGATCAACTCATTGTTCAACTAGACTCCAAAAACACTGGAACTTTTTCCAAGCACATACCAATCTATAGATCTACTGAAAACATGTGTCAACGGCGGCGGTCTGCAACGCGACCATCATTGATCATCAACACTTCACAAATAATGTTTACCAGAAAATCGACAGAAAATGTTGAAACATCTGTAGATAGTGAATCGAGCACGGCAAGATTGCAAGACTTGTTGGATAGCCTTGAAAGTAATTCAGAATCTCCAATGAATCAATATGTTTGCGCATCACCCATACTGAAAAGGCATTCTAATCACAAAAGTACAGGTCAATCAAGTTTAGCACATGGCAATCGCTTTAATCAAATTCAAAAAATTGATGATTTACTTGAATCATTGCTTGAACTTGAAAAGAAGCACGAAATCCACGAAAAATCATCCAACATAGCTACCTCTGACATGCCTGATATAACTTTACCAATACGATCAAGCAGTAAACTGAATCAATCAAGCACTTTCAAGTCCTTGCATGATGTTTACCAAAACCATGGTTCTCAGATGCCACCAACACCCCCACAAATCTCTCAGCGACAATCATCAATTGATTTATCATACAACCCATCTAAATCTGTAGATTTACAGCAACTCTACAACAAAAGTAGTTCAGCTCTATGCACTCCTACATCTGCTGTTTCTTGTGATAATACCTCGCTTGTTGAAGAGCCATCCACATATAAAAATAGTGATGCGCGGTTTATTGTTTTGAATACACATGTTCCTAAGCGGCCAGATGAGCTTCATTTGCTTGTCGGCGATATAGTGTGTATTCAAGAAACTTTTCGAGATGGATGGTGCTGGGGATACAATGTTGCAACCAGATGTGAGGGATCGTTTCCCATGAAAGAGGTTCAACTGTATGATTCAATTTGATTAAACATGTACATCTATATTTGATCAAGTGGGCAAGTACAAGAAATTGTATTTACCCTGCAGTCGTGTTCATGTAAAATAGAACCATTTGTACTTGTCTTGCAGTCATTATTCCAAAATAGATAATGATTAAATATTTATTGTGTTTTTCTACTACAAGTTGATTTGAAGATATTCTCAATTCAATAAACAACGACCATCACACAAGACTGTTTATCATAAACTGATGTTTCTATCTAGTGTTTTGTTACGTTAATCCAGAGTAAATATTATTTTTGCTACAAAATAGTCTGGTGGATATGACATTGTGTTTATACATCAAACTATGGAACTCGTAGATTTGAAGCTCAACTTTCCTCAACTTGCAAAAACTAGTCAAGCAAGCCAATTGACTACTCAGCTTTATCGACATCATTGACAATTCAATTAGCTTCCATTCCAGTCTCACCAATACTGGTGCTAATCCATCTGTAGTGCACTACTCCCTTCAGCTTGACACTACCACCATGGGGGTACCTCCTATAGCCAGCAAATATCCCATTCAAGTTGGGTCAGCTAATGTTCTTGGAGGCCGTGATAAACAGCAGGACGACTTACTTGTCCAGCCTCAACTATTTATTTCCAAAGATGGTCTGCCTGTACATTTGTTTGCTGTGTTTGATGGTCATGGTGAGCTTATCGGATATTTATTAGATATTATACTCGTTAACCCTGTTTTTTCATGGTTTTATCCTCGCTGCTCAACCCTACCTGTCAGAATATCAATGTCATATACATCTACTGAGTATCTACAGTATTTCAAAACTATATTGCTTTGAGACATGACAGATTTATTTCTGGATAGTCGACCAGCTTGTGGCACTGGATAATGCTTAACATTCGATATAGCATCATCTTGATATTCATTACAAGTGCCGCTTTAATATCTATCCGAGATGTTACAACCGTATTCGCGTAAAATGGAATACTTGTATTTGTCTCGAGCCATTACTCCGAAACAGATGGTGGTTGAATATTCATTGTGCTTTCCTACTACACATTGACTTGAATAGATATTTTTAATTCTTTCAAGCACAGCATCCATTATATGATGCTCGCACAAACTATAGTTTCGAACCTCCCTTTGATCACATTTGGTGGTCATACATTGTGCGATCAACAAGTTTAAAACCAGGCATTGGTTTTGACTGTTCTGATGCTGTTGATCAAACTCTGCATCAACTCATCTTTGTGTATCCTGAATCACACATCCGATACGATCTAGTTTAACAAGCCAATGATCGCATGTTCCAGAAATGCAACTGTTGTTTTCATTCCAATCACCAATGCCTGGTTTGTAGGAAAGGAGAGTTGGAGATTGAGCAAGTGTGGAATTACTGGATCAGAGATGTGAGCATTTGTTCAGTTGATAGAAATGACCACAAAGATCAGTAGACTTTCAAAAGCTTAAAAGGCACAATGTTCAGTAAATTTGGGTTGAATCATTATTTCATGAGACTGGAAGTTTGTGTATTTTGGCGCTTTTATTTTACGTGGATGCAACTATAAACAACTTGTGTGGATCTGCTTTTCATTTCCTATATTAACTTGCATACTTTTATCGTTTAATGGTCGTTTTGCATATTATACAACTCAATCGTGGACCGTCTTTTCAACATATTGGATTTACGAACTGGACATTTTAAACACAATACCAATCACGCCTGCTTTAATTTAAACTTTATTTATTCAGGATCTGACGGCCACAAATCGTCTACAGCAACCAAAAAACTATTTTTGGAACAAATAGCTGCTCATCAATCTACTGTCCTTATAGATCCAATACAAACCCTTGTAGATATTTACAGAATTGTACATAAAGCGCTACTGGAAGATTCTTCCATTGATTCGTACATGTCAGGGACAACTGCAGTTGTGGCTCTATTGGTTGGAAATACGTTGCATGTATCTCATGTTGGAGACAGTCGATTGGTTGTTGTTAGATGTGAAAATGGTATATACTCTGGTACTCAAATGACGAGGTATTTTTCATTTATTGCAAACTTGTGAATAGTTTCATCTTGGTATTTGATATCATTTCAAGTTTGGTAACTTGGTTTCACTATTTAAAACAGTGACCATACTTGTGAACAATCTACAGAGCTTGACCGAGTCAGGGCAACTGGTGCACGCGTTGAGCAACTTCAAAACGGAGATCATTTGGATGGTAACTGCAATTCGAGTGTTTCAATACACTTGTTTGGAGTACTGTGTACTGACCAGCCGTTTTATACTAAATAGGACCATTGAGGATTTTCAAGGGATCATTGCCTTATCCAGGGTAATTTATTTTACTTGATCGACTTGACACTGATTTTTGTGATTGGCTTGCTATATTTTAGATTGGCATGTAATTCAATGTATTTTTTGACTGATATTGGAATTGTTGACAACTATACAATATATTTTTTGTAGCATTGTTGTTACTCGCTCAATTGGTAATACCTTTTATATGATGACATGTGATTATTTCATATAGTGTGCTGAATGAAACTATGTATACTGATTGCTCTAACCACCAAACTCTTTGAATAGGGGACTCTGTTGCAACACGACTAGGTGTACTTCACCAGCCGGATGTTCGGACGATCGAGTTGACAGAGCACGATACACACATTATTTTGGCCACGGATGGTTTATGGGACGCATTAACAGTAAAAAACATAGCTGAAATTATATCACAAATTCCTAGTGCACAAGAAGCAGCAACTGAACTGACTAATATTGGAGTGAGGCGATTGAATCAACTCCATTTGGATGACAACACCACTGTGATTGTGGTTGAGCGTCAGAGAATGACTGCAAGTGGAGATAGGTTTTGACTGAAATCTACTTGCAATGCTTTTGAAACCATATCGAATAAACAGAAATTTGGATAAACTTGTTGGCATGTTTTCACTGTTTTAATCTGACAGATTGTCATTCCTGAAGAGATGTTTTGATGACAGTCGTGTTTTCAACCAACGAATTCATCCATCATTCGTGCCAATGGCTACCACTACTTTCCAGTCATCCCTCAGAGATGCCCAGAAAGGTATTTTATTATATATCTTAATACGAGTACATTCATGTCAATGGCTTCAATAAAGGGCTGAAATGCATGTTGACTTTCTGCAGCCAAAGTTTTATAACATTCACTCTTTACAACACATGGATACTATAGCTGCACTGTTTTGTATGCTTAAACTGAATGAATCCTCTGATGCCTTGTCTGCTGGTTCAGGAGCACTTTCGATGCGTGCATCCGAGGGATCTGGCTTGAGTAGCAATTTGACCATCACTGATCCTGTCTGGAAGGTTCTCATTTATGACAAGTTGGGTCAAGATATTATTTCTCCATTGCTGCATGTTGGCGACCTCCGCGAACGGGGCATCACTGTCCATATGTAAGAGACCAGTACTCGGGGTTCTACAATTGATTCATTTACGGTTAAAGTTCTTGTGGTTAAACGGGCTTTTTATCATAATGACAAACATCTTTATAGGTCAATATATAGCGCTAGAGATCCAATTCCAGATGTGCCTGCAATTTATTTTGTTGAACCAACTTCTGATAATATCAAGCGTATTGCCAATGTAAATTGATACGACTGTATTGTCTAATTTATACTATTTTATCAGTACGCTGTCATTAATCAGTCGTACGCATTGGTATGGTTTAGGACATGTCTCGTCAATTATACGATTCTATCAATATCAACTTTTCATCCGCACTCTCTCGCCCACTTCTTGAAGATCTCGCTACTGCTGCTGCTTCTACTGATACTGCCAATCTTGTAAGCCAGATCTACGACCAGTATCTCAATTTTGTGTCATTGGAGCACAATCTCTTTTCTCTACAACTTACAGACTCATACTACCATCTCAACAATCCAACCACGACCGAGTCTCAAATTGAACTTTTAACAAACAATATTGTTTCATCACTTTTTTCTATTTTGGTGACTTTGGGAACGGTTCCAATCATTCGATGTCCAAGAGGAACAAGTGCAGAAGCAGTTGCATTGAAACTTGAAAGCAAGCTGCGTGATCATTTGCTAGATAGTCGTTCAAATCTGTTTCAGGAAGGTGTTCAACTCTCTCGACCAGTTCTTGTCATCTTAGATCGTAACATGGATTTTGGAACGCTACTGAGTCATACGTGGACGTACTCTACTTTGGTACACGATGTACTTGATATGAAACTGAATCGTATTTCTATAATGGTACCTATCACCATCTTTTGACTTTATTGTTTGTACTGCTTTTTTATTACTGCTGACTAGTAATTCTAGGTCGATGAACGAGGTCGCCCTGTTCGCAAGAACTATGATGTAGATGTTCAAGACGCCTTTTGGAGCAAAAATTCTGGCAATCCTTTTCCACAAGTTGCGGGTAAGCTATAGTTTACTGTCAAATATGGCAAATTTTGTGTTTTGCCGTGTTGATTTATAATTCAAGCAACTTGTATATTTATTACATAATAGAGGATGTGGATTCCGAGATTAACAAGTACAAACAAGAAGTTGATCTTGTCACTCGTACATGTGGTGTTTCTTCATTGGAAGAGGTCGATCCAAAGTAAGAACTGTATTGTATTTTTCAATCTAATTAGTCATTCAGCATTTTACCAACTACTTGGGATTTTATAACTAGTGATTTTACTTCAAGTGCCAAAAATCTATCCTCGGCCATGAAGCAACTACCTGAACTTACACTTCGCAAAAAAACATTGGATATGCACATGAATATGGCCACCAATCTTTTCAAGGAAATTCAACAACGTCAGCTTGACGTTTTTTTCTCCATGGAGGAAGCTCTTGGTAAGCTGGTAAGTTTATTGTATAAATCTTGATTTCAATAGGTTATCTTTGCAATGTATTTATACATCATTCCATCTAGTTTCAAACCCATACTAAGCGTTTGTATTTTAACCAACATGCATATAGAACAAGGCGTCAATCTTGGAAGTAATCAAAGACCCAAAAAAGGATGCACAAGACAAGATTCGTCTTTTTTTGATATACTATCTCTCGATTGATGAAATTTCAAAAGAGGATCTAGCCGAATACGAGACGTGTCTTGCTGAAGCTGGATGCAATACCGCCTCGATCAACTATGTCAAGCAGGTTCGTATGTACTCTAAAATGACTGCCGTGACAAAATCATCAACCCCAGCTGCGCCTGCAGGCAACGATTTATTTGGCACGTTTACATCCAACTTTAGTAGAGTGAGTTACATTAGAGGCTATTATCTAAACCTGTGTTTGAACAAGTGTCTTGCTCAACCTTGTATTTTTCGTTTACATTTTATTCATTGAATGGTTAGTTGACGGATACCCTTCAAAGTACTGGCGTATCCAATCACTTTGAAACGCTCATCTCAGGTGTCAAAAATTTGTTGCCGACACGCAAAGAGCTGGCAGTAACTCGCACTGTTGATGCTATTATGGAAGGAACAACTGTAGGTGGAACAGGCGTAGCGGATGACTTTTTATACTTGGACCCCAAAACCACTCGTTCTGGTGCTGCTAGTCGCCAGCAACCAAAAAACAAGGTTGCTTTTCAAGAAGCTATTGTTTTTGTGATTGGCGGCGGAAACTATTTGGAATACCAAAATCTGCTTGATTACACTCAGGTATGTCATCAGGAATATTGAATTCTAGACTAAATTCAAATATCTAATATTCTATTGAATGCATTTGATTGATAGCGCTCTAATCTTGTCAAGAAAAAGATTATTTATGGATCGACTGAGCTGCTTACTGCCAAGGAATTTATTGAGCAGATTAATCTTTTGGGAGTCAAGAAATGAATGCACAAATTAAATATGTTGAATTGCCTAAAAATAGACTACTATTGAATTTGTCTATAGATTTATGTTGCTTAACCGGCTATTTTTCAAGAATCCAAATCTAGTAGCTATGACTCGTATTTATACTTGCATTAGCCACTGATTCTTTAGCAAACCAGTGGGTTAAAAAACAAATGTTTATTAAATGATCAAACTATTATCGACAAATCCTCAACTAATTACGTTTTCATTAACGATTCCTTGAATGGCAATGAGAAATTTCGGAGATAAATCTGTCATGCGCAAATCCAGTTTGGTGATGTACTACAAATGGATTCATAAAAATGTTGCAGATATAAGTTGGTATGCGTTGACTAAAACAGAGTAGGTTTGATGGTAATATATTGGTATTATCGCACAAATCACTTACCTTGTTGAGACTAATGGCTTCGAATATCATTTTTCCAACAAGATCGCTTTCGCTTCCATTGTGGACAATCCCAAACGAATTCACGTCATTGGTAGCATTTGCAAGAGGTAAGCCAGCATGATCAGCAGATGGATCAGTTAAAGTCGCAGTTGGATTCGTCACTGCACTGCCGCCGCTTGCAGAACCTTCCATTATAACTGAATGGCTATGATTTCCAAGCTTGTTACAGCTTATATCTAACTGGGTCAGCGCTTCACCATTTCGTTTCAACAACTCGCATAAAGCAGTCACGCTTCTTACGCCCAACCCATTTCCGGAAATATCTACTTCTGTAACGGTTTTGTTTTTTACAAGAGATGTGCAAAGAGCATGGCCACCTCCATCACCAAGACGATTCAGTCGTAAATCTAGCTGACGCAAACTTGTGTTGACTGTCAGTGATTTTCCCATAGATTGAGCGCCTGTAAGACCGATACTGTTATTGGAAAGATGAAGAACACTCATTACTGTTTGGGGAGCAGATATCACTTTAGCCAACCCACACGCACCACTGTCGCCGATTTTATTGTGCGATAAATCTATGCTCGTGTTTACTCGTTAATCAAACTTTATAAAAATGAATTTGTGAATCATTGATTTACAGCAAACATATGGCTTACCTAAATGTGTTAGGGTTGTGTTCAAAAGCAGCGCATGGCATAATACTCTGCATTTGTCGTCATCCACTGCACTTGCACGGACAGTAAGCTTACTCAGATTGGATACTTTTAAATACTCGGATAATCTCACGCAGTCATTGAGTGTCATTCCAAAGTAAGCCCATGAAAAATTGATTCCGCAATCCTTGACTCTATAATGACAGTACGTTTGAGATGATGCAATTACAAATAACTGGAAATTCAGTATACACATTCCACAACTATTTCAAATACAAGACTTGAGATGATTACCCATAATAAATGCTTAGCTCTTGTAAATGAGTCAAGTGAACAAATACTTGAGCCAAATTAATATGGTCTAGATGCTGATCGCTGGATTTGATTTTTTTTTGGAATTCAGCTGATTGATTCAGATACTCTTGTGGAATTGTATTGGGTGGCTGCAATGAACCTGTCATGCCTCCAGATACGTCTTCGCGAAGGTGTGTAGACTCGAGAGTCGTGCCAATCGGTAACTGGTTTGCAACTTTGATAGCAGGTTGAACTTCACTTGTCACACCAGCAGTGACTGTAGAGTTTCCAGGTTTTAAACCGATACTTTGATCATTAGATCTCAATTGCTTCACCTCGATACGCTTCACAAATGGCGCGCCAACTTTCACATCATCCAGCAGTTTAGACATGGCATCAGTTGGTCCATATATATCTTCATCCTTTTGAGGTAAATATGATTCGATTCTGTCTTGCAAGTGTAACTCGAAATAGGATTGTCTCCACGATCCTCCATGGTCTTGAACATTGTTGAGACGAAATCGAACTTTTCCGCGGCGTTGCCAATACGACTCGTATGGAATTAATGGTGCTGCGATATTTAGTGGAATATCGATTGATACCTGCTCAATAATCTTATCTTTGTATTTTTCCGGTATACCTTTTAAAAATGGTTTCTCTAGTTATTTTAACACAAAAATTCCAATAGTTAATACTATTCAAATAAAACTGGATTAAGCGTTTAAATGGCATGTTGGATACAATCTGTAATTAAAACTACCATCTCATTATATATTTACCCTTGAAATTCTGAACAATCACCTTTACACATAATTCACTTAGTCGTTCAACAGGAGCTAGATTCCATTCAGGATCCTCAGCAATGATGCGACGCTTAGCAGCGACAGTGTCTGCTTTTGTTGTGCCAGCAACTGATGGCTCATTATTCACACCTACCAACGTGGCCAAAAATAAGGATTAAAAGATTGACAAGATACGATACGCATGTCAGTATAAAAATATACAAACCTGCATTTTGTTTTGTAGATTGAGCTGGAGGTGATGCTGCTGTCTTGATATCATCGCGTGAAGATACTATAGCTTGAGCCATGGATGTCATATTGGTCAACGAATGCATAGATGCTGTACCCGATGCACCAGCAAGCAGAGCTGCTGGAGTTTTGTGCTGTTCGAGTAAATCTTTTGGTGTTTCTGTATTGCCCACATCGACATCTTTGGTGGACATGATGAGTTGTGACGTAGCAGTTTAAAGGGTTTACAACTCTATTCACGTAAAATGGAACACTATTTATCTTTCAAACTGCTCATTCACTTGCAAATAAACAATGGTCAAATATCTGTTACGCTTTCCTATTAGAATTGACTGCATTGCCTCTTCAATTGGTATGTTCAGACTTTCAATGTTGCGATTCATCAACAGCCAATGCTGGACAATCATAACTGGAGTACATGGCGATTTATCGAGGATTGATTTAGGTTTCATAAAACCACGCTGATAGTTGAGCATTTATTCATAAACACCAGAAAATGCAGAGTTGAGCGAATGCAATCGTATTAGCTCAAGGTTGTTGATGCAAACTTTTAACCCAACGAACTGCAATGTCAGAAACTGCAGCTAAAACTGCACCCCTCAAGAATGGAGCTGCCACGACCAATACTGTTCCAAACCCTGCATATGATGGCATATCTGCATTCTTTACTCGTATCCAGGCCTGGTATAGCAACCGCAATTATATGATTCTAGCAGTTATTTACGGTGTTTTGTACTTGACTCTTGCTCGGGTCGAGTCTTATTTAGAAGATGCATCCAATCTACCTACACCATTCAAGTCCATTGATAACCAGTTCACTTATACTTTACCGCAACTAGTTTATTTTTTAAATCAGTTGGGCAAGACTGGTCGGGACTGGTACCTCATTTATCTATCCATTGAAACTCCATTCGCTTTTGCTGGTGCATTGCTGTTTTCTTTCACCGTGGGCTACATTGCTAATATTTTGGCGGCTGCTGAGATCACTCTGGAAAACCAGATTGAGCGCTATCATCATCGAACTGGTTCAGATATTCCTGTTCGCAAAGCCAAACCTCATTTGATTCAAATGCGATCCATCTTCCTTTTATTTATTCCCTTGGTGATGCCCTTGCTTGAAATGGTGGAAAATATGCTTCTTATGGCTATTGTGCTTGAGCACGAGAATGTAATCGAATGCGCTAAAAAAAAGTATGATACTTTTTGGGATGCTATGGCTGGAAACAGCCTTGATTCTGTCACTGGATCTGGTACAATGGATCTAGTTGCTATGTTGGTGTTTTTTACTGCTGGCTTGACTAGATACAAATGGCTTGCTATCCGTACAGGACTTGCTGTTACTGCTCTAACACTCTTTTCTGGATGGACTCGAGTAATTATTCACTTTTTGTACTCTGGCGAAGCCATGTTTGAAGGACTTGATGATGGTCCTGGAAGTATGAAGCAGGTCTTTAACGATCTAGTTCGAAGATATAGAGGAATCACTCAGGGAAATGACACTCCTCAAACGCGGAATCTTCAAAGCATGTTGAAACGTGGTGCGTCTACTGCATCCTCGCAAGGAAAGGTAAACAACAAGAAAAAAAGTCAACGATCCAAACGAGAATGAACAACTGGTATTCAGAGATGCTGTTTCCCTGCGATTTATTATATTACAATCGTATTCACGTAAAATCAAATACTTTTCCGTATCGATCTTGTAATGATTGTCTTGGAATAAACAATCGTTACATATTTGTTGTTGGAAATTGATTTTTTTTATTGAAACTCTATTCTAATATCAGATACGTTCGCGATCTAGTTCAACAGAACAATCTTGGGAGTGTAACAGCTGTTTCCATGCAGATAGCCCAACGTTTGGTTCTATATGAATACGGCAGTGACATCACAGTAGCTCAACCAAAATATTTCAAATTCTTTAATCCCATTTTATAATCAACTATTGCTACTACCAGCCAGCTTTGTAACCTCATATTAATCTATAGCATGACTGGAACGATCCCTAAATGAATGTCAAGATACTCAGCCCAAATACACTACTTGTCGTATTTACATAATAAGCACCCACCAGTTGTTGCATCAAACAAATCAATACAAGTTAGCCACATGTATAGTAAAATTAAATTCGGTTCTCGTGTTTACTAATCAGCATTCAATACAATAAAAAGGTATAAACTCATCCACTTTATATCATTACAGATAAGATGCAGCACTAAAATTCGTATATATCAACGCATCTCGTGGATCAACCGATAAATTGGGCTCATTTCCAGTAGACTCTAAAGAATCCGCCATACGTCGTATATGCAAATTAAATATCTTATAGTCTGGGTGCTCTCTAGCTGTAGCATCAAATGACCAGGTAAGTTTGATGGAAGATGGCTGAAATTGCTGCACATATCGTTTATATTCATCCACTTGAACAGTCTTTGGTTCTAGTAATCGCTCTGCTAGTATGCTAGAAGAAAGCCAGTGTGAATTGGTATGTTTTCTTTTTGCCTCGGTATTGGCCTTTTCTGTAGAGGCTCCATTAGGAATCGTCGCACTTGCAGCATTGGCTGTCAATTTGGATCGCGTAGATTTTTGCAATGCTGCCCCTGTTTCAATGGCTCGCCTTGCAGCCTGTCGATGCGATCTGTCAAGAGGTGTGCTGATTTGTCCACTACCGATTGTCTGTACACTGGCTGAAGTATCCACTGGTTTGCTTTTAAGAGTCATCCAACGCTTGACACCACCAATATCCAAACTATATATCATGAGGTGCTTTGCTGCTTGAGTTCGTACAGCAAATGGTGTTGTTTCTGGTGCGTCGGCTCCAGATCCTGCCGAAATAGTTCTATTATCGACAGTCGTTGAATCAAGTTGTCAAATAGAAATATCAGTAAAACATGAAATTAAACATGAAATCTAAATATATAGCCAGCACATACTTTGCATTAGTGCCAATCATATTGAATGCAAACAATCGCGCAAAGGTGGTGTAAACTAAAGGTCGATAATATTCGTCAAACATTGCTACAATGTCATGTCTATTGTACTCGGGTTTATACTTGTAGTTGTCATCAAATGCGTCAGATGTCCACCATGTACGGTAACTGTTTAAAATAGTTTATCAAACTTGAATTAACATCCATCAAGGTAAACCTATAGTTTGTATTGTTGATTTCAAATGCAACGTACCTGACAACGGGTGTTCGATTATATGGCAAGTCATTATGCAGAAATTGATCTGTCAGCAAATCCCACAATGGGGTCAACCGCATTTTTGGAGAGTAGTTTCCCAAAAACAAATTGATTGCGTCCTGTTTCTCCGCATCTATTAAAAGCAATTGTTTATTATCAACAATTTTAACCGTACGAAATCAAAAAAAATGAAGCTCTTACCAGTAAAACTATTTGAATAAAATCGACGAATAGTCTCAATCATATCACGAGAGTGGCTTGTCCATGGACTGATTTTCCTATACGTTTCCATGGTATTGACCAAATGTGAACCACCATATTGCAAGGCAATTGTGTCACCGTGATCATGGTACATTGCATTAAGTAGATTCACTGCATCACAATCAAATGGTACTATGGGTGTTGTGATCAGTCCAAGTGCATAGAGCTATATACCAAAAGAGTGAATTCAAGTCCAATAGTGCATTAGTTAAAGTACGTTGAAAGCAATATGATGAAGCCTAGTATATAATTTTAAACCTACTTGATGTCCCAACGCACACTTTCCCACCACAAACTGAGCGGCATTGGTGCGATCTAAACAGTCCACACAATTGGTACGCAGAATGCCATGCTGATGCATACTCGTTGTACGATGCTCTACAGGTCTAGGATTGGACGAGTTAATTCTGAAATTGCACAAAATCGATATTTAAATGTTAGTATGCGTCTATTTACAGAAAATGCAATGAGAATGGCCCACCCTGCACGTCGCTCTGCATTGATTAATGGCTCTGCACCACTATGAAAAAACCACGTTGTTGCTAAAACCTGCTCAGCCAAACTCTCTAAAACACCAATCACATCCTGATCGGTACTATTCATCAAAATCAATGCATTACCAAACAGACTTTGTTACTACTAGATATTGCAAACGTATCAGAATGCAGTATTATACAAACCCACCTTTTGGATGCACGAGCCATATCCCATGCAATATATAGTATTTCCTTGTCACTTGGTAAAAATATGTTGAGATAGCTGATGGCCTCTGTAAATCGATCCAACAAAATAGATTCTCTCTTGACCTTTTCTTTGGTCTTTATGCAAATGTTCATGTAGACATGAAAATATGAGCAGATTTGCCAAATTTAAAATGGATTTCAATATAGCGGATTGATACATATGAATATAAAAATATACCTTGACAAGATTCAGTACAATGATGGGTGTGCCATATCGATGAAACATATCATTGAAATGTTTTGCTGCTGCTGCATGAAACGGGTCAATGAAATTAACTAGTGGTTCAAAGATAATGCCAAATGTGAGTAGTTTAAACTATTTAAAATTAAAGCCACAGCTGTTTGGGCACAAGTATACACATGACTAATCACATACGCTCAATCTGAGGCTTAGCTGCCATGGCAGTTGCCTCTTGACTCCAATATACAGGTATGCTTCCACGGTGTTGCAAAAAACTAGTATATCCCGCACATGATCCATATCGTCCTGGCGGTATATAAAACGATGTGGTGGATGCATCGTGTACAATCTGCTCAGTCTCTACATCGTTTGCAACATAGCCCTACACAATATGCGTTTTTTGAGTATGGCATCTCAACAAGCTGTAGACTGACAAACATCTTTACAGGAATAATATCTACCTGATCATTGACACCTCTTTTGAGATATCGTGCCCCAGCATAATATTTGGATCTACGTGCAATCAATGTCACAAATATATTATGTCCAAAAACACAAATTTCTAAAAACACGAATCGTTTAGCAATCGTGTTTCTACAATAAACTTATCAACGACAATCGCCACAACATACTTGATTGATCTACAAATCCATGAATAATATTCAATCGCCAAACAGATTGATTTGGAAATGCATCATTGATCAAATATGAGTTCCATATAAACATATCATTTGGACTGAATCCATTTGTAGCGTTTGATGCAAGCAGATTCTGTTGTAGACTAGATGTAATATCGTACGAATAGCTGTAATAAAAGTTTTTGTTGATATCTACTTGACCGAATATTTGAAGATATCTATTACCACATCAAGATCGATCAAGTGTGTTAGCAGCACAGTCTAGGACCAACAATTGATGCTAAAAATCAACCTTGCTTCATCCTGTTTTTTGTCTGATTTGTTGGGAGTGTTGTAGACGTTGAACATGATAGTTTCGTCAATGTGGTAAATATAATGACCTCCAAGGAGAGCAACTGCACTACGCTTAGTAATTAGAATAGCATAATAGCCTTCAAGAAACCGAACAAATCCTATCCAGATATACAGATCAAATACTGTTGAGCAGAAGTTGAATCTTACAAGATACGAATAAACTATTACCAAATATTCCAAAACAGCCGGTTATTTTACGTAGACCTCCAGTGATCTTGTTTCCGTTCTCTATCATCCCAAGCAAGTCCTCGATTTCCTTTTTGGTATAGAGCACACTATCCTCGACAAAGGCCAGTTCATCAAGCACTGTACGGTCGATCTTGGCGATTTGAAACACTTTCTCTGTCGAGTCGGTTCCTACAAAATAGAGTCTCTGGATTGATACAGTATAATCAATACTCTGATGTGTATGGCAGCATCTGGATATCTAATGCATTCAGACCCGACCTTCTTTACTCACAGTTTTGGTTTCATACAACGTAAACTTGCTGGAATCACCACAACAGATTAAGCCAAGAGTTAATGCACTGTACAGACAGGATAGTCGGCATGGAGTGATGATATACCTCAAGCGCTCCATCATTATGAAGAGCTTGCTTAATGGTGTTGGCTAAAGTATAGGAAAAGGTACAACTTTGGTGGTGGCTCGTTTGCTTCAAGCGACAGGACGAAAGCATCATAACTGCCAATATTAAACTGTCAAAGTCTTATATTTCTCATCTACTAAACAAGCGCAGCTATGGGAATGTTGCAATCTAGACTCTGGATTGCGAGCATGCATCAATAAAGCCAGTATATGCTTTATACAAATGGATCTTGAGTTTATTAAACATCTTTTATCCATGGAACAAATGCTAAAGTATCCATCATAACCAGCCTTGTTGTGATTACACTCCCAGCAACAAGTACCATGTACAACATACAAAAACTAGTAAACATGGCCAACGCTGCTGCTAAAATAAAATGTAAAGTGATTTTCTGATCTGAAAACGGTGATGGACGAGATGCATCGACTCGGTATTTACCAAGAAATAAGTCGTATGAATCTTGACGAAATCCATCTAAAAAGTTGTTTTTGATGTATCGTACAATCGAGTTGGACAGGTCTTGAAACACACCAGATTTACGATGGTTTAATAAATGGCGTATTAGTTTGATATACTTTAAATACATGAAATACAACTGTAATGCACGACTTGGTTACCCTTGTTTGCAATATGACTCTTGTCGACCTTGTCTTGTCGTGTAATGGGTCGTTTATCTGGTTTACTCATTTACAGTTACTGCCGTATTCACGTAAAATGAAACACTAGATAAAGATGTCAAAACGCATAATAAACTACCAGTTTCATGAAATGATAATTTCCACCACATTGACTGGTCAATATTATCATTTGAACTGCTTGATAAAGTTGTATTGACAACATCAAACCAGTTGACCTCAATATATGGATTGAAATGCATGAATCTGGTGATTGTATGTATGACTACTATATAGTCTGAAATGGTCTGAAATGAGTCATTCTAATGTAAAACTATTGATTGTGTGCATCATAATAAATATTGTGTTGATTAACAAGTCGAGTGTTTATTAAGTCAATCTGTAATACAAAAGTGCAATGATTTGACGATTATCCATTACAAATTCCCGACTGCAATATAAATACAAATGTTGCGTGAATACGACAGTAAAAGCCAAAACTCTCCACCATAAACAATTTACTGTCAATAATAGTAATAGTCCACATCTATTTTTAAACTATCCAACTCAAGTAATTTGAATCAACTATCATCCACTTTAAACTCTACAAACTGCCAGTTCAATGGTCAAGCATTACAATACCATTTCAAATTTTGTTGTATTTATTCATACTAGCCAAAACATCATAAAAACTGTCAAATAGTTTTACGGCTATAAAGTTAAACTTCAAGCACACTGTTACTAGACATGCTTTGAAAACATGGGTTTTGCAGATTGAAACATCTCAGTCATTTGAATATCAAACTCGGATGAATTGTGAGGTTGCGCATACGAATTCTTGTGCTGATCTGTACCTTCAGATTCAGCAACCCACACATCAGGTACCAGCATCGGATTGGCAACAAATTCCCTACCATAAAAATGAACAAGGTAGAACACCGCGCCAGAGCTCATCAAAGCCATAACCATAACCAGCCCTGTTGTGATTGCACTCCCAGCAACAAGTACCATGTACAACATACAAAAACTAGTAAACATGGCCAACGCTGCTGCTAAAATAAAATGTAAAGTGATTTTCTGATCTGAAAACGGTGATGGACGAGACGCATCGACTCGGTATTTGCCAAGAAATAAATCGTATGAATCTTGACGAAATCCATCTAAAAAGTTGTTTTTGATGTATCGTACAATCGAGTTGGACAGATCTTGAAACACACCAGATTTACTGCGTTTTCCAGTTCGAGTAAAATCAGTTTTTAACGCTCCTGTTCCAGAATACTGTTTGCTGACTTGATCGGCATTGTCAGCCCATGCATTTTTGAATATTTGTTCAAAGTCTGCCAGATCAACCAATGATTCTGTTGGCAAAACAAGTAGATTGAGATCGCGCATCTGTCGATTGAGAGATCGACGTGCAAGGACACTTTGTACCACATTGGTTCGGTCAAGACAGTCTATGCAATTTGTACGCACTACAGATGTCTGAGATTTAATCAAAACTGGAGTGCTAGATGCGGTAGTAGTCACGCTACAATAGCCCTGCTCTGCTAAATCTTCTTCAATGGCTTGAATCAACACTGAAATGCGATCCCATCGCATTTTTTTGCAATGCTCATGAAAGTCAAAATGTATAAATCTAAAATTAAACATGTAGTGATAGTTGTAGAGTTGGAAATTTAAGTTATTTTTAAATGATAATGGCATCCATTTCAAACTCATCAATGGCAAGTAATTTACCGAAGCCGTTCGTCCTTCATCTCACCGATACGGTTTGCAAACTCGGTACCAAGCGGTGATTCATAGCCATGCTTGTTGATCAAGTTGACAACAATCTGATTTCCATAGCGTTCAAATTGCTCGTAAAAGTGGGCTTTAAACGATACAGCCTATTAATTGTCAAGATAGTGATGTTGGTAATAAATTCGCACAGGTTGGATTAAAAAAGCATATCATACAGTTAATGGATTGTTTTCAACCACAAGTTTGGGCTGATATTTAGCATTGATAACTTGTCTCCAATAAAGAGGGATAGATCCGCGAGTCTGCCTATATGAGCACATAAGACCTGTGCCAGGCAGTTCAAGAATCTGCTCTGTCTCGACAAAGTTGGAAACTTGTCCTTGATCGTTGATACCTCGAGAATGATAACGAGTTCCTATCATACAACATATCCAATCATTAATCATTGAGGTGTACCATTAGGAGCATAGTAAAAGTATTGATGCACCTGCACGAAATTGGCTTCTGCGAGAAATCAGTGAAAATGTGACGGCTGTTGCATGGACTTTGGTTTGAATAATTGTCACAAATCCACACATGATTGGCAAAATAAACCGACTTAAGCTGCTTTGCAACGGATCTTTTTGCGTAATGGAAATCAATGGTGTCTGCAAAAATCTGTTCCAGTAGAAGCGCTCGTCAGCACGCTGCCAGAGTGGGAGAGAAGAAGCAGATGCTAGACTAGCTTGTTTTTGCAGAGAGTGCGTCAGATCAAACGTATAGGAAAAGTAGAATGATCCAGAACTTAAAAGGTCATTGAGCATAGAGATATAGGTCGCGTCGTCCTGTACCTGTCGCTCAACAAGATGAGTCTGGCTTTTGGAAACTGAAAGAATTTTGTGTGCAGTAATTAAAAAAATATCATGGCCGGCAAGAGTACCAATTTTTTTACGTCCAGAGATTACAACAATGTGATCGCCTATCATATCAATCAAGATTGGGAGTTAATAGTCTGAATGGCACTCTTGGATAGTAACAAAAGTTGGGAAATTCAGTATAAACCGTGTACCTGCATTAAGACGAATTATGCCAAGAATGCCATGAATAGTAGTGACTTGTTCCTGGGCGAGTGTCGGTGAAGGTGGAGCTAATCGCACATTGAAAATTCAAGCATCAATACCCAATCAGATTCAATGTCATACAATTGGCAAAACTTTTGAATAAAGTAGTATTGAATCAAAAACAACATGTAAAAACCATGATCTAACCATTCAACACAACCACGCCATCTGTACGACGAACGACCAGGCTTTCTCGAGGAATAGAGGCGTCAACAAAAACAGGTTCAAACGTGTACGCCTCTGGTGAGGTATATCTGAATACGATAAAACAGGTGTAATAATGTATAAAAGACATTACTAAAACATGAGAGCATTTCATCCAACAGTGCGCTACTTACAGATTAAGCGACTGATACAATAGCATTGAAAAGAGCTGAGTTGAGTAGTAAAATGAATTGAAAGGCCTTTGATTACAAGATGAGCAACAGTTTATATGAGATCATAAATCCTATTATTTACACAACAATGGCATGAACATGACAATAACGAATGCACTTGCCGTTTATCAGCAGAGTAGATTGAGTTCAGAGTGAAGCTCATCAACGAGTGTTTGGATCAACCAATTCATGGCTATTTTTGCCCAAAATCGTTTTGCCCAAAATCGTTTTGGGCAAAAACAGTCATAGTAATCTAGAGCTGATCGACACAAGATTCATGTATAGCATGAGCAGATTCATGTGAACTTGATATCTGACACAAGTATTGAATTGTTGAATTCAAAGTCATGACTTTACTGCCTTGAAACTCGACAACATTTAATATAGAACATAGTTTTTAGCAATCCAAGCTTGACATCTTCAAGTTATTTTCTAACAAGAATCTTGGCTTGTTCCTTCTCATATGCCTCGAGATGCAACGCAGGCCATTGCAGCAGCAGCACCCAGAAAGAGAAACATACGAGTCAATGGAACCAACAAAATCAATCTTGCTCGGTATGCTCGGAGAACGTCTTCAGAGCAAATATCGTCTTCTGGAATTGACAAGACTGTGTCTGGAGTGAATGGTATTAGTATTCGAGGGCTTGGAGCTCAGTCACGAAAGACCAAGTGCAAGCAGGAACAGGCTGCTAGAGACGACATTCAGTCACTGCTTTCTCGATTTAGTCTTGTATGTGTTACTAGTGCAGATTGACTCAGTCTACTCGATTGCAGATGGATCGTTCTTGCAGTATTAACTCTTCATCTACTCTTTAGAGACAATCTGCTTCTCTTCAGGACTTTCGTGACGACTGGCGAGCTCTTGGATTCTTTCGGATTCATACCGTAGCAACTAATTCTGAAACCTATGAATTAATATTGCGTACATTCTATGTTGCACTTTTGGGTATGTAGTTTTCAATCCAACCATTCTGTGCTTCAGCTCATTTTTCCTTTATTTCAATACAATCTAGAATTGCTGGATTCATGTACATCTCCGTATCAGCAGGCTGGGATTTGCTTTGCATTGTATGCACTGTTCTTCTCCAGACCATCGTCCAAACCCATCTTATTGATCCATATTAGTCCAAGTAAGTCTTTGTGCTAATATGGTCTTGATTTGAAATGTTTGGAAAACTTGGATTTGAATCCAGTAATGCTGAGCTAATCTTGATTGCATATTAATCCGTAACATATAGGACAGATGCACTTGGTATTAAATATCCAATCTGCCTGTGTCAAGTGCAACATGTTTGAAGCTGTTTCTGCCATCACAAACCTTTTGGGTGCTGATGCATTTTTGATTGTTCCATATAATGTCAAGGCTGGAGGATTATCATTTCCCTATTTTGAACCCAATATTCCACGAAAAGACTTGAGGTGGCTAGATTAATGGCTGAATATGATACGCTGTCAATGGCTTTGAACACGAATGCGGGACTAACCTTTTATTTTGACCCATCAGTGTTTCTGCAATTTCTCCCCATGCACTTTATATTCGGGAGCTGGTCAACGATACATTCTTTAAAAAGTCGGTAGGTTAAAAATCGTATAGTTGTATCCGTGCACAATTCAGCGTATATCATTGTGATGAGTAGATTCTTATACTAAATCTGCTTAGAATGTACTTTCAAATATGGATGATTGGAATACGTATGATCACTTTATGAGCCAATACACCAATCTCAAGAAATTACTACCACAATCCATTACGGCCACACTTGTACAAAACGACGACGACTCAAAAGACCCCTTACTACTTCACTCAAAACTCTACCTTTACGAAAATACACCATCAATTGTCACCAACACCATTGATCCGCGTTTTGCAGATACAGTGCGACAAACGGTTGATACATACGAGTCGATCAAGCAGCAAAGGATAAACATTCTAAGTTCATTAACATCAAAAAACCATACTATGCCTTTTGTTTATTCAGATACGCCAACAGATAAAGGTATTGCCGTCTCCACTGCACTCAACGATGGTGATTTACTATCACCTGCCATGTCGATACCGATTGAGCCAATTAAAGCATTTGCATCAAGTGATGATGCTACTTTACAACCATCATATGTACGTCACTCTTCCGAGATTGGTAATTCACTCGAGTCTTCAGTACCATTAGGCACGCAAGCAACCCAAGACTACACTCGACATAATGTGCTGATTGAGAATCTAATGGCTGGTTTGGAATTTGCCGGTAGCTCAGAGTTTGATGTAGAGACTTTTGGGAAACGTGGGACTGATTCCTTGAAATTTGTATATCATGTTCCTTCTGATGAAAGCGACAATGAGTACATGGACGACACCTACTATTGATTTGCAAGATTAGCAATAAAACACTAAATAAATGATAATTTAAAGATATGCTATTGATCTTTAAATGTTTATTCACAACGAATGTAGCCGAGTTGAGGTAAACAGTAGAAATTACGTAGAATGAATAGTATAGATATAAAGATTCAAGCTGTCATAGGGTTTGAAGAGTGCAACTCTGGAGAAAGAGTAGCCACGCTTCCTTTGACTACCGATCCTGTCCAACTTTGTCCAGTTGCATCCACGTACTTTCCAGGTCCATTCATGCCATTTTCTAGCCACTCTCCTATGAATGCAGATCCATCTGCCCATCGATACGTTCCTGATCCCATATACTGATTATCTTTCCAATTTCCCTACAGTGTTTGAATTCAAATAAACGAGAATTCATGCTGTTGGCATCATGAAATCAATTCTATACTACGTGGTTTAAACTGTATACATTACTTCATACGATGCACCCGATTCAAGATCCAATCGACCTACAATGATTCAAAATAAACCACTATTTGTATAAAAGAGCACAAATTAAAAATCTGTTGAACAAGTACCTACCTTTTCCATTCATTTTATCATGATCCCATTGACCGTTATAAACCCCATGAGTCGTACCACACGAATATTTGCCCATACCATTGCGAACAATACCACCACCATCGATTTCTTTATACTCGCCTTCTATATATCACAGCAGGTGATTACAATAGTTGAGTATTCAAACAACTGTTTACACGGTTGTACAGTAGTTACAGTTGACCCGATATTGTGATTCCATGTTCAATGTACCGTATTTTGAACCGTCTTTGAAGATGTAGACTCCTGTTTTGCATTGGGTAGATGTCACGTCTTGATATCCATACGATTTACGATGGTTTAATAAATGGCGTATTAGTTTGATATACTTTAAATACATGAAATACAACTGTAATGCACGACTTGGTTACCCTTGTTTGCAATATGACTCTTGTCGACCTTGTCTTGTCGTGTAATGGGTCGTTTATCTGGTTTACTCATTTACAGTTACTGCCGTATTCACGTAAAATGAAACACTAGATAAAGATGTCAAAACGCATAATAAATTACCAGTTTCATGAAATGATAATTTCCACCACATTGACTGGTCAATATTATCATTTGAACTGCTTGATAAAGTTGTATTGACAACATCAAACCAGTTGACCTCAATATATGGATTGAAATGCATGAATCTGGTGATTGTATGTATGACTACCAAATAGTCTGAAATGGTCTGAAATGAGTCATTCTAATGTAAAACTATTGATTGTGTGCATCATAATAAATATTGTGTTGATTAACAAGTCGAGTGTTTATTCAAGTCAATCTGTAATACAAAAGTGCAACTATTTGACAATTATCCATTGCAAAGTCCCGACTGCAATATAAATACAAATGTTGCGTGAATACAACAGTAAAAGCTAAAACTCTCCACCATAAACAATTTACTGTCAATAATAGTAATAGTCCAAATCTATTTTTAAACTATCCAACTCGAATGATTTGAATAATGGTCGGTATCTTGGGAAAATTGAACCGTTGAACCAATCCAAGGAATGAAATAGTATAAAACTTGGCCTGGCGACTTCCACTGTGTAATCTCGCTGGAAAATAAGCTTGACCAATCAGCACACATCCTGTATTTTTTCTCAACTCTTTGATTCATGCGACTCGCATTGTCATCTTTCCATGTAATCTGTCCCATTATCAAGTCTTGTAAATACTCGATATGTTTCAAGTAGTTTTCATCAACATTCGTTCATTTTGATAGTTTATATGGTTGATATCCAAAGCCTCACACTACATTTTTCATACAAGCTTAAATGCATCACCCATCAATATTGGCTAGATTTCCGTTGAAAACGACTTTCTATCTGTGGACGAGCATTTTGTTGAGCTCTTAGTATTTCCCGAATCCTCATATCCTCGTAAAACAAGGTTTCTTGTTTCTTTTTGATCTAAATGCATACAATAGTCAAATAGTTGGCATCAATATGGTCTCCTTCAAAGTATTCCAATTATAATTTCATTTGAATACTTACTTCGTCAGCTTTGCGTTGAATCTCACTCTGTCGTTGATACACTCCCTCTGCCTTTTTCTTTATCACTGCATGCACTGTATTGATACAGTCTTGATCCGGAGAAACTGGTCGAATTCCTTCAAACTTCAACTCATCGGCAATCTCCAGCCATACTTCTCCGATCTTGAAATCAAGATATTTTGAAATCTACAAGAATAAATGTGAATTTATAAATTCATAAAAAACGAAACATTTGGATTACTTTTAAACTCGGCTATAATTTTATCAATTAGCACGTACCATTGCAAGTTTAATTTGCTCTTGGGTTGAAAGCGAGTCATGAAATCGTTCAAACCCAAGTTTGAAAAACATAGAATAGACCTTGGCCTAAATATACATCAAACTAAAATGATAAGACTATGGTTCACGCTATGCACGCCAATTTATATTAAAATATAGTCGACTTACTCTCAGATTCTCTTGTATTTCTTGAATTGCTCTTCCGCCATCTTGCTCAATTTTATTCATCGCTAAATCAACCTGTATTTAATTGCGCTCGATTCAATTAAACAGCTTTTTCAAATCCAAACTTGAATGCATATCATGATACAGTTTTACCTTTGGCTGATTACCATCGAGTAGTGGGCAGTTATGGTTTTTGTTGATAAATCCAGACTGATTTTGTGAAACTATTTGAAAAAATTGGGTGGGTAAAATACTTTCAAGGTTTGGTAGTCTATTAAAAGTACGATTCACCTTGAAGTCTAGCTTCTTCGCCATTCCAGATTTCCACAAGTAAATGCTCGATTCCTTTGTTGACATCTTGTTGCATTTTCCAGTTGAGTACATGATAAATGCACTACAAATAGGGTTGGTTTAGTCTGATAATCTATAGATTTTAGACTATTGTTACTCGTATACATACTTTTGGATTTTCCAGCAGATCAAGCAAACATCCAAGAATATGGCGTCTCATTTTCAAAGTAGTATTTTCCAAAATGTCCAGCATAAGAGATATTCCTAGATAAAATGTGCAAAAGCTTTGTTCACTACTTGATTTGACACATCTAGTCTAGTTTACTCTATAAACTAGACTGCACGCAATAGGGCATACCTTGATTTTGTAAAAAACACTCTTCGTTTGCACAGTTTCCGCAAATGACACCCCAAACACATTCCACCACTGAAAATATGACCGATTCTTGTATCTGGTGTTCGGCTGACCGGTATCTAAATGATTTAAACATCAAACATGTTAATGACCAAGGCATCTGGATAGCATATTTAAACTGTTACTGCATACTTGAGAAACGGAATGATTTTTTTTACTCCTTCACAATCGCCAAACTCAGTTTTATTGGCTTTGTATCCTTGACAAAGTGAAGAGCAAATCATCAACGAGGTGCACCAAATTTGAATGGGCTGGTTTGGCTCATCTAACAAATCTGTATTTATATATCCAACAGTCACGATAGGTTTGAAACACGACTTGTTAAATCTACTCAAGTGTGTATCAGTGTCAAAACATGAACGTGTTACTTACTCAGTAGGTTTGTGAATATATTGAGGGAAGCTAGTGTTTTTTTCGCTGTTGGTCCAATCTCTGTTAGGCGGAGAACAACACCAAGCAAAGAATTTAGCACAGTGTGATGCTCTCTTGCCACATCGATTCTAGAAGCTGTGGGCAACTGTCCTTGGTGGATAGTATGATCAAGGAACTTTTTAAGATGGTTATATCCATCAGATGCTCGAAACTCGCGAGATATTCGCGGAACAATGCTAGACAAGAGTCCCAAAATCTAAACAACGTGTTTCAGTACTTTTGTAAGTGTTATTTACTACTTTTTCAACCAAATCATACCTGTCCTTGTAGTATACGTAGTTGTGAATCCGACCAAGAGGAGATGGTTGGATTAGTGCTTTCCGAAACAAGATATGCCATCATGAACTTTAAAATGCCGTTCTATTTAAAATATATTGATTCTATTTGGTTAATATGCGTCTTTAAATAAAACCAAATGACTGTTCAGTTGTGATGTTTAAAAAACATGAGTTTTATACCTCAAGAAAAGAAGAAAGCATTCCTAGATGGTCAATCATTTTGGATGCAAGTGTAATCAGCAATCTCTTGAATTCAAAATCGTCGTTTCCTGACGTCTATACAGACCAAAAATTGAAATATGAAAATGCTAGTTGAAATCACTGCCATTTTTTATAGAATGATCAGCAGCTGTATATCTCTGTTTATCATACCAGTATAATTTGTATCGAGACAGAGTGCGAGTGATTGATTTCTGGGTGCGTCAAAAACAAACTAACAGAATCAAGCAAATTTGTTTCAACAAATGCAGGCAACGCAGCTTTACAGTTGGTTAAAATACTTGTAAATAAAGTGAGTAGATCATTTCGCATTTGTTTGTTGGCTTGACGATGCGAGTTTAATGCCAAATCATCAAACAATTCTTTAAAAATAGCCAAGTTTTCCTAAATACTTGGAGATTAAACAAATTTGTTTTAAATCAATTAAATGTTTTTAAGCCATGTTCTTACGGTTGTTCCCAACAATTCCGATACTTGACTGGCTGAGGAGCTTGCTATGGCATTCCATAAAATTTCAATTGCGTAAAACGTTACTGGCGTTTGATTTTCCTCGATTATATTGCATAAAGTCTGTATAGATCCTGCATCAACCAGTTGGATAACACATGTTTCGCTTTTTGATAAACATATTAGACACTTTAATAAACCAACACGTTTGGATACAGTCGGACTGTTTAAAAGCAATTTTGAAATTTCATCAACAGCATTGCTAAAAGTACAAAAAGAATGTTACTGTAAAATGAATAAAACAGGTTTGCTATCATTTTGTTTTCAAGATCTGACAAAACGTTGACAATGTTAATTGGGTTACCTTTTGCTAGCACATTCAAGCATTAGCTGTGCACGCTTGTCAATTTCATTTTCGTCATGCTTGCCAGAACTCTTTGGTTTAAATAATGGATCGTTCTTTTTTAACGAAAACACTATTCTGTGAGTATTTACATCATCTGGGTTAATGATTCGTCCACCAGAATAAGCAAACACGGCTTCGGTGGTAATGTGTTCAAGGTTTGTGTCATCCAGTGCCAAAATGCTGGATAGAGAGTTGATCATATATGTAATTGATTCGCATACTTTCGACGATTCATTCATTTCTTTTAATGATATGTTGATGGTTCTAAATGTAAATACAGATTGCATTTAAAGTCAGTAATATGTCAAAGCCTACAAGGATAGACAGGATAATGTTGACAATATACTAAAAGTTACATTATTGCGTGTATTAGCCTGTACAGTGGTTGAATGAGCTCAGTTCCGCCTAATTTTATTTTTTCTGAAGCAAGTACGAGAACATTTGCGACAGAAACAAGGTCTTTGCTAGTCTAATTTTATTCAACCCAGTATATGGTGTTTGCAATGCAATACATCAAATATAAATGCAACCTGTATCAGTATACTTTCTACAAAATTATATTGATAATTTCAACAATTTAACTAGGCGAAGCAATACTCACGATTCCGTCATGGTAGATTTTGACAAGTTTTTCAACAACAGCTACATGTCGCTCGTAAAGTTTTGAAGTATGTTTTCCAGTGAATAGCTTGAAGATCTTATTAAAATCAATATTTTGACTGCTAGAGTCTGTAGTCTGCTTAAGAGAAGGCATGATGGCTGCTATTCGTACTGGGTCAATAGATGTCAAGCGCGTATTTGAATCCTTGTGTTTAGGAGCTGAAAACACCAATGGTGGATAAGTTGAATCCAGCATATGCTTATTGTCTAGATTGTGACTATGAGATGGTGACTGAGTTATATTTGGCATAGACAGTCGTGCCTCTGCAGATGTCGACATACTTTTGTTTGGTGTATGTTTTTTGATTTGGTTGTAAAGTTTGAATTGATAAAAACATGCCCAAAAGACTCATGTTTAATATTTCGTTTCAAATTGACCACCCATGCATCTGGTCTCAAGTCTATTTTTTTAGATAACAACATGTATTGCCTACTTTGGAATGCCCTTTCATCTGTAAGCCCATTATGTATTTGTTTTTCCTGGATCACCAGAAAAAACCATATCAAAAGGTTGTAATTCATATAAAAGTAAAATGTCCCTTTTTAACCACCCATCTTTATTGCTCATCAACAATATACGTTACATCACCTTACCACGCTTTGTTGAAGCCTATGGACAGAATTAAAATCAAGTCAGCCCAAAACTAAAATCAGGACATTAATGCAAACCAATCTAAAAATGCACCTGTTGCTCCTCATTAAATCGTTGTATCCTTTTTTGCTTTTTAATTTCTTCTTCAGACAGAGCTCCTGGAAATGGAAATTAAAAAATGAGACTGCGATCAAACAAGTGGATATCCGAAATTCGTGCATTTACCTGTAGGATGGACTACATGTGGGGTAGTAGAAACTGATTCCTTTGAAGGGGAAACTGGTGCTGAAACATGCGTATCACTTGGGGCAGAAACACTTCCAAATCGACTTTGTCTACGAGCCAAAGTAGCCGCGTCCACCTAATGCACTTCAAAGTTTAGTCCAACACTCGACAAATGCTCGTAAATAATCTACACATACATAAGGATCCAATTTCACATGAGCTTTGGCAGGTACTGTAGTAGTTTTTGGAGCAACTGTTTCAGAAACAGTAGTGTCTTTGACACGATGGTTGGTGGATACATGAGGAGCTGTCTTGCCAAACTTTTCTTCACGCAACCTCTTGCGCTCTTCATCAGTCATGCTTGCAGTGACAGCAATGTTAACATTGTGAGAGTCCTTATTTGGCGACTTGATTGATGCTGTCAGATACAGGCAGTGAGTATTGAACAGACAAGTTAATATTGGGGCGATGGATTATAGCCAATTCATTTAGCTTATAATAGACATGGCATTTGTCAAAGTAAATCCAATCTGTTTGGCTAGACAAGCCGTCATATTTAAATAGCCAGATATTATATACAGTAGACATTAATGATTTAAAATGGCAATACCTGATTTTGGGACAGTAGTTGTATCTACTGTATGCACTGTTTGAGGATGAACACCAGCAGATCTAGATGTACCAGTGAGATTGTTTGGTAGAGTATGTACATTTGCTGGAACAGCGCCATTAGGGGCAGAAGGACTAACAGTAGGGTTTGAAGCTGGAGTATTTGTATTGCTTTCCAGATGGTGAATCAAACGAGCAAGCAAGTCCTCTTTTTTCCCTGTGGTGGACATGCCCAACTGCTGCAACTCTATTATAATGTCCAAAACACCATCACATTGAACAATTAAAACATTCCAAAAAGAATAAATATTATATCATCAAGATGTCTAATATCTGAGGAATATACGGCATAATACTCAATGGAAATAGCAGATATACTGTAAAACAGCACTAGCGATTTTGCCTTTAACAAAGTGTATTATAGACAGCAATCAGAAGTATGTATTTTCCTTACCAGTTTTCAAGTCAGCAACCTTGAGCTTCTTTGCATCAGCGACAGTAAGTACCATGACTTGGATACGCACGTAGTTGTTGAGTTCAATAGCAAGTTTGCAACTCAAGATCCAGAAACCACTTGCATCACGTGGCTCTACTGCAATGACCAATAACTAGAACTCATTACTCTTTAGAAACGAGTTTATTATCAATTGCTGTTTAGTTGAATGCATGAGTTGAACAGATTCAATTATTAATAAATCGATTCCATTCAACACTAGCAATGTGCGAGATTCAATCCATTTCATGACCTGATTATTGGTTTGCAACTGGATTGCGCGTTTCTTTCCTAACCCGCGCACAAAATGGTCTTGGAAGCAACTGTCTTGGTGTAAGCTATAGAGCCAGGGGTGGATCTCATAGAATGGAACCATCTTTGTTATCTGAATATTTCTATTCTTTTGTAGTACTGAGATTATCTTGTTTGACTAACGCTTGATGTATTGATACAAGTATCGACAACTCAGAGTGGATGCGCAATGGTGACTATACACCAACTCGTATTGAAGCCCAACAAGATGCTGCCATTCTGCTCTTCAATGCAAAAACTCAGACAAATCCTGAAAACAGTGTTGGCTTGATGACTATGGCTGGAAAGAAGTATGTTTTGCAAACTCATGCTCTTGCATCAGTTCAACTGTCCGCTCTCATAACTGCTATTAACTGCATGTTCACCTGTTGAATACCAAAACTTTGCATATGGATCTTTTTTAAACCTGACTCGCTGTCAATCTGTCCGTCGCATTTAATCCGTCTTGCAAATATATTTTATGCTACAGCCCAAACGTTCTAGTAACTCTAACAAAAGATATTGGAAAGGTCTTGACTGCTCTTCACAATGTTCAACTTTCTGGTGGAGTCAAAGTCAATATTGGTGTTCAGATTGCTCAGGTATGCCAAGTATCTTGGTTTACTGACTTGTATAATTTGATATCTGCATGGATATAAATGGATTGATAATGCTTTATTCAATACATTTTGGATCGAGTCTGGCATTAATATATAATTGCAATGGGCATATCTTGTGGCTAACTTGTTTTGATGTTGAACCATAATGCCGATTATCAATCCAATGATTCGTTCATCTTGATTCTGAAACTATTTTCAACCGATACCTTGATTTAAACTACAGCTTATTTTGAAGCACCGTGAACATAGCCATCACCATCAGAGGATTATCGTTTTTGTTGGCAGCCCGATTAACGAGGATGAGGCATCACTTGTGACACTGGGCAAGAAACTTAAAAAAAACAACATTGCCATTGATGTAGTTAGTTTTGGCGAAGATGCGGAAAACCAAACCAAACTCGAAGCCTTTATTGGTGCTGCAAACAACAGTGATAATAGGCATGATCGTGCTTTAAACATGTTTGTCTGATATCTGTTTACTGACTCTTGATGTGTTTGAATTGGAAATGGCTAGTCACTTGGTTACTATCCCACCCGGACCTCATATTCTCAGTGATATCTTGCTCTCATCCCCCATTATTTCTGGAGAAGATGGTCCTCCACCAGGGTTTTCTAGTGGTACCGGATTTGAGTTTGGTGTCGATCCTAGTCTTGATCCAGAACTTGCTCTTGTAAGTCGGTAGACTCGTTTGAAAACCGTGTCCAACTTTTGTTTTGCACTTGAATTGATCAATATGGTTCTGATGTACTCGATTTAGGCTCTTAGAATTTCGATGGAGGAAGAGCGTGCACGTCAGGAGAAGACTGTTCCTGCAAGCGAATCTCCGTCAAAGAAAGTCAATGCACCACCTTCTGCAAGTGGCGGGACTCTTGAAGACGATATGCTAGCACAAGCACTTGCCATGTCTGTTCAAGGCACCGAGGCTCATGTAAGATTTGCACTGTAGTATCATGGATTGTAAATGTGTATTGATGCCAATTTGAATGTATATAGAACGACGAAGATGTAGAAATGGTGGATGAAGATGAGGCCATGGCGCGTGCGATAGCCATGTCAATGGGTGATGATGGTGGTGCGATGGATTCCAACTTTATGAGCTCAATGCTGCAATCTCTACCTGGTGTTGATCCTAACGATCCCCGTATTCAATCTGCACTAAAAGGCGACAAAAAGGAACCCAAGGATGATTCTTCTAAATAAGAAACAAGTATGATCAACGATTTTTCGAAAAAAATGAATCTAATATTCAACAAGCTTTTTGAAATGTGCAGCTGGTTTATTGATCTGAAAGTTTGAATTGAATTCGCGTGACTAGGATTTTGGATCACGTGTTTAAAAAGCAAGTCGGTTTAATGACTTTGCGGCTGTACTGGCATTTGCCTCATTTACTTACAAATCAAGCAGGATGGGCAAGTACGTGATTTTTCGATTGAATGCATGCTATTGCTTTATTAAGGCTTGAGTCGTATATGCATACTCGGGAGAAACAGCAGAAACACAAATGCACCACCCATCCACTATTCAAGATGGATCCATTCAAGGATGGTTCAATGCATGGTTTGGATGGATGGATCAAACTGCTATTCATGCCACCTTCAAATCAACTTGGCTTGATCTACATGTGCTAGTACTTTCTATTTGTGATCAAATTGAATGTGTGGCAATCCTAGCTTCCATGTTTACAACTGTAGAGAATAGTTGCATTAGCTTTCAAGGATGATGTTGAAAAGTTGGGAATCGGCTGTACTGGTTGCATATTCTATTCAAGCCTATTGAAGATGTATTGATCATTGCAGTCTTTGGATCCGCCAATGTCTACTGCTTTGAATACTATCAACCGATACTCACCATGATCTATAACTATAGGTGCAAACCTAGGGGTCTCCAAGCAGCGCGTAAGCTCAGAACTCATCGCCGTTCTCAGCGATGGAACGACAAGGCCTACAACAAGGCTGCCCTTGGTACCGTATACAAGTCATCTCCATTCGGTGGTGCTTCCCATTGTAAGGGAATTGTACTTGAGAAGATGTAAGCACTAGGTTTGAATCTGTTTTATCCGAGTTTTTGTTTTTAAACTGTCGAGGTTTTAATCTTGCTTTAATACTTGTCTAGTGGTGTCGAATCTAAGCAGCCTAATTCTGCTATTCGTAAATGTATCCGTGCCCAGCTCATCAAGAACGCCAAAAAAGTGACTGCCTTTGTTCCCAACGATGGTTGTCTCAACTTCATTGAGGAAAACGACGAAGTTCTTATTGCCGGTTTCGGTCGTAAGGGTAAGGCCGTTGGTGATCTTCCCGGTGTCCGTTTCAAGGTTGTCAAGGTTTCTGGTGTTGCATTGCTTGCCCTCTGGAAGGAAAAGAAGGTATATCTTTATTAGGTGTTTTTTTAATTGGACTTGCAACTCACACCTGCGCGATGGTTTATTACTATAGGAGAAGCCCCGTTCGTAAATGTTCTTATGTGGTACCTGAACTAAAACTTTGATTCACAGATATTACTGTTTTTATTATTGTTTGGTCAAATTGGTGGTTGATTACTTTACAAACTTGCAATGACAAAGGGGTTAGAGGCAAACATAGTTTTGGGCAGGTTTATTATTGAGATGGCATAATGTATCATGAGCCTAGAGTCCTCCACGAAGTGCGAGAACAAGATGGAGTACGCTGCCTCCCTCGATACTGTAATCTTGGGCCGTCTTATCGTCAACCCTAAATATCAATTGGTTAGAAAAGTGTGGGTAGATCTACTACAATTGGATTTTAGCTTACATTTGCTTGCCACCGAAAATGAGACTAGATGGATTACAACAAGTTAGTTTAACAACAAACTACAACACATTCAAGTATTTGCTATCATACCGTTGCTGTGGTGGTGGAATACCTTCCTTTTCCTCAACTCGCTCCTTGATACGAGCAACCTATTTAAAAGCAAGTTAGATTGCCATACTGAATTGTTCAAACCATATAAAGCCGAGATCTACCTTGTCAGTGGGCTCAATATCAATCTCGATCTAAAAATTAGTGCAAGTGTCAGCTGTATTATCGACTGCAAAACTTCTAGCTAAGCTAGTCCATGACAGTCCAACTCACCTCTTTTCCAGTAAGTGTCTGCTCCGATGTGTTTGGACCAGATTCGAATCAGCATTCAATGCGAGTATAAAGATGCGCAGTCAAAAACCATCCCGGCCGTGAAAGCATTGGTTACATAACACCGGTTGGCCATGACAAAGATGGAGCAGATACACATCAGATCGAGGCGGCGAGATGTTGATAAAATATAGTGAAAGGATTCCAAGTCAAAACGAATCAATGAGCCAAACTTGTTGTGAATTGGAAGCAAACAGCAGTATTTTAAAGACTACCAAAAAACATTGGTGTCATGTATCATAAACAGGCGATACTCACTTTGACCTTGATCAACATGGCAGGCTTTGTTGGATGTTTTGTTTTGGGAGTGAATTGGCTTCAAATCCATTCCATTCAATGAGTATGAGAGCGTATGCGATCAGATGAAAACAGTTTGGTGATTTGATAATTCATCATTAGCCAAACGATGGATTCAAGTGTTGGATTGGATGCTGCTGATGACCCAACCAGAAACCATGCAAATCTGCCATCTCTACATAAACATCCTTTTGAACCTGTTATTTCTGGACTGCGTCTTATTCCAGACTTTATCACCCAACAAGAAGAGCTGGACCTAATCGCATCCATTGATGCACATCCATGGAGTGGATATGGCATTCCACCTAATCCAGAACTTAAACGTCATACTCAACAGTATGGATTTTTATTTTCATTTCGCACTCGTACTATTACAGAATGTCTTGGTTCTTTGCCAGCATTCAGTTCATTTGTAATCGATCGAATGCTGTTACCTGAATTCAACGTATTTCCAAACGATCCTCCAAACCATGTGCTGGTGAACGAGTATCAACCTGGCCAAGGGTAAAACTTTATTCGCTATACAGGACTTGTATTCCTATTGTTTCAAGACTGATCTTCAAACCTGCTGATTGTCTTTTAGAATCATGCCGCATGTGGACAGTCAAGACACCTTTGGTGATGTGGTCACTTCATTGTCGTTATGGAGTTCCTGTGTCATGTCTTTTGGAAACAAGATGACTGGTGAAAAAGTGCATCTTGAACTGCCTCGTCGATCGCTTTTGATATTAACAGGCGATGCTAGAACTCATTATACCCATGCTATTCCAAAAGAAGATATGCTGTTTGCTGGTAACGAATGTGTGGATCGTGGACGACGAGTGTCACTGACTATTCGATCTATATTGAAATCTGCAATCCCTTGATTCGTGCTACGTTAAAGCAGCTAACAACCATATTAGATGTACATGGTTCAATGGACCATCAAACAATTCGACTGCAAATTGTGGTGGAATATCGTCGGTTTTGCCGAGTAACATGTATGAAATAAAATACAAGGAATAAATCCAAGTCCTGTATTTATGTGGATTACCAGCTCATGCCTCGTGGGTGTATGACCAAGCAGACGGGTTCATTCTTTTAATTATCTGGTCAATGGGTCTGTTCATGTTATTCTCAATGAAATTCACGGTAATTTGGCAACTTGCACATTTCCCCATTTCAAGACCTTTCTCCTATGACATTTGCCACAAAAACTAAAAAAGGATGCATCAAACGACTATCGCGATGTGCTGCTCTGGTTGTTGCAGGATATCTCATTATCATGGTATCCATGCACTATAGTATCATGCCTACTCTCTTTCAGTCAAACTCCACCTTAACCCAGACTCCGCCTCAGACATTAAATTTTCAAATTACAACAGATGCACATACCGCTTTATTGTCTTCTGACACTGCTGCTACATCAAACTCTAAACTCATTTTAGTGGGTATTCTTACATCGGTGGAAAAGCTTCAGCGTCGAACATTGATTCGAGATACTTATGCTCGACTCAAACCTGCAAATGTAGATCTTGTGTTTGTATTCGGAAGACCAAAAGATTCATCCTATGAAGCTCTCATTCGGCTTGAATCCATTCGCTATGGTGATATCATGGTGGTTGACTGTAAGGAAAATATGGATGATGGAAAAACGTTTGCTTTTTTTAAGCATGTTGGGAGTGTGTATCCACCTGAACAATATGGGTTTGTTATGAAGGCAGATGACGATTGTTGGATTGGGCTGGATAACTTGGCTAAATGGGTCAGCACCATGCCACAAACTGGAACATACTTTGGACGACATGTTTCTGGCACTGGGTTCATGGCTGGCATGGGATACGGCTTATCGTTTGATTTGGTGCAATGGATCGCGACAGATGCATATCCGAGCCAACATCGTATTGGCCAAGAAGACTCGTTATTGGCATCGTGGTTGCGGCACTCGAACCAATTGAAACATTACATTGGAGACGAGACAAAAGCTTTCTATGACGATCCGGCGCATGCTAGAGGGTGGGCACATCCATATACTGCGAATACCATCTTGATTCATCGGTTAAAAAACGAGGCTTGGTTTCTTAAAGCCGCTGAGCATTTTTTACCTGCTGAATTCTTTCCCAATGTGCCCAACTTGAACCAGTAAAGTACACCAGTCTAACCGCGGGATTTTAAGATTGGAGCATGGCGAATAGATGGTATATTTTATATAGCAGTCAAGGTGACTAATACAACGTTTGAATAAAAACATGATTTGAAATTGCTTTTCTACTGCGCTCACTCAAAGAGATTCAACTGCTACTAGAAATGATGTATTGCTGCGTGCAGCACTTGCTTGTTTATTTGGTACGTTGGCGACACTCGTTTCTTAATATCTCCAGTTTCTCAACAAGTTGATGACGCGCTAATAGATCGCCTGCATCAATGTTCAACAAAACCACAGACCTTTTACCAAATACGCTGATTTCACTATGAAATACCTTGGTATTGTCTAGTGCGTTGGGATTTTCTGCAGTAATGAGATGCAGTGTACTAGTTGCACCATTTTTCCCCGTAATATTAATTCCCGACATGCCGAGACATCTCAACTACACCATTTTGAAGAATTGAGCCATTCAATTACCGACAGCACCAAAAATTAGGTTTAAAGCATGCATAGAGTAGAATAACTTACAATAATCAGCACGCCCACGAGTACAAACCCTGCAATGGCTCCCTGCGTAATTCCAGAACTGACATTTCCAGGTGACGCAATAAAAGAATGGATTCCTTTTTTTGCCAGATCTGAATTCATTTCAAGTGATAAAATCTCACACATGCGCTTTGACGATTCATACGGATACTTTCTAATTATTTCAGGGTTAAAGATCAGTACTCGATTCATGTCAACCTAAAACATCATCAGTACTGTATATAATTTGAAGTCGTGTATTGCATAATCATTACCCTTTTAGGCATTGGTAGTCTTCAAATGACATTGCTGATGGACTAGCTGTTGTAGACGACATCCATACGATCCGAGGACTTTTAGATTTTATCATGATATCTTCAAGCTCCCTGACCTAATTGCAACACAACATCCAACACGTCAACTCATACACTATTCAGGTGCACAAGTATGTAGAAAAGCATACAATAATATAGTGTCCAAATACGTTGGCAGAAAAAACTTCACCGAGCCCTTCTGATGTAACAGTTCCAGTACGTTGAATCAAGGCATCTCCGCCTGTTTTAGCCAAAGTAGCTGGACGAGTAAATAAATCCTTGAATGCGCCAGAGAGACTCATGTGCGATATGGGCATAATTCCAGCATTCAAGATCAAAAAGTCGATACGATCGAATCTATCATCCCAGCAATCAAAAAGAGTCAGCATTGGATTGTACAGCTGCAATGCACCACAATTCACATGTCATCATTGCCTGTTTTTGATATCATCGCACGCAGCAAAGACACTGGCAGTGTTGCTCAAATCCATCAAAACCAACTGAATTCGCTCTTCTCCTTCAACACTGTTGGCAAAGTATTTGGAAATCAGCTGCTGTTGAGCCTGTTGAGCCTTTTTCTTGTTTCTGCATGCCAAGATAATAGTGATAGAGCTATCTATAGTCTCGTAATGATCGAGCAGTCTTTCGCAGATACCGAAACCAATGTCACTACAAGATTGCAGTACAAAGGTCAGTCGTTGAATACAAAGCATGTTCAAAAAAGGACTTACCCATTTGCACCAGTAACAAGAGCCACAACAGAGGAAAGCGAACCACTTGTCGACATGACTGAAAAACAAAGCTTCGAGATCAAGCTTCTGGTGTCGAATCGAGTTAACAAAACGATAATTTAAGCGTTTGGTTTTATTGCGTATTCACATAAAATGGACTATTTTTCTGTATTCTTTTAAACTGAAATGAGTTTGGTTTGGCATGATCGTGTATTGCATAGTTTCCAGATTTGTTAATTCATCGAGTTTGTTGTTGTCAATGCATTTGTGTTATAGTTCAAGACAATGATTGCAGTTGTTTTCACGCCAGTCTCTACACAATTATGCAATGAAAACCATTCCATAACTGTGTAATCTGACACTCATAAACCAAATTCAATTAAAATAATTCGCATGTTTATTGTTGGGTATATAATGCATGGTTAAACAATAGTGTAATTCAAACTGGTTAAATCTCCATGTCTGCTGGAATCGAAGATCCTTGCTTGGGTGCTTCAATGCGAATACATAGCTGATCATCTAATACAACACTGTGTGGCACGTTGTAGTCGATTGTATCGATAGACACTGAGCTTCCGTCTGGCAGTTTTCCAGATATTAGCAATTTGGATATTTCTGTTACAAGTGATCGTTCAAAGTATCTTCGCAGTGGACGAGCACCGTATACTGGGTCGTATGCGCGATCAAGAACCACATCGGCAGCTTCATCAGATACATGGAGGCGGATTTGATGGCTAGAGAAAAGACGTTTATCGATATCAGCCAAAAGAATCCGTACAATCTTGCGAAGCTCAACCTTGGCAAGAGGATCAAAGAGTACAATATCTGTAATACGATTCAGGAGTTCTGGCTTGAACTTGCTGCGCACTTCCGTCATGACCATCTCGCGTACCGCGGGATTGGTGGACGGGTTGCTCTTGTTATTGGTATCGGTATTTGCAAGATATTGCGATCCCAGGTTGGAGGTCATGATGATCACTGTGTTGGTAAAGTCAACAGTGCGACCCTTGCCGTCGGTTAGTCTACCATCGTCAAGGACTTGCAGTAGAATATTGAGCACTTGGGTATGAGCTTTCTCAATTTCGTCAAACAGAATTACGCAGTATGGGTGTCGACGAACAGATTCAGTAAGTTGACCACCTTCGTCAAATCCTACATAACCTGGTGGAGCACCAATCAAGCGTGCAACCGAGTGTTGTTCCATGTACTCGCTCATGTCGATACGCAACAGACCTTTTTTGTCGTCATCAAACAGCTCATGAGCAAGGGTTTTTGCAAGTTCGGTTTTGCCAACACCAGTAGGACCAAGGAAGAGAAAGCTGCCAATCGTGCCAGATCCAGAGAGACCAGCACGCGATCGAAGTACTGCATCGGCAACGGCCTTTACTGCCTTGTCTTGGCCAACAACTCGTTTGTGAAGGGCATCAGCGAGATGAATTAGACGGTCAACTTGACTTTTGTTGAGGCGGGTCACAGGAATACCAGTCCATCTCGATACGACCTCCATAATATTATCTGGACCAACATGCTCGCTAACCAATTTAGACTCGACAGCGCCAGAAGATTCAATTTGAGTGCGCTCAGCCTTCATTTGTTCCTCTATAGTGGCAATACGCTTCTGTAGATCTGGTACGGCACCATACTTGAGGTCAGCAGCGAGAGCAAGATCGTATCGTCGCTCAGCGTCTGCAATTTTGTTTTTGAGCTCGTCTAGTTTCTGATTTAGATGGCGCAGCTCATCAATACGACCCTTTTCAGAATCATACCGCATCTTGAGTGGTTTGAGTTGCTCTTGAATGTGACTAATTTCCTGTCGAACCTTGGCAAGACGTTGAGCACTGGCGCCATCTTTTTCTTTTTCAAGTGCTGTAGCCTCAATCTCAAGTTGGAGCAAACGACGATCGAGAATATCAATGGCCTCGGGTTGACTGTCGAGCTGAACGCGGATGCTTGCACACGCTTCGTCAACAAGATCGATTGCTTTGTCAGGCAGGAAGCGAGTGGTGATGTAACGGTCAGCAAGAGTAGCGGCAGTGACCAGTGCTGCATCAGCAATGCGAACACCATGATAGACTTCCCATTTTTCGCGAATGCCTCGGAGAATAGATACAGTAGCTTCGACAGACGGCTCGCCAACACTTACTTGTTGGAAACGACGCTCAAATGCAGCATCTTTTTCGACATGCTTTTGGTACTCACCCAGAGTCGTAGCACCAATCAATCTCAATTCGCCACGAGCAAGCATGGGCTTCATCAAGTTGGCAGCATCCATAGCACCGTCTGATTTTCCTGCACCAAGAACTGTGTGAATCTCGTCAACAAAAAGAATGATGTTGCTGTTGGAGTCTTTAACCTCCTTGAGCACAGCCTTGAGCCGCTCCTCAAACTCGCCACGGTATTTCGCACCAGCAATTAGCGCACCCATGTCAAGAGAGTAAAGACGGGCTTGCAAGCTCATGGGAACATCCTTGCGGACAATACGTTGGGCCAAGCCTTCAACAATAGCTGTTTTTCCAACACCGGGCTCGCCAACAAGGATGGGATTGTTTTTTGTTCGTCGAGCAAGAACCCTAATGACACGGCGAATTTCATCGTCTCGTCCAATACAGGGATCGAGTTTTCCTTGTTCGGCAAGAGAAACCAAATCGATGGCATATTTGGAGAGTGCCTCGTAGGTCGAGTCGGCAGATTTGGAATCAATATGGCGGGAACCACGAATCTGAGTGATGGCAGCATCAATGGCTTTTTTGGTAGCACCACCTTCAGCAAGAGCAGCCATGATCTCCTTGTTTTCACATAATGCCAAGATCAAGTGGTCAATGCTTAGATGCGAGTCCTTTTGCTTCTTTCGAATTTCGTCGGCAGTGCGAATCAAAGCAGCGGTTGTGTGATGAAAGGAGATTTGAGTAGGCGCAGGGGTCTGTGAGGATTGACGAACGAGAATCGATTTTAATTTTCGTTCGCACATGGCAGGATCTGCACCGGCTTTTTGTAATATGGAACGAAACAAACCACTTTCGTCATCAAAAAGAGCGACTGCAATGTGGACGGGAGAGATTTCAATGTGAGAGTATTCAGCAGCCAACTCGTTTGCTTTTGAGATAACGCTGGTAGTTTTGTCAGTAAAGTTTTCAGGAGAAAGCATTTCAGTTGTGAGAATGTGTGTTTATGATGGAGTTATGACTGCAAATCCACAATTTATATTTAACTTTTCGCGTGGCAAGTTTTTGGAAATTCTCGAAGATTCTCGAAATTGGAACGAGATGCTCGAACAACAACATCACATGGCAGCCAAGCTATAAACACATCAAAGAGTTGATCGACTAGTAAACTACTCTTTAGTTGGTATCAATCACTGCAGTTTACTGATGAAAATGCACAACTTTACTCAAATATTTACTTTGTGTTGACGCAAAATGTGGTGTTTGTATTTTTCAGCTTTTATTCAAACGTGAATATGACTGCAAATCTTTCCAATCTTCAAACTACAAATCATGTCGTTGTGGGTTGACAAGTACCGTCCATTGTCACTAGATAAACTGTCCTACCACCCCGATACGTCCAAGCTGCTATGTCAACTGGTATGTTTGAAATATCAAGGCTTTTACAAGACAACTACTGCTGTTGAATCTATCCAGTCTATTAAGTGTTCGGACATGTCAGGCATCATTGAGCTTTCTTTCTAGCAACTCACAGTTACACTCAATGCATTTAGGCAAACTCGGATGAATTTCCTCATCTTCTTGTTTATGGACCGTCCGGTGCTGGTAAAAAAACTAGAGTGACTGCCACTCTTAGACAACTCTTTGGTCCTGGCGTAGAGAAGGTGTGGTTTATTCAAAGTCGTATAGACATGTCAGTCTTGATTGACCACTGACCTTGATCATTACTGGCTTCTTCATCCCACTACAGCTTAAGATTGAAACTAGACAATTTGAAACACCTTCCAATCGCAAGCTCGAGATCAATATTGTTTCTAGCAACTATCATGTAGAAATAACTCCCAGGTAATCCAAGCATGACAATGGTTTCATGGAATGATCTCCATTTCTTACATCCTCAATCCTTGTTTCATGATGCAAACTCTAGCGATGTGGGCATTTATGACAGAATCATTGTTCAAGAGCTAATCAAAGAAGTAGCGCAAACTCAGCAGCTGGATTCATCTGCAAAAAAACAATTTAAAGGTGCATATAGTATTTGTAGTTGCTGATCTACTCAAACTGTTTCACGACATTCATTAATTACTCGACAAGCCTAACAAAGTTGTTCAATTCCAGTGGTGGTACTCAACGAGGCCGATTCGCTTTCTCGAGATGCTCAAGCTGGCCTTCGTCGAACCATGGAAAAATATATGGGAAACATGCGCATGATTCTCTGTTGCAATGTCACATCCAAAATTATTTCTCCCATTCGATCTCGCTGTTTGCTCATTAGAGTCGCTGCTCCGTCTTTTACAGAGGTGCGTTGGCCCATATCAATATTTTGCAAATGCAACCATGGTTTAAATACGATGACGCTTGCACAATCAATTGACTACATACTGAATTGAATATTGGATCTAATTGCCATGCCAATTTCAATATCTAGATTCAAACCGTTTTGCAAAATGTAGCCAAGGAAGAGAATTTCAAGCTTTCTTCTGAATTTGCGCAACGAATTGCGACTGAATCTGAAGGAAACCTACGTAAAGCACTACTTGTGCTTGAGGCAGCAAAGGCACAGCAGTATCCGTTTACAAACAATCAAGTATTGCCCAAAACAGATTGGGAACAGCATATTCATCAGATTGCACACTTGATTTTAAATCAGCAAAACTCGAAAGCGTACGTTATGGTTTTGTTCACATTCCTACTTTGAAAATGTCCAACTGCAATGCTGATGATCTTGCTATTTTAGATTGATTGAGATTAGAACCAAGCTATATCAACTTCTTTCAAACTGCATTCCTGCTGATGTTATTTTAAAGGTGAGCTGGTGTCTGTCAAATGCCTCGGCGTATTACTTTTCTAACTCGAGTGATCTTGTCACATTTTACCAACTAGACACTTGCATTTGAACTACTTCAAAGTATTGACGGTCAGCTTAAGCGGGATATCGTACAATTTGCTGCAGATTATGTAAGTCTACCAACTGATTTAAACTTTATTTTTCGTATTGACAAAAAAACATGTTAATCCTGTTTTTTATTCTAGGAACATCGTCTTCGACTTGGAAACAAGGCAATTTTTCATTTGGAGGCATTTGTTTCCAAGTGCATGGGCACATATGGACAATATCTGATTGAGATTGGCCAATTCTGATTTACGTAAACTAGACTTTTTGTATTTATCTTGAGTCTGATCGCAAATAAACAATGGTTAAATAGTCACTGTATTTTTCTACTGGGCAATAGTTGCAGACTAAACAAGTATGGAATGTATTTGAACAGGGATATGAACATTTCCTCTGTATGTTTTACAATGAGCATAAAAAGCAAGTGAACTTGAATGAGTTTAAAAAAACAATATTGTCAGTAAGATTGACACCAATTATTTCATGAAATTGACTGTTTATTAGATAGGAGTATCTAGTGCCTTATTTTCCATGAATACAGTTGTACCCATTTATTCTAGATTCAATGCAACATATTTAGCAAGACTCAATCTGAAAGGAGTGTACCCCAATCTTTATAACAGTTGTATGCTTCTGCACTGTCTTTTGCTCTAATCATTTGATCAACAGTCCCCCAATCTTGATTCCTCATCGCTTGCTGGAATTTCTCGATGGTTACCACAACTTTGGATTTCTCTACGTCTATATTAAACAATTGTATGTTGCTAGTAGTCAACTTGCTGGTTACTACCTCCAACTGTGTATCAACATACTTGATATCGTCTCCTGTTGCTTGAAGTTTTGATAGACGGAATTCAAACAGTGCATTCGCCAACATATTTCTAGTTCTCAGCCATGAGGTTGATAAGTTTGTCCATTCCTGCGAGCAACGGGTCAGAAATTCTAAAAAGCCTTCTGGAGTTTCTTGTAGTTCGTCGGGATTGGAAGAGGTTGTTGGCTGTAGTTGCTGGTTCATGGTACTGGTTGTGCTTGAAACTGCTTCAACAAGAGTCGTATGATGGGACTCGTCATGTGTATCACCTGCAAGTGCGGTGCCTACAAAGAAGCATATCAAAATATAGCCTAATGGCCTCATCGTAACTGAAGTGATTTTAGTACTAGCCAGTTGCTGACTGTTCAAAGTTTAATCAAGTCTGATAGTTCCACTACAGCCCTATATAACTGATTACAGTAAAGCCATGGACTAGCAATCAGTGTCCTTTGCTGTTATGTTACAGGGTGACTGCTGGTTTGCCAACCATTTGTCTTGAGTTGCTGCCACTCTAGCCCTGAATTGAGGTTGCGGTTGGTGACAAGGGCACAAAACAGAGAATCAAATGCTGGCTTATTTAGTTGTAACTGGGTTTAGAAAGCTGACAGGTGAAAGCCGTCCTACTGATTAAAAGGGTTTAATAGTGTGCCTATATTCATGCAAAAGGAACCATTTGTGTCTATCTAACATTCACTGCCTCCTGCTTTGGAATATACAATAACTAGACATTCGGTGTACCTTTTCATTAGATATTGACGAACACTCAATTCAAAGTAGACGCAGTGTTCATCTATAATACAGTCAAATCTATGGTTTTGGACTGAAACTCCACTTTTGAACAACTACGGATTGTACGATCGCTAGATTTATTCATTGCAATTTGGATATCGAGTTTGACTGTTCTCAATAAAACTCAAACACATTGTATCCTACATTTCATACATTCGTGCTCTAGTTTAAAAAAACAATGATTGAATATCTCGAGAATGCATCTGCTGTTTTCATACCAATCACCAGCATGAATATTAGTAACCATGCTTGTCAGTCTACGTTTAAATACAAACGATACATTGTTACAAGTGTCCTATGTTCCAACACTCGAACGTATTTTACAGTATATTCAAAATAACATGAATCCAAGCTTAAAATATGACGATTCAAGTTTGGCAATGAGAAGCTATAGCGAATAGGTCGTCTAATGGCATAAACAGTTATGCTGGGTTGAAATTCTTGCTAATTTTGATATTACATATTCAGTTCAAACATTTACAATCGACTCGAGCGCCAACAAGTTTACAGGAATGAGAGTCTTTGTTACAGTTGGAACAACGAGATTCGACGATCTTGTTGAAGCTGTACTCGATCCATCTTTCCTTCAACTGCTTGTCAAGCATGGCTTCAATCAATTAATCTTGCAACATGGACACTCTCCTATACCACCACAGCTTCAAACTGCATCCATCATCAATAGACAAGACAACATTATAGAATGGACTGATACAGTTTCTGGAATGACCATTCAAGCATATTCATTTAAACCATCGCTGCTATCAGATATGCAATCAGCTAGTCGGATAATCAGTCATGCAGGATCTGGATGCATTCTAGAAGCACTTTACTTACACAAGCAACTCTTTGTAGTAGTAAACAGTAGTTTGATGCATAATCATCAACAGGATCTGGCACATATACTTCAGCAGCAGGGCCATTTGTATTTTTCTAATAGTGTCAGTGATCTTGCACAAGTCTTTGCTGCTGCCGACTTTTCCGTGCTGAAACCATTCTCTAAACCTGATCGTACTGCATTCATGAACATATTGCATGACATGGCAGGGTTTCCTGCTCCTTGTTCTTCAGTGCCTCATAATGGATTATAAGTGATCTTGTATGGATTATTTACTCGTCTGACCTGCGAGATGTGCCATGAATTCGTTAAATTGTAATAGAAACACCTCGACTCAGACCATCCATTTCACTTTAGTAGTAGCATATTATATAGGTATCCTATTTAAACAAACGAGCAGTTGTCACTTGTTCAAATGCTACCAGTTCATTGCAATACTTTACTATATCTGTGCCTTGCTGCTTGGCGTAACCCTGACCACTAGTTTATTTCCTCAAGCTCGAGTCATGTGCAAGAAATAGTTTCATGATTGTATTTTATTAGTAGAAACTCCGACTTTGACATTGCCAGATATCTTTTAGAGTTGGTTTCAAACTAGTTTACATACCGCTTTATTAGTAGTTGAATACCTTTTGGTTATTTATCTGTTTAGATACCGGAATAAACTCGAGTGATTTACTTATCCTAGATACTGCATGTTCGGACCCAATGACCGTATGTGATTTTGCATTGAATTCATGAGCTGGGAACATTTTGTAAAATCTGGACAATCTATAATACTTTGCAATCGGCAGTTAATATGTCTATTGATTTTATTTAGCTTGCTATCCAGCATACACGGATTGTCTTCAAAACAGCGGTACAGGCTTTATTAGCACCCTCGCATACACTCATTTAACATATTCTGCTTTACAGCCCTCTAATCCGCTCGGAATCTGTTCATCTATATGCTATACTTGTACGGGAGTGTTGCCAGATACTGCACCATCGACAACGTGGATATCTCCAGATTCAAAGTGTCAGACTTTACAGTATGCATGTAACCAAGGATGCAATGGAAATGGTGTTGTTCCTCTTTGTATGCCCAATTATGGTATCAACACGGGTCAGGCCGGATCAGTTGGCACTTGCATCTGCCAATCCTTGACCACTCCTCAAATTAATCTTAAACCTGCACAGAATACAACTGGGATACGTATCTGTGCTGGAGGATTAGGTCGGTCTTCAAATGCTGCATGGAGCAAAACGCATAAAGGATGGATCAACAGATTTTCGGTCGTGCTTAGTGTCTTGATCGTTTTTATCGACTCCTGGATGTTGGGTTTGTCATGATTCAGGGCTTGAAACTTGAATTTATATAAATGATTTGAATCGTATAATGAACATAATGTATGGACATGTTGCATTTGGTGAAACATTTTTAAACAAGACATTAGATGGGCTGAATCAATTCGATTTCATTGTGGATCTTGAAGTCTGTCTGGTCTAGGATACAATTTGACATCAGTCATTGATTTATACAATGATGCAGATATAGATCCCTTGAATTCCTTCATATCATCATTTGCTCCAAGAAACTAGTGTCGAAATCGAGTTAATCACCAAAACCCAAAAAATAGATACAAGACATGAACCAGTTACTAAAACTTACACATTTGACAAGATCGGAAATTTCGATTGGAAGAATATGAAGAAGCGGTAGTGCATGAGCATAAAGTGGAAACTTGATATCATGACTTTGTCCAGATTCCAGAGCATCAACAATGGCATGAGCAACTCGCTTTGGTTCCATAAACGGCGTAAGCCATGGGAATTTATGACTAAGCCCTTCAAACATCCCTGTCGTTGTCAATCCAGGATACACGCATGTCACATACACGTTGCTAATCAACGCCAAAAATAATGCATCAGCAAGACTAAATATGTACTGAAATCAAACTAGATCCAGATTCAAACGCTGCATCATAATTCGTCAACATCTCACCTATGAGCAATCTCTTGTCGTAGCGATTCAGTCATTCCAACCACTCCAAATTTAGAAGCACAATAATCACCTACGCCAAAATCACAAGTTAATCTACACAAACAGTCGTGCATTTTCAAACCATCTTGACATACTAACTTGCGCTGTTCCAGAAAGACCCAAAACAGACGCTATATTAATCTAGTATACGCATTTAATGGTGTCAAAATACAAACTATAATCAACCATTACCAGCAGGTTTAATGCAGCAAAACATCTTACAATATGGCCCTTGTTTCGATCCATGAATCCAGGAAGAAACGCCTTGATGGTATAAAACGGTCCCAAAAGATTGACTCCAATAGTTCTAACCATCAAACAAGACTAGTCATGAATATCTGTTGGATTCAACACTATACAACAAAAAACGTACTGCTCGATTTCAGATACTGTTAGATCCATCATGGTTTTACCCGAAACAATACCAGCATTATTGATCAAAGCGGTCGGATTGCCAACTTGATTGACGATCTTGCTACCAACTTGCTCGACAGCTTTAGAATCAGATACATCGCATTCGAAATAACACACATTTTCTAAACTCCCATTGCAAAAATTCATATTGGGCAGTGGATCAATACAAACTACATTCAACTCTATGCATGCCATCAAGAGTCCTAACCTGCTTGGATAGTTGGAGGAATCTTATCCAGAACAACAACCTTTTTGACTTTCTTTGTATTAGCAAGAATATCTGTCAAGACAGCACCAATACCATGTGATCCTAAATAGTGTAATGGTATTCATTAGGTATTGAATGATTGTAGAAGGAATCATACACATGAAATGCATTACCTCCAGTAATGATAATGATTTCAGTGGACCAACTGGTGATCCGAGTTGCTGGTTTCTGTAACATGAGCCGAACAATCGAAATACTCGCCAATGCAAAACAAGTCATCCATAGTATGATGGAACCGAGTAATGGAAAGAATCCATGCATAAAGAATGGAATAGATAGCCAAAATAGTGGTGCAACCCATGCATTCAATAGCAAATAATGGAAGAACGCATTCAATGAAATATCAAGTGTTTGTGGGGTCCAGAAAGCCATTTTAATTGCTATCTTGAGTAGTAAACTGATGAAACTGTTTATATGTCACGCAAAATAAAACACTTTATCTTGCAGTTGGGATCTTGCGATAAACGATGTTTATTCGTATGCTTTCCTAATGCTTTAAAACTCGGATACGCTCGCGCTTCAGTTCAAACCAAATATCAGTCTAGGAATGCAGCTGTTGTTTTCATGTCAATCATCAGGGGAAACCCCAAATCAACTAAAAAGGTTCAATGAACACAATGATGTCTAGTAAATCGACACATCATTCCATAAGATTGATGGTTTATTATATAGACGCCTTTTTTCGTGTTCCGTTTGTGAATCATGGCTGTATATTCAACTTCAAGGTTGACAAAAATGTATTTATTTTTTATTCGAGGCAGGTGGAGCATGGCCAGTGGCAATCTGATACTCCTTGACCAGTTGTTCTTGAACAAACGGCATGACTGGCTGATGATCCTTGTATGTCATGGAAAATTCGCCTTTGCCCTAGTTAAAATGCAATACCACACATCTTAGAAACCACTAATGTCATCAACATCTGAAATATCATCAACACATCATTCATACCTGAGTGATGGATCGCAAATCAGTGGAAAATCCAAACATGTCATTAAGAGGCACATCAGCAGTGACTTCCAGATATTCTTCGCGAACTTCAGAGTTGTGAATGGTACCTTTGCGTCGATTAAGCAATGCAATACAAGGCCCTTGGAATTCGGCAGGTGCAACCAATGAAACTTCCATAATAGGCTCAAGAACAATAGCTTTGGCTTGTTTGATGGATTCACGGAATGCATACATGGTAGCAAGACGGAATGCCAATTCACTCGAATCGACTAAATGTGCCTGACCATCTTCTAAAACGAATCGTACACCTGTGACATTGTGACCAACAAGTGAACCTTTTTCACAAGCTTCGTAGAATCCTTTTTCGATGGCTGGAATGTATTGGTATGGAATATTCATACCAACAGTGCGATTTTCAAACTCGACGGGAGATGATTGGGTCTTGAGTTCCTTGGGTTCGCCATTTTCATCGACTTCACCAGTATCCTCTTCAGCAAGTGGTTCAATGTATCCAATGACACGACCGTATTGTCCAGATCCACCCGATTGCTTCTTGTGAAGGTAATCAAAGTGTACCTTGGCAGTAATGGTTTCACGAAATGCGACTTGTGGCTTACCAGTAGCGCACTCGACACCATATTCTCGCTTCATGCGCTCAACGTAGATCTCCAGATGCAACTCACCCATACCAGAAATAATGGTTTGCTTGCTGTCGTGGTCAACATGTACACGGAATGTGGGATCTTCTCGTTGAAAGCGATTAAGCGCTTTAGAAAAGTTGGCAGACTCTTTGCTTTTGGGTGTGATTGAAAGTGAAATAACTGGTTTAGGTACAAACATAGATGTCTAGGTATTGAGTAGCAAAGTCCATGCCATAAAATTAGTCACTCGAAACAGCTAAACTATAAATCTAAAAGTCTTACCATGGTAAGCTGCATAGATCCGTTGCTAAACGTATCACCCGAGGCACAATCTACACCAAAAAGTGCACAGATTTCACCCGATCCAACAGATTCTACATCTTCCATTTCGTTGGAGTGCATACGGACAAGACGAGCAACCTTGACTCGCTTGCCAGTACGAACATTGGTGATATAATCACCACGACGCATGGTGCCCTGGTAGATACGCAGATATGTCAGTTGTCCAAACCGGCCTTCTTCCAGCTTGAATGCAAGTGAGAGAAGAGGTACGTTAGATTGGCAGCTGAGTACAACTTGCTTTTCTTTTTCTTTTGTATCAAGAGCGTGGTTGTCGACCTCGTGAGGTGCGGGAAGATAATCCAACACACCATCAAGAAGAGGCTGTACGCCTCTGTTGTGATATGCAGATCCCATAAATACTGGAACAAAAGTGCGGGAAATCGTAACACGGCGAATGGCATCGCGCAGTTGCTCTGGTGTCGGAACGTTTTCGTTCAGATATATATCTCCAATAGTCTCATCAATATCGGCAATGCTTTCAATGAGCGTGTTGCGCATAGTCTGAGCTTTTTCCAACAGATCAGCGGGGATGTCCTGAACCGAAATCGTTTCACTAGAGTGATTTAAATAAAACGTCAACACATATTCCATAGTACACAAGCAGAGCCAATAAACCAAAAATCAAAATCACCCTTTAACGCCTTGATTAATATACGCTTTCATGTAAACAAGATCAACAACGCCTTGAAGATTGGTTTCTACACCAATAGGCATTTGCACTGGTACTGCATTGATACGAAGTTTAGTTCGGATTTGATCAATAACACGATACGGATTGGCACCAGCTCTATAAAAGGTAAAAAATAGCAATATTGAGAGCATGAACTAGTCAGGATGTAGCACAATAAATCAATACAAGGCTACATCATTACAGCAATGGCTTTACCTGTCCATTTTGTTGATAAAACATATACGGGGAATATTATAGCGTTTCATTTGGCGATCAACCGTTATGGTTTGACTCTGATAAACATATAATGAAAGATTCAATACCAAGTTATACCAAAGGAGATTTGCATGATTTGCATAAAAACACACCTGGACACCACCAACAGCGCAGAGAACAAGAATGGCACCATCAAGCACACGGAGTGCTCTTTCAACCTCTATTGTGAAATCAACGTGACCTATCCAATCATCCCAAAATCAGCATTACAGTGATTGAACACGCCAAATTTGACATGGATTAAACAGCTGCCAAATTGCACCAGCACAATACAGTCCTACCTGGAGTGTCAATAATATTAATGGCGTGAGATTTCCATGAAGTGTATGTTGCTGCCGATTGAATGGTAATGCCTTTTTCACGTTCAAGCTCCATCGAGTCCATTTTGGCACCCACATTGTCTTTTCCACGAACTTCATGAATAGTATCGATTCGTCCCGTGTAAAACAGAATCCGCTCAGTGAGTGTGGTTTTACCCGAATCAATATGTGCTGAAATACCAATATTTCGTAGATGTTGAAATCGAATCTGTTATCTAGTTAGAGCTGGTTGTATTCTGATTGACGCAATTGAATAAGATTGAATCATTGCAAATGACCGATCGATCAACCCATAGCATTTTGTATGATGCATTCAATACTAGAAAATACTGCCAAACCATTAAAAAGATGCTTACCAAGTCATCGGCATCGACATGAGGTTGGACCGGAGCTTCGACAGCTTCAACATTTTGGCAAGGTGCAGCCGTAGCTTTAGATACTGCTGATACATTGAATTGACGAGTCATTGAGCGAATCGACAAGGTGCAAATCGGAACTATTTTTAATTTAGTTTCAGAAATATGTCTAGTGTGCTGTTTACTCAGCAGACCTGAAATGGCAACCATTCGAGGCAGCAATGGCGACCTCCAAGCCATTTGAATGGTTTTGATCGTTCAAAAAAAATTCAAACTTTGATTTTAAATTGCTTTGTCGTTGACTGGAAATATTTGGCCAAATATTTGAAATAGTCAAATTCTTACAATTGTATTTGCGTAAAATGGAACATTCAAGTCAGAATGCATTGACAGTCATATTTGGTGTCAAGTTCACTGAGCAACATTGTTTAAACTCTTTTAATCGATTAATCTTGTGTCCATTTTTGTACAAAACTACAAGACAAGTGTTTACATCTTTGTTTCAATACATTCCACATCTTTCTCTTTATCCAAATCAGACACTGAGCAACCATCATGGAAACAATTGTTACATTTTTGATGTGTTGAACCAGAGCGCGAACGTATCCGACACTAGAATACAACACACCTTTTACAAAAGTAATCAATTTCCAATAACAACGAATAGTTGATCACTTCCAAGATCAATACAAAAAAGTTTCATTTTACGTGAATACGACTGTAGATTGAGTTTCCATACTTTTATCAAACTGAATTTTCATGACAGCACAGAGGATAGGTACGCATACAGTAGAATTGAGTTTATGGAGGAACTAGTATTCCAACCTATTTTTATATTGTATTAGGACCATTGTCGCAGTTGCTGATTGGCACAAGAGCTGCATTCACTGCGCTACGGGATCCAACAAGAGCAGGTAAGATTGACCACTTGACATGGATTCAATGACTTACTAATTGTTGTATAGATATGGTGGCTGCACTGGGTGAAGTAACAGGACATACAGTTCTCAAACGAATTCGGGATCGAATGCTGTTGGACAAGACAGGACGCCGTATTTTGCGAGAGCGACCAGTGATCAATAGCAAAATGGTGGATTTGAATAGATTACGATCTTTAGCTCCAACTACATTTGGAAGATCCTATGTTGAATTTCTGGATAAACATCACGTCACTCCAGATTCTCGAGACCAAGTAAGTGTTTGTTGGTAGTCTGCATAGAAACGACTTGTGCATTCATGTAGTTTAAATCATGGCGTATAGGTAAAATATATTGATGATCAAGAACTGGCATACGTTATGTTGCGATACCGACAGGTACATGATTTCTGGCACACATTGCTGGATATGCCCATTACTGTCGAGGCAGAGATTGCTGTGAAATGGTTTGAATTTATGCAAACTGGACTACCTGTGACATTCCTCAGTGCGTTGGTAGGACCACTCCGACTATCTCAGCATGAAAGAGAGCATTTGTTTAATCATTATGTTCCTTGGGCAGTACATAATGGCGGAAACTGCTCTTATTTGATGAATGTCATGTACGAGGATTTGTTTGAGCTTGATCAGGATGTTGTTTTGGAGCATCTCGGAATCACCCCAATATCTGTGCCAAATGACTTTAATGCTACGTTAATAGATCCGAAATTGAATAAAGCAGTTGATGTATAGTTACTCAACACCGTTCAAATATCATTTTATTCAAACTTGATTGTTAAATACTGTCAATCGTTGTAACGATGCTCTACCAAGTTTAGTATTAGTTTTTGGAAAACAGATCTCGCGTAGTCCGTCCTTGTTTAATATGGTCAATGATTTTAAGTGTAACCTCTTCGGCAGTCTCGTTTTTTCCAAAATGGGAAATATACACTCCATCTGGACCAACAAGGTAAAAGAAAATGGAGTGATCAACCAAGTAGTCTGTTTCATCTTCGTCAACAGCCTGTGGAGGAGCACTAAAATACAAACGATACGCTTTTGCTATACGACGGATTTGGTTGTAGGTGCCGGTTAAACCAATGAATTTGGGGTGGAAATCTAGCAAGCAATCCAAATAGTAATGATAACATTGAGCAAGTTTCCAAGTGATAACATGAAACCCATACAATTCATGGCAGATTTAAACCTACCTTGAAGGTATTCACGAATTGACTCGACAGAATCTCTCTTTGGATCGCATGAGACGAAAATAGGCACAATTGTTTCCTGCGAGTATCCCTCCATACCATCTAGCATTCACAAGTATGAGTACCGAGTAGGATAAAATCGATTGCAGATCATCTGTAAATCGCACAACACTTACTGAGGAAATCGACAATCTCGGCCATTTTTTCAAGCTCCTCTGGACACACATCAGGACAAAACGTATATCCAAAATACAGGAGCATGTATTTACCACGATAGTCTAGATCTGTGACTGGACGACCAGTTTGATCGACAAGCGAAAATGGACCACCAACTTTAGGCTTACCGACTCCCTCAGACTTTTTTGCTTCCTGTTCAGCCTTGGCCTGCTGCTGTTCATAGTAAAAGTAAGCGAGTAAAACAACACCAGAGATCAAAAAGAACACCACGCTTTTTTTGGTCATTCGCTAGATTGATTTAATAAAGGTTAGCACTCGATTGCAACATAGAACAGATGTATCAGCATGTCGTCAGTGATCCAGTTTATGATCGCAATCAAAACAGTGATGTTGATCTAAATTAGACTTGGATATCATTGAAAGGTTGTAAACTACCTTCATATCTTCCGGCGTGGTTTCAACTTTGGGTGCTTTGGTTGGAGTATCCAACGTTGACAGACTACGAATAGACGAAACTCTATCAGGTATCATAAAACGGACTCGAGTTGTCCACAATAAAGTAGAGGGTTTCGATATGCATGCAGTTCGAGAAAGAGTGCTAAAACGACACAGACTTGGCAGAGGTTTTGCAGGTAATGCAGCACATGTCACTGATTGCTGTGAGCGAAACAAAGTGGATTGAACGATACTCTGAATAGTTGTATGCACAAATAGTATGAGTTGAAATGGTTGGCATCACAATGCAGTATCTACAGCTAAAAGATATATTCTTGGCTTGCCTTGAACATTTTCCAATTTATTGGACAAATTATTCATGAAAATGCAATAATTTAATCGTATTCACGCAACATCTGTATTACAGATTGACTTGAATAAACACTCGACTTGCTAATCAACATAATATTTATTATGATGCACACAATCAATAGTTTTACATTAGAATGACTCATTTCAGACCATTTCAGACTATATAGTAGTCATACATACAATCACCAGATTCATGCATTTCAATCCATATATTGAGGTCAACTGGTTTGATGTTGTCAATACAACTTTATCAAGCAGTTCAAATGATAATATTGACCAGACAATGTGGTGGAAATTATCATTTCATGAAACTGGTAGTTTATTATGCGTTTTGACATCTTTATCTAGTGTTTCATTTTACGTGAATACGGCAGTAAACTATCAGCAACCAACATTCAAACAACTCCAATGTCCACTACAATACGTCGTTCACGAACCAATACTACTACTGGTGCCGATGGGTATCGTCCTTCAAACAATATTTTACGTTCTGTTGGTATGCTTTATTGTTCTCAGATTCAGATACTAAATATGAAATCTAGTTGAAGCTTTTAACCAGCGGTCTATTACGGTTGTAAAACCTATAGATAACCCTGGTTTTGCTTGGTTATTTGTGCTTGAAGCTTTACTGTTGAGTGTATCTTGCTGATATCTAACACTACTCAATCCATACACTACATGTTATTACAACAATCATTTATAACCAGCCAACAAGGGGCTTGTGGCTGACGAGTCTAATCTCGACCTTAAAGGATCTGGTCTGAAACGGTTTGAAGCTTTGGAAGACTTGTTGGATACACGCCCCACCAAAGACGACTTGATTGAGCGTAATATTATGAAAGGTTCGAGTATACACCAGGATGCATATCCAATGAACTGTTTAAATGCTGTTTTCAAGTGTCTCACGCTTATTACGTAGCTGACGTTTCGGGAAAGCTTGTGGCTGCACAAGAACAGCTTAAAAAACAGCTGCTTGAGGTATCTAATGCAAACATTGTCATATGGAGGGTTTAGACAAGTTTAAATGGATTTCATTATGAATGGTTTAGGATACACTCAAAAACTCTATTGCTGCACGACCCCAGGCTCAAGAACTTGTGGAGCAAAATATTCTCAAAAGTAGTGTTTTTAACCCTATTGATGTGATGGTTTCTAGATTGCACAATCTGTAGATTGATTTTAAACTTTTTGGTAGATGATCAAATTTCTGGGAGAATCTCTGCTACTCAAGAGCAACTCAAAAAAACCATTATTGAGGTGAGTTCAAATCTACAAGTCAATCTTATTGAATTCAAAATAGGGTTTCAACTATTACTGCATTGGCATGAGTTTAACATTTTGTAATAAAATGTATTTGAACTATAGGATGCACTCAGGAAAAGCATTTCAAACCGACCTCCTTTCCAAGAGCTTATTGATCATAATATTCTCAAAAGTACCCTTGTTGATGCATCCCTCCAAGTAATATAGCATGATATAAATCACCATGTATGGCTGGTGGTAAAATACTAATGATAGTGTATAATGGATTAACGATTCAAGGCCAAACAAGAGGAGCTCAAAATGGCCCAGCTCAAAACCCATCTTGGTCGTAGTTTATCGGAAGTAAGCATATCCTCTATAGCCCAAAACGTTTCATTCATCCTATTCAACCACTTGTCATCTTCACGGTAGACTGATTGTTGGTTTTGTTTTTAGCGCAAAACTCAAGACCAGCTTATTCAAGCCAATATTCTTCAATTGAACCATTAACAATTTGCTTATTTTTATTGGAAAACAATCATGATGAACCAGAAAAAATAAATTTCTTTTGGATTTTTATTCAAGTTGAAGAGTTTTAGTTTGGGAATACGACTGTAAATATGACATGAATCACTAAAGATGTCAAACCGTATAATAAACTGCCAATCTCGTGAAATGCTTGAAATGAGTACTTTTTATTTTCATCCAAATAAATGCTAAATCCTCATATCATGTATTTAGCCAATGGTATTGATAGGGAAGATCACAGCAGGACAATAATCCTTTTCGCCAAGTAGCATTTGCATGTTTTCATCCATACCTGCGTCTGCAGCAGCGGCAGCAGCAGCAGCGTCGCCAGACTTTTGTGATCCGTCTGCATTGGCATAGAGTTTATTGAAAGTGTCACGAACACGCTTCTCGTGTTTGGGTTTAGCCTAACAAACATGAAGGTTCATTACGAGTTTGTATTCCATAGCAAGCTATCGACAGAATCAGATGGCAACAATACATATATATGAAACAAAAGATCTGTAGCTTACCATGACAGTAATGGGTTGAAAATTGGGTGGTAGACCATATCGTAGAATAGATTCAACAAACAATCGGAGTGCCTTGATATGTATCCAGCATGAATACAGTTCTCCAAAATTGGTTTTTGAAAGTCTGAGCAATGTTGACTATAGTATGATGTTGAGAATAGTCAGCCAACAATTTGGTGTTGATAAGTTATACAATTGAACACAACACACCCATTGCTCACGCTCGGCAGCAGTCAGGTCAGCTAGCTGTTTCTTATCAGCTGAAAGTCGCTCAGGATCCCATTTGAAATCACGAACAATATACTTGCGTTCGCGAGCCTTGTTGGAGAATTCTTCAATGACTCGCTGAAACAATGTAACTGAAAACAGCACATACTCGTCGTCTTCTACAATTTTACTAGATATGACCCAAACATGTCAATCTCTTGATAGCAGTGGTGGATGCACAACTTGATAAATCTTACACTGTAGATCGAGGTACAACCATTTGAGTAAGTGTTTCATAATCGCTCAACCATTCTTTGGTAGAGTGTCTAAAATGGGAAATACATTAGTGTTTAGGGATATGAATCCATCAACTGTGACATGATCAAATTGTGCATACTTGGGAACAGCAACAAGCAACGTTGCCATGTATTCCGAGTCCAGCACAAACATTTCCTTTTTGACCACATCTCCGAGTGTTCGTACAGCAAGGTTTCCACTAAAATCCAAAATCAATATGATGCCAACATAAAATGAACATGTATCGAGCCAAAGGCGGTTTTAATAAAAGGCCAAAATACGATTACCTGGATTTACGTTGAATTCCCTGCAATACACCCTTGACCTGAGAATATACCTGAGATTTAGTCTTCATCAATGTATCAATTGAGCTAACCTCCTAATAGCACATCCATGTACACACAGATTGGAATAAACCAGATGAAAAAATTCCAAGAGTTAGCATTGAACAGTTTAAAATGTATGAATATTAAATACCTGTATGATTGTGTCGGCAATCTCACGCAGAGTCTTGTCAGATCGATATTTCATGCTATTCCACTGAAAAGACTTGAGATAAGTCTCAATTTTCTCTATTCATATACATATCAACGATCAGTAACGGATAGAGAATGTAAAATATGAATGCAAGGGCTGGTGTTAAAAGGGATGACCCTTGCCAGTGCATTGGAAGAGTTCAAGACACGAGTAGAATGGCAGTGAGGACAATAGTCCAACAGCTCTTCATCACAGCAGTATTGAGACACTCGGAGACTTGAACAGATTAGAATTCAAGACAAGTGAACTCAACTGTCTCCAATAACCAGACTGGACTTCCACTGAACTAAATCCTGGTTGAGCAAGCCTTTGAGACCATCTGCAATCTTGACGACACTGGCTTCTAGCATTTGGTCAGTTTTAGCCAGGTCATCAGAGAGCACTACCAACGTATCCAAAGTGCCGACCTAGAATAGTAGACAATAGTTGAGACAAGTGATTGCATGCCATGAGTTTAGGGTTGATGTTGAATACTTTAAAGTCAGGCAGAGTGTATGGGAACACCTCGGCATAGTCAGCATTCTTGGACGCAATAGCGTCCTTGAGAGAAGCGACAGCTTCTTGCTTGGATGGCTTTCCAGGTGCAGACAGAAACCATATCGACGGTAGGACAGCAGACGACATGATGAAACGCTGGTAAGAATAGTTCAAGGTGTAAAAGCATCACACTTGCAACATCACCCTGACTGCAGTTTGGATCTTTATTAAACAATTGTATTCTGCTATGTTGCTATTCGACTACAGCAGAATGCTAGCATCCACTTGACATTGATCAGCGTGTATTTGAGTGCCTTTGTCCAGGCTTCATCTTGGTTGAATTGCAATCGGATCGATGCATCTCCAATCTTGTCCTTGTTAATTCTAATCATCGTGTCAGTATTGAATCATCTGCTAATCAACTCATGCATTCAATGTTACCTGTATGGAAGTCGAAATCTAGAATCATGTTGCTCGGCAAAATCTCCCAATTGCTGCACGCAGTTGAGGAACGCAATCAGTCCAAAGTCAAACCTTCTGTTCCAGAATATCATGCCAACAATATCACTCGATCCATATCTAATTGTATAGCTTCAGTCAATAGAATGGCTTGGTATTTGAAATCATTCAAATTGCAGATTCAACTTACAGTTCGTATATGTACTTTTCGCCATCTATTCGCTCAATTTTTGAAAATGAGCCCATGGGTAATAGTCGATAACTATAGCAATGCATTAAAATAGTCAAGGTTACAATCCAGTCATTTTAATGGCATTAAAATGAATTCATGGTTATTTACTTTACAAAAAGAAAACTGAGTTTAGTAGCCAATGTGTCGAGTAAAAATACAGTCTGGCCCATGGCAGCATTGATTTCACTCCATTCAACCTATATGCTTGTTAGTTGACTCAAACATTCCATTTTGACGAGTTTAAATTATTGTACTTGCATGAATGTTTGACAGTCTTCCTAGACGTAATCCATTGATGGTGCCAAATGGTCCATCATGCCATATACGAAACGCATCTTGCAAAACATTGGTTTTGCTTAGTACTTCTAAACGTTTTGTTGCTTGATCGTATTTGAGGTTGATACTTTCCAATTGGTTCTGATAGTTGGACAACTCTCGTTCTAGACTATTCATATCTTGCCAATAACTACTCATAGATATACCAACACACTGTCAATACAAGACGACAACAAGGATGATGAAGAATGCATTCACCTTTTTTCTAGTTCATCCACAGCATCCAAATCCAACTGAGCCATATCAAGATCTTTTAGAATCTGCTCATTCTCTCGTTCAAGATCCATCAAATCCTCCAAAGCACTCTTTTCTCTTAACCTCAACTGGATGCAACATGTCAGTAACACGGTAGACAGATATACGACAACCAATACGGCTTACTTGATTCAATTCTTCTTGGGTGATGGGTTCTTGGGTTGGATCGTGTGAATCGGTGTGGGAGAGTCCGTCTAGGAATCCTTGATACGTATCTCGTTCTAGGATAGCATCTCCTACTGTTTTTTCTAGACGAGCCACGACTTCATCTGCACAGTCCAGACACAGAGGATGATCGACTCTTGTTTCGGTGTGGGCTGAATCCGACACGAGTGTAAACAGCTTGTTGGCAACTTTGAGTCTATGACTCAAGTTTCCTCTGTGGTCTTCTGGTGGGTCTAGAGTAGACTGAGAGGGTGTATGAGGTAGAGGTGGAACTGAGGATGAATCCAGTTGGGGTTGAGCATCAGACTGAGATAGATCTCGAGGAAGCATCACAAACGAATCTGTGATGGTGTTGGACTGCTGGGATTCTGGGTCCGAGTCGGGAGCAGCACGAGCGGATCGATAGGGAAAGGAAGATCGTCGAAGTGTAGCATTGTGACCAGTATGAGCCAACAGACTACGACTGGAACTATGAGTGCATGAGTGTTGAGTGTCAGGCAGAAAGAACCGACCAGTTCGTCGTTGACTGGACTCAGTGTCATGAATATCTAACGAAGCTACACTTGACATCAGTCCATCATTCCAACAGCAACTTGGGTCATGCATTCAACCCAATGCTCACCCATGGCCTCTTCCGTAGAGTGATGTTTCAGCAGAGAAGAGTCTAGCTTCAATGGCTGTCCACAGTTCTGACAAAACACTGTTGCCAACAGACTATCGTTCGAATGCATCCATTTGGAATCCATGAGTTCAATCGTTGCTTGAATTCAAGTCTAAACTGGATTCTTGCTTTAGCTTCTCAACACTTTTCAACACTTATTCATTCTGCATAGATATTGCCATGTGTTTTATTCCAGAACAACTCGAATGTAAGGAATATCCGCATCCTCTCCAGTCTTGTCATTCACACATGCCTCGAGCACAAGTGATTTGGTATGCGTTGGAAACGGCTTTTTGGTCACTTCTTCAATCACTTTTGTAATTCTATTTTAATCAGTGTTAGTACATTTCATACATTCTATACTTTTGATTCCATCACCTCATCAACTTACGTTGATGCCAGTCTTTCTTGAACCTTTTTTGGCGGCATAAAGAACGAGTATAGCATTCGCGCTCCACACGATAACATAGTGATTTCTAAACCATGTTCGTTTTTGAAAATATCAAATAGTTGTTGAAGTGTTACATCCCCTTTGATATCAAATCGATCCCATAGAGTCCAGTTGACATCATTGTACTTGAATATGGGTGCTGCAATCGGCTCTGAAAATCCAAAAAAGGGTAGTGCAAGATTCACAAATCCATTTTTAAAGTCGTCCATTTTGCGTTTACCATCAATCACCTAGATACCATTCACCCATCGGATTAGTACATATCAACACTGGTAGAAGCATCTGGATATACAAATAATATATACCTTGTACAGTTCAAGACAGATGAGTCCAGTAACAAGACTCGTGGTTGTAGCAATAGCTGGAATGATTCGTCCCGCAATAAACTTGGTTTTACTTCGGTCTGCATGTTCAATAGCATAATTGCTTGCTCGGAGATTCGATGCAGCAGTAATAAAATCAATGTGGAAGTTGGTGTCGTCATCCTTTTCAAATTCAACTGGCTTGAGTCTCACTCCAGCAAAAGTAGATGCCGCTGGGAGTTCCTTGACTATTTTGTCCAAGTCGGTATCGGCCGACCCTGCTGATTGCTGGGCTGCTTCAGCTTCAGATACGGCAATCTTGACACCAGATTTGGGAACAAATTCGGGAACAATGATAGTCGTCAGCACTTTTTGAAACACCTTGATGTCGGTTTCTCCTTTTAATCCATAGTTGAACGCATGAAGATTCGCTGCTGCCAGCACAAAGTTAAAATGCAATGGATCGTTCAGATCAAATACAACCGCTGTCGGAGCACGCTTGGGTCCTGACCAAAATGGCATGCCAGTAGATGTTACCGAATCTTTGGGAAAATTATACAACAGCTGCTGAATGGTGTTGTTGAAATGCTCCTCAAACTTCATGCGAGCCCAAACAATGCACTCGTCAAAAGACAATGGTCTGGCAGTAACCAAGAATGCAAGAATGCTTTGCAGAGTATCAACATGATTACCACCCTGTCGATGCAGATTGTCAATGTAATTGGGCTGACTCAGATATAGATTGACATTGTCTGCTGGAGTACGGAACATTCCCTCAAACATATCTCTGGCCCATTGAATAGTGTGCTCAATGGCATTTGGAAAATTCTTGAGTGTGCAAATGGGAATCGACTTCTCAGGTGGATCCTGTGACGATGAGTAAGACTCGGTCAAGTGAGGAATCACTACTTGAGTGTTTCCCTTTGTGCCCAGAGTGCCAGACTCCAACAGTGGTTTAGAGAAAAACACACAGCGACGGTCCACATATTTGCGAGCATCGACATTATCTAGAGCATTGGTGACTCCGGTCAGTCTTTCCCAAAAAACGTCATTAAAGACATGCTCAGTATCTGCACCAACACGATCGGCTAAAGAAACAATTTTGCCTTTTGTGTGGGGATTCATGGCTTCAACAGCAGTTGCAGCACAAGTTGATTTAAGCTTGGAAACATCCCATGGACGGAAAAGAAATTGTCGATTCAGGTTGCTTTTTTCAATCGTGTCCATGTCGGTGACATGAATAGAACCTTCAGCACCTGTGCCTAAACCCATCAAGGCCCAGTTCTTGAGCATTTCACAGCCAATAGCACCCGCACCAACAAGAAATTGTCGAGAGTTGGCAATCTTGGCGTGAAATTCGGCACCATAAACGGCAATCTGATTGTCATATCGAGTGCCTTTTGGAGCAAACTCACTTTCGGAAAGGGTACTGATGTTAGTAGGAAGAGATTCAAGAGAATCAAAATACAAAAACTGATAAATAGGTGTAAATTTGCCACTGCATGCCTTCAAGACTTCTTGAGCAATTAAACCACCCATGACGGCACACATGGGTGGAAGATCACCACAAGCCTGAAACGATAATTCATGGATCAGCTTCTCATCTAATTCGCAAGGATTAGCAGTTGCCTTGTTGATCACTTTAGCCAACTCCATCAACTCTGCGGCATCAGCAGAGCTGCGAGGACGAGGAAGTTGCTTGTGTTTGATGCGAAATGCATCCAATGCTTGGAATCCAACGTGCAGCTGAGCAGGACGATCGAATTTGGCAAAGTCCGAAATTAAAAATTCTGGAGTTTTGAGCGATTCGGCAAGAGATTTCTAAAGTTTAAAAAGTCAGCGGGCTGCGTAGCTTAAGCGACATGATTGAAATGCAAATCACATACAAAGGAGATTGTTTTTGGCATCTTGACTTGCTTGAAAATACCACCCGACTTGTATGTTCCAAAGGTGCTAGTATTTCCAATCTTGAAAGTATAAGGACCTGCATTTAGATTCATTCAAGTAAGTCATCGTAGTAATGCTGTACAATCAGTTTTAAAGGCAATATTCAGTCATGATACATTGCACCACATTGAACATACCCGTAGTAGTCACTTGACGAGGCTCAATACCATTCAATTCGGTCATCCCCTGAACCTCGGTAAACGTCACATAGTCACCATCAGCTAGACCGTGACGCTGTTCTTCAAGAGAAGCAACCACACCTTCAGAATCCTATGAGGTATAAGAATTGTTGAATAAGAATGTGCCATTTGAAAAAGCTTAAAGTGGTAGTAGCAAAACAGGCTACCTTTCCAACGGATGCAATCATGCCAGTAAGAGGTTCTTCGCCAGTCTGATCCACAACAACAAAATGGTCACCAAAGTCGTTGAACGTGGCAGCAAACAGACCATAAACGTTGGCAGAAATAAACTTGATGCCATGCTTGTGAGTAATGGTATTGATGGCAAGCTGTGTTTCCAAAGAAGACTCGGTAAGCACAACAACTTGAAATTGGCGTAAAGCTGCTTCATCAAGAGCACCCTGATGAACAGTGATGGGAACATATGCATTGAGCTCTGCAAGACGAGGACAGGACACTTTATCTCTTGGTTGGCCCACATCTGAATCGTGTAAAAAAAACTAGCATATAAACTGATGAGAATCGATCATCTATGCACACCATTGGACATGAAATAAACTACAACGCACCTGAGAAGACAGATCACTCAGCTGTACAGGAGCAGAGTCGTGTAGCGTAACAGACTTGACACCAGCAAGAACAACATTTTTGGCTAATTGTAGATGAGTTTGTATATGAAATTAGGAGTCTTTCAGGAAATCCAAATCATAAGATTATATTTCTAATCAAGCCTTACCGATTTCAATACCGAGACCCTTGAGGCCTATAATCAGAACATTAGAGAGTGACATTTTTTCCATGGCATCACGACCAAGAACATAGCTATAACATACAAGATTCACCAGATATATTAGCATGTGGTAGACTAGACAGTCTACAAGAAATAGACCGAAATCCTGCAGATTGGGTTTGAATCAACAGCCAGTATGAATGCAAGAGGAGTCAAGTACAGCAGAATGAATCAACCCATATCTTGCAGGGCTGTAAAGTCAACATGGCATGTTCTAAAGGATAGTATAACCAAGTCGTATGTTTACGATAGTCATTCAACAGATGGGTTTGCTGCCAAGTAAATATGTTTATTGCTGACTAAAGACCAAAAAATTGTATCTGTACACACACTATCGTAGCAGTGAATATCCAGATAGAATCACAATACAATGCACAACAGAAACCATCACATTCTAGCAAATGTCTTGTAGATCTAAAGCAAATTGACCTTGTAAAAAGTGTTCATGTCAATTCACTTACAGTTGACGAGAGTACAGACCCTCATCCAGCTGAGGTCGGGTGGTCGTAGTGTCCATGTCGATGGGATTCATTGCAGATGTTCTACTGCAGTCGACTCGCTCAAGTCCATGTGTGGGTCACGGGAGTGTCACGTGGTTGGGTGGTTTAAATCTCGACCATCCGACTGGTGTTGCTCTCATGTCTGCCTCGGTTGCTGCTGGAAACTTACAGCTTGCTCTAACCTCTGTTGAAACTGAGATTCAAACTATACAGCATGACATTGAACTCAAACTTAAACAACTGCCGCATATTGGTCCAGGATGCATACATTCACTCGACCCTCCATCTATCCATACATCAGATCCAAACTCAAATTGTGACTGTCCTTTAAATCTCCTGGCAAGACTAGAGAGGCATGTATAGCCAGTTTTATTTTACATGTGAGATGATTTTGATCTAATTCGCATGGTTGATTAGGTTGGATTGTCTGTTTAAAAATATGGGTGTTGCCAAGGATAAACTTGTCGCAGATAAACATGTAAGCTTGATGTGCGCATGGATTGGATTCTCATGTGTAGATTGGATCAACTACTTACTCTTGTGGCAGAAATTTGCACTAGAGACAGAATCTCAACTGACAAGAAATGCCGAGTTGCTGGATTTGATTTTGGCAGCAACAGAGTTTGAAGGCGATTTTCAGATGCTACATACATTCAATGGACTCGTCAAGGATTTATCATGATCGACTTGATTTTTCCACTTGCTGTATCCAGAGCCATTCTAATAAACTGGATACATTCAGTTTGATGTTTAAAATTGATTCAACGATTTATCGGCTAGAGTTTATCCAACTCAGCCTTTGGTATTCTACAGACTATTTAGCTCCAAATGCAAATAAGATTCCATAAAATTCCATAAAATTGATTTATTGACCAGCAGCAGCACGTTGCGCTATTATAAATTAAACGTCAATACCCATATTAAACATGTACAACAACACTATTACTTACCAGAACGTCTGGCAGTTTGAGCAACAAATCCAGTTTTGATGGCAGATACAGACCGCGATGATCCACATGATTCACATTGCAGGAAAAAAAGACGGTTTTCTTTGGTCAATACAGTTTCAGCTGATTTGCAAGTTTTGCAGGTCACGTATTCGACTAATTGTAATCATTCATTCATGTATTGCGGTTAAATCAATACACTCGATATGATTCTCAAATCAACTTTAGATATACTACTTACCAATATAACGCTTCAACACGTTTTCAATCTGTTTTTGCTGGAATTTTCCCTTGATAATCAAACGTTGGTTACCATCAATCGAGCCAGAGGTACCCAACTCTGCAAACAAAAACTGAACAAGATGATCAGGCGTACGACGCATCCTAAACCAGACAATTAAATCAGTTACAGGTGCAAACCAAGCTATAACAAATGCTTTATCAATGCATTTACCTTCTACAAAAATCGACCAAGTTGGCAAAGGAGGTTTTTTTGGAACCTTCCTTCAAGATTTGCGGAGCAACAATATTATACTTGACGGTACCACCTTGGGCACGTTCAGGGTTATTTAGACGGATAATGTTAAACACACGAGTAAGCAACTCATTGTAGGTGTAGTCGCGATTGGATGAGAGCCAAGCTTCCTGGCCTAGTTTGGATGCAGCATTTGACTCGGTTTCACCCTCTGCACCTTCAGATTGACCAAAAGAAACGCCGTCATTTTGAGTTTCTTCACCATCCTTGAGGAGAGCTTCAAAAGCTGCCATATCAGACTTCTTCTTCTTCTTCTTTTCACCAAAGGTTGCATCAAAGTCTGTTTCGGCATGTGCACCATCCTGTGACTAGATTTGAGTTGAATGAATAGATGCGTCAATATAATGAACAAGAGGATAGATTCTGTTCAAAATCAATGGCAATCGGAAACATGTAGAATCAAAAACACAACTAGCAAGTATAGCCGTCATACCTCGGTAGTAGCCTTCTTCTTCTTCTTCTTTTTGAGATCACTAAACATTGAGCTAGAATCTTCAGGTTCAATCACAGCAGGAGCCTCATTTTCAATGGACTCTACAGGAGGCACTATGGGGTCTTCAGTAGTAGCCTCGTCGTCGTCCACAAACGTGGTCTTCTTCTTCTTCTTCTTTTTAAGTCCAGAAAACATGTCATCCTCATTGGCAACAGGGACCTCGTCGTTCTCCTGGACAGGAGGAGGAACCTCTTCATCAACAATGTCTTGAACCACCACAGCAGCAGCCTTGGACTTTTTCTTCTTAAGGTCATCAAACATGGCAGCAGTGTCTTTTTCGATCTCGGCCTGGTCCTGAACAGGAAGATCCCCATCGACGGCAGCAGTAAGAGTTTCAGTCTTTTTAGCCTTGGACTTTTTCTTCTTCTTTAGCTCGCCAGCAAAGGCAGCAGCGACTTCGTCGTCGTGAAGCGAAGACATATTTGACAAACAATCGACGAGTTGGGAAAAGATGAAAATCGCACTCACAACACTTTTGAGATCTGGATTGCAGCAGACGACGCAGCTGCTCGACAGCATGCGTGCTGCTTGCAGTTCTCAGACGACAACGAGCCTGCTTGACATCGATCCATGCACTCGGGCAGATCTGCAATCCCATCCAATATCACGTGATGCTCGATAACAGCAACAGCAAGTTTTCTTTCGACTTGCAGTCCAATTTGCTCATTCATGGATACTTACGACGAGGTAACTGCATTCAAAAACTTGATGGATCGTTTCAGACTACTGACTTGTTGTTTGTGTTTCTATTCAAGGGCGATGTTCCTGCCGAAGGAATCGAACTTCCTACTGTCTTTGCTACTGCTCAATTCACTGCTGCTCTAGAAGGATTCGGTACTTTAATGTTCAATCTATCACACTGTTTCCATGTACTAATTCTACTCTGGCTTTTTAGATACTGTAACTGCTTTATCATCCCAAGATGCTCAGCAACAAGTCAAGATCCCTTCTCCTGTTGCTCAATTCCTCACCCAGTTTCATGCTCATCTTGTCGAACGTAACACTTGGGAACTCCATGCGTTTTACGAAAACTCTTTCAATCAACTTACTGAAAAGTTTTATGCAAAGGCTTCCTGGCCCGAGGCAGATACCATTTCACACTTGGTGAATGATGGTAATGCAGTTTGGATGCGTTTTCTAGTGCTGTCATCTGAAACTAACCATTGTTGTAGATCCAACCTTTTTGATCCTGTACAAGGAACTGTATTACCGTCATTTGTACTCCAAGATGCAGCCTACTCTGGATGACCGTGTTCGTTCCTATACAAACTATTGTGATTTGTTCAACTTTATCTTGAGTAAGACTTGGTTGAATCTGTCGGCTATTCGTATTGCCATTGCTGTATCTGACCAACTTTTCTAATCTGCATCGATAGACTCGTCTGATGAGCCCTGTGAGCTTGATCTGCCTAGCCAATGGCTCTGGGATATTATTGATGAGTTTATTTATCAATTCCAGTCTTTTTCACAGTATCGCAACAAGCCAAAACACAAGACTGACTACGAGATCAACTTGCTCAAATCACGTCCTGATGTATGGAATGTGCACAATGTGCTCAATGTGTTGTACTCGCTTATCCAGAAATCTCAGATTAATGAGCAGCTGGTGGCTTTCCGTAATGGTGAAGATCTAGTGTCAGTAACACTTGGCTTGAATCTTGTCAACGCAATGGTATTGTTGTACTGATTATTTTGTAATCAATGCATGATTTAGTGCTGCTGCTGGAGAGCTTGGAAGCAAGCCTCTGTATCGCATGCTCGGCTACTTTAGTTTGGTGGGATTGCTGCGTGTTCACTGTCTTCTTGGCGACTACATGCTTGCTCTGGAAACCATGCAGAACGTCGATCCTGGCCAACGTGTAAGACGATTCTACTCTTCTTCAATCCATTCCAATGTTCTGACATTCATTACTTTATCTTAGGGTCTTTTTTCAAGAATCACTGCATGCCATGTCACCACTTACTACTATATTGGATTTGCCTATCTCATGATGCGCCGATATACCGATGCGATCAAGATGTTTGCCAACATCCTCAACTTTGTGTCCCGTACTAAGCACTATCATAACCGATCGTACCAGTATGAGATGATTCTTCGAAAGAGTGATCAAATGTATGCTCTGCTTTCCATGAGTCTTGTCTTGTCTCCCCAGAAAATTGATGAAAATGTAAGTCCTATTGAAAGTTGTATATATGCTTGATTTAAATCTGTCTACTAATTCTGCTGATAGATCAACAATACTTTAAAGGAGAAATACGGTGAACAGTACCAAAAGATGCAAAAAGGGTATGTTGAATGGTCATGATTTGCATCGAGTTGTAATTCTCGGAATGCATGTGTTGATGTATTGGTTTGTTTTGTAGAGAGGATGGTTTGAGCACGTTTGAAGAGCTTTTCCTGTATGCTTGCCCAAAATTCATCTCGCCATCAGCACCAGATCTTGAAAGCGAAGGTTCACTTATCCACGTAGGTTCTGTTTTGATCTAAACGTTGTATTCAGTCACTCATATACTTTACGCTCATGTAATTTTAGGATGCAGTAAAGCACCAAGCCAGGATCTTTCTTAGTGATATCAAGACTCAAATTCTTGTACCAACTCTTCGATCCTATCTCAAGCTATACAACAATCTTCCAATGGAAAAGCTTGCCACCTTTTTAGAAACCACTCCAGAAGATGTACGTCGCCAGCTTCTTGTCTTTAAACACAAGTCGCGTCAAGTAGTCTGGCACCATGGACCCATTTCCACAGGCTCGCTCATCTCTACTACTGATCTTCAACTTTATCTCAAACAGGACACTGTGTATATTGCCGAAACAAAGACAGGACGACGTGTTGCAGACTGGTTCATTCGCAACATGAACAAATTTGAGGATATTGTTGATGGTATGGAAAAGAAATCTACAGCTATTGCAGCACACTCCAACTGAGAATCGACAGATTGACTACAGCCAAGACTGAATAAATAAAACTTTGAATATTTGGTTTATTGCTGACTATGACACGTGACTTGAATGATAAACTTGCTCAACTCGATTCATTCAACTTTAATGGAATCTACAGTGCCTATCGCCAGCACTGACGCTGCACCAGGAGCGCAATGGGACCACGACTCTCGTGTCCATTATTCACTCCAACACAACGCTTACATTTACACTGGTACGTTTCTATCCAGCACATTTCTTATTCCAGATGCATGACACCCACTGGGTTGACTCGCTGCTTATTTGGTGGTCTCTAGGCGATGATGGTAGTTATACATACGACCCAACAACAAGACAATGGTTTCCATTCGTAAGTCGGTTTAATTCACTACAAAAAAAACGGACCAAGTTATTTATTCTTGCATGGATTTTAGTTTGATGAGGAATTGATCAAGGCTCAGCAGTCGGCCTACTACACCAATGTAATACCTTCTTGTGTTATGGTAATTGGATAGTGGAATACCCTGACGATCTGTTTTAAACCATCCAATTTGGTCTTGTTTAGGATCCAGCAGACGAACCTGAATCTCAACCGGAATTCAATCATCATCTAGACGAACATGCCAACGAAAAACGAAAAAGTGGAACCCAACCCACACAAGTAGGATTCAACCCCTTGATCTTATAACCCACTCCATCCATAGGTCGCAATAACTAATACTCTTACTGTTTAGAACTTGAAAAGAAAAAAACCCAAACATTCTACATTGGATGCTCAACCAAAAAAACGTGTTAATACTGCCGTATATGTCACACACCTTCCACACGATACGACCGTTACAGAACTGCATGATTTATTTAGCAAGTGTGGAATTATTCTTGAAGATCCTTCTACCAACATACCGAAAATCAAACTGTATGTGGACGATCAAGGTTGTTTTAAAGGGGATGCGTTGGTGATCTTCTTTAAAGAAGAATCGGTCGAATTGGCTGTTCAGTTGATGGACGATACTTTATTTCGCGCTGGTGATGGAATCAAAATTCGTGTTCAAAAGGTATTGGTTTTAGACTATGACTTTGGGTTGATATCTAACTCGACGGTTTCAATATCATGAATCTAGGCTGTGTTTCAAGAAAAACCAGCTGGTGAGGCTCATTCGGATGAAAAGGGTAAATCTGGCTCTGGTAAACCGAATACAAATGAAAAAAAACCTACACAAACCATTCGTCAAAAAATGGAGAGGCAAGTCTTGACACATTCATCTCCACATCAATCTATTGAAACTAATTCCAATCGTGTGCACATTTAGTCGATTGGGATGGTTTGAACACGAACAAGCCAAAAACAATGCTAAAGCCAACAAGGTTGTCGTGCTAAAAAAGATGTTTACATTAAAAGAACTTCAAGTAAGTTTCTCCTTGCTCTTTGGATTTGGCTTTGGATTTGGATTATTGACCTGTCTCACTATGGTGTAGGATGATCCCACCTTGTTGCTAGATCTAAAACAGGATGTCCGTGAAGAGTGTGAAAAACTAGGACAAGTAACCAATGTAGTTTTGTATGATGTAAGTATTTATTCAATGACTTGTATACAGCACGAGTAGGGATGGATGATTGAATACATTTTTAATCCATTTTTAAGCTGGAAGAAGATGGCATAATGACAGTTAGATTCAAGGATGTCGAATCTGCTGCTGCGTGTGTGTTGGTAGGTCCCGTTTTTGCTCACATTTATCCAAAAAACTAAGCAACCAGCGACTCAAACCTTGTGACTATTTGTAGAAAATGAATGGCCGATTTTTTGGCGGACAAACCATCGAGGCTTCACTTTTAGCTGGAAAAGAAAAGTTTAAACAAAGCAAAGGACAAACAGAGGAGGAAGAGAAGAAACGAATAGAAGCATATGAAATTTGGCTGGAGAGTCAACACTAAACAACAGATGAATCTCGTTTTAACCGAGGCAATACAAATGAAATTGTGTGTTGACACAATTGAGTGTTTGCAAGTGTATCAGACTATATATTTGAAAAGGTCGAGTGTTTGTTGACATGATTATATACATGCTCATCAGATCAAACTAAATTGAATCTGAGCTGATTACTGGATATGTAGAGGTTGGTACGATTTCATCCTGTTCATCCTGCTCAATCAGTCTATTAGCTTCAGCGTCGTCAATCAGCTCTATTTGAACATGTCGATTGGCATAAAGTATATAGTGCTGATACATGAACACCAGATCTACAGATATGCGTGTTAGTTTTAGCAATACAAAGAATAGCATTCCCAGAACATAGGTTTACATACCAAAAAAGATTGAAATACATCCGAGTCCCAACTTGATTGGGTTTCCTGTTATGCCAGTCCAATCGCTCGAGTTGGCACCATCAACCGCCAATTGCAAAAGTGATAAAATCCCACCGGAAAAATCCATCAGGGTATTCCAGATACTCCAACCAGCAGTTGATTTTCTGTAATAATGCATCAAAGCCTGCGGAGTGTATTTCACGAGCGTAACAAGCATCTTGACTGCAGCAAAGTATTCCAACAAATTTATCCATTGCCAGTTATATGCCGAGTTTTTGTAAAATTGTAATGTATCGTGGGTGAATGGCCACATGATTAGAAACATGATGATCACACTGCCCATGAAGACTGCTGTAAGAAAAAGGACTGCCCATAAAGAGAGGGTTGGATTTGGAGTGGATCGGTGGCCCCATGCAATCATCTGGCAGAAAACAGTGAATGATAATACTAATGCATGCACTGAAAACACAACATCGTTGAGTTGTACAGTTGCCTCTGTATCATACCTATCACGATACTGATTCCTTGCTAGCGGGATCGTATAGAGTGTAACATTGTAGATGGCATAACAGAGAAATCCAGTAGCATTGAAGCATACAAAATCAAGAGATAAGCCCTGCACACTGGATTTTAAACAGTAAATGGTTAGTTGAATGCTCCAAATAAACAGGTTATTGGAAATACCTTTTGGTCGAGTAGTTTAATATTGCCTGGGGATAAAAGGACAATGACCATGCAATAAAGTAGCTCTACAATACAAAGTCAGTTCAACATGACCAGTCTATGTCAATGACGAAACGCCACTTACCCAGCCAAGAATAGCAGAAACGACCCAAGCGATCATCACGAAAAGTATAATGTTGGGTAAAGTGAAATGTGTAAATTCAACAGTTGATTGCTTGAATTCTTGCAAGTTTTGGACAAATTAATTGAATTTGACTTGCAATAAAATTCCCTAAATATACAGTCTTGATTCCATAATATAGGGTTTGAAACTGTATATTTAGAGCTGATTCTGTGCTGCGACACTCGAAAACTTTAGCCTGCAATAAAACGACTAGCTCAAATGGATGTGAGTGATCTCTATACGCCTGGATGGGAGAATGCTCATCCATCTATTTCACTTGAATACACTGTATTTCAATGAGTTTATCATTTATCTGAATTCCATGCATACCAACACACCGATTATCTAAACTTTTATTATAGTTTGTTCCGGTCAATCCAAAACCATTTCTAAACGAACTTACAGGAAAGCCGATTATGGTGAAACTCAAGTGGGGTATGGAATATAAGGGATATCTGGTGTCGGTTGACTCGTACATGAATATGCAGGTTCGTTTTTGAACCATCTTTTTTGTTGAAGAATTGAAGATCCACTCATGCTGATATTCGTTTTATTGTACTGGCTCTCTCTTGCATGACTGCTGGATCTGTTGGATGTGATTTGACTGGATGAACACTGATCTGAATATTTTTCAAAATACTGGATATTGTACTGTACTTGATACCCATTGACATTGGACTATAGCTAGCAAACACTGAGGAATATATCGATGGTGTATCTCAAGGTGTTCTTGGTGAAGTCTTGGTCAGGCAAGTTTAGCTCAATATTCTCTCAACTATAGATGATTTGTCAAGAAATCTGCAATACTAAATATTGATGTTTATGATTTCTTATTATAGATGCAACAATATTCTCTATGTAAGTGATTTAGTTTCTTCTATTGACATTTAATCTGGATTGAACCAACACATTTGTATTCAATAGGTTCGACAGATCAAGGAAGATGACAAAACTAGTACGGATATGCAAGAATAAACTCGAATTAAAACTGGCATTTACTGATTATAATTTAAACCAAGTGGACTGAACTGATGAGTCCGAGTTGTGTGTATGAAGATGTATAGAATCAAGTGAATGATATCCAATGCAGCGAGTCCTTTACATGGTCTTGGACAAGCCCAGAACATCAATAAACTCAACCGACACAACAGAAGCCATGTCTACTGCATCAGCAGATGGGTTGATGTATGGAAACAGATTGGATACAGAAGTGGTTGAAGGAGCTACGCATGTTGGATGAGATACAGTCCCAAACATCCATTCGTCTTGAGTTAAATCAGATACAAGTTGTCGAAGGTAGACGTCGGTTTGTGTATGTAAATCTATAATCATTCAATGGTTTAATACTGTTGAATTGGTCATAAGAGTCAAGTTACCTGTAATATCGTCTTGGTTCATGGAATCTGACAACTGAATGGTTTCTTCCCATTTCTGAGATTGGTCTGCATGACCTGAGATGAAACAAGTGTCAGTCTTGATAAACATCTATGAGTGCACGCAGTATCGTAACGTACCGATATCTACTTGATGCCGTTTAGATGGGCTTGGAGTGCGTTGCATCAAGTCACGTAAAGTACAAGATTTGTCTTGCAATCAACTGTTTCATTCTAAAAATTCTTGTTGTCATAATTGTCATCGTAGTATACGATTAATGGATGATTCTGTCATTCAAATCAACAATCCACCAATATTAAAAACATCAAGAGTAATGGTTACTGACCATCTCATTTCATTTCATTGATTTGCCAAATAAATGTCAATCTTCACTCATCAAGATCGTCATCTTCATCAATACGAAGCCATCTAAGTCGTTCATCACCTGCACCAACCATCATCCAAACATCATCGTCCATGTACACTTTCACACAAGCCATCATCTGTTCTTCACTGAATCCTTTGGATATGACACGCTCGCGTACATCACTAAGTTGGATCTCTCGTTTGAGCGACCCATTGGATCGGGTACACATCTCCTTGATCAGCTCGAAAATAATCGAAATTGGATCCCGAGTATAGGTAGTGTCTTGTTCCACCAAGCTAGATTTAGAAACTTCCGTCAGTCGAAGTGCTTCATCCACATCTGTGATTTCCACCACGGCAGAAAATCGAAGTCGAGCCTAAATATACACCCCAATGGTAAAGTTAGTCTTGTTTTTTGCTCAAGTTTGAGAATTTGAAAAAGTATATACGTACCGTTGCAGTAGCAAGACGAATCACACTCAACAATGTTCTAGCACATGTATATTGGAAATCATCCATTTCTTTTGCCTTGCTGCGCATATGAACATACGAATTCACAAGATAATCTCCAACTTCGGCAGGCACAACTGGATCTATTTTTTTGGCCAAACTGACATAGTATCTCAGTAGTGGCAAGTCAATTGGCTCCGTTTGATCTTCACGGGGTGGATGCACCAATGCACGATGAACAAACGTAACGTGCTGTGCAAGTCGCAGGTCATCATCCATTGACGGCTTATCTAATAGCAAAAACAAAAGATCAAATCGACTAAGAAGGGCTGCTGGAAGATTAATGTTATCAGTAGGTTTCATGCGAGGATTGTAACGACCGTACTGGGGATTGGCAGCAGCAAGAATCGACGTGCGTGCATTCAAAGTGGTGGTAATGCCTGCTTTACTGATACTAATAGTCTGTTGTTCCATGACTTCGTGAATAGCAGTCCGATCACTTTCGTCCATTTTATCAAACTCGTCAATACATGCAATACCATTATCAGCCAGTACAAGTGCACCACCCTCGAGCACCATTTCGTCAGTAACTGGATCGCGCAACACAGATGCAGTCAATCCTACACCGGAAGAGCCACGGCCAGTAGTATACACTGCTCTAGGTGCAAGTTTGGAAATATACTTGAGCAACTGACTCTTGGCTACACCAGGATCACCCATAAGACAAATATTAAGATCACCACGAATCTTCATGCCATCGCTGGTTTGTTTGCTTGCACCACCAACAAGTAGAAGCAACAGAGCCTTTTTGATATCTTCGTGGCCGTATATTTCAGGAGCAATACTTTGAGAAAGTCGATGATATACACTGGCGCCGTTAGTAAGCTCTTGTAGTTGAGCATTAAGCGCAGTCGTAGGAAGCATGTCAGTGTACTGCTGCTTTGCATGCTCAATGTGATGTGCATCAAGATAGGTATCAGTGATCAAACCAGCACGCAGTGCACGAAATCCAGTAAAGGGAATAGGCATAACGACTCCAGAAATGTACACCATTTCTCCCGGACTAACGGATCGTGTTTGGTTTTCAGTTAAATAGACCGTCATGTATCTAGGAATGTTACCCATTGGCACTTGCTCCGTCTTGGATAAAAATAAAAGATAAGAGTTGACAAATTGCAGTACAAACAGCGCAGATCCATTTCAAAACTAAACTGCTTACCAATTCTTGAAGCTTGACTTCTTGAAACTTTAAAAACTTGCAAGCTCTAGTTTGCATATGCAACGCACCCTTTATATTATTTTTGCGACAGCTGTCGCTGGTGCAAATCACCAAAGGATTTACATTTTCAGAGACTACTTCCTGGAAAATCTCATGGCCACAATTGTCACAACTGTATGCAACAACAACCACCATGGGTTTGACATTGGATACACGAGTGACCATACCCTTGACACGCACCATCTTGCCTACGGACGTAGCCTTGATGTCACGAACAGAAACTCCCTTTGAAAACTTGGCACTTGGCTTAAACCGAAGCGTGCTGAGTAGCAAGATATAGTATTTGAATCAGCCCATAAAATCATAAGCCAAAGCTGCACATACTCGACTGTTTAAAAATTGTATCAAACAAGAATGACAGACAACTTACAAACGACGGGTCAATGCGGGAGGAAACATGGGAACAGCTATGGCAGAATTTCCGCCCTCGGCAATCATGGCATCTTCTTGCTGAGCATCACGTTGACGACGCTGATAGATAAGGACTTCCAAAGGATTGCTATCGTCAGTAGGCTAAAGCATTGATTTAATCAAATAATTGTTAGATTAGATCGTGCGGAAGTGTAAATTGACCATTTAATTGATCCAACATACGGCGGTTTCAGACGCAGGCAGCAAACTGTCCATCACTTCGTAAAACAGAGTAATATATCGTTTTGTATTTTGTTCAATGTTGTGCACAAGTCGTCCGGTTTGGTCAAACTAAAAACAAAACCATATTAACGACTGTTTGCAGTGGATCTAAACTAGCAAATTACTCGACCTTGTCGACATCATCCAGCGAGACTTCCACAGTGTCAATAGTCCGATCAGCAACTTGAGTCTACAATAACGGGTTGGTTGAGGCATAAGCGGTACAATCCAGTCCAAACCCTCAAGATATTAACAATAAAACCCACCAGCAAGTCAAGGTATTTGGTGCGCTGAGTTGGTTTGGAACCTCTTTTTTTGGGCGTAGATGTGTCGACTTGCTCAGTAAACTTTGAGAGGAAAGACTCTATTTTAGCTGTAGATATTCAGTCATGAAACGATTGCAAGTTGGTCAGCAACAGTTCATCAAACATGTCCGAACTTTACTCGACAAAACAGTCGATCGGCCCAGCCGTTTAGTAAGCCAATAGCAAATCCTACTCACTCTTTTCCTCATCGAAATTGATGTTAACAAAGAAGGCTGGAAGCGACATTGCTGCAGTGTCTGTAGATCTGCACTGTTGATGTCAAGAAAAGAAATGCTCGAAACTCGCAATTGTTGACACCGCATATTATACAGTCTGCACCGTATATTTAAGCTGATATCGGACACGCCGTGAACATCACTTTTATTCCCAACTCACTCATGCTGGCATCGGCTCATTCTTCTGGCCTTGACACCGCCATGTCCTGTGTCAAGGAAGAAACTCGAGGATTTATCAAACTTGCTGGAACTGTCACCACTGTTCTCGAGTTTTTTCAATTCGCCATCAACAATATTCTTTACCAACGAGGTCTTTATCCTCCTGAATGCAAGTCATCTTTACCATTTATTTCACTTGGATTCATTGTATTTACTCTATTCAATGTATTGTAGCATTCACTACTGTCAAGAAATACAATTTACATCTGTTGATTGCTACTGACAACGCCATCAAAGCATATCTAGATCAGATCATGCACCAGCTTCAATGTAGGCTCACTGTTTGCTGTCAATCAATCAGGATTCAACAATTATTTAAATATGTCTATTGGTTTTTGATGTATAGGCTGGATTTCTGCAAAAACAATTAGTAAACTCGTCATGGTGATTTCAACTAAAAGCACTGGAGAAATACTTGAAAGATGGCAGTTTGATGTGAATCTTCATCAGCACTGTATATCCAACCAGAAACCAGTTTCTGAAACAACCCTCACAACTGAAAAACAAACAAATGCTGAGATTGCTGCTATTATGCGTCAAATTACTGCTAGTGTTTCGTTTCTTCCTATACTCGACGATCCTTGCACGTTTAATATTCTCGTGTATACTGATAAAAATGCATTGGTACCACCTACATGGGTTGATTCGGATCCTAAGCTTATTTCTCACAATGCTGAACAAGTCAAACTGAGATCTTTTAGTACAGCTATGCACAAGATTGATGGTTTGGTTGCTTACAAACTCACTGAATAAACTATCATGGCTTTGTATATGGATTGCTTTACATACTCAAATACAAACCACTGCATGTTGGAACGTGCCTTGGCTGTGGATTCGGTGTGTTGAAAATAGCTTGTCCAACTCGTTCGAGTTTGAACTTGCAAAATACTGGAATTTACTATTGTATTCACGTAATAAGACACTTGTTTATCCGTTGTCATTGAAACAGAAATGCAAACGTTGACTCGGTATTCTTGTACAAGAATGAGCACAAAGACAGTCAACTAGAGAGTTTAAAACACATTGTCCAGTAGATTTGGTATCCATCATTTCATGAGGTTGGCCGTTTATGACTCTTATCTAGTGATTTACGTGAATATGATTGTAAATACATCAAGAATATAGTTTATTGCTTATATGCCTTGATCTCTTCAGATGTCCACATTGGTCTAGTTAAAATTCAAGCAGAGTGTGAGTCATCACATCTAGTATCAAATATATAGATTCACTGTACCTTATGGTGTTTTTCGGATAATCCTTGCGAAGCAAGTTGGAAAGTACACGCAGAGGACCCATAACTATCCAGTTGGAGACTCCTCCGACTTCTTTGGCATACCGAACAGATTTCTCCCATTGAACAGTCTGCGTAACTTGATTCTTCAACATGGAGCCAATTTCAGATGAACTCACATACTAAAAGCACACAGGATGGTTTAGATGTATGAGCATAATCCATCATGCATACAGATTTAAATCCTACCGGTTTGGCTGTAACGTTGGCAATCACGTCAACTTTGGGTTGGCAAAAAGAAACCTCTTCAAGAGCTGGACCCAAAACATTTGTTGCCGGTGTCATCAAGCTACAGTGGAATGGTGCTGATACTGGCAACGCGAGTGATCTTCCAGCATATCCTTTGAGTTGCAACACTGTTTCCGCATACTCGACTCCTTTTAACGTCCCACTCAATACAATCTTTAAACATTACGCATCAGTATCGCTTGTAGAATAAGCACCCTTATTAAAAATGCAAAAGTTAGGTCCTTACCTGTGATCGACTATTGATGTTTGCTATTTGAGCCACTTCACCCTTTGGCATAGATTTTTGAATCTCGAGCATTTCTTGCTCAACATTTGCTAGATAGCCTTTTGCAACTACTAGTGCACGCATCGATGTCTGTGTATCAGTAACGCACGACTGCATAGCAATACCACGCAATCTCACAAGCTTCAAGGCATTCTTGAAACTATTAATAAACCAAAAACAATGAGTTGTAAGCAACCCAAAATAAGTCATGAATGGTTTCAGTTTTTAATTCTTCAATGGCGCCAAATACTTACGATAAGGCACCTGTGGCAACCAAGGCAGAGCTAAATTAAGTCAAAGACAGTCAGCAACAAAATCCATCAACACTGAGATGTGCACATACAACATTGTACACTCACTATTCTCCAAGACTGTGACCCAGTGCATATTTACAGGAGTTGATATCAAATCCAAATTCTTTCTGCATAAATCAACATAGAAAAGTGTAAATGTCAAGATATCAATTGAATTTCCATCTTGAGCTGACCACAGTTGCAGAAATCTACCCAGTCAATGACTTACTTGAAGAACTTGAAGAATAGCAATAGAATGACACAAGATGGCTGCATAAAATCCATTCATTTTAGATTCACATGGCAATCTGTTCATATCCATGAATCCACTCACCTGGCTGCGCATTGGGTGTCAGCATGAGATCCTCCTGAAACATTAGATTACAAATAGAATATCAATAATCTTGAAAATACTTCACGATGGTCGTATTGCCAATTGAATGTCAACTCTTACATGAGGCCCTTTGAACATCATCTCACGTAATCCACCACCAAGAATATCGTTGCACTCGTCAATCGTTTCTTTAGCCGATGGGAAATCTTTATATATATCCGCTGCCATGCCTATGAGTCAACCCATGCATAAAACTTTAGTATCGACTGTCATGAATCCAGATTCACAGCATCACAATCACTGAGTGCATACCAACATGCTGTCCATATCAACGAGTTATCAAGATCCAGCAGTAAAGTCGAGTATAAACCATTGTTAGTCCTTTACTCATTGTTTAAATACACAATTGATATCCAGAACTGCAGTAGTCAGTTTCTACCTGAGAGCCTTGTCCAGGAAAGATAATTGCAATGCTTCCGTCGTTTGAGTGACTATCCGTCGTGGAAGCAGCCTAAACCCAATAGCATTCAGTCAATACAAATGATAACTAGTGAACACAGTCATCAACTATTGAACATTCAAACAGTATCCTGACAGTTCAACTAGTCGAATCAGCACTGTGATGGTAGAAACTTGCATTAGTAGAATACAATCGACTCGACCGGATAGATGGATGGAAAGTCATGCATCGCTGTCTTAAAGCCTTGCGCAGAATCAAGTGGTTAATTGATGGCGTTATACTAAACATGAGTGATTCTATATCCAAGATCGACTGGTGTTGGATTGCCAATCTCGCGGTCAGTCCTTCAAATCCATTCAATCATGTCATGGAAAATATTCGTAAAATTCTATTTCGATTGAATTCAATTCATTCCAAGACTTCAAGTTTATTGCTATTTCTTGATGGCATGTCTGCCAAGTTGTCGTACAAGATCCTCAACTTGTGCCTTGAATGCCAATCGCATATCTTTAATGTCTTCCTGCAACTCTTCAGCACGTTCCGTCTTTTCTCCAAGTATTTCCAATGCAGTGTTATACCTAAATAGTCATACACGATTAGACATAATTGATTCCAGTCAATTATGGGAGGTTTTTCAAACTTGCCGTTTTTGAAGCTCAGTAAGCTCAGACTCGATGGCTTGAGCTTTATCTGCCTTTGCTTTTCTGTAACATATATACAGCTAGTCAGTGAGCTAATCAGCTTCTTCAAAACACATTAAAAATTAAAAATTTACAATTCTTCGCTTTCAGCAGTCAATCGAACAAACTCGTCAGACATTTCATCTACAGATAACCAACACAAGCATGCAAATAATCCGTGTCAGTCAAATCGATATTCTGCTCATTCAATAAATAGTTGCAAAACTCAACTGCGTGTTTGAGTAGCCATTCGCAACTGCAACTGCAGTGACGAAATCTGTGATTCACTTTGCTTGATCATCAACTGTAATCGTTCAATAATTACTACTGCTGGGGTGCCAGGTGGAAATAAAGTAGCAGATGAAACACCCTATTCAAGTATACACGTTAATTTCAAATTAGTTGATTTGATTCTATAATCTAGATACCCTTGACATTAAATAATTCTTGATGGGTCATGTTGTACATGCACTTACATTGGCAGAGAGTACATGGTTGCCATCCAAATGCTGTCGTTCGGTAGATACAGGGTTTGCACTTATATCTGAGCTAATACTATGGCTTTTCTCGTGGCGAGCAACTGAAGATGTTTGTAACTGTTGTTGCTCCACCTGTAGCTTCTTTTTCCACTTTTCCGACTCTTCAAGTAATTTGGCAGCAAGTTTCTCCTACAGTCAAAAACAACAGTTAATTCAATCCCTTGACTCTCCAAACATGCATGACAAACTAGTTTGTGTACGAGTTGACTCACCTCAAACTCCTTTTTAACTAGATTTGTATTTTTTTGGAATTGGTCCTTTAAAAGATCAGACTGCATCTGTAGCTCCTTGACCTGTTCCTCAAGATTTGCTGTTTTTAAACGATTGTCCTGTTTGGTTCAAGGCATGCAAAAATAGTAAAATTCATACACACATGTTCAGTTTTAAATGGATTGCTTCAATAAAATTACAAAACAATCGTCCAACTCACAGCTTGGTCAGCCAGCAAACAATGCTTTTCTTGCAATTCTTGCACATTTTGCTTTTCTAAAAGTGCAACTCGATTGGTCTGTACAGTTTTGATGTGTGAATACAAATAAGAACCATGTTTAAATTATCGTAAAAAATATAGATGTCCATAAAGTAGAAACATACTAGCTCCAATGTTCGATCGCGCAATAATGCTTCTCTATCCATCGACTCGCCCAATTGCTTTTCAGCATCATGGAGTTTTTGGGTCAACCTAAACATTGAGTGGTAAGCACAACCTGCTACATCCAACCCAATCATTTTATAACAATATACCATACAATCGTTCAATGTGCTCTTGTTTTTCTTGGCCTTGGCTACATTGTGTCTGCAGAATTTGTATTTGCTGCATAAGTGGCTCAGTAGAATCTTGACCCATAGCAGCCAAATCTTCATTTCGTGCTTCTGCTGCATGAAGCTGTCGATGAAGAGTCTTGCCATTCAATATTCAAAAAATGCATTGATTTGAAACACGATTTAGATAAAACCTTTCAATGTTATATATGGCATGTGGTCAAGTATCCTACATACTTCAATCTCTTGGCGAAAATTATCTTCTTTCCATCCAGATTCGTCTTGTGCTCTAGTTAGACTGGTTCGTAGTTCAAAAATTTCCTTGTGCAATGTATCCTCAGCTTGGGCAGCTTTTTTCTGAGACTCCTCAAGCTGGGAACGCAACTGACTGTTCTCCCTCATCTATAAAACGCAGGGCGTACATTCACGTCAGTATTCAAATCTCATTCCAAATAAAACCCATTGCAAATATTTACCTCGGCCTCGAGCGTTGCGGATTGTGCAGCAATCTGAGTATCATGATCTTTTGTCTGAATCTCGTCCAGCTCCTTTTTACAATTTTCAAACAGGCTTTGCAATTCCGTGCTCTTTTCACGTACAGAAGCCAATTCTTTTTCAAGTTTATGTCGATGTCGAGCGTGTTGATCATTATAGTTTTCAAGCTCTTTGACTTTGGCTAAATTAAAAATATGCCAATATAATTATATCAAAACGTAAGAATCATCCGCCACAGAATCAGTCTGTATGATATGGCAATGCATCAATTGTTTACCCGCCAAACTCTTTTCAGAGTCACTGGTTTTGGACAACTTTTCTTTGATTTGAGCCAGATCAGCTAAACAGACTTCCAGTCGTCGTTGTGTTTCCTTGAGTTCTTTGCCAAGCTCCGACTCGACCGCACGAAGTCCCTTGATTTTTGTATTAGCTTTTAAAATATCCTTGGAAAGTTTCTCGCCTTGAAATTCCGCAAATCAAGCCAACATGGTTACATTGAATATTAATTTTAAAATATACTAGGCTACAGCTCAATCTATACTTTGAATCCATTTTATAGATCGTTACCTTCAGATAGCAAGCCTTGAATGGCCTCCTCCTTGTCACGCAATGCTCTTGTTAGCTCATTGACTCTATTGTCAGTTACGCTATTGCGAATACTACTGACACCACGATCTCGTTCGGCTTTTAGCTCAACAATATAAATCTCAAGCTCTTGAATGCGTGTTTTAAGAGCATCCACATTGTCCTGCATAGTTTTAACTTCAGCCAAATACTGGGCCGTTATATCAGCCACCTCTGCTTCGTGTTTCTTTGACAGTGCATCAACAATTTTGAATGTTTCAGAAGCCGATGTACTAAGGGTTTCACCAAGCTCAGTATTCAAAATGCTAGTTTCAATTAAATTGGGTTTGACATCGATTTCCCCCTGTGTAGATGCCATAGTATCATGGTAATCAGATACAGGTTCAATCTTTGATGGTGTATGTGCCGATTCGAATAGCACAGGCGATTTTGAAACAGATTCCTCCAAAATTGGGTTGGGTTGATCCACCAAATCAGTATTCTCCACGTCAATTTCTGGTGCATGTTGATTCGACAAAAAAGTTTCTTCAAGAGATATACTATTGCTAGTTACTGCACTGATTTCCTGTTGTCTATCGGCGGTAAGCATTCCGGTAGGCTCAGAAACTGTTTTAGCAATTGTGGGTTGGATTACTGGAAATAAGTGTTGGTCATCCATTTCAAATTGTTTGGATTCGGTAGTTGGTGCTAGATTCAAAACTTCTGATTGATCCAACACTTTGATGGGATCGTCCAAGGGGATATCCCAAGAATCCGGTATGTCTGTCATTTCCGTCATGTCTTGAAAATGCTCTGGTTCTGCACTGAATTTAGACTCAGGCTGAGAACAAGAAACAGTTTGAAACGATGATTTCCCATTCGTTATAGGTTCCATTTGAAGATCATGGATAATAGTAGGTGTAATTTCAAACCGTGCCAATGCAGATTGTGGTCTTTCAAATGAAAGCATCCCACTAGGAGATTTGGAAGAACCCGCACTGACTGAAGATCGCATATTTAAATCAATGTTATCTGACATGCTTCGTTGTCGTGTGTAAGGATCATTTGCGGAATGGTTAAAATTTTCAAAAATTCTACTTGATGCTCGACGAGTTGGATAAGCGGGACTTGATGGAGATCCAGATCCACTTGCTTCAATAGGTTCAGACATATCGTGCTCATTAAAAGGCGCGCCATTTAATGACAGTGGTGCAGGTACATTAGACTTTGAGTTTGTAGAACTTAAACGACTCCAATCTGGTTTTGATCGTGAAAAGTGTCTTTCCTGAGAAGCTGGAGATTTGGGTTTAGGCGAGAGTTGCTCTTGAGAGATGGGAGATTTTAATTTTGGTAGCAAGAGTTCTTTTACACGGGAGGTTGGCGATGATTCTGGTTGAGATGTAGATTTCTCCAACTGAAATGTCGATGCAATTGCAGATTTAGAAGTGGAGACTAAACCACCTAGCATATCTATAAATAATTCGTCTTGGGTTTTGGTGCGCTTTCCAGGTGCTCGCGATAGTTCTCGCTTCGCCTCTTCCTTTTTTTGCCACATTGGATTGACAGATGGAATTGAGCTTGATGCAGCTTGAGTTTTAGTATCGCTAAAAGCTGTGGGTTCTGATAATTTTTTAGAGCTAGATCCTCCAATTCCATATTCTAAAGTAGGTAAAAGTGGTTTGGCCAGCTTATCGTCTAATCTTGTCCGTAAAATATCAAAAAGCAATCTAAACGGTTAGTTATTATTATTAAATAAGCTTTGATGGTTTGTGATGAAAGCTAGGTATCCTTTGCAAGAAATAAAACATTGTCTACAATCCAAATAAAATGTCGAGTGCAGTGTTGAATCAGTATCGCATTGCTATAACCTGACAAACTATCCATCGCACAGCAACCCATCAATGCATTCAATATCAAGCCAGTCGAATTGCTTTGAATCAATCCATGAATAGTAGACTCAATACATTCTGCAATCAAAACTCCACCTGGTTGAATATCGAGGACTTTATCGATGCCACTTTCGACTGTTGTCATGGCCTGTTTCACCAAACTAGTAAAGGCAGCAGCTCCCTCACTAGAAGTGATATTAGCAAACCAGCCGCTCATTTATTATCATCAAACGACGGGCTCAATGTCAAGTATATATTATTGGGATTTCAAGCTCCGATGAATATAAAAGTTCAAGTCTTGGACATTGGATTTGAATTCAGTTTTGATTCAATTCAGTTCGGTTTCAGATATTTTGGGGTTGAAACCACAGGGTCGAATTTGGTTTCATGTTCAATGGACCCCAAAGTCTGCATTACAAATAATGCAAGTTAAAAGTGTCGGACAACAAACTGTTTATTGCTTTTCTGAAGAGTTTTAATGTAAAATCTGATTGTCAACGTCGGACGATTTCAGACATGGCTCGCGGCTTACTTTTTCTTGGACTTGTTCTTGTCCTTTTTTCCAGACTTTTCATTCTAATTCATACAATGGGTTAGAGCAACATTGATATGCATCCTGAATTTTAAAAGTGTAACTTGATATCAACGCACCTTTTTGCGAGCAATCTCACGGCGAACCAAATGTCCGCGAAATACAGCCTGAATCTTAGTTGCAGCTTCAGTAGCTTTCTTAAATGCCTGCTCCTTCTCCTAGATAAATACACGTATAATATGAATATGCAATGCAACAAAGTTGTGGAAACCCCTCCATACTATAACTTGCCTTTTTCTTTTCCTCGGCAATACGTTTTTCCTCTGTGATCTTTTCAAACTCTTTTTGAAGATCGGTGTATCGTTCCTGAAGTTCATCCAAATGTGCCTTTTCTTCCATAAATATAACCTAGTGGTACGATATTTTATAGGTATTTCAAAAATGATCCCATTGGATTAGGATCGTTAAACAGCATTCAAGATAGCCAATAAAGTCGTTTCTTACAGTAATATCATCAATCTCGGCCTGTTTTTCTTCCATGTCTTGATCATACTTGTGAATCCAGTTTTCAACTTCGGATTCAATTTTGAATTTCTTTTTCCGTAGCAGTGCTTCTTCTTCACGATTGCTAGCTGTATCGTCTTCTAGTTGACGATTGGCACTTTCTATCTCCTGCCGCAGCGCATTTTCCTGTGTATATCATGCATGTGAGTTACGCATTCAAATAATCATGCATGCATTCACTAGTCTACCTTTTCGGTAAATGCGCTGATATCGGCTTCTTCTTTTTGTTTAGATTTGATTTCTAGCTTTTTTGTAGCCTCCTCTGCCTGATGTTTGATTTCACGCAGTTCATCTGTATACCCACAAGTGCAGTTGAAATAAAGTAAATATTTGAAGTTTCACTCGCTTGATCATAACTAATAGTCAAATATTAATCCGGTTTACCTTTTAACTTGCGAATCACCTCGTTGCGTTTGTTGATTTCGCCCATACGTTCTTTTTTTGCCTTTTCAAGCTCTTCTTTTAAAAACCTAACTTCATTGCTTGTCTAACCCACCAAGTGATATAATGTGATCAATATACAATACATCTGGTATTATGTCAGCTACACACCAACCTTTTTTTCCTTGGCGATGATCACTGCCAGTTGATCCTGCTTGGCCTTTTCTTCCTCGACTGTTGTTTTGAGACGTCCATAAACAAGCATTTTGATTTCCTGCAGCAAGTGCTCAAACTGTGCCACGGTTGGGCTTTTGCTAGATTTAAGATACCGTAGTTTGGCTAATGTGCTTGTGTTTTGTAGAAAATGCCGTGTTAATGATCGAGCTGCTGATCTCACCATCTTGGTAGCCTCTCTAAGCTCAATCTAAATCATTGCATTGGAATTATTATCATACAAGCTGGATTGAAACAATCAAGTCATTTAAACAACATCAAGAAAGAAAATATATGCTGATTACGTACCATGTATGTATCTGATTTGTCTAGAGATTCTTTAGACTCTAGTATAGTTTTATACTTTTGCTCTACTTGTCTATACTCCTATGAATATTGATGCGTTGAATTAAAGCATACATATGGATCATTAAAGGTTAAAAAAGGTCACTTCAAAAACACAATCAAACTCATTTGAAATATATACTCTAGTTTAACTAGGCATGTTTATAAACTACCTTGATCATATTGAATGTCTCGCTGCCAAAGACGGTCGAAACGCGACGGTCGGTCACATCAGGCAGCAGTCCAATTAAAAACACTTTGCGTTGGAGCTCATGCAATACAGCCATAATTCGCTGAGCCTCCAAGTTGGTTAGATTGCTTGTATATGAAGAATTTTCTTCAGGTATATTGCTGCTTCCAAAATTGTCAGGAGTACCAATGCCAGCTGGGCTGTTGCTGTCTAAATAGTTGATAGGAGTGGAGAGAATTGAACTGTTTAATGGATTTGCGAATCCTGGTGGTGTCTGCATGAGGTTTGTGTTGGACCCTCGGTTTATGGGTGGAAGGATGTGAGAACCGCCGAGTTTTCCGTGGTCTTGTATCATTGCAGCCATATCTATTCTGATATCTTTGAAATTATAAATGTCAAGGAAACTCGAAACAAATACAACCAAGCCATCACGATCTGTCTTGACTATTTGAGTGTCTATTCTATGATATCAATGCTGACTGTATCCATTTCAGCTGAATCCACCCTACGTAAAACAACGATTCTAGCCGAGTAGGAGTGTTTTATATAGCAAATCATGTTCACCACGTCCAACCAGGACTCATTGCTCTGTATGGGATGTATTCATGTCGAGCTATTTCGCGTTTTACTAGCTTTGATACAACATTCCACCAACTTGAGACTTGCAAAACACATTCTAAAGGAACTAGTCAAAAATGCGTCAATTTGACAAGGCTACAGTAGTGGACGAAGAACTTCATGATCTAAAACTCAGATTTGAGCTTTTGGAAGGCGACCGTAAAGCCTACTACGAAACCAGTCAGTGGGCTATTCGACGCAACAAGGAAGAAGTCAACCACTTGCGTGGTCAAAATAAACAACTCAGCGAGGCCATCTCTAGGATCAAAAAGGTGCGGCTTGCTTTGGATTTTATGTGAATAATGAGTTCCAGAACTGTATATGTTATGATGTAGTGCGTGCATGACAACTTGCTTTCATATCCATATAACATTGGGCATTCGATGAAAGTGGCAACCGGCAATCCTGCTATTGACTCAAAGTCGCGTATATCTAAAACCACCATAATATAGATTAGTGTTATTAACTATATTGATGCATGCTTTATTTCCAACTATCCAACTTCAATCAAATTTGTATATTTAGTCAGAGATTGAAACTCATAGCAGTAGACTCTCTATGACTGAGCTGGAAAAATTTGACCACAAGATATGTGAAATTCAGAAAAAGTATGACGAGCTTCAATCCGAGGCTCGTAGCAAAGAAGACAAGCTACGTGGGCTAGTAGATCAACTGTCCGATCTCAAACGTGAGGCAGAGATGGTCAAGTCGAATGCCAAAGATTCACCTCAAGCCAAGGTAAGCGCCATGCTTAAAAGTATCTAGTATCCAGTTTGAAGCATCAATGTACATGTGCGTTTATTATATAGGAGATCCGAATGTTGGAAAACAGGTTGGACAAGGCCATGATTAAATACAATGAAGCTCAATCCATCCGAAAAACATACGAGCAAATAGTAAAAAGTCTTCAGGACGAACGCTTGTCGTTTGATAACCAGCTTGCCAACTTTGAAAAGACTTTAAAATTCAAAAAACAAGAGGCCAGCGAGTTGGAAATGATGTCGCGCGACGCCAACCATGCAAAAGAAGTTGCCAAAGCAGAGCTTGCTCGATTTGAACAACAAGTCAATGAAGAGCGCAAGCAACGTGAAAAGGATTTACAGATGCGCAAAGAGCAAGTAAAGCATAAGCTGGAGGTGAACGACAAACTCGATCGTAAAGTCACCAAAATGGATGACCAAAATGCTGATGTGAACGGAAATTTGGAAGACAAGGAACTATATGACGAAGCCGACGAAAAGAAAAGAGCCGAGTATGAAGAAACAATGAGGCTAATCAAAGAAGCAACAGGTGTATCAGACATTAATGAAGTGATTGCCAAATTCCAGTCACAAGGCGATACACATCTTCATTTGGCTCAACTTCAAAACGCAAACGCAGTAAAACTTTCAGAGCTTAAAAAGAAAAAAGCACAGATTATGGCCGAGTTTGAAGAGCTCAAGTATACAGGTGAATCTAAACATTCACACAGCACACGATTGGTTGAAGAGTTTCAAAAGCACTTGAGCGATAGTCTTGGCCGTACCGAAGAGGCCAAGATTAAATACGAGCGAGCTGCCGAGATTTTAACCAATGCCAAGTCTGGTGTGCAGCATTTGGCTGACAAGCTCGAGTCGATCCACTTTGTAAGTTGTAGATGTGATTTTCGAGTATTTGAAACTTGGTGTTGATTTTCAAACTAATAATGTGACGACTCCTAATAAATGTAGCCTGACATGCCTCAAAAGATTGAGAATATTACGGATGAAAACGTGGTCGAGACTCTGCAAATATGTATTCGAAAGCTTGAAAGTCTAGTCATGGGTATTGACGGCAAGGAGCTTCCCGAGGTATCCAACTATTTTTACATGTACATGATTTTATTAAAACTGCGATTACTAAACAAGTACCAATGAAAACAACGCCTGTGGTTTCAAATAGACACAGCAAGCTCCTCCAGCACAATCACAACAACCTTTAGGTGAAGCCACCAATATTTTGCATGTCAACCAAGCGAATCTTCCTCAGTTTAATACACGCGTTAAACTTCGTCCTGTCGAGTTTGAGGATGCCGAAATCGATGGTAAGCTATTATGAATGATAGTCAAAATATTAGTGCCAAACCAGTACAGGTGTATAACGAATTTATGCATCATCTACTATTTAAACAACAATGAATTAGACGACGATGAGAATGACGACGAGTATAGCGAGGTGCCAGATCGTGAGACCATCAAAAGGCATACAACGCAGATGCTGAATGCACGATTCAAGACAAAGCAGCCCAAGAAGATTAAAAAGAAGCGGGCTACCAAGGAAGAAGATAGCAGTTGAATACAAAGAAATATGATAGAGTATTGATTGAAAGGTTTTTGTGCATAATAAGTGGCTGGAGATGAATGGAAACACGAAGCTGTTTAATGTGGAGATCAGATTTCAACAAGTATATTTTACAACGGTATTCATGTCAAATGTAGTACTAAATAAAGGTGTCAAGGTACATGAGCAGCCAGTCTCATAAAATAATGGTTCACACTACATTTACTAGACAAGAGTGTATTTTTTAGTGTTTAGTTTACTGGTGTTTATTTTGGTAACTGGCATGAGACGACAGCTGCAATCACTGTCTTGAACTAGAGCGCGAATGCATCTAATATTTTAGAATACAACAAGAATGAAGTTGCACAGAGCTTTGTTGGGAACAGTCAAGCCCAACACATGTACTGCAATGGATGAGTTCAGTTTCAAACTTGGTGATCGTGAAGTATATGGCTATGCCGAAAGTGAAGAAAGGGAGGTTTAAAAGAAATAATTCCGATTCAAGCTTATAGTTTGATTGTGTATAATATGAATATTGTGTTTGAAACAATTGTGAATGTCTACTCAAGTGGCAGTTAATCTCTGATGAAAAGGCATAGCGAAGAGTTGGAGATTAACCCACAACAGAGCAACGACTACAGGAGAAAAAGGGTTTATGTGAATATGGCTGTAGTAGCTTGTGTGTGGTATGATTGGAGTTGTGTTACTTGTCAGTACAATAACTATGCTGAATATCTAACAAGACTGTTCAGTGCCAAGCGAAGACTAGATCGCCCTGAGCGCCTTTTGGTGAAGATTAAGTGTGTGCAAAGTCACAAGCAAAACTATTTAAACTCGAACCAGTTTCTGTTGCTGCTCAGTAGATCTTGAGCTACACATCAGTCACTGCAACTCCATAGCAGTTGTTTTACTCTTTGCTTAGAAATCCAACGTTGAATTCCTCAAACATCAATTTGATATACTTAGAATGGCCCAACCTACAGAACTAGAAGTTGCTGCTGCTCCTGCTCCTGCTCATGCTTCAGCAGAAACCACTACAAAGGATGGCATCCAAAAGGCCTTCAAAATCTATGCTCGTTTTAAAGATGCTCTGAGCAAGCTTGTCGATGAAGCTACTCGAGTCAAATCACTGGATCAGAGCAACCAGCACTTGACTGAGCTCAACGATATCTTGGAGAGTGTGCTGCTTCATGGCTTCAAAAGTACGTTTGATACTTGTGCATGACTTGTCTGCTTTAAACCTTGAGCAATTGACTAGTCAAATATCCAGCTTTTCAGTTGTATTTTTAAGCTAACATGAATGTGATTTGCAACTGATCTTCCAGACCGTAGACAATGGTTACGCTCAAGCACGTTAAACCGACCCATAACTTCGGCAGATGTATGGCCATTCATTCAATTCTCTTTAGAATATGCATCTTCAAACACTCTGGTTGTTTCTCCAGACGGCACTCCGTCCACATCGCCGCTTACTGCAACCGGCTTTGGAAGTTTTAGCAGCTTGAGCAGTTTAGCTAGCAGAGCATACACTTCTCCAAATAGTCCAACTTATTGTTCCGCCTTTCCTGCAACAGTGGCCACCACCAATTTGCTATCAACTGTCGTAGCTCTAACCGAATCTGCTTCGGAAACTCGCACAAAAAGTAAATATTTTCCTCTGATTCAAACTGTTGTAGCGGTCTATCGACTAACATGTCTATTTTAACATGCATCTAGAATATTTACTAATGGTATGCTGGACAATTTTACTGTAATGTTTTGAGCATTCATAATGATGGGTTTTAAATGTTTGAATGCTGGATATGATTTGACTCTTTTTTAGGCACTTATGCAGCAAACTCTAGGCGATCACATTCATTCCATGTCAGAGTTTCCTCAGTTGAACCAATGGTACGAGCCGTGGGCAATTATGCGCACACCAGATATCATCACTCCTATAAGTGGTAAGCACTATTGAATAGCTTTACTGTCGTAGCAACCCACAGACTGATTTGAGAATTTGTACTGATTGATACTAGGCATGCTCCAAGGACTTTCGCAACTGGAATTCAACTTTTGTCTGAAGGAATCGGAAACAAGGTAAAGTACTACTGGATTAATATTTACACATTCAAGACATAACTGGTACTAACCTCGTCATCTTAGCGATGACGAAAATCTAAACAAGCTCAAATACAAACCATCTGTGTCACAGTTGCTTCTTGACCGTGGCGAGGAAGTGCTCAAATCTGGTCTGGCAGCCACTTGGACCACATTTGGTCGCGTTCAATCTCGAGTAGAAGCCGGTATGTAGATTTTACTTTTAGTTTATCCTGTTTTGTTTTCTGAAATCGCTCATTTTTGTTGTATTGATTACTAGCGCGTGGTATGCTGGACTTGAGTAAGCCTATTGATCGATCGGCATCACCCGAGCTGGTTGCAGCCAAAGACTCTATATCAAAACTTGCATCTGATCAGCAAGCACTCACCAACAAACTTGATGAGGCGCTGGAGGCTTTGAATTCTGAGCGTCGCGCACGTCTTGCAATAGAAGTTGAACTTGTGTCTGTTAAAATGGCAAGAGATAAAGAAGTGACTCGATTGCGCAAGGAGATGGGACGGTTAGGAAACCAGCTGACCATTTTAAGACTTGAACCGACTGATGTTCAACAGCTGCTTCTTCAAAGTCAAGATGAGGTGCGAACATTAAGAGAACAGCTTGAACGAGCAAAACTTGTGGCTCGGCTTGCCAAGGTGCAGCTTGATAAATGCTATGCCGATGTAGGCAATAATGATGCAGATGCTCAAAGTCGTGGGGGTGACCAAAATGCTTGAGTATGGACTACTTTTCCTGATTAGCAAATATGCAAACCATTTGATTTTTACCCATTCAGCGCACACTACCCATTTTTTCAAATCAATAAATAGAATAATATTCCATTTCTTTTCATGTTAAATTTATGGCCAAACGTTTGTTTTGAAACTCCATGTCTAGTATATCGGTAAATAGAATTTATTGCTGAATGTACTCGAGTCTATCGGTACTGTTAAGCGACACTCATCAGTGACGCACTTTACCATTGAATCAAAGTTTAAAGAGTCAATTAGCAATCTCATATTGTTTATATCCCACTGCTGATACTTACTTTGCACGAGAATATGACTTTCCCTTTTTCTTTTGCTCCTTGCCTGAGCCAGCTAGTGTGAGAGAGGCCATATCACCCAGCGTATCCTTGTCTTTCATTTTGCGATCATTAGCGCGACGAAGACGTTCAAGCTCTTCACTGTAGCAACACACCCAATGATGTATCAGCACAACTAAATAAAAACAGTAATGGATGATGACAATAGATTCAAGAACTTGCTCTTTTTGTACGCGCACGACATCAATTGCATGTTCAGGGAATTTAGACAAATCAATCCGATCTTGTACAACTTGCACTGATATCAAAAATAAATTAGGGTTTACAGCTTATATTGAAACATGTAGTTATTCAAGTATAGTTGCCTTTGGGTTTTGGGAAATATACGATATAGTCCGACTTCCATTTCTCAAGCGGTATAAACGTCCGTTGGCCAATCGTGTTTTTAGATATTTCAGATGGCGGCAAACCAATTCCACAAAACGTATCTTGTCCAGCCATAATAAGAATAGGCTTGTTGTGATCCATAACCATTGATTTAGGTGCATTACTTTTAAATCCATGGTATGACATCATGTGTCGTGACTATTTGTTCATGTGGTTGTAAAGGTTTGGTTAGTAGTTATAGAGATGAAAAGGAAACCCACAAATTGCAGCTTACTCGTGATGCCAGCGTATCATCTTTTTGCGAGACAAATATGAGTGATGCGCCATTTATATGTGCCATGTAGCGCAACATTTTGCACAACATTTTACGCATCTCTCTGCAATTCAAATCCAAATAATCAGCAAGTTATGCTTGCACATGTACAATAAACCATGTATTGGATAAATCTAACACCACGACTTACGATTCCATACTTTGCATTTCATCGTATTTAGATCCAATAATTGTAATTGGAACTGGAGATAGTGTCACCAAATCTCTATTTTAAAAATGAGTACTTGATAATATATGCTTGTGAAATCACCATTTAGATAATGCAATTCAACCCACATATCAGGATGATCTACACCATATCGCTTTGTAGCAGCATTGCGTAATACTTTAGGTCGCTTTGATCCTCGCTGCTCAAGTCCATCAAGAACCTTGTTCACCTTGGTTTTGATCTTGTCAAGAAGTGGCTCAAGTGTATCTAGAATAGTAGATGGCTGCAATTAAAATAGATTACACGGGTTTACTCAATGTCTTGGTATCACAAGTCTAGTGCTATTTGGTGACACTCACATTTGATAAATCCAAAACAATCAGAAATGTAGACACATGAATATTGCTTTCTGTAATGGGGATTTCTAGTAGATCGGACAAGTATATACCACCAGCTATACAAATGCAAGAGTGTCGGTTATACTTTGTATTAAAATAGTGATGGCGGCTAAATTTTGGCAGAAATGCATACCTAACTCCCAGATATGTACTACATCCTTGGTGGAATTAACTCCACGTGTACGTCTACCAAAAGTATATTCCAATGCAACGCTTGGACTTGGCGTTTCATCTAAGTAGTTATAGTCCAAGCATCAACAGCATCAGCTACCTGCATGAATGGATAGGTTCAGATCCGATGGATGCCATACCTCGGTCGAGAAATCCGAGAATCATGGAAGACTTTCCAGAGCCTTTTGATCCAACCACATAGATTGTGGTTTCTAATGTAGCGTTGCCTGTTTTTAAACCGGATGGATATTTAAACTTTAATTCAGCAAGGTCGTTATGTACAAGTATATGCCAATTTAAAAGTATATTTGAACTGAAATGTTTTACAGCGTATTCATGGGCGGTTCAACTACCTTCTGAATTCTTTTTATCATGGTCTTTAGATTCTTTAATCAAGGTCCACAAGTCCTTGCGCGATTTGGGGTTGGGCTGAGTAGTGTGTGGTGTCGAGTCTGAGTTATGCTGGTTCTTACTTGCAACAGTGATATCTTCCAGACTTTCAGTACCACCTGCAGACATTGAGTTTGATATGAATTCCAAACACTAATTTTACTTATTAAAGATATGGTAGATGTCTAATGTTTCAAGAGAATCTAAAGGTACAAGTTTGTGGCTCAGTGTCTGCAGACTTTACGCGTGCTATATATTAGCGTTGGTATATACGTTTGTCAAACCATATAATGCAGGCAGTTGTAGTATTACAGGCCTATGTGCTTTTCATCAAAACAGTATTCAGGGGAAATTTCATGATACATAGTGCGGCTTTATTTAATAGGGTCTAAATTTTAAACTAAGCTGTACACCAATGATACAATGGCTGAGGGATAAATGAAGTTTCAATGTGAGGCTTGAATAAGCAGCAGAAGTTTCTTGTATCTTGGTGGGTAGTATGTACAAGGCACCAAACGATATCTGTTTTGTTGACTGTTTTCACTGCTAAAATGCACTACTTGGATGTTTAGGTGATTAAATTAAAAGTGATACACGGAGTTTTTTGAGTTGGGGAGCGGTGTTATCGGGTTTATGCGAGCGAGTCGAGCGATTTTAGTAGCTACGAGATGAACGTATTCAGGGTAGCATAATGTTTTTGGTATGCTAAGAATAGTGATGGCGGAGTTTGATATCAAGTTACAAGATTGGGCAACAAGGAAGGCTGTTTTGAAAGCGAAGCTCGTGAGATCGGGGTTGAAAACTGTGACATAAACAGATAGATCAGACAGCTTTGTCGAATGGTATGACTGAAAGCAAATTCTGCCATGAATAGTTGATATACGGATTTTATCTGAATGGTGTTGGGATGAATTGTCATGGGATGCATTTGAATGTATGAAGCAATAACTCGAGTATGGCAGATGACTGCTGCTTTAGTGACAACACTTGACCACAACATCAATCGCGTGACGTGTAGTAGTTGTAGTGGAGGCTGTTTGCCATGTGATAGAGCAAAAGACGGGTGATGTTTTTAGACCAAGGAATCATTGAAAAGTATAGCAGATAAGATGGACTCTGGCTTAGTTTTTAAACGAGGTGCATTTTATAGTTTGGGCGAGTGATTTTGCCTTGATTCAACAGCAGCAATATAATGCCACGTGAAAGTTAAAAAGGCGCGTGACAAAATGCTTCTAAAACAAATCTTCAGGGAGTAGCAACTCGCTCATTATAAGTCACATGGGAATACAGACCATTTGTCAGGTCGCTTTTTTTGATTTCCTTCACCAAATAGTCCACTGCAGTTTACTACTTATACTCTTGGCTCGCCATCTCTAAAAACCTACTGGCTACAGGTCTACTGTTGCTCCATCCTACTTTTACCTGACTCAAGTTTCTGTTATAATGCCAGCACCTCTTCCAGAACCAGTCTTGACCCTGTCCATTGGCAACTTGGCCAAATTGACTTCGATCGATATGGATGATATTTCGACCATTTGGAATGGTAGGCAAAATATGTACACGTAGACCTAAATGCATCGCTGTTGCGACCAACTATTTCTACCACACTAAACGCTGAATTCGATATTGAAGACTATATACTGACCTATTGTGCCTATTTATCTGATGTTCCCACCCAATGCGTTTGTCGTGTCACTATAACACCGACCCATTCTCCAAACTGGCGTGCTTGACACTTGGCGACACTTACAATGGCGCCTCTCAACACTAGTCTTTACAAAGTGCAAGGATAATCTAGAAAATGGACGACGACTAGAGAATATATCATGGAGGTGAGCATTTTTTGAGCTTGGCCAATCTGAGTGTATTGTCTTGAACAAATTCGGAAGCTTGAATTGCTATCAGCAAGTATACATACTTGCTTTAGTAGTTGCAAGTTTTAATATGGGCTGTCTAAATGATTTTCATCCACCGTCCATCTCTATTACACTGTTTATGGGACATCTACTATCAAGTTGGTATTTGTTGCGGCGGCAGCTGATTTCTTGGTGATATTTTCTGTCAACCAAACAAGCCGAATGTGATGGGCTAGAAAATCACCCTTTGCATTTGAGCTTGGAGATTTGGAATGAGTGAAAAGTCATTTGACTTGATCGAAACAGTATGCATGAATGTGTGACTTGATCAAAAGCGGCAGTTTGTGTTTCTCCACTATAGGGTGATTGCAATATACAGTTGGTTTGAATGCAACAATTTTGGGGTTATGCTCATCTGACCATAACTTGCAACCAATAACTGTCAGTCCCTGTTTTTGCTGCTGTACTACTTGAGCCCATTCCCATATGACCATTCTTGTGTCTCACAGCCGTCCATCTAATATCTTTTCCAAATGTCCGCCTGACCTCGTAACCTGACCCTTGAAACACTAGCTGTGTTCATGGGACGAGAAAGTGTAATCATTGTCTGTCGACAAAATTTGTAGGGTAGAATGGTTTGGTGATGTGGATTTATTGAGTATGACTATCTGGCCAATGTCTCAGTGTTTTGCTTGTTTGTACAGTCTACTGGTCAGAGTTGGATGGGCTGCTTTGTGTTCATGTCTCGGCAGTCACTCGACATGATGTCCATCTTAAAATCACATGACACTGATGCTTGAGTTGGACAACATTCGAGTGTTATTTGGTCATGTAACCAATTCAACTAACTGAACAATTGTTTTTGGATTGTCGTTACGGCCGATTGTCGGTATTGTATCACATGATACGAGACACGGTTTTTGCTTTTTAATAGTCACACGTGGCTTGATTTCAGACGTGGCGTTTTTAAATTTGGAAACTAACTTTTGATTTCAATGGTTTAGATTATGGTATAGATCCAGTCATCCACTGCCTTGCTTCCAGAATAATCCCACTGTCGCTGGTGATCGATCTTTTGATTGCAGCCACGGTGTCTTTGCCGTGGCCAATGCTTCTCATCCTTGTGAGGATTTACACTCTACACTAGATGAAAGTGCAGCAATACCAGCCGACTCGTCTTGCCAACACCCTATTTATCTCCATACGCCACTTACCACACATGCTGTTGCCAATTCGCAATCCACAACAAGCAATACATCAGTCAGATCTTTATCTCCAACCCCACTACAAAACGTTGTTTCTTCTAGATCCTTGAATCGTCTGTTGTCTGGTGTCAATCCTGATACGCTACAGCTGCAGTCTCTCCAGCAACTGATTGAGGAACGCTCGCCTAGTAGAATTGCCACGGCGATGCAGCCCTGTACTACTAGTCCAACCTTCCAACAATACATTCTGTCACCAACAACTCATAGTGTTTCTGCAGCCGAACCAGCCATTGCATCATCTATGCCAATTGTTTCGTTTATTTCTGAAGCATCTCCTGGAATTCCCTTGTCTGATACGAATGCTGCACAACCATCCACATCTTTGACCCAGACTGAAGTAGTAGAACATGTTACTCATCCTCCGCAAGCATCAATAGCTGCACGACTGACTCTTCAAACTACCAAGCCAAATACCAAAAACTCTGTTCGTCCATTATCATCACTAGCACAATCTCTCGCACATTTACCCCCTGCACTTCGTCCCAGATTTGCTACCATTCAGATTCAAAAACAACAAGAAGAGCAGCGATTATTAGAGTTGCAAGAACAATCACAACAACCTGCTGTGTTGGCACCTTCAGCTCAAGGGAAAGCAACGTTTTATATTTCCAATTCATCTGAATCTTCTCCACTAACGCCACCTGATATCTCGGCAGCAGGGCTGAGATCTACAGAGTTGACTCAAACAGATCATAACACTACGTCTTTCACCACTTTGGCACACGCGCTACCTAATATTCAGGCAAACTCACGGCTGGTACAACCTCCAATCGCACCTCCAATGCTATCTGCGTATCTTGGCACAAATGGTCACAGAGATTATGATGCGGGTATACCTCTTGCACATGAAAATATGGGCTTGGAAACAGCTCCTCCGTTTTTGAGCACCGAAGATGCGTCACATAACTATTTTTCAGACGACTATGATATTGAGACGGATTCAAACTATAGTGACTATGACGAGAATGCGCCCACTCCAAGCTCGTTCTTTGAAAAGGTGATGATTCCTCCTCCTGGATTCTCAACACTGATGCACGGTAAACCTCGTCAATCTCAGTTGTCTGTTGCTTTATGTGGTCCAGACTTTTACGGATCTGGTCGTTCACAGCGTCGCGGTCTTGCTGCGATTCTTCCAGAGCATCAACAGGCTACTTCAGAAGCACTGGAAACCAACTCTATACATAGAATCCCTCATTCCAATGCTAAAGGTCGTCATGATGTTCCTCATATTGTTTATCAGCGTCACTTGTCCCCTCTCTCATCATTTGTGCAGAGTGAGTTGACAAACTCATTACGCCAAATGCTTGCGTGGGATCATGCCATGCCATTCAATACAAGATTGACGCGGATGCCTCTTCCACACGCATCATTGCATCCCTCTGATTTTGGTCAAGAATGCTGGTAATCATTTGTTTTATGACATTTGCATTCATACCACATGAAAGCTGCTTCTGTGGTCGGTTGCTTGATTGATCTCTAATGGCCTAGCTATTTTATTGTTGCAGAATTTTATCTGCACTACTATCAGCATTTTAGACGTGCTCGTGCGTGATTGCACTGTGCGAGCTTTGGACAGTGTTCTTTGGCATCCTCAATTTCGCAAAAAGGAGTCTCCATTTCTACTTATTAATCCCATTTCTGCGAGATTCTTTTTTTCAAATCCAATTTCCCAAATTTATGACACCATATTTACTCGGCCTGCATTATTCTGTCCGTGGCTTTTAGTATTTTCAAGATAGGGCTTGTCTATTGCAATCTTTTACACGATTGCTAATAAATGTGGTGATTTTTGAATTTTAAAGCGGTTGTTTAAAACTAGATGCACGTTTGTAGCCAAACATGTTGAATTTCAAATGCTATCCAGCGGTGCTGGATCACTTCATTAAGCTCTCTACTAGCGTACCAAGACGCATTGCCATGTTTTCAAAAGATTGCATATCCTATTCAATAATACAGGAATTAGATCAATTCAAAGAGCTGCCTATAACGTAGCATATTGACTCTACCTCGGTGGGTATCTTTTCATGCCGGAGACGATCAAATAGCTCTGCAGTAGCTAGTCGACATTCGTCAACATATGACTCCATAGTATCATGTACGCTAAACCCACACATGAGTGACAGCTTCAGTGCAAAAGGGTTGGACGGAAACTGCAGTGTTTTTCTATGTATTGCATGGATTATATCCATATGATTTGATGCTATAGACCAGTCGACAATATGTCCGATGAGTACTGAAGATAAATTTACAGTTGGATAGTGGATGAGGGATGCAATGTAATCTGCTTGAATTTGAATGGATGGAGTTGTAGTTTTCAAATGGGTTGCTGTTGCAATCAAATCATGGTGTGTGGATGCATCAAGTATTCTATACACTTCGTCTAGTAGCAGTATCCATGTTTCTGACAGTGGGTTCTTGCTCATGTCTGAATTCCTTCAAGTGTATCGAGTGTTTTACAACTATTCACGTAAAATGAAATACTTGACCACTATTTTGGTTTGGAATAAAAATGGTTAAATATTCGTTGCATTCTCTATTAGAAATTGACTGGATATTTTTGATTCAACAAATTCAAACAATGGATACAGTTGTAAATGATACTATGAATAACCCAATCGAGACAGCAATGGTGGAGGATACTATTAATGAGCCAATGGAAACAGCAACTGAGAATGACGTACAGTTGAAAAGCACATCGACGCACCATGTTTTAGAGTCGTTTGGTAAGTCTATACTATTGTTTTTGCAGATATAAAATAAACTTGTCAATACACGCTAGAAACAACTTGATCTATTCACGACTGACTAAACCTTTACAACTACTAGACCTATTTGACGGAAATAATGAGCTGATATCAGAGTATATGACACGTAAAACAGAAATATCTGCTTCTCATTCTCAATACATCAATGAACATCCCGAACTCAAGGCCTTCATGTCTGACTACCTTCAGTTTTTACTACATCGCAAACCCCAAGATGTATATCAGTTTACACTCGAGTATTATCAGCCTTGAATGAAAACATCATTGAGTTGGTATACTATGGATTTAAATTATGGATAAAGCAATGATTATAGGAATAAACTGATGCAGTTTATTTTCAAAAAGTTTACTCGAAAATATACATCTGCACATTGTCACAGAATTTAGCTAGGCTTTTCAACTGCTCACTGCATTGACAGCATCATGCTCTGCAGATTTAGTTTCCACGAGTTTAGTCATGAGCCGATGAATGACATTTTCATCCAATCCTGCCTCTGCAAGTTTATCTTGGTCAATCGTTGCATTCTTGTAGGAGTTTTCATCTACATACTGGCCCATTTGTTTAAGCATTGATACTAATTCGTCTAGTTTCTGTTTGATGCAAGCCACTTCGGTTCGCCAATGTGCCATAGCAAATGGGTTTTCTGGTCTGGAAAAGATACGATGTGATCGTTCAAGATAGTACAAGGCTTTTTGTATAGATAGATATGCCGTTAGAAAAACTTGACTCACAGTTTCATCCGAGATATCCTCATTGTTACCAACACAGTTGTTGCACAAGGTCTCGTCAACCTGTTTTACTTTGCATCGAGCCAATGCTGAGCATACATGAGAGATCTCTGTCCATGCAGTATAGTCTTCACCCCTTATATTCAAGTAGTCTAAAAAGCATACAAGCGATCGGTTAAACCTCTGTGTTGCACACAGTATTCGTCCCCTTAGAAACAACACACAAGGATCATGCATAGATTCGGGTATTTGCTGCATCAACTCGTAAGCTTTTTCGGGACGACCTGTCCGCATCTCGCACCTTGCAGCGATTTCCAAAACATCTCGCGGGTTAAACAATGTTTTTGAAGATGCATTAGACTGCAGCCATTGATGACAGAGATCGAGTGCTGCCGAGTAGTTGTGTTGAGCATAATGGTATTCAATTGTATAGAGTGTATGAGTTGGTCCATGTTTTGTGTTAAAGTGCTGAGCAGCTTCGATGGGAGTTTGCTTGAACCACTATCAGATATACGGTTTGAATAGAATACAGACAGTATGAATTAGTTGAACGTTTCGAAACAACAGCATTTCTGGTCAGTTTACCCCATCAATAGTGTCAGTAGGAACGTAAGTTCGATCAATAAAGTGACGCTGTCGAGCAGGCTCAACGTTGAACAAATCATCAGAAAATCCTGTAAACTGAAACAGTCCATGCGACTCTTTGGTGTCCATGTCGGCATGACCATCCATAACATCCATTTTCTATGAAAAACAATCGACAGGCCAAAGTGCAAAATGCTTGCAAAAGAATTTGACCGCGAATTTCGACTTCAAGCCAGATAGAATCTGATGAGTGAAGGTTGCAATACTGATGCTGTGACTATTCCTGCTGCTGTTGTTGTGGAAGATGCTATTGTAGAGGGTGAGAAAGTGAAATCACTTTCCCAAGTTTCTCGACCTACTGACGAAGAGATTTTGAGCTTTGAGCGTCAAATCAAGGCCGAAACTCTATTGGCTCCCTTGGTGGGAGATATGGTCGATTTTACAGCTCTGCAGCAGGTAATAGTGTTTATTTCATTATGCATTCATTTAATATGGCTTGTGTTGAGAAATGCTAGGTTATGTGGTTTTATCTTTTTGCCATCATTTGGCATTCATTGTTCAAAACAGTTAAATCTGCAACAACCTTGTAGCCTGTTTCGATTCTGATGAAATGGGCATGGATTACCAACCCTTTGCCATACCTCTTGTTTGAATATTTAGGAATATGCATCTGGACTCAATGTATATGTTGACAAGATCAAGGTAATCTCATCCACCCATTCAAACTATACAGCTATGCGCCTCTTGCATAATCTGCTGGGGTACATGTCTTTATTCAACTCCTACTTGTAAATCTTTGAACTTAGCATTTGAAATCTACATGTCTTGGTATGCGGAATGTACGCAAAGATGGCAATTGTTTCTACCGAGCTTTTGGATTTCGTCTTGCCGAATTGGTTTTTGAACATCGTGATTTGCCATGGAACCGAGCCATTCTTCAGCGTGCCAAAGAGACCAAAGCATTGATGACTACTATGGGATATGACATGTCTATTTTAGAAGACTTTTGGGAAAGGTTTCAGGATGTGCTGTTGATCAAGGATGAGGATGCTGACGGGGTGATTGGCGCGTTTCAAACGGATCATATCAGTGATACAGTCGTGTGCTATCTGAGGTTGATTACTGCCGCATTACTGAAGCGAGTATGTATATGCTTGATGGATGATCCTTGTAAAAACTGTTGATTTACATGTGGCGAACCTGGGCTTGATGTCTTTTAGGATCGTGATATTTATGAAGCTTTTGTGCTCGGTGACTATTCTTCACTCGAGTGCTTTATTAGTGACTGTGTTGAACCAAGTAAGTTTAATGACTCACTCTTGTTTCTTACAACCTATTTTACAGTATGTTTTTATCTAACTTGTGCATCGTCAACTGGTGTGTACCGCTAGTGAATGTGGAGTCTGATCAAATTCACATTGTTGCCATGGCAAATATCTTTCAGGTGGATATCCGTATTGCTAATCTAGACACTTCTGTTGCCCCCGAAGGAATCAATTTCCATGAGATTTCCCCCATGGAGCCTATGCAAGTAGATCAACCCCCAACAATCACTCTACTGTACCGACCAGGTCATTATGATGTGTTGTATCCAAAACCAATCGTTTAAATAGTTTTAAATCAATAAAAAAACAACAGGTTGGATGATTGACAAAATGTCTGACGTTGAGTAACAAACTAGACACCGTATTGAATATCCCAAACCAAGTATTAAATCCGGTCAAGCGTTGTTTATTTCGCCAATGATAAATCCCCAAACACTCTTAAAGTGTTACGCATGCCAACTTCGCTGGGAGAAACGGCAGCAGAAGCCACAACAGTATTCATGTCTTTGGGAGTATCTCCAAAATCAATTGGAACAACTTTGTGCAAAAACTCGTAAGCAGCAAGAGTTACTCCAAATTGTGGAGATGAACGCATGACTCGAGCAAGTCCACCTTTGAAAAATGCAGACGCACCTTCTTCGGCAAAAATCTTGCGTGTGGCATCCATGATGCCAGTATACGTTGATTCACCTTTACGTGCAGCAACTTGTAGACGAGTTTTGATGACATCGGCTGGAGTTACGAGATAAGCGGCAGGCATGCCGGCAAGTGCACCAGCAACAAGTAACTCCACAACAGAGAGTTTTTTACCGTTGCGTCCCTCATGGAATATGTCCTTTTTCAAATGTGCATACACAGGAAAGTATATGCCCGAGAATGGGATATCGCGTAGTAAACATGCACCCACACCCTTGTATAATCCAAAAAGTCCAAGTTGGCGAACGATGCTGATGGCAGATTGACGTGGAGCAGCTCCCTCAATACCCGCTTTGGCAACTTCGCCCTGAACTTGTAAACGGATCTTGACAATCTCAAGTGGATTGGTGAATAAAACTTGACTGCCACCTGCCGAGCAACCAGCAACAATTTCAGCCCATAGTGGCAGATCGCCTGTTTTTCTATCGCGTAGTTTTGCTCTGATTAAATCATTCATGGTTAATTTGATGGCTTTTTCAGGTGCAACACCCACGAGTTGTGGAAGTAGACCAGAGTACAATCCACCCACACCTTCATTGCGAACAACCTTTTTGAAACAGTCCCATCCGTTACGATACAAGAGTTGTCCAACTACTTTGGATCGTTGGTTCTGCATGCGGGTTTTTACCAAGTCGATTGGGTAAACAAACGTTGCACCAATAGCTCCAGCAATAGCTCCTAAACTGAAATTATAGGTGCTTTTAGCAATCTCCATTGGAACAGATAAGCGGATTGGTTCTGCATTTGGAACAATGGTGCGGTATGAGGGATTGAACAGTGGGTCAAATAAGCTAGGAGCTAGATGAGAGTTGGCTGATGCGCCAAGAGATCGGAAAATAATATCCACTTCAAGAGGCGAGATGGAGTCGTAGGTAAGCATTTTGGAAGCAGTTTGCGAAAACGATTTCTGAGTAATTGAATTATCTGGACTTGCAGCAACAGTCGTGTCTACAATTTTGCGAATAATGTCCAGTTTAGACAAGACTGAATTCAAGGCAACCACTTCGGCAAATGTGGCATGAGTAAATGAAGTAGGAAAGTTTTCCAACAAACGAGCACTCATGCGGTGTTTGAGCGTTACGTTGATGAGCTGACAAAAACTTTCGCCAGATATCTTTCCAGTGTTTTTTGGATCACGACGCTTGTATTCTAAACGCAAGAGATCATGCTGCAATGCCTTGACAATCTCGCCGACTTCAGAAAGAGTCAGATTGCGATCAGCGGGGATGCCAGCACAATAGTGCTGCAGTGTTTCCGATCCATACTCGAGCGGAGTAGCAAGAGGGTTGCGATGTTTAGTTAAAAACGTCTTGATTCCATTTAATGTAACTTGGTGCGACTTGCCAGGCTTAATCAACCGCGAAAGGATTTCAAATTCGCCATGTGGAGACGAGAGCAATGCATAGAAATCCAAATACTCTTGCTCAGACACAGCTCCGCGGCAGGTCGGATCAGCAACATTGAAAAGCAACATGGCGTGATCTGTAGAAAGTGGAAATAGACCATGTTCTGGCTGGATCGCTTGGCAAAACTCGTGGCTAGAAAGATATTTTTCACCCTTGATGTCCATGGAAGCATTGCTAGCGAACCGTTTCTGATGGTAATGCTTTTCATTAGTTTTGGCAGTTCCATAAGGTAGATATTCAGAAAAATTGGCAAAAGTGCTATGGATAGTTGCAGCTATACCAGCTGCAGTGGTTTGAGTAGAGGTAGAACCCGCAGGATCCGATTCAGACGAGGCCATAAAAAGATGAAACTATGGTTCTTTGATGGTAAATAAGTGGATTGATGGCCTATGTTTAAAAAGCTCCCTTTGTTTCAAATATGTATCCAGTTAGATAGTTGTCTGTATTGCGTAAGAGGCTCCAGGTAAAGTTTCAATTGATAAAATGTATTTTCAAATCCGAGCAAAAACGCCAGATTTCAAAGGGTAAAAATATCGAATGCGCGCAACACAAGGGCTGTGAATGGAGCGTCTAAGGGCTTGGGGTGGATATTGATGAGGTCATGAATGATCTTTATTTGGAATCAACTCGACTGTCTGAACATGAAGTGATTTTTGCAAGCATGCTACTACCCATATCAATGTAGATTGGCAATGATGTGGCTAGATAATGTAGCAAGCAAGGCTACTGATATCCAAAACACCAACTCAATGCATATAAAGGACTGTGTAGATTTGTATCAAGCCAAAAAAGTTTTTCCAAGTAGTGGTAATAAAGTGTATTTCATATCATCTCATGAGCAACAAAAGTATGAAAATACTTTATAAAAATTACAGCTGTATTCACGTAAAATGGAATGCTGAATAAAGGTGTCTGACATGAACAGTCAGTCTCATGAAATGATAATTCATATCACATTGTCTTTTCATTGTTGTGTAAAAATAGACAAATGTTTACATCAGTTTCAATAAATCTCACTTGTCCAATCTCCAACTCTCCATTTCTACAACCCATTGAGCGATTGGTGTAGAAACAGTTGCATTCCTGAAATGTGCAATCACTGCTGGTATGTACCATAGCATATCCGAGTTTGAGATACAACAAGATGGGTTTGATTGAGACTGGTCGAGTCCAGTACTTGAATTGCATGGATGAATTCAATTTTAAACTTGCTGATCATGCAGTGTATGGCTATGTCAAAAGTGGACAGACTCAAAACAATCGTTTGATTGTCAAACAATATGTCTACTCGAGGGTTGAAAATACCAATTCCTAATAACAAAGGTGTAATGAATACTCGACTATTATTTATTTCAGAGCAAAATAGATAATCACTACGAGATGAATACAAACGTTTCGTTGAAAATACGGTTAATGTCAAAAACTGAGATATTTCCAAATCTTGCACAAAACAAAAAAACCAGTTTAATGTAATCTCAAGAGTATGGATATGGCTGTCATTTTCTTGATAAAAAATACAAAAGAATGGAATAATGCGTGCATTATGGTTTGAAAAAATGATTGCCATAATCCAGATGACTTATGTAGAGTGATGGTATTCGGCTTCAAGGGCTTTGGAAGTAGGAAGGGTGCCTTGAGAGTTGACGGTGCTCTTGTTACCGCGGAAAAGGAAGCAAAGGAAGAGCTGAACGATAGAGAGAACAACTCCAACTACATTGGGAGCCCAAATAAAGGGGTCAGAGATGGCAAATCCATAGCCAGTCCACAATGCACCGTTAAGCAGAGAGCAGAATCCAAGAATGGGATTGATGGAAGAAGCATCGCGTGAGCGAATCACACTGGCAAGGTCTGATAGTGGGGAGGCGTAGAAGATGACCAGAATAAACACACAGACGGATCCAAGAACGGTCTTTGATGGTTGAGCTTGTCTAAGAATGGCAAATACAACAAATGCAGAGGTAAGAACAAGGAAGGACGATCCGAGCACAATGACGGCAGCGGTGGTGCGGAACTTGTCTGATCCATAATGGAGCGACGAGAGAGTGTAAAACAGACCCAAATGATACCCCACAATATTTGCCACGAATACGTAATAATCGCCCGTGTGGCAGCCATAGACAATCCAGCCAAGACAATTTGCTATGATCCATGGATATGGCATGGTATTCACCAAGCTGGCTTCCTTGTTTTTAAGCGACTTCCAGACGTGGGTAAACGGGGACAGATAGATGGAAATGGCAAACGCTACACCAAGTGCAGGCAAGACATGATTCATGACAATAGCAGACATTGTTGCAAAGAATTAAAAGGATATGCAGTTAAAGATGTTGGTTGGACTTTAGACTCAAAGTTGGACTTGTTTAGGAACAGGCAATTGATCGTCGGTTTTATATTTTTTTAAAGACATAAATTAGTTCAACAGAAATGGCTATGCCAAAGGCAGTGCGGCTGAGCTGTTATTGCAGATCTAATAATCAGCCTTGAAAGCTGACAAATCGTCAATCAATTATGGCAATGCACGTGTTGTCAATATGATAAGCCTTTGAACAGTAGGCTAGTAATGGAATCTCAAGGGAGATCTGCGGGCTATACACAATGCGGTTATGGTACTTTTATTACAGCATAATTGCGATGCACACTGCAAACATATACAATGGGAATATTGAGTGGACCTGAATATACTTGCTTGATCACTTATTGTGGTACCTTTACATTATAGAACTGGTTTTCAAGGTGCTTTACTGATTTACTCGAAATTATTCTTGAATAGCGGTTCGACAAATAAGTACCGTATTATTAGGCTTGGCTTTTTGCACAGCTGCATCCGTCCACTAAAAACAATAACCGGATTTTAAAGGGCGAATTACAAGTATATGTGTTTTGAATCTTGTTTGGAATCATATTGGATCAAAACAAGTCTTATTCCAACTATCCGCCCTTTAGTCAGACTCATGATTTCGCGTTTCATTCCTTACTAAAAGCTATATATTGTAGTAAGCTTTTGCAAGCATTACCATTTTAGTTGTATTGATTGAAAATAAGGAAAATGTAGAATCCAACCCTATACACGCAAAAGTATTACATGAACACTTCAACTATCCGGCAAAGCAGCCGCTAGCTCAATTGTGTTGGATGCGTCGATCTTGCATAAAACTGGGACTTGTTAAATTTGTAATTGATCATAGTTGATGATTGTTCTTGTAAATATTTATCATGATAAAAGTAGATGGTATTTGAATGTACCTACTCTAATAATTCAGTTCATGTGTTTGTATCGACTTTCTTCAACGGCAAATGCCTGCTTGGAGCCATAGGTCACATGCATGCTTATATGAAATCCATAAGCTTACTGAAAAAGGGAGGACGTTGTTGCACTAGTTGAGACTTACAGCCGTGTTCAAGTAAAATAGTTCGTACTTATCTTGCAATGATTATCTATTTTGCTTTGAAATAAACAGTCGAATATTCGTATGCTTTTCTACTAGAGATTGACTGCGCCGCTTTCTCTGTGCATTCTCAATTATGATTCCGAACACAATGCCCATCATGATGTCCAGAATCAAACTAGTTTTGAGTCTGTCCACTTTTGACATAGCCATACACTGCATGATCGACACGTTTGAAACTGGACTCATCCATGCAATTCAAGTACTGGACTCGACCAGTCTCAATCAAACCCATCTTGCTGTATCTCAAACTCGGATATGTTATGGTACATACCAGCAGTGATTGCACATTTTAGGAATGCAACTGTTGTTTTCATGCTAATCGCCAAGAGAAAAACCAGTAAACTTTGGACATTGAAAACACAATAGTTCCCTACAAATTTAGTATCACCAATCATTCCATAAACCCGGCAGTTTATGCACTTGACCATCTTTATTTGGTACTGTATTCTACATGAGTACTGTTGTAATTGTTTACCAAATAGTATAGATCTTGATGGTTCAATCAGTTTAAAATCTGCTGCTTGGCGGGGACTCGAAACAACTTTCAACACCCCACATCAGTTATTGCTTAATTAGCAATCTCCTTTTTAGTATATGCTTGGGCATAAGCCTATTTTGGAAGATCTACTAATAAGTACCACTATTGAGCAGTTGTTGGATAAACTGGCATGAATGTTGGTAAATAGCGCTTTAGTTGTCAGCATTCATGCCAATTGCAAGCATAGCACATAATCATGTCGTGAACAATTCAAAATCTATCTAAAGCAGAGTATCAAACAATACTGTGTTTTTCAAAACTCTCATCTCTTGTGTTTTCGGCTTACAGCTGTATTCACGTAAATGGAGCATTAAATGCCAACTACATAATAAACGGCCCATCATGCTTGATGAGTGACAACTTTACTAAGCAATATTGTGCCCTTTAAACTTTTTATTGTCTGTTTTTTTGCATGCTCATTCTTGTACAAAATACAGAGCGAATGCTTACATCTCTGTTCCAATACACTCTACATCCTGACACCTTTTCAACCTCCCACTTTCCAAAACAAACACTTGGCGATTGACATGAAAACAACAGTTGCATTTTCGAGATGTTTTCTTGAGCTAGATCGCGAACGTATTTGATATCAGGATACAACAAAACTTTTATAAAAATAATTAATCCCTAGTAGGGAGGCGGAACAAATATTTAACCATTGTTTATTTTGCAGCAACATAGAGGCTCCAACTGCAAAACATAAAAATGATTGACTTGACATGAATACGGCTGCAAAAACGGCCAGCTTATTGTGATTGTCATCCACCGCCATATTCAAGTAAAATAGTTCGTACTTATCTTGCAATGATTATCTATTTTGCTTTGAAATAAACAGTCGAGTATTCGTATGCTTTTCTATTAGAGATTGACTGCGCCGCTTTCTCTGTGCATTCTCAATTATGATTCGGAACACAATGCCCATCATGATGTCCAGAATCAAACTAGTTGAGTCTGTCCACTTTTGACATAGCCATACACTGCATGATCAGCAAGTTTAAAATTGAATTCATCCATGCAATTCAAATACTGGACTCGACCAGTCTCAATCAACCCCATCTTGCTGTATCTCAAACTCGGATATGTTAGGGTCACACCAACAGTGATTGCACATTTCAGGAATGCAACTGTTTCTACATCAATCGCTCAATGGGTTGTAGAAATGGAGAGTTGGAGATTGGACGAGTGAGATTTATTGAAACTGATGTAAACATTTGTCTATTTTTACACAACAATGAAAAGACAATGTGATATGAATTATCATTTCATGAGACTGACTGTTCATGTCAGACACCTTTATTCAGCATTCCATTTTACGTGAATACAGCTGTAATTTTTATAAAGTATAACGCTATAGAAAATCATACCAACGTAGCCGAGACTAAAGGTATCATATACTAAATACAGACGTGAGTGCAAGACACATTGATTGCCAATATCTGAGATCTTCAAGTGGCATTGCGAAGAACTTGAAATTCATGCGATTTTGGTCTTGCAAATATAGCCAGCAGTACAAATTGAACCAGGGAAAGTACGACACCAAGAAGATTTGGAGACCAGATAAACTATTCAATAGTAAATTGCACAGCATAGTTTGGTTTGGATTAGTAAGCCATGCCAGATACTGGACTTTCAAGCCAAGACCTGCATTAAAGATACAGCTCATGATATCATATACCGTGTCCTGATATTCAAGTGGATCGGCTGCAGAAATATATGCATTCCAAGATCCCAGCCTGTATAATACACAAGGTATACCCAAGCACTATCTAAAAACTATGGAAACTCACCGTATCGCCAATAGCGAACCCATAAACAGTCCATAGACTACCATTTACAAGACTTGCAGCAGCAAGATACACGTCAATGCTCGATGCATCCTTTTTCTTGATGACATTGTAGAAATCGGATAGGGGAGAACAATAAAATACGGCTAGGATGACGACGCAAACAAGACCCATAACGATCCTTCCAGCCTCGTTGCCTTGAAGAACAATAAAGCCTAATACTCCCCCTATAAAAACCAGTAGCGATGAGCCAATGAGGATTTGGAGAGCTCGGGATTGAAATTCAGGGGCAGCAATTCTGTATGCCATCAATGTATAGTAGATTCCAAACTGGTAGCCAATAATGTTGGGTATTATCACATATATGTCTTGAATCAGTAAGCCATATACCAGCCATCCAAGGCAATTCGCAACAATCATTGGAAACGGAAGCCTAATGGTATCCCAGTATAGATGTATGAGTAATCAAATCTACAGTAGCCTATCATCATACGGTCATCTACTGATGCAATAACGAGGTGTGCTTTAGTGTACTACTTACGGATTCACATTTTCAAGATTGTCAGAGTTGCCAAGTCTCTTGACGGACTTGAACGGTGCAATAAATATCCATAATGCTGTAAAAACACCACTTGAAATAGGACATGCGTATAGACAAGTGCATATAGTTAGTTCTTATTGAAACGATGTTCTTTGCTAGTATAGCCAGGCTTAGTCTATGCTAGCATTCAGCCACCAATACCATATAAACTGCACAATAATGGATGTAGCAATTCCTAAACTCAGCGTGGACCTATTCCGTTTGTTTCAAATACATACATGATTGGGATAATATGGTGCAGAACCAACTGGCAGTTTGGTGTAGAACACTCGATTGTCGACATGGAGACTTTGGATAGATTGCAAGACAAACGATTATGTACAAATGCAAACCCCTTCAGGCTGGCAACCCTGCCACAACTGCAAATCCGTCCAGCCCAAAAGCCTAATATGATCCGACTCTAATTCTCCCATGTTTCAATCATTCCATCTGCTTAGTTTATCTATACGACTCGTAGTATTTTCAGCCTGTTCAAAACTACCTCCCATTATCAAGGGTTTATAACAACAACCTGCCAAAAGTTTCTGTCTTGGCAATTCATTATATTCTGTTAAAAGCAAGTATTATGTAATCCTAGATACATTATCAGAGACTGAGGATCGGTCAAATGGTAGCAGGTTTGATCACTGGTTTAGCTACGACTGTAGACTGACCACTTATCGCGCCTGGCAGCAAATGGTAATTTCGTTCATATGCAGATCGAGAGGCAAAGCGAGTCAGAGTCTCTGCGCACCTCGATGGCTTATAGTGTTACATTAAACAAGCTTTCCGTATCAGGTAATACATCACTTGCATGATTATACCCATCGTTATTTACAGCGTTGGCGGATTTGTTCTGAATAGAACGCGGCGTAGCTGATGTCTTTTCCAACACGACGCTTTTGGATATAGCTACTCGAGATTTAACTGTTGATCTGGGAGATATTGCTAGCAGTAACTGCGGCGGAAGGTAAGCTTTGTTGGCATTCTGTGATGGTTGCTGTTCGCACTGAGATGATGTTTTGAGGATACTTAGCAACGATTCCTGTGATTTTGTATTGACCAATGTAGTAGTTTCCGTCAAGTTATCTAGCAGAGCGGAAGTGAATATGGTTTTGTGTTGACGTCTACCTTGACCTTTGGTTGTAGTTGGTATGATCTTGGATGGTGGTGATGGAGAGTACATTTGTATAGTGCTGGTCAAGCGGGAATTGGATTGGGTATTTGCAGCATGAGAAAATTCCATGGTATCTGATTTTGGAGTTGCTGCAACTATAATGGGTTGTGAGGCCAAAGACTCTATGCCAGTCAACATCAATTCATTTTTGTCGTGGAGAGTTGCTTTGGAGGATGTATGTAGTTCTGCGTTAAATTTGACTGGATCAGCTGTTGAATTACAAGATGTTGAGAGCTCATTGAGGATACTCTTGGCTTGTAATTCATCACTACAATCTTCCAATGGTGAACACGCTGATACTGGATTCGCTGTTGATATGAGCGTGCTGGCTAACCTTTGTCGAGTTGCTACGCGTGATAAATGGTTGCGCCATGCACGCTGAATATCTACGGCCGCTTTGATCTCTGAATCTGAAGCACCACCACTTGATTGTTCAAGAGATGCTTTGGAACCAGTTTCAATCAAAATACTTTCATCAGGTTGACCGCGAGGCTGTAGCGGATCTGTATATTTCTGGCTCTGTAATTCTTGTAGTTGCTTATTTTGTATCTCCCGCAATCTTTGTATTTCTTCCCACTGTTTAAGCAACTCTTTTTTTTGCCAATCAATCTCCTCGACACGTTTCAAATACTCCATCTGTGCACTTTTGAATTCCAATTCTGCTCTTTCCCGCTCCTTTTGTGCTTCAAGAAGGGTTTCTTTAGCTGTTTGACGATTCATTTCTGCTAGTCTCTCATCTGCCCGCCTTGATTCCATGAGCCGATGCATAGTAATGGTACGAATATATATTCTTTTTTGGCGCTGGCAGCGATACCAGGATTGAATATAAGTAGCGGCAGCAGCAGCTTCTGAGCTATTAGTAAACTTTATCAGCGATTCAACATGCTTGGGCCGTTTTTTAATTATCCGTGGTTGGTTCTTTTTTCCCTTGTAACACCTCCATGTTAGTTGAAGTTTCTTTGCTGCTTTTGTAGCAATTTCCTTGGCAGTAAGAGCATTGCAGTCACGCAAGGCAGCTATGCAATCTTTTGATCGGGTTTCCATGACATAGTCTAATGGAGTTTTAGATTTGAAAATATCGCAACCGTCGCGAGCGTTGAGTGTGTCAGGTGTATGGAGGATTTTGCAAACTTCTATACGAGCTTTTGATGCTGCCAAATGAATGGGTAAAACACCATTTCGATCTCTCAATGCATCATTGGCATCTTGGTCCAATAGCCACATTACCGTGTCTGTTTAGCAAGTGGGTAATATATGCAGTGTTACATTATAGTAAATAACATATATTACAACGTACTACAGTGCTATTGTAAAAAATGTTATGCATATCTACTTTACCTATATGTCCAGCCAAAGATGCCTCTGCCAAGGGTGTTCGCCCATTCGCGTCTTGTATATTAATGGTTGCCCCATGAGAAGTGAGCAATTGCAAGATATTTGTAGATCCACCAGCAGCAGCCCAATGCAAAGCCGTTCTCTTCTGGTTATCAATTTCATCGGGATAGGCTCCTTCGTTGGCTAAAAGAATGACGGCATTTTCTGAGCCCATCATTGTGGCTTTGATCAAGGCAGTTTGTCCGTGTTTGTCTTTAGCGTCAATCAGTGCACCACCACGTAGCAAATGGGTACAGCAAGTTGTGTGACCACCATATGCTGCATGGTGCAATGCTGTCATGCCCGATTTTGACTTTACCGTTACTTTGGCGTTGGCTTTGATTAACATTTTGATTACTTCCAAGTTCCCTGTATTCCAAATCAAAAACAGTCAATCTCATTAAACTTGTAAAATGCGTCATAATACATTGGTTTACCTTGAAGCGAAGCCCACATAAGTGGTGTACGGCCTTGTATATCAACTGAATCTACAGCTGCACCTTTGCGCAGTAGGACATGCACACAGTCCATATTATGATGCTGAATGGCATAGCAGAGAGCTGATGCACCAAAATCGTCAACGTTGTTGATGCTCGCACCCTTTTGGCACAATAAATTAATACATGCTGGCTGTCCTCGAACTATCAATTTACACATCAATCAACCACACGATTGATTTAAAAATTATAAAATCAGTAAAGTATTCATCAGTTTTTGTAAAATCAAAGCGCTTAGATAGGCATACCTGCCGCCCAATGTAACGGGGTCCGTTTCAACCCATCAAGCGCATTCCAGTTAGATCCAGGAGATAGCATGATCATTTCTACCACGGCAATATTTCCTTCGCCGCATCCATAGTGTAAAGGGACTCGGCCCATTTTGTCGGGAATATTAATCAAAGCGGGATACTTTGACAATAGAATTTCGCAGCATCGTCCATGCCGATTGGATGTTGCCCAATGAAGTGCTGTTTTCCCTTCAATATCTTGCATAAATGCCGAGGCGTGGCCAACTGAAAGCAATACTTCAATATGTCGATCGTGGCCATGGTATGCTGCCCACATTAATGGAGTCATTTGCTCCAAATCAGTCACATTTCCTGGGCCGGTACGGTCATCTGGATGAACAGTTCCGGCCAATGTTTTTCTTCTTTGATTTGGATTAATTGCCATGATAGCTCCATGTCGCATGTTTGGATTTGCTATCCGAATAAGATATTCGAGCGTATCAATCGTTTCAGGATACGTTGCACAATGGATAGCGGATTTACCTTGATAATCCTCCTGCAAAATATCAGCACGATTTTCACACAATTCTTTAGCAGCACCAACAAAACCATGATACGCTGCCCAATGCAGTGCTGTTCTTCCACTACGATCTTGTCGATTAATAAAAGCACGATGGGCACAAAGTAGTCGAATGCAATGCACATGCCCACCAATTGCTGCAAAAATTAATGCAGTGCGTCCTGTATCATCGCTTGATTCGATATCAACCATTGGACTTTTGCACAAAATACGTAGTGCTTCGTGATCGCCTATACGAGCAAGATGAAACAAAAACATTTTAATATTGTCTGGTGTGAGAATGGGCAGCTGATACCTGAACGACTTTCTTGGCCAACGTGGATAATAGATGCGCATAAGTTGAAGCACGACAGGCTCGTTATTGATTGTGGGTATGACTATAGGATACATTTGGTCGAATACTTCTGGATTTTTGACGACAGGCTTGGTAAAGTATTTGTGTGTTCGTGGTTCATTTGGATTGTCTTGATCTTGGTTTTCGGGTAAAAGCCCCTGCAGAACGGGGTACTCATCAAACCGTGGTAAAAGAATATCATGATCTCCTGTATCGACATCAAATCCAATGTTCCTATGACCATTTGGATTGACCTTTTGTGTACTGATTTTATTAGAAGGTTTGCTGCGATGTCGGATATCGCAAGCAATGCTGCTCAGTTGATTCAAAACAGTAGGAAAAGGTTTGGAACCAGTTGAATGAGGTGGAGCGACGGTTGACGGTACAGTAGCAGCAGCAGTATGTCGATACTCAAAAGCAGGTATCTGCCATTCAACATGGCTGCGCTCATCGCCCAAAACGGCGTGTCGCTCTCCGTGCACGATTGGTGAGTGTTCAGATATGGCATTGCTGGATAATTCGCTTGATCCAGTAGAATTTAGCACAACTTGCCTGTTTCCTTCCGTACGATCGTTTTCAATCAAAGAATGTGGTGGCATAAATGCCATTACGGGAGGAGTGGTGTTGGAAGTGTGATTGGATGAGTTGAATGAAGCTGTGTGTGGAAGTGTAGTCATAACACTGGCGATCCCTATATCGCCAGACGTAGCATTTTGATTTGAATACGCATTTCCTGCAGTTGCATGCAGCATGGTGGAAACCAATGGAGCTCTACTTGCTTCGGAATGTCGTGTAGTATATGCAATGGAGGTTTGAGAAGAAGTCATTCCTGCACGCTTGGCTGCCACAATGCTGTTGATATTCACTCCAGACTCATGTCTAATACGCGCAAATGCTGTTGCAGGATTCCCCATTGTAGAATTGGCTCCACCACCTGCACTAAAAATAGGAGAGCTGTTTATCTGGGATCCTGTCGTATGTTTTGGATCCATAATATCTGAAAGTGCCAATATACCTCGTTTCAAACTGTCATGTGCTGCTGGATTCGATGGAGCAATTGTATTTGTAGTTGATGGTACAGCCCCACCTGCCATTACAATGCTTGATTTTGTAGGCAGTCCCATACCAACAGTTTTTTGAGGTGTTTGAATCTCAGCAAAACGTGGCTGGATCGCGCTATTGGTGGCTATAGGCGCTAAATCCATACCAGTTGGTAATGTTGCACTGTGTTGATTTGTATTGATACATCCAGCTATGCTACCACCTGCAGCACCACTCACACCTCCAGCTACATGGTCTTTTTCATCGGAATCATCAATATCCGCGTCGCGTGAAGGCCGTAATGAATGCAAGCGCTTACGAACTGCTGTGGGCGATGCTGGTATGTTACTATTTGTACCAAAATCAGGCAATTTGTCAAGTTTCAATATAGGTGTAAGTTTTAAGTTTGGTTTCAGAGCTTGTCGAGGGAGTGTGATCTTGTCCATATCTGGCTTACAAAATAGTCAAGGGATGAGTATGCAATTGAAAAAATATATGAAAATGTGTGTTTTGACAAGTATAGTTGCAATATTTGAGTTGAAAAGTGTATTTGATCAAAAATTAGTAGGAATGCAACGATTTTTGAATCAAAACTTTAAACTGCTGCAAAATTATTTTAAACTTGCAGTCGCACCTATTTCTTTCAAATGATGATGCCTGATATATAAAAAGCATAACTTTTTATCAATAGCGCATTAATTTACACTACTTGATTTTCATCTACTTTTTACTATTTAAAACTTTCAAAATTAAAACTAGAATGTACAAAAAGCCAATTTTTAAACTCGACAAAACAATCGACTGGCTAAAGTGCCATTTAATCAGTTGATTGACACATCATTATTTAATTTAAAATCAACGCAATCCAATGCATGTACATTGTTGGATGTACTAGATAATTTGCTTTTGATTTGATAGATCATGTTTACAAAAATAAAAAATCGAGTTGGCAGAGTTTTGAATCAATGAAATGCCACTGATATCTGAAAAACTTAGTATCTTAAAGTACACGGGGTCTATACTTTTGAAATTAAAAATACAAGTACAACCTTTGTTGCGGGCCAGCTTCTTGTTGTAGTATACATGACGCGACGCTAGGCCAAGATTTAGGTTTATTCAAATTAATACTGTTGATAATCGCACCTTTTTTTGGCTGGAGTTAAATTTTCACCAGAAAGTGTAGTGACTGTCACTATCCAACTGACTTGATTTCAAGTATGGGAGATTCTACTAACGAGTCCGAGTCGCTACAAGTCCGCAAGTAAGTTGCCTTATTTGGCTTGATAGCGTGTGCTAAGTTCTGAATAAGTAGTTTGCATATTTTTGTAAATGTATTTTAAAGTAGATACAAGTTTGATGTATTTGATTCAACATTATCTCTACATCAATCTCGCTAAATAAATTTGTCCCGTATTATATAGGAAGATCGTACCAGGCACTATCGATGTTCATCCAACGGATAATGCCATAGTAGTAAACTACACTGTTCAGGCAGCAATTGTTGAAAATGGACAGCTTGTTATTGGTGATAAGAGGAGCAGCCAAAAAGTGTAAGATGAATGTCAATCGCGACTTGTATTTGATTTCATCCAGTATACATCAGATGTATTGTAAAATGTCAACCATCATCTAAATATTAATGGATGCATTAAAAAATCAAAATATATCAATACATAACTTGCAGAATTCGAGTCAAGGCACTGCATGCAAATTCCAACATTGCTAGTCTCGCACAGGAAGTGGTTGATAAATGCAAATTGATTCACGCAAATCGACTTACAGAAGTTGAACAAATTCTTTATTATCTCCAGCAACGACAGATAGCTCACTGCTCAACCGGTACGTATGATCCAAATACAAAAAATGCGTTTAGCTCATGAACTCTGACATATGGATTTTTTTGTCTGGATATGTGGTTTTGGCAAATAGATGCAGTCGAGTCAGATCGAGTCTGGCTGCGCAAGCAACTGGATAAGGTGCGCAAGCCAAGTCTTGGTGACGAAGAAAAAATAAATATGAAAGCCGTTCAGGTATTTATATGCTAGCTTATATTCGCGGACATCAGCCTATTGATGTCATATAGGCAAAACAGTATTAAAAGCGCGATTTAAATTCAGGATGAACCATCGTCTATGTTTAAAATGGACAATTACATTGAAGGTCTTTATGAAGACATTCCCGAAAAAGTAAAATCCACTCGAAGTATATTGCAGCTAGCCAAGGTGCCAGAGAATATGAGACTGTTGATTGAAAATGGTAAGCTTTCCAAGAGTTTTTGCTGTCGAGATGAGCATGTTCATAGCATTTTAACATAATCGATATGGTATCTATAACCGTCTGATCTAACACCAATTTATCAGAATCACTCATGAGCGCACTATCTCGAGTGCTGAGAGAGGATGGACGCAAAAGCATGGAGTTGGTTACAAACATTATATATATATTCTTTTGTTTTTCAAATTTTTCTGAATTTCATTCGATTGTCACGGCCAATAAACTTGGTGACATGTGTCTTCGATTGACCGATCAGGAAGTTACCAGATTTGATTTATGGGTTCAAGATCTTCGCAAACTGGAAGCTAATGGTGAGTGCTTTGAATTTTGCATCAGAAAATACTCGATCAATATAACTGTGCAAGATTTTCATGGCTCTAACTTGAATGCTTTAAACTTCTTGATACTTTATGGGAATACGCTTAGTCTCGCAAGCACCAAATGACAAATCTTCCATTTCAAAACTCGATCAAGGATATCAAAAGTTTCAAAATATGCTACGCAAACAGGATCAATTATTGTTTGGTAGGAAAATAGTGGCTTGCTTGTGTATTTTTGATCATCGTGACTAGCATAGTTTGCTTAAATATAATCAATGGCAATAGTGTCATTTCATCTGCTACTCAATCTTGCCGAGGATACAGGCATTGAAGTCAAGATTGTCAAAAGAGATATTGTCAAGTATCTTGTCGATATTCTTGATCGCAAGACACCCGAGTTGCTCGTTTTGGCAATCACTTTTCTTAAAAAGCTAAGCATTTTCCGAGAAAATGTAGACGAGATGTTCAAAGTAAACTACGTATTAGTCATATTTTCAACAATACTGACCCACTTGTATTTGATTCTAATTAATTTTATATTTTCAAACAAAATTATCCTTATTGTAGCATGCGGATGATCTTCTCCCCAAACTAGGATTTTTGATTGATACTGATAACAGTGTAAGTGGCATGCTCTATAGCCTTGACAGTATGCCTCGGTTGTTATTTGATGATGCTGAATTTTTAAATATTTCATCTACAATTTTTTAATTTAGAGACTAAACAGCATGACACAACGGCTTTTGTTAAATTTATCACACGATTCAAGATTCAGAAGTTTACTAGTACGACAAGAGTTTCATCAAAAATTAAGAGATATTTTCCACAGTCAAAATTCGTCCATGTTGACTCTTCAGCTGTTATATCAATTAAGTATTGACGAGCCAAGTCGGTTTTCTCCAATTTTTTCTACATGTATACCCCAGGTGATTTTCATTTATGCTTACTGCCTAGTGTCAGTTGAGACTGAAAATAGCATGTTGATGGCTGAAATTTTGAATAGCTGACATACTAATTTATGAATTTTTGCTCTTGAAAATAGATTATTCAAATGATTTTGGAATACAAAGGAGATCGAGTCAATATCGAAGTGATGGCTTTTGCAATCAATATGTCTACAGTTTTACGGAATGCACAAATCATTTGTCAAGATAATGGAATCAAGTTTTTGATTAAAAAGGCAGTTAAAAGCAACGATCCTCTGCTTTTTAAAATGCTACGCAATATTTCTCAGCATCCCGATGAGAATACTAAAATGATGTTTTTGGTGCGTGATTTGATACCTATTTGATCCATACTTGGTAATGTCAAGCTTAACCTTTTTATAAAACTCGCCAATGATTACTTATAGGACTATATTGACGACTTGATGCGTCTGATGCTCAAATCAATGTCAAATCCAGATGTTCTAATAGAAATTCTTGGAATTATCGGAAACCTGACTATTGCCGAGTTTGATTTCAAAAAACTTGCAGTGGCCTACGATCTTTTACAATTTATCAAAAACATTTTTCAGACGTCCATTGCAAATACTCAAATGGATAGTAAAAGCTTTGGTATTTCTGAAACCAATAGAAAAAATTCTGACTTGACCAAGATCGATGGAGTATGCAAAAATGACGATTTGCTTCTTCAAGTAATCATTCTTTTGAGTACCATGTCGTTGGATGAAAATATTTCGCCCATGGTTGCCACCACCAACATAATCCCGCTTTTGATTGAAATTATGATTGGCAAGTTGATTATTTTTGACGAGCTTCTTTATGCACTGTTGGTTTGACTTGATTAATAATTTTGTATTTTTGAATTGATGTATATAGCCAAGGAAGAGGATGATGAAATCATCTTGCAAGTGTGCTATTGCATCTACCAGTTTCTTTTACACGATTCAACCAGGACTATTCTGATTGGAAAAAGTGGTATGTGTTCAAAAGCTGATGTATATTTAATATCAAATGCAATGCATCTCACATGTGAAATATATATTTAGATGTAGTTGGATATTTGATTGAACTTTTGTATGATCGTAATATCGAAATCCGCAAAGTGTGCGATGCATCGCTAAGCATAATTGGAGTATGTGAATTCTAGTCAAATGTTTGCAAGTGTAGACTAAAGTGTGACTGATTTCTAAACTACTGATTTACTAACCAAGTAGGAGATTGACGAAGACTGGAATCGTAAGCTTCGACAACAAAAGTTTGCATGGCATAATTCTGAATGGATTTCAATGATGACAGAAATCCCCGGATCCCCATATAGCGGTATGGATGATAGCTCACTTATGTATGCTAAAAATAGTAGCACAGATCTTTCACTTGGCAACAGCGCAGGATACCGTGGCGCTCTTTCTCCAGGAATGTATGATAATGACAGCGACGACGAGGAAGCAAGACAAAGTGGAATCGGAGGATCAAATGCACTATTGAATGGACCTGGACTATATTAAAATAGACTTGTACAAACCAAATACTAGAACAAGTAAAAATATCAATATTTAACCAATTTGTAGCGCTCATTGAGATTCAATCTTTTTCTCACCAGCTGACTAAATAACCCATACAGAGCTATAGCTGAGTATTCAGAATCAACACCACAGTACATTAAATTTCTATAAAATATATCTGATATTGGCTATACTAGGTTATGAAGTATCTTTATTTGTTGGTGGCATCAGATTGTAAGTGATAGGATTATATCAGATAAATATGCAGCCATAAACGCGACCAAGACAACGGGAAGCTTATGAGTAAGTGCATCAGATGTAATAATTTCCTCGGCATACTTACCGCCCGACTGACCAGGCTTTTTCGGAGACTTGTAGGAAGGCAATAGTTTAGCAGGGTTACCGCCCTTGGGTTTTGGTTTACCACCCTTTTTCGCTAGTCTATCGGCAACTTTTTGTGCTTCATCGGCAATTTTTTGTGCCTTGTCGGCAGCCTTTTGTGCATTATCCGCAGCCTTTTGTGCTCTAGCCTTATTTTCGGGTCCCTTTGCCTTGTTTGCACTATCTTGTGCCTTGTCAGCAGCAGCTTGTGCAGTGTCGGCAGCACCCTGTGCATCATCAGCAGCACCCTGTGCATCGTCAGCAGCACCATCAGCATCGTCAGACGCACCATCAGCATCGTCGGCGGCACCATCAGCATCATCAGCAGCACCCTCAGCATCATCGGCAGAACCCTCAGCATCATCGGCATGGCCACTACCATCATGATTTGAGGTTTGAGGCTTTTTGAGACCAATACTACCGTGCTTAACTGGCGTTTTAGATTGCTTACTGGAGGTCGCGCTAGGCTTGGCACCATTTTTGACTTGGGAACTAGGGGATTGAGATTTATCTTGGGATGAAGGATTAACTGCAATTGCAATATCAACCAAAGCCGAAGCAACAAATATGAATGTGAGCTTCATAATGATACGATTGTCAAGTGCTTTTGAATATCAATGGGTTGAAGTTGGTCAGTAGTCACTTGAGAGTTATGGTAAGGTTTAATAAAATGGAATGATACTTTGGACATGGTTATTTATATGAATGTAGATCGACAATACTAAAAGGACGGGTTACTTAGGGAGGGTGTACAACAGACAAGGCAAGCCGAATATGTGGAAGGATGCAATACACACTTTAACTGGCAGACGCGTTGATAGTCGCCCTGCTTTACAGCCATATTCACATAAAATGAAACACTGATAAGGGAGTCGAAATACATGAATAGCTAGTTTCATCAGACGATTGGTGCCAAGTCTTTCAAGCTTACTAGACAACACTGTGTTTCTAAACTCATTGAAGCTTACTGGTCTTTATCCATGCTTGTTTCTGTATTAAAAAAACTAGACGAATACTTGCATTAGTTCCAGTCAATATTCAACCTATTCCAACTGATCATTATGTAATTGGGTGACTGGAATGAAAAAAAACAGTTGCAGTTTTGGGATATATGATCATTGTTCACTTGAACTAGAGATCGCGAATGCAAGACTTTAGAATACAATAAAGTAGTGCTTATAAAGCTTGATTGACAATATTAAAACAGTCGAATCCAATATTTAAATCGAAATGAGTTTTATGAGTACTCTTTTATACATGACACACACTGATGGTTACTGACGATTTTGAATTTATTTTCTTTCTGTTCTCATTTCTTGTGATAATCGCGAGTGATTCAAACCACAAATTGTCCAGTAAACTCAATCATTCCATGAAACTGAGTATTATAATTTGATATTTCATTCCGTATGAATACGACTGTAGATTAATCAGTCAGATTTGACTATAAAACAATTGAATTGACAAGAATGTCAAATTAGCAACAAAAACTCAAAGCCTCGAGAATTTCATCAAAATTTGTTTTTTCTCGACTTCAAACTGAGATCGACAAGAATGATTGCAGCACTAAAACGCATTGGAGATGAAGGCTGGCAGCAATGGTCGGTTAGAAACTGGAAGTTTATCACATTCACTGTACTTGCTACTGGTGTTGCTTCTGCTGCAGTTTATTCTTTAGCTTGTTCTGGTAGAAACAATGCCAATTCGGATAATGGCTCGTCAGCAAGATCATCTTCGACATCTGCTAAAAAAAAGAAGATGGGCAAGACAAAAAAGTCCAAAACGGCATCATCGACAGTAACTGCTGCTTCTGCTCTTGAAGAGGAAGCGCTTGCTGCCAATGCTGGTCCCATTTCAGCTCCTGGTCTTAATGCATCCATGGCATCATTGGATAGCATTGCTTCTATCGAGACCACTGACAAGATCACTTCAGAAACCAACTCAAAATCCGACGAGTCAAAGACAGCTTCAGCTGATGGTATGTCTTTGATGTTTTAATACATTTGTGCTGACTTTGTTTTATGCGACGGCCATTTGATATTTTATTGGGAATTAGAGTTATTTCCAATATGATCGGGCTGAATGTCAAACATGCATCAGATCATTCAATAGCTTTTATAAGCTATTGGTGGAATGCCAACTCTTCACTATACAATCAATGCATTGGCCTTGCTTTCATTCACTTTTATGAGTATGCTCGATTGATCCACCAAATTTACTAATATTATTATATTTGCATTTCAAATCCGTCAACAGCGTCAAATGACGTTGAATCGCACGATCATTTATACCCTGAAGATATTGAGTCACTTACTTCCGAGGTCAGTTTATTAGGTTGAATTTGATTACCTGCTGTAAAGCGCATGTTGATGTTGTAGATCAAAAGACATGTTTTGATATTATTTCTGTTTTTCCAAATAATAGGATCGCTCTAAACTTGCACAGGATGCTAAGGCTTTGGGCAACAAGCAGTACAATAAAAAGAAGTTTGAAGAAGCAATTGAGCTATATACTCAAGCAATTCTTCTGGCACCTAATGCTATTTTCTACTGCAACCGTGCTGCTGCTTATTCTCATATTGTAAGTTGTGTGGTTATTTTTGCAATGGTTCGTGCTCTACTTTGAATAGCTACCACCAAGTATGCTTACTAGTTTTGCGTCAATTTTGTTTTATATTGCTTATTCTGGGTTTAGGAAAATTTTGCTAAAGTTGTTGAAGACTGTACCAAAGGTTAGTTTATTGAGTTGTAACTCGACCTATCTTGATCATTATTTATTTTAATCTTGCTTTTAAATTAAAATCAGCTTTGGAACTCGACAAAAAATACATCAAGGCGCTCAACCGTCGTGCTGCTGCCTACGAATCGCTTGGCCATCTGACCGATGCATTGAATGGTATGCTTTATATGAATCAATGCACTATAAATTGTTTTGATCTGCATAATCTATTGCTGTGCTGACTGCTTTGTCACTTGAATTCTTAGACTATACTGTTGTTTGTGTTCTCCAAGGATTTAAAGTGAATTCTTCCATGAGTGCTCCCGATCGTCTACTAAAAACAATCAGCTCAAACATCACCCAGGAATATGCCAAATCTAGACGACCAAAAATGCCATCTGGCGCGTTTGTTCGAGGTATATTTGCTTTATTGGTTGCTGCTGGTGAATGTGTAAGAAATTTACTAAGACTGTCATTCTTAATCCCAACCATAGCATACATGGACTCTTTCCGTGCTAGTAAGTTTTAATCGATACTTTTATAGCTCATCATGCGTGCTGGAGTAACTGATTTTGTTTTTGATATCTTCAAACCATGTGCATAGCTCCATCTCATGCAACTCTCGTCGACAACTGCCAGGATACTTCCGAATCTATACAGGCTTTGAAGCTTGTGTTTTCAGCAATCAAGGAGCATCGCTGGACTGAGGCATATGAGCATGCTGTAAAGGCAATTGTTTTGAACGATTTCAACAATACCAAAATGGAGGCCATTGCCCATAATATTCGCGGCACATTCTTTTTTTTGATAGGACATAGTATGCAATTTACTTTGAAAATTTAATCTGATTGTATCTATCATTTTGTTGGTGCTGATAAGCCTTGTTGTACCTGTGCTTTGGCTACCATCATGTGTAAATAGTCGATTTATCTATTGCTGACCTGGACAAAGCTCTTGAGCTTGATCCAGTGGATGTCAACTCAATTATCAAGCGTGGAACTCTCTTTATGGAGCGAAGTGAGGTTGAAAAGACTGTAGAGATGTTTGAACGTGCTGAAAAGCTTGAACCCACCAACGTTGATTTGTTTTATCATCGGTGAGTATACATTATATCAACACTGTTGGAAAATACACAATGGACAAGTGCTAATGGCTTGCCATTTGATTTGTTTCAATCTAATCTAAACGACTATTTATCATATATCTGATTCAATACTTTTTGTGACGTTTTATTATTCGAACGCATAGTGGCCAAGTTCGTTTTCTAACTGCAGACTATCAGGGTGCTGTTGACGATTATTCTGCAAGCATTAAAAACGAGTCTCCTGAGGAATCGTCTGTCTATGTACACATTCAGATGGCGGTTGCCAAATATAAGCTGGGAAATTACGCTGAATCTGAAAAGAAATTCAAGGAGTGCAAGCGTCTTTTTCCCAACAGCGCAGAAGTATTCAACTACTACGGAGAGATTCACATGGACAGACAGGCACACACTGAAGGTATGCAATACAATTTAACTATTGAGACTGCATATTTTGTATAGCTTAAACTGCTTATTGATCGTTTCAATGTATTTGTGCGTAACATAGCTTTAAAGGCCTTCAACAAATCAATTGAAATGGATCCCACTTCTCCTTTGCCATACATCAACAAAGGTCAGTATATTGCTACCTGGCAAATATTATTGCTAAATTGATTTTGTATTTTTCCAACTAAATTGTTCATTTTTATTCACAATCCAACCGGTTAGCTATTCTTTATTTAAACTGGAAACAAGATTTGGCTACTGCAGAGGCTGAATGTCGCAAAGCCCTCGAAGTTGATCCTCTCTGTGACATTGCCTACTCACAGCTTGCTCAGCTGTTATGTCATCAGCATAAGTTGGATGAAGCCATCCAAGTGTATGATAAAGCCATTACTGTCACACGTACCGACATTGAGGTGCTGAATGTGGTGACTTATCGTGAAGCAGCCAGAGCCCAGAAATATGCATCCATGACCTATCCTGAAGCAGTCTCCAACATAAGCCAAGCTTAAGAAATAAATTCAAGCAGAATTCATGTTTTTATGATACAATGGATTCTGTATTTTAAACTTCAATTGGAGCATCGGGTAGAGCAAAATGAATTAAATGTATGCCACTAAACACGAATCAATTGTCTTATATCAAGATTTGCTATTTATTTCTGATATTTGATGATAATGTAGATATAAATGAAAAATGAATAACAGATAAAATCAAGAATTGCAAAGTAATTGAGTAGCCACTTATTCATGGCGTTTCCGACAATGATTGCCATATTTGCACTGTCCACGTTTATAAAACTCGCAAATAGGTCGGACATCATACTTTCCGCCAGAATTGTATCTTGGCTTTTTTGCATGTCCATATTCGCCGAGATCCTGGCCACCATGGTATGGAGTATCACGACGATAAGTATTTTCACCGTTTCCAAAAGTGTACGAATCGGCACCACCATTGAACCGATCAGAGTTATAATCATATTCGTTACCACGGGATGTGTGATATGGTGGCGCATGTGAGTTGAAATCATGTCGACGTTTAAGATCATACGATTCATTGTGATCGTAGTAGTTGGATACAGGAGCGGTAGGGGTATAATTGTTGTGTCCAAATAAATTGCTAGCAGTCGTACTCGCAAAATTTGATGTGCCATTTGCTGACTGGTTGGCTTGTCCAGTGTAGGGATATGAGACTGGTGCACCATTCAATCCTGTTTTCAGTTTTGACGTGTCCTCATTTGGATTGTTTTTTGTCAAATATGTATATTCTGTCGTAGCTTGTGGTACTGACACTGCAGAAGCAGTCGCCAACGTACTAAGTAAAGCAGCCGCAAGACCTCCAGATGGAGTAAGCAAGGTGCTAGCAAGCTCACTCAAACTATTGAGTGTTGATATTGAAAGTCCTGTCGTGTCCAACGATGATATGGGTGGAGACCATGTATCTTTAACTGCAGTCTGTGATACTCTTGCCAATACAGCATCCAAGTAGTTTGGTGTGGTAATTGTAGGGTTGATGACAGGTGTAATTGCGGTCGGTATAGCCCAAGTAGGCGCGACGGAAGCAATTGGAGCTACAATGGCATTCGCTCCTAATTTAGTAAGCGGAATAGACGTGGCAAAAGCATCATAGTCCGTTTCCAATGTTGTAGAGTAGACTACATTGGGCTCGGCAGGACTAGGAGGAATATCTGAATCCAAGTAGTATACTTTGGATAATGCCGTGCGTTCACGCTCTTCTTGTACTTTAGCCTCTGTACTGTTGGATCCACGTTGCACTTGGTTTCTAAGCAGTAATTCACGCGGTGCCTGCCAATCTATAACCGGCTGCTGTTCATCTCGAAGCTGCTGGAATGCTTGCTGGCCTTCGAATTTGTCAAAATCTCGTGCTTTAGTGCGGTCACCAGAACCAGACTTTTCGTATACAGCCTTTTCAATGTATTTGATTTTGCATAGTTGATCATCTGGCCTAAATCTGACACTCTTTTTGGGTTTGCCAAAGCGAGTGCTAACTGCACTGTTTAACGCCGCAGCTGCAGCAATCTCACCATAAATTGGTTTTGCAAGAATACTAATAATATTGTTCTTGTCTAAACGCCGCATTTCTGGTGACACAGGTTGATCGCCTGATGACTGAACTACTTCTCGCTTGTATGATGGAAGAACATCTGGTAAAGTCATATTTAAAGAATCTGTACGCAGCGCTTCAGGTTGCAACAAAGTGGAAGTATCCATTTCAGTGCTCAAATTAAAACCAGTAGAACCAATTTCAGATGTACTCAGTTTGCACGCCTTGTCTACATGATAGTCCTGGCCAGACTCAATTACGCCATCCTTTATACCAAGCTCTTTGAGTCCATCTGAAGCTACATCAAAAGATGCGGTATTGCAATCATCTATATGACGCTTTAAATCTCCGTTTGCACAAATAGGCTTGATCTCCAAATTGGGGATTGCTATTTGAGGTGAAGAAATAGATCGTGATTTGGGTTTTGTTAGCACTGGCTCACCAATTTTTTAAAGTAGCTGTTGGACGCTGGCTTGGTAGTCTCTCCAGATAAAGGTGGAATGACTAGCAAATTTTTCTTTTCAGTTACTCCAACAGGTTTTGCTGTGACTGTTTTTGTGAGAGTAGCACTAGCAGTTGCTTTGGGTTTATGTGTAGTTTTTACTACTGTAGCATGTGTTGAAATAGGGTTTGCTGGCGACTGCGTTGTAGAAGATTCATGGTACAATGATGATGATTTTAGACGGATTTTAGGTAGTCTGGGTGCTGAATCATTTGAAATAAGAGTAGTGGGTTTTAAAACTTGGTATGATCTAGTTTCGTTAGGAGTTTGTTTAACAATATATTTGGCGTTGGGAGGAGCAATCGAAACTACTATACGAGAAGACTGCGGCTGTTTTGGTGTCACTATTGATGTAATTGAACACCAAATCAATTAAAAATCGAATACATGAAAATGATTATTAAAACACATTATCAATGACAACAATTACATAAATTTTCATATAGTACAAACTCAAATTCATATCAAGACAGTGTACTTGCCTGGCTTGCGATCCGCAATAATTAATTTTGTCCAGCGTGCCATGAGCTCATTTGCAATCAGAATAATCTCTAATAAAGCGTGCAAGTTGTTGGAAATGTATTAAATATCAGTTAAAATCAACAAGTACTAGAATATACCAAGTAATGAAATAATAAAATGATTGAATTACCTTGAGATAGTTTTAATTCTGTGCCAAACTTGACAATTTTTCGAACAGATTTCCCCAAAAGAGAATGCTTTAGACAATCAATATCAAATGGGAGCCGTTGAATGAATTTCAAAATTGAAAGCACCAACTGCTCATTGATATTAGAGTCCTTGATGGACTCGGTCAGCCACACATTGATGATTTGAATTCCCTTGCCACTCATGAATTTAGTAAGCGTGGGTTCATGAACAGTATTTTGAAGAACCTGAATGACATTCAACTTTTCTTGTGGTGTTTGTTGTATGCTCATGTATCGCGAAAACCGACTTAGTTGTGCTGGATCAATTAATTTGTGAATTCCTTCACCAATCACACTTGTTAGCGACGACGGAGTTTGGATGTCCAAGTTTTCTGAAGTATTTTGATTGATAGTATGTATACCAAAGTCTGCAGATGTGATCGAGTCCTGTCGTTCCATAGATACATCAGACATGATATACATATCTTCCGAATCTTCCAATTCCAAATTCTCGAGCCTATATTCTATTGTACAAAATCATAGTTGTTGGATAAGCAGGTATTATAAAAGTTAATTTTTAGATTAAAACCACCATCAAAGCGACACGTGCAAGATGCAAACGCAGTATATGACAGCAGACTAGCTTACCATCCTGATCCATCATCCGGTTCGAATTTAAGCCTGCTTCACTTTTGGCATCAATTTGATTTGGAGAACTTTGTATCGTATTGGGTGCTATGTGACGAGAAATAGGCTTAGAATCTACTTTAACTCCAAAAGATAAATCAATAGCTGGAATGCCAATATGATCTGGTGGACCTTTAATATCATTTATAGCTTTATCAATGGAATCATTTGCAATATGCGCTTCTTCAATTTCGTCAGATTTTAAAAGCTCGTTTTTTTCATCATTATCTTTATGCTCTTCATAACTCTCTTCAGTCAGACTTTCAGTATCATCATCAATGACTTTTGTTGCTTCGACAGCAGATTTTCCAATATTCCCACTGCCATCAACATGCTTATCGTGGTTGATGTCCGAATCAACAGTTGCACGGTTTGGCAAGTCAAGTGATGATGTATGAAGATTTAAAACAGAAGATCCGTTAGAAGTGGCAGAAGCTAAATTTAAAAGCAAATCATTGCCAAAATATTAGTATATCATTAAATTAGTCGATCCAAATATTAATAAAAACAGCATAATGGCATACTCTGCTTTTTCAACGTAGATCTCTTTCGAGTCATCCAACGAGCAATTTGTACTGCGCTAAGTCCATCCGGAATTTTAATGGCGCTAATATCAGTCATGGTAGTGTTGGGATTTTCAGCAAATTGATTTTCCAACCATGCAATAAGCTCTGGTTTGTAAAAGTGCCTGCCTTTTTGTGCTATAAAAAATTGAATAAATTAAAATTAGTTCGAGTTTCACAACTAGTAGGGGTTTTGATCAGAATAAACACTGGAGTTGACAACTCACGATTAGAGCGAACTGTTTTGGATTTCGAGGATACTGATTGCGTTGCTGCAGAAGCTTGCATCATCGGTGTGTTTGGCGAATCACTGGAATAATGACTGTTTAGACCTTGTGACATGGCAGTTAGAGATAGCTGTTTGGACAATTCTTTTGAAATCTCAAAAGGTAATTTTGAAATTTCCATCAAGTGTATCAAGTTTGTTGGATCTAGAGATTTTAAAGGGTAAATTGGTATTGATTAGTATAAGGCAATACAAGAGGCTGTAGTCGACTATATTGGTCTCGGGACAATTATTCAATGAAAAATGGTTGAAATAGAGATTGCAAAGCGTGCATGAGAAGGATAACAGATTAACAGATATTTTCCAAAGCTGAAAAAGTATAAAGATACTGTACAGTAAATGTGGATGATGCGTAATCAGGGAATATTGAATTTTAGAATCACGACAGTTTCAAGTATGTTGCAACTTTCAACAAAGTATCATCAATCAGATCTACAAAAATCTAATACAACCCATGGTCAAAAATATACCTTGAATATGTACTTAAAACGATATGCGTCGAGTAGTATCAAAATTAACGCTTTGGATAAAATTTGATATTAATGTGAAATTAATCGTAATGCGAGCAGAGGCTAAACCAGGCAGAGGGTGGTGCTGAAGTTTTACAGTAAAGCAGACTAAACAGATAAGTGCTCAAATGGCCCAATATTCATATACTTGTAAGCCACTTGCTAATGAGTTGGAGCGAAAGTGCAGATCTGTAAAGTATGATGAGTCGGGACAGCAGCGTTGTGTTCAATATTGGGCAACAGGAACCAATTTATTAGAAAGATAATTTAGTTAGTTTAGTTATTATTGATATCAGATTAAAAAATTGCAAACAATATCAAGGGTCAGGATTAGTGTATACAGTCGTGTTTGTGTAAAACAGAACATTAGAGTGCCAAAATACATAGTAAGCTGCCAGTTTCATAAAATGATAATCTACGCCACATTTACTGATCTGCATGTGTTCTCTGCTCGTTTTTGTATAGAACAACTAAACAAATGCTCACATCACAGTTTCAGCAAATCCCACATTCTTGACATATTTTGAATATCTAAAGTGAGCATTACAATAGTGTATGATTGGTATCAAAACAACAGTTGCAATTGTTGTTGTTTTAAATTAGATCGCAAACGTATGAGATTTTAGAACACAACAAAGTAGAGTTTGATTGACAACATCATATGATGGGGCGTTGTTTGAAACAAGAATCGAAAGTCAATTCAAGTCAATAGGAAAACAAACATTCAATGATTGTCCATTTCAAAGCACAATAAAGTTACTGCAGGATGAATACAAAAGTGTTCCAGCTTACGCGAATACACTGGAGTGAACAGTTTTGCTGAGCAAAAAATAAAATCAACACGTGATTTAATTTTAGCCATAACAGCTCAGTAAAAAGGGGTCAACGAATGCATGTGTGGAGATTGGATCAAGACAGATGGGCGAGTCGAATGGTTTAGAGCCAGCAAAATCGGCTCGCTTCTAAAAAGCATTGCAGAGCATGAGCCGAGAATAAACGCAGTAATTTATAGACAGCAGTATGATGATACTGTTGGCAATATATTGTTTGTTTTTCTACCAGTGTATTTGCTGATGTGTGAATTCAACCCATACTGCCATCAATTACCAGCTACAGCCCAACAACCGTTTTGTTGCATTACATTCAATGAAATATACGCACAATCAGATTATAACACCAATTTCCGTTTGTTGGAACAAGGCTGGTGAAGAATCGAGCATGGCTGCACAGGTAAATATAGTATCCATCCACTCGTCCCTTTCCAGTCAATGATCAACCCAACTGAGCCCCTTAAAGCACCCAATACTGTGCACTACTATAAAGGTTCGCCAAGCCATTCGGCTCTCATGATCCCTCAGCTCCACTAAGATGGCTGACCATTCGACTATTTTGGTTGTACCAATCCAAACACAGCTGAGCTTCGTCTTGCTCCCCTATTTATTTGCTACTTGGAAAACCATGACATCAGTATTATGTATATTCCATTTCAATCGACAACAAACTTGGTCTGTCAAGCTAGAGTAGAATGCCATGCATTTGCCACAGCACATTCCTTTCATGAACCACTTTGGTTTTTTACCGAGGGCAACTATCATCCCAAACACTCGAGTTTACCAAGGTATCAATACAAGTACTGTTTAGCAATCATGCAAGCAGATTGTACGACAAGAGCTTGCTATTTGTTTTTGGTCCAACAGACTGCAGACATATTAAAGTCGGCCTCGACTACCAATGGATTAACAGTATGCAGGGGTTTATAGAAGGACTGGGTGCTGAAAGAGTAGTCATGGTGGGGTAGATAAAGAAAAGTCATACAAATACTATAGAACGACAGACACATTACCCCTTAATCAAGCAGTGCACAAGTTGTCAATTACAATCACTAGTTGACTAGACTCTTGACAGCTTGTCAAATCAAATACACGGAACAAAAAAAAATAGCCAAATGTCCATAAAATGAATTTGCCCAAGCACAAATGCATTTGGCTAAAACAAAATCCTAAATAGCTCTTCAATTCGTTCTTGAAACTCGTGTCGATCGGATACTTTAAAAGTTGCTTCAACTCTCACCGCTTATTCATCAAAAACGGATCACTAAACAAGTGTTTACAATAAACTGCTAATCTTATCAAATGATTATTGTCAATTTATTAGTCAATGCTGCATTTTCTGATTTCCTGACAGTTGGCGTAAAAACATCGTTCATTTAAAACTACAATCTTTGTTATTTTGAACTAGAGCGCAAGCGTATCTGTCAGTTTTTAGCATACAGTAAAAATGAGGCTTTACAGAGTTTGATTGACAACAGTCGAATTCAATATCTGAATTGCAATGGATGAATCTGGTGATTGCAGTGTATAGTTATACCAAAAATGATTCCAATTCAAAACTATAGTCTGTATATAATGTATGTTTATTCAAATCAATTTCTAGTAGAAGCGCAATGATGTCTAGCTATTCTGTTTCAAAGCAAAAAGTACAAATACAAAGTTGCGTTTTACGTGAATACGGCTGTAAAATGCATTTGGTAACCACAAGGCAATCGGACATGTACTTTCTATTTCTTCCAACTTTAGAATCAAAACATTGACCCTACAATCAATTCAGCATGACATTACAAGTATTGTCCAGCGAGACTGCTAAACGACTATCCAGTGCACAAGTAGTTATCTCGCCTGAATCTGTTTTGAAGGAATTGATAGAGTGAGTTTATGCATTCCAAGAGTCAACCAGTGCAAATATCCACGTCCGATCAGTGTCGCCAGCCTGTTGTAGATACTGTTTAGTGAACGATGGATCACTGGGCTAATTCAATTGTAATTAAATGCCTTTTGATCATTGACCATAACAGAAACGCAGTTGATGCTGGTAGTTCCAGTGTTCAAATCAGAGTCAAGGATGCAGGCATGACTCTTATTAGTGTCAAGGACAATGGATGTGGCATCCCTGTGTCTGATATCCTACTGGCCTTGCAAAGGCACACCACTAACAAGATTACTTGTTTTGATGATGTCCTCACTGTCCAGACTTTTGGGTTTCGAGGTATTTCATTTCTTGAATAACATACTTTACTAAACGATATGTCCGATAAAGTCTAACTATCTGAATACACGAATTCAATTCTACTACTATCCAAATCACTCTGGGTTTTGATAGGCGAAGGTATATCTGTATAATGTAATTCAGGAATTATTTTGGATTGGTATTATTAATTGGTCTTGGTTATATTTGTATTCCAATATGCAATCTCCGTCTTTTAAACTACAGCACTACATAGCATTTCTGCCTTGTCTTTAAAAACTGTTATTAGCACAAAAACCTCTGCTGACGAAGCTGGTCGCTGCTATGAATTTAATCGAAGCGGAAAAGTAATCAAGTATGTAGTATTTCAAGCAATTCGAATATTTAAATCTAGTAAGCTTGCCACTAATTTACTTTACTGGAATGGCGATTCACTCAAGTGAATCCACAAAAGCTATGCAAGTCGGAACACAGGTTGATGTGGAAAAGCTCTTTCATCACATTCCCGTTCGCAAGCAGGTTGGTACCACTTTACGTTTTTGGCTCAACTTTTGCTTGGAATTAAATATAATGTGCCGACATAATTATATAGCTTTTTCTCAAAACAGCAGCACATATATGCAAAAAAATGCGTGATCTTGTTATTGGGTAAGTGGACTACTATTGCTTATCAAGATTGCTTATAGAATGCAATATAACCAAAAACCTGATTTGATTACCGCTCATTTTTCAGATTCGCATTATTACTTCCCCACATTCGAATATCACTGAAATTTGAAGAAAGTACTGGGTTTGGTGCTGACGATTCGTTTAAAAATATTACAAAGTCATCTTTAGCAACTACCATGGTAAATCTAGGCAATGATTATTGGAAATTTTGCATAAACAATTCAACTTAATTTGCAATATGCTATTTCAAGGATGCGATCCGTACTCTTTTTGGAAATTCAATTACAAAATGCCTAGCAAGATGTTGTCATGAAGAAGCAATACCAGCCGACACAGTGGATGGGCCCATTACACAGAAAACAATCAATATTGAAGCTATTCTTCCTAGACAGGATATGGGTAAATAATATTTTAATATTGTACCAACTACTACTTGATAACTAACAATAATTTGATGATCAGTTGAAACACCTATAGTTTGGAGATCTCAAGCAGACCATTGCTTTATTTACATAAACTATAGGCGAACCACTTTAGGTAGTGATTCCACTATAAAAGAGATTTGTAGCAGAATTCGTAAAAAATGCTCAATAGACATGGATATATCAAAGTATCCATATATGTGGGTGCACATTCAACTGCCTGTTGAATTGACTGATGGTAAGATATGCTAAAATTTGGAAATCTTATATTCACTCGAGTTTTGCCAGCACATGAATGTACTTTAAAACGCAACACTCTAACTTTAAGTGACTATTCATTGTACGTCCTACTGGGATTGCTAGTCAATATCGAGCCGGATAAAACTACTGTCCGACTCCAATATCCAGAGCAAGTACTGAAAGGGTGTGTATCATATCTATATGTAGCAGTATTACCATGCATTCAGGAATTTCAGTATTAACTAGAATTCAAATATATTGATAGAATTGATTTCATTCTTGAAAAAATGTATCCGTCACCATCTGCAGATCCATCAGTTGCCTCGCAATCAGAAATCAGAAAAACACTAAATTCTACTGATCAACCGCCATTACCATCAACTGTTCCGTCCGATACGATAGATCTCAATCAGTCTAGTTTTAATCAGATTGGAAATTCGGCCAAAAATAAAGAAACTAGCGTACGATCCACGCCCAGCAAAACTGAAGATGGTCTCGACACCAACACTTGTAAAAGAGCTGAACCCACAGCGTTGGAACGATTGATTTTTGCAACGACAGAAAAACCCCCATTGCAGCCCAGCAACATGAATATACAACCAAATGAGATTAAATCTTTAAAACGGCCTGTTTCATCGTGCGAGTTGCCGCTGTTTTCTACCACTTTTGATTCTGTACCAAAGTCTCGATTGAAAAAAACATCTCAAAAAAGAGAGTCGGAATCGGGTAATTCAACCAACTACCTCAACTCACGGCTGGATGCATTCCTGAAAAAGTCGACGCCTCTGATGCAAGATAAAGCACGCGAGATGCAAGGAACTGACAGTATTCTCGTACAAAAACACCTTGACAATCCAAGCTTGGTTATTTTAAGGCATCGATACCAGCGATTGTGCAACTTCAAGCATACTCAGTCCACCAATAGTGATGATTCTTTGAAAACAGCAAAGCACAACACTATATCTGCTGTTGGACTGGTTTCAATTCCCAATACTGACTTGTCACAGTCACCTTGTGTTGCAGTTTTCCACAACGGTCAACTATGGATTGTAAATATTACAAGACTGGAGGAAACAGTGCTCTATCATGTACTGTGTGACTCGTTTCAGATTCAATCTCAGGATCTCGAAACACCTATTTTACTTACTCGGGATATTATTTGTGATGATGCATTGCTTGAATGGATACGTGGTTTGCCAAGGGATTCAGATACATCATGCATTACTGATCATCGAATTAATTCCAATGGGTTCAAGATGAAATGGGATACAGAGAGTGACATCCCTATTGTCACTAGTGTCAATACTGCAGTAAAATCGCTGGGTACTGCAGACTTGATGGAAATACTTGGCAAATTGCACAGGCACAGTGTAGAACCCAGTGCTATTTTGGATACAATGTCGCATCAAGATTCCAGTTCATACCACCGGCAAGAAAAACCAATCGAGTCGGCTACACAAACTAATCTAGCAGAAACAAGACCTCAGCGGATATTGTTGTATTTTAAAGATCGCGCTCGTCTACTTGCCAGTATGCGAATACAGAAAATTGAATCGCCCGAAAAATTAAAATCCGAAGCAATTGTTGCGTGCAAACGACTGCTTCGTCTATCTTTGCAAACAGATAAACTGTGCTATAAAATCCATTCATCATCAAAGCAAGCGGAAAGCCAAACGTTTGATGCAGCATTACACTGTCCACACAACTGTCCAATATTTGCACCTATTGGGAGTATCTGATCAATTTGCTACAGTATAAAATAAATCCACAAAATAGCAAATAGCTTTACGATGTATAATGCCCATTTTTATAAAAACCATTAATCAACTGCCAGGTTAATACAATAAGTATATTTAAAAGTCACGGCGCTCACGAGCAGAGATATGCATAGCAGCAGGTGCATCACCGGGATCCATGCTACGAACAGTGAGCGCATTCTAATATCTCATAAAAGGTAAGCATACAGCCATCATATGTCATCTCAACCAATATAGTTGTATAAACAAAGTATTAAGCTTGCCTCAAACTTTAATTTGATTGTTCCGACCTCTTGAATCAGGTTTGCTACTTCTTGTTGAAGGACGTCTGCCGGAGTTGTATCCGGCGTTGTCTGTATTTTAAGAATAAACTGATGCTCAAGTGGATGTGGAACCTTGTATCCAGCAAAAATCACCTTGGGATTCTTTAAAAGCTGCCTAGATCCGCATTAAATTTAAACCATTCAATTGAACTGTTAACCCAAGTTTGGCTTAATGAAAGCAGTATTGCTACAAGTATTCTGAAATCTCGTACATTCTTAAAATGTTTCCTAAAGTATGATCTTCTTTGAGCACTGTAAATGTCGCTGCATTGGGAATTTTCGTATCCATTTCCATGGATATTCTGTTGAAATCGAGTGTCCAACCAAGTTGAAATCCGACAAGCATGCGGTAAATAATAAACAAGGTTAGAAATCAATCAGTCATGTATGAAACTCTACAAGCATATAGACATGTAGGAATAAGTCATGGCAATAAGATGTTTAATATTTATTGGAGAATCTGGCGTTCAATGGATAGATTAGCCAGTATCAAGATAACTTGATTTCAACATGAATAAACAATAGTATGATGAATCTACACTACTTTTTCATGCCTTCGGGAACTAGCAGCAGCTCCCATGTTGGCGGTGCGTTGGACATGGCTGGATATGTGGATGCTAAGGAAAGTGCTGTAAATTCAAGCAACTTCAATCTGCTTACACGTGATCATTGGTTTTATTTCACACTTTGAATTCTTGATGGTGATCATATTCATGTCAAATGGAACACTATTATGGGTGTCTAATAAACAGCCATAAAATGATGAGTGTCAATGTATCGAACAACATTGTGTCATTTTAGTATTGTACAATGTGTGCATACCAAATGAGGATAATATCAATTTAAAACTACAGTCTGGTTGTATGATGGGTGATGTGTTTATTGGAAAAGTCGGTTCCTAATAGGAAAGCGTAACGAATATTTAAACATCTATTCCAAAGCAATCTGCAAGATATGTTCTACTTTACGTGAATACGACAGCATTGACTGCCGAATCTACATTTTCCAAATCGTGTATCTACAGCCAATATATTTATATCAAAGCATATGAACACACCGCTGCATTCTTCACAAACTAGCAATGAGCTTTCCTTGACATTACTAGACGAGTTTCTGGACTTGGTAGAGGCGCTTGATGATGCAAGAATGGATAGTGTTACTGGTGGAGATGCATCGATTATCGCGAATGGTATTTACAAAATGTATAAACCCTACTTATCAGTACTCCTGTATATACTATATATTATAATCTAGATACATCAATATGAAAATTTACTACCAGATGTGGTGATAAACTACTATAATCTGGTTGCTTTGTTGGGGTGGCAGACCTAACTTTGCACTTGTTCTAAACATAGGTGCTCCAAGTCTGTAATACGACGGCATTGTCTAGCTCAAACTGATTTGGATGTAATTGATATTCTTGCGGCCTTTTTGTCCAACTGTACTGCCAAGAATAAGCGTGCTGATAGGGACTGGAATAATGCAAGTCAATACCATTTGATATCCACGCATTGTTGGGTTGTAGCAAGATGCTGATCGTTTAAATATCATATATCTAGGCATGTGAATTGATATTACAAGCAATCCAATCATTAGTATACATCGAAAAGCATGCACTTGAATCGAATGATATCTTGGCTCGTACACGACCATCAATAGAAGATTTAATTTCAAAGGTGTGTAAACTCGATCCATTTGATACAAAGTAGTTCAAACGCTACATAGTAGTTTAAACTTTTGTTCTCTGATAAAATGACAGAAAAATAGTTTGACAATACTTCGGCATACATCGGGAATAGTAAATCTATTGGGCGAAGTTATAAGTATAGCCAATGAAGACGTAGTTGGCACTAGTCTTGTTGAAATTTCTTGTCAGATATTGTCCATCATTATTTCCAACACCAACCTCGCCTGTAGTCACTCAAGTTTTGAAAAGTTTGTTATTTGTAAATCTAAATATTATTGACTCTAGTTGAAGTATTCATTGCATTTAACCAAAATAATTATGCATTTCTTATTCAAAATACAGGTTAAATTTATACTATATCCCGTATGCAATATGGAACTCTTTTGGACAACTCATGCGTGCTGACTTGTTTGTTGAACATTTAAGAAACCAAATAGTTGTTTTATTTAAACTGTGGGAATTATTCAATGCAAAGTAAGCATAAGATGCTCCAATCTTTGAACCAACTTTTTGTCCTAGCATCATTATACACGTTGTAGTTGGGCCGAAAATGGTTTACAACAAAGCGCATATACTAAATCCCTTTTAAATGCAACCAATACTAGAGATCAGGCAGATTTATTTCTAGGTAGTTTATTTTGCATAGCAAACAGAGACTGCATACTACCTTCTGTTTCACCTACACAACTTGCTTTGGAAATCTCCGAGTTTTTACCTGATCTGATTTTTACAGCAAAAAAAGTGTTGAGTTGCAAAATACAAAGCTTGGGCAAGGAGCATGGAGAAAGATTTGCTTTTGTAATGGAAAGCACACGCAAAGTAGTACGCCATACATTACAGTTTTTGATCAATCTTATTTTTACTAGGTAGATTGTGAGAGTTGCTTCATCAGAATGGAATGCTAGCCAGAAATTAAATTAAATCTACTTGGATTTTACTGTAGAGTCAAAGGAGCACATCAATCCAAACTGCTTCAAGTAGTACATTCCGAACTACTTGATACCTATTTTACGCTTCGCTCAAAGGTATAGTCGTTAAACTAATTTTTAAACACTCCTATTTTTGCATGTCAAATCAATCGATATTTATGGTATATTTAATTTGGCATGTATAGGCAGTTCATATGGTTGTAGCACAAACAAGTGGAGACGATCATTGCGTACAGCTTCCATCAGCACATATATACTATACAACATCATTCGACATCAAGCAATCTCTCAAAGAAATCCACACAATACTCATTTATGGTGCGCTTGACAACACTGAAATATCATTAAACTTTGCTCTCGGTGTTGATTATTTACTTGCATTACTCCTCGAGCTTAACCCTGTGTCAGATTCGACCAAAGAATGCCAAGAATTTAAAAAATGGATGCACCTTTCATGTGAAAATAAGAGCGAAGCAAACTTGCAAAAGTTTCTTGTTGTTGCAGAGTTTGTATTTGAGTATTACTTTAAACTGATTACTCTTCATAGAAATCTTCCAACCTTGATATCAGATGATAATCTGCGCAAAGGTGTTCAAACCATGTGTCGACTATCAGCAAGACTCTGCTTCCAAGCTGGAAACTTTTCTAACAGAGTTTCATTAGAGTCCGAAAATACGGTCTTGAAAAATGTGGAGCGGACAAAGTATACTGATCAACTTCAAGCAAAAGTGGTGTATCTTGCTCAACGGCATACGCGAACATGGCTTACTACATGTTTATCACGACCGAGCATGTGGATATTTTTGACAGATGCTATTGAAATGCTATCCAGTAGTGAGCTACATTTGGCTATTAAGGAATCCAAACATCTCAGCAAGTCCACACAACACAAGCATATTGATCATCTGGAAATGACGATTGAAAACAAGTTGAATCCAAACACGAAATCTAAAGTCCGCTTACATGAATCTGTTTTATCGACCCCATCAGTTCTGTCATCATTTGGTTCATTCAATACACTTCCGCCCATAGTTTCTGCAGATATTTTACATTTAAAATCAGCTCCAACTAAAACAACTCATATACACGCTCTAAATGATACACCACAAAATACAACCGATCAGCACGGATTTATACCAAGACCAAAAATTTACTACGAAAAAATATTGAGTGAAATTGTATCACTAGTAAAACATATTTTGGGAACTCATGTACTACCACAAAAACAATCACTACGTCCAAAATCTGCAAATGTTTTTTGCAAAACAGCTACGCTCATTGGTACAAACAATGAAATGAACATACAAAGTGATGTTGATTTATGCCAATCAACAAAAAGCACAGCTCATATGAGTGATACAGGCTTGATTCATTCACCAAAATCAATTGTAGTAGAGCTTGGTTGGTTTCTGGAAAATGGTCAGTGGTTTTTTGTATTATGCCTTGAGCTATTCACTTGAAATGTTGCAAATGGCTGGATCGCTAATTTTTGACGTGCCTCGATTTAGATGTTTTGACAGTGTTGCCACGACTCCAATCAATCTTGGTGCGTGTACCAAATGAGCTAGAAAGTGCAGCCCACTCAATTCAGTCTCTTGTGTTTGCATTGATATCTGCACGATCAAGTCTACATATTTCACCATCCTCTGCAAAAATACCTGATGTCATAGTCCCAAAAATTCATTCAACTAGATCTATTGAAATTCCATTGCATCCCATTACAAAAGTGTCACGTCTTCAACCCATCATGCCAACTGTTGGGTCATATATACACGTAGGAGTATTGGATAGAGATGGGCTTACTAACCGTGCACGAATTTCACCAGTGGTTGCAAAGCCTGCATATTCTGAATATATGCAACGGTTTATTCCTCAGCCTACACTTGGCAGTACAATAAACTGACAATTACCAAGTATATTGGTTGTCTCAATCTAATTTGGTGTGATTTTGAAATGTTAAAAAACGGACTCGGGTATGAAATGTGGTGGGTATTTATTATATATTGTCCATGCTCCAGTTTTTGATGGTTTCATATCCGCTCATTGCAACAATAGCACTGGGAATGGTTACCATCATTCTGACTCGTAACCCTCGATAAAAAGCTGTAGATGGTCAACATGACGACAATTATGTTAAAGTGGTTTTAGTTTTCGTTTTGATCCCATACATTGAAATGTTCAAAACCAACTCAAAGTTTACCTCTCCACCCTTCTTCGTGAAATATGGATGATGCAAGCTGTACATAACCTCGTCGAATACTCTCGGCGTCTTTTTTGTTTCTAGATTCAAGCAACTGAGTTCTGATTCGAAGAATCTCGAGGGGATTGTTAGCTGTGATGGCACAAATGGCAGCCAAGCCACCGCTGATTCCGTTTACGATATTTTCTTTAGCTGGTATGGGTTTGGAATTTATTCTAAATCGAGTTTCAAGGAATGTGGTCGTGCGAAATAGGATTCCTTTAAATAGTTCGTAGGATCCCCATTGAACAGCAGAAGCGGGTGCGTATGCTCCGACATCTAATTTAATCATTTGGCAATTGAGATCAAGTGGTTGCAAATTGTCAGTTTGATATGTAAATAGTGGTGAATCTATCAAGTATTTACATGCAAAATATCCTCGATAAAATCCTTGTATCCCATCGTTTCGCAGCACTTTTTTAACCACGTCGAGTGGTCCAGAATATAACCTACATTCAATTGAATTAATCATTTTGATACATGGCTGTAAAATCAGTATGCTTCATTTCACTATTTGATTCATTGGATCAACTTTTTCGAGTGTTGGAACAATACCTTGAATTGTGCACGAATCCTCGTGTAGATTGAATCTGTAGCCTTTGCGCAACAATGTCTGCAGGAACATAAAACATACCACCAGCAATTTCCGCACATGCTCCTACAATGCATTACTGTTAGGAATAATGAATAGCAAGTGTCTGTGGTTTGAAATTCATACCTGATAAAAATCCTTTGGTGAAAATTGCACCATGACTAGAGTTGTTTGCCAAAACTTTATCTACTACTTCTTGTGTTGATTCATATGCCATATAGTACATGGCTTGACCAGGAAAAGAACCAATTACAGACGGAAATAAACCACGCCAAAACCTGAGAATACCTTCGTCTTTTGCTATACGATATATCATCCGAAACACATTCTGTTTGTGTAGCTGTCTCGACTGTTTGAGATTGAGTAAATTGATGGTGTATTGATCATGTTTACAGGGTTAGTGATGCAAGTACCAGATAAGATGAATCATGGCTAGATTCAAGCAAATTCAAATTCAAATTCAAACGCATTAAATTTTTATCAGTGAAAGCTTATCCAGCAGCATACCCGTTCAGACATGATGATGGTCTTAACAGTGTCTAGAGGAAACAAAGACGAATCAACACCAAGAATGAATAGCGATCCGAATATCATGTACCTAATGCCATCCATATCCGACAAACCCACTCGTTTTGGAATATTTTCAGTAAAAACGTCATTTATATGCGCTTGCTCAGAAAGTAATGTGGTTTGAGTTGAAGAAGAATTCTGAATCGAGTCATAAGCATGGTTGTCATGAGTGATTAAATGAGTAGCTGGAGGAATGGTTTTAGATTGATGCTGTTGTGGCAATGACATGGTTTTAAAGTATATTAAGTTATATTATCAATGAGGTTGAGTTATAAAACCCGATTGAATGGTGCTGTTAAAGCTTTGAGGGTGGGTTGGATTGAATGAGGTGCTTGCTAGCCTTCATGGAAGTCAAATCCACGACAACGCGAATCTGCAGTACTGGTTCGATATTGTAAATGTGTTGAGCAGTAATCATGAATAGTTCAGTATTATGATTCAAGTATATTGTTTAGAGGGTGTTGCAAGAGAATATACAAAGCATTGGGTTGGTTAAGACGCAGATCGAACAAACTGGATTTCAACCAACACTAACACAACTCATGTCACAAGCCATTAAACTCGAAGAACTGCCAGTGCACCAGTTACAGGCTGTCCGTCAACAGTTGGAGGAGGTACTGGCACTAGACTGGATGCATTACTCTTTAATTGTCTGCTTCTAACTGCTGTTTGGAGTCATTAGGAGATTCAAACCCTCACTCAATCGTTTGCTCAGCTAAAGCAGGCTCAGGCCAAATTCAACGATAGCATCGAGTCTCTCAAGCCATTGGCTAACCCTGCTAATGAATCTAAAGATATTCTAGTGCCTCTTACGACATCTATATCCTTTTTAGCTATTGTCATGTTCATATCTATGTCTGCATTGCAATCAATTGGGTTCGCAGTGGTCGGATTAATACTAATTAAATCAACCATTTCTACTGCCCAATAGAGCTGAGATCAATACTATGACTAGTATTATATATTGCTTGTCCTTGACTTTTTGGGTTTGAATGATATACCTTTATGTACCAGGTCAACTAGCAGATATCAAGACAGTGATTGTCGATGTTGGTACTGGATATATGATTGAAAAGGTTGGTAAATCTATCTATTTGCCTGCAAGACAATATATCTAGCCATTAAGCATTTGCCAACTAATGATGAAACTGTTGTATAAAAACAGTCAGTTACGGATGCCACGGATTTTTACAAGCGGAAGGTCGAGTATTTAAAGCTGAACTTGGAGAAACTGCAAGAAACTGTTGTCCAGCGCCAGAACCAGCGTTCATGTAAGAAATGGTGTGGTTTATAAATATTGTCTATAAACTAATGAATATGTGTCTATTTGTAATAAATACAGCTGTTGTTGAAATGATCCAGATGAAGCTTGCAATGGTTCAAAAGGAAAGCAGTCAAGGCGACAAAAATGCGATTGCTGCCAATTGAATAAAGATAGGGTTAACAAAAGCAATGAATAAGTCGTATTGTTTAATATGGGCTACTGCTGTCAGATTTGGCAATTCTAATAGTCTACAGCCATATTCACGTCAAATGGAACACTAATATGGATGTCTAATAAGCAATCGACCATGAAACGATGAATGTCAATGTATTGAACAATGTATGAATACCAAACAAGGAGAATCTCAGTTTAAAACTAGTTTGATTGTATGACAAGTGTTGTCTAGTGAGGAAGCGTAACGAGTATTCAACCATTCCAAAAATAGTTGCGAAATAAATTCGAGCAGATTTCATTTTACGGGAGTACAAATAGTAGCAACCGACTTGCCACAACTCAATAAAATTGAATCAACTTGTAACCACAGATACATGACTGCTGAATCTCTTTCTCACGTTGCGAGTGTTCCTGTTCGATTCTTGTCGGATGCAGAACTTCCTATCACTCGTATGGAGGTTCGCAAACACTTTGATGCTCTGACTGATGTTGAAAAGAAATACTGTAAGTCGAATATCTACCAAAAAATGTTGTCCATTAGCAGTATATGGCTGTAATTCCTATCCATGTACTAGTATGTTATCGTTTTAACTTGTGTAGATGTAACAATCTAACACTTTTATGCGATCTTTCAACTACCATCAGCGCATTTCATCGGCCGAGCCAGTTGGGCTGGTGCGGGTATCATTGCTGCATCTATGTCACCATATGGTCCTGCTCTTGTTGGATTGTTTTTGGACATCTTCACCGTTCCTGAAACTCGCCATAGTGATGCTCCACGAATGGTTGATATTATTGCTTTACAAGCAAAGGTTGATGTCAGCGAAGCTTCCTGGACCAATTTCTTGGAATACGCCTGTTCTGTAAGCTAGACAATCATTTTGGGAAATTGCCAGCATGCTACCAAACATTCAAGATATACTAAACTCGACCATTCTTTTAGGTTTTAAACAATCTGTCCAACTACAAATCGTTTGGTGACACTAAATTCATCCCACGTATCTCTGCATCAGAGATGGATGCAATCATTCGCAAGATTGACCCTCGCATTCATGAAAAATTTGTTTCTCTCAAAAACGTCATTTACGATATTTCCCCTGATGCTCAGCTACTTTTAGGTTATCCTTCTGAAGGACACGTTTCTGGATATTATTCTCAAAATATCTCCAAAGCCGATGTTGAATTTGTTCAAAAGTATCTTGAAACCAAATCCCCCCTTTATGCCATCAACACCCGTATCTTCAAAACTGACAACGTGTATCAAGTGCGTATTGCTTCATCCGAAGATGCAGGCAAAGTTGAAGAAACTGTGACTATTGATGGTAAAACCATTCAAATCGTATATGGCGACTTTCAAAAGGAAATGAAGGCATGTGCTGATGCGATGGCTGGTGCACTTCAATATGCTGCCAACGATAATCAAAAAAAAATGATTCAAGCGTATGTCGATTCGTTTCGTTCTGGATCTATGGATGCTCATTGTGAGAGCCAAAAGCATTGGATTCGTGATGTTGGCCCTATCGGTGAGTTATTTTTGCTTGTCCTATTTATAGTCGTATTCACATGAAATGGACCATTATCTCGCAATGACTGTTTTGGTTTGAAGTAGACCATGTTTAAATTGTTTTATGCCCTTTTACCACAAATTGATATCTCCAATCCTTTTTTAAACATCATCCATCGTATGATGGTCACAGACTATAGTTTTGGACTGAAATTATCCTCATTTGACTTGCCATATATTGTTCAATTTCTAAATTTCAAATCAGATCCATATACTGGGTTTGACTGTTTTTGTGTGGAATGTATTGAAACAAATGTGAACATTTGTTCAGTTGTTCTACACAAACATCAGTAGTAAACTTGGCATTACTCAGTACATGTGATATGATTTGTCATTTTTATAAAACTGGCTGTTTATGCATTTTGATTTATTTTGTGTTTTATTTTACATAACACAGCTGCAATGCAAACACTCATCTAATCTATATCAACTGTGATACTGTAATAGTCGAATGCAATATTGGTTTTATTGAAACGTATCGAGATCCTTTTGGTGTTCGAGCTGAATGGGAGGGTTTTGTTGCCGTGGTAAACAAGGAAATGACACTTAAATTTGGAAAGCTTGTTGACAACGCACCTGCATTTATCTCGCTTCTTCCCTGGGGTCGTGATTTCGAAAAGGACAAGTTCAACAAGCCTGATTTCACTAGCTTGGAAGTTCTGTCATTTGCCACTACTGGTGGACCACCAGCTGGAATGTAATGTTCATGTTCAATCATTGTACTCACACTGACAAAGTATATGATGGTTTGTAATGCTAACGTGTAATGTTTATTTCTATGGACTAATAGCAACATTCCCAACTATGACGAAGTTCGCCAAACTATTGGATTCAAAAATGTATCTCTTGGCAACATTGTTGGTGCCAAAGGCCCAGCTAATGAAAAAGTGACATTTGTCCGTGAACAGGATGCTGCCTTGTTTAAAAAACTTCAAAGCGAAGCATTTGAAATCCAAGTTGGTCTTCACGAGCTTCTTGGTAGGATTGAGAGTTTATGTTATGGCAGTTTTTGTGAATATCCACTTACATTTTGAATCTTGCGCCTTTGGAAAATAGGACATGGGTCTGGTAAACTTCTTCTTGAAGAAGCACCAGGAAAATTCAATTTTGATATTACAAATCCACCCATTTCTCCAGTAACAAATAAGCCAATTACCACCTGGTACAAGCTGGGTGAAACCTGGGGATCTGTTTTCAAGTCTGCTGCATCTTCATATGAAGAATGTCGTGCTGAAGCCGTTGCCATGTACCTCTGTGTCAATGACACTGTTTTGGACATTTTTGGAGTTCAAGGCACTCAAGCCCGCGAAGACATTATATATATTTGCTACCTCAGTATGGCTCGAGCGGGACTGATTGCACTGGAATTTTTTGATCCCAAAACAAAAAAGTGGGGACAAGCTCATATGCAGGCACGGTTTGCTATTTTGCAAGTATTTATCGCATCTGGATGTGTGACCATCAATCACTCAAAGGAAACAAACGATATAACAATTGATTGTGATCGATCCAAGATCAAGACACACGGTGTTGATGCTGTTGGTCAGTTTTTGCAGAAACTGAATGTGTTCAAGGCAACAGCAGATGCAGATGCTGGACTGGCATTTTACGATGCTTCTACCAGTGTGCCAGATTCGTGGATGCCGTGGAGAGAGATTGTTTTGGCCAAAAAACAGCCCAGAAAAGTCATGCTTCAGTGCAACATCATGTTGAATGCGAATGGAACTGTTGAGATGCGTGAATATGATGTATCGCTTAAAGGATTGATTGAATCCTACGTGGAGCGAGCCATGCCTAACCTTTAGAAATCATCAAAGGAATGGCATTGAAAAATGAATACTGATTTCTTACAGCCAACGACAAAAAGAATGAACATGGATAAATAAATGAAAAGTTGCCATGTATTTGGAAAGCACTCGCATACATTTCAGTCATATTTTTGAGCATGTTTTGCAAACATTGGTGGATTGTCTGCTGATTCGAATGGCAGGATCATTCGTTACTCGTTTCTGCTATATCACGGCAACAATCTGCACTATCACTTGCTGCAACAACCCGCTTGGTGCCATCAAAATACTTTCAACACATGATGAAATCGGGTTGGTAAAGTATAAATATTTCCTTCCATTCTTATCCCTTTTGTATTCAAACGTGCCCATGATATCAAAGCATGAATATTCACAATAATATACTTGAGCTCAATTATTATTCAAAAATAGTATTCAATAAAAAGCTGATTTGCAGCCTCCACTCCATGTACAATCGCTAAACTTTGATATTCTCTGAAGCAAAATCATCTCCTCCATAAACTCCAACCACATCTGCCAAGAACCGCCGCTTTTTTTCCAAACTTCTCTCGACCAAATCATACAACGTACATAGGTTAAACACTAATCCAGGTGTACTTGCAACTACTTTGGGTCGCTCGGCACTCAAACTTTCAAGAAAACTTGCTGCCTGATTCACATTTCCCGAATAAAGCTGCGCAAGAGCGAGATTGTTGATCAATATGGGTAAAGGTAATGGGCTACGAGTGACAGACTCGGTAAAGTAAGAAATGGCTTGATCGTATTCACCTTCAGCCAAGCAAAGCATGCCTCTATGTGAAAGAATAAGATCGGCTCGAGGAATATCCAGTGGAACCTGTGGTCCCAAGATTGTACTTTTAAGAATGGATGTACCCATTTTAGCTCCGCTGCCTTGATCAAGCCTTTTATTCCCTTCCACACCAGATGGCAAAGATTGAGTATCCAAAGGTATTCCTAATTTGCTCTCAATCTGCAAAAACACCTTTTTAGCCGATGGAAGATTGCCAACTTGAAGGTGAAGACGACCCATGGCAGCAAAGATGTCGAGGTTGTCAGGGTTTAGCTGATGTAAGCTTTGCATGATACTGCTTGCATTGGTATAATCCTGAATATCTACAAGCAGATTAGCGATATGAATGAGAATGATTGGTTGAACACGCTTCCAGTCGGAAATGGGATCAAAAGTAGGAGGTTTAGGTTGAACAGAGTCTATTTCTTCCACATTCGGTTGGCTCATGTCAGTATTAGGTTTAAGGCTTTCAAAAACACTTGTGGCATCGCTTGTGTCTTGATTACGTAGTTTTTGTGCGTGCATTTGAGCATGCTTACGATATCCATATAAAAGCTTATACATGCGATGTATACTCTCATAGTGGTTTCCTTTCATGGCAGGCACCAAATGACAAAACAATCTTAGTTCAAAACTTGCCAATGGACCCTGGCGATTTAACCACACATCAGGGAATCTTTCAAAGGTCAGTTCAGTGGATTCTAAATCACCCATACGATCCATTTCGCTTTGAATGAGATCGATATGTTTGAGACGCGATAAAGCATACCATCTGAGCAACCAAAGGCGAGAGATACGATCAACACTGGCAGGATGACTTGCAATAATATCACTGCGAGCAAGTTGAGCAACTGAGCGCCAGCTGTTTGCCTCGATGAGAACCTTGTAAGGATTAGGGAGAAGAATAGCTTGATCAACTGTCATAATTTTGCGAGCAGGTCGTTGGATTTCAGGAGTATTGATAAACAATTTTGCCATGGCATCTCCAAGAAGATCAGTGTAAGGAATGTCAGAAAATGTAGTTGGATCAGTCCATTTGCGTGTTGGAAGAGTGAATAGATGCGGTTCGAGCGGTGGTGGAAGAGCATTCAAAGGACCGCGTGAAGCAGCAGATCCAAGATGAACTCCATCATGGATAGGTTGCGGGGTCAGTACAGACATGTCAAATGCATTCAAATTCTGCAAAGGTAAATGTGGTGAATCTGAAGGACTCTTGCTAGCAAACTGTAAATCCGGGCTTACTTGACTTGTACGTTTTGGTGGTTGGAGTAGAGATTTACTTGTGATACTTTTTGTTGGGCTTGGTGATCTGCTTGAAGATGATCTACCAATGGGGAATGAGTTTTTAAACAAGGCAGATGCAGCAGCTAGAGACTCTGCATATGCAGATTTTGGAGTAGTGTTGACTGAAGGAGTACGGACTGAGCTATTTGGAGTAGTAGTCGTGTCGGATTCAGCCTTATGATTTGAGTTTTTAACAGGCAGGTCTATTGACATGGGTGTGTCATGATTTTTTAAATCTATTAGATTGTCATGCTCGATGCTGAGCTTTGGAAGCTGTTGATTCACGATTGAGCTGGAGTTGAATTCAGAGAATGAAGCCTGAGCACTCATATGCTGTAGTCGACTGGGTTTTTCCAATGGAAGTGGTGGTTTCTGAGAGTATTGCAATGCATTATTGGAGTTGCTGGTAATAGAATCAAGCTGCGGTGAAAGTAAATCTGCATTCATGGTTGAATTTTCAGATCCATTGCGAGCAAGTAAGGAATGAACTGAACCACCACCAAGATTGGCTTCATTAGGTTCATGAGCAGATGGTTCTGTAGTAGTAGCGAATGGGTCCTGGCTGGATTGTCTAGCATGGGTATCGAGTAGAATATCCTCTTGCAGTCCTCTAGTAAAGTCCATGGAGGATTGTTCATTATCGTTACTGACTGAAAAAGTTCTAGTATTCTGAGATATTCCAGCGACAGAGATGTTGGATACACTAGCAGCGGTAGTTCCAGCAGTGATGGTTTCAGAAGTAGAATCACTCAGTAATAAATCGGCAGCATCCAGCTGTCGAGTGGAAAGGCCCAGCAGTTCAGTATTTTGTCGTTGAGTGACTGAAAAAATAGTTGGTTCTAAAGTGCCATGATCATTAGCAAGACCAGTAGTAGTATCCATGATAGTAAATCCAGCAGCAAGTTTGGGTATTTAGCAAAAAGCAAGTTTCGTGTTTGTCAACTATTTACAATTGCACTAGAATGGAGTATTTGCGAGTCTTTTAGAATCAACAAGTCAAGCATTTATTGCACTTTTTTAATGAAAACTGACTTGAATTCTTCAATACACAGCAAACATGATTTTAAAACTAGTTTTGAACATCTCCTCATTTGGCATAGCCATGCATTGTACGATTGATCTTGAATACGCTGAAACTGTTATATTTGGTTAATTCAATCGAGAATGTTACCATTAGAAGAATTCAAATTATATACAAATTTGGGTTTAAGAGATCCAAGCACATAGTCCACACCACCCATGTAGCCGAATCCTGTTTTTTTCCAATCATTCTTGACTCGCAGAATCTCAAAAGTTGCTCGTTTATTTCATTCAATAAAACGCTTGTAAGGATTGCATCAATCAACATTCTGCAAGCCTTTTTATTGTCCAATACTCACACCTTTTGAATTCTTTCAAAAGCTTCACACAAGTAACCACTTGCAGCAATATCTTTGATTGCTTTCTTTTGCTCGTTTGAGAGTTGACTCTTTTCTTCTTCTGTGAGTTGGTTGAGAAGCTTATTGAATAGTTTATTCATGTTTAAAAAAGGGGAAAAAACCTTGACAAAACAAGATTTATGTTGGATTTTTCAAAGGCCGATTGGAGAAAGTCTCGTTAAATCATTTTAGTTATCAAAGTTCCAAGTAGACTACATTGTACTGTCCTGTGCAAATGCTTCAGGTGAAACCAGGCGGAATTGAAGAAAATGAAATGATACCAAGAATGATGGATAAATATGGGTGGTGGAGGCAGTTGGTGCCAAGTTGATTGAAATTATACAAAGTTTTGTATAATTCATGACCATTAGATTCTCATTAGAAGTGGAGTGCGCTGAATATCAAAAACAATCATTTGGACGAATTTTTAGTAGAATATCGCCAGCTGTTGAATATCTTGACAGTCTTGCCTAGAAAAGTGGTATCATTCCATGCCCTACATATACTACTCAGCCATCTGTAAATGTGTATGTTGTTGACTTGCTTTGTTTTCCGTCACCAAAATCAAAACAGGTTCTAGACTGTCTATTTGATTTTTAACTTTGCAACATCAAAAGCACTCGTGATATTCTATCCGGCTCAGCTTGACGATTCTATTGATAACTGACCCCTTGCACCTTAAACCTGAACGATCCAGCTTTGAACTCACTAGCATATTCATTTTTGACATATACTGCTAGCTGTATTTAAAAAACACCTATTCTGACCGACCAACTCGCCTAGCTAGTTTTACTTGCCATTCCACCTTGATCCTACTCTGTTTACCATCTAGTCTGGTTTGAAAATACAAGCATCGATTATCCAGCTACAAGAACAGGAATTGACACCAGTACTATCTTTGACTCCTTTTATTTCAATTGTCTGCCATTAAGCCTCCTTGTTGCTCTTCCATAACAAACTGTCAATGCAAAAGCTGATCAAATCCCAACCACCTCCCATCCAGCAGCTAGAAGTGACAACAGACGAGCCCAACCATCGCAAAGAGCAGCCTATCCATTACCCACACAACAATAGCCACCATTCAAATCAACAGCACGAGTTTAATCTAGCCCAGTCAGAGACTCGTCAGCACCAACCAGCATTGACTCGATCCAATTCAGTCCAAGCTACTTTTGAGAAAATTGGATCCAACACACCAGTCTACCCGATAGTAGGTGAGCCCAATTCATTCGTATCAACCGACACCAAACCTGCTCGGATCCAGTCTCGGTTTATAACGAGCTTGTCATTCACCTGGCCATCTCTTGAAAGTCGCCTTACTTTTCATTTCGTTGTAGTTTATTTGGTAAGGCTTATTTGATGAAGATTAGTACATGCCAGAATGTATATTGGATGGGCTTGAATATCCATTCTTGCTGGCTGAAAAGGTTGACTAATGCAAATGTACATTTGATAAATTCAATGCATCTATTATGCACTGTTGGTTCAAACCCGTTTCAATGGCTTGACTTGTAATTTTCCACTGACACTTCAGATTGGACCGCTAGTCTTTTTGATTCCAGTTCTTATTGTTCCTTTTATCTACTCGTTTTCAACCCTTGCATATCACGCTATAGACTCGTTTGCCAAAAGCATGTCAGCTTTCTTTGCATCTGTGGGTAGCAGTAAAGGTATGCCACATGCTGATGAATCTACCAAGAATGCCTATTACAAAAGACCTTTCAAATTCTATTACTTTTCCATGTATTATCCTATGACGAGAATGTACCAGCCTTTTTGAAATTGGCTTTCTGCTTCGTTATCAATGTTGCTTCTGCTTGAATTATGTGGCGGGTAGTCGGGATTTAAACTCGTCTAAAGCTGGTTACACCACGCGACGGCCATTATCACGCGGCTCATATTGTCGTGATTTTGGCTTTCCTTTTTCGCTTATTTTTGAACCCATCTTGACTTGGAATCTACTGCACTGATGATGAATGACATGGTCTGTACCCATATACAAACTATGGCCATGGCTAGCATATTGGAGTCTGTTCATGTGAATGGTTTTGGGTCAGCCTGTTTTCGCCCCAATGTTCACTTGGTGGCATTTTGTGTCATGCCTAACCACCTGATCCTCTATTTGCGGTTCTACCCTTTTATTGCAAATAGATTGATTTGACTTTCCTTTCAATAGCCCAACTACATACCTCTAGCCACCACTTGTTGCTTTTACCTTGCCTGTGGATTCATTGGGTGTTTATTAACAATTCCCACACTAACGTTGTTTATTACTCACTTGAATCTTTTACTCGAATGACTACCATAACATTCAATTCGGCACTATCTGCCTCTACCTCAATTCCTTCTGATCCGACATCTTCTGCTGCTATGCTTATTTCAATTGCGGACTTTTCACTTTCTCCCGCATCAGATACTGACTTGGAGCATCTCTATACTCGTTGCAGTATCTGCTTCGATGCCTCGCATGACTTTTGCCTCAAGTCCTGCAAGGATCAGTTTTGTCGCTCCTGTTTTCAGCGTTATATGACAGAAATTGTTCGCAACAGCTGGGGACTTTCCGTGCAAAATGTAACTTGCCCAGTTTGCCAGGATCCCCTCGACTTGTGTGAATGGAAAAATGTATGTTGCTTGCTTCCTCGCTATCTTTTGTATGTCTTTATCTGCCAGCCCATCTCTTATTCCAAACTCAATCTCTATGGCATGCACTAACTACTGTGAATTTCTGGGGTTAAACTTTTTGCATGGGTCTTTGTGCGGCCGGATTTGTCGCTGCGATTGCGACCATCTAAAAACAAATCGACTTAATTCCAACTTTCACATTGGAATTACGCGTTATTTTCATGTGCATACCCATACCCTTCGCATGCTTTTGTATACGACATCTGCACTTGTTGAACTGTCATCTCTTATTCACTACCCACCCCTAAAAAATAGTATGTTGATCAAGAAACAGTAAGGCAGTACAAGCTATTTAACCGCCCATTCCGACCAATGACTCGTACATGTGAAAGCTGCTTATCTGAGGTTGTCTGTGCTCCACAGCCCTTGATAGAGCACCATCACCGGGAGAGGTGTGTACTTTGATTTTGAGTTGGTCTAGCTGTGTTTTTGGGCTGTATGTGTACATTGGACCATGATTGGAAAGTGGTTGCTTTTGTTGCGCTTGTAGTAGAAACTAGTGGAGGATGTGGCGCATACAAGAATGTGATATTAGTCATTTCCTATTGGAAGTTGTCAAAAGTCGAATCCACTTGTTTTAATCACAGCAGTTTACACTCGTCCTTGTCAGATGCCACAGTTGTCAAGGTTGAAAACGCTACTAATCACAAACATGGTCGCATTTAGGAAAATTGATGAAATACTTTCTAAAATTGAGGAGCTTGTTGCGGATAAAGGAATTGTCGATTCTTATGGGTTTGCCATTATATCCAAAGTCCGAACAGCATTTAGGACTCACATAAAAGGCAGTAAATCTGAAGTATTCGATATCTATGTTTGGTTTATGCGAGATGTTCGAGACTTTTTGAATCACAGGTACTTGCATGTGATGGGTTTTAGCATTTGCTGGTTACTTGCCAGATTTATTTATTTGCTGTATATGTAGACCCAATGCTATCCATCTCAAGACGCGCTCATCCAAGTTGGAGGCAGAGGAAAGACAAAAGAGACTTTCCGATATATCAGAATGTTTTATATCGCTCGAGCTTTCTTCCGAGAAATGGAAAGAGCTTCAATTTCTTCATCTTAAAAGCTTTCCTCAAGCCATGTGTCACTGCTGTGACCAATCCATATGCTTTTCCTGTGGCCAATCGCCATATCACACTGGACAATCATGCACAGACTGCATTCGCGATACGATTGCCGATGGCGGATCGGTAGATGTGATTTCCAGTCTCCAATGGAAGCTAGACAATAGTAAGCAGTGTCCCAACTGCTCTGTTCTAATTAATCGTGATGAAGGATGCAACAAGGTCGATTGTTTATACTGCGGCCACAAATTTTGCTGGTATGGTGAATTTGACCTTGAATGTTTGATACATGGCAATGTATAGAGATGCATGGAGATGAACCTTTTTGTATTATACTATCAGGCAATGTCTTGGCCAGTTTGATAAAGGTAGCTGTGCCTACTATCGTTGCCAACTTGTTGGGGTAACGGACGAGTCCGAGTCGCCTAAACAAGCAGATGAAAAGGTATTCATGTCTTGTGTGATTATGTTTAAAATTCGGATACTAAGTCTCTTGTCATGAATCAACAGCCCGAGATTGGCGTTCCAAACATGATGCACATTCAAGCTAAATGGCAGCGAACATCGATGATTGAAATTTGATAGCCTACACTAATTAGGCTTTTGACAGCCCACCTTTAAACCTTTCCTTTTAAATATGTTTTTTCCCTTATAAATAGCCAACTTTGCTGAATCCCTTCTCTTCCTATATGTGAAACCAATACAAGATCTTTTTAAAGTCCTTTGCAGTTAAACCACGTGATAGAATATGAGCCATTTGAGTGATTGCAGAGCAAAGCGGCACAACGACCAGGCGAGTTTCATTTGAATTCCAGCCAGTGGCCGATTTGATTTTGAAATACATCCATGGAGAAAGGTTAGTTTCCATTTACCTTTGTTTCTTATTCATGACTGGGCTTACCCATTGATGTAGCACCACTGCTGTCAATCTGCCACCCACTGGCCTCTCTGATAGTATGGCTCATAAATAGTGCATTGTGGATATTCATTGATGTTAGTGTATTGGAACATTGGCGTATGTTGAACAGTAGCTGTTTGATAGTGTCGTTATAATCAGTAACCAGTTCTCTAGCCATTGATTACTTTTCAGACAACTTGATAGCCAACATCGGTTTTGTCAACACCAAAACCATCATATTTAATGGGCCTGGATGGAATATAAAACTGTCAATCATATAGTTGGTTAGCTGAAGCCATGCATATCTTATTTAAAATTCTAATATAGATCCAGTCCGACCCAAACTGACTATTTCGTTCAAGTTGGCTAAACCACCATCAACTAAACAGTCGGATAGACCACACTCTCAGCCCCATAAACCTACTTCATTTATTAAACGTATAGATTTACGCCAACCATCTCGTCCACAAGCTGCAGCTCAAACCACATCACAAAGCCATTCAAACCCTCCAATCCAAACCCATTCGTTTCCTGCCTCTCATGAATTGTCAGGTGCTTCGGATGTGGATATTCTTGACGTGGATAGTGACGAATCTGATATTGAAAGTAGTATTGAGAATCTATCTCCACCATCCATTCACTCGATCGTTCGTCGACCCAATGTGCTCATCATTCCTCCAGTATCACAGTCATTGGCTATATCCAACAAAACTAAACATACTGCACGTACACACGAGAATGCTCGAGCATCATCCGCACCCGTTTCTGATAGTTTTGACGAACTGAGTGAATTCGACTCGGATGAACATAAAGAATCGACTACCGCTCAATATGCCAACTATAATCAATACTCGGATGACGACGATGGCGGTGAACAGACTGGATCAGAAAGATTGATGGCTAGATCTGGATACACCTCTGCGTCATCCAGAACATCCATTCGCAACTCGGCTGCAAGTGCTACGCTCAATGCAACTAAACCCAAACGGCCTAAATCGCGGGGGAAAGGATTTTCTCGCAAGCGGAAAGAGCGGCCTGCGGATGGTATATCTCGATCAACCAAACGGCGCAAACTTCCTCTTGAGCAAGTCCTTTCTCGCATGATTGATATGATTCGACAAAAAGACTCGTATGGCTTTTTTCTTGAGCCAGTGGATCCTAATATTGTCACTGACTACTCGACTGTGATTCGTGAACCAATGGATCTTTCGACCATGGCAAACAAAGTGGCTTCAAATCTTTATTCTTCGTGTGCTGAATTTTGTAAAGATTTTGAGCTTGTCATTAAAAATGCAAAGACATACAACTCTAAAGCTACGTTGTATTACAAAGAAGCCGAGAAGCTGGATCAGGCTGGCCAGCGTATTATCCAACGTGAATCGGTAACCATTGAAAGTGCCGAAGAGAGGCAGGATCGACTGGATCAAATGGGAGGTGGATCAGAAATGGGGAATGATCTAGATGAGATGGATGGAGCCGATACCATGGTTAGAACCACTCGACCGTACAAGAAACGAGATATGGATCGGAAAAAATACCCTAAAAAGATTCCACATGTGGTGGATTTGGAGGAAGCCATGTCTTTGTGTATGCACTCGGATGGAACATTTGTTCGAGGTGAAGGTGTATGGAAACTTCCACCCCGGACTGGAAAGGCTTTTACTCCATCGCTGCCAAGATATCCTGCGCCTCCACTGTTTGAACTTTCTCCTTTGGAACGTGCCTTTGCAACTCGGTTTCCTAGATCATTGTGCTCTATGGGTCGAATAGATATACACTCTATTTCATGTGAGTGCTTTGAATTCTATGCAATGTTTGATTTTTAAAGCTTTTGGAGGTTGTCGACTTTTGTTTAATCTTTCTTGTAAATTAGCTCTTTCATGGACAGCTCTACCCTTTCAACCACCGGTTCCAGCATCAGAGGCTTGGATCAATCAATGGGTTTATCACACACACGGCAATGCCACGGGTAAATCATTTGTTGAAAGTATGGATCGATTTTCCCAGCCACTTTCCAGCGTTGTACGAGATGAGGTTGCCAGTCAAGCCAACTATATCACAGACGGTACATATGATATTTGTAAAGCCATCCACAAGTTATGCACCAAAGCTGAGATTAAAAAGGAAAGCAACCAAGGCGCATGTGCCCAAGTAGACGCGGAGCCTTGTATTATTCATTCGACACATGGCCAGATAGATATCGTCAAACTGCTACGTTTAGCACAGTCTGAAGTGGATGATGTCATTTGCGCTTCTACGCTTGTACATGCTGAAAAATCAGGCTCTGATATCACTGTCCTGCATAACCCAATAGCCAATGCGCAGATTGAGACTGATGTGAATGCAGGATTCAAGTCTTGCTCAGTTACGGATTTGCTGAAACACAACGCAGCCGATATTTTAGCACTGATTGATAAACGGAAACAAAGAGTGGGAGCTGGGCTGTTTCATTTGACAAGCACGGAGCTGAATTTGGCCGAAACAATCCGAAGAAGAGCACTGTATCTACAAAGTTTAGCACCACAGGGAGAGTTCCATACTGTTGCATCCTACAATACATCACGTAAATCCATTGGGTCTGCATCTGCAAAAGCTCTGGGATTAAATCGTCGTGGAAGTCAACGAACACCTCGTGCATCCAAATCATTGCAATCGTCAGTTGGATCATCTGTTAATGCATTCATGTCTGCACTTAACCCTACATTTCAAACTGCCGGAGTCAATCCTGCACTTCACGCTGCTTTCAACTCTTCCTTGAACCCAGCATTGAATGCAGCGCTGAACCCAGCTTTGAACATGGCATTGATGAATCCAACGTATAGTGCAGTATTCAATTCTGTATTTGCTAATGCATTAAATCAGTCATTACGTGGTGGTGTGGGTGGACATCACTCCAATACATCATCCACGTTGAATTCAGTACCTACACCATTAACATCGAACATCAACTCGCATTTTTATAATCCAACCACGACGTCACAGTTGGCTCAGCCCACCCAACAGCAAATTATTGCTCAACAGCAACAGCAGCTTTTACTTGATCCGACACGTCGTCATACACCATCGCGATCCATGAGGAAATCGTCGAGTCAAACTCAACTTAATACTACGCAAGGAGTAACACATCAATCGGCACAGATTTTGGCACTTGCAAGTATGTTTCAATCCAACCCAGCTAGTATGCAAGCTTTACAACAACAGCAGATGATACTACAGCAAAAACAGTTGCATCAGTTTCAAGCCAATGGAGTTGGAGGATTTGGCAATTCTGTTGAGAATTCATCTTTGAACTCGATAGGGTTATCTAGCAATAATACTGGATTGTCTTTACACAATTCAGTTGATTCTACTCGGCCAATTTCTATTATGCCAGGCACGGTGTGTATGAGCTGTAACAAGGCATTGGTAAGTGGATGAGATGACTAAAAGGGTTGTATGAGTTGTTTTACTTATGCTTTGTACAATGTACTATTGAATGTACGCCATGGTCATACATTAGACAGAGGAACTCGACAAAACGTATTCAATTTGTCAAGGTAATACTTTTTCATTATGTGTGATGTGCTGTTTTTGAACATTGAGTGCTTATTTTGTGCTGTATAAACTATAATACACGATAGCATGTACTATCCGACTGTTACAAGATCAAAAGTAATTACAATCTGTGGATACGCTGTCTACTTTTTGCACGAGCAAAAATAATCAAGGGATGTGGTTTAGCTATTATACTATTTAAAATACATAGGTTTTACTAGTATATGGTTTATTGTCATGTTTGAATGGATGAATTTTTATCTTTCAGGGCTTACTTTGTCAAACTGAGCATGAAGTAGTCCTTGTTTAAACCGTTCTGAAAATTCGTGAATGGATGCATTGTTTGAAAGATCGAATACCTCTTTGGGTAGTCGGTTATGGCTGAAATTGGATTTAGCATGGTGTTCTGCTTCTGCGGTGGATTCCACAATGCGTAACTTGGATTCTGTGGATTCCAGGATTTCTTGCCACGTGTAGAGGAGAGCATCCGTTGTAGGTCCAAATGGGTTGAAATCCATCAACCATATATTTCTTGTACGTGCATTCATGTAAACATCAAACACATCTAAATCAAGTTGATCCAAACAGGTTAAATTCCACTCCAACATTACATGATCAAAGATCACATCCATTTCATTCAAGTAAGCTAAGGATACTTGCATGAGGGATCAGGAAACTTTCCACTGATTTTTGAATCAAAGAATCTGCACAAGTCAAGCTCAATGGTATTTCTATTAAGTTTAAGAAATTCGAAATAGTTGCCTGAATCTCTTTGACACATGCCTAACCAATAAACAAAGTTAGTTTAGTGTCGGTATTGATAGGGTTGAAAAGAGAAGTTGAATACCGACTCACCGACCAAATCCCCATGATGAACAAAACACCGAAACTGCATGGATGGAGCCAAATCAAACCATTCACGCAGGACCAGTTCAAACTCTTTGGGTCGGTCTTGATCATGACCTGGTTCAAAATCCACACATTCCTCATACGCATGGGACAAATCATGAGCAATAAAATCGCTACTTTTCAACAACAAAAAGATATCTGCAGGTGTTGTACATTGAAGTGTTGTTGCAAACGTAATCCATGCAGCATCTTTAGGTGATGACCAATTGAGTTTGGGGAAAATACGACCACCAAGACGAGTGATGGATGAAATGATGTGTGCTTCGAGAGTAGGAAACGATGGATTCGGTGTGTCTTCCTCTGTATCGGATACGTCTTGATTCACTTCACTAGACGTATCCGAGTCGACATCATATTCGGCAAGTGGTGCATGGTTTCTGATTGGAAATATCGTGTTAATGTCATGATCACCAGTCTTGATGCAATACACTGGAAATGAGCTTACACTTCAGATGGTAAATAAATACCATCCGCATTTAAATAGTCGATGAATGTTTCTGGAAGTGGTTGGATTACAATCGACTTGAAAGTGCATTGCGAAAAGTGCGAATACCATGAAGAAAAACAACAGTTGTTTACATGCTGTATAGTGAATCCTGGAAATGCTGTTGCATTCGACTCTGGCTGCTGCTGTTGAGATGGCAGTCGAGTCGGATGCTCTAGTTCAGTTTGCTCAGCCATTTGATTGTCAATTCTATAAGCAATTCAAACTTGAAAATGCCAATAAAATAAATTTCAAAATGCATCGATAATTTCGGCATCTTATTAAAGCCAATTTTATTTCAAAATCTAAATCGATACTAAATAAAACGAATGATACTAGATTATGTAAACAGATCGATAGTATGAGGAAATTTGCCTCGTTGCTCAAAGTACCCGCCTTTATATCGCCATGCACGACCTCCTTCCGAGTGCTCGTCTGGCTGAAGCTCAAACCATTGTGGTGTCCATTGTTTCCCGCTGGCTTCCATGGCCTTGCGAGTTTCCCGCTGTTTTTGTTCAAGTCGAAGCTTTTCTTCTTCGGCTTGTTCCGCTTTACCCTAACATATCCCACACAGTTAGCATAATGAGCCTGAATACTTTGTAGCAAGCACCTTGTGAAATAATACTGCAATGATTACCTCTTCATACATGCGCTGGTCAGGACGGTATCGCACATCAGTGCTTGGTAGCATATTGACTATATCTGGCGTGATTTCTATCAAAGATTTAAATAAAAGCCCTTTACAGATTAAACCTTGTAACATCAAACTCATTAGACATACCATTCAACTCGACAGCAAACTGCGTAAATCCATAGTTGTCTGCCTGGTCAGAAGGAAAAGGCGAAGCACGCCAAATAACTTGTAGTTTATCTGGTGCCGAGTCAAGGAACTTGTTGAATGAATGATCCCACTTGCCACTACGTTTTGATTGTTTCAAAAAACATTGATTAAGTGATGATACAATTTGGTTTGTAAACGACTTGAATGGTACATACCAGAGCGAAATGACTTTTTGTCCACGTGGATTAAACACTGCACCAACTACTTCATTGTTGGCACTAGTAAAGTATCCTGATTCCTTGAACGTCAATTCGCAGCAATATCCTATTGTTTACAAGTACACAGCAAGTGATGAACATTTGATACACATAAAACAGTGGCCCAGTTTTGTTACCTACCTGTTGTTAGACTCGAGATCTTCATTATGCCGTGGTGTTCAAGATATCTGCTGGGAGCAAACAGATTTCGCATAGATGTTGTGACCTTGGACCACACATATTCTTCATTTAAAGCTGGAAACTCGAGATGCACTAATAACCCAAAGTTTTAAATATACGAATCGGTCAATTTAACCCAAGATCTACATGTAGGTTTGACATACAATGCTGATCCATTGATTAAAATGACTCACCTGTTCCTGTATTGTTCAGCTCCATTGATTTTCTATATAAAGCATATACAAACCATCAGCCATCAGAATAAATGCATCAGTTGTTGGACAAAATAATTACCCCCAAAATTTAGTCTTGAGCAACGAGTCTTGAAAAATACGATAGTTTTTTGATTCGGCATAGCATGCCATAACAGGTGGATGATGGCTGACTTTTTCCGAAACGAATTTAAATCCTAATCCACATCACACAAGGTTGATGAATTGGTTACAATGAAAACACATGTCTACACAAGCTCACCTTTATCTGGTCGAATGAATTCAAATGTCTCGCCCAACAATGGATTGAAAGGTTTTCGAGCGGCTCGATACACTGTAGACGAGTAACCAGAAACAACAAACCCTATATACATTCAAATCAAATATACTAAGTACATTACTGCGTAATAAAGTCTCGACAAAAAAACCCACCAGCAATGTAACATAGGCGATCAACAGGGTCAGTAGTATGCGCAGCAGTATCAAGTAAATCCGAGTACTCCAACTCTTCGCATAATTTCTGTAATAAGCTAATAGGCTCATTCAGTACAATGGGCATCGTTACAGTCGACAAATCTTTACCAACCTATAAAAATAGTCAAAAGTTTGTCAAGGTTTGATGGATGCACAGTTTAAAAGTAGAGTACAGCGTCAAACCAGCTTCACATCTATAAGATCAGCTTACATTATTACGTAAAATGGAGAGAATGCTGACATTTTGCATCGAACAGGCAGGTGCAGGAAGCTTAACACGACGCTTGATGACTTGCGTAGCAGAGTTGGCCAAATTTTGCACTGTGTGCATCTTATTCAAAGCAGGCTCAGTTAGCTTAGGAGTGAGTTCCATAGAGCTCATTGCCAGTCTTGCGTCTTCTACACTTGTACTCAATTTCAACATCGACACGCCTCCACTGCTACTTTTAATAATATCCGACTCGTAGCGACCGTGTTGTTCAGCTTCTCTATATTGAAGACTATCCTCAGAATCTGTTCGATAAGAATCCTCACTTCCTTCCTGGGCATCAAAGAATTCATCATCTTTAAATGTAGATGTCACACTTCCCATACGCTCGTGATAAGTAGACATGAATACACCGTTGGGTAAAAAAGTTGCGGTAGTAACCGGTTCTAACCCAAATCGTTTTCTGACACAGTTGTTGTCGTTTAAGCAAGCATAAAATGCCGACTCGGCCTGCTGAATCATTGTGCCAGATCTTTCTCGTTGTCCTTGAATACGTGTATGGAATGCGTGAAGCTGACTGGATGTTGTTGCGGATGTAGTGATTAGCCTTGATGTCGTATCAGAAATGTTATTGAGAATATGAACAAGCTCTTTTGAGTGAGTTTTGGAATCAATGCGGGATTTGAACGTATCGGCTAGATCATTCATACGCACGAGTTCTTGTTTGAGTGTAACAAGAACAGTCGAGACTTGATGGTGAATAATATCAAGCTCTGGATCAGTGATCTGAGAAGATTGAGCAGGACTGCTGTTGAGGTTGGATACCAAATTGAGATTGTCATTGAGGAATGAGCAGTTTTCATCCACAAGCTGCATTGATCTAGATGCTGCAAACTTTTCAATACAGCCTGTCCATCTTTCAAACTCTTGCAAAGTCTCAACTTTGAAATGGTAGGTGGATTGGCCTGAATCTAAATGAGCAGATATATTATACGAGTCGGTAAAAAATCAAGGATGAGAAAATTGGTTAAGCGATATGTCAAGAATGAATTGGAGTGCTAGTACTTGCCAATATCAATCAACAAATGATCTAAGACATTGGATAAAAAAAAATTAGTGATTCCATTGGTAGTCAGCTGTATGGTGGACAGAGTGATCGAAAAACATACCATGATCAAGTCGAATTGCAGCGGTTGACAATGAAACCGAGCCACGACTTGGACTAAAGCATTTAAATCACGGTTAGAGTTTTAGAAAATGAATCTCGAGATTGACATACATACTTTCCCGGACTTTTATAATAAATAAGGGAACCACTTGAATCGACCTCTACCCAACGACGTTGAAACCCTTGCATTTTGCGGTTTCCCTTTTTCAACATCCAGCCTTCGACTTCCTTTTTTATAACCATAGCAGTAGGCTCGACGTCCATGAGTGCGACAAAAAAAAAGAGTTTTTTTGAAGTATTGACAGAAAATCTGTTATCAAACACAAGGATGCTAGCAAGAAGATGAAACAGAGAGAAAAGGGATCGCGTCAATTACGAGGTTAACCATCGAGACTATTCATTTCAAGACGGATGGTTGAGAAAAGATGATAGATTGGATATAGACTTACTAAGTACCGGGTTCCTGAATATAGTAGTTTCCCTTGATTGTAGCCTTTGAACTTTCGTAATGAGCAATTTGAATGACTTCTTCCAAATCGGGATCATCCAATCTTGGGCGTTGTTGTTTTTTATTTGTACCCGAAACAGCGTTATCGATTGAGCGAAGAGAAGACAAGCTTCCGTCTTTTCCAGAATGATGAAGCATAGGTGGAGTAGTGGAAGCACTGAGATCACCCATTGATACAGTAGTGTGTTGTAAAGGGAGGTTAGCAGAGTTGGTTGGATTGTAGGCATGATGAATGTGAGGATGAGTGCTGACATCAGCCGAGGCAAAGGCGAGTCCAGCAGCAGGAAGTGAGGTTGTAATGGAAGCAGTGGAAGGGTTAGGTGATATAGTTTGAGGATGAAGAGCGAATGTTGGAGAAGTGTTGGATCTGATGGAAGTGGGAGGATGACAAGAGCCAGTACTGACAGTCGTGCGTCTTCCATGGACTGTTTTTGTATGACTGACACCAGGAACAGTTGAATTCAAGACATGGCTAGTATCGACATTTCCAGCAAGATCTTTGATGGGAGAGTGAATGCCAATAGACTTGTCGAGTCTTGGAGAAGGCAATGGACTGTTGTTTAGAGCCAAAGCTCCGTCCTGATTTGTAGTGTAGTTTCTTCCTAGTTCATTCATGGACCCACTCACTAGAACCAGCTTTGCTGGTTCTCCAGCAACTGGTTTACGAATAATACGGAATAGACCAAACGATATGTTCTTGCGACGAGTACAAAAGTTCCAGCATAGTTCCTTGAAGGGTTCGTCTACAACAACAGTGTGTTTGAAGATATCTCTTGGTTTGATGGTCACTTCCTGCATGCTTGTTGAATGCCAGACGAGAAACCAACTTGAATAAAACTAACCTTTACTCGACCATGTTCGAATGCAACTCAATATTGGTACAAACTGTTCTTCATTAAAGATCTTTTATACAGAACACAATCCTTCCTAAAGGATTCCAAAATTACAGTCTGCTAGACAAGTATGGTTTGTGATTCGTATCGCTTAACATTCATCTCAATCAGTAGTTGCTCCGTGCGTTCCTGGATCACATCATTGCAGTATCCTTCCAGACTCGGCATGGGAATGAGTGCCAGCAGCACTGGATATATTAATACCGAAATCATCAGGCTCGCTAGTTGCACCATCCATGCCAAAATAAGAAGTGATGCCATGATAAACATGGCCTGCGGGAGTGTGTTGGATTGAAGCATATCTGGAATGGCTGGCAAAAGGTTCGATCCAATCCCTTGGTCGGAGTTGGTGTCATGCAACGAGCTTTCTCGTTGATGCTTTAATGGATTGCCAACAATAATAAACCACCACACAAACAGCATGTATCCCCATTGTCTTGGTATTTGAGTTACAACATACTTCCATCCTATGTTATCCAAAATGCGTGAGCATGGTGTCAAAACTAATATCAACATGACAAAACCTTACCTTTTAAACGGAAATAAACAAAAAAGGCTAATGAATCAAACATCTTGTCACCCGAGTTTCGAATCTTGGATAGAAACTCATATCGTCTAGTACATCCTGTTGAAAAATAATAGTATGCCAGGTGGTTCATCACTGCTCCCTTGATGGAGCTACTCATCACTATACGACGTGCACTGCGATAGTCTACTCCGACCAGCACGAGCGACAACACCAATGATACGGCAAGAATTCCTGAAAAAATGGCTGGCATGTAGGATTCTAGCTCAACATTGTTGTGCATCCTAACCATGGCAAACAGCAGTGAAAAGAACACTATCTCCAGACAGTACAACAAAGGAATCAATCGGACTGATATGAGAAGGTACCATCTCCCTATTCTAGTAAATAGACTAATGGGTTTGGCCCCAAATGTAAAATCAATGCAGTCCAAGCGAGGAAGGGGCACTGACGTAGACACTGAAGTATCAAAAGAGTGTCGGTGGTGGTTGTAGCATGTCACTGGTGAGCCATAGGCACTATCGTTTCCTGATATATCCTGTTCAGGCTGACCCATTAGAGCTTATGTAGATTCTAAAACAGTAATGGGTTACTAAAGTACAATAATAGTTTGGGTCGGTCTGAATCGACACTCGATACGAAAATAAAAAGAATTGGAAAGATGGTCAAGCAGGAGCTAATTATAGTGAATTGGAAACTAAACCGTTTCAAGTCAGCACCAGTTGAAGCATTTGTCGCGCCAAGCTTTTGTAAATAAGTGGCAGGCTTAAAATGGAACACTGCGTGGAATTGACTCGAAATACAACGGATTACTGCGTGTGGTCAAGCAAGTGTGGAGTAGCTTTCGCTAGGCCATCATCATTTATGGCACTGCTGTAAAAGACTGACAAACGAGTAAAGCAAAATAGGGTGATGTCAGGGCTGCGTAGCGATGTGGAATGGAGAGCTTTTCAGCCGTATTCACATAAGTGGAACACAATCAGGGTGCCAAATACACAACAAACAGCCAGTCTTGTGAATGATGGGTGCCAATCCACTGAGCAACATTGCTTATTAAATTCAACTCCTCCATGCTGTTTTGTACAACGATAAATATTCACATCAGTTTCAATCAACCCCACACTTGTCTCTATGCCAGTCAAACATTCAATGACTGACATAGAAACAAGTGTTGCAGTTCTTGTTGTCTTGAACGCGAATATGAGATTGGAATACAACAAAAGAAAAAGGGCGGTTCAAAGATCATCTTGGTCAAAAACCATAGCTTAATTGTGGGCATCATATGATGGGTATATGTTTTGAAAAATTGAGAATATCCATCAAAGTCCATCTCCAATAGAAAAGCACAACAGATAGTCAATCGCTGTCTTCAAAGTAGAGGCAGTGAATTGCACAAAAATACAATTTCCATTTACGTGAATATGGCTGTAACAAATATTGTTTTTTGGCACGAAAACAGCTATGCGGCAGAACAGCACGCATGGCTTTGGACTATCCATGGATAAACCTGATCAACAAAAACGGGCTATTGTGGGGAAAGGCATAATGAGATGAGGCTGATACTATATTCAGATATGCAATGCCAAAAGAATTGGACATATTCAAATACCAAACTGCAAAGCACGATTTTTAAAACCAAATCTACTTGGCCATCAGTTGTGTCCATGTATAGACACGCAACGTCAGTCCAAGGCTTTCAAACTCTATTCCTGTGTTCAAGACAGTGCTGTGAAATCTGCATGGTCGCACTTGACTATAGCGCATAGGCTACACTTTTAAAAATAAACATGGAATTCTGCATGGATTGCGGTTCAATCCATCAGGGAGGTTCGCCGTAAATCCAAAGCAATGTAGTGCTGAATTGCAATCCAATGACCAGCACTACTGACTTGCTCAAACCCTATTTGGTTGCAAACAGCTTATACCTATATCATGTGATACTGGAGCATGAGATCCGCCCTCATGCTTTGATGACTCCAACCAGAATACTAGAAGCTACATGTCTCGAGTTGCATAGCACTGCTAGACCCAACACTCATCACTTCACCCTGTCTATTGCTAAACAACTCTAGGACAGTATCCATTTCCTTTCCTAAACCCTTCCTTGGAGCCACCCTATGCTTCTGTGGACTATTTTCAAAGGAGTTCAAGTCCCTTAATACAGCTCCTTGAAGGGAACAAGTGGCAAAGGTGTGGGGATAGTATCAAGGCTGCTACTAGCAAGTAGCTTGCATAGAGGTCAAGTTACTACATCTAGCTCGAGCACACATTCCAATCGCTTCAACTTTGGGCTAACCTTGTTGGAACAAATCAATTTGACGGCAACACTGGGCTTTGCTACCAACCATTGCCTCCAATTCTTTTAAAGTGTGTTGTATTCATAGCTGAAGGACAACAGTTGATAGAACAAGAGTGCCGATTCAGAATAGTCACTGGATAATATTCATGCATTGTATTTACCTGCGCAGCGCCTTGCACTTTTTAGATGGCGTTCTGGCTGGAGTTGAATCCAAAAAATGTAAAAGTTGGGTTGAGGAATCAACCAAAACGATAGAGGTTGAATACAGTAAAGCTTGCCAGACTGGCTAGATAGTAGGTTGTTGCAGAGTCGATTCTTATCCAGATATTGCCAATGGCGTAAAACAATACTAAGATTTGTGGTGGAGTGAAATCCTTGAGTTTAAAAAACACCAATAAACGTTATAATTGAAGGGTTAAGTAGTATAAGTGCACCCGTAGCTAGATTATCTCGACAGCCCTTGATTGTTATGCCGGACAAACTTTGCCACTCTAAAACATCAATTAACTCTCAACAACCTGAGTGATTTATTTCAGTTGAATCTTATGATTTATCCCAATTAAATCCGTCATGATTTATTCCAACCAAATCTTATGATTTATTTCCAATTAAATTCATTGCATTTCTTTGCAGTGTGTATCGCTAAACTCCATTCTTTGCATTTCAACTGCAGCAAGACTTTATGTCAGTCATGAATTGATTCAACTTTCCAAAAAATTTCAATCGAATTCATTCCAAATGGCTCGCACTCAACGTCGTACTTCTGCTCCCTCTCGTGCTGCTCCCTCCCGTGCTGCTCCCTCCCGTGCTGCTGCTCCGGTACAAAACTCTGGTCCTCCAGCTACTATGCAACAGCAGTCTGTTGCTGCTCCAGCTCCACAGCAACCTGTATGTTTCCATCGTGTTCTAATTCTACCAAATTCTTCAATGACTACTTTTCATCAACTAACCACTTGATTCATATTATTAGAGCCTGTTTGCCAATATGGCATCCACTGCTGCTGGTGTAGCTGTTGGAAGTGCTGTTGGTCACACTCTTGGTGCTGGTCTGTCTGGCATGTTTGGTGGTAGCAGCCAGCCACAACAGGTCCAAGAGCCTGCTCCTCAAGTTCAGCAGCAACAGTATCAGCAATCCCCTTTTGCTGTTTGTCAGGCTGATCAAAATGCTTTCAACAGATGCATTGAAACCAATTCGGGTGATATCGCATCATGGTGAGTGTTTGGGTGAATCAAAACTAAAACGATCTATTTTTTACGGCCGTATTCATGTCAATGCGACATTTGTATTCATCTTGCCATCATTGCCTCTATCTTGCTTTGGAATAGGCAATGATCCAATGTTTACTGTGCCTTTCTATTAGATATTGGCTGCTTTTTCAATTCTTCAAAAACAATCTCCATTGCATGATGAACAGCGATCAAACTATGGTTTTGAACCTGTTTTCCACCTTGGCATAGCCATATATTGTACGATCACAAGTTTGAAACCAAACATTGTATCGGATTCTTTTCATTTAAATTATGTTGTATCCTAATATCAGATACGTTTGCGATCTGGTTTGAGAAAACAAAAATCACACATTTCAGGAATGCAACTCTACATGTCAATCATCCAATATTTTATACGAGAATTGGAAGTTGAACAAGTGTGGGATGGATCAAGATCAATCATGTGTTCAATTCTTATTTAATTTCTTGTTTCATCTGAATACGGTTGTAATGGTCTGCATTATCCAGATACTAATGCAACTAAAACTAACCACTGTTTTTTTATTTATCGTATATGCAGCCAATTTTACTTTGATATGCTGAAGCAGTGCAAAGCAAACGCTGGAGCCTCAATGTAAAATCCTTTGCTTCACGGACAGGCTGACAAGGATTGTTACCATACGCTTTGATCGCCGAGTATCCTTTAACAACATTAATAACTTTTTGTTTTGGATGCATTGGATTCCATCTTTTGCATCAATAACTCAATTTCAAAGAAATAAAATAGGTTGCTGAACATACCTATGACTTATCCTAAGCATTTGTATATAAATGATTTGACAATCATATTGAAGCAAGTATCAGTCGAGTAAGATCAAAAACACTTTTTTAAAGGGATTTTGATCACCCAATTCAAGTTGAAATACTTGGCCAGTGTTTAAAATATGTTTATTGGGAAAATAGCTCTTGCTTGTTTTGAGACAACAGCAACAGGGCAGATTCACGCATCGCACGCATAAACAATCCAAGTTTATTCGATCGCTTAAACTGTTCATACAGTCCATCATGATCGAGCCCAGCAACTAGGTTCGCCAATTCAAGACTCTGTTCAAGATTTCTATGATGATTGCAGCAAGGTTAAAAAGTGTTGCATATTCCGTATTGTAAAAGGATTCAGTTCAGCATGTTGTACTCACCCTGGTATGATTCGATGCGTTTGGATTAAAATCTGATGCATCCACATCACCAATTCCGGTACATAAATCCCCTTGATGATTTCCATCTCCAAGGTACGTTGGCTTGCTACACTGTCAAACTCGTCCAAATAGTCTGGTGCTGAAAAATTTTCCAGCAACACTCGCATTTTCTTGACCGTATCTGTAGTGAGACTCTAATTCAATGCAATCGAGTAGAGTCAGATGTTGAATACGTAGCGGACATCAATATACACGCGTTGAATGATTTACCTTTACTTTTCCTTGCCACTCTAAAGTCTTGTGAGTAGGCTTATCGTCTCTATCAACAACCCAGAAAACATTGTACAGAAAATTCAACATGGGCTATCAGCCTCTTAAATAGCAAGCATGCACATTAGATCAACACCCCAATACTAAAGACATACTTGACTTGCGGCTTTTGCTGGAAAAATAAAAAAGACCATTTTGCTTGATTTGAAAGACATTCTACCAAAGATTGGTTCTGCAGCCATTCGGTACCCAATTTAAATAGCTTGGCATTCTTGGCCATCAGCACACGAAAGTTTTCAATCGGCAGTCCGATATCTTGCACCAAGCGGTATACCGATTGCACATGTCCCTGAACTATATAATTCAGTGTCAAACCATACATTTTGAACAAGATTGGTGTCTAAAAGTTTAGAAATCAAAAAGACTGCCTACTTAAAAAGTGCCTTGCCAACAAATTTGCATGATCAAGTCGGTCCTCGAGTTGCATATCATCCATATCAAGCCACTCGAGAGCACGAATCAACAGCAGGTCAGATTCAGGCACAGTATCTGCAGTACCACACAGAGTCACCAATGGCACTTCGCGTTCTAATTTGTCCTGCATATTACCAAAATATACATTCCAAAAACAGCTGAGTAATAACATCACACATGTGGTACAGTTATAAATACTAAAACTGACTCACCATCACACTAGATCGTCGGAATATTTTTTCAACTGTCATTCGACATATTCGTGGCATATCTAGCATGCAATCGATTCCAGCAGTCACAAGAGCACATCGAATCTGAAGATCGTCGTCCACATCTATAAAATACACCACACATTAAAACTGATGGCTTTTAAAAATACCTGTTCATAAAGATTTACACCTGTAAGCTAAACGTTACCTTGTAAAAAGGAGGAATAGCAGTCCACTTGCATCTCGCTAGGCAAGTACGCAACATACATGGCAATTAAATCACCCTAAATATCAAATCATGTTTCACAAAAAGGTCATTTAACCAATGCTGGTTGATAGAGCTGCAAAAATAAATGCAGGGTCAACCCACCTTGCCTGCAACGTGCAGCATATGAATATATCTACTCAATAAAAAGTCGACATGCTCGGAATTTTCAGCGTATCCTGAAATACCCATTCCACGAAGCAAAAGAATCAAATGTGCGGTAAATCGCAACACGCTTGATAGTCCAAAAATGGATGGTGTGTTGGTATCACGCTCCATCTCAACAAGCTGAACATGCAAACTTGCAAAAAGCATATCCAGAGAGTCAAGAATCAAATGGGCCTGGATAATATGAAAAGGCTCAGCTGCTTCTTGGCTAGCCATATTCAAAACGTAACAGAGCTGTCAAGTTTATGATGCAAATCCAAATATCATTTTAAAAGTAGATTCAGGCGAATAAGCATTACTACCTAATGCGAGCATTTTCACTTTTAGACAGCTCGGTGAAAATTATATGTGGTTCGACACTAATATGTGGCAGTGGTAAGCAAAGTTCCTGATTTGTTAAAAATGGAGTGGGAATGTCACTCAAAGACTAAAATGCACAAGGTTTAGTGCCATCGTTCGTGGCTTGTAAGTACAAAAGTTTCAAAAATATAGTCCATCGAATGTCAGCATTGCAATTGAAATGATTACCTTGCTGGTCAGTGATTCAATCATTGCGTGGTATCGCACCCAAATATGGTCCTCCCAAGTGTGACAAGCAGGCAAAGCCTAATGTATCAAAAATAATGAATTAAAACTATTCAAAAAAGCAAATCAAACCAACAAGACATGTACATTTTTAATGTCACCCGCCAAAACAGCATAGATGGCACGCTCATATAACTGTGTATTGTCCTAATCATTCATTTAAACGCCAAGCATGCATTTAATAAAAGTTGTCAGTGGTGACTGTATTGGCATATTCAATTTAAGCATAGTTTACAAGTCAACTGTAGCTCATTACATCCAATGCGATCTGATAGCATATAGCTTTCCATAATACGCGATTTTCGTTTCCTTCGAATACTCCCACATCTGTGTCCTTGACCCCATCTAAATCAATCATGAGCAGTAAGCAGGTAAAATAGTTGTTTATATCAGCATCAAATAATATGGTTCAAATAAATCCAATACAATGTATTATTCTTACCAACAAATGGGTCATCACGAAATGCACCACCTCCCATACTGGCAATTCGCCAAGATTGGTCGCATGCTCGACAAAGATGGAATGCATCAGCAAGTCGTCCACGACGCAAGTATTCGTAAATAGTCCGTAACAGCTCTGTTTCATAACTCTGACTCATATTCAGTCGTCATTATAATGAATATGTAAAATGAGTGATTTTATCCAATACATGTACATTTCATGTACCATTCACATCAATATCAACCAACCTGATCTTCTGGAGCAATACGACGGTGTTGGCGACTAGGTGCATCTGGATCAAGTTCGCTTACAATCTGGGCATTGTCGTTATTCCATTGATTAGGCACACCCTGCAATCGCTGTTGGCCACGAATTTGCATGCTGGTATGTGGATAATATCCCTTTCTAACTTCAACGGGCTGAAACTCTGGTGCAATGCTTTCCAACCACTGCTTGACAATCTATTATCGAATCATTCCCAAACCCATCATGTAAGCACATTGACTAATCAAGATAAAGATTGTAGTGGGTTCAAAGATACAATGAGGGTAAAATCACGCTTACAATATGCTCACGGACTGCTTTAGATACTTCATACGAGTGACCAAAATCACTACAAAACACACTTGGCGGTACTTGCTGAACTGGGTCTCCATTGTCATCCAAGTCGTCATCCACGCCATAGCGATCACTATGTAGTAAAAGTAGTTTATTAAACATTCAGAATGTAACTTGAACCATTTTAGTTTTACAATGAATGCAACATTAATCTACCTTAAAAGTGCGCAGACAAGTGCCCATGTATCTGCTTCTTGCTTCCAATCAACAGCCAAATCTTCCCTAAAATTATCCAGATCCTCTTGAGCTCTATACACCCAAACAATGTGGGTTGATAACCAAGATTGCTGTTAATCATCTAACCCAATTCAGCATACATTCATGCTACTACAAGGTCAAGTGATGTACCGTTTTCGACAGTATTTTTCATACTGGTTTACAAGTCCGTCAGGCTGTAGCACATTCTCTCTATCCGAATCAATGAGCAGCTGTGCAAATTCTTCATTGGCGGCATCGATAGCTTGCAATTCCCCTAAATACCAACAAGTATTTAGTAATAGAAACAAGATCTAGTACATGAATGATGAGCAGTGTATTTCAGATTAAAGGATTATTTAAAGTTTCACCTGTAGCATCAACAATAATTGACTAGACAGTAACGAAACACATGATGATCAAGGTTAGTTGAACAGATGGTTTCAAGTAATAAGCCATGCAAACCAAAGGATGAATCTACCTCTGGTTCATAGTGGTCCAATTCCAGCAGTTTTGTTCTACGAGTTTTTGCAGACTTTGCAGTATAAAAGCGTGCAGTTCAAGCGGACAAACAGGATAACCAACCAAACGGTGAGTGCAATTCAAGAGTTTTGATAAAGTACAGCGCATCCAGACTCACCATCATCGCTGGTTGACTTGCAAGGCAAGAAATGGCAATTAAAATAATACTCATCTTCACGTGACTAGATGGCCAGCAATCTTGCAGTTGATTGCCAGTTGATTGTCAGTTGATTACAAGATTGCAGTCAGATAACGATCGTTGGAATGAGTCTTGCAAAGTGTTGTGGATTGCAGTTTGTCTGTGCGATGGAATTCAGCGAATAGCAATGAAATGGTTTAGTCTGCACACTGCAGTCTGACTGCAGAATAATAAATAAAACATCCTCACATGACATCTCAAGTCAATTGCACATCAAAGTTACCCACTCATTCGTACTATCATCAATGAGTGATATTGTCAAACAGTCTTCATCCAAGTCATCAAATGGTCCACAAACTTCATACTGTCAGGAACACTCGTTTGGCAAGTGTTTGATATAATTAAACTACAATTCACTCCAAGCTTAAGCTTGTTTGACATGCTGCTAGTCTTTCATTTACAACTGGCTTCTACTAAACTCTCATTGGCTTTATATTATCATAGAACGCAGGGCTGCTGAATCCCGACGTATTCTTGACTCCTTTCCTGACAGTAAGTAGAATTATTCAAAGAGAGCGAACAGTACTGAACTGTCTAATCAAATATTTTATGCTATAATTTGACCATCATAAATGTGAATATGATAGGAGTGCCAATGTAAGTGATTGTACTTGTTGGCTTTAAACTATCTTTCCAACATCAACATTTTTAACTCGATTCTCAAGAATCGTTGAGCGGAGTGCTTCATGGGCTTCCAAACCACTCCCTTACATGGAAAAGAAAAAGTTTCTATGTCCAGGTGATATTACTGTTGGTCAATTCCAATCCGTAATCCGTAGACGGTTAGAATTAAATCAGCAACAAGGACTGTTTCTTACTGTCGCAAACAAGTTTCTGCCACCTTCATCAGCACTGCTGTCGCAAGTTTATGCTGAACATAGTGACCAGGATGGCTTTTTGTATGTTGTTTACGCTACTGAAAACGTATTTGGTCAGATGCGCTGATATCTTGCTTTCCATTCGTGTACTGAGCATTCGTCTCCGCTTTCGTATCATCTATTCCCAGAATATTTGGATCGTATTTATCTATTGCCTACCAAGTACATATTGACAAACTAAACATGCCATGCTTTTTACATTCAACTCAGTAAATAAACTGCAAATACACCATTCATTCTGTTGAATTTAGTCTTCATCTTTTGACTCGGCATTGTCCTCACCATCTGATCGTGACTGGCTCTTGCCACCGTGACGATAGATGGATGGATTCAAATTTGTAGCATGAATATATGGAGGCTTATACTCTTCCATGATGGATCCATTGGAAGTAAGATACCATCCATAATCGTCTGGATTGGAATCAACAACTCTTGTCCATTCTAAAAAACTAAATCATACAAGCCAGTATTTGAATTAGCACAATGTCATGTCAACCCATTCAAATGCAAACATTCCACATACTGTCCTTTACTGATTTCCTCTTGAATCTGTGCCTTGTAAATCCAATCCTCCTTGAATTGATCTATAAGCTCCTGGTTAAAATCAACCCAAGCATTCACACGCCTAGTGAGTTATACATCATTTTGATGGTTTAAATCATGTCAAATCAACCTCTTACTTTGTACTGATCAAAATCAATCACGTCACGATCCACTCCTTTTGGTTGAATCTGACTGTTGTAGTTTTCAAACAGGGGCTAAGCAATTCAATTACAAACGCACCATCAAACGAAATCAATACCAACACTTTGGTTCAAATCATGATCAAACAATACAACTCGTGCTTACACGTTCCAGCAATAGACCGAGTGCGGGAGCTTTGGGAATATTGATACGTGTTTGGGAAAATGTAGATGCAATCAGGTTCTTTGGTGTGCTCGTGCGCATCATCATCACAGCAAGACCTAGCATTGAGCGTGGTAAATAAAACAGTACACCCATATATACATGTCAAACACCTAAAGTACACACCAATCATTTTTCGAATTTGATGCAGCATAAACGATTGCCCTTTGACTTTAAGACTGACCCATTCTGTGTTGTCACGTTGAAACGGCTCAGAACAGATGAAGCTAATAATGTATCGTATTGAACTCTTGTCTTCAAACTTTCTGCCAATGGTAAAGTTATGGTAATTGTGCGTTCCCACATACTCGTTTAAAATAGCTCTAAACTCTTCAAGCTCCTGGTGGTTGGTTCTGTATCCTTGAATCGTCTCTTTTTCGTTGTCCGTATGCTCGGGTATCTCGATAGGTTCCATTTTCGCTCTGCCCATATTTTCAAACGTTACACCCGCAGCTACACCAATTTTGGAAAGTGGATAGTATGTGGGATCGACTTTTTTCAAGACAGAGGTGGGTAGGATGTATTCGTAAATACGGGAATCGCAATGGTGTTTGGCATGGAATTGCTGTTGAACACGAGCGTATCCCCAGACTCGGATCTGGGGCGGAAGACGAGCATTGATGCGCTCAATAATATCAGAGTCTTGAATAATCATTTTAAGAGACACAACCTGACCGCCTGCATGGACTCCCTTGTCAGTTCTAGCACATCGCATAAATGCAATCTATTTAAATAAATCCATCAAAAGATGCAGCAAATCCATTTACAAGAGGTTAAATCGCCATTGATGTATGCAATTTGTAACAAATCTCAAAGTAAATTCCAACTTGCCTTTCCAGGATCCATGGAATTATCAGTACTAACAGCCCCAGAAGCAGCCAATGCCTTGTGTAGATCCAGTTCAATTGATGGCACATCTGGATTACTAAATATATATTTTTCAATCGTACAATATCAGAGTTCAATATCAGCCATCACAACATGAATACTTTTAAAAACAAATCTTACATTTGCATGCCTTGATATCCAGTACCACAGTAGCTCATCAATAAAACAACCTTTTTCTTTGGCATGCGTGGTTTTTTCTCTAAAGTATCTATGGATTCCTTTGTTTCCGTATTTTCAGAAGTAATAGGACCCCACTTTCTCTTTTTATTTTTCCCATCATTTGGACCATGGGCTTTAAACTCCTTGGACGAACGCTTTTGAGCAGATATATAGGTAGACTCGTAATCAAGGTTTTCCTGTTCTGATAAAGGACAGATGGCTTGAAAAGGAAATGTACTAATATGAGTAGGCTTGGAAAAGGATTGATCCACTACAGTAGACGTTTGCTCTGCAGTTTCTGATTCAGACATTACTGTTGGTAATATCCTGCAAGAATTCAAATGTTGGATCAAACCAAAAATAAAAAATAAAACTGGATTTCAAGCGCAACAAGTCAGTGAGATCTGACCCATAAATACAACTTATTTAGAGATTGGATCGCCCTGACAAGACATGAATCCAACATGTAGTGGAGCATATTGAAGAATTTACTATTGAACAAGCCAGCCATTAAACTTGTAAAAGAACGAACACGATCATTTGATGACAGCAAACTGTTGCAGCCAGAAATCACTCCTCATCAGCAACTCCATTGTGGTATTCAATGTCAGATTCACAGCCTGCCTATACTGTTATCCAGCAGGATGGTAAGAATTTCTTATTCATACTATTCAGGCTTTATTTTTTGTGAATGCAGAACGGGACACTCTGCATCCCCTTGCTTGCGCAACAGCATGAAACCACTGCTTGCCATCCCAGTTCATCCAGATTGCAATCCTATTGCTGGTTATGCCATCTGTCCAATTAGTGTCAGTTGTTGCTACTTTTGCAGTCATTCTCGTCTAATATGCTTCTTGATTTTGGTGATAGATGGGCGAGATCAGCCTACTTCACAAGACCTTCGCACTCGACTCGAGAATGGCAAGGACGAGGTCAAAATCGAGGCACTCAAGAAGATCCTGCTACTGATGCTCAATGGCGACCCTCTCCCGCAACTTCTTATGCATGTCATTCGTTTCATTATGCCTTCCAAGAACAAGGCTCTCAAGAAATTACTGTTGCTTTACTGGGAAATCTGTCCAAAAACGAACTCGGATGGCAAGTTGAAACAGGAAATGGTCTTGGTTGTGTAAGTCTTGGTTGCTGCAGATAGATTCGTGATGTTCGTATATGTTAGCAAGGACTGTTTTAGAGTTTATCTTGCATTTTTATATCATTACACGATGGCCGACTTGTCCACTTTGGATATCTGTCGATTATCGCGCATCATTTACATCATGATCAAATAGTTTACGAGCATGCTGACCTGTATACATGTATCTGAAAAATATATCAATTTCATTAGAAATGCTATTCGTAATGACTTGCTTCATCCCAACGAGTTTATTCGTGGCCAGTCGTTGCGTTTCTTATGCAAGCTCAAGGAAGGAGAGATTCTCGAACCTCTTGTACCATCTGTTCGTCAGTGCTTGGAACATCGTCACCCCTATGTTCGAAAAAACGCTGTTCTTGCCATCTCTTCCATCTATAAAAGTTTCGAATACCTGATTCCTGATGCTCCAGAGTGCATTGAAACTTATATTGCTGCAGTATGTCATTGGCTCTATCCAATCTAGACCTTGTATTGATGATGTTGAATCATTGTACTGACTTTATTATCTGCAATGATTTATTTTGGATGGATAGGAAGCAGATCATGCTTGTCGTCGCAACGCATTTATTATGCTCATCAACTCTAAACCCTCTGTTGCTGTCCATTATTTCAATACAATTGCATCGCAGATAGCAAACTTTGATGAAACCTTGCAATTAGCTGCCATTGAGCTGATTCGCAAAGACTCTCGCAATCCAACCGCTGACAAGGTATTTCTGATTCATATAGTGTTGAACTATAGCCAGCAGATATTTTCATTTTGCATGTGGTATATATCAAGTCATGTAGTTAATCCAAGTGCACATCAATGGTATGAATAGGGAAAGTATATTCAAACAATATTTACTTTGTTGACAGCATCATCTCCTTCGGTGAAATATGAAGCTGCTAGCACCTTGGTTACACTTACATCACATGTATCTGCCATCAAAGCTGCTGTGAGTTGCTATATTGAACTTGCCATCAAAGAGTCGGATAACAGCGTTAAGCTGATTGTGCTGGATCGCATCAATGAACTACGCGAAAAGAACGACCGCGTTCTTGAAGATCAAGTCATGGATGTTTTGCGCATTGTATCTAGCCCTGACATTGAAGTTCGTAAGAGATGTCTCAACATAATCATGGAGCTTGTTTCAAGTCGTAATGTGGATGAAGTAGTCACGTTTTTGAAAAAGGAGCTGATCAAAACTCATGATCAAGACTATGAGAAAAACAACGAGTATCGTCAAATGATTATACAATCTATTCATGCATGTGCCATCAAGTTCTCTGAAGTTGCCGATAGTGTTGTACATGTGCTTATGGAGTTTTTGGGAGAATCCAACACAGCTTCTGCGGTGGATGTTATTGCCTTTGTTCGTGAAGTTGTTGAAAAGTTTCCTCAGCTCCGCTTGCCAATTATTTCGCATCTTTTGGAAACCTTTGGGGATATGCGTACTGGTAGAGTTTTTCGCGGTGCTTTGTGGATCATTGGTGAATATGCTTTGGACACCACAACGATTGAGGAAGCATTCAAGCAGATTCGGGAATCCATTGGAGAGGTCCCCATTATGGCTGCTGAGCAGCGTCTGCTTGATGAGGATCAGGAGACTACGGAAGTCGTCAGTCCAACTACTCCCAAAGACAAGAAACATGATGTTAAACCTGCTGTTCGTCGCGTTCTTGCTGACGGTACTTATGCCACTGAGAGTGCTCTTGCGACAACTCAGCATAACGGTAGGCTAGATACAGGCAAATTGTCTTCAAAGCCACCACTTCGTGCTCTTGTTCTTGGCGGTGAATACTTTGTTGGTGCAGTACTTGCTACCACTCTCACAAAGTTGGCTCTCCGCTACGCCCAAACAACCAACAACTCCCCACAATCCAATGCTTTCAAAATCGAAGCAATGCTGATCATGACAAGTATTATCCGTGTTGGCCGATCCCATTTTGTTACTGCTCATATCGACGAAGATTCTTCTAGTCGCATTCAAGGATGCTTGCGTGTACTTTCGTCTACACCAGCCGAGCCCATCATGGTTGATGCATTTCTCAAGGACTGTCGTAATGCGTTTACTAATCTTGTCATTTCTCACGAAAAAACCAAACAACGCAAGACCAAGGAAAAGCGAGGAGTCAAGATTCAAGCTGATGATGTGATCTCTTACCGATTTTTAAAGAGTAAAAAGCTGGGCGGAGAGGGAAGCGACGAATTTGAGACTGATCTCATTCGTGCTACTGGATCGGCAGATGGAAATGACGAGTATGTGTCCAAGCTGAATCGCATCATTCAACTTACTGGATTTTCTGATCCGATTTATGCAGAAGCCTATGTTACAGTTCACCAGTATGATATTCTTCTTGGTAAGTCATTGTATTTGATCAAGTTGGGCTGCTATCTACTAATGCTGATGGCTGGGCAACCTGCTTTTTGTTATGGATTTTTTGCATTGAATAGATATTTTAATTGTCAATCAGACCGATCAAACTCTCCAAAACCTTACTGTGGAATTTTCTACTCTTGGTGATTTGAAGCTTGTTGAACGACCTCAACCCCAAACCATTGGTCCACGTGGATTCCACTCTATTAAAGCCAACATCAAAGTGTCTTCTACCGAAACTGGAGTAATTTATGGCAATATTGTGTATGATGGTGCATCAAGCGTAGATATCAACTGCGTAATTCTCAATGATATTCATATTGATATCATGGACTATATCAAGCCAGCTACGTGTAATGAGACGCAGTTTAGACTCATGTGGCTTGAATTTGAATGGGAGAACAAGGTCAATGTGAATACCAACATAACGTACGTTGTTTTGCACTTGCCTACTAAAACGTTACTTTGTAAAACAACTCACTGTTTTGAATATTTCTAAACTATGCTTTTAGCGATCTTCGAATGTACCTTGACCACGTTATGAAATCGACAAATTTGAACTGTCTGACTCCCGAACATGCTTTAGCAGGCGAATGTGGATTTCTTGCTGCTAACCTTTATGCTCGTAGTATCTTTGGCGAGGATGCCTTGGCCAATATTTGTCTAGAAAAGATTTCTGGTGATAAAATTACAGGACATATACGGATACGCAGCAAAACGCAAGGGATTGCACTGAGTTTAGGTGACAAATTCACTACAACACAAAAGGGAACTGCACCAGTCAGCCTATCTCCTACTGCCGAGTCCATCCCAGCTGGTGAGATGTAAATCCCTATATGAAAGTAGGGTGTTTTTAAGACTGAATCAGCAACGATCTTGTCAAGGGATTCTGCTCTCCTGTCTTGGGATTAAACTACTATCCACATCTTACATTTTCAAATAAAGTAATTTTGATTTGACTGCTTGATTACCGATTCATGAGAGCAGTGATTCAACGAGTCAGCAGTGCGAGTGTCACAGGTCGTATCCATTCCTCCACATTACACAAAACACTACACTAACTCTTTGTCAAACCAACAGTTGATGGCACAGTAGTGAGCCGTATCAACAACGGTCTATGTATTCTTGTGGGTCTAAAAGCAAGTATTCCATCCCATTGAATCTACATCTTCCCCTGTACTAACCCTGCATTCAATGGGTAACCAGGTTGGCGATACGGACACTGAAATGGATTACATGCAAGTTGTACTGTTCATGTATACATTTGATCACCAAGATCATTGCAATAGAATAAACTAACCCTAATGGTCTAATCAGAACAAAAAAAATCATGGGATTAAAAGTGTTTCAAGGAACACAAAGCGGTAAGCAATGGGATGCCAACATCAAAGATATCAATGGTGATGTATTATGTGGTAAGCAATCGCTTGTTTGAATTGATTCTTGTCTTGCTTGTTGAATTGATTCCATTATGATTCATTTGTTTAGTGAGCCAGTTCACCTTGTATGCCAAAACATCCAAAGGAAATAAACCTGATTTTCATCTAGGTAATTCTGTCAAACTGGTTCGAGTCATTGTGTGTAGGATGATGGATTAACTCATGTTTTTATTACGATTGTGTTGGACTGTGTCAATCAGCCATGAAAAACACAGAGTCAGGATATGTATAATCGATTCTTGGAAAAGATGAGAGCTGCTTATGATCCAGAAAAAATCAAAGGTAAGGGTTTGATTTTATTACTATTGTGCATAGATTGTGGCTTGATTATTCGTTGAAAAAGCTTGATGGGTTTAGATGCAATGCAACTAATGGATTTATAATGTATAGACGGCGTTTTTGGAGCCATGATGAAAGTAGATATTGTTAATGAGGGACCAGTGACAATTATACTTGATACAGACAACAAGTAGTTTCTCCAACCATTTTCCAAATCAACATGTTTGTATTAAAAAAGAAATATGTATTGAATAACGAACAAGAGAATTGCAAATAATAGTCTCGATAATTTGGAGAAATAGAGGATAAGGCAACATAGAATTAAAAACATAAACCTCTCGACTTCCGGTTATCAGAGCCGATTCATCTAGAAAGGAGAAAAATAGACACAATGGACCAAACGATTTAAGTCGAGGTCGAATTTAAGATATTAGAGGTTGGAGGATGCCGATCGGGTCATAAAAATCAATGGTACACAGACTATAGCTGCTGAATTATCATTACAATAGTCGACCAATTGATCCTATGCATATGCATGCCGTATACAAAATACAAGGGACCCATGATCGAACTCCAAAGAGATCTGCTTGTGTAAAGCTGAAGAGTGGTAGCAATAGTCAAAGATTTGAAAACGCAGCGAGTAAGAAATCGAATCTGGTTAGGATTACAGGTAAAGCATCAACACTTGATTAAACAGTACCTATATACGCCATTCTGGACAAGCATCGACACGACAAGTGTTCCAATTGCTGCACCAATGAACGAGACAACAAAGCCATGGATCGTGCGATCAAACAAATACCACAGACCAAGAGCAAGGAGTGCCAAAGTTACTGACATGTGAATACTACTGGCCAATGTCAATTTCTAATAATATAAAAATCATTACAAGGTATACTCGCAAGACATTGTAGTAAAAACAACCAACATACCGATGCAGCATAGCTAATGCCTTTGAAAGGTTGTGTAATTACAGTACAAAGTCAATAAGATGATCAAGTTGATAGCAATGCAGATAGTTGAATGGCTTACCAATGAAGCCCCCACAGCATCTAAGCGCAAACGATAGCCATCAACGTGGCAAAGTTTAACACGAACAGAAGGACCGCGTGTGGATTGACAGCAGGTTGAATGACAAGAGACGCACGTGAATGGAATTAGATATTTAATAGAATTGAAAAGTAGTCAGAAATAGATGGCAAGGATAGGAAGATGGTTAGTAAGACAGGGCCAGCGTAACAGAGCCCATTCAGCATAAAAGGTTGTGGCATATCATTCAATTCATGCGATTCCTTTTGATTTGAAGCAGGTTACAAGTGTTGAACATACCTTAGAGCACTGGACCAGTCTCTTCTAACGCCCAGAACCTGTTGTCGAGATAGAAGCCACTGGTCCAGTAATGGATAGAGTGTACCCATAAGACATGCAGAAAGCCCACATGATAATGGTACCCAACCTGCAGTGGAGAAAAGTGAGCCAGATCCACCTCTCCATGCTGATGCCATTAAAAAAGCATATTCAAACACACTGCTGATTGATCCCAGTCCATCAGAGCGAGATGATTGAGGCCAGCGAGTAATGTGATGGCTGCGTTGCAAGGAATCGACCAACAACGAAAGTACTGAGCCAAATGCAAACAGAACGATTAATCGAGACAGCAGCCGCATATCTGCACTGCTACTTCCTCGTGAGATTGTAAAGGCACGGCTTTTGATTCTAATGTTGCCAATACTCTTATTGACAGACTTGCAGGTATGGATGGTATTCTTGTCGATATTTGGACGCTGATTCACGTCAGTGTCGCTTGAAGTTGGATGTGATGACATTCGATAGCAGATGATGCTAGCAATAAAAAGAATCAAGTTGGATTCACGTAAAATGGAACACTTTTTTGACTTGATTTTAGAGAATAAACAACGAAATATTCACTGTTTTGGTAGAAATTGATAAGCACAGCGACGATGGATTTAAAAACTGATTTTGAGCAGATTATCACACTTTGGACATTACTGTGTAATTGTTGGATTCAACTGTTTAATCTCATTCTTGTATTCTAATCTCGTATGTTTGCAATTTAGATTAAAGCAATTTCAGGAATGAATGTTTTCATGCCAATCACTTACTGTAATATTTGGTCTGCACGAAAGAGGAGTTTGATGTGTATTCAATTATGCAAAACCAAGCAACAAGACAATATTATGCAGTAAATTAATACTTTTATACTACGAGATTGGCTATTATGCAGTTTGATGGTTAGTTTTACGTGGACACGACAGTAAGTAGTGATTTGTAGCAAGTTCAAAGACAACTTTATACTGTATGACACTCATAAACTGCCTTGAATTGATTCCATTGTAACAGATTGTCAATGCTCAGCAAACCACAAGTTTTGACATTTCAAAAGTCGAATCGCATGAAATCGATGCTCGACAATCAGTCTGATTTTCACCACTTTACATAAAATGTTGACTGCCATCACCTCTTCTGCTCGCTCCTCAATGATCTCAGTATGTACTTGATCCGACTTTTTCTTTGACAACTTGCATTTCTCTTGTCATCTACTTTATCACTAGACTGTTCATGCATTCGCTGCTCTTTCTTCTAGTCAAACTTACGTGCGGCTGTTTCTGCTACTGCTTTTGGCACCCGGATCTCCTCTCGTTTTCTGGCCACTGCTGCCACTGGTATGATGATGTTTGCTTATCCAACTGCATCTTTTATAAACCTTTTGATCTGTCAGCACCACTTGCAATGCTATTCAAGTCTTGACTAATATTTTTTAACCGTTGCATTTGCTCCCTTGATATATCACCTGACATAGATTACGATGTTGTTGTTGTTGGTAAGTTGCATTCAATATGACTGAATATTGCCATTAAAGTTGATTCGACTCTTGTAAAGATTGCTTTGATTGTATTTTCATTTGATTTGAATCTCATGTTTTAATACATCAAATCATTGAACTCTCAATAATTCAATCTTCATAGCCACCACTATGTAAATAGAACGTCGATCGTATAACACTTGTTTCAATGTATTGACCCGCTTATATTCATTTTAAAACTCAACACATTGCTTATATGATTTATATTACTAATCTAAATTAGGTGGTGGTCCCGGTGGTTATGTTGCAGCAATCAAGGCCTCCCAAATGGGTCTCAAGGTAATGGTGCAAACTTGGATCCGCAATTCTTGTAGATCTTGTTTTTGCATTGAAACTCAAAATTTTACTTATCCAATGAACTAGACTGCATGCATTGAAGGTCGAGGCACTCTTGGTGGTACTTGCCTTAATGTTGGCTGTATCCCTTCCAAATCCCTTCTTCACAACTCTCATCTATATCACGTTGCTAGCCACGAATTTAAAAAGCGTGGAATTGAAGGTACTTTCATACCACTAAGCTCGAGCTGCACTTGTTGAAATCTATAACTGATCAACCCACTACTCAACATGTGTTTCCTGTAGTCACTGGACTCTCTGTAAATCTCGATCAAATGCTCAAGCAAAAGGAAAAGTCCGTCAGAGGTCTGACTGGAGGAATCGAGATGCTTTTCAAGAAAAACAAGGTTTGTTTCCAACATTAAACAAAATTTGCTTTTTCAAAACTAACGCTGTATGTCTTGTAAACTTCATATCAGACCGACTATCTCAAAGGATGGGGTACTCTCAAGAGCGCGACCGAGATTGAAGTCACTGCTAATGATGGCACCAAATCTACTGTCAAGGCCAAAAATATCATTATTGCTACTGGCTCTGAGCCATCTGGATTCCCTGGAATCACTGCAAGTATTGGAATGGTTTAATGCACTACTTTAAAACAATAATATACTGACTACTATATAGGTTGATGAGGAAGTCATTGTTACCTCCACTGGTGCCTTGTCTCTTACCAAAATTCCCGAAAAAATGATCGTCATTGGCGGGGGCGTGATTGGCCTTGAGCTTGTATGTACTCTAACATTCGATTGTGTAGTATTTGATTTATTCACGTCTAATACCATTTACTGTATTGGCAGGGCTCTGTTTGGTCTCGCCTTGGTGCCGAGGTCAGCGTTGTCGAGTATATGGGTGCCATTGGTGCTGGCATGGATGCAGATCTTGCGTGAGTGTATAGTTGTCTGCATTGGATTGTGTAGCTTTTTAAATTTATTTTGCTGATATCATTTATAAATGTGAATGATGCGCAGTAAATCCTTCCAAAAAACTCTTCAAAAACAAGGCATGAAATTCAAGCTTGGAACAAAAGTTATTTCTGCCACAAAGAATGCCCAAGGAAAAGTGGAGGTTGTTGTTGAGCCCGCTGCAGGTGGTCCTCAGGAAACTGTAAGCAATTTGACTGCTGGGTTTAGATTGCTTTTATATGCAGCAGTTTGATGACTAATGTGTCATTTATTTTGAAATTCGCTCATTGCATTTCTAAATACCAGCTTGTCGTTGATGTTGTTCTACTTTCCATTGGTCGTCGTCCCAACACTGAGAACCTTGGTCTCGATAAAATTGGTGTTCAAGTTGACAATAAAGGCCGTGTTATCACGGATCACGAATTCAAGACCAACGTTGCCGGTATTCGTGCCATTGGTGATGTGATCACCGGACCCATGCTTGCCCATAAGGCCGAGGAGGAAGGAATTGCTGCTGTTGAGCATATCGCTTCTGGACACGGACATGTCAACTACAGTGCCATTCCATCTGTGATCTACACTCACCCCGAGGTTGCATGGGTTGGCAAAACTGAGGCAGAAGCCAAGGCCAGCGGCATCGAATACAAGATTGGCACTTTTCCTTTTGCTGCCAATAGCCGTGCCAAGACTATGGGTAAGTTTTTGAAAGGCTCTAGTGTGTGATGCTTGAAGGTCTGTTTTTAAAAAAATCAAAATATTTTTAGACGATTATGAAGGCATGGTCAAGATTATCACCGAAGCCAAGACTGACCGTATTATCGGTGCCCACATTATTGGCCCTGTAAGATAATTTGAATATGAACTGTCGTGCCAGTGAATCAAGATACTATTGAACACATCTAATGGCCGTGTTTGTACTTGAATGTTTGCAACTTGATTCTTTTTAGGGTGCAGGTGAGATGATTGCGGAGGCGGTTATTGCGATTGAATATGGTGCATCGAGCGAGGATATTGCCCGTACCTGTCATGCTCACCCCGTAAGTTGATCTTGAATCTCGCCAAAGTTTAGCCACTTTCTGACATGTAACTTTACCCTGGGTTCAACTCTGAATATCTAGACTCTTTCTGAGGCATTTAAAGAGGCTTGCATGGCTACCTACGACAAGCCTATCCACTTTTAATTCAACTCGGAATCGACTAAAATTTATGCCAATGGCTGGAATCTGTCCAACTATTGATTTCCATTACTACAAAAGTCAGATTTTATCCAATAATTGGCATACTTTACTTTTGGATGCATCCCAACCTCAATATTTTATGCATTCTGTTTCACATGTTACACGAGTTCAGGTTCAATACATTTGCTTCCATGACACCTTTTTTGAATATACTGGGTTGTTACATTTAAGAATATTACGCCAAAACCCCAAGTTTTAAAACCAACTTACTGGTAGTGTTTATTATATGAAAGATAATATACTTGGACTAATGGCCAAGCAGTTCCAACGCCAAATCTTCAAGCGATTGGGTGTTCATACTGTCCAGTACTTTGGGTCGTTTGGTTCTTTTTTCAACTGGCTCGAGTACCTTGTAATCAGCATCGGTTTGTAGGTCACGATGACGTTTGGAAGCAGTTTTGGTCTGATCCTGAGATGCACCATCGTTTTCCTCCATTGACAATTCATATTTCTGGAACGAATTGAGAGAAGCTGTGTCATCATTGTAGGAAGCGTCGGAATGGTAATCGCTACCGCTGAATGCATCAATAAAACCGTCGTTGGATGGATCGTCATCGCGTGAGCCCAACGTAACTTGGAAACTAGGACCACTCTAAATACAAACAAAAACAGTGATAAGATAGGGTGTCCAAATGATAGAACCCATCAACTCTTTAAATTAGAATCCTTGGTTATCAACACCATAAGCTGTAATATCTGAATTGGTTTACCTCTTCACGACGCAAGTTTTTTTCCTTTTGTTTTTGAGTTCGTTTTCTCTCTGCAAGTTTTGCTCGATGAACAATGCGATCCATTTCATCTGCTTCTTTCATGGCAGCAGTGGATGTTTCTATATATCCTTTCTGTCTTGAAGCAATATCCTGCGACTTTTCAAACTCGTCCAAAGTTTCCATTTGGAATGCATTGACAGGATTACCTTCCTCGTCAAAAATAACCTTTTTGCTTAGCCCAAGTTGAGCCAAAGCCTTCTTTTTTAACTTGAGTCGCTGTCGATGAGTAATTTCTTGAGCAGATGCATGGCTTGATATATCCTTGTCGTCAATATCGTGATTTGCACGTTTGATTTGTAAAAAGTCTTGTTCATCGTCATTGGTATCTGATTCACTTTGGTTTTTGAGTTTGGCATAATGTTCCGAAAGCACTGTCAGATTCTTTTTTTCAAACATTTTATCAACTCGAGTTTTCACTTTTTTGGGCACTTTTGGAGAAAGTAGATCAGCCGTGTCTGTATCTTTGGGATGCTCCTTTTCAAGTGCTTTGGATTTGGGTTGCAAGGCACTCGACGCCTCGTTATCGTCATCAGAATCCATCATGCTCATGGATTTTTGAATCTGTCGTGAAACATTTTTTCCTGCAAGTTTTTGAATAAATTTGATCTTGGGTGCACCGGGTAATCCCAAAGATTCAGCAAAGAGATCAACAGGCATTTGTTCAACATTAAAAATGCTTTTGTTGGCTTGAAGATAAATTGATCTCAAGTAGCAAATAAATGCCTTTTGACCCAGATATTTGATATCAGGAGATTGAGTGCAAAGAGCAGATAGCTGCGATTGGATAGAAATGGTTTTGGAAGGATTGACTTTGATTTCTGTAATGGGCACTTTTTTTTGTTCAAGAGAAAGAAGCATAGCATCCTTTTCAGATGGAAGAAGAAGCAAAAGAGCCTGGCCGTGAGATTCGTATCTGGCTGTACGACCAACACGATGGATATATGTAGCAGCATCTTCTGGACAGTCAACCTGAACTACCCAGTCTACTGCTGGGAAATCAAGACCACGAGCAGCTATGTCGGTTGCAAACAAACACGCACCTTGTTTACGACAGTATTGTTCAAAAATAGCGACTCGCTTGGCTTGTTTTTGCTTTCCGTGAAGACACAAAAGAGGCATACCAGGCTGCATTTTGCAAAATGTTTCAAAAACAAACCGTACCTAACCACAATGTGCATCATATCAACAGCAGAATGATTAGACCACTGACTTGAACAAAACGAGACGGTGTTTCAAGCAAAAAATAGTATACCTGTTTGCAGCTAGAAAGAAACACGAGTATTTTCTGCTTCAGATGCGTCTTGATGAATGAAAAAAGAATGTCTAGTTTTTTATCAAGTGTGCACACCAAGTACTTTTGAATCAAATTTTTTGGTGTGCTCTGTTCGGCATTATCGTGAACAGCCACGTATTCTGGATTCTAATCTCAAACAAACATTAAAAAAATGAGATGAACTAGATAAATGAATGCAAATTGAGTCAAGGCAGACTTGCCTGTAGACTGAGACGAGCAAGATCACGAACAGACTTGGTTTGTGTAGCCGAAAATAAGAGTGTTTGTCGAGATTTTGGCAAATTTGCTATGATTGCATTGATAGTTTTTTCAAACCCATTGTCTAGAATGCGATCGGCTTCATCCAAAACTAGAAAACCGCAATGCTCAATATTAGAATATAAAGATGAAACACAAGCAAGTTCAGCAATCAAACTGGATGCGTTTTGGTAGCACCAGTATATAAACATGCATGATTTACCGAGAAGTTTCAAATTATCACATATAAACTCGGGTGTTTGATCCATGTGCTGCAGCAATCTTCCAGGAGTGCATACCAATATATTCATGCGAGCAACACGGTCTTGCTCTGACTTGAGGTCCTTGCCACCAATTAGCAAGCCAGCAGAGAGAGAATGATACCGACCAACTTTGCGCAGCACATCAAATATTTGCAAAGCCTATCAAAACCTCTGTTAAATCCACATGAATTTATCGACACCTTGACAATTAAACTGAAAATACAACTCAACGCTGCTTACAAGTTCACGAGTAGGCGAGATAATAACAGCACCGACACCGTCCATCTGAGACCATGATTCCCTGTACAACACTTCTAGAACAGGCAAAATAAATGCTAGTGTTTTTCCTGATCCAGTTTTAGCTGCACCTAGCACATCTCGACTGCAGAGCGCAAAGGGTAACGAGGCTTTTTGAATTTCCGTAAACTGAACAAAATTGCACTTGGAAAGTCCTGTATATTTTATATTTAGCAACAGGATTCAAGTATAAAACAGTTGCCAGAATGGATGATTGTGCAGTACCTTGTTGTGTCGGTTTTGAAAGTGGAAGCTGAGCAAAAAACTTCAAGTCTTGAATGCCAAGAATCAGACTCTATCAAAGCAATATCAGGCCGTTTACATGAATAAAACATTAGTAAATTGTACATTATGCATGATTGCAGATTCATGCCGAACCTCGCATTTCGTTTGCTCTTTTAGATGAGCCAATTCGGCATGGCTTTGCTGACGCTTCAAGTCTTTTTTAGAAGGAGCGATAGGCTTCTGTTTTCGGTTCTTTTTTTTCTTTGCAGCAGTTCGGATTCTGAATGATTGCGGTTCATCTGCAGACATTGCGAGTGAAGCCATGAATCGAGTGTCGAGTTTAGAAGGCAATAAAAATAATTTCAAGTAATTGGCATTGACTTGATGTGATTGGCTGTGTGAAGAACAGCACGGATTGGCAGGATGGTATAGTCACGTGTGTAGTTTCACTCTTTCAGAAATTGAATTGACAATCTGCTTTATTCAACTGTCAGATCATCATGGCTCGTGCACCCTTTCGACAGGTACTTAACCAGTTACTAGCAAAGACATCTTCGAGTGGAGGAAGTGGCCGTGGAAGCTCTGGTTCAGATGGTCCTGGAATAGGCGGAATCATTGGTTCGGCCGGTGCTCTTGTTGGTCTTGTTGCTTTTGGAACTGCGATCAATTCTTCCCTCTTTAATGGTACGATCAATTCTTGCTGTTTATGTGAACCGAGAGTCTTGAATGTTTTAAAGTGTTTGATTAGAAAATTGGCATGCATTTTGATGTGCAACGGTTTATTATACCCATCTCATCTGAAATACACTGATTCAATGATTGATAGATATACTTCCCTTTCATGTATTGTTAACCTTTGATCACTTTTATTCCAATTGAAATCACTATCAATCTAGTTGATGGTGGTCATCGTGCCGTCAAATATTCCAGGATCAATGGTGTTTCAAACGAAGTTTATTCTGAAGGAACTCATTTCAACATTCCTTGGTTTGAAACTCCCATCATCTACGATGTTCGTGCCAAACCTCGAAACATTGCATCACTTACTGGAACCAAAGGTAATATATGGTATATTGTTTTTTGGTAGATGTTTGATTTTAACTCTTTAAAATATCAACAACTAGATCTGCAAATGGTCAATATTACCGTTCGTGTGCTATCTCGTCCCATTATTCAATACCTTCCAGAAATTTATCGTACACTTGGAGTTGATTTTGACGAGCGGGTTCTGCCCTCTGTTGTCAATGAGGTTTTGAAGAGTGTAGTCGCACAATTCAATGCATCACAGCTGATCACTCAGCGTGAACGTGTAAGTTTGAGTAGTTTATACATGGGTTGATGTTTTGGCCTGAACCCCATTCTACTGCTTGAATTGCTGAATTGGTTTGATTGTATTTAGGTTTCCAAACTCATTCGTGATCATCTTTTTCTTCGAGCTGGTCAATTCAATATTGCTCTTGACGATGTTTCCATTACACACGTTGCATTTAGTCCCGAATTTACTCATGCCGTTGAAGCCAAGCAAATTGGTAAGTTGCTGATTTGGATTTTTGGTTTGGTCTGGATCACTTCATTTTTGTAACACTTTTCTACCTACTTTCAACAGCTCAACAGGAGGCTCAGCGTGCCTCATACATTGTAGATCGTGCAAAACAAGAGAAGCAATCTATTATTGTCAAGGCAGAAGGAGAAGCCAAATCAGCAGAACTTATTGGTGATGCCATCAAAAATTCGCCTGGATTTTTAGAGCTTAGAAGACTGGACACGGCTCGTGATATTGCTACCACTATTGCAAACTCAAACAACCGGGTGTTTATTGACAGCGATGGTCTTTTGTTGAATGTAAGTGCTGCAGGTTGATTGCTGATAAAAATAAGAATTGGCATTGATTTGTTTTCTGGTGTTGTATTGATTAGGTTCGCGATCTTGTTGGTGCTGGTCAGAAATAACAAACTCGTTTTACCATTTCGCTAAAAAGCAATAATGAACTTATGCCCATGTTTTATTTCAGTTGACAAGTTGTGGAAGTTTCTGTCAGATAGTTTGAATTGTCTGTTACGATTGGATTAGAAAGTCAGAATCCTAAAATGACCAAAATCCGATATTTTCTTTTGGTTTTGTTGTTAGCTTGAGATTAGCAAGGAATGCCCCAAGTCTTGTGCAGAAGACCTTTGCGGCAGCTGTTGTTTGCCAAGGCATGGCAGTCTAGAACTCATAGAATTAGCCATCCATTACAGTCCAAATTAGACAACATCCAACCATTCTCTGTGTCCTCGGCTTCATACCAATCATCATCTGTCTTTCAACCCAGAATTATATCAAAAAAACCATCAAAAGGATTGACTACACATACCCAGTACAATCCAGCTGATTTTGAACAGCAATTGACTATTTATGCAAGAGCAGGTGATGACAAGTCGGCGCTTGACTATCTTGCTTTGAATGGCCATCCATCTTGGACTCCTTTGGCCTTGTCTATATTTTTAAAACACTTCAAGCCAGATCAAGATGCAAGTCGGTTTGTGCAAGTCATATCGGATTTATTTGAAGATGGTCGATGCATTCAACCCATTCACTGCTTTATTGTTGCCGATCAAATTGCTGCGTGGCCGTATGGGAACCTGTTGACTATGCAGATTGGCGATGCTGTCATACGGAACACTACTCATTTGGATCCAATCGGATCTCTAGTTTTGCTACTGGCGGTGAGTAGATTGATTTCATCCAATGTATTGTAGTGGTTTTCAAATGTTGCTAATCTAGATTCATTCCTTGGTACTGATTATATCAACACTTTGATGGTTCATCTTGTTGTGACGCTTTAGTGCAAACGAACTTCATATACAGCCATTGAAAAATCCGTGCCATTAATTCAAAATCCTACTATGCGTAGCATCCTGAGTCTGTATATCTTTGCTGACCAAAAGATTCCTCCAGTACGTGAGCGTATTATGGAAAGATTCGAGTTTCTTCAGGAGTTATTTAAAGAGATGGATTGGACGGATTCAATTTACCACGATACAGCAGTTGTAAAACGGATAATTGCTGGTGTTATGAATGCAGCATCTGCAACTGGGGATCCTTCTTTGGTAGATGCACAATCGCGATGGTTCCGATCTCATTTACCAACAGCTGTTCTTGAAAAAGTATCATTAGAATTTGATATAGCAATGCTTGATGCTACTGGTGTACTTGTGTGTCTTGATCCTGCAAACAATACCGCTAATGAATTTAAAGTAGACGAGAAAAACTCTCATTCAGATTTGAATGGTAGCATATCGATTAATCTGTTTAGCAGATCTTACGTAGACGGACCGATGCGATTAAAACGGAAAGAATGGCTTGCTCAATGCAACACGATTGTAAACGATGTGCTCAACCAACATACACAACCCACTCAACCTATCATGGATGCCATCATTAAATATTTGGCAACTACGTTGCCTCACCAGTCTGGAAAATTCAGCAGCATCATGCATCTTTTTAAAACGTTTCATGATTTTGAGCAACGTGGGTATGTTCCTGAGCTTGAAAACTATCATGCCCTTCTTTCGTGCATGAAGAATCAACACACTTCAATTGAGGAATACCCTGGTAGGATTGGAATGGAAGCCGTAAAAGTTGTATACCGCATGGAAGCAGCAGGAATCAGACCCACCCAAACGACATATTCTTTAGCCTTTCAAGCTGCAGCAAGGGAAGCGACAAAATATGTGTCGTTGTATCTGATTCAATTTGAAAACCATATGATCAGTCGCGGAATAGTACACAACTCCAACCTTGTAGTTCATGCCATCCATGCATTTTGTAATGGAAATTGCATGGATGTTGCTGCACAACGACTTCGTGATATACGACATGCAGGAATTCAGCCTTCTTTAGAGCTCTATATCTATTTTCTCAGTGCTTGCTCCCAGACATACAATTTCGGCTTATTTGCACTCAAAGAACTACGATGGTGCATGAAGCGTGATGGCGTTGATGCAGATGTGAAGGCTTATGCACTTTTCATTCGGTGCTGCGTCAACACACGAGATGTCTTTTCAGCCATCAGTATTTGTGAAGAGATGAAGCTAAGAAAAATGCAGCTCACACAGGAGATGCGAAATGATTTGATTTTACTAGGAAATGCGTTTGATGAGAATGTTCAGCTAGCACTGCGTGATCTAATGTAAACCATTCTGTAATCGGAGGACAGCGATTTCATCAAACCACAATTCGATTGTATAGTAATAAAGCATACAAGTTTATTTGAATTTCTCGTTTAAATGATTCGAGTGCTGAAAGCAGAATTCAAATATCCTGAGGGTATCAAAAGCAACGCTACTTTTTGAGCGTCATGCACAAACACGAGATTTTAGTGAGCCGTAAACTTGTCCCCACTCACCGAACACTAACAACTTTCTTGTAGCAGCTATGGTGAGATGATTGTTTGTTGTGTCATCCCATGCATGCATGTGTGCATCCATCCATCCATCCTACTCTCCATGCATGCATCTCTCTTGATACATCCTCCTGTTCTCCAAGTCGCCATTCAGCACAAGCCAGCAATGCCCAGTTTTGGATCATTCCTGAACCCACTTGGATCCTACTGCAGTAAACACCAGTATGGATTTACAAAGACCTTGCAACTTGTTTACAAAAGCCATCATCTTTGCTACGACGACTGCCTGATGGATATCTTTTCTGGTTTGAACCAATTGGCTACTCCCGAGCCAAATTATTCGTAACTTGGCTCATGACAAGAGTGACGCTACAAGGTTGCTCAAAGCTTGGTGATCCCTGACTACTGTGTTGGACAACAATGGTCAGGCACCTTGATTTCATTCTGCCTGCATTTTGTTCTAATTGAAGAACGTGCGCAAGCTAGACGAGTGCTGACGGATGACTTGAATTTTTACCCTTTGCTGATTCTATCAACTAATTTAAAGATCCAACTGACTTGTTTAAACTGTATTTGCTAATCGACTGTACTGCTTTTTGTATTGATATCAACAGGGTGTCGACTTGCAGAAGAAGCATCATCAGAAGAAGGGGGCTCGTGTTGCACCCAAGTCGGATAATGTTTATCTTCGTCTTCTGGTCAAGGTGAGTCTAGTTTGAGATGCATATTTCCTGTGACTGTTTACGAGTTGACTAAACATTTTATCTAAACTTTTAAACCCATTAAAACGTATTAGCTTTATCGCTTTCTCGCTCGCCGAACTAACTCCAAGTTCAACCAGGTTGTTCTCAAGAGACTTTTTATGTCTCGTGTCAATCGCCCACCCATCTCTATCTCTCGTCTATCCAAGTACCTGAGTGGAAAAGAGAACAAGATTGCCGTTGTTGTCGGCACTGTCACTGACGATAATCGTCTGCTTGAGGTCCCCAAGATCAGTGTTGCTGCACTCCGTGTCACCAACTCCGCCCGTGCCCGTATTCTCAAGGCAGGTGGTGAGATTCTCACTTTTGATCAGCTCGCTCTCCGATCTCCTCTTGGAAAGGGCACTGTTCTTCTTCGCGGTCCCAAGAACTCCCGTGAGGCAGTCAAGCACTTTGGAACACCCGGAAAGCCTGGCAGTACTGCCAAGCCCTATGTGCGTTCCAAGGGCCGCAAGTTCGAGAAGGCTCGTGGTCGTCGTGCATCGCGTGGATACAAGAAGTAGATTCAAGAAGAGTTCTACATCTGGGGCTATATTTACCACACAATCGCATGGTTATAAGACTGTAATGGCTGAGGAATGCCTTTTCATTTTGTATGGTGTGCTCTGCTGTCTTGCGATCTATTTTCAAGCGAAATGAAACTTGGCGTTATTGAATATACTTTTAAAATTGCAATTTAGAATGATGAACGAGTTGTACTAACACGTGGGGTTGGACATGCATTCAACAGTGGATCGTGTTGGTGTTCGTGACAGACTTGCCAGCTCATTCCATCAATAATTATGTCGCAGATCACTCGTACTTTTGCTAACCAGAAGCTACTGCCAAGACTTCCTCTTCCTGCTCTCAAGGATACCATTTCAAAATACTTGCGGTCTACTCGTCCTTATTTCAAGATCCAATCTGCTTATACAGATTATGCTCGCATTGCATCCGACTTTGAGTCGGGTTTAGGCAAAGACTTGCACAAACGACTCGAGGCTCATGTGCAAGCATACAATGCTGACCCAACAGCACCTGAAGTCCCACACAATACATCTTGGTTAGAAGCCTGGTGGATTAAACTTGCTTATCTGAGTTGGCGTGAACCTTTGTTGGTCAACAGCAACTGGTATATGTTGGTTGGAGAACATCCACATCCACCACCCACTGCAGTCCATGTCCAGGGTCAAGTAGGGTTGACTCCATTTCAAATCCAACGGGCTGCAGGTTACATCTCCAACCTCGTTGATTTCAAAGACAGAGTTGAAAAGTGAGTCGAGTTGATGGTCGTTGATTCACTATACAAAGTGTTGAATGCTATGGTTGACAATTCAAACTATCCAATTAGTGAAATAATGAAACCAGAATCAACTCGTGCTGGTCCTCTCTGTATGGATCAATATCGCAACATATTTGGAATTTCTCGCATTCCTGTTGCCGAGTGTGATGTCCTCGTAGGATCATTTCCCTCCCCTTACAAACACTTTATGGTCATGGTGCGCGATCAGATCTATGTTGCTTGGGCATACGATCCACAAAGCGGTAAACGTCTAACTGTTTCCGAAATACAGAGGCAAGTGCTTGATTCCTATACTTGCTTTTGTCAAGACAACTTATGTGTGTTTTTTTATCAATGATATCAAAAAAGACAACTTCAGGATATTGCAAGCCATGTTGACAAGACGCATCATATGGAACCCCCCATTGGCATTTTTACTGGTCACCATCGTGATGTTTGGTCTAAATGGCACGCTCATTTAGTCAGTCTTGGAGGTGAAAACAAGGACACGTTCAAATGGATCGATACTGCTTTATTCTCAGTCTCATTGGATGATGTTGCCATTTCACCTTCTTTGGATGATCATGCAAGTTGAGTCAATGTGCACTCGTATGAATCAAACCATACTTTTAAACACAATGTTACTTGCTGTATCCAGTTTTCTAAATTCAGTCAATGGAATGTTTAGGGGCAACGTTTCATGGAGTGTCAGGAACAAATCGCTGGTTTGACAAGTGCATGAGTGTTGTAGTCACTCGCGATGCACGTATCGGTGTCAATGGCGAACATTCTCCATGTGATGCTCTTGTTCCTGCACTTGCTATTGATCAGGCAGCCAAAAGGTAGACACGTTGATGAATATGCTAGTAGGTACAACCCATAACATTGTATATGATTGATGTAGTGAACCTGCCGTGGACCCATCTGGTGCAGTCATCATGTCCACTCCCAACGCAGTGCATAAACTGAAATGGACTGTGGATGAAAATATTCGTAATGCTCTTGTCGAAGCTAAAGAATTTGTTTACAAGCTGACATCCAACAGTGATGTCGCTGTGCTTCATTTTACTGAATATGGTGCTGGGTTGATTAAAAAAACTGGTATGTCGTGTCATGACTGTTGTAAAAATACGACTGCAATCAACCATTGAATCGTTAAAATTGGGTTTGTGATGTTTACACATTAGGCAAAGTCAGTCCAGATGCGTATATCCAAATGTGTATTCAACTGACGTACTATCGACTGCATGGCCAATGTGTTGGCGTATATGAAACAGCGTCCACACGCAAATATCTGCATGGCAGAACTGAAACGTGTCGATCGCACTCCATCGAGTCCCATGATTTTGTCGAGTTATTTCACAAAAAGGATATATCTGTAAGTGGATACACATGATGCTGGTGTGTAAATCTCAAGTCCGATATGGGTTAACAGTGTGGTGAAATATATGGATACTTTAGGCAATGAGCAAATATGACGCATTTCAAACAGCCTGTCAAGCTCATGTAAAAACCATCACTGAAGCAGGTGATGCACATGGAGTAGATCGTCATCTTCTTGGATTGAAGTTGATGGTAAAACCCACAGATCCGCCATCAGCCTTTTTCACTCATCCAGTGTATGCCCAAAGCAGTCAATGGACCCTATCAACCAGTGGATTGTTTTTTAGTGATCGTATGCTGGCTACAGGGTTTGGTGCTGTGGTAAGTTGTAATGTGCAGTGGATGTTTAAACTCAGATTCTTATACTTGCATATTGGTAACATGAAATTAGGTTGCTGAGGGATATGGCATGAATTACACAATTGGCGATTCGATCATTAAAATGGGTATCGAGTCTAAAGTCGCATGCAAGGAAACGAGCAGTGCTGCTTTTCGAGACACGTTTTCTAATGTGTTGCGCGACGTTGCAGCCATGTGCCAAGAAGCTGCACTCAAAGCAAAGCTTTGATTCAGACTGATTTCTGCATGGGTGTGACGCTTTCAAACAGAGTATCCAGAATAAATGCAGTTGAATGTGATGATTCAAAAAATGATTCCAAATTGACCATTCTTTTCAGCATGGCATCTTTGTATTTTACCAATTTTATTTCCAGTTGAAACCTATGGTAATCATAATTTTTAGTTTTGTATTCATTCCAAAGTAGACAGCACGTTTTGATAGTCCTGTTCAAGAGCCAAATAGGTTTCATGCAGTCGATCTACTCGCTCATCAAACGGCAATGATTTTAGAACATCACAGTTTTGTTGAAAGATGCGTGCTTTGACAAAAAGCCGGTAGAGACGATTGGCACGCGCATCATTTCTATTCAATTGATGCAGCAACACAATTTCTAAACAGCGATATGCTTGACGCTAAATAGTAGTGTGAGCGTTGGATTGGGTTGGGTTAAAAATCAATCAAAATACTGCCTACCTTGCATAGCTTATATTTGCCACGTATCGCATTAAAGCATTGTGAATCCAATGGAGCAGACAAACCAGCCAAGGCTTTGCATTCCAGTAGACGTTGCACATCACATCGATCACGCAGATCCTGAAACTCATCGTTAGGATCTTCAACAGTTATGTCCACTACAGTTGAATCACCAATAAATTTATTCATCATAGTCGTGTATAGCTTCCGTCCGTGACCTTGATGCTGATAGGGTGGAAGAATAATGAATTGACTAAAAGAATATATAGATATAAAAAAGCAAGATTGAGTCAAGATGCATTCTCCTGTATAACTACCAGACATGTATATTTAGAGCAACACGAGTGTTGTACCTGATGCGCATTCTGCGAGTGTCTGGATAATGATAAAATGGATAGTAGGAAAGATATCCAACAATCTTGTACACAGGACTACCACTAGCAAAGTTTGATTCTTTTTCAAATCTAGATCATTTTACATACATGTATGGGTTATAACATAACACTGTTAGGGATCAACCACACATATATCACAATGATGAATGCTTTAGTGGGTTTAAACCCCCAAATGTTATGCTTACACCAACACAAATTGCCAGTTCTTGTCTTTATCTTCTAGGTAAGATGCACCTTCGATAAACCACAACAAAAAGGTTTGCAGTCGTTTGTGGTACTCTATGAAATTCAAAGTATCAAACGTGCACTACAGAGCCGACATCAAAATAAGCAAAAGTCAGGCAGTTGTAATGATACAATGTACTAATACCATGAGAGCATTACAGATTTGACAAAAAACAAATTCATAGTAGATCTTACCTCGTACATTTCAAATACTTTATTGTCAACAGTATACTCGTGAATCTTTACACCCATAGGACGAAAAGTGTGTTCATCCTGCCTGACCTGTTTCATAAACTGATCGTAGTTATGTGCAGCACCTATAGATTTGACAAGCAAATAATGGTTTAATGTATTGGTTATAATCGAGATGGTATGGAAACAAGCCATTTATACCTGCAGGAATCTTTTGATTGATCATTTCAACCACATTTTGAGGTTGAACTCCAGGAGCAAACATTTTAGAAGCACCTTCGCCAATTCTCGAGGAATAAGTGAACCCTAGATATGTATAAAGCGAACCAGCAGCATAATACAGCTAGTGGTTCAAGAGGGAATACAGTCGATTGGATAGAAGCAGGACAAATATTAGAGCTATTCAGACAAGATCATGTATGGAATCAGCGAGGAATACCTTGATCTTTAAATCCTTGTAACCAAACACCTTCTCTTCATCTCCAAAGACTGGATAAGTGTACAGTGGATGAAAGTCGATGGCATGATCAGCCTCTGAAGCTGTTTTGTTGGCTACAGAGGGATCGTTGTGGGTTGATACTTGAGAATCAAAGATGAACATGGGCTAGTCAGTAGAAATACAACCGAACAGGCTTGCATACAAGATGTCAGATTGACTAAAATACCTAAAGAAAGACAGACAGCATCGTTTGAATTGCAAAGCCATTCTGCCAGTGGATTGTGTGCTGCAAACAGTGCTATGTATTCCAGATAAAGCAAAGGTTAAGGATCTAAACAAGAGTTTCTTGTGCAGTTGATGTTGTTATACCTTCCATCGAACTGCAATTTGAATACTGGACAAATTTGTAAAATCCAAGTCGATTCAATTCCACTGAATTCCCTTCGATTGCGGTATCAACTATAAGCGTTTGAAACTATTTCAAGATGAATTGTCAGTGTTTACTGTCGTGTTCATGTAAAGCGAATCATTAAATAATCGAGTTGAATGCATGAACTGTTCGTTTCATGAAATGATTGTTTTTTAAACTCTGGCATTTCGTGGTAATTTAGTATCGAAACAAGAGTTGTATTTCTGGAATTACTCAAATTAAAGCGCGAGCGTATCCGAGTTTTAGAATACAAATACGAGTTTTTAAAGTATTCAATGGACAGTTTCAATCCGACTAGTTTGTATTATATGAACACTGCATGAAAGAAGAACTGGGAATGTTTATTGAACAAGCAGCCAGTTTTTAATAGGAAAGCGTGACATTTAACCATTGTTTATTCCAAAGCAAAATCAAGGCCGAGTATTTCATTATACATAAACACGGCTGCAATGGTTGAACACAATCTAAACATCGAGGCTCAAAATGGTAAAATCAATCCCATAAAAATGATTGGTATTCAGTCTTGATGGTTTGGATAATAACCAACCGAATGGTATTCCATTTGAATCAAGTCAAACATTAATTCGCTTCTTATAGTTTTCCATGAAAATTCAGAGTGCAGTTGTGCATGCCTGAGGACAAGAGTGCTTATTTTCCAACAAGAGTTTGTGAATCGCGTTCTGATTGGCTACTGCACGCCTGTCTGGATCCAGTTTCCGCCCTAAAACGTTCCCATAAAATATCCAGATTCAGCAACGATATTCAACCCGCATTTCTTCTTGAGTTGAGTATAAAGCCAAACCGATTCCCATTGCAGTTTGTATTCATTTGGTCCCTTTCAAACTTTCATAGCCTGTTTTTTTCCAAGCATGCCCAAAGAAGTCAAGGCCAAGGTTGAAAAGAAGGTTGTTGCTTCCAGCAAGACTGGACGCGCTCTCACCCCATACAATGCCTTTATGAAGACCGAGTTGCCCAAGGTCAAGGCTGCCAAACCTGAAATCTCTCATCGTGAAGCCTTCAAGACCGCTGCGTCCAACTGGAAAAACGCACCTGAAAACCCCGTAAACAAAAAGTAAACCACCCTATCATGGTCTCGAACCGCTTATCCATAATGCAGTAGCTCGTCACCAAGATTCAGTCTTTACAGCTTGTCGTTACTGCAGATCTATCACATCCTCTGTTCTCTGCATATCACCTAGTATACTCTTTAAACTCACAAACTCTATACAACTCGTATTGCTCTGTATATATGCTCGAGGGAGCTGGCTTTATCCCTCGCTCTTTCTATTTATACACTCAATCCCATCATCTCTTCCCATCCCCACTTTGCTGTAGCCTGTACATTTGGTTGGTCACTTATTCTTGCTCGGTGTCTCTTGGACACCACCTTTCATACCTGTTCCAGCCTTCTGGACTCGGGTGATTCTACAAAATAAAATTCAACTATTATTACTGCATACTGTCGCTTTGATTTCGATGAATATTTAACATGTCTGTAAAGCACATTGAAGCTGTTACTCAATATTGGTTTCAACCCAATCGCATCAACTTGAAAGCAATAGTTTGCATATCTCGAGTTGAATTGAGCCACAATGCATTCATTATTTTCGAGTAACAATGGATGATCTCTATCAATACATTGTCAATCTATTTGTTTTCAACCACTTTATATGCATGATACTGCCTTGTATCGATCGTTTACAATTGCAATCCCATCAGATGTTCGTTTTTACTCTCAAACAAGTTTAGTCTTGAAAAATTCAACTCTAGAAACTTGCAAACTATTGCTGGATGCCAGTAAGTCGAGAAGAATGTGCTTCATGCTTTGATAGATACCTCGTTCATTTTTTAAACTTGTGCTTGATATAGTTTCAAGTTCAAAAGGTTATCAAGGATGGTAGGTAGCTGTGTTTCGATATAATCCACACGAGTCATGTTTCATGTCCAACTATTAAAAGACTGCTAATGCATCTACTATTTTCAACCTGTGATACTAACATCTCCTTGAACGAACATGCATCCAACAAACTCGTGCATGACATGAATAGCCCATGAGGACGGCATCTGGACAATTGCATGCAGTCGCAGAGGAAACAAATTTGTAACTGGTTCAGTAGATGATACAGTTAAAGTCTGGTAAGATGGTCCCATCTATAAAAGATCTAGCCGTTACCTACACTACTTGAGGCATCGATACTATTCATTACAATCATATCCAGCATAAGTTGATACTTTATTGTTTAGGAACGCCGAGTCAATGTCTTTGATGCATACATTGGAAGGACACCAACTTGGCGTGAATTCAGTCGACATCTCACCCAGCGGAGCATGTGGGTTTGGCATGAATCTACAGCTGAAAAAGCTTACATCTTGTATGGATTGGAATTAATACATGAGATGTTGTGGTTATATCCTATAGATGCTGTATCAACATCGCTGGACAGCCAGATCCGCATTTGGGATCTCGTATCTCACTCGTTAGTCAAATCAATCGAGGCTGGTCCAGGTCAGTTTTCATCAATCATGAACCCTAACAGGATGCATAACTTACTATTAAGTTGGATGGTTCTCATATATTGGAATGTGTCAAGTCAAGGCATGGTCAGTCGCATTTTCACCAGATGGTCGACAGATCTCAACTGGAACTCACAATGGAAACATTAATTGCTGGACAGTGGAAACGGGTGAAAAGGATCGAACTCTAGAAACTCGTGGAAAGTTTGTCATGTCGCTTGCATATGTAAGTCGTTATGTGTGGTATTTACAAGATAAAGCTACTGATTTAATGGATTATTACTCATGACAGAGTCCCAATGGAATTCTACTTGCAAGTGGAGCAGAGAACGGATCCATTCATATCTTTGATGTTCCAACAGGAAAACTTCTTCATTCACTACCAGGTGGGCAATTATCTGTGCATTAGACTTGTCTACATGACATGTAGTAAATGGTTTGAATTTGGCATTTTAATCATCTGTTTAAACCAACAGGACACTCAATGGCTATCCGATCCATGACATTTTCAACCGATTCACAATTGCTCATCACCGCATCGGATGATCGACGAATCAACATTTATGATGTGTATGTACTGACTTTGTCGACATGTTGCTTGCAGCATATATCTCACTAACGTTTACATGCTGATTCACAAATACCAGACATCACGCCAACTGTCTATCAACATTATCAGGTCACCAATCGTGGGTACTTTCAGTTGCTGTCTCACCCAATACAACTCACTTTGCGTCTGGATCAAGTGATAAACGTGTCAAGGTCTGGGATATCAATTCTCGTCAGTGTGTGCATACTTTTGATGCACACACTGACCAAGTTTGGGGCGTGGCTTATAACGAAGACGGATCAAGACTTGTGAGCGTTTCTGACGATCGAAGTATTATTGTTTATAATGTATTTGGTGTCTGAAACGTCGGAATATAAATCGAGAATAAACCAGGTGTTTACAAATGCTAATACCACTCTACTCTGTAATTTCAACGTGACATTAACTCATCTACATACTATGCCAACTTTAAAATCAATCTTCAAATCATAAGTAGTCCGATTCTTCAGTTTATAATACGCATCATCTTTGAATGGTAGACATGATTCACCAAAATGCTAAACGTCGTATTGTAGTCTGTTGGGTGAAATATCATTTGACATTGCGAACAGCCCAGTCAACAGCCTCTGCAAACCGACGCACATTGCCAGTGTTCAGTCCAGCCATGGAGATACGGCCATTGTCAGTCATGTAGACATGGTTTTTTTCGCGAAGAATCTTGACTTGAGAGGCTAAACATATTGTAAAAACATCACTGCATCTTAGTACCCACAAACTATTTGTCTTGGAGATGAACAAAACTTACGAGTGAGACCAGTGAATGAAAACATGCCAATCTGGTCAACGATATGATTCCACGTGCCAGGAGTCCCAAGAGCCTTCAAAGCCTCAAAAAGTGCCTTGCGCATAGAAATGATACGGTCTGCCATACTTTTAAGCTGAATCTCCCTAATCACCGTACATTATTAGTAAACACTAAAGGGTTGGGTTTGTGAAAAACAGATCGACTCACCACTCTCGATACATTTCGGGAGAGTTGAGAACAAGCGACACAATACGGCCGCCAAATGCAGGCGGGTTAGAGTATCCAGCTCGCACCAACTTGCAAATTTGGCTATTGGCTCTGACTGCAGTGTCTGGATCTTTGGTAATGATGGATAAACATCCTGTACGCTCATTATACAAACCAAAGTTTTTGGCATAGGACTGAGCAATCAACATTTCAAATCCTTGGTCGACAAAGTATCGAACAGACTGAGCATCCTTGTCAAGGTTTCCACTAGCAAACCCTTGGTATGCACAGTCAAAAAAGATCAAATGATTTTTTTCCTAAAATAGTAGCAATCCACACAGTTTAATAAAAACAAATAAACTTGTCCAACTTTGTGATCAAAACAGCTTACACGAGCAACTTGAGCAATCATTTTCCATTGATCCATCGTGGGGTCCACACCAGTGGGATTGTGAGCACAGGGATGGAGCAGTAAAATGGATCCATTTGGCGCTTCCTTTAGTATAGTTTATACATATTAAAATACTGGTTGGCTGAAAAGTTTTTAGATTAAACCAACCATGTACCTTGAATGTCTTGAGGATTTCTTCAATAAAAAGACCGCGAGTCTCGGGGTTCCAGTATTTGTATTCACGGATATCCTTGAATCCAGCATCATTAAAAATGGCGCGATGGTTTCCTACAATAAAAACGGTGTCGTTTAAATAACTGCATGCTGGCAGTTTCTGTGTGATTTCAACCTACCCCAAGTGGGATTTGAAATATAGACGGGAGACATGTTGAACCTAGCCAAAAAATCTGCACCCATTCGCACCGCTCCAGTTCCAGAGATGGACTGAGCAGCAGTATACTAGTAGCATTTGAATAATTTTCGTTTGAGGATAAAAAGTAATTGTGTTGGCAAATTAGAAAAGGCTAGGGTTAGATATCAACTATTCAATTTACCACCGTGTTCACATAAAACACTAAATCAGGGTGTCAAAATGCATATATATAGCATTGTTTCTTGATCTCATTAAAGGCTACTGGTCTTTCTCCTGGTGATTTTCATGTACGGTTGCATTTTACATGAATACGGCAATAACATTCCAAAACTCACCCTTTTTTCACGAATCACGGGAGAGTCTGCACCGAGAATTAAACGTGCCGAGGCCTCTGCAAAGCTGCGAATGCCATCAATGGGAAGATACTCGTGGTCCAGAGATGAGTTTTCGATAATCATGCGTTCTGCCTATTGATATTGTGAATTCGGGACATAGAGTTTGAAATGAATAGAAAATACTCGAGATTAGCAAGCCGATTCTGCACGGAAGAAATCCAGAATGTAGAGTCTGATGGCTTTGATGTGAATGCAAATAAAAAAGAACCACCAAAGTGATAGGATAGTATATACGATTGAATAGACATGATCAGTGTATCAATAGCATGCCATTGTATCGCACAGATTGAAATTTGCTGATTGTAAAGCCATCCAATATGCCATATACTGACTGCAACTTCACACACAAGAGCAGCCATGTATTCACAGCAGCACTGACCTTTTTAACAACAGGCAGAATCCATGGGTTTCCATCATTGTCTCTGTAGGCACCAACACCCAGATTGATTTTGAGAGGGTTAGGGTCAGCTTTGTAGGAAGCAGTCAGATGGAAGATGGGGTCAGGAGGAGCCAGAGGGGTGTTTCCAAAGTGCGAGGCTGCAGACAGTGAGGCCATTGAGCAACAAGTTGTTAGAGTGATTGATATTCATTGAATTCATAATGGTTGACCTGCTAGATTAGCTTTGATACCATAAGCAGCAATGAAAAATCAAGTTTCCTATTGGACTTACTCATGGCAGCAGAAGACTTTAAATGCTTGGATATGGAGGCAAGGCGAGATTGAGCCTGAGAGGACGAGGACATTGTTGGCTGGTCAGCGGTAAATATAACAAGCACCAGCTTGGATTTGGTCTTCAATTTATTGCCGTATTCACATGAATACAAACCTTTTTGTATTTTATTCTGCAGTGATTGCTTCAGAATAGGCAATACTTACTGTCTTCTCATTCCATATTGACTGCTTCAAAACACAATGTCTGTCATATAGTACAAACTATAGTTTTGATTCTGTTATTTCTCTCATTGTACGATCACCAAGTTTAAAACCAGATTCATTGCATTTTAAATATTGGGGTTGACTGTTGATGCTGTCAATACAACCGCAAATTCATATTTGTTACCCTAAAATGTCAAATACGCTCGCGCTCTAATCCAAAAAAACAGATTGCACATTTAAAAATACAAGTTGTTTCCATGCTAATCACACAATGTTTACAAGAGAGTTGGAGACTGGATAAATGTGGGATTTATTGAGAGTGTTGCGAGCATTTATTCAATTGTATACAGAGATGAGCAGAGAACACAGTATTCATTCAATATGGTGTCAAGTACCAGTTATGAGATGTACATCCTTATTTTGGTCTATTTGTGTGAATACGGCTCACGACAATTCAAGAGTGCTGGTTACAGCCTGTTGCTGTTGATTGGTTTATATTCTCCTGTAATGCCTTTTGGCTGATCCGCCTCTAATTCAAATTTCGCCTGTTGCTGAATTAGCATTTGGTTGAATAGGCTATTTGTCATACTCTTCATGATTGTTACTTCATTCCTTTGAACTTATTACCTACCCTGTTTATACTATTCCACTACTACTATATTTACCATTAGGCATCTAATATGACTTCGATGCACTACATCGTTCCTACTGAGTCATGGGCTTCAAACGGTCTCGACTCTTCCTCCGACTCCATCAAGACTTCGGTATCCACTGCCACTTTTCCCCAATCGACCCAAGAAACCCCATGCAAGCCTTTGTGCAGTTCACAGAATATCTCTTCCAACACTGCAACGACTGGCATGACTATTGCAAAAGTACAAACTCTGGTAGCTGACGCCACATCCATCACCGCTATTTGTCCAGCTAAAGAGTCGCAGCTTACTCTGCAATCTCAGTATCCATATAGTCTAGAGCAATCTAGTAAGTATGATATGCTACCAGTCTTATCATAGCATACTATCAGTAGCTAGTTCACTATAAGGTTTAAGGCTTTTACTTACCAAATTTTGAAATCTTATTTCAAGCAGAAATTTCATTAAGCAATACTTGCAATCCCAGATCCGCTTCTTCCGCCTCAAGTCTTTCTGCTACACTCTCATCTGGTGCATGTGATGAAGAAGCCTTTCCCGCACCTACCGTCTTTGCTGCTCGTTTATCCTACTCCGCAGTTGCTGCTACAGGTCATGCTCATAGAATCCCTCATGCCATGGCAATTCCCTCTGTCCATTACGGGGTTCACCAATTGGCGGTAACTACTCCTTGCGAATCTTCCCTTTCTCCATCCATTTTGCCACATACCGCTTCCTTTTCACCTCCCAAAACTATTGGTTTGTCTACATCACCTACTCACGGTGAATCTGATCTTGATCTACAAATCCAATCCTGCATGTCTAATCTTGGTCATACTAACCCGGTCGAGCTTGAAACACAGTCGTATGCTTCTGATACTACCCTGCCACAATCGACTGAGAATTTAGCTTTGGAAAATGATAAATACTTGAATGATGGTGAATATACAACCAGTTGTAAAAGCTCGTCCAGCCATGAGTCTGACTTACAAAACGAGACGGGTTTGCAATCTAAGCAAGATGATCATTTAATGGAACAGCATATGGAGTCTGCTGATGGTCAACTCTTGGATCCGCAACACATGCACATGTATTCCTATATTCCACCACCTCCCATGGGATTTTCATATGGCCATATTCATCCAGACTATTATTATATATCCCCTCAATTCCAGCAACTACCAGGTGATGCTTCCGCTAATTCTCCCTCTCCAAGCCATGCAGAGTTGGAGGTAGCAAATTCCATCACCGCGTCTGCCTCTCCTTCTACAGTGGTTAATGATCTTGAGCCTTTGGGTTCGCCATCTGAAATACAATCTCCTACAACTTCAGTGATCACAGCGTCTCATTCATACCCCATGAATTCTCAGTTTCAAAACTATTCTCAATTTCAGCAGTACAAATCTGTTCCAGTGCATCCATATTACCCTTCTCACCAACACCCCATATATTATCCAGGCTATGCGCCACATGGAATATATGCTAATCAAGGCGGTATTCCCATGTCTGCTCCTTCATCTTCATCATGCACTTATCCGGCTGCAGGTAATGGCAGCGGTGGTAGATACATGCTTCTCGCTCAGTATCAGCAACCATTTTCTTCTACAAACTATAATGGCCTTCAGCCCATTGCAGACCCAGCCATGACTCACCCTGCCGCATTGAGCTCGAATTTTTTCAACCAAACCCAGGTAGCTTTTGATTCTACATCAAACACTGCTAATACTGGAGACACGGTTGAAGGCCAAAAAAAGTTGCACTCGTATGGAGAAAATCAGCCTTATCACTCTCGTCCATTTCAGCAAGGGAAAAAAGCTAATTATTTTGCACCTCGACAATCAAAGTCTTACCACCAAAATCAACAGCAGACCTATCCCCATCCAAGCAATCAACGTGCACGATCAACCTCGATAAGTTCTAATGCTAGTACTGCTACATCTGGTCACTCCAAACGGCAGTATGGAAATAGCAGTTCTCGTGGTCAGAATCAACAACAATATCACCACGCAAGCAATAATATGCGAGCTCAAGAGAGAAAAAATAGTTTTGGTGGTAGTGACAATGGACACAATTTTTACATGACTACTAATATTTATGTTCGCAAGCTGAGTCCGCATGTTACAGATGCTGATTTTGTTGAGCTGTGCAAAGAGTAAGTTTAAAACTAATCACCAGGTCTATACACTCTTGTTTCTATATCAATATGATTGTATATTAGATGACTAGTATGCAACCCCATATTTATAATTTAAAATGCAAGGCTATTTCGTTTTTGATTTCTAACACACCTTGTCTTGATCAACACTTTACATGAACAACTTTATCTCAAAGATTTGGTAAAATTGTTTCATCCAAAGCAATTATAGATCCAATGACAAATATGTGCAAAGGGTTTGGTTTTGTCATGTATGAAACGATTGAAGAGACCCAACAGGCTACTCTTGGTTTGGTGGTAAAGGGATACGAGGTAGCCCCTGCGAAAATTGGACCAAGAAACATGGCTGTTAGTCCAAATCAAGCATTACCTGCACTCGATATTAATACCAAGGTAAATGATTGTATTGGATTTTGTAGATTTACATGAAAAGCATTTGTGTTCTAATGCGTTTGTTGGAATAGGAACTTTCCGCTGATCAAGAGACGAGTTTGTACGTAGCATGTCTTCCACAGGACATGAATGAAGAAGGGTTACTTGAGTTATTTTCAGACTTTAAACCCATTTCTTCTCGTGTTATGTTTGAAAATAATGTCAGTCGTGGCATGGGCTTCATCAAGTAGGTTATATCAAGTGTATTTGACTCCTCTATTGATATTCTGCCAGATTTTTAAACAATCGATTGTCAATCTTATTTACACCATTTGGGATCATTTATTCAATTAGATTTTCGGATCGCCAAGCTGCCAAATCAGCTATTACAAAGTTTAATGGAGCAGTCATTCCTGGAGCAAGTCGAGCACTACGTGTGAGTGTTGCCGAGCCTCCTGGACAGCGTCGACACAAGAATTCGCACTATAAACACCACTATATGTCGCGCAATCAGCATTACAATTTACAATCAGCAAACTCGGCAAAGCCATTATATTTTCATGTATGTTTTGACGAGTATTGTCGTGATACTGATGAGTATACAATTCAGCTTATATTATCATTGATTATGGTTTAATTTTAGGCACCCCAGCAAGTTCCTTGGACACCCAATCCATATAGTCCTCAAGCTTTTGGACAGACTGGCATGTATGCTCCTTATTATGGGTAAGACAATTTTGCAGACTTTTCTGATTCAAGCAGAATTTACCTTTATTGATGATATTACTACTAATGATCAACTAACGCCTATTTTTGGTTACATTGTAATTGATTGTCCTTGTATGGTTGCTTGATATAAAACAGTATGTACTCTTATCCCGAGTTGCCAATCATGTATGGCGATGTCAATGGGTATCCGGATACAGTAAAGACAGGCATAGATGTTTCAGAGAATACGGCCAACACACCCCAATTGTACTCAACCAACTCATATGATACAGAGTTTCATTCCGCCAAATGTTCAACAGGTGATAGCGATGATCATTCCACGCGTGATGGGTATACCTTGACAAAAGAGTTTACGCATACTGGCACGGATTCCAGTAGCGATGTTGTTGTTTTAATGGATGGAAAGGTGTATACTGACAATGGCCACGAGTACAGCTGTAATCAAAATGGATTTGAAGATAATGTGTCGGATGTCACTGAGCGCGAATATGTATTGGATTCCAATGGGTTGAATGATGACATGGTTGAGTGTGTTGGTAAAGCACTTGAAAAGCAGTGTGTAGTTTGAAGATGATTTGAGTCTGATTGAAACATGCTGTGAGAATATGTTTGACTCAGTTATGAATGTATGCAGCATCAGCATAATATAGCCTGTATTTCCGTGTGTTGGATTCAATAAAATTGGTTGTGCCCAATTTCCCACGTGACTTGCAATACATTACATCGCACATGAACATTTGACCACTTTGTCCATGTCCTGGGGGAATTCGCAGTGTCAGTGAAGTCCAGACTGAGACCTGTTTAATGCCCAATACTCTATTGTATTCATAATACATTGTTTGGTGGTTAGAGAGCCACGAAAAAAGTTGTATGGCTTCATCTTTGGCTGTTGCTCCGTCCTGCTATTGTTCAAACATCTTGCTGCTCCATTTTAATCTTGTCGGTCTCTGTCAACCTTGCTAGATCCGGTCCATGGGTGACTCGGCTTATTTGCTATCAGTTTGCTTTTGCCCTGTCTCCCATTCTCTCATCAGCTTTAGACTGCTCATTCATCATTGTCGTGATATACTGTTGCCATGTTCTAAACTGCTCTTTGGAGTGTTCAAATTACACGAGTTATTGGTTCCGCCTGTCCGGCTTCGAGTCGATAACAACTTGCTGTCAGATTCAATATTCAACCTGCTTATTACTGCATACCATCACAGAGGCTGCAGTGTTGGTCTATCCTTGATTCTGCACTTGTTTGATCTGTACTCTTGATATTTTGAATATTATACTTATTTCCAGTCAAGAAACACTTGCATCAAAAATAGAGGAAACGTAACGAGGCTTGTCTAATGTATGCGTGCTCAGAAAGAGTCGTCATAACAGTATATGCAAAGTGGTTGGACACTGCAATTCTCTTGTTTATGGCACATGTAGATTGCCAGATACTAGAGCTCATTTGTTATTATTCGACCGAGTATCAAATTTCAATTATATGGAGAAGCTTCACTGCATAAGTCGCAGATATCAGACTGCTTTTGTAAAAAAGAGCAATTGTGTCTAGTTTTTCAAAACTGGGTCAATTGGATAGATTTGGAGCTCCTTTATAGTAACGGCGATTCAAGCGACTCTCTTTGTCATTTGAATTGTCATTACTATGGTGCAAGATCTTTTTTTTGATTCAGTGGTGAAAAACATGGCCATAGTTTGTCTCTATTCTTACTTTATAAAGCAGTAATGAGCTATACTTTATGTTTGCTCATGCACTGGTGTTGAGATGGTAGTGCTTGTCGTATCTATATAGTTGCAAATTTGTCTACTTTGAGATGGAGACTGTTGTTTAATGCAAATTGAGCTGTTTGACAATTTACTTGGCTATTTCATTACGGTGAATTGTTCCAAACCATCTTTGTATTACTATGACGATGTCTATTTTGATAGACCATGCTATATCTGGATGCCGAATTTACTTGCCTATTTTTGTTTCTTTGACGTGTTTGACTGGCATAAGTTAGTGTGATGAAGAAATTCAAGTACTGATTGTCGCAAATGTCAGATTTGGGATCGAGTGCATGTGGCTGATGACAGTGTATCTGTAGTGGATGCTGGTTGTATTGGATTTTGGGGATAGGCAACACTACCTCGTGTGTTTGTAGTGTTGACATTGCATGATAGTCATAGATGTGTGTATTAGTAGTAGTTTTTGCAGATGAAGAATGAGCAAAGCAAATGTTTGATTTCAGATTTGAACACTAGATTGATGTGTAAGCAAGTTAGACAGTTGGCTGCCAATTTTTTTGGTTTTTGAAGGATGTTGGACAATAGTAGGTTTATAGAATAGCAGTCGAGGGTAGGAGCATGCAGCGGTTCTTGCCCAATTTTTACAATCATCACTTGAAAAGTGATTACATTTTTAATTTGAAGAAGAAACTTGTTTTTGAGATGGTATATACCAATCTAGGCACTCGACTGATTTAATATTACTTTTATTTTTATCTTTAAAACTACTGTTTGTCAAGTAAGGAATATTGTTTGTTTTTAGATTCATTATGTTCTGATTGGCTAGACTGTTGAACAACACCATGCATGCGTTATCTTGTTATGGTATTGGCGTGTTTGATAATGATCACCTTGTCAGGTCGTACAAAAATACCATGGTTTTCTGCGCAATCAAAATATTTGCGTCCACGTGCAGTTCCATTATGAGTACCCACTAAAAATCAGATCATTGCAAAACTCAATGTCAGTATTGTACCTTTTTAAAACACGATGTTTGAGTTTGTAAAAGACTTACGTGGTCGGTCGAGTTGAATGCCGCACCAGATATTCTGAGATCCGGCTTCAAAAACTCCAATATATTTCAATTCACCCATACATCGATCATCATTGATCATCACACATACTCTGTCACCGAGTTTTGCATCATCACTATGCTCCTGTGATTGGGCTGCTTCGTTGTCTGTCCGAGTGTGCACAGTAGTTTTGGTTGTGTCCTGCTCATCGTGTGCTTGAACGGTGGTGTGAGCAATTTTGTGCATTTCATTTTGAGTTGCAGTACGACTCGCTGTGGTGGGTTTTGCATGTCGCTCAGACAATGAATGGGTAGATGATTTTTTGTAAACCTGTTTTGAAGAAAGTTGATCCGTCGGTTCAACACTGCTATTGCTGATTGCACCTTGCGATGAGTCGAGTGGATTGCTTGACTTGGAATTGGCATGTTTGTCGTGTGTGGTCGTGTGAGATTGACGATGATCGTCGACAGCTTGCGTTTTTGATTCATCATAAGACTTTGCGTAATGCTTTGAATCGTTTTCTATATCATGGCTATTGTGATCCGAGTCAAATTCTCTGCAATCAGCAGGCTCATGCTTTTGATGTCTACGATGATGTTGCTCACTCTTGGCACGACGACTGTTGCCTCTATGAGTACTCGAAGATCCATAGCACTCTTGAGTGCTGTTGGGAGGAATGGGCTCAGGATCTGGAAACATTGATTCCGAGTTTTTCCCTTTGGTCCTTGGACGAGCAGTGGGAGGATGTGTCCAATGTGGGGCCGTATGCCCTCCATTCCACCACCAGCGATGTCCACTATCAGGATGGTTTCCAGTAGGTTCGGGTGGGTTGACTTCAAAATAATCCGACGATCGTGGTGGCAGATTGCCAATAATTCCATAAGGTGGTTTTCTAGGTGAATTGGCGTACTCTGTGCGTGGCAAATAGGGAAAATACTTGGCCTCCACTAAAGGATCGGCAAACGAGTTGCGTTGGTATTTGAGGTGTCGAATCTGGCGTTTAAGTGTAGCAATTGTGAATTGGTATTCTTTTTTTTGACGAGCCAGCAACAATCGAGCATTTTTTTCAAGACTCTCTTGATCCAGCCGCTTCATGTCCTCCAGGTGCATTTGAAGTTGTTTCTCGCTTTCTTTGAGACGGATAATTGCCTTGTTGCGTTCCTCTACTTCTACACGAAGATTACGGACTTGTTGACGCATATCGGTAAGAATGGCAGTGTAGTCTGTTTTGCCATCTTTAGTTGGTGCTTGATGCGGATTCATGTGCGAGAGGCTACCCAACCTTGCGCTGGAGCTATGGGAGACTTTGGGGTGGTCTTCATCCATAGTTTTATCATGGTGATGCTTTTTACGGTAAGATCTTTTTTCTGTATTATGAGAGGTTTCCGAGTGAACATTGTCTTCCAAGTCAGCCGTGTCGGATTGTTCAGGAGCAGTCACAGATCTGGCCATTGTTTTGACTATTCTTTTATGATTTTTTTCAGAAGTAGACTGAGCGGTAGAAACATTGGCCGGTTTTGCACCGACAGATCTTTCATTTGTAGTAGCTGCTCGTGGCTTGTAAGGTTTGGGGTGTGCTGATGGATGGGACTCTATATGCTTGGACTTTGCCGATTCTGATTTAATCTCGTTGGATTGATTATGAGCGGTTTTAGCAACTGCCGATTTTTTTGGCATAGACTGAGATTTTTTAGTTGCGCCTTCAGCGGAAATTGTTTTATGCTCCAAAGTTTTTTTTGTAGTCGCCGTGGCAGGTTTCCTGACTGCCAAAGCACTATCTGTTTTGTGAGCCGAGGACACGTTTTTAGCAGATTCATTTTTGCGATGAATTGAATCGCGAGCTTTTAATGCCAAATTGGACGAAGCAGACTCACTTTTTATATCTGCCAACGAAACATTAGATGCAGTGGTTGAACCCCGAGTTTTTGTGTTTCTTGCTTGAACTGTGGTAGAATCTAAAGACGTTTCTGATTGTAACTGGGCTGCTGCATGAGGCTCTATTGCTTCAATGTTTTTCGAGTTGTTTGACGAGTTGGCTTTTGGTAAGCCATCAGAATCTTGCTCTTTGGATATGGATGGATCCTGTTCAATACTCAAAGGCGTCATATTGTCGTGTATATGAATTTCATGATGAGATTGTTTTGGGGATGCCTTTGCTGACAAAGATCCAGATAAATGGTGATGTGAACCTGTTTTTTCCTTTTCAGACTCGGGATTGGTAGGACTGGCAGAATCGGGCTTGTTTTCTGAGAAATCGAAATCATCAAATGTGTATTCTTCAGAACCTAGTTGCTCATTTTGAGTCTCGGGCTGCTTATTAGCATTTTCATGATGCATTGCCTCGGCTGTTTCTGGTTGGTCCTTTTGTGAGTTATGAAGTTCAGAATTTTCAAACTCGTCGTCATACGCATTTTGATGAGCCATCTCTTCTTGAGATACATGCCGAGTCTCTTGATCATAAGTGTGCTTTTGTTCCTGATGGTCTTTGGTGTGCTCATGATCATCTTTACCATGATTATTATAAGAAGTCTGCTCATCTGGTTGTAAATCTGATGAATGTGCTTCAGCCTGCTTAGAAGTGTCAGTAGTGTTTTTCTCATGGTGATCTTTTTTATCTAATGAGAACTCGTCCATTATATAGTGGACTACAGAATTGACAATATGAGAAATGCCGTGAGAATGCGAGCTAGTTGCTTGTTCACGATGCTCATGCTTTTCTGTGGTATCGCACTGCTTAATCTCTTCAGTATTCTCCTGATTTGCATCAAGTTGATCTGGAATCTCAGCTTTCTCGTGGTCTTTGAAACTCTCGGCACTCTTGCTTTTTATGGCATATCCATCAATGGGACTGATTGCGGGATTTTGAGCAAGTTCTGTTTCCTCGGGTAAATTGCCGTCAATTTCTAATTGATTTTCAAAATCATTATTGTACAAATCAGTTTCTTTCATCGGTGTTTGGTCTTTTTCCACCTCCAAAGGTTGGCGAATAGTTTCTGGGTCATTATGCGAGTTTTGGTTATGTTGTTCATGACTAATATGCTCCAAATAGGATGGACTACAGTTGTTAGAAGAACTCAAACTTTCATCTGGGTTGACATTTTCGCTCTGCGCATCAGTAAGAACTTTGTTGGTTAAACTTAGTGCTGCTATTGAAACAGCTGTAGGCAAATGTGCACGCGTTTCACCAGACTGCTCTTGATGCAATTCGTGATGGATAGCCTTATTATCGTGCATGTGTGCCGATTGATGATGATCATTGAAATCCGAATTTGTGGCAACAGTGTCGGGTTTAGCATCAATAATCGATTCCTCAAATTCATTGTCCGCTTCATAGTTAGCAGCAGATGAATGTTTATCAAGATGTGCAGACTCATTCAACACGGATACTGATTGATGCATTTTATCAGCTGATCCATCAGGATCCAAAGCATGATTGATGCGAGATTCTGATTTTTTTAAAGAAGTTGTGGATGCCTTTTTGGACAATGATTCTGTAGCAATGCTGCGAGAACTACGAATTTCTGCAGCATGAATACCAGATTTCAAACTTTCATGCGATTTCTTGATGTTTTGCTTGGACTCTGATAGTTCTTGAGATTTCTTGAGATGGGTCAACAAACTGTTTATACCAGTGTGGCTGCTTTTAGGGTGAAATAGCTTTGATGTGCTGTTTCGAGCACTGGATTTTCCTTCAGTGTGCGCTATATTTGCGTTGCTACTACTATGAATGGAATGGGTTTTTGTATGAGAAGTCAATGCACTGTTTGAAATTGATTTTGTCGCTTTTAATGAAGAAACAGACTTTTTAGAACTGGCACTGTTTTCTCTTTCATGACTAGGCTTGGCCATACTGCTAGCCGATTCGCGATGTTGGGGTTTTTCTTTTAATGAGTGAGCAGATCCAGTTCCAACTGAAGATGCCAATTTTGCCAAACTACCCTTTTGCAGTGTTGATTGTTTGTGAGAGTGCTCGCCATGAACATTCTTTTGGCTTCCGTCAAGCTCCTGAGATTGAGATGCCAGTTTATGACGCAATTCTGATTTTAACGATGCATGAGATCCCGATAAAATACTTTGTTTTGATGGATTTTTGTTCATCAGTTTTTCCTGTGACTGATGAAGACTTTGAACTGATTTACTCTGATTTGCAAGGTGAATTTGATCTGTAGTTGATTTCTTGTAACTTGATTCTGCATGTGTATCATTGTCATGCGATTGTAAAGATTCCACACTTTTCGTGTGATGCTCTATGTGCTTCAATGAATTGCTGTTTTCGGATAATGGGTGCGACTTTACAGGCTTGACCATATCTAGAGAATCAAGAGCAGTATAAGATTGTTTTAGCTTGGAAGTACTACGACGCATACTTCCATTTGACTTGTCAAGATTTGCTGCCGAGATACGAAGAGAATCGCGCCTTTCTTGCTTTGGACTGTGCGAAACTTCTTTGTTGGTATGGTCAACTACCTGACTTTCAATTTTGTTTGATTCAGAAAGAGATGTGGTAGATTTGGTTTGAGATTTCCTTTGTTCCATATCTGTGTGATTCAAACTATGTCTAGATTCTTTCTTTTCTGTTTGGGCTTGGTCAGCGATTTGATGAGCAGTTGTTTTTTTGGATCCTGAAAGATTAAGACTGTTGTTAGATGCCTTTTTTGCCTGGGAAGAGCGGCCAAGACTGTGTTGAGATCCCACATTCTGTGTATCGTCATAATTCAGAATTTCTTTAGACACTTTTTTTTGAGAAGCCGAATGACTCAAAATTTCCCGCGAGTTTGTTTTTGAACGATCGTGATCAACAATTTCCTTGGATTGTGCTCTTTCGACAGCAACTTCGTTTAGGCTATGGCGAGATTCCCGCTTTTTTGAGAAGGAATGACTTTGTTTTCTTTCCATTGTTTTTTCCTGTATTACATCATGTGCAATATTATCATGCGATTTCTTTTCGATATCACCATTAGCTAGACTATCATGAGATTTTTTGGCGTCCATATCGTCATGAGTGATATTTTTGTATGACAATTGCTTTTCAGTAGTCTCATGGCCAAGAGTACTGCGGGTCGTTGTTTTTGTTGAACCAGAATGATTCAAGTTACTTTGCGACTTTTTCCTTTCGCTTGCACTCTGTGCTAATTTCGTATAGATTGCAGATGTCTTACTTGATGAATCATCCAATTCATCTAAACACAACTTTTTTTCTATATTCTGATGTGCAAATTCAGCTCCTGACTCTTTTGAAGCAAGGTGGTTTTGCGATGATACATGAGACTGCGATTTGCGCAAACTTGTACGCGATCCTTGAATAGATTTAGACTGTTTTGAATTGGATGCACTTGACTGCTGATCCTCCTTGTCAACTTTGTATGCGTCTTGTAAAGCATGTGTAGTATTTTTGAGAGAGAGAGCTGCATCTGAAACAGCGTTTTCTGAAAGGATTGGAGTTGATTTGTGTGCGCGAGTTTCACTGCTTCGAGTTTTGTTTTCGTTACTGATTTGAGAATCGTGTGCAGTATCTGGGCCAAGAGAATTCTGGGTCATTAGAATCAATAAATTTAAAATCAAATGTTATTACAATTCCAAATCTCTTTGATCATAGTATGACGGTCTACTACCAAAACATATACATCGATATCTTATAAATAGCGATGAACTCATGCGCTAAAATGAATTTCATTACACTATCCAGTGTGTATTTGTCAAATTCACAATAAACAATTAGCATGTAATACTTACATCTGTTTCACGAGCGTCTTTAGGTTGGAGCGAATCAACACTGGCCTCTTTGGCAGCCTTGTCTGCCAACTTGTGCTGACTACCTGTTGCACTTTCTCTGCGATGAATACTTTTTCTAATCTTGTTTAAACTGGTGTTGGATCCTTTTACAGAGTTTGACTGAGTAGAAGGAGCGTGTGGGGTAGCATCAGCATGATCTACATTAAGCTTGTGGATACTGGCTTTGGAGCCCTTTTTAGCCAATTTTGGCAACTGATCAAAAGTATGATTCTTATGATCGTGATTCCCGGACAAGCTATCGCTAGATTTGGTATGATATTTCGTATGTGAATGGGCAACATCGTTCTGCGCGTGGTTTTTATCAAAGTGGATGCTATGTTGACTAACATTGTCTATTCCTTTGAGGCTTTGACCTGAGATTTTTTTGTCAACTGCTTCCTGATGAATAGGATTGTCAGGGATCGTTTTCATGTGGTTATCAAGTAAAGAAGAACCATGGTGCTTGTCCGTCATCTTTTCTGTATATTTAAAACCAGTGCCCTAACTTTTCTTGTTAAAAATATTTAGGTGATATGAATCCACGCACAACTATCATGTTAATTTCTGGTCGAAATAAACCCACATACAAAAATATCTGATAAATAATCGCAAAGCATATTCCAATACCCGATCGGTCAACTTACCAATATTTTAAAAGTGCTACTCTAATAAATACCTGCGTTGAAGCAATTGTATATTCGCTTTTTTGAATAAATTGACTCTACAGTTTATTGCAACTGATGTAAAAATAGTACTTTTACTGAATTTGCACAAAACAAAAGACTAGGTTTGTTGAAAGTGAAGTGGGTGTACTTTCTCTTTTTGTTCTGAATGGGACTAGCTGGGTAAATGGTCAGATCTTATCAGGTGGAGGCATATCCACGATTTCTAGCGTACTTCCACGCTTATTTTAAGCACATACTTATTTTTCACCGGAATATGCAGCTCCACCCCATTTATAATACTTGAATTATAATTTCAAATTTGTATACTTATACCAGCAGCGTAGGATAGATTCAAACTGGTTACATGCATCTGCGATACAGGTCAATTGGCCAATTGCTTTTAGGCAAAATCTCAAAATTTGGTCATTTATGATCGAGGTTTGACACTCGCCCCAATACATCAAAACAATCAAGACGAGCATTGCGCTGCTAGCCCGCTACTCCAGTTACTGCAGCCATGAGTCAATTTGTTCCGTCTGTCGTTACTTCCACTTCTGGATCTCTCATTCAGGCTAGAAAGCGAGTGCTGTCGCAATACAGAGACTGGATTCGCTCGGTAAATCCTTGCCACTCACCATCACTTGAATCCAATTTGCTCCTGCCATGACTTGGTATCAATCCTCAAGCTTGGCAATAGAGTATTGCAGTTTGGCACTTTATGTTTTCGATTCTACTGAAACATAGTATTTTAATAGAAACAGTATACGGTCCCTGGATAGAATCCTGTGGTATCACTCTCTATTTAGTTTCATTCGCATACAATGCATCTCAGTTAATCTGAAAGCCGATCCCAATTGCAACTTAATATCGGTGTTTGCATTCATACTGGATTTTTGTTTTCCTTGATAAACTAATATACCATGTATCCACTTGTTTTTATTGGTTAAACCATGCGTCTTATTAAAGTCTCCAACCATTGTCGACATCTACAAATTGGATATTACATCTAGGACATTGCGTGCTCGTATTCGTCAAGAGTTTGAAAAGCACCGCTTTGTCACAGACCTGCAAGTGATTGACATTTTACTTTTCAAAGGCCGTACAGAATACGAGGAAACAATGAATTTCTGGAAACAAAAGAGTCATGTTATGCGGTTTTTTAGCAACGATCCTTATCAAACTACCAAGGATGATAATTTTCTTGGAAAGTTTTTTAAAGGTAGTCAATAAAGTCGAATGTGGTTTTATTTCTTGGAGTGGGTGTTATTTTCAACTGATTTAGTTGCTGGCAGCTTTGCTGTGGCCGATGTTTATGATGAATCTGGTCTGAATGCAGTTTTCATGACCAACTTTCAATATGACAAACGTCCAATCGTTTTTGTGTATCTTATAAACTCAGTCATGTATGAAAATTTGAGCCTATATGTATTCAAAGGACATTGCCGAACCAGTGGTACTATTTATAAATATACTGAGTCAAGGACTTGTGCAATACTAATTTTTCACTATTTAGTGTGTAATGTGCAACAGTGTGTATAGACCAAACTTTCTCTTGTTTGAATGTAGTCGGTATATGATTTTATTTTGAAAAGTAGTATTGTAGAATTATTACAACTTTGATTCAAATCAAACCTATAATAGTAGGCCAACAAATAAAGTTTAAATCGCGTACGCAGCTTACTCCAAAACAAAGCATGAGCTCGAGCACAAAAGTGTCCTATTCGGAATATCAATCCATGACTTTAAAACTCAATCAAAAAAATACTTTATGCAATAGTGTATATGCATCGAACAAGACTCTATGTCAGGGTTCTCGTCAACAAATTCCAGCAGCCGGCATGCCACATACTACTACCTCGACCAAAACAGCTACTGTTTCCTCCACAGGCATATCTAGCACCAGTAGTGCGTCTCATCAGCGTAGCTATGAATCAGCTAGACCCGTTCAATCCAAGGAAAACAGTATTCGATTTATTCCTGCACATATCCGCCGTAAATGGTTTGCGGAAGCCGTAGCACTGCATCAGTATACACCCGCCGCAGTTACAATTTCAGGAAATTGCCATACTAAAAGACTATCGGTTGTTTCTAGCTCCGATTTGTATCAGCATGATAGATTACAATTTGATTCGAGCATTTTAAATCGTACTCATCACGAAATAAGATATGATGCAAGTGCACCAAATGAAATAAACCGACGGGTAAGCATATCAACTACCTAGTGGCAGATGATTAATTTTGGTAATGCAAAAATAGTCAAATGATTCAATTACCATTGCAGTGTATAGATTATTTTCACCATAATGTTACTGATTTCTAAATTTACTCTTTTCAACTGATTGCAAGTCTGCACAACATTTAATCAGACCAGCATCAGCACCAGCTGCAGTTTCTAAATCCCAGCGGGCATTTTCCACAGCACAAGAGACTTGTGGATCAGATAGTTCAGCATTGCAACGAATCTACTCAGTATACGATACGCCAATGGTATGGAAGCCATCACGACAGCAGGGGAGTGCGAATTCATCTGTCGCATATCAACGTCGTCCCAGCTCAGCATTTACACAGTCTGAGTATCAAAAGCACAATCACTTGCGTTTATCAAACTCAAAGTCTATACCGAGTCAACAGATATCGCTTATGCGCGACTTTGGTAGATATTGTAAAAACAGACCGGCATCTTTCTCCAATCAGGCTGATGAAATCCGCCAACAGTTGCAAAAACTGGTATTACGCGCCTCATCATCGTCTCTATCCATTTCATCGTCCCGACCTCCATCTACCTTGTCTGGTGTTTTATCAATAGGTAAACATCAGCAGTCTGTCCAAGCCACTAATGAAAAAACTATTGTAAAAGAAACTGCATGCAAATCATGCCAACGCGATCCATACGATTTACATGATTCTCAAGAACAATCTCAGCCTGCTCACGACTTTTTAAAGTGTTCTTGTGACAGCGCTAGTCAACTCGACACATCATTAGATGCCACTCGGGACGATATTTTTCCAGTATCTCATTGCACTACTAACGATAAATGCAGTAGTATTCAAAACAACATGGAAAAAGTTTCAAATTCCAATGTTAATGAGCCATGTTTTACTCGACCAGAAACTGAGTCTAAATTGGAGTCTTTTAAACAATCTGATCTGATTTTCCATACAGATAATGTGGATAATGACAGCTGTACTGAGTACACGATGCCTGAGCTTACTGTTTCTTACAAGGAGTCGGAATCTTATAAAGGTGAAGCAAAACAAATAGCCTTTCTAGTTTTTTATATCACTGAATAATCAGTTTTTGCCATTTCTATACAATTATCAAATTAATAGTGAGTGATTATACGCTGTATTCCAAGACTGTACAAGAACCTCTAAAGAAACAAATAACTTCACAAAGTGATCAAGAGTTTATCAAGATACCGGAGCTAAAGATATTTTGGGAAGTGTGCAGCAGTGTATCAGATGCACCTCCAGTCAACGTGATTACACCCAACAAGCCAGACATCTCAACCATTACAAGTTGTTTAAGTACTACTCAGCAGACTGCAGATAACATTGATTTCCCAAATGGTCTAAAGACCATACGTGAAGTAAGATTTACGGATTTAAACACCATTTACAATATCGATGATGATATGAGGTACGAAGACAGTAATAGCGATCTATCAATAGAAAAGCATCACCAAGCTACAGATCTGATGCATAATGACTTTGCGGATGCTCAAGATGGTTTGGTTTTGCTGAAACCAAAAGGAATGAAAAAAAAGACCAAGATAGATACTGGAATAACGACCAACTCACACGCCATTCCATTGAAGTTGCACAAGTCTCTACGCAAATCGTCGATACAAACCATACCCGCATTGAATTCCAAATTGCCAGCTAAAAAGAAGAGTCAGATTTCAATCAGAGTAGTGCAACACAATCAAAAGATTACAGCGTATAATTTTAGAAAAGACACAAAAGAAGCCAGTTCAACAAAGACACATTCAGCAGCCGATCGTAATAAATTGAAACAAGAAATCGAGTCTGCAATTCCAGTCAAGAGAATCAAGCGTGCTGCAGCCAAGAATATGAAGCCTTGATTGGAATATGGCAATAAACTAGAATGAATTGAAAAAGTCAAATTTACTCACGTGACATAATCTGATTCTTTGCAGAATGAAATCGGACAACTTTAATCAACTATCGATTGGATGGTGAGTTGGGCAGAGGACTGTTATTCTCTTGTGTGGTGTATTACTCTGGATTATTGGGTTTGATGAGTGTTGGAGTTGGGTCATGAATTGAACATTTGGGTTGAGCCAAGTGGATGATCAGTTGTCCTGTTGCTCATCAGAACTGCCGGACATGTTATAAGTCTTGATGTAATCAGTTTAATGCTTGCATTCTACTGCTAGCTGATCACCAATTGCTTTCATGTGACTGTCAATCCATTCCGTCCATCGACGATCTCAACCATGGTCACTGTTACTGCCGTGTAATAAATCCACAGGCAGATCTTCTATTAAACCAGCTCTAAACCTTGCTCAACTTTTGATATTAGACTGACAGAAAGCGAAACAGGGACGATTTGACTGGAGAGTCTAGCGGTCATGCAGACAATGCGTTGCCTACTTCGCCCATAGCTCCGTTTTCTGATGATGATTTTGGCGACGACACTAATGATCTTGATGGGATTCGAGATGAAGCCATTGTCGACAATGAAATTGTCGATATCCTTGATCAGGATGAAGAGGAAGATGACGACGGAGAAGACTTGTTTGGCGACAATCTTGACAAGTTGAGTAGTTTTTTTGTTTGATGTCGGTTGATAGTGTCCAGATCAATTTTGTTTTTGACTGTCATGGTATAATTCATGTCAAACATTATGGAATACATATTGCCAAGTTACACAAGCTGGCTTTGTTGTCCAAATACGTTTGTTTTCAAACACTTTGTATGCTAACCCAACTCATATTTAGCGACTACCGAGAAAACGTTCGTTTGGATCATTACGAGGTTGAATCTGTTGTAGATGAAGAGGAATACGACACCATGAACCGTGAAGACCGTCTTGTTGCTGAAGCTAAAATGCGTCGTCGCGATCGGGAGCTGGCTCGATTGGAAGGCCGTCTTCCTGCTGCTTTCCTTGACGATGGTAGAGTGTTTGATATAGTACTGATGATTGAAAGTGATACAAGTACTAATTGAAAGTGTTTTTATGGATGATATAGAGGAAGAGGATGAAAACGAGCCAATGCGTGCTCGTCGTAGGCGTCATGACGGATTGGATATGGATATTGATTTGGATGCAGGCGAAATTGTATGTGACCTTGTTTCATCTATTGCTTAATTTTACTGCATGTTTTTATTTTATCGAGATTTCAATATATAACTTGCAACTTTGCATTATGTATCATCAAAACTGTTTTAGGCACCACTTGATCCTGAAAGTTTGATGGCCACAAAGGGTCCTCTGAGTGAATTTGTTGCAATGGAAGGACCTCGTCGCACAATCAAAAAGGAGTTTCATAGTTTCCTTACATCCTATGTCAACGACAAGGGCGAATCTGTATATGGAGAGCGTGTCAAAGCCATGTGTTTAGGTAACATCTTAGTGTAGATAGTTTGATTGTCTTTTATCAGAATTTTGATGATTGATGGTTTGTTTTTATAATTCAATAATGCTATAAATAGCTGACGGACAAAGCTTGGAAGTAGACTATCGTCATTTATATTCCACCAATGCCACGCTTGCATACTTTCTTTCCAACACGCCCACCGAAATCTTGAAAATATTTGATAGCGTTGCAATGGAAGTTGTACTTACTGGTTACGAAGACTATGACAAGATTCGAAGTGAAATTCATGTGCGTATTACCAATCTCCCGATTGTCGAGACTTTGCGTGATCTCCGGTAAATTTGAATGGTTGTAGTGATTGTTTTTCTAGGCTGATTTTAACAATCTGTCAATTCAAATTACTAGACAATCTCATCTAAACACTTTGGTCAATGTCCGTGGTGTGGTGACACGCCGAACTGGTGTGTTTCCTCAATTAAAATATGTCAAATATGACTGTCTAAAGTGTGGTGCGCTTATTGGTCCATACCACCAAGACGCTATTGCTGAGATTCGTGTGCGTATTTGTCCCAACTGCCAAGGCAAGAATTGCTTTTCTGTCAATTCCGAAGAGGTTAGTAGTCGGAGCGTTTCAAATCTAGTTTTTTTGCCTTTTTGCGTTTCTCAACATGTATTTTGGTTTTCTACAGACTATTTACAGGAATTATCAGCGAATAACTCTTCAAGAAAGTCCAGGAACTGTTCCTGCTGGTCGTCTACCTCGCCACCGCGAAGTTATTTTATTATGGGATCTTGTTGATGCCGCTCGTCCTGGCGAAGAAATTGAAGTCGTTGGTGTTTACCGCAACAACTTTGATTTTTCTTTGAATACTAAAAACGGGTTCCCTGTGTTTGCCACGGTGATTGAAGCCAACTATATTGCGAGAGGTGAAGATCAGTTTTCCAGCTCTCGTTTGAACGAAGATGATCAGCGCGAGATTCGCGCTCTTGCCGCTGACCCTCGTATTCGCCAACGTGTACGTTACCTGTCATTGACAAATTGTATCGTGACTGAATTTTTTATTGAGTTCAAGATGTTGAGTTTGTATCTAATCCATTCTTGCTAAATAGATTATTAAAAGTATTGCGCCGTCTATTTATGGTCACGAAGATATCAAAACAGCTCTTGCTTTGTCAGTATTTGGCGGTGTATTTAAGAATCCTCAAGGAAAGCATAGACTTCGAGGAGATATTAACGTTCTTCTTCTTGGCGATCCGGGTACTGCCAAATCTCAATTTCTTAAATATATTGAAAAAACTGCTCCTCGTGCTGTATACACTACTGGTCAAGGTGCATCTGCAGTTGGTCTTACTGCTGCAGTTCATAAAGATATCGTTACTCGTGAATGGACTCTCGAGGGCGGTGCTTTGGTGATGGCTGATCGTGGAGTCTGTTTGATTGACGAATTCGACAAGATGAACGATCAGGATCGGTATGTTTTTGTTGTACAGTTTGTGCTGGTTTCCTGCATGATGTATATTAACAGAGGCTGTGTTACTGATCAATATTTTATCACAGGACTTCTATTCACGAAGCCATGGAACAACAGTCTATTTCAATTTCCAAGGCCGGTATTGTTGCTACTCTTCAGGCTCGCTGTGCTGTCATTTCTGCCGCCAATCCAATTTATGGCAAATATAATCCTCAAGTACCTTTTTCCCAAAACGTTGAGCTTACCGAGCCCATCCTGTCACGATTCGATATTCTTTGTGTAGTCAAGGATATTGCTGATCCTATTGTTGATGAACGTCTTGCTCGATTTGTATGTGGCAGTCACATGCGTAGCCATCCTGGAGCTGCAGCGGATGGTGAGGATAACGGAGCACCAAAACTCGACGCTGACGTAAGGGCTTATTGACTGCATCATTGTGTCAAACCATGCCAACTAATTTTGCTGCTATTCATGTATCTTTGGTCATCTAGATCATTCCACAGGCATTTTTGCGCAAGTATATTATTTATGCTCGTGAGCATGTTCGACCCACTCTTCGGGATGTTGATGTTGACAAACTGGAAAAACTATATTCGGAATTGCGTCGCGAATCTATGGTATGTACTTTATCGAGCTGTGAGTTGATTTTTAAAACCTACCAGGCTCATTATTTTTGGGCCATGTTTTAGATTGGTGGTGCCATTCCAATTACGGTGCGCTACCTCGAGTCCATCATTCGTATGTCTGAGGCATTTGCTCGTATGCATCTTCGAGACACAGTGCGCCAAGATGATATTGATCATGCCATCTCAGTTACAGTCCGCAGTTTTATCAGTGCTCAAAAACACTCTGTCAAAAAGAGTCTTTCTCGTGTTTTTGACAAGTACATTTCCAGCGATGTTGATATGCATGAACTGATGCACCATGTTCTTTCTGATATTCTAAAGGAACACATGCGTTTTGAATACCTTCGTGGCAACAGTGCTATTGGTCGTGTCGAAATCGATTGTGAAGAATTTGAACTGAGGGTATGTCACATCATTTTTACAATCTGACATATCACCCGTGCTAACTAATCAAACTTATTTTTATATTTCAATACAGGCAAAGGAGCATCGTATGTTTGACTTGACAACCTATTATGAAAGTGATCTATTTCAGCAATCGTTTAGTCTAGATCGTGGACGTGGCAAAATTATGTTGAGACCGTAACCTTTTAGATATCAAAGTTGAATAATAAAAATCATCGAGTAAACTAATTAAATATGCAATATAGCTGTTTTATGGATACTATTTATTAATCCAACACAGTATGAGTTCAATCAGAGTTGGCCATGGCATCAATAGCAGATGATATATGCTTAAATACCACTGTAGAAGCACCTGTGCGAATAGCAATCATGGCAGCTTCACGACATATTCCTGAAATGTCTGAAAATGACATGCCTTGGGTGCGATCAACAGCAATATCTATATCTTCCACAGCTATATCACAGGGCATTTGTTGTAGCACGCCATTAAACATGTCGAGTCTGCTGGATCGGTTGGGTAAAGTCAGTTTTACATGTATACCAATACGTCCCGGTCTTAACACTGCTGGATCAATTGTTTTAGTTGTTTGTGAGGCTATTGATGGGTTTGTCAATCGTATGCAGATTCTTAGTATGTCTATCAAAGATATGTTGATATACAATGAAAATAAGTGCAGTTTTCAACATACTTGCAACAATACATATCGGCGCAGTATGTTTGGTAACACCATCCAGTTCTGTTAAAAATGAAGTTACTATCCGATTTGAAGTCCCCTCGCTCGAAGAATGTTCGGATCGTGTGGTAAGAAGGTGCTCAATCTATACAAATCAAGTTGTTTGAGCATGCATTTATCAAAGTCCAAAAATGATGTGAGTCATGTACAGATTATAAAGTGGCAGATATAAAGCATTGAACTTGCCTGATCGATCAAAATAATGCACGGAGACGACGCTCTAGCACGCCGAAATAGCTTAGCAATTGCCTTTTCAGATTCTCCTACAATCTTGGACCTAATTGAAGCACCCTATCTCAACAAACAGAACCATCAATTAATATTTCAATCATACATCTAATTGTTGTTTTCAAACTAAAAACACATACATTCACAAATATACACGGAAATGCCAATTCGTTTGCAAGTGCACATGCCAGTTTTGTTTTTCCAACACCGTGTGGACCATAGATGAGAATTCCATGAGGTGGCCAAACCGTCAGGATAGAGTCGTTTGCAAGATCTTGGTTGTAATCTCTAAATGGTCGGATGAGAATATTCTTAGTGTTTAAAATCAAACAGTTAGTCATTCTACACCAGTCAGTAGTTTTGCATTCAAACCACAAAAACAATAGCATGCTTACATTTAAACGATCAATATCGTTTTGAATTCCAAATAGATCAGAAAGTTGGGTTTCTGGAAGCTATAGAATAATCAACATTAGGTATTAGTCAAGTTGTTTAATCATGTGCTTGGTGACTAAAATATCAAAGCCAGATAGTAGTGTATAACATAATTTGGCAAAACAAGTCCATACTTTGCTGGCAATTCCACGGAGTCCTGACGGAGGCGTATTTTTAAGGATTTCGCAAAGCTCGTTTAGTCTATCTTGACCTGCCCCGTACTTTAGCATGCTTTTTTGAAGTGCGGATACCAGATCTGACAATGCATGTGATTTTGTCTGTTTTGAAAGTGCCAAAATTTGAGTTTCGCCATGTTCAATATCTATCGAGTTAAATTTAACAAAAATATCAACATCATCCATTTAAACAAAGTAACTGTTTAAAGTATAACCAGTCTTGATCTACCTTTAATATATGCTTGAAATAGAGCTGATCTATCGGCAATAGTTAAAGTAGGCATTTTAAAATCTTCAAAATAGATTGCCGCTGCTCCAAGGCGCTTTTTTACTTGCTCTTCATCATTTGTGATAACTAAACACAAAGAATGATGTAAAATTTAGCTGATCAACTTAAAAGCAATGGTATCCAACGCATTATAGCACATACAAACTATCCAAAATCAACTTACGAATTAATAGTGTACCCTCTGAACTACAAGAACGATTCAAGCCTTTCGGTCGTGGAACATTTTGATCAAATAGTGCTTGAAAAACATTTTCAATAGGAACGGAGCCTATTTAATAAGCGGTGGCAGTAAAATAGTTAGATACTTTGTTTAAACCAACCCGTATATCCGTAATCAAAACTTGCCTGCTGCCAACACATTCTCTATATCATCAATGATAACAATTGAGTGTGTATTTGGGTAGTGAGATCGGCTAGAAATCGCATCCAGCAGCAAATACTCAAAATCTCCTTCACCTAGATTACATTATGTCGCAGCATAGTTAAGCTATAAACACTAAATAGTTTATCATAAGCCACTCATTACAAGTACATACGTGATGAGATCAGTTGAATGGCGTCAATCACCGACCATGGTATACCCATTTGTTCTAATATGAATCAAGTATTAACATTAAAGCCGATTTCAACAAGTTTAACAGCCATTGTATACTATGGGATATTTGATTTTACCTACAAAACCTCGAACTAAACACGATTTTCCAGACCCAGCAACGCCAGCTACCAAAAGACCGCGAATATTTGTAAAGCTAGTAATCTGATCCATATCGGAATCAGCCTGTTTAGTTGGCGGATATGCAGGATCACCCATTGAAAACAAAATGCAATTAATTGTTTTAGACAAGGCATTGAATGCAGGCTCAAGACCAGGAAACCATGGCGGTGACTTAGATTCCACTATTTTTTCTGGTGGAGGAAAAAAGGCTAGACTAGAAGGTGTTCGCGGAAGGACAGTGAAAAGAGTTGATGCAGATGTACAGCACATACACACAGATATTAACTCTGAATCAACCACTGATTGATTATCCAACGACTGGGATGCTAACGCAGCAATGTTTTCTACAATGAAACGAATGGTTTTGCCATCTAGCCAGTCCAACGAAAATGTCATGCCTTTGCACAAGAGTTTTCCGGAAAGTTTTAATGATAGCAGTGACGTATTATCATTAAGAAATTGATATCTTGTGCAATTCATGAAATCGACCAGTTTTAAAGTCACAGCTCGTGCCGTTAAAATGTCAGATCCTTCCTGTTTACATAGTTACGTGTATAATGAATACTAGACGGGTCAGTATCTGTAGTGATTCCAAAGTAAATGTGGATTTGGGGATGTACAGTATCACATTCAGCCTACCAGTTTTTCAACAATGACATCGATTGGATCATGTATACTTGGACGTTGACCATCAAGCCATAGCATGGAAGCTAAATATTCTGATACCACTAAATCATCCGGATTTGTCGTGGGAATTATCGAATCTGGTACGTATCGCACATATACTGGAATTGTAATATAAGCCGTCTGATTCAAAATATGATTTTGCTTAATAGTGACTCTAACAAATGGACCGAACCCTGCAGCTGTAGGAGTTTTTTGGAGTGATGCCGATAGAAGAATGAAAGAATCATCTATAACATTGCATGAAATTGAGCATTAAATTAATATGATTGCTTTGATCAAAGTGCACAGCAAGTCGATACTATGCAAGTATTAGCCGTATTCACGTCAAATGGAACACTAAATAAGGGAGCCAAAACATATGATAAACAGCTAGTCTCATGACATGGTAATTTATACCATATTTACTGAAAACCGCTGTCCTCTGAACTCTTGAAAAGGTCGCATTGGCCTCTGCTCATTTTTGTAAAAACAACCAAACAAATGTTCAAAGCAGCATTCACAACTCTTCAATCCTCAACACTTGTTTAAAACCAACTTTCTTTCACCTAAACACTGGTGATGGCATGAAAACAATTGCATTCCTGATATGCGATCCTGTTCTCTCGCAATAGAGCGCGAATATATGAGTGTTTAGAATACAGAGATGAGTTTGTAGAGCTGTTAATGTAACAGTCAAGCCCAATATATGGGTTTCAGTGCATGGTTCTTTTAAAAATCAACAATCTCTGTTTAAAACTATAGTTTGGGTTTATATGACGAGTGTTGTGTTTTGAAGAATCGACAATTTCTAATAGAAAAACAGTAAATATTTAGCCATTGGCTAACCCAAAGCAGAGATGGTCAATGCTAGATCAATACAAAAAAGTTCCATTTTACATGAATACGGCAATAAAAGCATTTCTTGAAGCAATACTAAAATCACCATGTTTGCCTTGCACAGAACCAACCGCCTTCATGCTGAGTTGTTCAAGTTCAAAATTGCATCAGTTGACCAACCCAGACTGAAAGATCGTTTATGATCATTTAAAGCACTTTACTGGCGAGTCGAGAGTTTGATTTGACCAAAGATCAACGAATCTTCATTCGCTCATTGTGGAGTATAACTAATGTAAAATCATCTTGAAATCATCTTGAAATTATCAAATGTGTTTGAATTCCCTTTTGTCTGCTTGCATATACCATACACTTTGACATTCCTGCATCGACCAGGGGTTGCTATGTATTGACTTGTCCGTCATTTGATGTCTTGAATAACATTAAGATCATGACTGGTGACAATGTACGTTTTAAATGTCGTTAAAGTTGTAGATCATTCAAATCTCATATTGATCACCCGATTGTCCATTCATGTCAATCATTGAGTCTTATTGTCATGTCAATCATTCAATCGCCCTTTGCTTCTCAACTCAATACTTGAATTTTAAATATGATGCTGATTTTTATTCCCGCTATTTACAATATTTATATCATCGGCTCATAAATCCATTAGCGGCTTTAGCTTTTTCAAGTATCCACTATTACAATCGCTTTTGAAACATATTGAGTTGCTTAACAGTAATGAGTCAATTATACATCGGAGGATTGCTTTCTGGTATTGTGCTATCAGTTGCAGTTCAGATGATTGTTCAATCACAACTATTGAGTTTTCGTCGCAGCCGTCCGAGTAAGAACCAGGTGCCAGCAAAAACTATGCTGCGTCATCTTTCTGTGAATGACAATTTCAAGGCATTTATGGAATCTGGCGGAAATTTGAAAGGCTATGCTTCCTCAGCTGCGGGAACAGACGCCCTATTTTCTCAAATATGTGCTGAGCTTACTTTGTCAACCCAATCGCTCAGTATGATTGTTGCTGCTATGGTAAAATCATTCAAAGCAGGCTTGGCCGAAGATGGCCAAGGACTCCCCATGATTCCATCCCATGTGGTCAATCGACCCAATGGCACTGAGACTGGCACTGTACTTGCATTGGATCTAGGCGGCTCAAATTTTCGCGTATGTCTTGTTACTATGAATGGAAATGGTGGTACACGCATGGTACAGCGCAAATACGTCATTAGCCACGATCTCAAAAATCATACAGGACTTGCCTTGTTTGATTTCATTGCCAAATGTGTCGCAGAATTTCTGGATGAGCAAAAAGACCATCTTAAGTTAGAAGGCTTGAAAGTAAAGAGAGAGTCTAGTGACTTATCCAAAAGTATAAAACTCGGATTTACATTTTCGTTTCCTGTTAAACAAACTGCTCTTGATCAAGGTAGCGCATTATACTACCAATATGTTTGCTTTAAATTGTACTATCGTTGACCCTGTCTAATGTTTGACATTTTTTCTTGGTTTAGGTGATTTAATGTATTGGAACAAAGGGTTTTCTGCCACTGGAGTAGTTGGTGTGGATGTCGTCAAACTTCTCCAAAACGCTTTGGATCGCAATCAAATTAATGCGCACGTTACCGCTTTAGTCAATGATACAGTTGGCACTCTGATCTCCCATGCATACACACGCCCAGAAACACATATTGGTGTGATTTTTGGAACGGGTACAAATGCTGCCTATGTTGAGAAAATCTCCGAAATTGGTAAATGGGGTGGTTTTAATGAAGGATCTGACGAGATGATCGTTAATACCGAGTGGGGTGCGTTCAATGATGCAGATATGCCCAGATCCAAATACGATATACTCGTTGATAAAAATACTAGCAACCATGGCATTCAAATATTTGAAAAGATGATTTCTGGACTTTACCTTGGTGAAATTGTTCGATATATTCTTGTCGACTTTGTCACTGATGGTGAGCTGTTTGATGGAAAACTGTCCAAAAAGTTGGCCACACCATATGCTTTCGAGACTGCATTCATGTCTAGGATTGAACGGTATGTTCTTGCATCAATGCCACGAATCCGCATTCTACATTATTTCTAATTGACTGCTCACATTCTATTGTTGCCAATTAGTGACCATTCTGCGGATCTACTCGATGTCAAGCAACTTTTATCGGATCTCCTTGATATAAACAATACAACTTCAAGAGACAGAATGTTGATTAAACATGTATGCGAAATCGTAGGTACTCGTGCAGCTCGGCTAAGTGCAGCAGGAATTGCTGCAATTGTTACAAAAACCAATCGTCTCAATGGATGCATTGTTGCAATTGATGGCTCACTGTTTGGGCAATACCCTCATTTTGGAAGTCGTATGCGTGATGCTCTTCGCGAAATCTTGGGATTGAATGCTGAAAATATTATTCTGGAGCAAGCCCATGATGGATCTGGACTTGGTGCTGCCTTGATTGCTGTTACATCGTCGCGAGATTAAATTAAACAGCCAAACAGTGTGGTGAATAAGTGCATGTGTTGGTTTAAAAATGAATGTTTTATTGCCGCCTTATACTCTACATTTCATACAACATATCGTGGCTTTACGCCAATCTGGATTAAACATGAATAGGCTTGATCTATAATTGAAATAGCCTTTCTTTCCAACGCGTGATTGATGGCAAAACGGTTTGAATATCGACAGTTGAACTTTATTTTCACTAGACGCCAAATACATCAACGCTGCCCATATTGACAATACGTAAAACCAATGCACGAGTTGGGAGAAGAAGACATTCAGTCTCTCTATACCTGGATTGACAACATTCACTTATCACGACCAAAAAAGAATATATCTCGAGACTTTAGTGACGGTGGTAAGACTTCAATACACTTATACTGGAATATAAATGGTGTACCTTTTTCAGATGTTGGCGAGATGACATCGAGTTCGCGTCTGTTGATGACCAGATGCATTAGACTCGATTAAAACTTGCTCAAGTAAATGTTTAGCATACTAAAATCTTGAAATTGTACTAATAAACTTGTGGCATATAGTTGCATGCGCCGAGGTTGTCAAATATTTTATACCAAAGCTGGTCGACTTGCATAATTTCTCGCCTGCAAACTCTGTATCACAGAAAATATACAATTGGACAACACTCAATCGTAAGTTGTTCCACCATTCCATACTTGATGTATTGGTCTTGCTTGACACTGTTTCCTCCAAGTTTGAATTTACAAGTGCTAATTAGTGTATTTTTATTCAAACTACTCTTGATTATAATCAGAAAAAGTATTTCGCCGACTTGGATATTCGACAAATGATGAAATTATTCAGTGCATTGTTAGCAATAAGCCGGGATACGTCGAGTATATATTATATGAGCTGCGCCAAAAGGTAAGATTTACAATTATTGCATGGCATGTTGATGAATTGTTTAATTTGAAACAAAACACATTGATTCCATCAAGCTGAATAAACTAATTTTTAAATTAATGCAGATCGATAGGTATTTGAGTAAGCAATCCGCTAAAAGTAATGCATCTCCTACTGGATCAATTTCTCACGAGTCTAATCATTCTGGTATGACCATTTGTTTATTAGCAAGATTGTTGTTGGATAGTTGAAATGGATGTTTAGCAACTAATTCAGGTTTAAAACTTGACATTTTAGAACATTCACAATTGGCCAAAGCGAGCCCTTTTACACACATGGCGAATTCATTGTACTGCTCGACTACGGAAAGTGCTCAGCATTCGCATGTGGTTTCCAATCATCCCCTGTCTGCTACACAGTCTATGGATCCTCAAGAAAATGTCCAGAATCAAATTTGGACAAGCCAAGGTAGCAATATGTCACACAAAATAGCTGCCGAGGGCAACACTACAACAGTGAGTGGACAAGGTGAATGACACGGATCAAACTTGATAATTTAGCCGAGTTGAAATAATTAAAGACTAGTCAATTTGATACTAATTGGTCTTGTATCAAAATGCAAAGTAGTTCATCAACCATTGCTTTTGAATCGTCGTGCATCTTTGGCAAATCCAAACCAGCATCTAGCTCAGTCACAGCATTCAAACCATCACAGTCATGCACACATTGATTTGTCGTGTTCAGCACCTCAGTCTATAAACCAAATTCAGTCAACGGGTTCATACTATACTACGCAAAGTCAACCCAATACAACAATGCAGTCGCGTCGATCTTCCACCATTGCATTCAGTCCACATCAACCAACACAAAATATATCTAGTAAAGCCATCCATCAACATCATCAAAATCCTGCAACTCTGCAACCCGATAGTTCTGTAATGCCTAAATTGCCATCTATTCGACCCGAACAACACGACAAAGAATTGATCATTGACTTGCAGGATACAATCAATGTAGGCAATATATTATGTACACATGTATAATTACCAACCAAAAAATTGGCCAACACTTTTAAATGTGGCGTGTCACTCATTTGGTTTTTGTTTTTGGAGTAGATCTTACAACTCAAGGTATCAAAACTCGAGCAATTGTTGATGCTAAAAGAACAACAAATACAAAAGTTGACAAAAAACTAAACAATACATCAGTCCTATTTAGATGTATGTACTCATGACTAAAAGTATAATGTGCGTTGTTTGGATTATTATAGCTATTTTCAGTAATGAAAGTTGGAGAATGTCTACTATATCTCAATGATATACTGGAGTTGGAAACAGACAGACGATTGGCGTAAATAGTTTCCATCATTTTTTGCCTGAGCCAAATATATATTTGATAATCAGATTAATACAATGCAGCAATGATAAAAAATACAAATTGATTTTTACAATGTCGCTAAACATCTGCATCAAGTTGCATAGCCCATTGAGATATGAATGCATTTGACACGCAAGACCAATCAGTCCAATATCTAAAATGCTTATTACTATGTCCAGTTATGCAATGTTGTATTTTAAATAATCAACTCCAAATCAAATCAAAAGTAATCGATGTAATACATAATATTAAGTTTGAAATGAAATCAGCATCGCTCAAAAATACGATACAGGTCAGGCAAATCGGCGATTTGGGATAAAAGTTTTTCGTTCAGAAACCGTTTTGTACCAATCAAGTATCGTTTAATTGCTGGAAACAGCACATGCTCAATCATGTGTCGATGTTGCACCATATGTGAATCTGTTGATGAATGAAACATGGCTGTGAGTGTATGCACTACTGGTGCATCATGTTCAGTCTTGTTGTCCAAAGTACTTTTAGAATGATCAGCCTGTTGATCTACAAAAGGAGCTTTTACACTGTAAAACACCGATATTTCTTCTGCAATGGATTTGAAACATGCTTTTTCTGCATCCCATGACACATGCCCACCCAAGCGCAAAATGAACTCGGGGAGATAATCTAAATTTGGCAAATATTCACCACGCATTAGTACTGGAAGTGACACCAAACACCCATCCAAGCTAATGCCAATGGAAAAGTATTCTTGAAGCATCTCGCGTTGTAAACAAAGTGTATCGGCAACATTGGCAGCAATATCAGATTTAGAAAGCATCGAATCGTCCCAGCAGTCTCCTTCATCCAAAGCTATCAGCGCAAGCTCAGTAAGCGATAGTGGAGTATCAAGGTGGATTGATCCAAAGTTTGAAAAGCCTCGAAGAACAAGTTGATAAAAAAGCTCGCGACTAAGTTTATAATCAAAAATCGTATGGTTTAAATTAGTACAACATTTGTTCAAGCAAATTACTATCAATAAGAGCAAATAGATACATCACAGCAAGATTGCCATATATCAAGCAGCAACTTGCCTGATCTCTTGATAATTGATAAGATACAGTTTAGTGTGATGTTGGATAAGAGCCAATGTATCATTTACACATCCAACAAATGTATGTTCGTGAAACAACTCTGTCACAGCTGAAAATAAAGATTAGTCACTTTTATCAATTGCCATCACTCGTAGAGCATATGTTACCTACATTTGTGCTCTGTTTCAATAACCTCATTCCGAAGTTCTAAAACACTGGTAAGCCGTACATCAACAAATTGACGATCAGGTATTGGTACTTCTTTTTGGCTAGTGATGGACATATCAGTCTCATCATTTCCAGCAGCATCCGTACGTGTTCTATCCACTTTGTCTGTACTGCCTGATAGATTTATTTTAGAAGCAGCAATATCGAACGATGAACTGATTAAAGCATTTGAGTTGGATGAGGTTGAAAATGACTGCTTGACTTTTTTGTCTTGTTGAAGTTGTATCAATGGCGTATTTTCAAATGCATCATCACTGGCGGATTCGATACTGTCCTGTACTTCAACTGTCGTGCATTTATTGAGATGACTATCCGCCTCAGTCAACGCGGTATCAGACCGATAAGCTGCTCCACTATTTGAAGTTGGATTCAGTTTAGGCCGCTTTGAAAATGACAAGGCTAAATCATGTGATAAAGGTACATCATCCCCGAATTCTGATGCTTTTTGGCTTGATCCAGCAGATTCCAAAATACCAGATGGGGTATGTTGAATATACTCGTCAAGTGTACGTACGCGATTGTCTGTTCGAACAAACTTGTGCTCTGGTGGACGCTTTGATTCTTTCAACATTGTATCCCATTTTCAAAATATTTCAAAAATATTAGTTGAGCCAGTCAATGTTTGAAATATAAAAGCAGGTGAATATGCAACCCAAACCTTGAGGTTTAGATGGCGTAGTTAGTGTTGGTACTGTTTCACTGCAGGCTGATAGAACAGGTTGATTGACACCAAGGGCTTTCCCAAGAGATGATTGACTAGCAAGATCATTGGAAAATGTCGGCACTCCTACATTAAGTGTTGTCTAAACCCATAATCCACATTACAGTTAATACATTCAAGTATCAGTATCGGATTAAAAATGCCATCAATTCAATACTTGCTTGCATATAATATACACGTGAATTATTCGCTTCGGCTAAAAGTGAATCAGCAGCATCACATAGCACTTCAATAATACTATCTTCATGCAAAAATTGAACAATCCGCTTGGTTGGATGCACATTCACGTCTAAATTTTGAGGTTTAATTTCCAAGCTGATATAGGCAAATGGATGTGTACGCTTTGGGAGATATTTGGAGTAGAGTGCTTCAAGCGACTTTTTGATATTGTGATTTTCAACCAGTCGATCTAATCAATAGCAAAATATGAGTACTGTTTTGAGTAGCTGGGATTAAAGCAAAAGGCTGAGCAATACATACGATTGATAAATAGTAGCAAATGAAACTTTTTCATGTTAAAGTTGGCATTCGAGATATATCCTGAAGCTTTGAATTCCCATCTAGCCGAATCTACTGTAAATTCCAACAATTCGCGAGCAACTGTATTTCCAAAGACAGTACGAATGTTGTCCAGTTTAGATGCACTTGATGGAGTTTGCAAGTCTGATATTTGGGCATTTTGCTAATAAAAATGTATTGGTAATTCAAAAACCAATGCATTAAATAAGCAATCAGCCAATCCTCTATTAAAAGTGCAGTGTATTCTAAATAATTTTGCAGTAATAGCAAATATTACCTTTTTACATGTAAAGCTGACATTGTTATTATGAATAGCATAGCGCTGAACAACTTCCAGCACTCGATTATACTCTTCATTTGTGTTGTTGAGTGATTTGCGTCGAATGGGCACATTATGGAATAAATCTTCCGCCTATATTAAGCCATTTCATGTGTAAAAAGCGATGCAAACAGAACATGCATGCTGATCGTATAGAATCATGTGCTTACAGATATTAAAGTACCAACATTTCCAGCACATGGTTTAGGATCAACAGATCCGCCTGGTTTAGCAGAAACAAGTTTCCCATCTGAATAGCATGCTCTAATACATTACAATCAACAGATTAGATTAACCAGCCCATCAGTAGTTTGAGTATTTCATGACGCATTACCTCCAAGAGCAAAACGAATCTACAGTCCTGGTGGTAATACTCAAATGAGCAATATGACTAATACTCGCCAATGCTTCTCCTCGAAACCCATACGTAGCAATTTTATTCAAATCTTCATATTTGGACAGTTTTGAAGTAGTGAATCGTTCACATACAATGGACAGGTCGTCCTTGTTGATACCATGACCATTGTCTTGGATCTGCAGAAGCTTGAGCCCACCTTCTTTAAGTATGATTTGAATGGCGGTGGATCCTGCATCAAGAGAGTTTTCAAGAAGCTCCTTGAGTGCATTGGCTGGACGATGAATAATCTAGTTGAGGATTAAAGAGTTGGATATCAAGAGTAGGTTTATTTCAAAGATCACTCGGCATGAGTAGGTTTAAGGAGCACAAAAGCCAAACTAACGAAAAAGTGAATGCAATGATGGCAAGTATTTCAAACCAACCTCTCCAGCTGCGATCCGATTTACAGTGACTTCATCCAGTCGCTTAATGCGAGGGTTGGTGTTGGACGCTGACATGGCGATTGTCCAGAAATTAGACAAGAATTTCCAAACCAATTCTTTAGATAGTAACACTCAAGCCATCAATACAGACAATAGAATCGGAAACAAATACATCGATACATGTTGGGTTTATTCACATCTTGATTCAGCCCACCCACACATAGGCGAGAATAGAGAGCTGCTCTGATCACTGATGCACAGATGAAGTATAGAATAGTGGTAAGAAAACATCCTTGAGCATCCGAGATCGAGACTGGAAGTTCTTCAAGTATTTTCAGTTGGGAAGTGATGAGGGAGTAGCAGGTCCATCGTCCGAGGTGTTTCGTGATCGATTGGGAGTAGCTACAGTTGGATATAAGGCCGTTGATTCAGTCACTAGGCATGGTGATGCAGTGGATGCTTTATCGGCTGGAGTGGAAGATGGTGGACAGGCTGCTGGTGTTGAACAAGGCAATGCATCAGCATGGATAGGAGGAATAGGAAGAAACTGTAGGACAAGATCGCTTGACTTGGCGAGATTATAAAAGTAAGTTTGTAAAAGACTTTCTTGGCAAGACATTTCCCAATTCATCATTTTGCACATCTACAGGTTGTTATAGTTTAGCTGAGCGAATTAGTAATGCAGCAAATGGTTTGGCTTTAGTTGGTATCAGAACAATTACCTCTAGCTCTAATATATTCATTTCCTGGAGAGTAATGCCTCCGACCTTGGCATAGTATCCATTGGTGCAATACAAGTCGGATACGGATTTGCTAGCAACAGACGCAGCAGCGATAATGAACCTGGGGTTCAAAATGAATTAAAATAAAAAGTTTTAGTTGATGAGCAAACCCCATTGACCTTGATAGTCATGTGTAACAGACATCAATTTCTTTCAGGACCCTATAGAAAATGGGATCATTTGTCATGACAGTGTCTGGATAGCAAGTAAAAACAATGTTACCTATGAGCAGTGAGTGAAGACATGGTAAAGCTCTCATGCTTGGCACAAATACGATCAATATATATAAGTAAAATGAGCAGCACTGCTTTTTCAAGATTGGCGTAGCGTACAATCCGCACAACATAGTCCCGAATGGAGATTGCAGGAGGGGAGCGTGAATGAAACCTGGTGAGGCTCTGGTCCGTAACGGGAATAGTGTCGTTGTGGGTGACTAATTTTGTAAGCATGGATACAGTAAGATGAATAAGGATATCGGGCGGACAGTAATTGTAGTCGCTACTGATATAGGTTGCAGCAGGGGTAGAATTCACCACAGCATCAGACTGAGTTGCAGTTGGTACAGAGTTGAATGATTGAGCAGAGTCAGCAACATGTTGATTATTAGCAGTAGAAGCTTGCCATCGGTGTTGTTGCTGGTTGTGAGGAACGGAGGACGACATATGGGATGTCCACCAGAATAGAGTTGAAAATCGCAAGGTCAGGTTTTCAAATGACAGCCAAGGCGGGTTTGGTGTCAAAATTGGAGTGCTTAATTCGCAATCAGACGGAACAAGTAATCTAAGATGACAAGGTTAGAAATAAGTCAGAAACTGGTTTAGTATGAACAGAACAAACTCATTATTGATGCATTGACTAAAAGTAACCAATATGATAAACACCCATTTCAGTATCAACCACAGATAGTTGTTGGTACAGTCTAAACCCACTTTAACTACGGATTAAAGGTTAATACTCGAGCGAGTGTAGGGAAAAGTTGGCAGTGATCGACAATTGCAACTGACATATTGCACTCATGCCAAGAGTCTTGCTAATTACACGTACTTTAAGATTCAATATGGTATTCAGATAAAATGGACAAATATGGAGATTCAAAGTTGGATAAAGTCCAAAGATGCATTGTATGCACTCTAGACATGACATTAAGCAGTATTCATCACCATTTATCATCTCCATCCAGATCAACCATTCATTGACCAACGTGCTTTTTTAACTGGCTGTGTCTGCCATTCATTGCTGGAACGCGCTGTGATTGGTTGAAAATGAAATTGAATTTCAAAATGCTGTCCATTCACTTCAAATGGCTGATCTGGTTACAGTCGTATTTCATGTGAAATGGAACACCAAGAGTGTTGCTGTATAATAAACAACAGTCTCATGAAATGATTGGTATCATCCTATTTACTGACATTGTCTTTTAAGTTTTAAAGTTGGCTGGTATTTTAGTAATTGATATGGAAACAACTGTTGTGTTTCTGCTACACAATCTTTTAAACTAGAACGCGAGTGTATTCGAGATTAGAATACAAGAATGAGATTAAACAGTTGAATCCAACAATTACACAGTAATGTCCAAAGTGTGATAATCTGCTCAAAATCAGTTTTTAAGTCCATCGTCGCTGTGCTGATCAATTTCTACCAAAACAGTGAATATTTCGTTGTTTATTCTCTAAAATCAAGTCAAAAAAGTGTTCCATTTGACGTAAATACGACAGCAAATTGCTTGGTTCAGCCATAAGTGCACTTCTTTCCAGCAGATCTCGAAACTTGATTTTTATTAAATCCTTTTATTGCTTTGTTGTATCGAATATATAATGAAGGTGTGCATTGATGCTTGTATACACCGAGTCCACTATAGACTCGCTAATCTACTCTTGTGCTGCTTCGTGCACTCAGTTTCTGCACTGTTTTGCCGTCCACTAATGTCATGATGAATATAGTTTGGCAAGTTTATTCAAGGTATTGCTTCTGAATGGGCTACTCCGCATTATATCAACTACAAGGCACTTAAAAAGATTATTGGCTCTGTCGAGGACGAGGCAGCTGTCGCTCAGGATGATCCAACCAATGCACATCCCGGCTTTACTTCATTGGCTGCAGGCATGCCACCACATATGGATGCCAGCACTAACTCTACTGAATCCAATCAAAGTCATACTGATTTGCAAGCCCAAAAGACTGCCTTTTTCTACAGGCTTGAGCGAGAATTGGAAAAGGCAAGTCAATGCTCTTGTCACTTCTATCTCGAGTGACTGACAGGCAACTCAATCGCTTTACTTATCTTTTCACAACAATCTAGGTTAATACGTTCTATATTCAAAAAGAAGCAGAGTTTAAAGTGCGTCTACGATCACTTCTCGACAAAAAACGTATTCTCTCCAATGCTCCCACTAAAGCTGCACGCTTCTCTCGCTCGTCTCTTCATCAGGCCTTTATGCAGTTTCAAAATGATTTGGCCAAGCTCCAGGTACCCTCGCCTTTTTTAATCTGTCCTGATATTCTATAACTATTGCTTTTCCTTTCATGATGTTGCGTGGTTTCCCTTTGATCATCGAGGATGACGTCAATCTCATCATTATCACCCAATTATACCCACTGTAAACGCATCTCCTTATTTATTCGAGTTGTGTTTAAACTTTCAACATTAGAAATTTGTCGAAGTAAATGCCACTGGATTTAGAAAGATTCTTAAAAAATGGGACAAGCGAGCCAAATCTGCCACAAAAGAACTTTATCTTTCTCGTCAAATTGAAATCCAGCCATGCTTCAATAATGACGTGCTTGCTGATCTGACCGATATTGCAGCTACAAACATTGTTGAGCTGGAAAAACAGATTGAAGGCATGGAATTGGATGGTCAAGAAACCGACAGCTCTTTTATCGAGTCTCGTATTGTCAAAGGAAACTCCACTCTTGATGAGGCTGATATTGAACTGTCAAAATATCTTTTTGAAAAAAATCATGTTCAGATTATAGAGTTTCTACAGCGTCAGCGTCCATCTGCTCTTACCGCAGAAGATCCGCAGTTTTTCTCTCGTTTATTTCTACGATTTTGTGCTGAAAGTTCTTTCGAGTGTTTACACGTATTGCTAAAAACAGGTCAAATCAATATCAACAGTGTAGATGACGTAAATGATCACAGCTGTTTACACGAAACTGCTATTGCAGGTCGTTTGGACATACTTAAACTTGCCATCGAGTATGGTGCAATTGTTGACATTTCAAATGTATATGGTCGCAAACCCTTGCACTATGCAGCCATGTACGGACACGCAGACTGTGCGTCACACCTGCTTACTCTGGGAACTGCTATTGACGCTTTAGATCATGACGGAAACTCTGCTCTTGTGTATGCAATCATTGGCGGACACACTCGTTGTGTCGAGATCTTTCTGGAAAATAATGCCATGATTGATCCATCTTCTCCTACTGCACCCATCCCGATTTCGCTTGCATGCAAGTACGGTCACACAGATATTGCTACTCTACTTTTAAAAAAAGGTGCACAACTATTGCAGGATACAGATGGTATGGATCCACTCCATATGGCTTGTCGCGAAGGTCACGCAGAGATTACCCAGTTGCTGATATCTCATGGTGCCAACATTGAATCGCCTGACCCATTTAACAACTGGACACCTGTGTTTTTTGCTGCATCTGAAGGACATTTTAAATGTATCCAAGCTCTTCTTGCGGTTGGATGTCGCATCGATATCAAAGACGACAGTGGCTGGCTTCCTTGGACATATACCTTGTATCGGGGCCACATTCAAGTAGCAAGTTTATTGGCTGTCACGGATACAAAAGTAGCACCCGCAGCAACTGTTTCAAGTAAAGTATCCGATACCACCACTGCAATAAATTCTATCAAACCCATGGCTCCAAGTGGTTTATTTATGGACGAAGCGCCATCAGGCATTATCCAAGATCTTGACATGAATTTAGATGAAATCCCTTTGCTTTCACTCCCGCCTCCCATTATTCCCTTCCGCATCTACGGCCACAACTATCTTGAACAAAAGATGAATTTACAGATTCATTTCGGCAGTTTTCATGCCAACACCCAGAAATCACCCATTCGCTTGTTTGGCCTCAGTCAATTATCATCGCTTAAACTTGTTATCACATCCAAGCCTGATGATGGCGTGCCATACTCTGTGATACTTCCGCTTAAAGATGAGCTTGAAGTATTTACATTCAACATCAACAATGACGAAGACTTTTCAATTCAATTTGATATTTATCCTACTTTTGGTACCAAGGTCATTGGACGTGCTGTTGTTTTACGCTCACAATTGACTCAAGCAGTAAAGCGTAGTTGGAATGGCGCTGGAGAGTCCGAAGGCATGATCTGTCCTTTGTTTGACAACCGATTACACGTTGTTGGTGAGATTGCGTTTGAGTTTTCCATTGTAAAACCATTTGTTCATCCTCGCCTTCGTATTGGTGGTAAAGTGGACACATATTGGAAATCCACAAAGGTTGTGTCCAATCCAAAATCTAGTACAGATACAGTGCATTCGTTTGTTACAGCAACCTCTTTAGCAGAAGAGTATATTCAACTGGTTGTGCAAACAACACGAGATGGTATCGCTGTAGTGTGTCCAGACTGGTTTCTACCAGTCAGTACCGTCAACATTAGCTTGGCTCAGTTAACATTTGAACAGGCTAAATCTCAATGGCTAGCACTGCGTGTTCAGTCAAAGCAAAAACAAGGCACACTTGCTGCAACACTTCAAGATTCGCCTAACCTAGCCTATCTTTCTCAAAGTCATAAGCTTTCCTCTGCAGATCTAGCCAAAGCAATCTACGACTCATTTTACAGTTTAGAGCAAGTGCTGGATCTCTTACCTCTCTCAGTTGGTGTACAAATTTCACTCAAATACCCAACAGCTCACCAGTACACCAAACTCAACCTGTCGGATTTACCAGACATCAACACGTACACAGATATAATACTGCAGACAGTGTATAATACATCCAATCTTCCTCGCTCCATTATATTTTCATCCTTCAATCCTTCCGTGTGCACAGCCATTAGCTGGAAACAGCCCAACTATGGTGTATTTTTCGGTACACATTGTGGATTCAGCGGTGTTGAAGAAGAGGCAGGTGAAGATAAACGTTGCACCTCCATCAAAGAAGCAATCAAATTTGCCAAAGCAAGTAATTCTCTTGGTCTAATCTGCCAGGCAACGCCGTTTATCCAAATGCCGGTTTTAATCAACACTGTCAAGGAAAGCGGACTCATTCTGGCAACATTCGGCGAAGTAAATAACCAAATCGAAGTGAGTAAAATTCAGGAATCTTATGGTGTTGATGCATTAATAACTGGCAGAGTGTTTAAATACAATATTTGAGTTTCAATAAAAAATTGTTTGATAATTGATTTATGGGATTGGTACCATCCTATTTACTGACATTGTCTTTTAAGTTTTAAAGTTGGCTGGTATTTTAGTAATTGATATGGAAACAACTGTTGTGTTTCTGCTACACAATCTTTTAAACTAGAACGCGAGTGTATTCAAGATTAGAATACAAGAATGAGATTAAACAGTTGAATCCAACAATTACACAGTAATGTCCAAAGTGTGATAATCTGCTCAAAATCAGTTTTTAAATCCATCGTCGCTGTGTTGATCAATTTCTACCAAAACTTCAAATTTGTATAGGAAAACAGGTAATGCCGATTTATTTTGTGCTTATAATAGTGTTGGTAGGAGTTGAATTTATGGAATAGGTATTGGTCATAGTAACAAAATATTCCATTGATTAAAAAGCAACATTGAAAAATAGGATGAACCACGCACTGGCTTGCAATCACATTTTTTGACAACTACCAAAATTATCGTCGTCGGTCATGCTGATCACCTCTTCGTGAAAAGTCTCGCGATCCGTTACCACCGGTACTACGCTGTTGATTACCACCTGCATCATGGCGTTGACCATCCATGCTGACGCGACGATTCCCACTATACTGTTGCCGGTTTCCAGAAGCTCCGGTCGTATTAAAACACGCTTGGTTTGGAAACTGGGTTGAATTTGGTATACCATCCATAGATGCGGCATTAAATGGAGGAATTTTCGGAGGTGATGGGTGTGCGGTAGCTAATTGTTGCATGGGAGGAGGAGGAGGGGGAGGGGGCTGTATATTCAGTGGTAAATGCCCTGCATTAAACCATGGCTGTGGAGGTGGAGCACCATTCTGTCCATGGCGTTGTGTATGTAATGCTCCTGGAGCAGGAGGTTGGCCTGGTGCCATCATCATAGGTAAACCTGGAGCAAACATAAACGGCGGTGGAGGTTGAGGAAATTGTGCCATAGGCGGTGGAGGCGAAGTTGCAGAATGGCCTTTTGTAGATGGAGGAGGAGGAGGAGGTTGAGTAATAATCGATGGCATAGCTTGCGAGTGCTGTTGTCGATGGTTTAATGGCGGCTTGTATTGTTGTTGAGACTGGGTAGATCCATATTGCCCATGAGGCTTGTTAAACTGTGTCTGGCGTGAATTTCTGTTATTGGTGTTGCTATAGCTGCTGCTGTGAGAATTCGCTTGCCGATTACCTTGATTCTGGCCACTATTACCATGTCGCCGATTTTGAAGATCCGCAACCAACGTCGCATCAAAGTGGTGCTGCAAGTGGGTCGCTTGAGAACGCATACCAGTTCCTTCTATTAGTCGTGCTTTTGCAGCAGCCTCCTCCTTGGCTAAGCGTGAAGCCAACTCGTGAGAAGTTGGCCAAGATTGGAAATCAGATGTTCCAGGAACAGCAGCTTTCGGAGGCATAAAAAAATAATCATGCTCAAGCGCTTTAGATGCTGTTGGTCGTTTGTTGGGGTCAAGCATTAAAAACTGATCCAGTAAATTCACAGTGCTGGGGGCAAAATGGTTAGAGGGGAATTTTTCGTGAATACTGCGTTTGTGCTCATTACGAAAACTAGTAATTGTGCCAGTGTTTGGGTCAAATATAGGAAGTTTGCGGTATCCTGGCCATGTAGTTTCATTTGGAGTGCCACAAAGAATGAATATCCGCTCCAGCTGATCCATGTCGTCCGCGCCAGTTAAAATAGGACGTCGTTTAAGCATTTCCCCAAATACACATCCAACTCCCCAAATGTCAATTTGCCCGTTGTACCTTGTCGCGCCCATCAGCAATTCTGGGGGTCTATACCAACGTGTGACTACCATATTAGTATAGCCCTTGGTGTCATTTTCAACATATGCTCGCGCAAGACCAAAATCAGCAATCTTAAGATGACCAGAGTTATCCACAAGAATGTTTGATCCTTTTAATGTAACAAAATGTAAGGCTCATCGACTCAAAAAACAACTACACCTACTAGTTTAAATCTAAATCACAAACCTTTCATATCACGATGTAGAATCTTGTTTCTATGCATGTATTCAACACCAAGTAGCAGTTGATGCAAATAACTCTTGATTTGTGATGGAGTAAATCGCACCTGTGGATTTTCCAACAAACCGGTTAGATCATGATCCATATAAGGGAACACCATAAACATTGTACCACGGCCTCGTTTTCCTTTGTCGCCTAGTTGATAAAGTTTAGTAATTCAAGAGTAAATTAGCACTAGATAAGAATTGGATAATTCTATCAACAAAATTCAAGTATATTAAAAACAATAACCCTAACCTGCTTTGTATGCCATCTCTCTCAATGTAATAACGTTGTCGTGTGACAAGGATTTTAAAATTTTGATTTCACGAAGTGCAGTGATGGGCATTCCTTCTTTGTCATTATGGATTAAAATTTTCTTGAGTGCTACAATGGCTTTTGAAGCTTTATGTTGTCCAATAGTAACCTCGCTAAAAATCAAAAAGTCACATCAACCCAAAATTAAATCTTTTTATCAGTAAATTTGGTATATTCAAAAAATGAATAGCAGTAATAAAACCAATACTCACCCAAATGTACCCTCGCCAATTTTTTTTTGAAATTCGTAGTCAGTATGGGGTGAGCAGCCAGTAAACCGGTTAGGATCGTACGAGTGGTCACGAGAGGTTTGAGAACGCACGTCTGGTGATTTACTACTGCCGTCTGCTATTACAGAAAAAGGAGAGTTGGGTACAAATTGATTACCATCACCTCCTGTATTGCTATACCGAACAGCGGATGCTGAGTGGCCACTGTTTTGGTCAGCAGGCGCCTGTAACGTATCGGGTTCCCTTTTTTTTGATAAAGATGTAGACTCGCTAGCTACAACGGTATTTTCAACTGCAGATCTGGAAGAAGCGCAAAGATCTGCAGTGGAATTTTGGCCAGAATCCTGATTCAAACTAGTTGTTGATCGCGGATTTGGTCGTGATGATACACCAGTGAGTAGCAAGGCATTTGGTCGATCGGCACTTTCATTTCCAGTTGCATTGGACAACTCTGCATCTTCGTACAACTCTCCTTCCTCAATGCTAATATTTGAATCCCTGCGAGGAGAATCAGCACCATTACTAATTATGACAGGTACTGGTGACAAAGTGGGATAAGCAGCAGCAGTATCTATTGTAATGATTGAGCACCTAGCAGCAGGAGTTGAGTAGGACACAGAATCTTCATTATCTTGGGCCGCGTCTGATTCAGTGATGCTGAATTCAGCATGAGCATTTTGAGTAGCTGCAGGATGACGGGGAGCTTGCGGAACAGGTGGTAGTGGCTCGTTATCCGATTGGTAGTCATCCTCATTGATATTGTCTTGGATGTGCTGCGATCTAGGAGAGCTCTCTCCGCTATCCGAAAACAAGCTCGTGCTACGAGTTGAAGTAGTTCCGTGCATCTTGTCATGTTCAGCAGTATGATCAACAAGAGCATCGGTTTCTGTGGTTACTGGCTCTATTACGCCTTGATCATTGGAATTCAAACAGTCTCCAGACTCAGCATTGGGTTCTGTAGTAGCAGCAGCGATACTGTCAAATGATTCTGTAGATATTTTTTCAAATGCCTGCCGCTTGACAAACGAAGTGCAAGTAGCAGATTCATCAGCCAACCCACTACAAGTGTTGCTGGGCGATACTTTGAAACTGGAAGCTACAGAATGGTTGGCTGGAGAATCCATACGATTGAAACTGGTCTCTCCTGTCTTGTCCTTTTCACTTGCCTCGCAGTCTCCATGAGTATCGTCTGCAAGTGGTCGTTTGACACCTCTGCTAATGGATTCAGTCATGTCTAAAGGCTTTTGATTGTTGCTGTCGCTCGGTCCGTTTCCAGAAAAGGAGTCTTTGTCCATTAATGGTTCAACAGTATTCTCAGGCTTGTCCATGACCAACTCACGAAAATACGACCGATGCTGTTGCCGAGTTCGACGCTGATCGAATACAATGACAAAACGTTAAAATCCAATTCAACTTTGGACTTTTATGAACTGTTTTGAAATTCAATTCTTTCATGTTTTACGAATATGCATGAGCTATCGAGTCTCAGTTGCTTGTCATATTTTATCGAGTTTTAGAGGAGATCAAACTGCATTGCATATGCAAGCCATTGGCTAGGCATGTGTTGATCAACTATTACTGAATCCTGCTACGATTACTATAGGTCAAGTGTAATTCAGATGCGTTTAGACTTTATTCTCTGACCATCACTTGCATCTGATAAGCTATCCAAAGCAAGCATCGCTTCTGCACAAACCATAGGCTTTCGATCCATTTGTTCAAAACTCAAAGACGCGACTTTCTACTTTCCACAACACCATTCTAGCCCATTGAAACTTTACAGAATAGAGTCTACCCATAGCTGGGTATATAGAATAATGCAAAAAAACAGCGGCAACAGTATTTGTACTGATGGTGCAAAAATTTATCAGGATACCCGTCATATGAATGCCGCCGACAGACAAGGTGTGTATTTGGAGTAAATCCGACTCCAATTTGGAGCAGGTTTGTTTTTCTACTGTCCATACCATGCTAAACTGTTTCGTATATTTTAATCAAACCTGAATTGTATTGTTTATGATATAGATAGTTTGGAAACGTCTTTAAAATTGCAGAGAACAGCGTTGTACAAATACGATAAATCTATTCAAAATCTGGTAGGATTCAGTATCCAACTCTTGCACCTCATTTATGCATTAAACTCTTGGTTTTGAGAGTTTTAAAGCTACTCTAGTCTACTCACTACTTGTAGATGTGAGTGAAATACTGGACTACCTTGATTGATCTTGGTAGCCGAGTCGCGTCTACCAACCCCTTATTATATAACTATAAAGTCGTATACTTTTCAACAGTCGCATCAACAAACTTGATCAAACTTAAACAGTATATTTACACTATTTTGAATGGATCATTCTAACAATGTTTTTGATTTATCTGAATCTTTCGATCCATTTTGTATTCAAAGTGTTCCAACAATGGAATAACAGAAACCACATTTGTAAACAAGCCAGATACAATCCTATCAATTGAAATGTGCCATTACAACTTTCCAGTGATTTCAAATATCAATCATTTTTCACATTTGACAGCCCTATACATTGTTGCTCAGGATATCAAAGAAATTACTGGATTGGAAACGTGTGTCCATCTGCAAGATTTATGGATTTGTGAAAGTAAAGTTGCTGTAATTTCAGGACTGAATTGTTGTGTGGATCTGCGTCGACTATATTTGTATGTTTTCAAGTCTGCTTGTGTTGAAACGGATTAGAGTTTAAATTAAGTAATACCTATTCAAATGTTGGAAATGACAGATACAGCAACAAAATTACAAAGATTGAAGGACTTTTGGTATTGGTTAAACTGGAACAACTCTGGATAAACGACAATGGTAGTACTATGCATGCTTTATTTTGAAACCGTAGTCCTGTAGTTGACTACTGTGCTAACATATACTTTTATTGCAAATAGAAATTACAGAGATTGAAAATCTGGGGCATCTGAAAAGATTGACCAATTTGCAGCTTGGAAACAATCGCATAGTAAACATTAGTTGCTCTCTCAATGAAAACTGTGCACTTAAAGTAAGGCTTTTTATGCTTTACTGTATCGTATTGGAAAGTTGCTAGAAACATGTTTGCAAATTTAACGCTATCATGTTAAATTGGCCAGGAATTGAATTTGTCTGGAAATCGTATTTGCTCATTCCAGGAAATTCTCCATTTGACCCGTCTTCAACATCTTACACACCTATGCTTGAGCGATCCAAACTACGCAGATAATCCAATATGCATGCTGTGTAACTACCAAACACATGTGGTATACCATTTTCCTAACCTAAAATCGCTTGACACTCTTGAAATCACTGAAGAGTCGCGCAGAATTATTAGCGCAACAGTGTTGAAAAAAAGAATGTAGGCATAGACTAAAATTTATTTTAAACAGTAAAAGCACGCTTTGTTTTAACTCAATGTTGTATTTCAGGTATTATAATATGCGAATTCGGACAATTCAAAGAAACACCAACTCGCTAATCAAAAACCTTCAAGGTGTCTCCGCTGCAGATCAAGAAAGGCTTGAAAAAGATATTGAACTATTGATGGCTCGATCAAAAAAACTTCAAAAAAAGCGTGACGAGCTTGCTGCTGCAGCCATGCTAAAGCTTCCACACGTATGTTCAACGCCTGTTGGTATCTAGTAGTCATAAAACTTTTAAAATACGCGAATACTAATTACCATGCTAAACTCACAATCTTGATTTATAGGACTCGAATATGTCGACTAAACTTGAAGCGGCTAGACAGCAGATTAATGCAGCAATTGAGAGTAAAACTCAAACGCATATAAATTTACTGATACACCGTAGTGATATTCACAGCCAAATAATGAATCAGAGTGATATGGCAATCAGGTATATTTCCACATTGAATTCAATACCACAAATATTTTCAACTAACACATGTGTTGGTATTGAAAACTTTAGAAAACTGCTGCTGGAACTTGAAACTGGTGGAAACGTTAGATTTGAAGATGAACAAAAGGATGATCCATGGGTTAGTGAATGTGAAAACTTGGTAAAGGTGTTTATCAAGCGAGCCGTTTCTAAAAATTCACCCCGAACCATTCAAATTCATCGTATTTCTCGTCTTCATAATCGGAACATGAAACTTCAGTTTGATGTAGGAAAAATATGATTATAGATACTATGCATCAGTATGATAAACTAATTTATTCAATCATTGTACATGACATCTTTAGGATCGTTTAATGAAAGCTGGAGATACCGATACCCCGCTACCACTTTGCTACCATGGAAGGGAATCTAGCTCTGACGATGTTTTTTCAGTAGTTGAGCACGGTTGTGAGCTTATTCCTGGCACAACTCGTCTGGCTGAAAGTGTTGTTCTTTCAAACGTCCTCGACTGTTACGATGGTCAAACTAGCGAAAACAATGAAAATGAGCCACAAATGAGCACAATCGTAAAAAAATCGCTACGCCAGGCAGTCATTATCCGTGGATTACTTAAAAACTCTGCAAACGTATCCAACACAATAGAGTCCATTAAACAATGCAAGGTAAACGAGTATCCAAAAATGGACGCAGTATACCAAAAGATTTCAAATCTTTTCAAAAATAAGGACACTCCTACAAAAACGGGAGATATTCCAAAAGAGTACTGTGTATTTTCGCGAAACGTTCTGTTGCCAGAGTATTTTATCGAGTATTCATTGGAATCAGATATGGATCAATACACCACTCAATTGGAGCGACTCCTTGTTGATATTGCTTACTCTAATCGCATGTCTCATTCTGATATGCCGTCAATTGCAGCTGAACTAAGAAAAAAGCTAACCGATTTGAACGTAAGTTGAATCAATATTTAAGCTTGTATATTTAGTATATATTTTAAACCGACTTTGTTATTTATTTTAGGAGCCTTTAAAAGTGATGGCAAACGACATATCAATGTCAACCCTCGAAGCTCTTCATCCAGAGATTATGATGATGGATAATACCAAGCAAAGCGAAACAGAATTGATGGACTCTATTGTTTCCAAATCCGGTATTGCTTTGGAGCATTTAAATCTCTCTTCGCAGTGTGCATTTAAACAAAATGCGCTATTGCATCAAAAGCAACTGCGCTCACTAACAATATCACATGGCAATCTGATGGCCATTCCAAAATTTCCTAGTCTACCGCTACTGGAGCGTCTTGATTTAAGTTTTAATGCTATACACTCACTTGAAAATGGATTTGAAATGTATTCTGGGCTGAAATTTCTTGACTTGGCCGGTAATAACATTTCCAATCTTGAATGCCTTAAAGCTCTTTTTTGCACACTCTGTAATCTTGCTGTGCTAGACCTTCGATTTAATCCAGTATGCAAACACAAAGGATACAGAAAATATTGTTTGACTCTTTCTTCTACATTACAAGTGCTGGACGCCATACCGGTTGAAAAAGCTGAACGTCACAACGTCGATTGGAATACATTGTTTGAATCTAGAGCCTCTTCACAGCAACACTTGTTTCGTCCACTTAGCATGCGAACACAAACTGGATATGGATCAACCTCGATTGATTGCAAATATCTTTTAGCTTTGTCAAGAAATTCGCATACAGATATCCAAACAGACATCATTACGACTCTGCAGCTTGACTCGTGCAACTTGTTTAATTTGGATATGCTTCCAGACGAAATGCCTTCATTGCGCTGGGCCTCGTTTAGAAATAACAACCTTAAAGATGTGTCCAAACTATCCAAATACCGCCGTTTGGAGGACATTTCTCTTGAAAACAACGAGATTCACAGTGTCGATGCATTGTCAAAGCTTGAGTATTTGACCAAGTTTGACGCAAGCAACAATTTGATTGCTAGTGTAAACACGGCTGCAAATTTCAAGTCATTGATGCTGTTTTCGCTGGAAAACAACCGTGTCAAAAGCTTAAAACCCTTTTCCAAAATGGTTTCATTAATGGAGTTTTATATTGGAAACAATCAAATTTCGGACATGTTTGGTATTTTCCCTTTAAAAGAACTTCCTAGATTGATTATTCTTGATTTGACTGGAAACGCTGTATGCAATATTTTAAACTATCGTTTATTTACGATTTTCCATTTAATCCGCCTCAAAGTATGCATTATTTATATATTGGCTTGTTTGAATAGCAATGCATGCTTGATAAGATTATATTTCAATTATACTTATACAAGTAATATATACAATGATTTAGATTCTAGATGGGGCGGGCATCACAGCAAAAGAACAAACACATGCCAAAGAAATATACATGGGAAAACTCACAATCGAGCTTCTTGGCGAAAAAATCGGTCATTTTACTTTTAAAAATATATCCGAATTGGATCTCCGTAATTGCAAGATTCGTGAAATTGATTGCCTTGCGAATGGCGATTTTCGTAACCTCCGTCGCCTTAATTTTGACAACAACATGCTTACCAACATTGATTGCTTTACTACGTTGGTTGGACTACGATGCTTGAGTTTGAATAATAACCGGATTGAGCGACTGCTGTCAAGTGATACTGCTTCTCCTGTGCCAGCTAGTAGCAATCTGGGCAGTATAAGTAGCCTTTCTGGCAATTCTTTAGGAGAACTAAATAGTAGTGCGGCAGGATGTAATTTTGGAAACGGATTGACGTTGCGAAGGGATTCGACAAGTGATTATGGGAAATCAAACCCTTTGCTGTCACAGCTTGAAGAACTGTATTTAGGACACAACCAAATCACAAGGATTGCAGATCTGGGATTGCATCGAATGCCTCAACTAAGGACTCTTTATTTACAAGGAAACAAGATTGGCAAGGTTAGCTTAAATTTTGTACTGATAATTTGAATTGCTTTTAAATTATGGTGCACTCATTTGACTGGTGTGTTATCTTGACAAGATTGATGGGCTAGAGCACATGACAAGTTTAACTGAATTGGTACTTGACAAGAACCAAATCAAAACGGCAGATCCCCTTTCATTTCTATCCTTGATAAACCTCAAAGAATTGCATATCAAGTAAGTGGATTTACACAATTGTGCTTTAACTCCTTGCTGGACCAAGATATAGGTTACTCACAATTACAATGATGATGTAGGGAAAATCGACTTAGATCGCTTATGCATTTCGATTGTTTACCAAATCTGCAAATGCTGTTTCTATCCAATAATAGAATTCACGAAATGTCAGAGATTGAGGTAGTTTAATTTTTGAATGGTATATCGATGACCAAGTTCATCTGTGGCATAATTGGCATTACTGGTTATATCAATTATATTACTAAGCATTGCTTTTTAAAACATAGAAAATGAAACTTCCCAGTCTACTGGAAATATCTCTTGCATCCAATGCAGTTTCTCGTAAGCAGCTATATCGCATTGCACTTGTGATTCGATTTCCTCAAATTCTAGGAATTGATGGAAAGGATGTTGCCGATGAGGAACGACAGCGCGCGCATGTGAGTGTTCAAGTAGATAGCCCAGATACCAAATCTATAATTGTACTCTTACATCTTGATTATGAATATTTGTACTGATTTGCAAAACTCGTACATTTGTTATAAATATATAGGCATATTATTTTGAGCAGTGTATGGCTCGTGAAGACCCAATAGCAAAGCTGGCCACCAGTAATACGCACAATCTGCAAAACTCCATGTCATCTCTCATGACTAGCAATTCATCCAAGCATCCAATCAAGATCACATCTGTGGTGCTAGATGGCAAGTAAAATCTAAGCCAACTTGGCTCATGACACAACTGGTGGATAAAACCGATGCTAATTTATTTTAATGGGTGATTTGGGTTGATAGGGTTAGAAATGAAGTTGTCTGTCAATGCGGGAGGATATGGACTAGGAGGCTCAAGTGGTCATCTCAATCGATAGAATCACTGCGAGTTTTGCTACAGTTGAATGATATCAATAAACATTAGATGGAATAGCGAGAAGCAGCTTGTTAGTAGATGATTTCCAAGAAACTGGATAAATACCACTTGGTTGAGTTTGCACTTGAATTGGTTGATAAATGTCGGATTCTCAGCCAGAAAGCAATGCTATAGTGGTGGATGCAAATCCTATTCATACCTCATCATCCACAGTCGATACACCCTTAAATAGACTTTCTAGGGTTGCTCCAAAGTCTATTCTATGGCCACTCTTTTTCCTGTTCGGGATTGCTATGCTAAGGTCTTGCAGTACAGCCGTCCCTGTCATTGTTATCTTGCATCCTTGAATAACTTAAACTTTTATTACTGTATCTTGATACATATCGGTGTTGTATTATAGTCCATGGAATACTTGGATCACTGCTGCTCCATTCTTTCAAGCCCGACTCGCTGGCAGTATTTTTGCAAGCAATTTTCAGAATTGGATTAGCATTGCCTATATGCTGGCAAATCTCATCACACTTCTGTAAGATTGATCTATGCTTGTCAACCCTGGTCTGGCTTGATAGAGAGATATTAAATCTACTTGCTTGTTTTTCAAATCAAGTATGTTACTCAAGTACCAAGACAGGCTTAATCCAGTGTATCGACTCATGGCAGGATTTGTCATCATAGCAGTGGTGTTTACGATCGCTTTATGGATGGTACACATGGACACGCTGGATGCGGTTGTTTATTTCCTATTGACGTTGGCACTTGTTATTCTAACTAGTTTTGCCTCGGCATTGTTGGCTGGAATAATGGGATTTGCTGCGCTGTATTCTGCCGACATTGTTACAACGACTGTATCTGGACAAGGTGTGCTGAAAATAGACTATTCAATGGTTCATGAACTTATTTAAACTAATCCTTTTCATTCATTCTGTTTAGGTATGTCTGGAGTTGTTCCTGCCTTGTCGCAGCTTATTCTCATGCTGTCATCTCCACCAACTACCGATAGCATCACTGCCATGAATGACGCGAAGTCTCGCCTTATGACCATCACACAAGTATATTTTTCAGTTGGAGTTTTTATTAGTACTGTTTCATGTATTGGATACATACTGCTACAACGATCATCTCATACCGTAAATGCAGAGCATTCTTATCAAGAAATTCTGGCAGAGCCTCAGGAAAATAATGCTGATGGCGAAAATCAAATGGTTGCACACTCTCCCAACTCATCTATTCAAGATCATCCAATTTCTGTTACGGAAGGTGTACGCCGCATATGGGGTAGTGTTTATCCACTGGCTTTGTCGTTGTTTTTGACATTTTTCGTGACACTAGGACTCTTTCCAGGGATCACATCGCTTGTCCAGTCGACACGGACTCCTTACAGAACGCAGTTGCTTCCCCTTCATTACTCTGATACACGCTTTAAAGAGCTGTTTGTTCCTCTGCATTTCCTTATCTTTGCGGTTGCTGATTTGATTGGAAAGAGCCTTCCCATGATTCCATCACTATCTCGATTCCATCCCAAATTACTACTGAAAGCATCCCTAATGCGAATTGCACTTTTTCCATTGCTCATGATTTGCAATGTGGTGATTACTGATCGGACCGGAATACCTCTTCCCAGAACACTCCCTTTGGTGTTTACCGACATTTCGTATTTCTTAATTCTGGCCACTCTTGGAGTATCAGGCGGATGGTTAACTACGCTGGTATTTATTGCTGCTCCCGAAGCAATCTCGACTATATCTCACACTGCTTCACCAAGAGAATATGAACGTGTGATTCGATTGGTAAACGAGCTGATGGTGATTACCACTGCCACTGGATTGGTTTTTGGAAGTGCACTGTCGTTTCTGCTAAGATGGATATTATGTGGATGTAATCCATTTCTTAGCTGATTCTGGCCAGTATCTTTTTGGAGCAAGTCTAAATAAACTGATTGATATTTAAAGCCATACCGGCCTGTACATTAAAAATCTTACATCTTGGCCAGTTTTGAGTTACAGATGGAGTGGATGTTGAGAATGAATTCAAAACATGAATGGCATTTCCACTGCTTTTCATTGGGTGTCAAAACACATTAGATGGATACGGCAGTTACATCATACCAGGCCATCAAGGAAGAAGGATCGGTTGGAAGCAACTGTTTAAAGAGAAAGCACAGTGATTGTGAGTGAATGCATTGCTGTTATCACTACCCTACTGTATAAGTGCTCGATTTTAACTTGATTGAATATGGCTGATAACTGCATCGACAGCCAAGGACACTATCAAGCTTGAATTGGACCAATTGGGACTACTGGATAATAGCCAGTTGGCAGTTTGTTTGAGCAGATATTCTGCTGCTGCTCTCTGTTCCACATCTCAGTCCATCAGAAGATTACTTTTTGAAAAGTATATCTCAAACTCCTCCAAACCAGCCCATAGCTCTGCTGCTTCTCAAATCTTGCTGCCAATAGAGCGACTTTTGGCTGCAAGTGTGAAAGCTTGTCGAATTCTGTTGCGTCGACTTACTTCACCCACAACTTTATTGCTTCAGCCCAAATCCAACTCGCTTGAAAAAAGCAAATCTATAGTAGAGAGGGAGTTGCAACGCACATTAGAAACGGTCGTACAGATTGGTCACCATCTTGCAGTCTTGTCACGGTTTGATATTTTACCAGATTTACTGGATCTGATTGTAGTGGTGGTATACGATAAGTCTGGTACATTGCTGTCATCCGATGCCCGTCAGTGTCTAACTTGTTCAGATGCTACAAAGAAACTGCATATATCTTCCAAATGCTCTAAATCAAAAGCATCCAAATCATCCCTGCCAATCTCAAATTCAACTTTTCCTGGTTTATCTATTGGAAAATGGCTGTATGAATTGCTAGACAAAAATGCATTGGCACTAGCAGTGCCACTTTCAAAACGTACTACTATCATATTGCTGCAGCTACTGACTGTTTGGATACAGGCACAATTAATCGATGCATCTACACGTACTGGGCTTATCTCGTGGGCCATATCCAAACTTAAAGTAGATCCAACTTCGCTTTCGTCCAACGATCTCTTAATCCTTGATCCAACTCTTAAGCTAATATACCAAATCGCCCGACTTGACCTAGAGTTTGAAGGCACAAGGGTTTCACAGGCATGCTTGGATTTAGTCGTTAAATGTACTGCCAGATCTACTACTCTGACATGTGCTCTAACTCATGTGTACAAAACATCCCTTGAAGTTTATTCGGTGCTTGCTGAAAGACAAAGACCTTTGCGACAAATGCTACAGCACAAGAAAACCATTACCATGATTTCAAACCTCCTTGGATCTGTGCATTTACGCATGGAAGCATCAATATGGAAACCCCATCCAGGACTGTTTGAAACCTCCAAGGGGCTATTGGACCTTGCTCGTGTTTTATGTCAATTATTAATACTATGCGGATCATCTTTTAAATGGGATTTTGATGATGTAAATCATGAGGCTGCCAACCCAGATGCAGAGCCAATATTGGTTGAACCGCTAAATGTATGTGCATTTAAAGCAATTGCACGTATCTTGACATTGATTGGAATTGTTGCACCTGGATATGATCAACAGGAATCGTTCCAACAACAAATATTCTACTATCGCCCTTCTACCATTCAGGGTTTAGCAGATACAATGCATCTGCTGTTTTCAAGCACTTTGGCTTTTCAGGAAGAATCTAAAGCAAATAGAAATGCTGTTCAGATCTTACCAGACGAGTTTGCAGAAGCCGTTATTCGTATTATTTTTGTTGTTCGGGATCACTCGTATATTGACTGCCATAAGCATGCCAAGCAGCAGATTTTATGCCAAAAACTCATTCGACTATCAAGTGGTATGGCTGGAACTGATTTGTACTCGAATACATTTCGGCATGTTGAAATCACTCTGATGCGCCAGTTTGTATATTTCATCGGTGACACGATCAAAAACAGCATCATGGGTGTACAAGATGTATCGGAAAATCACCATAAAGACAATACTTTTCAACTGACCAATATAATGTTGATATTTTTAACAAGACTTTTGGAAAGCAAGCCATCGCGTATTTTTTTAATGGATGCCGGTCTCTTGCCAAAACTAATTTTTATGCCATTCATCAAAGTTGCTCTCACCAATCCCTCCTCTGAACAGATTCGTGTATTTACAGGTGTACTATCCCTAATTGGTCGATTGGCACAAGATTCTAATTTCAGATTTAAGATGAAGGCTGGATTGTTTGGATCTATAGAGACAAACGACGATTTTTCAACAAATACATCTGGGCAGTTTTCTGTTCTTGCTCCTCCATCTCCTGATGGTATTGTAGCATTCATGGCTTGCCTAGCCATGGGTTCTATTTGGTTGATATGCTCAAAGTTTACTTTACCTAACACGGCGACACCTCGATCTATCTTGGAGCAATTTGGAACTTACTCGATCGACTTTTTAAATGAAAATTTTGGTCATGACAAGTCGGTCATGGCAGTGCTTTGCAAACCCGACCTGTTGGCGTGGATATCCTCAAGCGTGCTTTCTGCAACTGGAATCGACTGTGTGTGTTCTGAACCCAAGATATCAATGGTTGAAAGCTTGCTAGATTTGATTGAATACACGTCGGAAAAATATCAATTGGAGCTTTTGGATCTTAATGTTGATGACAATTTGGATCCAGCATCATTCATAAACCCCACCCCATTAGGATCAAATACACTTTGCTCCGCTGCATATTTTTTGGATGCCTTACTTCGCTCGAGTGCTACACTGAGTCAAATTATAAAACAACCTCACTTGATTCGTCGCATTGCACAAGACATTATGGATGCAATGAACTCGAAAGTTCAAGATGTACTTCAGCGTATTACTCGTCGTCTACTGCTTGGCCCCGGACTTGTTCAGGAAATGGTAGCTTCATCAGGATACTCGATCATTTTGGAAACACTCATGAATGGATTAGGTGATGACCATAAATCCTATCATGCCAAGCGACTTTTGGACAGCATGCTTGGATCATTTTTATCTGACATTGAAATTGTAGAGCCATCAATCAGTACTCAAGCACAAATCAGTCTAGTGAAAATGCAAACGCAAGCCGAGCTGGATGAAGCCTTGGGCTTTTGTATACGTATCTGGCGATACGCAGAGCAGGTGGGCATGGCGAATTTTGCTGGATCGATATTAAGGCATCGGGCACGCGTTGCAGTATGCTATCTTGGTGCTGACCGATTACTTCGTCTTCATCAATCCACATCACTATCAACAGAAGATGATCATTTTTCAGCCAAAGAAGCTACAACGTTTTTGTGGGACATGTTTCTGACAGTGTTTCCCAGTCCTTTGCTCTCTGATGCCAGTGCTGATGAAGTAGCAGATTTTTCAGAATCAACTATTCATGAAAATTATGATGATGACAATTTTAAAAGTATCCAGCTTGAAGCAAACAAAACTTTAATTGAAGACAAGGCTCTACTGGAATCAATGCATGTACGTATGCGCAAGGCTCTTGATTTTCTTGGATGGCGATATGTGCGTCGTTCGATACAAGTATCTGATCCTACCATGATGCTCCCTCGACCCGAGTTGCTTATTGAAGTTCTTTCAAGTGATCATACATGGATATACAATGGAACGGCAGATACAGATCGTGCAGTGACGATGGTGTTTGAAAATGAAATAGGCCAAGATATACAGTTTGACGGAGACATACTGGAGAATGTTTCCCCAGCTTTTTGTGTTATGATGAATGGACCATTTTCCGAGCATATTGATCGGCGAGTCAAGATTCAAGACACGTCTCGTCAAGTATGGATGCACATTCTCGAGTATTTCCAGCTCAATTCAACTGCAGGCTTAGATGAAGCCGAGTTTTCGCAAATGCAACAATCTGGAGGCAATCGATACGATATGTCTGGCAATGTAGCACACCATTCAACAACGGACGATATGATTGAAAAGTTTGATCTTGTAGTCGAGATGCATGATTGCGCTACTCGATACATGATGGTGAACTTGCAACAGGAGTGTACGGCATGGTTTGGAATAGCATGTATGTATGCGGCGCGTAGACACAATTGGACATTGGCTGTGAAGCTACATTGGTGGATTGCTGCACACTTGGATCTCAATTTAGAAGAATCCAGCGATATAAACTTTGATGATATTTTGCGTACAGTTTGCGTGCGTGCTCTTTTATGGTCAATCCAAAACGCTCCATAATTATAGATGTGTATATTTTTAAATGAATTGTCTGCAGTGCTTTATTTTTTATACGCCTCAGTCTTTGACTATGCTAGACATTGAAAATGGCTTGCTAGTTTGATTTGCATGAGCAGATCACTTCGACTGGTAACTTGACGGATATAATATGCAGCTTCAAAATTTGCGGCTATTCAAATAGCCGACTGTCAGCGTTTTTACCGATGCATCTTGTCGCTTATTACATGAACCATTGCTTTCCAAACTTGATTATGCTACTGCCGTATCAAGGTAAGATTGCCATATTTATCTAAAATGGGACACTAAATAAGGGTATCTACAATGCAGTCCGTCTCATGAAATGATAATGCATCGGACAAGTGTCATCTAAACTCCTTGACAAAGTCCACCGATTCAAGATGGTCCATCAACCACTCAACAGCAAGGTAGACTCCATATTGTCCATTTTCAAGACTTGCTGACAATTTAAAGAACGATTGTGTGGCGTACGATTCCAGATACAAAGGAACGGAAGATGTCGATTGAAGTCAATCCGTAATAGGAAGGCACAGCAAATATTTGACTATTGTTTATTCCAAAGCAAACGAGGTCATTGCAAGATAAATTCAAAAGTTTTTTGTTTTATGCAAGTGCAGCTGTAAAGGTATTTGGACAGAGATTGGGTGAATGCCATCATCAATACCAGTTTAATGGACAAATTTCGTATAAATAAATGACAATGCATGCTTCTTCAGCATGCATCCGGGTACATTCCCTACAGTTCGGGTATTAAGATTTCACTATTGGATTGGCATCGTTGTCGAATGTGGTTCCGATGATATTATCAATATGATTTGACAGCAATATGAATTTCAAAGCAATGACTGCTGTTTATAATTTGCTTGGTTTGAGCCAAGTCATGAGAACACGAATGCTGCAAGTTACCCAATATTATTGAGTAGCCGTTGAATAGATACGGTTTAATATTGACTTGCAAATACACTTTCAATAGTCCTGCTGTGTAGTGTTGGGTCCGGTAACTGTCGATGTTTCGGTTTACACAAAACTTCATCACTGCCACATCTTGTGCCAAAACCATTCATTTTGTCAAGTTAGCCTGCTGCTGAATCTGGCTATTACTCGCTCTTTGTATTACATTAGTTATCAACCGCCTTGATTCTGATAATATTATTTTAAGGTATGCTTGCACTGGTTTTAATCCTATCGTCATACTACAATACATATATATAATATGAACTTATTTTTATATTCTATTTTAGTGTTCCCGGCCTATTATTCTGAGCACTCAAATTCATTCTCCTGCTATAGACTGTTGTGATATTGGTTGTATTCATATTGTGCTGTAAAACACCACTGGTGCTCTTCAACAAACATCAGCCAAGCTTTGCTACTACAATATCTGATCACTCAAATCCACCACTATGGACACGCTGGCTCCTCCTAGATATATCCCATGGTCAAGTCTAGGCAAACCAGGTCCAGCAATAGTCTCATTGATATCAGGGTTTGTTGGTCTTGGGTGCTTCAGCATGATGGTCATATTGTCAACTCAGATGATTATCGGCAACCGAATACGAATTGGCCTAAAGCTACCTCTTATAATCCTAAACATGTGTGCATGCATGCTACAGTTTCTTGAATTCTTCTATCTTTATGAGTTTCCGCCACATGGTAGAGGGGTACCATATATTTTCATTCCTTTTATGGTTACTCTGATGATGGGTGGAGTTTTTTGGATGCAGCTTGAGATTCGATTCGTCTTTAGTGCAATGTTTGATACTGGATCCAATGCCATTGCTATTTGGACACCAAATTCAAAGTTGTGGGCTCGAGTCTTGCTGATTCTCATACATATATTTCTGTGTTGGCCTGCCTACTATCTTAGACCTAATATAGCATGGATTAACTGGGTAGGTTGTTGATTCTTACCAGAGTATGAGGTTTAAACTGCACTCTAACATTTTGATTTTCTGCATGTATGGCTATAGTGGTACTTTATTGGTCCAGCAACACAAGGTGCTCTAATCTCAATCATTAGTTTTTATCAAGCTATTGTTATTAATCTTCGCCTAGCCTATCGAAGAAAGTCAGAATCTGAATACTACCCATTGCGGCGGATCCATATGGCATTGATGTTTTTGTTAATAGCAACTTTTATAGTAAACCTTGGTGGCATAGCAGGGTTTTCGTTGGAATTATTCCTTGGTCAGGACACACGGATAGAAATGCAGCAGATTGTCGCACTTGGATTTCAGATCCCTGTTGTTTCTCTCGGCATGGAAATCATGTGCGAGTCCATTACACTGCTTATAATGATCCACTTGGTTACAATAAAACGCGTCCTGAATGCTGCTCCACGGCATGAAGAAACTGCTGCTCCTGAAGCAAACAGTCTTCACTCCCGACCAATGCCCGTCATTGTCATGCCGTCTTTCATGGCAGGTCCACTACACTCTGATTCTACAGAGATTGGTGGAGAACCCTATGACATGTGGTCTAAGCCAGCGCATGCCAACGTTCTTTCTTCGTGGGATTAATTTTAGCCTACAACATAACCTGTAAGACACTATTTACATCAAACTTCAACTATTGATACTAGACAGGGTCTGATTGAATAATCAGCGATAAAATAAAATTTTACATATGAACGCTTTTATTACGTCTATAGTTTTTAAACTTTGTATCTACCATAATTTCAGTAGTCGGATCTCGGTTTGTAAGTGATTTGCTGCAAATAGAATTACCGAGTTTAAATAGTTTGATCTTGCATGTCTACAGCATCAATAAAGCATTGCTTTGCATGCAATATAAGCAGTTCATTTGCACAAATACAAACTTGACCCGCGTATTAGGTAAAGTTGATGGCTTGGAACGCTATGCAGTCATATCCATGTAAATGCACATTATTCTTTCAGTGACTGCTTTATTTGCTTTGAAATCTACAATATTCATATACTCATTACGCTCTCTACTAAAAACTGATTCACTGTTCAATTCCTCAATGATCTCAAACCTACCTTTTCTCTCTTTTTGGCATAGCCATGTATTGCATAATCACCAAATTGGAGTTGCATTCATTTATTGCAACTCAGATATTCGATTTGACTGTCGGTGTTGTCAATCCAACTACAAACTCATCTGTTGTACTCTAAACTCCCATATATTCACGCTCAGTTCAACAAACCAGATATTGCACACATCAGCAATCAATATTGTCCATTAAATCGGATATAGATTGACACTGATCGTATCATCAAACTGGCTATTTGTACACCGACACTGATATATAGTAGTTCGTTTTATATGAACATGACTGCAATGTTTAAAATTAAAACACATGCATGTTTGAATAGCGTGCATCTACCAGCATTTTGACTTTAAACATGGTGAATGGGTTTGAATGTTGAATGTTGAATATTGAATGCTGATGACATTGAACATGACCATATTTTAGACTGTATCTGGAATCAGAGCTACAAAACTGTGTATCTAGTGTTTTGCAAATCACAAACGAAGATCCCGCTGAAATTATCGACACATTTGAAACCATTGCAGACTCGGAAATGTCACAAAACCAGTATATTGAAACCGAGCGTCAGGGTAAGTGCAATTGGCAGTTGTATAAACTGACAGTTGTTTGAATTCAAAGATTGCAATATTATTTACAACATATTTGCACGTGGATAGAAATATACAACACAGTTGTCGAGGTCAAAGCAGTGATTGAAGATATCAACCGTCAAAAACAAAAAAATGAGCAAAACTACAAGCCAAATCAGTCAATGCACATTAAATTGCATCAGCTATTAGAGTCATTACAACGTAGGTTTGACAAGGATGAATCGCAGATATTGGAATTGAAAAAAGATATTGCAAATCTGTGTGGTGATGCCTTGGTCTTAGATCAGACACACATTCAAAATCCATGGATATACATTGATGGAAACATTCAAAGATTCTCTACCATCAAATCTGTTGATGCGCTTTTAACTGAAAGATGTCAGCTGGATTACCAAAAGTAAGCTTATACAGTGGTTTTTTAAAAAGCTGACACGATCCATTTAATTTGAACAACTAGTATTGTACATCATTTGAACTAAAATCAAACTGGAATTTACAACTACAAACATTTGCAGTCTTGTAGATTGGTATTATAATCATTTGCACCAATTGAGTTTGACGTATGCTCAAGTAATACAACACAAATATGGTGGATGGACATCGTCAGAGCATAGTCGATATGAAAAAATAAATGAAGAGTATCCTTGTGATATGCGAGGTAGGTCGGCATTGTTTTACGATCGTCTTATTCTCGAGTTTCCAAAACTGAGTTTGCATAAACTAAAGGTATGTGCTCAAACATCACACGCAAGACTGGTTCTTGGTTGCGAGTGAGTTTAATACTCAATTATTTTTATACCAACTCAACAGGAGCATGAAATGTGGACCATAAAGCTGACTGCATTCAAAAACCACAAGCGTAGTATTGAAATAGCGTTTGAGGCTCGCATGAAGGAAATCGTTGCATTAACAGTGAATCAGTTTATGGTAATAGTTTCAGAACTCAAAAGTTTGTTTTGTAAACCAAACAATCGATACTAGAATATAAAACTGATGGCTATGCATTTTGTGGAGCAGGAGGCAAAGCAGATTTATCAAGAACAATCCGCTATACTTGAGCAAAAAGAGGCTAATTTGCAAAAATCTGCAGCAATTCAAAATAGAATATGCAAATGGCGCAATGCACGCATTCAGCAGTTGAAGATTGCAGCAGCAAAGCGACATGCAGAAATGGAGGCCCAACTAGAGTTAAATCGCATTAAATTTGAACGAGAAGGATATCGTCGCGAATCTGACAAAGCAAAGCTACAAGAGTTTTTTGATAAAAAACAGAGAATCAAGGAAAAAGAAATGGAAGTTTCAAAAAAAGCTCAACAGCGTCTTAATGCACAAAAAGCTGTATTGCAGCAGGTATTTAGTCTGTTGTTGTGCGAGGCTGCATGCTATCTAAATTGATTTACGAATTCTAACCTATATATGCGCTTTTAAATATGGCAAGATAAATGAAGAACGTATCGAGTTTAGAGAAAATCAAAGAATTCAGAGATTAGAGGACAAAAAAATGTCTGCCTTGCAAGTAAAGGCCAGACAGGATGCGTTGGAACGACAACTGGATCGATTGCGTGCAACTGTTGCTGTAGATATCCAAAGGTACAAGTACTAAATTGCTTTAGTGTCGATTTAAAGTCAACTGGATTGATTCACATTAAATAACTTTGATTTAAATGAATCCAACATACTTGTCTTTAAATACTAGTGATTGGAATAGAATCATGGGTGATACCATTGCATTTGCCGAATCAAAAAAAGATTTGAAGCAGGTAATACGAATTTAGCATAAATCAAATTAATCGACTAATTTCATGATCTAATACTTTATATACTGGTTGTTTTGAATGTATGGATGAATATAATTATAATTTCTAGCCAGAATGGTTCAAGAACAACAGCTTTACTATTGATCAGATCATGAAAGATAAACGTGCTCAAATTTCACAAGTGTTGCATAGCCAGGGACTACTATCAAGCAAGTATGCCAGTCAGGTTCTTACTGCTATACAGCCTAAACACACTCGACCAGACCAAGCCACCACTATCAAGCTTGGTTAGTTGCAATACTTGGAATAAAATGCAACTAATACACAAAAACTACTGAAAGAATTCAAAAAGCATATTCAAAGCAACAATAAACAAATATTTAATATGTAAAACGCATTAAAAATCAGAATCTCCATCATACCATCGAGAATGGCTTCCGCCGCGTTTGCCAGATGATGATTCACCAAATATCTGTTCAGGCATGGAAGGAACAATAAAATCATCATTAATCGGAACGCCAGGATTTTTTGACGACTTGACAAATTTCCAGCCATCATCTTTCTGATCGGCAATGCGACGAACTGAAATGGCAGAGTTGGATGTATCGCGCTTAAGAACATGATTGTCTTCAAGTCTAATTGTTCCATTGTGAAAGACTTGGCATTCAACAACGTTGGTGGCCCAGCCAATATCAGTCACCATAGCAGCATTGATTCGATCTGCAAGTATTGATGGCACTTCTGCTTCCTTTTCCTTGATACTCCCCCACACTGCGTAGCGCTCATATGTCACCAAGAAATCTATATCCGAAATCCACGAAAGTGTAGCGGCCATATTCATAAAATTGCATATGGGTCGCAAAATAGCTTTGATGTTGTCTACCTCTGCTTCCAATGGCACACCGCGCACCAGTACCGCATTTGGAATAAATGGGTCAAGATCTAATTTTAAATCAACCGTGTCGTTGCTAGTAGCAACTGGTGCATTTGGATCGTACTCTTCAGCCACTTCAGATAGTAATTTGTCTGGAATAAAAGGTGGGCGGTTTGCTACACGACGAACAACGACGGTTCCTTTACCAACATTTGCATCCAAAAGCGCTGCAGCAAATCCATAAAACGGTGCAAGCTCCAAAATCAACGTATTGGCCGAAAACATGCGCTGTTTTGGAAAATAAAAATATTGCTTACTAGGATCATTGACCAACTCGGCAAGTGTCTTTTGGGTGGCTAATACAACACTTTTGAAACTTAATGCAGAACGAATAAGACTGTCCGAATACACGGCGTTTATAGGAGCGCCAGATGGTGTATCAAGCTCAGTGGTGTCAATGCCTAGTGCATTTGCAAGACGTTCATTACGCTGTTTTTGGAGACAAGACTCGTCACATTCCATATTTGGAGATATAGCAAGTTTTCCTTGTAGCGCACCACACACAGTAGTAACGGAGCGATTCCCACAAGGACATGCATGTTTAACGGCTTGCTTACAAAAAGTAGATTCTATGCATTCGCGAGTTCCATGACAAGAGTCTGTGCAACTGTGACCACATATGGATCGAACTTTACCGCACTTTTCAAGGCAGCGGTAACTATCGTTTACACAAAGACCAGCATGGCAGATTCTTTGACATGCATGACCACAGCCATCTATTGTTTTAGGACAGAGTTTAACGCAGGATGGTGCACCTTGGCGCGAACAAGGAACATTAGGCATGATGGTTGCTTGACATGCACATCTACGCTCTACAAAGGTTGTGCAAGGAGGACAGGATTCACTATCATCATGGCAGTAGTGTGCCGTAATATCGGAATGTCCACACGGACGACGACGACGGCATGGATGGTTGCATTTTAGTGGTGGTGTATTACAAGGAATTGGAGGATACATAATGGTTCGTCCACAGCTACAACTCAGCTCCTCAAAACTCACACCCTCGACACAATCGTGACATTTTCCTTGATGACCACAAGGAAGCATACAGTTATGAAGTTTGCAAGCCAGACGCTTATTGCAAGCTGATTCACAAGCATGCATTTCAGTAGATTTTTTACAGCATGTGTCCTGACAATTATGACGGCGACAAGTTAAACGTTTTCCACACGGACGAGCACATAGGGGAGGTTTTGCTAGTCCAGTAGATGGATCTATTGTCAAAGTAGAACAAGAGGTTTTGATTTCTTGCTTGCCACATCGGCAAAATATAGTCACCAATCGATTGCACAAGGAGCATTCGCCTGAATGGCATATAGATTCACAAGTGTGTCCACATGCTAGCTTTTTGTCGCAAAATTCTTGGCATGTGAGAATTGGTTGATCGCAAGTCAGTCGAGGTTCATTAGGCGACAGTTCTGATATAGAAAACTTTCCACACGGACAGCGGACAACTATGCTTGGATCCAAAGGACATATTTTGGTCCCTTCGTGTTTGTCTTCGTGGCATGGCCTATCACAACTATGAATATCACAAGCATACTTGTGTGTGCAAAGTTTCCCGCACGAGTAGCCATCTTCTTGATCGCCACATGGAATAGTATGTTCCTCGGCTCCGCAGAAGCAAGACACGGAAATAGTCTCCAAGCAAGGACGGCATGGAGGTGGATGGCAAATCATTGTGCATGAATGGTTTCCACATCTCAGTTTTTTTGAACATGTCTGTAGCCAGAAAAAAATGAATAAGTATCCGGTCCACTAGTTTATCTGCAAAAATAGTATTTGAATCACTTACATTTCCACATGATGGTTGGAAATCAATACTTGAAAGTTCAGTACAACGAACTACCAATTTTCCATCTCCACAGTAGCAAGACAATGGCGGTGCAGAGAGTTCACATGGAGGGCATGGGCCTGGATGGCATTGAACTCTATAAGCATTTAAACCAAATAAGTACTCGATAGTCTTGTCAAATAGTATATCAAGCCATTCAACTTACGGACACTTGTGCGTACAATTGCGATCTTTACCACATGTCTGACCACAACTGTGAGGACAGCTGTACGCATTCACGGCGGGGTTGATAATTTTGGTGCAAAAGCATTTGTAATCTATCGGAACACAATCATTCATGGTTTGGCAACCAGGACAACGCCAAGATTCCATGGAACGGGTTGGCTCATTTCCATTGTATTCCTGAGAGGATTTTCTTGCCCACTGAGATATACACTTTAGTGTATCAAAATATTGAAAAGACAGAGTTGAACGCTTAGTCATATGGTGTAATCTGGAAATCTAGCATTTCAACAAGACATACCTTTAGGTGAAAAACAGCGTAGCATACGCTGCAATTCCAAATCGAGTCTCTAGTTTTTACAGTATCGTAGCAAACCATACAGTCATACAACTGATTTGTCAAATCATCAGTAAGGGCTTCTAGTAGATCTGCAGTGGATTTTTCACCAGATGGTTCGCAAGTGTTGTTCTTTCTGCCACCCCTGCTGCCTTTTAAACGAGTACCACCATTGTTGTTTCTTGGATGTGTAATATTCTGTTGATCTGACACAGATGAAGGGGTATCCGACAACTTACTAAGCGAGAAGTGTAAACCACTGGGCAGTTTTGATGGTGACTTTGGAGTGCTTGAACATCGAGCCTGGTTCCTCAAAGTTGACAAGGACTGATTTTTTCGAGATCTGGCAGATTGTTCATTTGCAGAGGTTGATGATGACCCCTCGACGACTGAATTCGAGGTATTCAAACAAGATGTACTGGATGTACTGGACGGTCGACTTTTTCCGGAGTTGCCTCGACGGTTTTTCCGAGACTTTTTTGAAGATGCAATCGAGTTGGCAGTTATAGTAGTGACAGCGACTCCAGCAGTAGAAGTCGTAGCAGTGGTAGAATCACCACATGTCGCAACGGAAGATACAGGAATGAATTCCGATGCAGTTGGATTTAATGATGGCAATGACTTTTTTGTATTATGTTTAGACTGTGCGTCTGTGCCAATTGACGGCATGGCAGCAGTTGACGAGCTGGTTGGCATTTTAGATTAAAGCAAAGTTTTCAAACACTTTTATAATTGAAAATATTGAATGATTCGATCGACAAGTATGACAGACGAGTGATGGCGTTTAGCCAGACTCTGTTAGTTACTGCAATTAGCAGATTGTCTTGTTAAACACAGCAACAGTTGTTTTAGTGACATGGTGAACAACACCATGCAATATGGTGCCATGGTGTGTCTAGTGGCTTTTTTCGAACAAGGTCGTTTAAACAAGTTGCACTTTTATTCATCTACACTTGATAGTTGCTTCAATGTATATTCTTACTACTAGACATACGATGAGGCTGCATGTATTGCTCTGGATTCCTGCTATTCTTGCTGTATTCTCTTCATCCATCTATGCTGCTCCACCCAATCCCTCAGAATATCCTGTCAAGGACAAGTTGCCTACTGCCAATCCTGCATGGTCAACCCACATTCTTAAAGGACTTCCTAATACACCTCCAAACCCAAAGCCTATGACCACCTTTGATTTTTCAAAAGATGTTACTCGTTGTAGAGATAACCATGTGTGGGGACTTTCGTTTGATGATGGACCTGCGTAAGTTATTGCAGATTAAATATACTCCAATATCCAGTGTTAATCTACGCTGATTCATGAAAACTTGCTGCAGTGATTAACCTGTCTATTCAATCTTCTATTCAGTCCATTTACCGATCACCTATTAGCTGAACTGGATAAACGCAGTGTCAAAGCCTCGTTCTTTGTTGTGGGTTCACGAGTACTGGAGCGTCCCGATGTTCTTTTACGCACATATCAAGCTGGTCATCATATCGGTAAGATGGACTTTGTTATTGGATACACCGTCATAACTGCCAACGCTATTGCTTCTTAACATGTATCCATCTCATTGTATTCATTAGCAATGCACACTTGGTCTCATCCGCACTTGACCACAGTCTCCAGCAACCAGATTATTGCAGAGGTAGTCTATACTGCCATGATTATCAAACAAGTAATTGGTGTCACTCCACGCTTTATTCGCGCTCCATGTATGTTGCACTAGAATATGGATATGTGATCTTGTCTGATGTATTTACTGACTTGTGTACTATGAAATCTCCTAATAGATGGAGATATTGACACTCGCGTGAGAACAATTCTTCAACGAATGGGGCTAATCATTGCTGCATGGAATGAGGATTCTGGAGATGCTGGAGGTGTCAAAACTGTAGCACAGAGATTTTTAGCTAGAGCCAATGCTGGAATCGTTCCGATCATTTCCTTGCAACACGACTTGTTTGTCGAGTCGGAACGGCAAGCACCAGGTGCCATGGATGCTATTTTATCAGGGCGTGGGAAATACAAGATTCAAGCAGTAGATACTTGTATTGGCGAGAGTCCGTATGATGAAGGATTTTGGAGTCGATTGGACGGGACTAAAGGCAGTGAACCCACGGCTAATGAAAATACGGCCGGTGCTGTGGCAGGAGGCACTGAGGGTCGTGCTGAATCAGCTACACAACCTACAACTTCCACTGAAAACCCGCATCAATCGACCTCTGCTTCTAACACATCAAAAAGCTCTACTATAGCAATAGCGCCATTTATGGCTAAAAGCGTATTTAGTCTCTTACTAAGTGCCTTGTTAATCTTTAGTGTGTAATCATTACACGCATCAAATCAAAATGACATCTGTTCCAGACCATAGTCATCTTCTAGTCACGCCTTTTTGAAACACTTTACTTTTGTCTAATCATGATTATATTCAATAAAACAGGTTTTAATATCCTATTTAACTATGTATGGTTTGATATAACCCAAGATATTATTGCTTTTAAATACATTCATTATGCTTGTATATTCAACATGAATCGTTTTATTGGAAACTACATAATAATAATCAAGATTCAAGAACATGCAGTATACGTAAAAGTAGCGCCTATAGACATACAAGACTAAACATTATCTAATTTTAGTCACGGCATGTGGATTTCTTTGTTTCATAAGCAACACATGCAGTATAGCTAATGCGTTGGTGTGGCTAAAATATCCATCTTTTATGTGTGGATGATATTTTAATCATAGATCGATAGATAAAATAGCTGAGCATCATTTTTTGTCCATGCTGCATATATCTATAAAACGACAGCATTTTTCCTATTGAGAAATCACTCTTGTTGACCAGTCTATTCAAATCTAATTAACAGTATTACTCGAATATGAAACTAAGCTATTTCTCACTTGCAATTTTCCCAAAAACTGTGCTGCTTTCTGCCTTTATATTGGGCACATTAGCAGATACTCCAGACAGTTCCAAATATCCTGAGCTGGATAAGGTTCCTGCTGCTGTCGCATCGTGGTCCAAATATGTTCTAGCTAACGTTCCAAACATTCCAGTCAATGCAAAAATGTTATCTAGTACCGATTGGTCAGAAGATGTGACAACCTGTTTAAGCAATAATCAGTGGGGATTGACCTATGATGATGGCCCAAGGTGAGTTTGCAGATTACAAACGCGATAAATTTTATTGGTACATTGAGTTACTACTGTACGCTTAGTATCAAGCTATTGTTCAATTGGTTTTGGCTTTTTACTCATTCTTGTGATACAATTAATAGTGACACGCGCACTGATGATCTACTTAAAACTCTTTCCGAAAAAAAGGTCAAGGCCACATTTTTTGTAGTTGGATCTCGTGTGCTGCAATCTCCTGATGTCTTGCTTCGTACTTACCAAGCTGGTCATGAAATTGGTAAAATGAATGCATTGGTGGCGGGGTTCCAAATCATTTCTAATCCAATACATGATTTGGTATTAAATATGTAGGTCTTCACACCTGGAGTCACCCCGCAATGACTACTGTAAGCAATGAACGGTTGATTGCCGAAATAGTCTACACTGCTCAAATTGTCAAGCAGGTCATTGGTGTCACCCCGCGGTTTATCCGTCCTCCATGTAAGCCAGCATGTTGACTCACCTGCTTTGTGTTCAGTTTCATATTCATCCATATATTGTTTTAACTAATTCAACTATCCATACATCTACCTGTAAACATTGCAATATGATGCCAATATTAGATGGAGATATTGATGCTCGCGTTCGCAAAGTTTTGAAAAACCTGGGGTTGACTATTGTCCTTTGGAATGTAGACTCGCAAGATGCTGATGGTGCCAAGGATGTTGCTGTCAAATTTGGCGCACAAGCCAATGCAGGAAGTAGTCCCGTAATATCTCTTGAACATGACCTGTTTCCAGATACCGAGGCACAAGCTGCATCGGCTCTCACTAATGTTCTTGCTGGGTCTGGAAAGTATAATCCAATGCCTATTGGCGCCTGTCTTGGAATGGCATCTTATGACGAAGGGTTTTGGGATCGTATTAATGGTAATGGGGCTAATCCTCCACCTCCACCTGCCTCGGCCTCGGCTCAGGCTTCATCAGTGCCATCTACAGCGACTCAAAATAGTCAATCGGCCAGCTCCCAACATACTACAAATGCAGGATCAAATGCCGCAACAACTCCAAATGTAGGAGCAAATGCTGCAGCAACTCCAAAAGCCAATAGTGGCTTAGAGTCTTTCCATGTTTCTACCGTCGCCAGTACATTTGCCATTATTTTGGGCATCTGCATGGCTATTTAAATTTAAAGCATTTTATCAGCCTAGTCTTTTGGCTAAAGATCTTTGGATTTATGCTCGAGTGAATTATTTGTTAAATTCTGGTGTTTGGATTTCAAATAAATATTGATTGCCAATAATATTTTCATTTTAAAAGTATGGTAAAAAGTACGGCCTATGACTGTGCTTAGTGTATTGCAGATATAAATGAATCCGTGTTGGACAGTCGCAGTGCGCAATGGCATTACCAATAAACTATTTTTTATTTTTATTTGGGGATTTGATTCATCCACATATGTGTTGAAAATTATGCTTTTTTGTAATAATTCGCCAGTTAGCCACTGCTTCAAAAAATTTCAGTGTGTGACCAACAAAAAATTTGCTTTTGTGGCTTGCTCTACACAAGATGGCAACATCAATGGCCAAAATAAAATGCGGCCGCTCGCTGTTGCTTCTATACAGGTGTATACAAAATACTATTGATAGTTTCATAGTGCCTCTTGAATCTATGTCGCTAAAGATCATTTGTATCGTCGATTGTCAAAACGTGATGCCATCCATGCTGTTTCATATGGCTCATCAGCACGGTGCCGCAGTTTTTACCTCGAGTATTCCAGTCAATAAAGCTTTGATGAGAAAGCATAGTTGAAAGTAATAGTATGAATGGCAAAAAATGTTGCCACTTTACCCAATAGGCGGGTATATAATCAGCTTTGGTTTGCAGCTATTTTCAAATATCAAGAGTCAACTCTGCTTTATATTTGTTTAATACAGATGCTTTTCCAAATAATTCTTCTTGCTGGCGCACTCTCTACTTCTTTAGCAGATGCTGTTGGCTCTGTTAATTATGGTTTGGAGAACAGATTATACACTAGAGATTCAAGACGTTTGTTTCGTCGTCAATATTCAGACACTTATCCCGGCTTGGATAAGCTTACTCCTGGTGTATCTGTCTGGTCGGACAAATTTGAAAAGAGCGTGCCAAACACTTCAGATGGCAAGACAGCCGAAAGTCCAGAATCGACTAAATGCAAAGATGCCGATTCATGGGCTCTAACGTTTGATGATGGCCCAAGGTAGATTTTTGGGTTGAATCGATATTATGCCTGCAATATACAGTCATTTTTATTCGAACTATGTTGCTGACAGTCTTGCAGTGATCCAACTCCCAAACTTTTAGATGAACTCAAGAAGCGTGACATCAAGGTTACCTTTTTTGTCGTTGGTTCTCGTGTCGAGCAACACCCCGAGCATCTCAAACGAGCTTATGCCGAGGGTCATCAAATTGGTACATATTACACTGCTGTTTTGTATGACTTTAATATCAGCGCTGGCAAGCTAACCCATCCGATTTTTATGAAATTTGACAATTAGGTATCCATACCTGGAGCCATCCTTCGCTGTCCAAGATCTCGGTCGAAAGTGTCATTAGTGAGATTATGTATACTGCCAGGATTATCAAGGAAACGATCGGTGTCACACCAACTGCCGTACGTCCTCCATATGGGGATGTGGATAGTCGTGTCCGAACAATTATTCGTAACATGGGTATGAGTGTTGTCCTATGGACTGTGGATTCAGGTGATAGCGGTGGCTCGACTACTGTTGCCGACACACTCAAAAAGGCTGCAGAGGTGACACCAAAGTCGGGACATATCTCCTTGGAACACGATTTATTCTCAAACCAAGCCGGTCAAGCCCCAGCTGCAATGGATGCGATCAAGGCTGCCGGCTACAAGCTTGTGAGAATTGATGATTGTCTGGGAGTTCCTGCTTACAATGAGGGTCTGTGGTCTGGTCTTCCCCTGCCTGCCCAGGGTCCTGGATCCAACACAACCACTACCGCCGACGGCAAGACCAACTCTACAAAGTCTGAAGGTGAACTGAATGGCGGGTCGGCCAAAAACTCGACTACCGGAATTGGAAATTCGACAACAAACGGAAACGCAACGGCAAACGCAACAGCAACGGCAGCTGCCAAAGCCAACGAAGTTCCTAATTCTGGTTATGGCACACAAATTTCTATTGTTACGTTATTTGTCACATTTGTTACTATTTTTGCATTGGTTTAGCTGGTCTGCATACCAGCCAACATGTACGAATCATAGCTACATTCAAAATAAAAGATGTTAGTATTCACCCCATCTATTGACCACTGTATTCACGTAAAATGGAGTGTATTCGAGATTTTAGCGACAAATACGAGTTTATAGTTGTATTACATCAACAGTCGAACCCAATATCTGAACTGTAATCAACGCATTCGGTTTCAAACTTGTTGTTTATACAATCCGACTGTCATTTAAAAAAAGAACTGGTTCAAACTATAGTCCGATTGTGTGCATCATATAATGGTCGTTGTTTATTGGACTGAATGTCATCAAATAGTCAATTTCTAATAAACATACCGAATATTCAACCACTGTATACTGCAAGCCATAATAGTGACTGTAAAATACAAAACAGTACTGCATTTTACATGAACTCAGTTTAAAGTGTTTTTGTATTGTTCTCTCTTTCTTGCAATGCTAGCAGTGCCTATAGTGACAAGGCCAAAGATAATGGCAATAATTAGCACGGTAGTAACCAGTGTGGCCATTCCGGTATTCACATCGACGGTGGCATCACCGCAACCAACAATCGAGGCACTGTTGGAATCTGCACAGCGAGGAACAGTAACTGCATACGAAGTACCGCCAATATCATTAGAAAATGAATTGGATCCAGATCTAGTCACGTTGGACAGATAAAAGGGATGCAAAGGACCAGTGTAGGCAAGCTTGTCACCACGATTCCATCCACAGCACACAAAAGTTTGTTGAACAAAGTCTTGCGTAATGGGTGCAAACTCTTTCCAGTCGTTGCTCTTGAGAGATGACCACAAGTTCCTGTTGCGGTTCATTTTGATGACAGAAAAGATCCCAAGACCTACGCTGACAATCAATGCAAACCCAATCACAACAATGTAGCTGCTGAGAAACCAGATTGCACCAGTACATCCGCCAATTAGACCGAATAAAGTTGCAACACCATAGAGACCCGCAATAGTAAAGATACCTATGGCGTGTTTGATTTATAGTAACGGAATCATAGAATCGGCAATAAATTGTTTAGGCAACATCCAGATATAAGGGTCGAAATACCGAATCACAAATCAATACTAAAAATATTTTCAAATTGAAACAGCAAGATACTCAACTGATGCTGACATCTTTTACATTGACACTTTTAATGGCAAATATAGCAGTTTCAGAAATCGTGGAGTTGGCTGGGATGATGCTATCTACATAGGTCTTGCTTGCTACGTAGATGGTGTAGCCAGTATACGCTGCCAAAATAGTCAGCCCAAGAAAAAGCACATTGATGATAACAAGCCAGACTCGGCTAATGCATCCACCCAAAGCAGATGAACGAGACATTTTTAAACTGCAATATGTAAACAAGCTTAGTTTGAACTCATGTGTAGATCATCTGGAGACTTGACTTGAATTTGACAAAACAAGCGATTTACCTGTTTTTAAACACAATTTGACCTATTCAATAGTACAACGTTTAGCGGAATAAGTACCAAATGCATCGAGTCTAACAGACTCAAAGTCAAGCCAATCACCTGAGTAAGCAATGAGGCTACAAATCGATAATTAAAAAGTGGCGTTTGTCCAGTCACATTCTGGCCGATTGCCACATGTATTGTATAGATTTGGATAAATGTCATTTCAACACCATTAAACCATACACAGCTACGCATGTAGTTTAAAACTGCATGGCGTATAGTAACCACTGTTTGAATTTCGATTATGCACTTTGAGTATACACTTTTTTATTCAAATGTCATCAATTTGGTTCAACAAGATCAAGGTTATAAATATGATATTTGAATCTGTCAAACATTGAGTTGGCTTGATAATTGTGACAAACCATTTGACTATTGACTCGTGTTGTTGTAACACATTCCATTCATTGTTTCCTGATATTGCATTGACGCAAATCAACGCGGCAAAACTCGATTGGCTACCAAACAGCTATATAGCATAGTAGCACAATGATTGTGTCATCTGTGTATCATGCTGTCTTGACTGACCAGTTCAATTTAACATTTGTAAATCTGACACAATGGACTAGTCTCATCAAAACTGCTAATATACATCAAATCAATCACAAAAGTTGGCTGTTGACAATTCGAGGCGATACAGGTTTGACAGTTTCTTGATACATTCATTCATAGTCTGTCAATGCTCAAATCGTGTCAAATATCCAATGTTGTTGCAATTCAACATGGTCTCAACTTTTACACATGGATCCAATCAAAACTATTTAAAACTCGACTTTTCAAACGTGGCTAATCTCGGCACATCTGTTGGATGCTCATCAGACACGTACAGAGCAATCGAGCATGTATTCAACTTAATACACATCAATAGTGCCAATCAATCCAGCCTCGAATAGCGTACCAATCGCAGTTTTAATATACATATATATACAAACGCAGGCAGTCTAGACAGATGCATACAGTGTATACAGCGTATACAAATGTGAACAGTATACACAAACATACACATATCAAATCAAATCAAGACACGACAAATCAAATCACATCACATCATATCAAGACATGTTATTTGTGTTTATAGGCGTTCAATCACAATCGATGAAGCAGCTCCTCCGCCATTGCAAATTGCAGCAACACCAATCTGTCCCTAAAGTTTCAATGCAATCAAACATTAAACCTCCACGTTAGACCTGCTACAATCCAATCCAATCCAATTCATACCAAACCCTATCAACATCATATTCACATACCTTGGTTAGCAAGTGCACAAGTGAAACAACAATACGTGATCCTGAGCTACCAATGGGATGTCCAAGAGCAACACCACCACCAGCAATATTGACCTTGGCTGGATCAAGACCCATAATCTATGTTTTGACAATTAAAAATTAAACATTTGCACACAAAACCTTGTAGTTGGGCACACCACTGCTGATTCCAATCGCATTTGTACAAAACAGTCATATCTGCCATCAACCCGCTGATCTAAACCAACATACCTTTTCGTTGGCACGAATGACAACACTGAATGCCTCGTTGATTTCAAACAGGTCAACATCACTGAGACTTAGCTTGGCTTGTTTCAAAGCAATAGGAATCGCCAACGATGGAGCAATCGTAAACTTTTTTGGTGAACAGGCTGCATCACCGTATCCAAGGATACGGGCAAGAGGCTTGATGCCAAGCTCATCTGCACGAGACCGAGTCATGAGCGCAATAGCAGATGCACCATCATTGATGGTGGACGAGTTTGCGGCAGTGACAGATCCTAAAATTCAGCAATCAATAACACAATCAACAATCGTGTATCAACAACACATTCAATGATTCCTGTCTTCAATGTGTACAGCTGATAATAACATCCAAAACAATGTCTAGTAATGCATGATCAAGCCAATCAACGCACCCTCCTTTTGGAATGCTGGGCGTAAGCTGGCAACCTTTGAAAAATCAACATTTTTGTATTCTTCATCTTCCTTGACAATCTTGTCGCCACGTTTATCCTTGATGGTCACAGGTGCAATTTCTTTGTCCATGCGGCCAGATCTCCATGCCTCTGCTGCACGCTTATATGACGAAATAGCATGCTCATCTTGTTCCTCGCGTGATATTTTGTACTCGAGTGCAGTTTCTTCAGCACAGTTACCCATGTGAACCTACAATCAGTGTAGCACGTTTAGTACTACTTGGTATCAGCAGCAAGCAGCGTGTATATATCAACGTATTTGATTCATTTACGTTGTTGTACACATCCCAAAGACCGTCCTTGATGATACCATCCAACGCTTGCTGATGACCAAATTCTAAACCACAGTTGGTAAATATACTCGTTATTACAATGACTTGATCGCAATCGTATGACAATCGTATTACAATCGTATGATAATCGTATGATAATGATATGGCAATCATATCACAATCGTATCACAATACATAAAATACACTTACGCGCAGAACGAGGAAAATAAAAAGGAACGTTGCTCATGCTTTCCATACCACCAGCAACCATGGTGTGGCGATTGCCCAACTGAAGTGACTGGGTTGCAAACAGGACGGCTTTAAGACCAGATGCACACACTTTATTTATGGTGGTTGCTTCTGTGGACTCGGAAAGACCTGCAAACAGTGCTGCTTGACGGGCAGGTGACTGACCAACACCAGCCGAAACAACATTTCCCATTAAAACCTCCTCAATTTGGTTGTTCTTAAGACCTACAATATGTCAGTGTGTCAAATTTAGTCAATTATGGTCTATACACAGTAAAATGTATTCAATTTACAGTTTCGACACAACTCCATTAAATATGTTCAAATCGATCAATCATACTGCAAAATAAATAGTGCTTCAACACACACAATCCATTCACCACAAAACACTATATACCTGCACGTTCAACTGCAGCCTTGATTGCTGTATATCACAGGAATACGACAAGCGTTCGCATATGACCATTTTTGAAAATTAAAAAGGTTAGATCTGCGCCAAAAGTTGCTTTAAACTCGATGCGCAATCCACAACAGCAAGCCTAGAGCTCATATCAACACAAGGTTGTTATGTCTAGTATTGTGATACTCACCAACAGCACCTAGCTGCGTTGCACTGAGCTTTTTGAGTGATTTTTGGAAAGAACCAGTTGGAGTTCTGACCGCAGACACAATCACAACTTCCTAGTGTCATCAACATGCACATAAATGATTAGACAATAGTTGTATATACAATCACTGAACTGTCCATCCAGATCATAAGTCGGTGGTATCACGATCTCGTTCAATCCATTTGTAAAAACCTATTGGCTAGTACTCACATTGAGTGAAGAAGTGGCAAGTCCACGGCTACCAGCGAGTGTTGTTTTAGCGGTACGAGCAATTGTCTGTCATTAAATATATTTCAAATGTGAGTAACATGGATATGGAGATCAAGTTGCAGGCCAGTATGGGTTCAAAACAGATATCAACTGTCGATCCTTTAGCAGATATACACTGGGTTTCACATCAAACTCTTTGGTATATCAGCATAATATGGTGATGTGTGCATGATCAACGCTCTACCTTGGACCAGTTGAACATTTTTGAATTGATGGTAAGAAATATTTACATCACATTCACGTAAAACACTTGTATTTGCAGCCACTATTCTGCTTGAAAGACAATATCGGCTGTTTTCATATTACAAATTGACTAATAAACGCTCTTTGATAAACACAGCGTTTATCATATAAAAATCAAATTGTGGTTTAAACTGAGATTGTCCTTGTTTGATAGTCATGTAATGTACAATCATCAAGTCGGAAATCAGATTGATCAATTTTGCAATCTAAATGTTGGGCTTGATTGTTGATGTAATACAACTACAAACTCGTGTTTGTATCATAGTATCATAGATACGCTTGGTTTTTGATTCAAAAATAAGTTGCACATATCAAGAATATTGTTTTGGTGACAATTACTGAATGTTTACTTGTAATGGTTGATTTGTAGGAAATGAGTGCCAAGTATTGAAATGTATATCTGTTGCTCGTGTCATCTGTATCACGACGATAATCTGACTTGTTGACATGACCAGTTTATTGAACGGCCTGCTTCCCTCGATTAAATATAGTACAACGTCCATCGTTCAATCTTTTTATGATGCGAGAGCTTTAGTTTTTCACCTATAATATGTGTATTAACCTAAAACAATCACAGCAAATATTCACATCTCTGCCCTAATACATTCCACATCTTTTCGGCCTCCAATTTCCCTTTTCTCCAAAACAAGCATTTGAAGTAAACATTGCGTGGTCGACATGGAAAAATTATTGCATTCCTGAGATGTTCTCTTGAACTAGAGTACAAACGTATCTGATATTAGGATACAACAGAGCTTCAATAAAAAAGTAATCAATTTCGAATAACAACGAAGGGTCAACGATTGTTTATTCGGGAGCAAAATAGAGTCATTACAAGATCAATACAGAAAAGTGTTTCATTTTACGCGAATACAGCCGTAATACCAATTTCAACTTTACTCTCAAACTCGCGATATCGAGATAGATGAGTACGAACGATGCCTTACCAAAAACAGCGGTAAATAATGGTCAAACAAGATTTTCAGATGCCACTGAATCTACTTTTCCAAATGGCGGTGCTACTTGTAGCAGCAAGGCAGACAGTTCCAACAATTTGACTGCCAGTATACATATTGGTCCAGACAATGATCTATCTGCGGAAATACAAGATAGCAAACAACTGCATTCACATGTATATAGAGAAATATGTCAGCACAATGCTCCACTTGAAGCGACCACGGCAGAATCAATGTTACAGTATAAATCCATGCTGTCGACAGTGCCTTCTGGAGCAAGCTCCACAGGACATCTATTGCTGCAGCAACCATCCAGTATCGATGCTATTCTTTTTGTAAAACCCAGTCTTTCTACCACAGCAGCAGACTCGCCACTTTCTGAAATAGTTTTTGGGATGGGTACGCTTAATGACAGCCCTTCGTCTGCAAACCGACTTTTATCCTGTGACGCGCCTGAGATATTAACAGAACAGCCATTGATCACCAAACACGGTCATACGTCCTTGTCAGTATCAGTTGATGTAGCCTTGTCTGAAAGCATTTCATCAGAAAATAGAGAGAATCAAAGTCATCATATGGATAGCCTCAAGGTCAACAATGTGAGGTCGATAGAAGGGTTATCAATATCACCCAATCCATCAACAACACGCACAGAATCGGTTTTAAAGCCTCCACCATCGCTCAGCATTCTTGCTCCAAGTAATTTATTGCATCAATCTTCAGACGATCTCATATCACCATACTTTATGCAAAACTTAAATCATCATTACTCTCCTAATGCTGCAATGCAAAGTTTGATTGCTCATACAACCCCGTCCTTTCGTAATCAGCAGCAACAACCTCAATCTGGAAACCCGCATCAACACCACATGGCACCAGCAGATGCAGCCGGAAGAGGCTCTGGCTACACTGGTGGTGTATTACCATTGCTGATGGGAGTTCTTCCAAGGCGACATATGACTCATAGTAGACGAATGTCGTCTCATTTTTTACAAAGCGATGGCAACTTGGCCATCGAAGGGACTTTGCAGCAACGCAATCTGCAACAACCACTTCAGCCACTACAACATGGATTTCAGCAACATACACCAGCTGGTCAAATTCGTGCTCAGCGAAAAGGTAGATCCGAGTCTTTGTCAACCAAGTTACGTGACTCAATATATCACATAGACCGTAGACCAAATGGAATTGCCGAGTCTTGCTCTACATCAAATACGAGCTTGAAAGTACAGTTTGCTAATCAGCAATTGACACAAAGTTTAACAAACACCAACAGTATGGTGATCCCTGCTGCTCGAATTAGCATTACGTATGACGCAAGTGGTAGCATTATGCACAACAACGATATAGAGCTGGAAAGCGATATTCGTATGCTGGACTCACTCCAAAGAAAAACCAGCCATGTCCATTCGGTGGATCAACAAGTATTGCCAATTCACGAATTGAATCAGGCGGCCAATCGTGCGTCACTATCCACGAGTTGCAGATACTTAAAAACATCCAGATCACATAGCACAATACAGCAACAAAACAACTTGGAAAGCTCTGTAAACAGAATTCGACACATTTCTCTTATGTCCATCAATAATATCAAACAGCAAAACCTGGATTCGAGCGAAGGATCCAAAGACAGCAGTGGTGCGGCAGTTCAAATTTCAAACAGCTATACGTCTGGAAAGATCAAAACAGACAATGAGCTGAATCCTGCCATCAATCGGGTGATTGATTTGCATGACGCAATCATCAATGACACTTCATCATCTAAAAAAAAGCATCGAACAGCAATCCCTAAAGTCAAATTTTTGGATCCTTTTTTTCATCCATTTGAAGAAAGTCCGACTACTGGGTGGACTCTTAAATTTCCGCCTACAATTGAAGCCATGTTCCAAATCTATATATTCTATATTATTTTACGCAAAAGTCAAGGATGGATTCTTTTGATAACAACGATTGGCTGGGCTGTTTTTTGTATTGCCGACTGGTTATTATTTCCTGGATTGCAACATTATACCAGACTAATAGGAAACCTTGTACCATTGACAGTTTCAATTTGCAATATTGTTTTATCGTTTCGTAAAGATTGGGAAACTCGTTGTTATCAGGGTCAGTTGGCATATACCATAGTAGCTTACCTTCAAAACCTCAACATTTCATACCACATTGGATATCTAAACGCCGTCGATATGAAAGATTTACACGGGTTGATTTTACTAAATACCCTTTGTACAGTCATGATCAGTTACACAGTTCTTGCCTCGCCATATGTACATATTTCGATTGCCTCGTTAATTTTTTGTGCAACCGAGTTCGTCATGGAGGTGTCGTTTAAATACTACTCTACTTCAGAAGCCTACATTGCAAGTGGTTTGTTGTTTATCGCAGCCAATATCACTGGTATTTTTTTCAAATACTCATATGAGCTACATTTACGTAAAGCATTTGTACGATATCGACTGCTCTATCACAATCAAGAAGAGCTTACTGAAGCACGCGAGCGAAGTGATGCCCTCCTCGGAATGGTATTACCAGCAAAAATTGTTGCATCAATGCGTTTGATTGACGATTCTGATGCCAATCGACTTAAAGAAAGTGTCAATAGTTTGTTTGCAGAGCTACATGGTGTCACGATTCTTTTTGCAGATATTGCTGGGTTTACCGAGTTTTCTGGAACTGTTACCGCCAGTGCATTAGTCGACGTGCTTAGTGAGCTGTTTTCAATGTTTGACGCCATTGCCAGTGATTTGCAACTTGAAAAAATTAAAACTATTGGTGACTCGATTCATATTGCTGGAGGTGTACCAGAGCAACTTAGAAGCCGTGAAGAAATTGCTTTATTTGCCAAACGTGTATGCATCATGGGAGTAGAGATGATGAAAGGGTTTAATCAACTATGTATCGAAAAAGGCATGCATGTGAAACTACGAGTTGGCATTCATACTGGATCGGTTGTTGGAGGCGTTATGGGATTATGGAAATTCAAGTATGACATTTGGTCCCAGGATGTCGACATTGCGTCATTGATGGAACAGACTGGCACTCCTGGAATTCCACACATTTCTGAATCAACGTATGAGTTGATACAAGACGATCCCGACTTTTTATTTTCTCCTGCAGAAACTGTACCAGTTTTGGGTCGGGAAATCTCTACCTACCATATCACAGCAATGCGAGAGGAATCATCATCAGCCGAGCCAAACACGTTTATGCTGGGTGGAATACCTCGCTCATCTAGCAAAAATATCACAGTCACTACATCATCAGTATCCATGATGAAACAAAAAAGCTTTCAGTCAATCAAGAAAAGCGATGCCATGACACGGTTTGATCTTGAGTTGAATCGATATCTGTGTTTGTTTAAAAATCCTGACAAGGAGCATGATTATCGCACACGATTTATGGAGACGTCCTCTGCGTCTTTTGGAACTGCCACAATCGTTATAGTGTGTGTCCAAGTCATCATATTTGGTGTACTGCAAACAATTAACAGTAGCAGAACCTTGCTATTACTGGATATTTTGATTTTGATCGCATTGATTTTCATGGGTTTTTTATTCTATGTGGCACAGGCTCAGCATAATTCCATCATTCGTGAGTTTGAGGATAGAAAAACCAAAAAAATGTTTGGCATAGTTAACACTTCGTTGAATTCTTTATCGGAAAGCTTGGCGCTTGTTGATCGACCTCTTTGGCCCTGGTGGCTTCCTAACGCATTTGCAATCTCGATATTTTTTGTCGCAAGTGTATCGACCGCTAGTCACATGAATACACTTACGGCTCTCACAGCACCAGTATTGCATGGATGTCACACGGTATTAATGATGTTATATCTTACCTTTTTTGGCATCAAAAGTCTTTATCTGCGATTATGGCTTGTTACATCCACTTTGGCATATATTTTGGGTTTTTTATACCTTTGCTGGAGTCGAGTTTCTGATCGACCCGGAATTGTTGCTATGATCATGGAAACTGTCATCTTGGCATCCCTTTGTGTTATTATTTTTTCAATGAGCTGGTACACAGACTTGATTTCTCGTATGAATTTTTTCATGGAAAGCGAAAACGAGGTTGGATCTCGCGAAATGGAGATAACACAGCAAGCCGCTGAACGATTGATTATGAATATATTACCATTGTCTGTTGTTCAGCGGTTGGCAAATGTTGAGCAAATACAAATTGCTGATGATAGAGAGGATGTGGCAATTATTTTTACCTCGATCTCAAATTGTGAGTTGACTTGTTTTGAATAGGCTTTTGTCATGGCTGATTTTTGAAAGATGTACTCATTTTGATCAATTTTAAACATGTTTAGTCAAGCCAAATACGTCTGAAAAAGACTGGTTGTGGGTATTAAATGACGTCATTTGTGAATTTGATATTATAGCTATGCAGTATGGTATCGAAAAGATCAAAACGATTGGTACAAAGTACATGGCAATGGGAGAACCCATTGAAAACGATAAAGATGACGCTCTTATACGAACCTGTGAATTTGGACTAGCTCTATTGGTAAATAAGAAAATACTTAGATTGGTATTAAACTGATGATAAAGTGAAAAAAATAGCTAATTAATTCGAGTTTTTAGACTTTAATTCAGGATATTAATCAACGACTAGATCAAGATTTTAAACTAAAAATTGGAGTCAATGGTATTTAATACATCTAAACTGATAGAATGTGCCTGATGTGAGATTTTAAGCTTTCTAATTTCTATATATCTTTACACTGTTTTTATAGTTGGACCAGCCGTCACAGGTTTGATTGGAACAAAAACAGTAAGTGGATTCAAGCTTGTAAATTGCATTACCGTTGATCGTGTTTATTTGTAATCATGTGCTTAATGGCTGAAATTTAATATTATTTTATCAATAGTTTGCATTCGATGTATGGGGTGACACTGTCAATGTATCGTCTCGCATGGAATCCACGGGAAAGGAGAATCAAATTCAAGTAACGCAAACAGTATATGATAGATGTAGAGATATATTCAAGTTTGAGGAGCGTGGAACAGTACATGTTAAGGGAAAAGGCGAGATGATGACCTATTGGCTGGTAGACTATTTACCCAATGTAGAATTAGATTCAGATGTACTATGATTAGGTAAATAAACTATATATAATATCTATAATAAAAGGTTGATATATTTAAGATTCAGTGAATGCTGACAAGAGAAGTTTGGAGCACAAGTCAAGACGACAGTATCTGGTCATATTTTACAATTCGAATAAATGCAAACACAAGTTTATAGTTGTATTACATCAACAATCAAGCCCAACATTTAGATTGCAATTGATCAATCTGATTTCCGACTTGATGATTGTACATTACATGACTACCAAACAAGGACAATCTCAGTTTAAACCACAATTTGATTTTTATATGATAAACGCTGTGTTTATCAAAGAGCGTTTATTAGTCAATTTGTAATATGAAAACAGCCGATATTGTCTTTCAAGCAGAATAGTGGCTGCAAATACAAGTGTTTTACGTGAATGTGATGTAAATATTTCTTACCATCAATTCAAAAATGTTCAACTGGTCCAAGGTAGAGCGTTGATCATGCACACATCACCATATTATGCTGATATACCAAAGAGTTTGATGTGAAACCCAGTGTATATCTGCTAAAGGATCGACAGTTGATATCTGTTTTGAACCCATACTGGCCTGCAACTTGATCTCCATATCCATGTTACTCACATTTGAAATATATTTAATGACAGACAATTGCTCGTACCGCTAAAACAACACTCGCTGGTAGCCGTGGACTTGCCACTTCTTCACTCAATGTGAGTACTAGCCAATAGGTTTTTACAAATGGATTGAACGAGATCGTGATACCACCGACTTATGATCTGGATGGACAGTTCAGTGATTGTATATACAACTATTGTCTAATCATTTATGTGCATGTTGATGACACTAGGAAGTTGTGATTGTGTCTGCGGTCAGAACTCCAACTGGTTCTTTCCAAAAATCACTCAAAAAGCTCAGTGCAACGCAGCTAGGTGCTGTTGGTGAGTATCACAATACTAGACATAACAACCTTGTGTTGATATGAGCTCTAGGCTTGCTGTTGTGGATTGCGCATCGAGTTTAAAGCAACTTTTGGCGCAGATCTAACCTTTTTAATTTTCAAAAATGGTCATATGCGAACGCTTGTCGTATTCCTGTGATATACAGCAATCAAGGCTGCAGTTGAACGTGCAGGTATATAGTGTTTTGTGGTGAATGGATTGTGTGTGTTGAAGCACTATTTATTTTGCAGTATGATTGATCGATTTGAACATATTTAATGGAGTTGTGTCGAAACTGTAAATTGAATACATTTTACTGTGTATAGACCATAATTGACTAAATTTGACACACTGACATATTGTAGGTCTTAAGAACAACCAAATTGAGGAGGTTTTAATGGGAAATGTTGTTTCGGCTGGTGTTGGTCAGTCACCTGCCCGTCAAGCAGCACTGTTTGCAGGTCTTTCCGAGTCCACAGAAGCAACCACCATAAATAAAGTGTGTGCATCTGGTCTTAAAGCCGTCCTGTTTGCAACCCAGTCACTTCAGTTGGGCAATCGCCACACCATGGTTGCTGGTGGTATGGAAAGCATGAGCAACGTTCCTTTTTATTTTCCTCGTTCTGCGCGTAAGTGTATTTTATGTATTGTGATACGATTGTGATATGATTGCCATATCATTATCATACGATTATCATACGATTGTAATACGATTGTCATACGATTGCGATCAAGTCATTGTAATAACGAGTATATTTACCAACTGTGGTTTAGAATTTGGTCATCAGCAAGCGTTGGATGGTATCATCAAGGACGGTCTTTGGGATGTGTACAACAACGTAAATGAATCAAATACGTTGATATATACACGCTGCTTGCTGCTGATACCAAGTAGTACTAAACGTGCTACACTGATTGTAGGTTCACATGGGTAACTGTGCTGAAGAAACTGCACTCGAGTACAAAATATCACGCGAGGAACAAGATGAGCATGCTATTTCGTCATATAAGCGTGCAGCAGAGGCATGGAGATCTGGCCGCATGGACAAAGAAATTGCACCTGTGACCATCAAGGATAAACGTGGCGACAAGATTGTCAAGGAAGATGAAGAATACAAAAATGTTGATTTTTCAAAGGTTGCCAGCTTACGCCCAGCATTCCAAAAGGAGGGTGCGTTGATTGGCTTGATCATGCATTACTAGACATTGTTTTGGATGTTATTATCAGCTGTACACATTGAAGACAGGAATCATTGAATGTGTTGTTGATACACGATTGTTGATTGTGTTATTGATTGCTGAATTTTAGGATCTGTCACTGCCGCAAACTCGTCCACCATCAATGATGGTGCATCTGCTATTGCGCTCATGACTCGGTCTCGTGCAGATGAGCTTGGCATCAAGCCTCTTGCCCGTATCCTTGGATACGGTGATGCAGCCTGTTCACCAAAAAAGTTTACGATTGCTCCATCGTTGGCGATTCCTATTGCTTTGAAACAAGCCAAGCTAAGTCTCAGTGATGTTGACCTGTTTGAAATCAACGAGGCATTCAGTGTTGTCATTCGTGCCAACGAAAAGGTATGTTGGTTTAGATCAGCGGGTTGATGGCAGATATGACTGTTTTGTACAAATGCGATTGGAATCAGCAGTGGTGTGCCCAACTACAAGGTTTTGTGTGCAAATGTTTAATTTTTAATTGTCAAAACATAGATTATGGGTCTTGATCCAGCCAAGGTCAATATTGCTGGTGGTGGTGTTGCTCTTGGACATCCCATTGGTAGCTCAGGATCACGTATTGTTGTTTCACTTGTGCACTTGCTAACCAAGGTATGTGAATATGATGTTGATAGGGTTTGGTATGAATTGGATTGGATTGGATTGTAGCAGGTCTAACGTGGAGGTTTAATGTTTGATTGCATTGAAACTTTAGGGACAGATTGGTGTTGCTGCAATTTGCAATGGCGGAGGAGCTGCTTCATCGATTGTGATTGAACGCCTATAAACACAAATAACATGTCTTGATATGATGTGATGTGATATGATTTGTCGTGTCTTGATTTGATTTGATATGTGTATGTTTGTGTATACTGTTCACATTTGTATACGCTGTATACACTGTATGCATCTGTCTAGACTGCCTGCGTTTGTATATATATGTATATTAAAACTGCGATTGATACGCTATTCGAGGCTGGATTGATTGGCACTATTGATGTGTATTAAGTTGAATACATGCTCGATTGCTCTGTACATGTCTGATGAGCATCCAACAGATGTGCCGAGATTAGCCACGTTTGAAAAGTCGAGTTTTAAATAGTTTTGATTGGATCCATGTGTAAAAGTTGAGACCATGTTGAATTGCAACAACATTGGATATTTGACACGATTTGAGCATTGACAGACTATGAATGAATGTATCAAGAAACTGTCAAACCTGTATCGCCTCGAATTGTCAACAGCCAACTTTTGTGATTGATTTGATGTATATTAGCAGTTTTGATGAGACTAGTCCATTGTGTCAGATTTACAAATGTTAAATTGAACTGGTCAGTCAAGACAGCATGATACACAGATGACACAATCATTGTGCTACTATGCTATATAGCTGTTTGGTAGCCAATCGAGTTTTGCCGCGTTGATTTGCGTCAATGCAATATCAGGAAACAATGAATGGAATGTGTTACAACAACACGAGTCAATAGTCAAATGGTTTGTCACAATTATCAAGCCAACTCAATGTTTGACAGATTCAAATATCATATTTATAACCTTGATCTTGTTGAACCAAATTGATGACATTTGAATAAAAAAGTGTATACTCAAAGTGCATAATCGAAATTCAAACAGTGGTTACTATACGCCATGCAGTTTTAAACTACATGCGTAGCTGTGTATGGTTTAATGGTGTTGAAATGACATTTATCCAAATCTATACAATACATGTGGCAATCGGCCAGAATGTGACTGGACAAACGCCACTTTTTAATTATCGATTTGTAGCCTCATTGCTTACTCAGGTGATTGGCTTGACTTTGAGTCTGTTAGACTCGATGCATTTGGTACTTATTCCGCTAAACGTTGTACTATTGAATAGGTCAAATTGTGTTTAAAAACAGGTAAATCGCTTGTTTTGTCAAATTCAAGTCAAGTCTCCAGATGATCTACACATGAGTTCAAACTAAGCTTGTTTACATATTGCAGTTTAAAAATGTCTCGTTCATCTGCTTTGGGTGGATGCATTAGCCGAGTCTGGCTTGTTATCATCAATGTGCTTTTTCTTGGGCTGACTATTTTGGCAGCGTATACTGGCTACACCATCTACGTAGCAAGCAAGACCTATGTAGATAGCATCATCCCAGCCAACTCCACGATTTCTGAAACTGCTATATTTGCCATTAAAAGTGTCAATGTAAAAGATGTCAGCATCAGTTGAGTATCTTGCTGTTTCAATTTGAAAATATTTTTAGTATTGATTTGTGATTCGGTATTTCGACCCTTATATCTGGATGTTGCCTAAACAATTTATTGCCGATTCTATGATTCCGTTACTATAAATCAAACACGCCATAGGTATCTTTACTATTGCGGGTCTCTATGGTGTTGCAACTTTATTCGGTCTAATTGGCGGATGTACTGGTGCAATCTGGTTTCTCAGCAGCTACATTGTTGTGATTGGGTTTGCATTGATTGTCAGCGTAGGTCTTGGGATCTTTTCTGTCATCAAAATGAACCGCAACAGGAACTTGTGGTCATCTCTCAAGAGCAACGACTGGAAAGAGTTTGCACCCATTACGCAAGACTTTGTTCAACAAACTTTTGTGTGCTGTGGATGGAATCGTGGTGACAAGCTTGCCTACACTGGTCCTTTGCATCCCTTTTATCTGTCCAACGTGACTAGATCTGGATCCAATTCATTTTCTAATGATATTGGCGGTACTTCGTATGCAGTTACTGTTCCTCGCTGTGCAGATTCCAACAGTGCCTCGATTGTTGGTTGCGGTGATGCCACCGTCGATGTGAATACCGGAATGGCCACACTGGTTACTACCGTGCTAATTATTGCCATTATCTTTGGCCTTGTCACTATAGGCACTGCTAGCATTGCAAGAAAGAGAGAACAATACAAAAACACTTTAAACTGAGTTCATGTAAAATGCAGTACTGTTTTGTATTTTGCAGTCACTATTATGGCTTGCAGTATACAGTGGTTGAATATTCGGTATGTTTATTAGAAATTGACTATTTGATGACATTCAGTCCAATAAACAACGACCATTATATGATGCACACAATCGGACTATAGTTTGAACCAGTTCTTTTTTTAAATGACAGTCGGATTGTATAAACAACAAGTTTGAAACCGAATGCGTTGATTACAGTTCAGATATTGGGTTCGACTGTTGATGTAATACAACTATAAACTCGTATTTGTCGCTAAAATCTCGAATACACTCCATTTTACGTGAATACAGTGGTCAATAGATGGGGTGAATACTAATATAACTATCAAGTGGTTTCCAAACTTAGTGTCAACCCATCGGGAAAAAAACATATTATTTGAAATCATTTTAAATCAATAGCACTTCCAATCAGCGATTGTACACGAGTGTAAATTTGGATCATGAATCTACACGAACTTGCATGATTTAATCCGACTAAATCTAAATTGTTGGTTTTGATCACTCGACAAAAGTATTTATTTCCAAGCATATTTGAAAATAATAATGCTCACTTAAACTAAACTATCCATTGATTGGCATCTTGTTGGATATGCTGCATGCATTGACACGATATTTTCTGGACCCTGTGTGTTACCATATTCTTTTACAATCTCAGAAATGTATTCTGGAATCCATGGCTCTGCTAATGGTGTTGAATAAGCAGGTGACATGTAGCTCAGTGTGTAATTTTGTTGCTGATGATCCTTGGCGTTAAATACCGGTCCTGTAAGTGATAGTCTTTTTAAACCAATCTCAGTGATCATATCTTTGTTATCTTTCTGTTTTCCCAAGCATCTTTCGCTATCATCTTGTTGATGATCATACCACGGTGTTGGCACACTTATGCTTATCGAGACTTTGGATGGTTTGTCAAAATTAGCACTTTCAGGTGACAGGGATTGCAGATTTTGAACGTTTGTAGCCTTTTGATTTGAATAATCGCAAGTCGATATTTCTGTTACACTTTGGTTTCCAAACGGGTTATCATCTACCGAGCTTGGACTTGACGTGGCTGCTAAATTGCAAGATGATTTCAGACTTGAACGTGGAATGTTCAATTCTAAAACCCCTGCATCCTGCATTTCTCTACCCTGCAAGTTGCAATGTGCTGACACATCATCGCTTTTGTGAACAGAGCTGGAAACTCCATTCTGCACCAAAAGTGATTCAATTGGTGCAAACCGAGTATGCTTTTCAAACAACGATTGACATGTTCGATAAAAAAACCATGTTAAAATTACAAGAGCTCCGCACACAGTGGCTGCAATCGGTGCTGTATAATGGACAACAAATCAAAGTATTGATCATAAAAGTTACGAGTTAGTACTCAAAATCTCCCTAGTAAACAATACACATCGATCATAATCATACCTTTTTTTGCAGACATTAGCCCAGCAGTGGTAAATTGAAATAATCCAAGTCCAAGAACCGATCGATGGTATGCCATAATCCACATTCGCCCGTAATCTTCCGTTTTTTTCACATAAACATACATGATTTGGTTTTTTAGAATCAGCCACGTTGCGCCAAAATAGATTGCACCAGGAATGAGCACAATCGGGGAAATGATCGAGTAGCACAATACAATTGCGAATACCAAAATCTGTGGTGGATACGTAAATGCTATACAAGTTTATATTAGTATTCGGTGCCTAAAGTATACAGCGTCGAGCTTTGTACAGTAATTTACATACCGTAGTTTAATGTGCTTGCCATAATATCAAGCTCGTAGTATTCTCGTGGGGTGGTGCGCCATTTTCTTCCCCATATTGTGATGACATATGCCACAGGTCGAAGTAGTTCAAGTGGAGTCAAGATAACGTTTAAAATCAGCTGTGAATGCACAAGAGTGGAATTTTACGTTGCACAAATTGACAATAAGATTAGTTTAATTACCACTTCAATTATTTCTATAGAATTTTGATATGACCAATATAGCGTACATAGTTGATAAAAAACGATGTTCCTGAAGGAAGTTTTGTAACAATATTTTCGACCCAAGCCAATGGACTTGCAAAAAAATTAGACGAAGATCCCCATGCTGCCGAAAATATGGTAAATACAAAATGCACATTAAACACTAGAAAAAAAAAGTATTTTGCAAATGTTGCCTTTTGAACTTTAAATGTGCTTTCATATCCCTGCAGTCCAGAGAATGCTAAGAGATGAGATTTTGTGTCAGTAGTATGAAAATATAAACTATTCGAATGAACCACCTACCGTCAAAAACATATGGCATAATGATGTTAAAAAGTTGAATAATCAGCGGTGGTAGAATTGACACAACGAGTATGCGCAACCATGAGTATTGATTTACGAAAATAACAAATTGTCGATACTCTGGCTGAAGACCAAGTTCGTCCAACCGCGAAAACTTGGAAACAAAAGATGTGGGGACAATCCAGCAGAGAGAAAGGGTGTATACAAAAATATCTACAAGTCCGCGTTTAATTACTGTTTCCATGAGAGATAAAGCAAGACTTTTCCATATTATTTCTTTTGGTTCTGGAGCTGCTTGAATATGGATTGGAAATGGATCTTTTGTTTCCTGAAGTGAAAGTTGCTGTGCGCAAAATGCTGATCGACGATCTTTAAATGTAACAAACGCAGAACAAGAACATGCATTAAACTGTTTGTAAATTGCCATGTCAATTTTCGTTAGAGCTGCTAATGATCCAGTAATACTAGCCCGTTTTTTATATTCAGGTGGAATATTGGGTTTGTGCGCAGTCGATTGATTCGTATTCACCATATAGTCGGCTTCTTCATGCTCTGAAGAGTTTCCATTAAAGTTTGTATTTTCAAAGAGTGCAGCTGTTTTTGTTTCATTGGCGACAAGAACTGAGGAATGTGCGTTGAAAATTGTTGGCATTTCCCGAGCCAATGTCGATGTAGCAACAATCTTTGTGCGTGCCCATATTATACTTTCTGTCATATTTCTGATTTTACTATCGTATGCTCTAATTGCATCCTGACGAACTATCATTCCTCCAACTGTTCTGATACGAAGTGGTCGAGTACGTTGCAAAATCTCATTTGTCAACTTTTCCTTTGGAACATCCATTGGCTGAAGATGAAGCTCACTCATTTGTGAGGGTGAGCACCCCGACATTCGGAAGCAATACCCCATTATTCCAGAAAATCTTTGATGTTTGAACTCCTTTGACAGATTGATTGCCCATGTCATATATGCTTTTTCCAGCTTGCGTAAATTTCGATCGCGGCGTTTAATGATCTTTAGAATATTTGCATCATCATCGGCTGCCATGAAAATACTGTCAATATCTCCCAAATTTAGAGATTTTAGCCACAGTTTCAACTGATGTTCATGCCGAAGTCGTTCTGGCAAGTTTGTCATGAGAATAGTTCGAAACATAACTTCCTGAGATGGGTCTGCTGGTGTTTTGCCACTCAAGAATGCTACGATTGATGCAGTATATGTCTTGTAACTTTGATATAGAAAAAAATATGCTAGCATTGATGCACCATATGTGCATGCAACATGAATCCATAGCATATTTGATCCATCACGAACATTGTCGATTGAAAAGTAGCTAATAGACTTTGCTGCAACTTCCAAAACTGTTTCTGATGTAGTAATGTTAAAGGATTGTGATTCGGTGCTGTTTGCATAATAATTGACTGTATAGGCACATAATTTTGTTAGATTTTAATAAGCATCCGTGTACATATTTTTCAACTATTACTAATAGCCCAATCATTTGTTGAAATGGCAAAATACCTGGAATTAAAATAAATATCATAAATACAGCCAAAATTGAAAAAAATTTAAAAGACATTTGCAGATATGATAGTAACCTATATTGAAAATAAGATGCATTATCAAGTAATTGTCGAAATATGTTAGTAATTTCCAGTTTGTAGCAGATATATCAAAAAATTCACCATCAATTGATTAAAATCTAGTTTAAACAGCCATAAACTACCCACATGAATGCATCCAGTCCAACATCTTTGTGAATATAGCTATCTGGTGTCTTGAAGACTTGCCATATCCATCCAAACAATGCTGTTGGATACTTTGGCGCGTGTTCAGGTGAAATATCACTACGTGTATAATAGATATGGGTATATCTTCGACTCCGACGAACTACTTCAAAAAGTAAGATAGATGATACTACTACCACCAGAAATATATTTATCCAAACCAGAACTCCAGAGAGAGATTGGTCATGAAGTACAATGACTTCAATAGCTGATGTTTTATTTCCATCAAGTGCAGTAGTTGGTTGTGGTGCTAAAGCGGATGTTGACAAAGACATGCTTGTTGATTTGAATGGTGAGTTGAAATGCCCAAGATACGGATAAAAGGTGGCTTGATAAGAGCATTAAATATTGCCACGTGTGTCTAGTTGAATGACAATCAGCAACTGCACGATATTAAGACATGAGCTATAAACTCATAGGAAAGCATATGCAACCATTCAATAAGTTGAATAGCAGGCCAGACTGACGTTTAAACACTCAGATATCAAGGTTATTGATTTTTTGTTTATTAGTGTTTTTGATGACGTAATAGTTGGCAGATATGCCATGATAAAGTAAACACCAAGATCAGTTGTAGCATGGTTCGTCATTTTGAAAAAAAAGTGAATCGGGGTGTAAAGTACGTATTAGATCCTTGTTTGGATATTCGAGCATTCTTTAACAGAAGCAGCTCGCGTGCTTTATCAGTTGTTGCAAGATCCTCAACTGAATTTCACAAAAGTACAATAAAAGTAGTAACGATGACGCTTTAGTACATAGTATCACTTACAGTCCTTGTATTAACAAAACTTCAAAAAATCTAACCATTCAACTTACTAAATGGAAGCATGTCTTCTCTAAGCCATTTTTTTCTAATTTTAAATAGATCTTCAAATCGCATTCTGGGATCTGTAGCCAATAAGCTTTTTGGAAAGTATCGAATTGTTTTTATCTGGCTACCATCTAATAGATATAAGCCCTAACAATAGTAAAGTATTAGGATGAATTTGAGCAAATATAGAACAATACCAAGAATTGTTTTGCTAATCAAACTACTTGCTTTGATTTGATCAAGATGGACTTCCCAGTCCAAAGGTACAGCACTTTGCCATGATTTTAAAAACTGCATTATCTCTATGCCATTTCCCTGCAAATTAAAAGTAGTTCAAAGACTTGAAAACAAAGTGCATGTAAAATCATATAGTCAAGTCGCTTTGCTTACAGTTAGTTCTCTCAACATTTGATCACCATACAGCCTACAAATTTTAGTGCGAGAAAGCTTAAAAACAGTGTCTATTATAGACAGATGAATTAATAAGTAATGCTAGAAACTGATCCAATATTGATGCAATGCGATATGCAGTACATTTGTATAGCCAACTATTATATTTTGAAATTACCTTGACCCATAGTATCACAAGAGTCCGAGTTGGATAAAAGGCATCTTTTCAATACGGGCTCGGGTATTTGATCTTCAGAAAGTGCAATTGCAAGATCATTGAGCGAAAGTTGAAAAATATCCATATCGCGCTCTACTGCCGATAGCATTATCAGTTGCAAAATATACAATGCATATGTAGGTGCAAGTAGTCTCCAAAACCCTATTTTAAAATCAAATGGTAAAATGTTTGCATGATTACAAGCCTATACACCTGGTGGTTCAAAATGCACCAAATTGAAGCCTACCGTTGATTTCAAAAGCCCCAAGAATATTCAATTGATCAATAATTTCACCCTCGCTCGCCTGAATTATTTCTAGAAAATCACTGAGAGAGTATATGGACTGATTTTTGCAGTTTTGATTGGTTTGATTGCATGCTTCCGTGTCTGATCCTGCATATAAACACTCGTTCAGCATAAGCTCAAGCTTCGCGAGTTTAGGAGGAATGCAAGCTACTTCAAGATACGATGAATGAGTGAAAATAACATCGGATACTGCGTCAATGCGGGTGTTAGGGAAACAGCTAGTGAAAGCGTTGGAGGTTTGGATTTGCCGATCAGAGCTGAGATTAAAAGATCGATTCTGCAACAGTAGCATCGAGTTTGATGTTTCCACCTGACGAAGACTATACGTAGCCTGATCTGTGCATAATACAGCCTCGTCAGTGTCGCATCCCCGAATCACCAAAGTTCTAGATTATCAGGAATGCAGATTTATTGACATTGGTCAGCATCCTTGCATACAAATCAAACAAATCTTGATTTTGCAAACATGCAATGAATCAAGACGGATAGCCTACTTTGATGCCTGTAAAAAGGCGACTAATTCGGGTGGACATTCGAGTACTTTATAATCATGTTGAATCAATCCTTGAGCATTACCAAGCCCACCATCCATGTCCGAGTGTAAATCATATATTTCATTATCCAGACTATCCCCTTGATGAGCATAATACAATGTGCAAATATTCCCAGCTGCAATCTTTTTTGGCACAATGTTCTCTTCCATGACTGTTTCTGGAATCCACTCGGACAACAGACTGGACATTGAATTTATGGACTAGCCATGTCCACGTGATGCAAATTGGCCAAATATTTGAAATGGGCAATTTTATCACTTTCGTCAGCGCTGTTCTTGGTCATCTCAATAGCAGTCATGGATATAAACGATGATGAAGAGCATCCTCAATCTGGCGAGAATGGCCAGGGATATGCGTGGGAAGAGGAGTATAAACGCAGTTGGGATATACTGATGGAGGATGATTCTGGCTCATTGCAGGGCATGGTTGCTACAATGCAGCAGCAGCTTTTATTGAAGCGTCGAAGGTATATTGCATTAAATGCTCGGCAATAATTATCCCATCAGCATCTTGGTGTCCAAAAATAGAGATCAGCTTATGTTTAATGCTTAAACGCTATCCATACATCATTCTATAGATTGCGAAAGGAGACCGAGTCTGCAATAGTAGTACAACGAGGAATTATTCGGCAAATTATTATTGTTATAGATCTATCCGCAGCCATGGCTGAGCTTGATCTAAGACCAAATCGACTGGATTGTACTCTCAACTTCCTAGAGATGTTTGTAGTAGAATTTTTTGATCAAAATCCACTGAGTCATCTTGGCATAATTGGGACCAAGGATGGAATGGTTGAAAAATGGGCCGAATTGAGTGGTAAAGCACCATTGTTGAATCGAGTATATATGATCGACTTGAAAAAGGAAATATTGATCATTTTGTACTGATCTGATCATGGTTTTATAGGAAATCCATCGGAGATTTTGAAAGCATTGACAAAGCGCTCTAATCGAGAGACTGCTGGTGAACCATCGCTTCAGAATGCATTGGAATTGGCGCGAAGAAGTTTAGCGTATGTGGTTTAAAATTTACCGAATAGCATTGGTCATGTATATACTGCCAATCTGCTATATGTGCATCGTGTTATTCAAAATTCTAACCATCAGTTGTTTGGGTAAATACAGGCACGTACCAATGCATGTATCTAGAGAAATAATTGTATTATACGGATCGCTTACATCCTGTGATCCAGGGGATATTCAAGAAACCATCAATGATCTTTGCAAGGAAAATATTAGAGTGTCCGTAATTGGACTTGCAGCCGAAGTTCAAGTCTGTAAGAAAATGTGTGCTTCTACAAATGGAGTCTATAACGTGATTATGAATGACGTCCACTACAAAGAGATTTTATTTGCACATATTCCACCACCACCACTATTGCAGACCCAACTGTCTGCATCAAATATTATTCAAATGGGATTTCCAATGATGAAGATTTTTGACGACATGGTTCTTTGTTCGTGGTAAGTTTTTAGATGAACTGTCCTTGCATGAAATTTAACAAGCCATTTGAAATATGGACTTGTCTATAACAAAAATTGTCTGAATTGCCTATAGTCATCAGAATCCTATTCAAAAAGGCCACATTTGTCCAAGGTGCTCGGCCACTATCTGCAATATACCCACAGACTGCTGTCTGTGTTCGTTGACACTTATATCAAGCCCTTCATTGGCAAGATCGTATCACCATCTTTTTCCCGTTCCTAATTTTACTGAAATCCCGCCAGTCCAGTCCACATCATATCCATCACAGGTTGAGTGTTTTTCGTGTCAAACACCGTTTTCAAGACCCAGAGCGCCGGGAGAGTCTACAGGACACCCCAGATCTTCAATGACTAGCTTTCATTCTGGGACATATATGATACCTACCGCTCGATACGCGTGTCCTCGATGTAAAGTACACGTGTGTCTGGACTGTGATGTGTATATCCACGACACTCTTCACAATTGTCCTGGATGTATGTCTGGATTTTCATAATTATTTCAGCGCAGCTGATTTGGGAATCTATAATGGACTAGCATGTCATACATTTGTATCCCTTTAAACGTGTTTGATCCTTGTCTTGAATCATGTCTTTATTATCAAACTAGTAAATTATACATTGGCATTATTGCGATGGTTTGGACAATGGATTAAATAAACTCCTATAGTACACAAGTATTTTGCTTTGAAACTTATTCTGCCATGACCAAGTCAATTTTTCACATTATGGGGTGTAACTTTGTGCAATGACTGCTACATGGGTGTTTGGTAATGTTTTAGTTCCATATAAAATCTCGGAAAGATGAGGTAAAAATGTTGCATTGGAAAACTCATCACTGCAGGCAAATGCAAATTTTTCTAGAGTCTATGGGCAATGGGTTTGTAATCAAAGCCAATTAAATGTTAATATGCATTGATTGCGTGTTTTTGACGAGATACATCTTACTTTGTTGTTGATATATATCCACAAACCATTGATATCGTCGTAGAGATCAAGTTGTTGAGTATTATCAGGCGATAAAGTCGCTGAATCGTTGTCAGAGTGTACCTGTAAATGACAAAATAGGTTTGCATGCGAGGCAGTGGGTTGAATTAATGCAGGATGCATGTTTTCAGAAAAACGGCACCGTGGTGATATGAATTCATTGGCATAACCAGCTTGATTTTCCACCATCATACTTTGACACAACTGGGTTATATTCTGTAGTGGTAATGCATGGTGTCCCTTATTACTCAAGTTTTGGGAGTCTTGTAAATCAATATGTATACGTTCTGAATGTGCGGTTTGATGGGTTTGAAAAGCTTGGTATGCGTTTACATCGAAAAGGAAAGAATCATGCGATTTTTGAAGCAACTTTGCGTTGAGATTGGGAGATGCAATCATCGCGACTTTTTTATCTTGGGTAGCTGGTTGATCTGGTTGAAAAGCAGTGGCAGATTCATTATATGAGTCTAGATGAATCATATTTGTATGTTATAAAAAGTTGGTAATTGAATCCGTTGTTTGGTATAGACTCTAGATTATCAAGAATAGTGTTTCAGAAACCTGCTATTACTGTAAAATCCCGTGTTGTAAAAATAATAGCCCGTCATCAAATAGTTTAATTTAATATACATTGGTAAACCAATATAGTAGATCTCATCAAGTATGATACATTTAATTGCATTTACGACTTGGTTATACGTATAGATATATAATGTCTTAAAGTATAATCTACCTTAATTTAGTCTAGCTCAATAGTCGTGGTGAATTAATTTTTAAAAGTTGATTGCGTGGTAAACAACTATAAAAAGGTTGTCAAGGCTGGCTAGTCTTGGCACTCCATATATTATTTTCAGGTTTTCGTTTGTTTTGTATCCAAATTTTGAAAATTTAATGTTGATCCAAATTGCTTTTACAGCCATATTCACGTACAATACATTTTTATGTATTCATGCATTGACTGTCTCTACTTTGCTTTGGAATAGACAATAGTTGACTATTTGTTATGCTTTACTATTAGAAATTGGCTTTAATTGGCACTTTAATTCAATAAACATAATGTCCATCGTAATTCTCGCATAATCAGATTATATTTCGAATGTGCCCTTTTTTGCATTGTATGATTGACAGATTTAAAACTAGACTCATTGATTTCAATTCAGATATTGAGTTTTGTTGTTGTCAATCAAATTCTGTATAAACTCTTGCATTCTAAAATATCAGATACAATTGTCTTTAGTTCAAGAAAACAATATTGCAAGAATGAATGCTGCTTCCATACCGATCACCCAATAGTGTAATGTTTGATTTGTGAAAACCATTTGAAGATGGAGCAAATATGAGATTTACTGAAACTGTGATTTAAATATTATCATGTACTTTATCACCTTTACTCAGTGCCCTATTTTACGTGAATATAGCTGTAAAATTGGAGATTTAAACTTGTAAAATTTTATTAAATACTATCCTTTTAATGCTTTTTGCTAGCACGTTTGTAATGCAACTGAGATTCTCGATTAAACTTTTTTCCAGCTGGAATAGAGAACTCGTCCTTTAGCAAAGTATCAGTCTTAGTTTGAGTCTCATTTTCAGTATACTGTACCGCTCGTTGAACCATATAAAGTGTTTTTCTGTTAACTTGTTTAGAATTGTATTTAAACGAATCTTTGTTATGGTTGTTAAAGGCCGGATTGCGATTTTCATGAAATTTAGAGGATCGTCGTGGTTTTAATGCTTGTAGTGCAGTATTGATCGACTCTTCAATCTTGGTTCTTTGCGCTTGTGCTTGTTCGTATTCAGTAAACGTCGTTGGAAATCGTTGACTATAGTCGATTGAAATACGATTAAAAATGTAGACGCGTTATTCAACGCAGTTCATAACCAAAATCATATATTCACAAACGATTTGAATGTAAAATTTACCTCAGCCACAGATAGAGAATTGTAACTCGATGTTTTACCTCGAGAGCATTTAATTTGGTGGTGGGGCTGTCGCTGTGATCAATATATTCCTCATCAGATAGCATTACCTGATCCAGAGACAATTCTTCTCCCATACTGTGTGCACGAGCAAATTTGACAATTGCAGCCTTGATAAACGGCTCTTCGGGATTGCAAGGCGATTGAACAAAGTGATACCGATCACGAATATTCAACGGGATGGTTTGGATAAGCTTTGCAATGGCACGATGGTGATCAAGATTGCACATAAAGTAATTACCATCAAGTTGAGCAAGATCTTCAAATTTGTCCTGAAATAGTGTATTATTGCATAAATGTCAAAATCAATAAATGCATGGTTTGTCCATCACTTGACGGTGACAAGGAATTACACGTATCAACAATAAAGGTTAAAATAAACAAAAATTAACTAACCAAAAGTGTAGCATAAGTATCGTTTGGAAGCGAGTTGGAAAACTGTTCAACTTGTTCAACTGTAGGAGTAATACCGACAGACTAGTCAAGCATTGCACTTGTTAGAAGATGAAAAGTATTGCTATTCTCAATCTAAAATAGTTGATATTCAATCAATTCAATATCAAGTTTAAGCTTACCATAATACGAGGTGCTGTCATTTTCATACTTGCATGCAGCAAAGCCATATCCTTGGTCTCTAAACAAGTGACTTGGCCATTTTCCCATTGTGTGCCAAATCTCCCAGCTCGACCGGCAATTTGCTTTGTCTGTGAAACAGTCAATGGTATAATTTTGGTTCCATTGAATTTTTGCATTGTGTAAAACACAATACGTCTAATATTCAAGTTGAGGCCCATACCAATGGCATCTGACGCAACCAATACTTGACGATCGCTCTCTGGATCGTTGAACAATTTTGCCTGATCGGCTCGAGATTCAGGAGGGAGCCCACCATAAATAATAGCTGCTTTGTATGGCGTATTGAGTTCCACAAATTGCTTTGCATTAAATACATTTTTTCGAGAAAATGCAATAATAGCATCACCAGGCTTAATTTGATTAAAGTTTCCTTCAAGTGATTTTTGCGCGACAGTTAACGAGGTCAGTCGCTCATACTCATTAATCTACATGATTCAAAAATGATACAGTTTATCAATTCATCTACTTGATTTAAAAGTCGTATCGCTATTTTAAAGCGTATTACTACATACCTCTAGCGTATCTCCAGTTGTTTTGCATAGTTTACGAACAATATCAAGCGTAGTTCCTTCGCCACAAAGATGCACTTCTTTTGCTTGTAGTGCTATTTGTGTGTATTGATGATACAGTACACCAACGCAATAATATGGATAAAGTGAAAGCTTAAAGATCAGCAAAAAGCTATTACATTGTAAAAGTATAGCTTGATTCTACTACTAACCCAAAAGCGCATGCGTCCACGCCCATCCACGCTGTTGATCGCCTATTAGCTGAATTTCATCCACCACGGCGACATCAAATTCTCGGTTTACCAAAGCCATTTCGACAGTACAACTCCATTTGTCAACTCCATCACTAACTCGTCGCTCTTCACCCGTCAATAGATTGCATGCAATCCCAGCTGCGTTCATCCGTTGATATACTTCTTGGGCAAGCAATCGTAACGGTCCACAGTAAATGGCAGAGTCTACCGCTTTATATCGCTCCAAAGCAGCATAAGTTTTTCCCGAGTTAGTTGGGCCAATATGCATGATAATCTTTCGCTTCATTGCGCGTGCTTGTGGGTAAAGTTCTGCGGGAGTGCGAAGGTCGCTAGATTTTATAAGTTCTGATAGACTAGCTGTTTGTTCTGGGTAGCGTTGCTGTAGAAAAGTATACAAGGCAGGAAACAGGGTTGATCCAAGATTGGCTTTTGAAATTGAATTGTATATAAATAAAGATGCATAAGCTACACATCTGTCATATTGTCATAAAAAGTAGATTTATCCAAATGATCCACTTATCGCAATACAATCATCAAGCTCAATGTAAAGCTACTGTGAATTTAGCAATAGTTTTTGTTAATACTTACAAGACTCGACATATTTTCGAAGCAGCTCGTCAAACGGGACAGAAGGAATTTCATTCCTTATCAAAGCCAGTCTAAACTCTTCTGCGCCTTGTTTAACTATATTCAGATCAATACCCAAATTTGTGCATCTCTTTTTGACAAGCTCTCCTCGACAAAAAGTCTTTAAATATCCACCAAGTTCTAGTAGTGTATATTTTGATCAAGTAATTGTGCATTACAAGTAAAGCAAATATCAGCATCTCGTGTGTATTTTTTACATGATCGACTCTAAATGATCAAACTGCTAGACTTGCAATTTCACCTTGAAAACTTACGTTTCTGCAAAGTGGATGGATTTCGCACCGACTTTACTGGATATTGTGCAGCCGCGACTGGAGTTTGGTGGTTTTGAGATTCAAAAGGTATAGCTGAATTCAACAACTTTGTTTTTTGTGTATATGTTTTATCTAAAACAATTGATCTCTTGGAGTTGGTAGCATCTGGATTGGTAATAGTGCCAAACCAAGTCGCATTTAGTTGTTGAAAAGCGGATCGAGTAAACCGACAACTAACAGAAGAAATGAGTTGTGAATGAATGAATGATTGACGTTTGAAAGCAAAAGTGTATGTAATAGCTTGTCGGTGCAGCCGTTCTAATGTCTTCACCATTGTCCAAGTGTAAGAATAATATTTTGATTTTATGGGTTGAAGTTGAGAATCGAAAAAAGTAAAAATTTCAGCTCGAATGAACACAAGTCAAACGAATCCCATTCTACGTGAACATGGCAGTAATTAGCAAGCTTTCCAAAACATTCAAATTGGTGAATTCATTCATGTGCAAGAGCATCTTGACTCTATCAAACAATGTCTAATAAAACCGGAAATTCACAACAGACATTGCCTGAATTTGTTGAGCCTTGTATACAGGATAGTATGCATCCATACTATGGCAATTACCATTTTGTCCAGCCTCCCATCGTTGTCTTGACTAGCAAACCCTTGCGGTATAATGACCAGAAAATAAACTCAATCAATCCTACAGTTGAACATGGAATAGTTGGCATGGTGAATGGAGAGCCTTGCGCATCTTATTCATCACAAAGACCACTACAGCCAACCATTTGGACTGACAAGTTACTCTTGGCACTCGACTCATTTAGTGTCGAATCTGTTCAACAACTATTACTTGCAACAGAACCCAACCTTGCATCTGAGCAGGCTGCTTCTTCCATTTCTAGTGATATCAGCACTGCTCAAGTTGACATTAACGCTCCACTCACTGCAACGGGGATTAGTGCTCTGCATGTTGCTGTTTCTAAAGGATTTACTGAAGCGGTTAAACTCTTGCTTGGTACACCAGGGATTATTGTGGATATTACCGATCATCAGAAAGAGGTACTCGTTTAGCTCTATAACTGTCCAGATATGGCCTACATTGTATCCATGGGATCACTATTAACATATATGATACTTAAATTGCTGATATATATTCAGACTCCTTTGTTTAAAGGATCTTATCGTGGAATGCAAGACGCAGTCAAGTTACTCATAGATGCAGGTGCAAATGTGCTTTACCAAGACTCGCAAGGTTGGACTTCAGTTCACAATGCTGCATCTCAAGGTCACAAAGAGATTATGCAACTACTCATAGCAAGTTGCCCATCTTGCGTAAATGCTCAAAGTAGTACTGGATTTACCCCATTAAGTATGCATCATTTATGCTTTTGTAGCATCTATAGACTGATATAAATGCTGTTGATCATCATGTAATAGAATTTATTTTCTAACAACTTGATCTCTGAAATATATTCGGATTCTGTCACTATGGTAGTGTCTGCTGCTGCACATGGACACGAGCTAATCGTGGAAATGCTTTTGGATTATCAAGCAGATCCGCTGATTTTAAATAAAAATATGGATACCGCACACGATCTTGCTCTTTACAACGATCACTACACACTTGCCGAGCGTATTGCTTTTGCAGAAAATCAATGGAGTAAGTAATGCATTGTACCAATCCATCTCAATTTTAGAGTATATATGCAAATAAGTATATGATTAACAACTGTTTTTGAAATATGATCTGATACAACACATATTATATTTAGTTGCAAATCAGCCACATATAGATAGCAAAGTTTATCCAAAACATCAAGCAGAGATTGAAGTTTTATTTGAAAATCAGCGTTCTAGTTCGGTTTATTTCCCCACTCAAATGCTTCAAGCGACGCCAGAAAATCTCAAATTCAGTACCTCTACTTTGACTTTTACAGATCCTTCACCCATGATTGCATATCCACCACACAAAAAGATTTCCAGGGGATTCAAAGATGTTCATCTTCCCATCACTAAAGACAACGTGGGTCAAATTCATAGACAATGGTTTTGGCTAACTGAATGGTGTGTGGATACTACAGATCCTAGACTGCGAACCATGCAAAGCAACGTACCAATCAGCAAAAAAGAAAATACCGAAGATACTTTTGAAACTGGCTGGCTATATGCGAAATCATTTGATGTACCTGAAAATGAATGGGTGTCAAGCATGTCTAATAATGCAGTCCAAAATCAAACTGCATCCAATGGAAATAGTGGATCTCCCCGTTCAAGTATGTTCGGAATTGTTCAGAGTTTTCTAGGAACCTCTACTCATGGATGGGTGCGTCGCCGTAGATGGGTTCGTATTCGAAAACGGCGAGCTGGTGCAAGTGAAAATACTATGTCCGAGTTGGAAAGCACAGAAAATACCGAGTCACCTGTTTCAGAACGCCAACTATCGGATCTTGAATGTGAACTAGATGTGCTGAAACAAAAAATCGAAATAATGATGGCTTCTTCATCAGCCGAGCAAGGTATACGATTTGTTTTTTACTTTAGATGATGATGTTTTTAATCGTATTCATCAAGTAGTATTGATTGTATCATCACTTTTTGTCATATACAAAAATGCTCATGTTTAAACACTACTTTGATTTGAAAACTACAGATGGCCTGAAAAAAATGGCTATTATTGTTCAGGCAAAGGTAGAGCTAGATCGTGCTGAAGAGTTACAAGCGCTAATTGATGTTCTTCGCGCCAAAGATTTACAAAACCAAAGTAACTGATTCCGTTTTACTCTGATACATGAGCTTTGTTGAAATAATACATGAACCTGGTTTGCTTATTTTAAACCTTTTAAATTTGTATTGACATGGTGGGACTAAATTTGGCTATCCTTAACTTGATGCACTCTGGGCACTACCTGCATTCACATGTTGAATGGATATGGTATGATGCATTCTGGACTACTAATTAATTACTATACAGTTCAAACTCCAAACACGACATCTCTTTCTACCTCCCACTCGTACAGATTTTGGAGTCATCCTACAAGTATATCTGGTATTTGGATCAAAGACTCGGAAGCATCACGTTGTTCCAATTGCTCTGTCAATTTCACATTTACGATTCGAAGACATCACTGCAGGTGCTGACTTGCTGAATCCTTGGATATATTTTACTACACGATTCAAACTGATCATTGTTTAGTGTCTGCTTGTATATAGGCGATGTGGTCTAGTTTATTGTGATCAATGTTCAAGTCGTCGCGTAATGATTCCCACTTGTATGCTCACACATACAACCAATCAATCTAGCGCTGATTCAAATCCAATCAACACGAGGCTGGACAATCTTATACCCATGGGCGACTCTGATTTACCCACACCTTTGGAAACAGAAACTTTACATCGGTTTGCTTCACGAACTTCAGAAAGCAGCACAGACGAACAGCCTTCATCAGCAACACCTTTGGCAGGTGGCGGTCCTGCAAGTAAAGAACGGGTGTGCGACGCATGCTATGTGGTTATGACAACCATGCCAGAACCATATCTTGCACAAACCGACTCTGATTTGCACCATACTCAAAGAAGTACTAGGGACGGTACTTTAGCTATACTCAATAATGAGACCAGATCCAACATAACAAATACCCCTATTGCAAGTGACATGCCAGGAAGTAGTATTCATTTCAATCGAAATAGACATCGTCAATCTCTTGCAGACAGCATCATGTCGGAATGTCCCGTCTGCCAAAAAGTTCTTGCTAGTGAAATGCTCGAGACAGATGTAGAATCACATGTTGCAACCTGTTTGGAATCTGTTGCCTACAGTTTAGACAGACCTTCTGTTATGGATAAAGGAATGCAGGATTTGTCTAGTAGTAGCTCCGGCATAGACAGAGCAGGTCCGATTGGGCGATCAGTAAAGTCCATTAGCGGAAACAGATACATTGGTAAATATAAATGTATTGGCATTATCTGCGCATTTTTAATGCACGATATTGAGTTTGCAATATTGGACTCCAGAAAGTTCTATATATACTCGCGTTATACTAATAGTTTTTACTCTTGAACATGCTGCCTGATTTGCGCTAAAATTTACATGGAACGAAATACAGTACAAGTGTTGGCAGCAAGTATTCCGAATATTGAGTGCTCTATCTGTATGGATGACTTTGAAAAAGGTATGTTGGCAATTTTATCCAAACTGTTGGTCTAGTTTGGTCCATACTACATTTAAAGCCGCCTATTTTTATTTGGACATCTAATTTTTTTAATTTGAATTGCCCACATGTGCACCTTGCCTGCATTCACTTGTTGAAAAATGGCGTGTTTAGGACAGCATATTGCTCGCTTAAACTGTCTCTGTATGTTTCATCTTTGCTGTATTCAAGAGTGGTTCAATAATCCAAAATATGGCAAGCAGATGTGCCCAGTTCATTTTAAATTCAACGATTGATTAAAGCGCTTGCTTTTTAGGATTGTATATTGCACGTTTTTAGCAATTGTTTAATCTACACGTTGATAAACGTTTCATTCGTATTCTGATCAGTAAAATCTAAGAGACTATCTATAGATTAAGATCAATCCAAACTATTTTTATTAAAATATATACATGATATGGTATGCCTTTGCTGATGGGGGATGTCAGACAGTTGAGTTTGTTTTTGCAGCTGATCAGCTCAATAACTCAAAAGCAAGTATTAAACACGTGACTTTGCTATCTATGCAATTTTTGTCAATTTTTACTGCAGCAAATTATCTGAATCATTACCATGGGAAGAAGGAGAGCGCAGCAGACTGCGCTGGATCAACAGCCAGAGCCCAAAACAGGGCAGCAGATTGCAAAGATACTGGAGGTTCGTGGTGGAGGACTGTACAGTGCGTGTGTTCCAAGCGCATCTACAATCAACGATACCACGATCGCTGATGCTGAAGTAGCAACCACTCAACCTATTCAAGATAGCAATGAATTGTCTGCAAGCAATAAGCAACCCATAACAACTGAATTGCTAGTACTGCTTCCGTCCAAGTTTCAAAAACTCATATGGATCAAAAAAGGTGTGCTTTGCATTTGATTGTCAGCAATCAACATTGCACCATCAGTGTTTCTTGTATTCAAGCTTGTGTATATCCAACTGATACATTAAGCTGTTTTGAAATTAATTAGGAAGCTTTGTGATTGTGAATCTGGAACCGGATAGCAAAACCAAAGTCAAGGCAGAAATTGCTCATGTTCTTTTTCCAGACAATATCAAGTACCTAAAGTCGATTTCTAAATGGTGTGTTGAAGCTGGATTCTTGTACAAGATACGACAATTTATTTGCCTAGAATTTATTATACAGCCTGTAAACTAAATCAATACTTTTAAAATTCAGGCCATCGGTTTTTGAAGAGGAACTAGCAACTATAGTCGACTGCTCACTATCCAATAGAGAAGCGTGTTCAACTGCTGAAGCAGACAAGAGAGATACACTCGAGAATGCATACAACTATGAGAGTGATAAAACCGACGACAATGATTTATTTATCAACAACAACCATGGCGATGACGATAGCGATGAAGAAGTTTAATAATAATGCATTAGTAATATCTACCTGTTTTATTTGTGGTCGAGTCGGTTGATGTTTGAGCCCTCAAGCTCTAGAGTAACCGTGTATAGTTTATTGTTTTTTAAACTCGGACCATTACATAGATGATTTGACACAGCATTTGATTTTTTCAGACAATCAGCTTGACATGATATATACAACAAAATAGGTGGTTTGAAAAATAAGTTGCTAGTGTTGAAAAGCTTATCTGAAAACTTTGTCGCTAAGCTCCAACAAACCACCAATCTTTCAATTTTATTACATTTCCTTACAAAGAACAATACCAATTAGAGCCAGCTAACGAACGGATTAAAAATAATATGGGCAAGCAACCCCAGGCATCAGATGCGAGCCAACAGAAACCTCAACAGCAGACCAACACGACTGAATACCGCCATCCCGCATCCACTGGTGGCAACACTCGGTCAGTCGATAGCAGCACAGACCCACAACTTGAATCAGACTTTCTCGCCAACAAAGATAGCTCAAAACGCAGACTTATTTGGGTAGAATACAATCATCGCGCCGATATTGTCGACATTTTGCCTGGAGATAGTATTGGCAAGGTATTGCAGCGTATTCACGAGAGGTTTGGTCATCAGCTGTCTTTTGCAGATACTTCTCAGCTACGGATAGGGATCCCCAAATCGTGGGTACCTGGTCAGACAAGAGAATTTCCAGTTGAAAATAAAACTAGTCCTGATGGATTATATTATTCATCAAAAGTCGGCACACCAAACGAAGCATTTCGTCAATCTGCATTCCCAAATGCATGCGATCCAAGCAATGTGAATGGGTCTACAGATCCTTTAATGGACGAGGAAAAAAAGTGCTACAAGCAAGATCATACATCTTATAAACAGTCGGTTGTGCATTCTCCCTGCCATCCACTTTCTGGGGATATAAATCAAGCCGAAACACATCCCATTCTTGTCATTCCAAATCGTTTCCAGCATGAAGGCGTGGCTATTGGTGAAGTATTTAAACAGATTGTTGCTGAAAATCCAAGCAGCGCATCTACTTTATCGTTACTGTTTAGCAGCACTTATTTTCCAACAATCATACATATTTTGAATACCCGCCAAGAAGCATTTCAACTGTTTGTCGATTATTCCAACGTGCCAAAATATCCTGGAATGCGTTTTCTTGACAGACCATCCAATTCTCAAGCAACTTTCAATTCCGATCATGAGCTTACCAAGTTTTTCCATAATTTGCGTTATGCAAAGCTTGAAGATGATGTTCTTTCTATGCCACCTGGGACGTATTTGCTTGGCGATCCTTCATTGGGATCCAAACTTTATACGCGACAAGTATATAAAGAACTTGCATTGGGAATTGAGCAGAGTAAGCCCTGGCAACGTGGGTTTGTAGTTACAGGAACACCAGGAATGGGCAAAACATTTTTTGGAATATGGATGATGTACCTTATTGTCAATGATGTGATTTGTCTTGGAAATGAGGGACGTTTGGATAGATCGCATAATGACTTGAATGTGTCAAATGTGTGGAATTCCCGACTCAGTCAATCCATTAATCGATCACAATCTTTGAACATAGTGCATAATGATTCCGACAGCATGGATAGTAAATGTGCATCTCACGTTAATTTCATGGAAAGCAACGCCAGTGTCAATCATCAGCATAGTATCTGGAATGAGGGCTCTCAAATAATTGGACAAATGGATTCTGAAAATGGCGTGTATACAACAGCTCCAGTGATTATCTTTGACTTGCATTTGCGCAACGAGTTGATTGTGTTTTCAATGGAGGATAGATCGGTTACAAGTGGGTGGGCAAGAAACTCGTCCCATCCGGCATTTTACCATTCTCATGTGTGGTATATATCTGACGGAGACAAGGCTCCGTTGATGGTCCCCGCGCCTATAGTGTCAGGTATACATGACGATACATCTTCAGTAGCTCCATATGTTTGTATTCGTAAATCAATTCATATTACATCATCAGATACGATCCAACCCAGCGTGATGCGATTGCCAGGAAACACCGTTCTCACGATGCCTGCATGGACGTTTGCTGAACTCGAAAGTGCGTATTTGGGATGCTCAAACTACTCACTTTGTACTTCTTATTCTGAATTCACGGAATTGGTTTACAAGTGGGGCTGCAACCCGTTGATGGTATTAACCCAGTCAAAAAATCAAGAAATACAGCAACTGGCACAATCTTCACTCTTTCAAATTGATATGGTGCGTGTTTTGCATCGGCTGGTGGGACTTGATATGCCCGCTAGTCGATCCAATCTAACTTGCGTGGATCCCCACACAGATATACAATCAACATATCATCAAGAATGTGCTTCAGCCCATTTAGTCGTTCATGCAGTGACTGATGCGCAGAATTATGTTTCTAGATCTTATCGAATGGGATCAGCCTATATTTCACAAGTTGCCGCACATAAACTATATCGACCAGTAGGATGGAATGCAATGGATCTGACTAATCTGGTACATTCTGCTTGGCGATTTGAGCATGGAACTAAAGTTGATCAGCAATATCCTCACTTGAGACAGGTTCGAAAAATGCTGTATATGGGACATATTCACAATACACTATGTGAAGGCGGACAATTTCCTATTCGCCGGTTATCTCCTGGTTTAAAAACTGTTTTGGCCACTCAGTTGGAAACTTCAACAATCGCGTGTTTGCCAGACCAATCCTATGATACTCAAAAAGCATCTGTTGATCAGCCCATTATACCACAGCTGATACTATCAGCAAGCGATGGAACAACGGTCGAACCTGCCAACACCTATTTTGATCAAACTTCATTTGACATTACTAGCACTCAAAAACCGCCTCATAGTATCAGTATTAACGAATCTACCATTACTATTCCCCATATGTCTAGATTTTTATTTGAATCAATGCTTAGTTTGTCACATACGGAATACAATATCCCAAAAGTATCACAGTTTTCGCCTGTAGATTCAATCTGCGCACCCAACATACTATTTTGTATCTGTGTTAATGATCGCGGTCGAACCATTCTTGTCGATAAACTTCGTGAGATGTACGTAGAGAGCTGCAAAGATGAAGGGACACCTTCATATCCAATAGACGGTGCTGACGCACTCACTTTTGAAGCAGTAAAGCCTGGCATTCATTCAAATCTAAAAGATATGGAAAAGACACCACTTGGAAATGATGTAAACCATACTCTTAAATTGTTTTATGTTGTGCCAACCACAGATCTGTTTCATAATCTGGGACCACAGCAGTTCAAAGTGGATGAAAAGTGGTTGATGGAAGAGGCTGTAATTTTGGAATGGGCTGACAAACATATCGAGCAATATGTTCTCCATTTGGGAATATAGTAATTTAGCATCTTGTTCGTTTATACTTGATTTTTTAAATCTATAAATGAAATTAAGCTTTCTATTTCCAAAAATTATCCATAAGATGGAGGTTTAGACACGACAGATGATTGAAACAATGTACAACATAGAGGATGTTATTAGTAATTAATTCAAAAAAGTCTGATTTTGTACAAAAAGTATTGTGACCCTATTCAGGTAAAACGAAACACTTGACAAGAGTGTTGTACAATCAACAACCATGGCATGATGCATGCCAACTTACTGAACAACATGACTTGTAAACTGCTTGATTTCCAGAGATTACAATCTTTAAACTAAAATGCAGAGATTAGATACAACAAAGATGAGTTTATACAGTTTATTGAAATCAGTCGAATCCGATATTTGGATTGTTGTGAATCTGGTGATCGTACAATATATGGTTATGCCGAAAGAGAAAAAAGGCAGGTTCAAAAATAGTTTAATTGTGAGCATCATATGATGAATGTTGGTGTTTGAAGAATTGCGACTTTTACTATAGTGGGAAAGCGTAACAAACATTCAACTATTGTCTATTCCAAAGCAAAATAGTGACTGCAGGATAAATACAAGAGTTCTATTTTGTGAATCCGACTGTAACTAACAGCAAAGACTAGTATGTTTCATAAGTCTGATCAACGAAAAAGTACTGATAGCCCAAGATGGTGATGTAGATGAGCAAGCCGCCGCAAAGGGAAAGAATCAGAGCAAGGTCTGAGATGACTGCAGAATGGTTCAGCACGACAGGCAGAGCAACTCCAGAGACCACAAAAAAGCTGGTTATGAAATAGCCAGTATCTAGAATTCCTTTGTTGCTGTCATCCGATAAGAAATCACTTGAAGTACCTGCAGAAGCATGCTTGCACAATGCATTGGGAAGAGGAGCCAACAAGAACATTAAAACACTCAAGAGAGGCAGCCAGTTGCTAAGACATTCAAAAACAAGGTCAACACTGTTCATCAGTCATAAGAGCAACCAACAACCCTGGACCATCACTCGACTAAACCAAAAACTTACTTTCCAAGAGCACAAGACAAAATGACAGAAAGAATTCCACTGGCTAATAGAAAGGCCAGCAATATAATTGTTTTCATTCCAGCAGATCCGGCCATTGTGTTGAAGTCGTATAAATAGCGTTGAAATGACTGCGAGTTTGCTTTTAGTTGGTCAAACTTCCCGCACATTGGATTCAACTTGCATTGGTTGCTACTCTTGGCATCAAACACTATTGCATACTTTGGTCTGCTTCAACTCTCATTCCTTTTATATATCATACCCTTCTGCTGCCAATTTCTATCATGGATCCTCGCACTCTGCACCAAGGCAAGTTTTATTCGGTTTTCGATAATTCCCATCATCAAACATCATTCCACATTCGGCTACTAGACTGGATCTGCTCGCTATCTTCTACTTTGATATTACCATTCATATATCGTTAATTCATTCTGGGCTTTATTTTGGTTTTAACCTGACTGTCCAACACCCGAATGTATTTAATGCATGGCTTCAATCCTTGGCAACCTTGAATGAAATCTGCTTGATGGTCTTTAAATACTTATACTATCATTCATAACTATAGAGACTTTATTTCTGGTTGCTCGCTTTCTTGCTGGTGCTGGATTCCAAAATACGTCTGCTGCTTTGGAACAGGAGATCAATCAACGACAGTTGTCGGAACCAGCTTGTGTTGCTCAATCCGAGTCTTGTCCTAATGCATCACAAACAGCCAGTGCACAAGTGTTATCTATAGCATCCGCATTGCTTCCTCCAGCGATCGATACTAATGGCAATCAACATATTCAAACGTATTCGCAAATGGTACTATTTGTTTCTTTTATTTTAAGCATATATTCGCTTGGCACCAGATGATAGACCAGTGCTTACTAGATCTAGTTTGATACTTGTATGATTATGTCATGTATAATCTGCTAATCATAGTTTGTTTGATTTGTATCATTATTGCATTGATCGTATTCAAATCAATTCAATCGACAAACGTTTTCAGACCAGTCGTTATGCACATACTTCATCCAACGAACTAATGCACATGGTTCAACTGGCATTAAATCATGTTGAATCTCTTTTACCTTTCCCAGCATCAATATGCAGCAGTATTGGCGCAACATATTTGCTTCAACTTGCATCCTCAACTACACCATCAAACGCAGCCACAAATAATACTAATACGGCTGTTTGTCAATCCTCTAATTCACCTGTTTCATCTCATATCATTTCCACTACAAAACAATTTTCACAAAAATACAATTTGGCTGCCGCGCTTGCCAGGTTTGAGCTTGGAGCTCGCTACTTGAAACGGCACTTTCCATCAAAATTTGTTGGATCTCGTATTGGCAAGTCTATTACTTTTCGTGGACACTTGGCACCAGTATACTCTGTAATATTTGACAGAACTGGCACGCGACTAGTTACTGGTGGAGACGATTCGTTAGTTAAAGTATGGAGCATAGAAAGTGGTTGGCTTATGGAAACATTGCGAGGCCATCAAACTTACCTTCCAACAAATGTAAGTTTTTATTGCTTGCATCCCTTTTCAAAACTGACTTGCTTTGCTATCTCAGATTTATTGCGGTTTAGATTGATGACTTTAAAACAAACATGGAATCCTCAATTTTTAGGAGCGAGTAGTCATTATTGACATAGCAATAGACTATTATAACAAGCATCTTGCTACTGCTGCCAATGATCAATATATTCGATTATGGAATTTCGACTCGCTCACTCCAAAACAATCTTTACATGTTGGCAAGGAAATCACCACCATCACATTTTCACCATCCCCTGAAGAAGACAATCAATGCCTTTTAGTAACATGTGCTGACAGTAAATCTCGAGTATATATGTGGGACCCCACTACCAAGTTTTTTTGTCGTAATCCAATTATAATACAAGGAGGAACGATTGCTAGAGATCAGGTCACGTCATCCTCGTTTAATAAGACAGGAACCAAATTTGCAACAGGGGGTTCGGATGGTATTGTGTATCTATATTCAATTTTATCTAGATCATTGATGGATGTGGGCGGTGGATCAGATACCAATACAAATGTATATGCGAGTCAAGCAAGACAAGCCAGTGTGGTTCAACCAAAACTTATCAAGATGTTTGACTGTCACAAGTCACGAGTGGCTGATGTCATTTTCAGTAACCGTGGCGATCGTATTTTATCTGGAAGCAAAGATGGGTCTGTAGTAATTAACCAATTTTGTCCAAAAACAGCAACTTGGACGAGCCTATCATTTGCTCCTATATTAGTTTATTTGGTTGGATCTGAACCAACCACAAATCCTCCTGATCCAGCTCCTGCTGTTGCGTCAACTATCCAAGTAGACCATGCAAGTACGCCTGCAGGACTATTTGAGTCGTCTCTTGGTGACCCAGGAGTAGATGTACCTTTAGATACTCGCATTGATAATGCTGCATCTACAGATCGGCCTCGCAATCGATCGGAACTGCATGCATTGGAGGCATACTATCTATGTTGGAATGCGGATGACTCCTGTATTATGGTATCATATGCCGAGTCTAGAAACGAAGCAATATATGTCAACTCTCGGATTCAAGTCTATGACTCTGTGCGTGGTGATTGTATTCACTCGCTTAGAACACATAAAGATTTAGTTATTGCGCTATCACCGCACCCCACGGATAATCGCATGTTATTGAGCACTGGGCATGATGGAATCGTTGTATTTTGGGATATTTTTAGAGGAATACCGATTTATTGTAAGTTTTGACTCTGCTTTGTCGAATAGACGCTGATTAGTCTATACACTTTACTGTATTCACGTAAATTATATACAATTCTTGGTTGTTACTTTGAAGCATTCTCTAGTTATTTTTATCAATGTCCGAATATATGAGAATGCTGACACTATTGTTTGTGCTATAATATTTTATAGCGACCAAATTTACGGATGCATTGCTAGACTCTAAATTCTCCCCAGACGGAACACATGTAGCCTTTGTGGATGTAACTGGCGCGGCTCATCTCTACGCTTTTGGTGTAAGCAAAAACAAGTTTACTGGAGTTCCCGAGTTTCAATTTTTTAATAAAGACTGGAAGATTGTCAAGCAAGCTGATCAGCACGGTGGACTGGTTGACGAAGAAGCTCAACTTCCAGCTCATCTTGTGGTTCAAGGTGTTTTAATGGACCAATCTGCCTCTGTTCATCCATCATCTATTCAATCAAAGCGACAATCTTGGCTAGCATGGTTGGAGTCTCGTACCAAATCTGTTGCACAAGGGATATCACAGCCTTTTGAGGAACTTTCCACCTTGACAAAACTGCATTTGTTTGACGATATGCCATGTGTCGAGGCAGATTTAGTTCATCGTAAAGCACTTTTGGAAGAAGAACGACAATGGATCATTTTTGAGCAAAGATTCACCACACAGCTACTTGATGTGAAGCTGTTGAAGAAACGACGAAACCAAATTGTTGAAAGCGATAACGAGGGCGATGATTTGATCCAGGATATCACTACTGGATCACATGTAAACGGTGCAGATGTCTTGGGCACCTTTGGTGATTCTGGAAGCATTTCTGGTAGAGTATTGAACGGATCTGCAACAAACGGAAACATGTTTCCGTTGCAAGACCCTATTGTTCCATTGCCTGTCTCCAGTGGCGATGAGTACGATGGTAGTCAGGATGAAGTAGAGGAAGATTCTGAAAGTGACGATGATGATGGCGCTGTTGCTTTTGAAAATGGTGACGAGAGAGGCGATCCCAGTTCTGTAATGTCTACATTTTCAGCATCTACAGCAAGTAATTCAAATCATCGTCATCCTAGAGCACGAAGCCAACATTTATTTCAAATTGAAGATGATGAGGATGGCGCACCTGGTCCATCGCAGAGTCCATTTCGAATGCGAACCACTACCTGGCGACATACGTCTACCTCTCGTAAATCGGATCGCAGAAAGACACAACACGGTACAAATGGACATAATTCAAATGGATCGGGGAGACCACGAGCCAATGTTTCATACGTTAATGATGATACAACAGACGAGATGGATACATCAGAAGATTCATTGGACGAGTCTGATCAAAGCCCAGTTCGTGCTAGAACATCGCGTGGTACAACTTTTAGACAGCCTGCTACATCTACAAATAAATCCAAAAGCAAATCCAAGACTGGTTCGCAACGTCATACTGTACAGCATAAACAACGGAGTGGTTTGAGCAACACAGGCCAGTCTAAAGAAACTATTTCATCCTACTCTCGGATTGTTGCTAGTCCGTGGGTATCCACATATCATCAAGCCTGGAGTCCATATCTACCCCAGATTGGAGACATAGTAGCCTATATACAAACGGGGCATCGCCATTTTCTTACAAAATCTGCTGCACTTTCAAAAACTACTGGAATTCGCTTTCCAAATACGCCGATTGATGAAACTCTTTCGTTTGTTTCATTTGGGAAAATTTCTGTTTTGGAGTTTGAGCCTGGATTTATAAAAAAGACACGTTCGGTTGCTGCTGCAGAAAATGATTCTAGTTTAGAAAAATCGGATATTCCTGTTATATGTCTTGTCACACTAGATCTTTTTTCACCACGCGATTGCAACTCGCCTATTTCAACTCTTCAAGATCTTGTTCCTATGACACAGGCAACAGCAGGTCGTAACACTGAAAAATCACAACGCAAGAAACTAAAAATTGCTTTCTGTGATCTGGATGATCTTCCTGATTTTTTAGTTTTATTTGACAACTACGTTGCTGGATCTCGATGTCGTGGCTATGGCTTGTCTGGGTCAAATTCTGAATTGAGCATGACTGAATCAGCTTGGGATGTGGGTGATCACGCTATTGTACGATATGGTGATGTTGATTATGCGGGTATCATTCACTCCATTGCTGATGAGACCGATGATCCATGGAGTAAGTATACTGTGCAGTTTAGTGGCACAGTTGTGGATGGTGTAAGCGGAGCTAGTGGTGATGGAGAGTCTGGTGTTGATACATTTAGCGCTTGGGAGATTCGGCCTGAACATACCACATGGCCATTTACAGAAACTTTGCCTGAATATGGTAAGCCAGGACTCTGTTGATTGTTTTGCTGATAATCCAGCATTTATAGTAACATACTTTGTTGTTTACTTTAGAAACGTCACGTATAATGGCTATTATAGAGGATGTTTGCACAAAAGAAGAGATGGCTTTATTTGTTGATCCGGTTCCATATGATGCATTCCCTACATATTTGCTTTTTGTAGGATATCCCATGTGGCTTAACCTGATCAAAGCTAGACTTGAAAACAACTTTTACCGCAGAACAGAGGTTTGTTATTTTTTTGTTGATTGGATGATTTTTGGCAGTATATTGATGCAATTTTATTCCAAACCCCAATTTATTCATTATCGAATTGCTGGTACCAGTCTGTTGTGTGGGACATTGAGCGGATTCATATCAATGCTTCCAGATTTAATGAGCCGGATTCTGCCATCGCGGTATTGGCTGTGACATGTCTTACAAAAATTGCCGATGCTATCAATGGTATGACTTGTATTTATGATTTTCAAGTAGTAGTATTTGTGCAAGCAATTGAAGTTGTACCGCATCTTATTTTCTTTATCAATTTAAACAGATACAAATTGCACACAACTAGAATGGAAAGTATCGGAATGGATGGGCGAGTTGCATCAATGTACATCTGACGATTGTACATCAAGTACCGTAAACACAAACGAAAATTCTGAACCTCAGATAGATGACGATAGCGAAACAAATGAGAGTCGTCACAGTCAATCATACCAATCCTCGAGTAATTTTGAAGACGAAGATATGCCTGTTGCACCTGAAGGACGATCGAAAAAATCTAGACTATTTTCCAAACAGCAGTCAAGTAAACAGGGCCGAGCTTCGAAACCCGCAGCATTTCCCTCACGTACTTCCAAACGGAAACGCATGCAAATATCTTCATCTGACGATGATGTGTTTTGTCCACGGAAATCGGATAGCGAAGAGTTTGAAAGTGAAAGCATGGTTGAATCTGACCAATCTGAATCTAATCAATCTGTCGATGAGTATGATAATATGTCTCGTGTAACCAAGTCTCAGCGTAGTAAGCGTCGACGATGAAATAAATATTAGACATGCAATTTTTATCAGAACCGAATGTTTTTGAACAAGTACTGTGATTCAAGCAATTGATGGTTATTGGCTTTCACACTGTAGATTTGTGAATATTGGTTGGTCAGATATAAGATTAAAACATGTCATTGAATTTTGAGCCAGTTTTCCCCACTATCACCCATTTAACGTTGGTATCAGAAATAGCCGAGCAATCCTGTTTTTTATTCAAAACGCTAAATACAGCCAGTTTGACTACCAGAACAGTTGAACCGATATCTGGACTGTAATGCATGAATCTGGTGATCGTGTAGCGTATGTTACGTCAGGGACAACTTCAATTCAAACCGATTTAATTGTGAGCATCATATGATGAGCGCAACGTTTATTGGAAAAAACAATCTTTAATAGGAAAGCACAACCAATACTCGAGTGTTTTATTTTACGTGAATACGGCTGTAAACCTTGGCAGCATATTTACTACTTTCAAACCTGTTGGTAGCCTCTTTAATATACCTGTGAGGCTCTCGTTGTGTCAGTCTTTGTGTTTTTCATGGCTATTTCTGAGCCTAAAGGCTATTGAAAGCTACAGTTTTGGTAGAGTTGAATTGTTTCGAGTTTAATGTTTGAAAATGTGTTTCAAAACCTCATGTTTGGATAAAAAGACTACATGAGTCGAGTAAGCATTTTGTCCAAATAAAGCATAACGAATATCAAGTTTTACTGTACACACAAGATTAGCGTCGAGCAGGTCGCAAAACAGTAAGCAGACACGCTTGTTCAGTTGCTTGGCCATCGATATGAAATAGAAGTTGAATAAATCATCGACTTTCACCAAAAATTTGGTTTCGCTTATTTCAACATTCACTGAAATCCATCAGATCATCTTGTTTATCTACGTTTTACCATTCTTACACTTATCGTTTAGCCTTATGTCTTCTGATACCCATCAGCCCACTACTACCAACACTACCATGCTTTCAGAAACCAACACCACTAATAGTGATCCATTTGCTCCAACTGTATCCGGAGCACCTAATCGGCATAGACCGACTGCTGCTTCAAGAAGTACTGGAGTTTCTGAGCCTCATTTTGGCTCATACACTGATTTGCTACCCATTGCCTCTACCATTGGCAAATATCGCATTCTACATAACCTTGGTACGGGTAGCTTTTCGTTTGTCAAGCTTGCTCTAGATATGACATCTGTCCATTCTTCACCTATATACCCAACATCACAGCCGCTTGAACTTCAAACATTATCGTTGGATCATGCTATCGAACCACATGAAAGTTTGAATACCGTCAAGGCAAATGGCTCAAGCAATAATGCATCACCAACTTCTCACGTATCAAAGTCGAGCTCTGTAGCAAATCATACTTTGCCGACAGACACTACCATTGCTCATCAGCATCATTGTTCTGAATACCATAGCGGTGAGGGAGAAGCTGGCTCTTTATCAGAAACTCGCTGTCCTGCATCTTGTACTCCTAGGAAAGTAGCTCTTAAATGTGTAGACAAGCAGGACCAAGTCAAGGCCACTCTTCTTAAACAAGAAGCAAAGGTGCTCTTTCATATACATCGTCTTCCTATACATGATACAAATATTCCAGATATAAACATTGAAGCTACGGAGCTTGATGATTCAGTAGATGCTGGCGAGACACTTTCAGCAGAAGAGCGTAAATGGTTACAACGGGGACAGGAGTATGTCGTGCATTCTGGAGAGCTGCTTTCCAACGACAAAGTGTTGTGTCTTGTTTTGGAATACTGTTCTGGCATGGAACTGTTTGACTATCTTATGGATCATCATTTGATATTGACTACTGGTGCAACAGGAATTTCAGAATCTCATGCCAAGCCAATTTTTCGATCACTGCTGGAAGGTAAATATCATACTTTTGAAAGAATAGATGACTAGGTTTTATTGAGTCGATTGGTTTAGAAAGTGCTGTTGCGTAATGGACATGATGAGTTTGTAAAATATTTGCATCTTGGTGTTTTAATTTAACCTAAAATATGTTTTTGTATCCGCACATGCTCGACATTATATGGTATCTGAATATCCAGCTGTGTTTTTTTTGCACCATCGTGGTGTTGCTCATTGTGATCTCAAGTTGGAGAATATTTTGGTTTCCGACACCGATCCTCCAAGTATCAAGCTAATAGATTTTGGACTATCGCAGATTTATAATCCTAATGAAAAGGCTGGTTTCCCGCGCGGATCTGAGCCATATGTTCCTCCTGAACTCGTGTTGAGACAGCCCATACATCCACTTAAAGCAGATGTGTGGGCACTTGGTGTGATTTTGTTTGCTATGCTCACGTTGCGTATGCCGTTTGATGCAGAACAAAAAGCTGTCAAAGCTTTAGATTTGGGATTGTGCGAAAGTCCTGTTGGAACACCTGAAGTATCGCATTCTCCTGGTGGACAGACACCGTCAAGTTCTACACCGCCACTACCTATCCCACTTTACCCATCAGCGTCTAGATCATCATCATTGGAGGCCTCTAGCGCATCTACGCCAACCTCAGCGTCCACTACTCCCTTGGCATTACTGACCCCATCTGGCGAAGAATTTTCATTGCGTAGTAAACCAAGTCTATCCAACGGTAATCCAGTTACGCGCCGCATGTTTCACCGTATTGCGGTAGGAGCATACAAATTTACATCTGAAGAAACACTGCATCTATCGGCTGACGTGCAGGATTTGGTATCCAAGTTGCTTACTCGGGAGCCATCGCGACGACCAGCAGTTAAGGACTTGTTGTCACATCCATGGTTTGCAGGCATGTGTTTTGAAACTAACTTGTCAAGCCAGCCTAGAAAAGAAAATTTGAAAAATGTGACCGCTGAGCTTAGCAATCTTGAAGATCCTGTCAGCTTTGTTCCTACTGTTTCTCTTACTGCTCCTGAATCTTCGTTATAGACAACTTTTTAATCTTGAATGAATTCTATGACCCGGGATCATTTAACTTGAGTGACATCAATGCATTGTATTAGCAAATAGAGTTGCCCAACTAGATGGCCAATCATCTTGTTTTGTTCTTTCAAAAATGTGAATCAGGTCACGTTACTGCAGTCTTCATTTTGCAAATGTTCACTTTGTCTGCCTTTAGTCAAAGCCATAGACAAGGTTCAAATGCTCTACTTGCTGGGTGTCAATCTGCCAGATGAGAAGCTGGTTCATATTGCCTTGACATCCGTATATGGAGTTGGCAGAAAAACCGGTGAGCAGATTTGCCACAAACTCTTGATTCATCCACAATGTCGTCTCAAAGATCTTCCTGAAAGCAAAGTCACTCAGCTTTCGCAACTCCTCAATACAATGACCATTGAGGCTGAGCTGAGACGACAAACCGAGGAAAACATCAAGTCATTGGTTGACATGGGAACGTATCGTGGTATGAGACATAAGGCTGGACTGCCTGTAAACGGACAGCGTACTAGATCGAATGCTTCGACTGCCAAGCGACTTAATGGAAAATTTTTAGTTCGAGCCATTACTACTCCTACACCCACCAAAACTCAAGGAAGACCAGGTGCAAAAAACCGTAAATTCTCAACGTAAGAAGTATCATGGCCATCTTGTTTCAATGAAATAGTCAAGGATGCACTTATTTTTGTTTCCATCCACCTCGGACATATAAAAATGCATCCTCCATTTGACTAGTGATGTGCATTTGCATTAACTAACTGTATTTATTGTGGTTGAATTGCATGCTATAGATTGGCAAGAGTACCTTCTCTTTCAGATCTTACCCGCACTCTTGTGCGTACGTTTATCAGATAACCACCAGCAGTGAATATTGAAATATTATACTATTTTTTGAACTATGACATGATTTATTCTTGCTTATGGCAATTTCAAGTTAATCTGTGTGATAATGCTGGTATGATCTAGGCTTGTGAGTGCATGTCTGCTTGAGGACGTTGTATTTGTTGAGTTGTACTGCCTGAAAATTGTAATTTTATCCAAAAGATTGTAATTCATTTATGTAAATATAAATGAAATGACTTCAGCCGAAGCCGTCTCTACGCAACTCTGTCAAAAATGCAAGGTAGTTTTTCTAATACAAACCATTGAAAGATTACAGCACATGTATTGTTTTTGTGCATGGCACGAATTCAATGCAATACGTCCATGACTGCATTTATCAAATAATATTTAAGCTGAGCATTGCGGCGTTGTTGAGACTTTTTTTGGCTACTTGAACATTGGATCTTGCTATGGTCTTTCCACAACGAAAGAAGAATATGGCTCTATTTTGTGTATATCAGACACGGGCTATTCTAACTAGTAACACAACTTGGTAGCATAAACAAATAGTCAAATGGCTAGTGCACTTTCAGGCTATTAGACACAACTGTCATTCAGACTGATGCAATGCTATGACCGTTTTGATCGTACAATAAATTCAATGACAGATATTTACTTGGAGATGCCTTGTAATGGGTTAAAGCGCCATGGGCTTCACCAGCACCACTTGGAAATACGACTGAAGTGTTAAATCAGATACCATTCAACCATAATCAGAATATCAAATTGAATGATCAAGGTCTATTCCAAAGCAAAGGTAACCAATGCAAGATAAATACAAGTGTTTCATTTTATGTGAATATAGTTATAATAAGCACTGAGAAGCAAGTTGCTCTGTATACTGAGTAATCAAACAAGCAATTCTAGGCAGGCTGGACTAAGAATGAGTGTTCCCGCTACACATGTGTTTTGACTCGAATTGGTGCATGCTTGATATTAGCAAGAGCTTGTAGTTCAAACCAATTGTGCAATAGCAAGACTTTAACCCAAACCATATTGGTGAGCGTGTTTGGCTAGTCACACAGCTGTGATGTAACAAATCGAGTACAAAGTACAAGCAGTCTGTTTTCGGCTAGAGATAATGATTATTGGCAACTTCTCTGCATGACCCTCACCACCGGCCGTAATATTGGTGCGAGTCAATAGCGGTTTATATTCATATATAAAATGCAATCAGTAGTAAATTGCATTAGTCGAGGGAAGATGACGTATTCTCACATATGCATGACTTGGTAACCAGCAGGACAGTTGTCATGATTTGAAACTCTAAAAATCAGAAATCCATTTTGGTCCCTCAATCAACTTTCATACAAGAATGACATTGTATCGCCTGGTAGTGTTGGGCGATGGCGGTGTTGGAAAGACCGGTTAGTCCATCCCACCTTCTATCACCATGTGCTGTTGTGCTGCCTTTGTTTATTTTTATGGTAGCTTGATCACTCGAATTCCTTGCAACTCTATAATATATTTCATTAAATGTTCAAGGTGTTGCTGCTTACAGTGCCTAATGGTCTGAGTGCCTAGTCACTTACAGTCCTATCTGGCAGCTGCTGATAAGCCAATCCAGTCTGCATTCCTGACCTATATGGGAAATTATTGTTTGCAATGGGATTTCCTTTTTAGCATTGCTCATACAGACAAATATCCAGTTACAGCAATTGATTCCACCCTGACTTTCCTCGACAGCCCAATATAGTGTAATCACTTTTGGCATCGTTTTTTGCTGGATCGTCTCATTGATAATTCAATTAAAAATCATCCCGATTGCTTTACCTCATTCTTTCCCACTGATACGGATATACTAGTGTTAATTTGTGCTATAAATGAGTTGGTACTGACAATTCTTCAACTTGATGGATTTCTCATGACAACTGATTACAATTCACGATGCTTGATATGCAAACTATCACTACTGTCTACTATTGGCATAATTTCCTAATACTGCCGCTAAACTTCAACTTACTTATTACCTTATTCGGCCACGTGCTACTTTTGATGGATTTCATGAAATTTGTATTGCACAATCAATCATGTTACTCTTTTGATATTCAATAACATGGCATTGGATACTGCTTTGATTTTGGTCTGACCCGATTGACTCTGCATTTTATTTCTGGAATTCATTGCTCATTTGTCGTGTCTGGGGTTTGCCTTGCTGATGTTTGGATTGATTCTGTATCTACTAGCCTTGACCATCCAGGTATTTTGATTGGATTTGCTTGTTATTTTACCATGTTTGGCGTGTTACAGTTTAATCATGTGGTAGCTGACTTTTACTTTTAATCCACTAAACTGTTGTATATTTAGCTCTGTCTTAATCACTTTGTCGGTATGCATTTTAATTGTTCTTTAACTGATCCTGTGTAGTTTTAGAATTATGCTCACTACTTCAGAATACATGGTTTGTATGCAACTCTTTAATCGTTTTGTCTAATTTTGAACGGACCTTGTACGATTCTAAATATAGAGGCAAGTTGTGCGATTACTGTGTCAGTTTCACTTTATATCGACAATACTGACTGTGTTGACTTGAATTATTTTATAGACGTATGACCCTACCATTGAGGACTCGTATAGAAAGCAAGTTGTAATTGATGATCAGCCATGCATTCTTGAAATTCTTGATACGGCTGGTCAGGAAGAGTATACAGCTTTGCGCGATCAATGGATTCGTGATGGTGAAGGCTTTCTCTTGTGTTTTTCCATCACGTCTCGCAGTACTTTTGAGCGCCTTGAAAGATTCAAAGATCAAATTGAACGTGTAAAGGATGTGGATAGTACTAGACAGCTTGTTCCTATGATTGTTGTTGGAAATAAGGCCGACCGTACTCACGACCGCGAAGTCTCGATTACAGAGGGTAATAATTTGGCGAGGCATTTGCGGTGCGAGTACATTGAAACCAGTGCAAAAACTACTCTCAATGTCGAAAAGTATGCATTTGTTTGCAAATTGGACTTTTATTATTAGTGACTCTAATGTATACTATATTTTATGCGTCTTGTATCAATACTATATTTGCGGTGTACTGCCTTTGACATCAATAGGGCATTTTATTCGGTAAATTTTATTTTGGATTTACTATACAATCTTGATGCATGCCAATAGTCTAGATTAAAAGCTACCATGTGTACTTATCTTCCAATGGCTTGCTTTATTATATGATATAAACTTTCTAGGTTGTTCGTTTGATCCGCAAGGAGCGTGATCAAGGAAGCTCGTTTCCTGGAGTTGAAAAAAAGAAGAAGGAAAAGGGAAAATGCATGCTGCTGTAAATTTCGAATTAGTTATTTTCCAATCGTATCTTGCGTTTATCGTCATTATTATGTATTGTTCAAAGATATGTTTTTATTCCTGGCAAGGCTTGCTTGACAGTCTAATCTAGATCTTTGACTACAATTGTTTTTTCGATCCACTGCCAAATTCGATACTACTCGACAAATTCCACGTGGTCTGTTTTTGACTTGCAGTTTTTTCTACCTCTATTGCTTTTATTCCTACGCCGTCATTTCCTCATCATTTCATTCCGATCCCAACGACTACACTACTTTGAATGAATTTTTTGGTTGGTTTTCAAATATATTACTTTGAAAGCCTGCTTGGCATTCAAATATAAACCATTCTAATTGGCAGATTTTGATGATCAAAAGCTTATTTTGTAATGGCTAGTTTTTACCAATTCTATTCAAAACCATACTTCATGTATCACGTGACCATACATATTCAATCACGTGTTTGTACCAGAGTATAAATTGTAAAGACTCGATGACTTGTTCACGACACACTTCAGCTAACCCGTTTTTGCTTTGTTATCCAGATGGTAATTATCCATGCATTGATACTACCTAACCGGCACATGGATCCATCCATCCATGCATGCAATGTTTTTTGATTTCATCACACTATAGCAGACATGCAAGGATTCTTTTCACACGCCGAACGCTGTGAACTAAAGGGCTTGAACTCGGGTTATTGGGATATGCATGCCTTTCATTTTCAGCTTCTACTTATTCACAACTGCGGTGATACGCAGTAAAGAGCTTGCTGTTGATCGTGGCTAGTCATGCAGATCCTGGTTTTGCAGATTGCAGTAAAAACGAACGCAATACGGACTTGGAGAATGATTTGAAGCACTTGTATTTTCAACTGCTTCGAGTGACTCTTGTTCCTTTGCTAGTACACTTTTATGCTCTTCTGTCCACACTTTTAGGAGCTCCGTACAAATTGTCTTTGTAGATTCTTAAAAATCTTTCATTGCAGTTTTGCGTCTCTAATGATCCACCTTTTATGGGAGCAGATACAAAAGAAATGCATCTTTGTTATTGGTCATCTTTTGCTATGGATATTGCAGTGCATGGTGTTTTTGAGCTAATTGATCCACGTCATTAGCTGCTATATCATCCTGTGCATCTGATGGTTGACCTTTTTCATTGAACTGCATTGGCTGATTGCTGTGCACCTAGTATAATGTACTGGCTGATTGGTGTAGATATTGTTGTATGAGCATTTCAATTTTGGTTTATGGCTGCTGAATTTGCATTGCTTAGAGATCTTGCAACTGTGATGCTTTTACTGCATTGATATCTACCCAATTCATCTATTTGTACATTTACTGTTTGTGCATTCTGTGTATCTGTTAGGATCACATCTGCGGCAGACTATATCTCTCGAGATCATCTGTTGCAACTAAATGTGTTTCCGATGACGTGTCCCTTTTTTGAATAGAATTCTTTGAATGATGCCAGTGTAGTTTTGCATATACGCTTGGTTATCTGCCAAATTGATATTCTTTTTCGGTGGTGGAAGTGTGATTTTTTGAAACCGATTGCTGATAGTCGATATTGCCTTGATGTGTTACATAGGCACCCAAATCAGTCGCTAAAAAAGTTGCAGCTACTCCTGCCGTGGCCAAGGCCGACAGTTCCAAGGTCGTCAAGACTGTGAACCCTCTGTTTGAGAAGCGTGTCCGCAACTATGGTATTGGCCAGGACATTCTTTTCAAGCGCAACATGTCTCGATATGTTCGTTTCCCCGAGTATGTTCGTCTTCAGCGTCAGCGAGCCATTCTTAAGCAGCGTCTAAAGGTTCCCCCCGCAATCAACCAATTCACCAAGACTCTTGACAAGAACACCGCCACTCAGGCTTTCAAGCTGCTCAACAAGTATCGTCCCGAAACCAAGATTGAAAAGCGTGCTCGTTTGACCGCTGCTGCCGAGGTTGTTGCCGCTGGAAAGAAGGTTGATCAGGGCAAGAAACCTGTTGTTGTCAAGTACGGCATCAACCACATTACTGCACTTGTTGAGGCTAAAAAGGCTCAGCTTGTCATTATTGCTGATGATGTTGATCCCATTGAGCTTGTCATTTGGCTCCCCGCTCTTTGCCGTAAGATGGGTGTTCCTTACTGCATTGTCAAGGGAAAGGCACGTCTTGGAACCGTTGTTCACAAGAAGACTGCCACTGCTCTTGCCATCACTGATATCAAGCCCGAGGACAAGCCTGAGCTTGCTGCTCTTGTTGTTGCCGTCAAGGCCAACTTTAACGACAAATCTGAAGAGATCCGTCGTACCTGGGGTGGTGGTATCATGGGACAAAAATCCAACAACAAGGCTGCCAAGCTGGCTCGTGCTGCTGCCAATGAGATCAAGGTTTAAATGTGTGGTGTATTTTCGATTTATTTTTTGAAATGCAAACCATTTAGTTTTATTTGTTTCTTTTTACAGCCATATTCATATAAAATGGAACACTTGTATTTATCTTGCAGTCACTATTTTAGTTTGGAATAGACAATGGTTGAATGTTAGTTTTTGTATTGGGGATTGACTTGAATACAGTATCCATTGTATAAAAATTAAGTCACAGCTTTGAATTGAAGCTGCCTCTGTTAGGTTAGCCACATTGCAGATCGCCCAACTTGGAACTCGACAAGCACACTTTAATCCAGATTTTGAGCTTTGATGCCACTCTATTGTATCCTAATCTCGCAGATACGTTTGCTTTCAAGAGAACAAACGCTGCAGTCTTGAAACCAAAGTTTCCATTCCAATCACCAAAAATCCAATGAATTTTGTCAGGGAAATCCAGATGGCACAATGTGGTGGCAATTGACCAATTATATCGCGACATTGGCTGTTATGCGCTTTCTCGCTCTCGCTCTTGTTTAGTGTTTTGTTTTGGGTGAATGCAAGTGGATCACTTTCGGCTTGGTCTCGAGTATTGTGTAAACCCAAGCCTGGCTTCTATGGAAGACAGTGTACAATACACTCATGGTACAGTTTAATATTATAGCCAAAGCACAAGGACATTGTTCTCTTACAGTGGTTTCAAGAAGGCGTTTACTCGATCAACTCGTGTATTCAAGACTTGAAATACACAGACACTCGACCAAATAAAATCAGATATAAAATGCTATTCGAATGCTGCACCATCATCTCTTACCAAAAGCCAAGTAAAATTATTATTCATTTTTATAACTAGAGGTTTCTGCACCACTATCAATCCATCACGACTAGGCTAAGCAAAATGTCTTTTATTGCGACATCATTGTTTTTAGAAACTGCGGTAATTACTCCTACATCTTTTTTGGAAACTACAATGACCACATCTACTGTTTCTTTTGAAACTTCTACTTCCAAAGTAGAGGAACCAAAAGACTTGAAGTATGATTCAAATTTTTATAGAATAGCTGATCGCAAAATAAACTATTTTAATCAGCCGAGTTCTGACTCGACTCCTAAATCTACAGCACCATCACGGAGTCGACAAAATCCCCGCTGTTCTCCACAAGCTTTGCTAAAAAAGGAAAAATTGCCGTACTCATCCCATTCATCTTATATCAAGCACCTCACATCAATTGTTCGTTCTACTGGAATGAATGCCATTCAATCTCAAAAAGTAGCCAAAAAAAGACAAGAATACTTGGAAAGAGCTACAAAAGAATTGGACAGTTATCAACGCATGCAAACTCATGGTTACGTTAAAATCTATTCTGGTCAAAAAATGCGGTTGTGGTTAAAAGACAACTTCAATGCTGCTCAAGCAGCTGCTGATCAATACAACGAGGTTGCAAAAACCGATCTTGCTGCCTATAAACAGGCCAAGAAAAAGCTGGAGGAAGCTAAAATAAACCCACGGGCGTTTTCTTTGTCTGAATGCTCGACTGAGTCTGAGCCATCAATTGATGATTCAAGATTGCCACTACTTGAAATCGAAGACCCAGATGATGAATGTGCACCCAGTCGCGCTCGAATCGCATCAAAAGTCATTGATCCTCGGATAGTCTCTGGATCTACCCATTCCAGAGCACCATGCAGTAATCCTAATGGTACGCGGAGAGATTTACAAAAACCCAAGTCAAGAGAGCTGCCCAAAAGGCTTCTTGACCGAGCCAATAGTCGCATGCCTAGGGATACCTTGCAGATTCCAAGCCTAAAGAATAGCGTGAAAGCAGACACGACTGAAACAGACAATGGTAATATAAACTCTTCAACTAACCCAGATTCTCCACCACTGACAGGAAACACACTTCACATTCCAGTTAGATATGCTTCTCGTACACTGACATTGGACTCGACAGAGTTTGAAAACAGCAGGGAACAACATCAAAGAGTGGATATCGAGACAGTCAGAAGAAAACATGCCAATCGCGAAAGAGGGTATGGCCCAGTTGGTGGATTCAAGTCGTTTCCATCACCACCGCAGTAAAATGCGTTAGTCTAACCACATTCGTATATCATCCTATTCACGTAAAATAAGGCACTAAATAAATATCAATAAACAGTTGATTGATTGATATTGAAACAGTTTTAAACTAAAATACATGTTTCCAGAGCACAAGAATGAGTTTGAACATGAATTTGAGAAACACTTGAAAGTCAGTCGAGTTACAAACTATTCATTTCACACAACTTTTGATTTAAATCCATTTCACACAACTTTTGATTTAAATCCATTTTCATCGAAACAAGAAAGATTTCAAACAAGTGACTGCAAATACAAGCGTTTCATTTGACGTGAAGACTATAAATATATTCTGGTATCGCCACCAAGAGTTGCTATTACAAACACTATGAGTGCTGTTGTTCCTGATTTCGACAACCTGGACAACACTCACCACAGTGATGCTGGCTCTCCACCATCTCAACAGATTCAAGTTATTAATGACCGCAAAGAGTTTACGTAAGAACATCCCGCTTGGTCATGGATGGTGAATATTCACCAATACGCTGCTCATACCCCACGCAAACGAGCTATGAGCAGGTGTTGATTACTACAACTAGTCTCATCAAATACATTTCATCTTGATTTCATCTTGATGTCAAATGCATTCTTTGATACGAGTGAATCTTGTCTTGGCATAGTTATTAATCCGACTTGATTCTAAACTAACATCTACAAACTCATCAATCCAATAGTTCAAAGTTATCAAGCGCATTGGATGATCGCTGGAATCTTTCAGATCAAGGGTTTGACTACAATGTTGTTGCCGTATTTGGATCTCAGAGTACTGGAAAAAGTAAGTTGTTTGTTGAGCTTCTTTCAAATCTCGTATAGTTATATCACTAGTCCAATACAATACTAGGCTTGAATTCAACTATTCTTATTGCGATCGTCAAGTGGTTGTACAAATCTGCTCAAAACCATGTGTAATCATTCCATTAATATACTTTTGGGATGTCTTGGCTTGAACAATATCACTACTAGGTACTCTTTTAAATCGACTTTTCAATGCTCAGTTTGATGTAATGGATGAGACTGAACGCCGCCAAACTACAAAGGGAATTTGGGTCTGTAAAGCCCGAGCAAGCAACACACTGGTGATGGATGTTGAAGGTACCGATGGTCGCGAGCGTGGTGAAGACCAAGTATGTCGGAATAGTGTTATTACAATCTATTGTGTCAAATCAAGCAGTGCAATTAATTTTGTTTTTCATATTATACAATTGTATAGGACTTTGAACGAAAAAGTGCTTTATTCTCAATGTCAGTGGCCGAAGTGCTTATCGTCAACATGTGGGAGCAGTCTGTTGGTCTTTATAATGGTGCAAACATGGGTCTTCTCAAAACTGTGTTTGAAGTCAATCTACAGCTGTTTCAAACACAAGGGCAAGTAGTTTGAACACTGCACTTGTTCTACAATAATATACTAATTGCATGGTTTGACAATCCTACATTCTAGATCGCCAAAAACTTGCATCTTCTTTGTGCTCCGTGATTTTACAAATCGCACTCCTTTGCAAAAACTTGCAGACACGCTCATTAACGATTTAAAGAAAATTTGGGACAGTCTTTCAAAGGTATATCGGTGGTTTTCATCAATATACAATCGAGTTTGCATAATCGATTTTCAACTAATGATTTCAACTATACTATTAAGCCTCCGGGAAAAGAAAGTGCGCAAATCACAGATTTTTTCGATTTTGAGTATGCTGGAGTTCCCCACAAGATCTATGCTACAGAGCAGTTTGATGCAGCAGTTGAAGATCTCCGTGAGCGTTTTTACGACAAAAAATCTTCCAGATATATATTCAAGACGGGATATCATAAACGCATTCCTATTGACGGGTTTCCACATTTTGCAGAAGCCATTTGGGAACAGATTGTCAAAAACAGAGATCTGGATTTACCCACTCAACAAGAGTTGCTGGCTCAGTTTCGCTGCGATGAAATTGCCAAAGTCATTTATAATAAGTTTGGGGTTGATGTTAAGCCTTTGCGCTCGAGATTAGATGCTGGAAATGTCGTGGATAATTTGGGTGCTTCTATGCAGCAACTCACGGTTTCTGCTCTTGGTAAATTGATTTGACTCGTTGGATTTTACGAAGCTGATGTCTGACTGACTTGAAAATCGTATTGATGTAGCCTCATTTGACAAGGACGCTAGCCGCTATAATGCTGCTGTATACAAGTCTAAGAGATCTGCGTTTGCAGACCAAATGCACACTGTTCTGTCAGTTCTTTTTGTTCAACAGCTTCGCAACTTGCACAAGCGTGGCATTATCTTGTTCAACGAATCTCTTCAGGTAAAAAACATCAGTGTCATTCACATGACTTATTGTTTTATAGTAGTAGAACCATGAGTTAATCTTGTATACTACTTGCTAGACACGCATCAAGGCGGGCGAAGCTGATTTCGCCAACAAGCTTAAACTATCGTTCAACGAAGCCGAGTCATATTTCAACAATGGCGCACAAGGTTTGTAGATATTTTTGACGCATTGAAACTGCTTGATTTCGTGCTGTATTGATGTGTTTTTGGTTAATATACTAATCTTTATTCAAATATTTTTGTAAACACAGCTGCATCCATTATACTAGCAGAATGGACATACGATGAGCAACTATCGCTTTTTGTTCAGGAATTGGGTGAAGAGTGTGTCAAGCAACGCACCGAGGCTATGGAGCGATTAACCAAAAAACTTGACAAGAGTATCAAAACACGTCTAGTGAATCCCATTACTGATTTGTTTTGCAAACCGACAAAGCTACTTTGGGTTGACGTGCTGCGTACCACCAAAGACGTAATGACCTCTATTTCAGACACTCTTACTAAAAGTCTTTCAGGTAATTTATATTTTGGCGCATCAGACATGTACATTGATTAACAATACTTTTTGGATGGATACGTTAGGCTTTGATGTTGAATCTAGTGTTATTTTACAGGAAGTCAAACAAATCAAGATTCGCATTTGGGACTTGATGATGGAGATTGTTCAAGCCGAAATTGCTGAAAAGGCTTTGCTTGAAAAGCTTCGTGAACGGTATGCATTGTCGCTTGATTGTTTTTATGTTGCCGAGATTTAAATGTGCTACTTTTAATGATATTGTATTGTCTATTCTGGTCTGTCATAACATCAATACCGATGGATGTAGATTTGAAGCCAAGTTCAGATACGATGACAAAGGTATTCCACGGTTTTGGTCTCCAACTGATGATATCGATGGCACATTTAAAATAGCTCACGAGCAGGTGATTGACAACCTAAATTCCATCATAGTTGCTATGCTTTTTTAAATATACTATTACATGCAATCATGCACTGATTTGCCATCTTGTGATGATATGTTGAAATATTTAGGCCGATGAGCTGTTGACAATTTTTTCAGAAATTCGTGTGCCATTTTCAGAAATTGATACTGATATTGCTCAGCATAATGCAAGTATCGTATATAATGAACTATATGCTTTATTTTCATTGTCATGTTGCTGAGCTTGTAGTAGACTATTGCTCAACCATGCCTCTTGCATTTTAAATATATAGGGAATCAAAGAGACACCTATTATGATGTTGTCTGTTGCACAACAAGAAAATGCTCGTCTTATTTTCAACCGCGAAGCACATAGTCAATTTATGGAAGCCAAACGATCTACAGTAGCAACAACAGCCAAGATCCCACCATGGTTTATTATCTTGACGGTCGCACTGGGATGGAACGAGCTTATGGCCGTTCTTTGGAATCCCATGCTTACTATGATGTTGCTTGGATGTGTCGCAAGTAAGCAGCTTTTATCGAAATGAGAATATGAAGTGTATTGGTTTATGTTTGATTAATTTCGAGTGTAATGATATCTTGATAGTCGCATTTGGGATCTGGAAAACCAATATGGCAGGCCCACTGTTTCACGTTGCACGCGCTGCTACAGGCGAAGTGACACGCCAAGTGTCGACTGGACTCCATGATCGTGGATTTAGTATGACCAATCTTATGAATCATCCAACCATTACTACTGCCAAACGAACATTCAATTCTGCGGTAAACTTGAGCAGATCGCAGTCGGAGGAGGGTGGGGAGAGTTATGAGCTCAGTCGGCGTAAGACTGCGACAGGGTCAAAGTCACCTAGTGGAGTAGATAGTACACCTGACTCGCCAAAGCCTCACCAAGACTAGTATTATTTTACTAAAGTTGATTTTGATGGTGCAATATGTTTGTCTATTTTGGGAATCATGATGTGCAGTTCAAATGCTTTGATCCTACACGTTTGAATTTTATATTTGAATGCATCTAAATCCAATCACCAACTCGACACACGTTGATATCATAAAGCGATACACAAAACTTTATATAGAAATAAGCAGCCATAGTTGGATGCTTTGAAAATGTAAACAAGTTTTTAAATGATTCATAAAGACGCAATCAGGTTTTGGTTAGTCGACTCTTCAAGGTCTTTGTTCCATTTTTAAATAGACTCAAAAAACTTGGTCGTTTCATGTGCTTGGCAGTTGCGTCCAAGTTACAAAAGTGCATGTGTGTAGGTAGATCTGAACAGGGTACGTGTTCAGATTCATTTGAGAGAATTCTCACATCTAATGAGGGAGGTGTTGGAGATCGATTGACTACATATGGGCTTGTAGCTCTAAAAGAATCATTTATACTCGCAGCATTGGTAAGATTATACTCCATAGTCTTGGTTTCAGTGGTTGTTTTAAATAGATTGGGCTGGTGGCGTGTGATGGTTGAGAATCTGTCATCTCCATCTTCTAGATCGAATGTATTCACATGAGGAAACTCGGGAAGTGATTGAAACAAAGGAATATGATCCGCCTCGCTTTCATCAGAATCAGAATGTAGATCCGTATCACTTCCTGTCCAACCAGACGTGCGTCGATGGATATTGGACAATTCAAGTTGCTGTTGCTGGAGAAATGAAAGCTGAACTTCTGCCATTCGAATCAACTTTTTTTCTTGTTCTACCAATAGTTTCCTCTGTGCAATGACAGTCTCGAGTTGCTTGGATGTAGCTAAGAGTGTTGAGATTTAGTTGTAAATATAACAGTAAGCAGAATAAACACTAGTTAATACCATCATGTGTGGACTGGAGGAATAGCCAGCAATGATCTGGGTATTTAACCATCAGCAATGAATTAACATTTACCTTCAAATGACGCCAACGTGTCAATAATAAATGACGCCGAAAGTGGTCGGTGTAGGGTACGGAAAACCTCCGAAGTGACGGCAGGATGATCAGCTGCATCAAAGCAAGTCAGTTGATTGTTTTGAACAGAGTGCTTGTCAGGGTTAGCCAAAGATATATCATTAGCACAATGACGGTCAAAGTTTAGCTCCCGCAGAGAAACAGTGTTTCGAACTGATTTTTCAGTCATGCCAAAACTCATGGTTTTGGCATGTGCGAGGTTTGAAGCAACAGTACTATATGGTACATGAACTTTATCCAACTCGACAAAAGCTTCAGGACAGAGTGAAGAAGATGCCGGATCCAAGGAATTGGCTGGTGGATCTATCAGAGTTCTATCCAAGTCACTGAGATTTGAGTCGGCGGTACGAGGATCTTCAAAAGACACACCTTGAGTAGTGAAATGGGTTGAAACAGGAGCCGAGTGACTGATGGACAAGTTAGATTGAGAACTCATTGCATAGTCTTTAGAGCCATCGTCATGACCCGATCCATACAGATGTTCTTCACTGCTGTTGCTGATATCCTCAAACGATTGGATTGAATGCAGAGTGCCAATGCCATGACTGCCCATAGAGTGATCCTTGAGCTTTCCATTGATTTTAAGCAACTGCTTCATACGAGTTGGTGAAATAGTTCTGCGGATGCGCCTGCCAGATTGTGGACTTTTGTGATCAAGATGATTGCAACTGGCAGAGCCAAAGGCAGACAGACTTGGAGATGCCTGAACACTACAAGTGGGAATTAAAGCAGTCGTATCTACCAGTGAAGATGCCAATTCATTGGCGGAGAGTCGGATTGGAGTCCGACTGTTGTCGTTCATGGTTGTAATGGTCGGATCGACTTGACTATGCGGTAAAGCAGTAATATCATGGTTGGTATTCTGAGTGGTAGAATTTAAAAACTGATCAGAGAGTGAGCCGAGCATAGTGGAGCCAATTGATGGGAATATAATAATAGTTGATTACAGTCGTATTCGTGTAAAACTGAACATTAAATGTCTGCAATCTCGTGAAATGATTGGTTTGCTGAACACTGAACTTGTTTTGTATAAAATACTCAATCTTGACATCACTGCTTTACTAGATTGCACGCTTGTTTAATCTCCGACTTTTTTATTCGATCCAAATGCTGTGTTGGTATGTAATCATTCATCTCTAATGCGTGACATCTTTAGTTTCTCCAACTAGAACATGAGTTGTATTGACAACAGTCGAGTCCAATATCTGATGATCGTACAATATATGATTACCAAATGTAGACAATCCAATAGTGTTTAAAGTTGACTGCACATACAAGTGTTTCATTTTACGTGAATACAACTGTAACAGGACTTCGTGTTTTCATGATTGTTTGACAAGATTATAAACCTATTGATCAACACTGTCAGCCATCAATGAAATCATCCAATAATTCGATATAAACTCAACCACAAACCATCTGCATTAACCATTTTCGCGTGACTTTTGCTGCGACCCTGCAAATAATTTTGTTTTCCTCAAACTTATATTTCTTGTTACTGACTACGAGGCAAGGGTACGACTGCCACCAACTCACTTGAAGTAGCTGTTAAAGTCATACATCATCATGGCTGGATCCACTGCATCTCGTAATCAGCGCAAGCGACCTCTCACGATCCCAAATGCTCTAGAGACCATTCAAGGTGTCGAGTGGTTGACCTTTACTTACACCTCACGCGGCATGGGCACTCAATACACTATTCGCATTGATATCGATTCAGTCGATAATGACGACCTAACGTCAGACTTCAAGGTTACTAACAGCGTTTATCCCCGTGCAAATGTACCTCAGGATGAGTATGCCGGTAATAGGTGGCAGTACGAATCCACCGTCAATGAGATTGGTTGGAGGTTGGCTTATTTGAACTTTGAACTGATTGCCAAGCGTGGCCTATTACAGCGCGCTGTCGATAGGTGTGTTGCTATTGCCATGGAAACTCATGAATGCGTATACCCATACAATCCTTGTATTCATTCATCATGATGCTGTATATAACATCTTGTGGTCTACTACTTTGTTTCCATCGTCTACTGCAATTCATGTAGACCCTGGTCAGCTAACCTAAACACTGATTTTGTTTGTATACAATTCCAACCCATGTTTGTTTTGGATTATAAACTAATGCTTATGTTTGTGTAAATGTATCTCTTGGATATTTAATGAATTCATCAGCTTTCGAAACCGATTTCCTGACATGAAGAGTCGCCGTGTTGCTCGAGTCGAAAAACACGAAACTACCGAAACTGCAAAAGGTGCTCGGCGAGCATCTCGAGACCCTCCCGTTGTTACATTACCTAAAAAACCACCTCCAGCTCTAGTCGAAGCTCTACTAGCCCGTCCACCTTCACAACCTCGAAATTCAACTAAACCTGCTATAGCAACAGAAGAAAGTGATTACGATGAGTCACTTGACCAACCTGCTCGGAAGCGTACTCGCAGATCCGTCAAGTCTGAAGCTTTACCTTCATCCCCTGCATCACAATCTAAATCCCAGACCATCCCTATATCTACATATTCGTCAAAACTTACAACACCCACTTTAACTACTCTTATGCTAGAAACAATTCGGGACAACGCTCCTTGGCGTTTGGAGATCCGCATAGATCAATCCGTCATGACATCTCAACCCTCGGCTCATTTCAAAGAACATTATGCGTTATATCGACATATTTTACCAAAAAATTCCAATACAGCAACATTGAAGCTTGGTCGGGAATTGTTGTGCAATGATATTGCTTGGCGACTTGCATTTTTGAATCCAGAGAGTTTGGGCCGTTCAAGATCACTATTACAACGAGCTGTGGATATGTATTTGGAATTGTATGGTGATGCTCGGTATCGATCCCGACCGGCTTTACGTATGATACAGGATTCACCACAAATATAATTGTCTAATCCGTTTTTATATCGAGGTGTTGAGATTTCTTGTGAAATGTAATTGTAAATATATGATTGAAAGTTGACAAATCAAAGAGTGTATGAGCTGAACAGAACCTTTGATGGTGAGGCTTTATTTGTCCTTTTTATTGTCCTCCTTCAACCCAACAGTGCGGTTCAAAACAATTTTACCAGTCTTGAAATCCGAGTTGCGATCGACACAAAAATAGGCGACACGTACAGCTTGAAATTTGTCCTCGATCTTGGTATTCAAAATGCCAATATCTGCCATGGCACCCTCCACAATCTGCAGCGAATCAGGGTTTAAATCAGATAGCCAGCCGCCAGGAACTTCTTCCTTGCTTTGTGGATTAGCATGCAAAAATAGCTTTTCATACAGCCTTGCAGTCACATGTACAGGAGATTGGTGCTTGGGACTCACACCTACCCACTGAATATATGCCTTGGGTCGTGAAGAAATACCGTCTTTCTCGTAAACAGCCTTGATCTCAATTATCTTTCCCGTTGATGGATCCTTGACCACTTCAGTTGCTTGAATTGGGAATGGCACATTCAGCAATCCCACACTCTTTCCTAGCACCAGTCGATAAAACTCGCCGCTTTCGTCTTTTTCACGGAAATCAGATCGGTCAATGTAAACTGTCTTGGTAAAAGGAAGAACACGGCTACCCAACGTAGCATCTTTGGGTTTGTTGGCAACTTCAATCTCCTCAATCATATCGTCACTCACATTTGTTAAAGTCACCTTGACTGGATCCAGGATAACAAATAGTCTGGATACAGTTTGGTTAAGGTGATCACGCAAATACCCTTCAAGACGATCTGCATTCATTGTCGTGTTTGCAGTAGTAACACCCACATCTCGCACAAAGGCGTTGATGGACTCGGGAGTAAATCCACGTCTACGCAGTGCTGCTAAAGTGTAAAGACGCGGATCATCCCAGCCTTCCACTAATCCTTCTGTAACAAGTTGATTTAATTTTCGTTTTGACATGACAGTGTTGGTAATATTGAGACGACCGTATTCCCACTGCACGGGCTTGTAAATCTCAAGTGCATCCACTAGCCAGTAGTAGGATTCTCGCGAAAGACGAAACTCGGTTGTACACAAAGAATGTGTAATGTCTTCAAACGAATCGCACAGACAGTGTGTGTAGTCGTATGTAGGGTAAATGCACCAATCACTCCCAGTGCGATGGTGTGCAGTAAATAGCACACGGTAAGCGACAAGATCCCAAAACTGAGGATTGGGATTGGTGAGATCCATTTTCATACGAAGAATGGCTTCACCTTCTTTGTATCTGCCCTCCTTCATCTTTTGAAATTCTGCAAGGGATTCAGAAACAGGACGATTACGGTGAACACACTCTGTTCGCGGGCCCTTGCTATCACCTCCACGGTGCTGGTAAATCTCTTCTCCAGTGCAATGGCAAACATATGCCTTGTCACGTTTGATCAGATCTACAGCAAGATCGTATAGTTTTTGGAAATGGTCGGAAGAGTAGGTAATAGCCGAGGGTTTGAAGCCAAGCCACTCGATCGTGTCCTTGATAGCAGTAAGGTATGATTCCTCCTCAGCTTCGGGATTGGTGTCGTCGTATCTCAAGTTGGTGGTGCCTCCAAATGCAGCAGCATAAGAGAAGTTGATATTGATAGCTTTTGCATGACCAATATGTAAAAAGCCATTGGGTTCAGGTGGGAAACGAGTCTGAACCCGTCCCTTGGTGCGTTTGAGATGCTCCACCATTAGTTCAGGTTTGATTTGGGGATTCTCTCCTGGTCGATGAAGACGAGCAAGTTCACCTTCAAAAATGAACTTGGTGCTCTTGGCCATGTCTTCGATACGACTTTCTACAGGTGCATCTGCAGCTGGAATGCTAGCAGCCTTGGCCTCTTTCTCCTTCTTTTTCTATCAACAACAAAAATAAAAAGTGGTAAGCCAATGCAGCATATTTTGCACATCTCTCGAGTATAAAAATAGACTACAAGCCTTGGTTTTGAGATTGTCGCGTTCATCCTTTGGGCCAAGCAGAGCAAGGATTTGGCGATCCAGTTCCTCCTTAACAGCGAGTGAATTAGCCCATCGAAGTCGAGTGCGCATCAGACCCAACAAACTACCAAGCATTTGATATCTCTTTTCTTCGAGCTCGACTTTTTTTTCAGCCACCAGAGCAGCAACCGAGGCGGTAATCTCGTCAGAAGTCACCACGACACCTACACGCATTGATAGGATTAGCAATTGAAAACAACGAGTTTGATTCAAGCCCATCTCGATCTGGTAATGAATTCTCAGTCTAATACATTAGATTTAAAAACTCACCCACACCACAGGCCTCATTAAAAGCAATGTCGTCAATGGGGCCAGTAGCCTTTTCAGAGAACTTGATGGCAGCTAATGGTTTGGAATAACAATGAAAGTTTGAAACAGGGATAAGTACGATGCATTGCAGATTAGTTCTATACAAACCAAATCTAATAGATTTGAAAACGACACACCAGACACTTGATCACTGGAGGTCAGATTTCCATTGAAAACAGCTTTTGCAAGGTATGGAAGATGAACAGTAGCATCTTTAGTTATAGTTGAAGCAAGAGTGTAGAGCAAAGCACCCAAAGACTTTTCGACTCCGTCTGCAGTGACTCCAGCCTATAGAATCAATTGAATGGTTGAATAACGCATCGAATGCAAGATTAGAAAGCAGGCAACCCGCCATGAATAAACCAAACTGCAACAGTACACTTGCCTCGGTAATGACTTGAGTCAGAGTAGGAGCCAGTTTCTTATTGGCAGCAGTTTCTTTGGCCTTTACATCGGACAGTCCGATTCTAGTAAAAAGATCTGTCAATTCTGAAGCAGACATGTTTTGTAAACCAGCAGTTGAATGAATAGTTCTGATGGCAGTTGATGGATTGATGGGCAAGAATAAAGCAGTGCAGTTGTCAAGTGAACGCAATCGGTTGACTATTGAATGAGATTGCAGAGTGTAAACAGGATTCCGAGTTAAACCCAACAAGACTGTTCTTTGAATTAGCAAGAATAGTGCAGATGGTCTTTGCAACATGCACTTTATAACTGCCAAAGTCGGTTGAATTGACTGTAGTTCAACACGTGGATGACTGTCGTCTTTACGATTCAGTTTCTACCGAGAATCTCGATAGGATTCCTATTAGGATTTCTATTAAGATTCCTATTAGGATTCCTATTATGTCAATTGTTAATCTATACTCGATTCTCATTCTTCAAGTCTTTTGCATTGAAATATAATCTTGAAATTCCATAATAAATAGTCATTGCATTATCAATTCAACTTGGATTTACTTTTACTAATCATTTCATCGCTTGTCAGAATCTTCAACACTCGAACTATTACTATAAAGTCTTGATATCTACATTCAATGTCAAGACAGGATCCGTTTGAATTGGTTTCCCTCGTGGTTGCATCGGATCATCCTGTTGAACCTCCGCTACGACCATCTGCTCTTAAGCCATTGCAACCCCATCTAGATAACTCCTTGGTTCGCACTTTAGGCTCGGCATCTGCCATGTTTGGCACTCTTACTAGTAAATCTGGTTCAACTACTAATCCTCCTGCTAGTATGAGTGGACCGGACACTTCCCATTCAAAACCTCAAGAGTTGGAACCGTCTGGAAAGCATCTTATTTTCAATGTTGCTGAACTGTGTGGTAGGCTATTTCTGTATCTTTGGCTCAGCTTGCTATTCCTGCCAAAAACGCATCATTGGATTGGCTAGCTTGAATTGTATTGATTTTCGATCTATTGAAATGTTAGGCAACGATCTTTATATTGGATCATTCGACGGAATTTTACAGCATTACATTATAGACCCAATCAAGAATTCATTTGATTCTCCAGTATGTTAATTCGCATCAACTATTTTATTTGTGCTCAATCCACTAACGTCTTTACTAATCAATCTAGTTAAAAGTCGAGTTGAAAACACAAGTGGCAATTTCTAATTCAAAGTGTCCAATCAAGTCATTACTTGTAATTCCTACTGAATCTGTGATTGCTGCTCATGTTGGTCAGTTAAATATGATCGCCAACCCATTCTTTTAGTATATACATACTACAATCAATCAATGCTATAGACTTTGTCGCTCTAACAATTTGATTGTTGGATCACTCAAACTGCAGATGGCAATCTAGAATTTTATCAGTTGGATACGCTTTTCCCTACTTCCCATGCAAACATTCCTACACTTAGAGGTGTATTAGCATTTTGCATCGATAGGATTGCTCAAAGCCCACTTTCACTCATAGTTGCTAAAAAACGGTCTATCTGCAGCTATTTGTTAGATGATCGACTGACTTTTCAAAAGGTATGGTTTACTTTTACGAGTACATCTGCATAACTTACTCAACATCGCTTAATGGCAATACAATAGGATGTTCCCGTATTGAACGGAGCTCAATTTCTAACTCAAAACGGTCAAGTGATTTGTGCTGCTGATGCACTCACGTATAAGCTTATTAATTTGGATACTGGAGGCTGCATTCCATTGTTTCCATATGAAAAGTTGCAAATGTCACCAGTTGCTGTAATGATTGGAGACGGTGAATTCTTGCTTGTTACTGCATCTGCACAAGGTGTTGGTCTGGGAGTCTTTATATCTTCAACTGGTGAACCCATTCGAGGTAATGTTGCTTTTGTTTGATTAGATTTTGTGATGCATCATTTACACCAATTGTTTTTAAATTAGGAACCTTGCAATGGCCATCTGTACCAATATCCATGGGCAAGTGTTTCGTGCCATTTACTTTTTGATAAGCCATGTTCAATTAATTGTCTAGCCTGGAATTTTAATTTTAACCCGTATCTTAATATCTAGTGTTTTTATATCCACACGTATTTACGCTTCTTCGAAATAATATGCTTCAAATTCATAATTTTACCACACAGGATCTAGTACAATCCATTACTTTTCCCAGTGATACACCAGCGAAATCTATATCTGCTGCACAATATCCGCTTGAAGTTAAAGTGGCTGGGTTTTTTGAAAATAATGCTGTATCTACAGCAGAAACATCTGACAGTTTACCCACAACATCCGCTGGAACAGTTCAAGTCATCATTAGTTTTTGTAACGAGATCCTTGGATTGCTAATGATTCCTTGGGAAATTCAAGTAGAACAGCATTTTGATGCTGGGAGTATTCACCAGGCTGTTATACTAGCGGATCAAATACTAGGACAGGACCAAGATACTCCTGCCAAAGTAAGCTTGTGATGTATAATATTTATTGAAACTTGATCCAACGAGATATCACGATTTATTATAATTCTGCTTGTTGACTGATTGCTAATGGAAATTAGAGGACCAAGTTGTCACGCATTTACATACGAGCAGGAATCATGTTTGTTCGGGATGCTAATTTTTCATCTGCTCTGGACTGTTTTAATCGAGGTCGAATTAATCCGCGCGCGCTAATTTATCTTTACCCTGATATTCGGCCATCGACCTATACAATAATCCCTGAAGGCTACGCTCGGAAATGGATGGTAGAAAATGAAACAATAGATCAAATAGGTTTGTTGAAATGTTTGTAATGGTGTATTCGCGTGCTTATACCTTTTAGCTTGCTATATCGTCCACTACCTTTCCAATCGTATCAATATTTCTAATTTTGATTTGATAATTCAGTTGATAGAGCTGTATCCAAACAATATTCCAATATCGATGAACCAGGCGCATCATCTTTGAAAACTGCACTCACTTTGGAGGCTCAGGTATATTTATCCTATAATAGACTAATGGTATTTTCTGCACTATTTATTCAACAGTTGTTGACAATGTGTTGTTTTAGGATATGCTTATGTCGTACTTGTCAAATATTCGCACATCAAAACTATCCAAAACTGAAATCAAAACTGTATGTTGTCAGTTGATTTTTTACAAAAATGTGTTTTTTCAGTGTTGTTTATAAATGTCAAACCAATTGTTTTGTAGGATATTGATTCAACATTATTGAAGCTATATGCTGAGCATAATACGTCTGCCATGTATGATCTCCTTGCTGGCCCAAACTACTGTGATATTGCTCAATGCGAAGCGTATCTTGCATCCAAAAATCGATACTTTGCACAAAGTTTGATGTTTAAAGCACAGGAACAATATACACAATGCCTTGATTTGTGGATCAGGCAAGTCAACACACTGCATAGACATAGTTTGTACCTGTATTTTAGCATGTTGTATCAACAGTTGGTATTTGGAATGCTAATCTCTACATTGGGAATAATAGAATTTCTTCTGGCGAGGTGATGGATCCAGATTTTATTGGCATACCACTAATTGTAGAGCTACTTGTTGAATTGAATGACACAAATTTGATATGGCGGTATGCAGAATGGGTTCTTCGACGAGACCCTGTTCGTGGTGTAAAGGTATATTCTACTTTCAAATAACTCATTGATTGTACTTGTTTCATTTAATCAAAAATTGAGGATGCGCTGACACCATTGTTTTATTTGAATGCATCCAAATAGATTTTTATTGATCGCAAAGACGAATTGTTTAAAGTCGAGACAGTGTTGGAGTTTTTGGAGTCGCACGCGACTCGTGCACTGAAGCTATACATTGAAGATTTAGTCATGAGTCAATACAATAAGGTACGGTTTGTTGCTACATTGCACACTTGCGGTTGAATCTTAATATGTTGTTTGTATTGGTTTTTAGGATCCAGCGCTGCATACCCGACTTGGAATACTGTATATCGATGAAATCGCCCATATTGCCACAGATACGCTTGTTTTGTCGCAAGGTAACACTATTTTTGAGCTGAATATAACCATTCATAGCACTAATTGTTTTGCAATACCTTGGTGCTGCTGGCACAATATTGTCATTTGGAATCCAAATTACAGAAACAGAGTTTTTAAAAAGAAAAAACAAATTGCAAACATATATGGAGTTTATGCGCTGCCTGTCCGATCCGTTTGCAGCTGCACGACTCACATTTGTAGACTTTGTTCAGCAGTCAGAATTTGCAGATATGGCTGTTTTGAAAAATCATTTAGACAGCCGACTTCCTAACATGTTTTTTGAACACGTATCGCTGCTAATCAAGGTAGGTGTTCAAGTTGTCACGATCCACAGTACTGTATTGGATAATGTGGTTAGCTGTTTTAGTTGCATTAATTTATCATTGTTTTAATTGGCTATACCATCAGTCTGGCGACACATTTCGTGTTTTGGATCTGCTTGTGCTAAAAATGCACGACTACGTAGCAGCCGAGCGATACTGTTTACAATCTGGACAATCTAGAGTTGATACTATGAGTATATCAAGACCAACGGACTCGGTATTGCAACCCAAAGCAATTTCTATGATAAGCCAACTTATTTCAATATATATCAAAACTTCGACCAATAGGTGAGTAAACGGGTACGCTTCTGTTTTGAAACTATGTTGAGTGATCACTAAAGACTATGTTTGATTTAAAATTGGATTTGGTGATGACTAGGCAGCATGATCAACGCATTGCTTGTACTGAGGAGGTCGTGAGACTGCTTGCTATGTACTATGAATATTTGGATGCAGTGCAACTACTTACAGAGATGCCTGATAGCTGGGGGATTGCAATGTTGTCACCCTTTATCCAAGCTGCGAGCTCACGAAACCTACGTGAACAGCGTATCAGTTTGATTTGTAAAGCGCTTTCTTGTGGAGAAAACGTTCAGGTAAATCATCAAAATTTAGTGTTAGATTTGGTGTTTCCACACTCATTTATGAGTGGATAGTTCATGGCTATAAATACTTTAACTTGGTGTAATAAGCTAATCTCATTCATTACTATCATACACTGTTGAAACTCTTGATGATTTAAACTCTGTATTAAAGACTCAAAGGATGCTGTATGATGCATATAAATCTCTTGCTCCGGTGTATCTACCACTTGAACCGCTTCAAAATTGCCTGGTTTGTACTAAACCGTTACGAGATCCAACTTTGTTTGTTCAACTACCAAATGGACAGCTTGTGCATTTTAATTGCAAAAATCAAAGTAACAGCAATGAATAATGCTTTATAACCCAGCTTGACAAATGTATATTCAATAGCAACTGGAACAAGTAAATAATACTAGCATACTGTTTTCCACTTTGTGATCTGAAAACAAGCAGTCTGATTGTGATGTGATGTACTACTTTGGTGACGATGTTTCAAAATCGAATGCAGACTCGGATTGAGGAAAAGTGGGTTCATCCTTGCGCATTTTTACTTTTAGCGATGGTAGCTTGTAATTGATTGGCAGAAATGCTCGACGTCGCAAAGATCTTGACTCACCGATTGGCACTGTGCTTTCAGCAAAAGAATAAGATTGCTCGTTTGAATTTACGTTCTGATTGTCAAATATTGGGGTAGCTTGTCGATTGGTTGGATTGTTATCAAAAGAGCTAAACACCTCGTTAGAATCTGTTATAAAATCTGAGGTTTCAAACTTGCTGCAGAGTTGTGCTATTCTGGTAACTCTGGGAGACTCGATTTGTTTGATATGCACATTTGTACCTGTTTCATTGAGACAGCTGACAGTTGAATCTTGTGGTGATAATTGGGTCAGACACTCCAAGTCAGTATCATGCACCACCTCAGGGATAGGACGCAACACATCATCAACTGACGATTGTGTGCTTTGAGGAAAAAGCTGCAATTCGGTAGATAAGATTTCCTGTATTTTTTTGCTACGAACTGGCTTGGGTGGGTAGCTAGTTTGCAATTTGATAGTAAATTCACTTGATACAGACTTTGCTTTTTTGTACATTCGACTGGCAACCAATGCTGGTGTCGAGATTTTTTCCTGCGAGTACTTGTTGGATTTACCAAGACTTGGGTACGTTTCAGTTTTTTTGGAGTGCATTCCCAAATGAGTCATAACTTCAAGACCAGGCAGCGCATGGTGATCAAAGATCTCGCATGCTTTATGGAATGCACGTTGAATCCCTCTATATGCAAGTATGGCAGCCTGTGACGCATTCTATGTCAATAGAAACAAGTGTTATGTGTTGATGTACTAGTATTCAGAATATATTGAGATGGGCTATGATTAATGGCAATTAAACGCGTGATGTAATACATACTCGTAAGCTTTCCATTGGAACAGACTCACATTCCAGCTCAGTAATTCTGTTCAATGCAGCATCCAATTTAAACTGTAGATCAGAGGCTGACATTTTTATAGCAAACAACTCATTCTGAAAGCAATATGTTGATGTGTTAAAGCTGATTGAGTGATCAGTTTCACATGAAAGTAAATCAAATGCCTAATCACGCCATTGTCTCCACAAACTGAATGCTTGTGGAGACATGACATTCATGCATGCACTCACTTGCAAATCGGCTCTTTCTCTTTCCAGTCTTCGTATGATAGTGGCATACTTTGCATTGACTCTGCCATTAAAATAAAAGATTGGATTATTGTGTACATGACATTAGCTATCATCAAGACTCGTAGTTTTACCGTATAATCTCATTATTGCGCTTATAAAACATGTCCCTCACTACGATATAAGTGTCATGTCTAAATTAGTAATACAAAATAATTCATTTTTACTCAAACATGATCTGTGAGACACTTGCTGATAACTGGATTTTAACAAAATTGGATTGACTACATACACTGCTCTATAGACTGGGACGACTTTTGTATTGGATCGGTGTTGGACTTTGATTTAAAATGTATTTATCGATCAGTCAATGCTCGATCCATTTAAGCAAGTGCCTTGAATACTTACCATCACGAGTTTTGGGATTCAAACCAAGAATAAATCTGTCAAGCTTCATATCAATCCAAACAAAATGGTTCTAAAATTGCCCATATTTTATTCACATTGAAATTGGCCAAATTCTTGGTTTTAGGCCATTCTGCAACTGAAAACTTTTACAATCTGCTGAACATCTAAAGAATGACTCGAGACTATGCTGTAAGATGCTTGATTTATCCATATATCTGCAGTTTGATATCTTAAAATACTTGAACATGATTTTTGCTATTTTATTTCACTAGACTGCAATTCAACTGCTCAACTCGCTTCAGAGTAATGCCAATGTACTGGACGCAATTCGCAAGTCTGGCAATCTGATCAACACCCAGTCACTGCCCGAGTTCCGCAACTATGTGATGCGTATAGGATACACTGTATGTAATTGCTTCTATATCCACTCCATAGATTGGTTGTGCGTATCTCAATCAGATCGTTGGGTGTAGCTCACTGTGAGTGCGTTCAACTATTGGGTATTTTAGGCCAAGGATTTTGATAAACTGGCCATCATCCATATTGCTGGCACCAAAGGCAAAGGATCTACTTCCGCTTTTTGCGATTCTATTCTTCGCCAAACTCGAATTGCTAATAGCGATGGAACCATTCGGCCACTTAAAACTGGTATTGCTTGCTGCTTGACCAGTCTATCCAGATTAATTCTCGATGGTTTATTTTTTCTTGATAGGCCTTGGAATTTTGATGTTGGCTTACAAATACCTTTCCATGACTAGGCATGTATACCTCGCCCCACTTACAGGAAGTTCGCGAGCGTATCCGCATTAATGGTGCACCAGTAACAAAGGAACAGTTTGCCAAACACTTTTTTAGTGTGTGGGATAAATTGGAGCAGACAAAGGTATCTTGGCATATCACTCGATCGAGAATTACCAATGTAGACATTCGACTGCTATTAACTTTGTTTCAATTTTATACAGCCAGCAGTTATTGATCAGAAACATTCTGATAAGCCATTTTACTTCCGCTACCTCACACTCATGTCGTTTGAACTATTTTTAGAAGAAAACGTGGATGTTGTTATTCTCGAAGTTGGTGTTGGTGGCGAGTTTGACTCCACCAACGTAATTGAAAAACCTGTAGTGTGTGGTATTTCCTCGCTGGGTTATGATCATGTTGCCATTCTTGGAAATACAATTGAAAAAATCGCTTGGCATAAAGCTGGTATAATCAAGCCGGGATCTCCTGTTGTTACTTCTCCTCAGTTGCCAGATGCAATGACTACTATCAAGAAGCGCGCCGAGGAACTCAAGGTAATGGTTTAGATGCACCACAAGTATTTCATTCTGATGAATATCATCTACTTTTGAACTAATGACAGTCAGTTTTGTTAGGCTTCCAAAGTCATTGAAATATCCGAAGAGTCCATCAATGAACTCGAGAACATCAAACTGGGACTTCATGGATCACACCAGCGCACCAATGGTGCTCTTGCCCGTGAAATCTGCAAGCAATGGATCTCATCTCGTGAGGCTTCAGGACTTGTTTTCAAAAACGATCCAGACTATATTACACATGGTCTCGAGTCTGCCTCATGGCCTGGTCGCTGTCAGCGCATCCAGTCTGCCGAGTTCAAAGATATTGAATGGTTTGTTGATGGTGCACACACACCCGAGTCGCTACAGGTGTGCGCTGACTGGTTTAAAACTATCGTTTTGGAAAGTACCGACGCTCATCTTCCTACGTACCTTGTATTTAATTGTACGCACGGACGTGATCCTTCTCTCCTTCTTCTTCCTTTAGTCAAGGTATTTCAAACATCCAGCACTTTGAAAGGCGTGGTATTTTGTACCAACGACCCCTTTTCTCCATCGAGTGTTGCTGCTGGTGCAGGATCGTCAGATCTGACCAATAACATGGTCCATGCTGATCCAGAACACAAAGTACAGCAGGATTTGGCTAGAGCATGGGCTGCACTCGCAAAGGAATCCTCCTTGCCAGAAGTTCCGATTACTGTCATGGACTCGGTTGAATCTGCTGCCAAGTTTATTTCTACTGATAGAACTGGCAAAAAGCAGGTGTTGGTTACTGGCAGCTTGCATCTTGTTGGTAGCGTGATGACTCTGCTGCATGCCGAAGTTGTTTAGGTCATAGAATAAAGCGTTCATTATTGTCAGGGTTTTGCAGTTTAAATGACTCGAATGGATTTTTTACAATAAAGTCTGGTAAAGTATAAAATAGTGTACTCAAAAAAACAGCGTATTTATTGACTGGTATCTATTCCAAACAAGTTGGAATAGATTTAAAATAGATTGTATAGCAATGGTTTTACCCAGTTATCGATACACTACACAAGGGTAACAATACTTTTAAATGCTTCATCTCTATGGATTCCCATTCGGTGATAGTTGGTGGGTGCACGTACAATTGGAGTCAAGCGTACATAATCGCTTTGAATCCTTTTAGCTGCAATTAAACGAGCACCATTATCCACGCCGTCTGTTCCTTTACACCATGCTAAAGTAGTAGCAACATATTCATCTAGTCCCTGCTTGAAACTTGCCCAAATATCATCCCGTTCTGTCTGACTCATTTCTGAACGAAGCTTTGTGATGCCGTTTAGTTCGGATTCAGGAGCATCAGTGTATACAAAATCACGCATCTCTCCACCTAGATGCTTAACCGTCTGTGATATATCCACATACTGGGATACCTCTTCTCTGGAAACAAAAACAACTTTGGCTTGCACGACTGGATCTAACCATGGTTTAATGAGTTGCCAAAACCCTATTTTCGTTTAAATGTGTCATTGTCAATTCAGATTAAAGCAAAGTTGTAGACCTTGATCATCACCAGCATCATATTCAATTAAAACTGGATTCAACAGTGCAGTATACCTGAAAAAATCCAAGGGGCAGAAATAATCAAGGCTCGGCCTAAACGTTCTGGATAATAGTTTTGCATGACATTTAGCATAAAACGGGTTGCAATTGAATCTTGGTGCTGAATTCCAGCATCTCTCAAATCAACTAGCATGGTTGCAGTGGTACTTTTAAATTCAGGTTGCTGAAGTATCATGCACGCCGACTCCATGGTCAAGACTATTAGTTTTTCTGACAAGTTACGTACAAGATCTGATGTATTGTGTCGGTTGGCATGAACAAAGCTAAATATGTAACATATGCAACAATTTTAAATGAGAAATAAAGTAGCCTGCTGGACTATATGGAGTGACGACTTGAAGCAAAATCAAATCAGCAATTTCAATCCTACCAGCAAATGCGACCTTCTTTATCAGTACCACAAAAGTAACTCTGGCAGCGTTTCATCTCAGACTTGTGCAAAGGACCTTCTGCCTCTAGCAAAATCTGACGAACTCCAAAAGAAGCCCTCCATCGCAACATATTGACCAGCATATTGACTGCATCTTCGGGCACCCACTTTCTAGCGCGGAGAAACCGCATTACATATACGTCTGGATCTTCGCCATGCATAGCCAGTCCTAGTTCATATAGCATAGATAGTGTCTTGGAACTGTCCTGGTCGTTTGAGACTGCTGGCGAATCTAGATTTGCAGCTGATGGCTGCAAAGTAGGGCTGGGAGTAGATTCAATGGAATTTGTTTTGGATCGACCAAAAATACTCCAACTACTAGCTTTAGCTGGTATGGATGAAGCTGGAGTCGAGGGTTTTGCAACCTCTTTGTCGGCTTCTATAATGGCATCTATAAATAAAGTCCATGTTTGTTGTAGCAACTAAACATACCAAATGTTGGTGGATATTTTGAAAATACACTTTTATAAACCAAACGGCTTGGGCTGTCTTGTATTTGGATTAAACCGAAAACTTGCCAGTTGTGTATTCAAACGAATGTCACACTTGAACTACTTGCCATTGAGGAAAAGATATTAATACAGGTGCTCTTACCTGCAGTTGCTCCGAGGTAAGAATGTCGATTGCTGATGGCTTAACAGAAACCAATTCTTTATCAGTCACTGGCAGTTGGACAGGAACTGGCTTTTCATTCGTTGTTGCAGTTGTTGGTTCCATAAACTCGCCGTCAATGTAGATTAAGGGAAAAAATGAATTACGGCCAAAATTTTATGTACAATGTCATGCGACTCAAAAGTATTGCAAATCAAGGCGGTTCAAAGCCTCAGATTCATGCAATTGCTAAGCTAGTTTATCTGCAATACTAAATAGATAAATTGCCATTCTTAATTCATGTAAAAACGCCTGCATTTATCCTGGATTGATTTTGTTATTGGAAACGTCGAGTTTGCACAAAGCCAAGGAATATCTGGTACGATCATGACATTGAGCAACCTCGGTTGTATCCTAATATCAGATACGTTTGCTCTTTAGTTCAAGAAAGCAGGAATCTAATTGTTGTTTCCATGCCGGCCTTCAAGAGAAAGACCAATAAACAAGAGTTCAAAATACAATATTTTCCAACAAGATTGACCGCTTATTTAGTGTTCCATTTACGTGAATACGGCTGTGATGATTGATGTAAATCTTTTTATAAAACTCAAAATTGTGCCAAACTAATCAGACGAATATATTTTGGCCTGCCCATCAACTATTAGAAAAACCTGGTTTCTAATTTTGATACTATACAATTGGTGAATTGTCAGTTCTTGGAGCCGACAAAGTTTAGTAAAATCAGATCCAGCCAACATCGATATATGTCCAGATCAAATAGACAGTCATGCTGGTAGCTCAGGACTGTCCGTTGGTCGGCCGCGGACAGAGCGACGAGGTGAAAGACGCGGAGTTGGTGTACTTGTGGAGAATTCAGGGTCAGAATCAGATGCGTTTACTTGACTGGAAGGTCGTACAGATGGAGTTTCAATGCCTGCTTGTTTCTGTGCTTCCATATATTTTTCTTGCTTGAAATGTCCTACTTTTCCTGTCACTACTGCATCTTCATCCAGTACAATATATTTATATTCTGATCCAGGATATTCATATAGCGCGTCTTGCAATGCAGATTCCTACAAGCATGTTGAGCAGAGCTGATATATTAGTCTTCAGAATCTCTACAATTTGACACTTGAATTTTCAGTTTGCTGGATAATGATACTAACTATGATCCTGCGTAGCCCACGCGCACCACTATTTTTTGCAGTTGCCAAAGTTGCAATTTTACGCAGTGCAAGTGGGTGAACCAGTAGCTCAAGATTACTCCTTCGAAATATTTCTTGATACTGCTTCACAATCGCATTTTTGGGCTCTACCAGGATTCGTTCCAATTCCTCTACACTTAAAGGATCAGAGCTCGCAATAATAGGCAACCTGCCTATATTCAAAAAAATAGAGTATAATATTTAGAATTACGTATTTAAACTATCAAGAAGCCTGGTATAAATGCAAGAATTGAATAAAACATAACAGAAAATATCAAATGGTTTACCAATAAATTCAGGAATAAACCCAAACTTTATAAGATCATCTGGCTCAACAGAGTGAAAAGGATTTAGCTTGTTGGTTGTTTCAGAGCAATGTGTTTGCGTAAGTGGTGCGTCAAACCCAATAGACTAAATATAGAATGTTCAACAAAAAGTCAAAACAAGCACAAGCAGTGTTGAATACATTTAAAAACAAATACAGATGAAAATATAGTTTACCCCTTTAACACCAGTGCGAGATTGAACAATTTTGTCAAGACCAACAAAAGCGCCAGAGCAGATGAATAAAATATTAGAAGTGTCTACTGAAAACACCTCACTTCCCTGTGTAGCTGACCGCTTTGCTCCAGTAGCACCTGCTTTGACAGTTATATTTACAACTGTGCCCTCTAGCATGCGAAGTAGTCCTTGCTGAACACCTTCTCCGGATACATCTCTTTGATTAGGATTCGATGCATCACTCCTCCTGGAAATTTTGCTGGATTGAGATTGAACACGCATCACAGACATTTAGTATTTCACATGTTTGAATAATATCAGTATGCGGTGGTACACAGTCTGCATCAAGTAGTCACTCACTCAATCTCATCAATAAACACGATACCACGCTGTGCTTTGGCAATATCGAATCCAGAGTTTTGTAAAAGTCTGTGAATGCACACTTCAACATCGTCTCCAACGTATCCGGCTTGAGTAAATGGAGTTGCATCATTCATAGAAAAGGGAACGTTTAAAATCTTGGCCACTGTTTTGGCAATCAAAGTTTTTCCTGTAGATCGTATCAACAACTCGGTCTATTAGTACACGCAAACATCTAAATACCCATAATAGCGTGAAAAGGTATCCAACTCAACCCACCCGATCCTGTTGGCCCAAGAAGTAATATATTGCTTTTATCAATGGTTAATGGTTCCACGTCTACAGCAGATGGTCGTCCTCGTTTTTTTACAGTATCACCAGTAAATCTAAATTCTATCATGTAATGTGTCAGCAAACCTGGACATAAGCTCAAAACAATAGTTTGGATAAACCCATTGAGACAGTTTAGCAAAGTCAAACAAGTATTCAGTCATACCCTCACGAGGATCGATTTCTGTTGCCGAGGTTCCACAATTGTGATCAACACGTTTATAATGATTATAAATTGCCACAGACAGAGCCTTTTTAAGTCTTTCCTGTCCAACTACATGCTGATCCAAAAGAGCGCGTGTCTATATTACAAAAGCTGCAAGTTAGTCAGGAGGGTCTAAATAAACCAAAAAGGTGACTTTAGAATGATCTCAAATAGACGATATGCTTGCCTCGCGTGGAGTAAGTGTCGAAACACCAAGTGGTGGTTTGGCAAGTCCAGATACGCGAGACTCTAAAGCGTCAAGATTAGATGGAATAGGTTGAACATCTCGATGGTTGGGATTTGAAATAGAGCTGGGTAGTTTCCAAGGGGCATCGGGAAGATTGGGCGGCTCACTCTCAACAGCACCGATTGGATGATGCTTGTGCGAGGACGCACTTTGTGTCGATGGCCCGGATTCTTTTGGATGGTTATGAGTACCAATGGCTGCAGGACAAGGTATAGATTCAACTAAACCTTCTAGATTTTGTGGTTGACGGGGAGTATTACGATGCGCTACCAAGGGCATATTGTGAAATGTTGTTCGTGATGGACCATAGATGAGTCGAAGAGTAGGTTTTGTAAACAGAGCAGCGATATAAGGATGCTTTGACTTTTCTGTAGCAGCACCACTTGCAGCGGTACCGGAAGAAGACTCCTTTGAGTATACAACAGATACGCTATACTTTCTACCACTGCTTCTATTGTTGGCATCAAAGGGCACAACAGCCCCTGGCAAGAATGGTGAAATGACTTTGGTGATGCTTTTAAACGGTTCAACTGCATCGTTGTTAGGATGCGATTCAGACTTGGTTTCTGAATGTGTTGAAGCAGACACTGCAGTGTTTGACAAGGAAGAAAACGAATCAGTATTGGGCTTGTCAGTAGTTTTGTTTCTAGAAACCTTGGACGCCATGCATCGTACAAGATAAAATCGAGTGGTTCGAATATAAGATGAGTATGTTGTTGGAATGCAAGAATATCGAGCAGTTCGTTTAAAGACAGTATGGATAGTGTTGATGGGAACAGAGTAGAGCGTGGCTGGTCGTAGTGATATCATGACTAGCAAGTTGGAGTTGAATGGGTTCAAGTTCAATCACGCTGTTTGCATTCAACTCGTTCAAATAAGCTTAAACCGAATCAACAATTTGATCAAGACTGCTTAATGCCAATGACTGATTTTTATACTAGAAAGGAATCTTGCTGACTAGATTCTTAGTAAAACACTTTGGTTTTATAACAAGCCATTCATTAATAAACCAATATCTGCGTGTTTGAATCCAGTCTGCTGTTAGCACTCAAAGTCTTGATTTGCTCATTGATTTTGTCTGCAAAACTCGAGTGTTTTAAACTCAAACCATGTCCCGCCGACTTACTGATGATGAAATATTGAATGCAGTGTTTCATGGAGGTATTGACTCGCTCTGTCGAGTGTTCTTGTGACATGCGTATTTATACTGTATATATTTAGGTGGTGAAATATCTCTGCCAGGAACCTTTGGTGATCAAACAGCCGAAGCTGCTGCTGCTGGTGAGCATTGTTTTTAAACTACTTGAACGTTGTTATTGTCCTGCATGACTTGTTTCTGTATAGTATCAATTCTAATTCGATTACATGTGTTCTGACGGTATGACAATAGCCGCTGCATCTAAAATTAGCGACTCGATGCTGATGCAACTCAAGCAGCTTGAACAGGATGCTGTTGGATTGGCCAACGAGGGTGATCTCGATGGGGCTTACACTGTTTTATCCAAAGCTGTGGATCAATGTCCAACTTATGCTAGTGCTTACAACAACAGGTTCGAGTAGAATGAATCTCTTGTTTCTACTAGTTTAACTTAACTCGTTGCATTTGAATTGGTTAGAGCTCAAGTACTGAGATTGCAGGAAAAGGATGATGCTGCCTTGGACGATCTGTGCAAGGCGATCGAGTATGCAACTCCAACTCGTAGTCAAACCACTCTCAAACAGGTAGTTTTAATAGAAAACTATACTTGAAGAGCCAATAACTTAGACTAGGTGATGTTTTCTATCATGTAGGCATACACTCAACGTGCCATTATTAAAAAGAAGCGAGGTGATGTCGCTGGATCGGAGCAAGACTTTGCCAAAGGAGCTCAGTTTGGTAACGAAGTTGCCAAGGGCATGGTCAAAAGCAATCCTTATGCGAAACTGTAATACTCGCCTTTATTCAAGTATTTGTAGCTTAAATGCCATTCTGACGCTATTCAACTGTTTTTGTAGATGCAATGCTATGGTATCCGAGGCAATGGCTCGACTTTCTGAAAAACCAACACCTGCCTCATCCCAAGTTTGATAAAACTTTTATATTCAACACTTTGGTTACTCATGGTTCGGCTAGTAGCCATATATTTCTTGCAAAAGACACCTTTTGATAAAATCATATACGTTCCAGATCTCCGTCGAGCATCAAAATAAACCAATATTTACTTGGCTTTAACCAACAGTTTTGGAAAGCTGGTGGATTAATTGATAGAATCAAGAACATATCTGATATGCTGTAATCTCATAATAACGAATGCTATTCATTTCCTTGGAATTCATTCTGGCGCTCTTGATAGCTTTCTTGAAATCTAAGTGACAGACGCTTGGAGTAGTTGGTGAACTTGTCCACGCATCTTGTCACACATGTGTTCTAAAGTAACAATTGTACACCATATCTCGATGGTCAGATGGCAGTCGGGATTATATACAACAACTAAAATTAGATATTACCTCTTTTTTGCTAACAACTTTACTGGTGAAATCATTTATGCATGCATTGAAGCAGTGCTCAATGAGATGTGTGTTGAACTGCATCGCTTGCTCCATCTATATGTGTAGAATTGCATAATATGGATTAAAACCAAGATCATTCATGCAGCAATCAAAGCAGTGCTATAGAGGATTGTAAACAGATCAGCAAACCCAAACTCACTTGCTGTGCTTCTAAAGTGCTCATGAGCTGCTGCTGCTCATGTGGATGAAGACTTCCAATGATGCTGGGATCCATGTTGTATGAATGAGGATGCAAGGTCAATATGAGTGCGTTGTTGCTCTTCAAGCTCAGTTGCAATTTGTATCACCTGTGGCGCAGCACAGATGATCTATAAAAGCTGCCGATTTCTTTCTTTCAATCAATGTGTTCAACCACAATGAAATGAATATTTTTGCTACTGTTTTATACTCTGTTTGTTCTCTAACTCGCCTTGGTTTTTGCTGTCCGATCAGCTCATATGTCTGGCCCTATCGAAGCTCGCCGTGGATGACATAGATGTCTCGGCGAGTCAATATGATGGCCCATATTAACTCGTGTTTTTTAGGTCGTTGGTTTGCTCAAAATATCATATGTCGCTGCCATACATTACCCAAAGCACAAATATTCTTTTCCAAACATGCTATTACTGTATTCATGTAAAATACAATACTTTTGTATCCTGATTTCAAATAAACAAGAATTAAATATCCATTCCTATTAGAAATTAGCTGCTTTTATAATGTTTCGAGTATTTTTGCGTTCTCATGCCCATTGACATTGCTATTGATTACAACCTTAGTCACGTGGAATTTACTTTTGAATTCCAAAAAATAATTTTTGATGAATTCAATTACCTTTTCAAAAAATCAACAATGACGAGCAGACCTGAACATGTTGCTCCACCAGAGATTGTAAGCCATCTCACTATGCATGAATCCACTGTACTTATCAACCCATTGCTATTGAATCAGTTTTTTTTTCAGTTACACAAATCAAATTCGCAACTCGATGGAATGGTATACCTTTACAGTACTGATTCATTTACCAATTTATGTATTGCTACATGTCCATAGTTTTACGGAGAAGCAGAAGCAAAAAAGTACACAAGAAACACTCGTATTATATCCATCCAGAATGAAATGACATATAGAGCCATTGAACTGCTCGCATTGCCAGAGGATAAATCTGCATATATTTTAGACATTGGCTGTGGATCTGGACTATCTGGCGAGGTGTTAGAAGACGAGGGACATGTATGGGTTGGACTGGATATTTCTAAATCAATGTTAGGTATGCATCTACATTGTATTGCAAATATGAAACCAGTATTTCTTTGGAGCATACGTAATTCAACTACATATCTGAAAAAGATTCATTTTTGAACTTCTTTTTATATTCAATCATTCAGAGCTAACAAGATCATTTTTATGTAGATGTTGCTGTAGAGAGAGAGGTTGAAGGGGACTTATTTGAACACGATATCGGTCACGGACTCGGATTTCGGCCGGCTACATTTGATGGTGCAATCAGTATTTCAGTACTTCAATGGCTTTGCAATGCTGATAAACAATCGCATGTTCCTCGCCGTAGACTCCATCGTTTTTTTACCACACTCTATACAAGCTTGTGTCGAGGTGCTCGCGCTGTGTTTCAGTTCTATCCTGAAAGTCCAGCTCAGATTGAAATGATTGTTGCTAGTGCAATGAAGGCTGGATTCACTGGTGGTTTAGTTGTGGACTATCCCAATTCATCAAAAGCAAAAAAATATTACCTGTGTTTGTTTGCTGGAGTGGCTGCCAATTCTGCCGAAAAAACTCAAGAATTACCCAAGGGACTTGACGAGGAAGGACAGAGTGTATCATACTCTGATAAACGGTGTGTTTGAAATGTGTTTGCATTAGATTTCTAGTTTTATACGCTAAATTTACTTTTGAATTAGTGTTCGCGAGCGATACAGAAAAGGTGCACACCACCGAGTGTCTGTTAAAGACAAGGACTGGATTCAACGCAAAAAGAATCTAGCCCGTGCTCGTGGAAAAGATACTGCGCAAGACTCTAAATTCACTGGTCGGAAGAGAGGACCTCGGTTTTAATCAACACATCACTTTACAGCTGTATTCACGTAAAATGGTGCATTTTCTGTATCTTGTAGTGACTCCTGGAATAAATAATGGCTAAACATTTGTTGTTTTCCTAGTGGAGATTGACTAATGGATATTTTAAATTCTTAAATAAGCACAACGTTTATCGTATGATGCACACAATTAAACTATAGTTGTCCCTTTTTCATTTGACATAACCATACATTATATGCATCCAACACATCTTTCATTATATTGTTTCAATGAAACAACTGCTCTGTAAGTCAAAATGATGTTACTTGTAAAGATATAACAATAATAAAAAACACTCAATTCAATACATCAGAGTCATTCCTGTGGCCTGATGGAGTAGAAGGCCGACTAGTTCCAGAGCCGCTATTAAAAAGAGAAATACGATCAAGACTCATTTTGGAAAACATTCCCTTGTGAGATGACGGAGTGCGTTGTGGCAAGTATGTATTTTTTCTTGAAGCAGAATTGGGCGGCTTACTGGGAGATTCTACATTGATAGAGAGATCTTGCGTACGGGTTGGAGTACGTGGTAAAAATAGCTTATAAGTACTTGACAGTTCAGAAGAAGCACTTTCTTTTTGATTCAAGTCTTTGATTGGAGTAGATGGGCAGTCAATACCATCGGGTTTCATTAAAGCTGACAAAGGACGGTATGATGCGTCTCGTTGAGCCCCAAGATTGGAAATGCTGCCCATTGTTTGAATGCGTCGATGCTCCTTCATGGGTTTAAAAATAGAGCCTCTGCCTGTGCTTTCTCGATGATGTTTATTTGCATCAAGAGAAGCTTTTATTGGACCTGCATCAAAGTGATTCAATTAATTTAAATGTCTGCAATTGAATGAAACTGCAATATACTTTAGAAAATGCATAACGGTTCGTCACTTACTACTGTGCGCAGAACGAATCGTGGCAGCATTGGTGCCATCGTCTCCAACATACTTTTGTTGACGATGTCTAGATGCATGATTAAAAGTCTGGCATGGGTCATTTTTGCCATGTTCATCACAGACATTGTAATCAAATCCTTTTCGATTGTGGTCATCATGACTATCATTTTTTATGCTAGCACCATTCAGGTTACTGCTGTTTTTAACCTCGTCACTATGGTCGCTCATCAAAAGTTGCTGATGCAATGGAACAACCGAGGGTCGCGTTTTTAGTATCAATAGTTTAATCGAAGAGATCCATTTATCATGGTTTTCCCAAGATAACGGAACCAATTTTAGCGATCGAGACGGCGAGTTGATTATGATGGCGTTTGTTTCAGTAGGAGGAAAGTTTTTTACAATAGTCAATGGTGGATCTGTCCATTGCATTGATTCAATATAGAGTGACCGATCGCCCTTTACATTAAGTCCTCGACGGAATGCTTGGCTTGGATCCTTTTCAGTCCAATGAATACATCTTGTGTTGGGCTGAATCCAACAATATCGCAACTGTGTCTTTTTTCCAGATCGATTGTATTTATGGAACTAAAAAAGGTATGTTTTGAAACATTGCGTTTGTTAAATGTAGACATGGCAGTCATATACGTACAGCAAAATAGAGTAAACTACAGCAAATGACAATATGCAAAGTATTTGCAAAAACAACACATGAAGCACTTACATAGCTACCAATCATGGTAAAAGTGACACAATCAACACCCATTTGCATAATCCCATTCACATCCGGATTGGCAGAATTCCACGCAGATATATGACTTGAAGTTTCAACCAAAGCCTCACTGGCCATTTGACTTGAACCAGCAGAAATAGAGCTGATATCATCATCTTTGAATTGATCCGTGTTGCTTTTTTCAATCAAAGCACTTTTGGCAGAATCTATATGCATATTGGCAGTAGGTTCGTGGGAAGAGCACGACAAATCATCCTGATTGGGAAACTCGAGACTGTCTAGCAATGAGAATGATGACAACGTACAATCGACTGGCGACGATGAAGTATGAGTAATGGAGTCTTGGCCAGAGTCTGGAATTAAGATCTGGGAAGCGACATCGTGAACCTCGCGTATATCAGTTTGTGTAGAGATGCTTTGATTAGAAAGCACCGATTTTACCTCGGAAGAATGACAAATCGGAGTCTTGTCTGTAATCGACCAATATAGAGATTCATTACAAGTTTGATTCAAAAGATTGGCTTGATTTGAATCTTGAAGACTTGACTTTTCTAGTAATTCCTGATAAAGGTGTCGAGTGTGCTGTAATTCCATCTGAGTAGACTCCAGCATAACCTCAAGCTCATTTCGTTCCTTGGAAATATTATCTGCATGTTCAGAAATATCTTTAACTCGAACAAGAGCGGCATCCATATCAGATTGTGATTGCTGTAATGCAAGTAATCTCGCATCTCCAATTGAATGAGCTTTGCTAAGACGGTGTTCTGGGTATTGAGACGTATTCTTTTTGTCAGCAGTAATATCAGTATTCTCCATGCTATTTTTTTGTAAATGAATATCAAGAACTGGCAAGCTGTCAAACTCTTGACCTTGCTGGTGAGTGGATGATCTTTCCTCTAAAGTCGCATGTTTCCGCCAAGAAGGATATTTTGGTTCAACAAGTGCTCTACGTTCATCTTCCAGTTTTTTGAGTGTATCAGCGTGCTCTCGTTGCAGTTCTGCAATTTTTCTTTGACTTTTACGATGTTCCAGATCTAATGCTGCTTTGAGTGATTCGCATTCCTTGGTCAGTTCCTGTTCCTTGGCAGAGGTTGATTCAACCAATTCTTTTTGCTGAGTAAACTTTGCTTGAAGCAACCGTTCATTTCGTGCAAGTTTTTCTACTTGCTCTGTCAAGTCTGTAATGTGATCTTGAAGCTCAGATGACTCGACTTGTAGATTCCATGTAGTATCGGCATTTTGAATCTGACTTTTTTGCAGCTGATCGTTTTTTTGCTTAAGAGTGTCGTATTCTGCCTGCAACGCATTCAACTTGGTCTCTGCATTGCATCGCTTGGTATGCTCCTCGGTAACACGAAATCGTAGCTCACGAGTTTGAACCACTAATGACATTTCGATTTCTGATGCTAAAGAGGCATCTAATTTAATGCCTGCAGAGTTTGAAGTAGATGGTTTTTTATCCGTAGCTGCTATCCTAGAATCGCCAATATATCTCTGTTGAGGCAATGAGGCTGTAGATACCAAATTCGGCAAAGTATGGAGGGATTTCTGGTTGGCAGTAACACGTTTTTTAATTCGCTTCATGCTGGCACTGGCACTTACTGGACGCTGGAATGCAGCATCTGAAGCAGATGTCAGAAAAGTAGGTTTGGAAAATTGAGCTTTAGGAGTAATAGTATCATCATTTGTATAAACTGATGAAGTAGTTTTTGGAGTGGAATTGTTGTCAACAGATAGATCTGCAGCAGCAGCGATAGGAGGCAAAAGAAGTTTGTTTGGATCTGAAAGCTGCAACGACTCTAGCTCAGTTATTCTTTTCTGAAGCTGTTTAATATTATCAAATGGTTTTATATACGCAAAGGATAAATTTCAAATATTAGTATTAGCTCGAGTGAAATTGGACATCCAGACAGAGTTCATTGCATGGGTTGCATCAGTTCAGCTACTGGGATAAATGGTAGATGAACAAGCGCTCAACTACCACACAATGCATGAATGTATACTCCAATAGTCATACATCACATATACACGGTGATTATTACCCGTTGTATGTCCACCAGCATAGACTGGCCCACGTTAGCAGCCAATTCACAGTCTCTATCCCTGTCAGCCAGCTGTTCCTGCAGGTCATGCAGAACACTCAACAAGCCCGTCTTTGAATAGTCCGAAAAAGCACCGACACTGCCATGAGAGAGGCTTGTTATATTACTATCATCATTAGGATCAGTCAGCATCACTACAGCTGTATTCACGTAAAATTGAATACTAAAGAATCCAAAATAAACAATCGTGAAATGATTGGCTAATTCAACTCGCATTTACTGGACATTCAAATGTTTGACATCACTTGTCTTACAACCGAGTATAACATGCACAATTGTAGTCTTAAAATGGTTCTCTTGAACTAGATTGTATGTATGAAATTTTAGGATACAGCAAAGATGAGTTTGGCAACATCAAAACAGTTGAACCCAATGTTTGAATTAGAATGAATCTGCTGATTGTGCAATGTATAAATACCAAACGAGAACAAAGATCAGGTTTAAAAAGTAGTCTAGTGTTGTAAGCATCATAATGATGAATATTGTGTTTATTCAAGGATTGAAAATATCTACTAGTCAATCTCTACTAGGAAAACAGCAAATATCTAATCGTTTATTTCAAAGCAGTCAATACAAGTGTTCCATTTTGCGTGAATACAGCTTAAACTCCGCTCAGCGATTCAATTACTATTCATATACGCTCATTTAAAACCACATTTTATATTTAGCTAAAACTGAGTTTACAAGTTATACAGTTTATTATACATGGAAGCATTCAGAAACATCGAGCTGCCTGAAAATGTGACGCAAGAGCATATTCAACACGCCTGGCAGCACTTGGATGACCTTGCCAGAAATGACCCCAAGGTGTGTATCTTTTCAACTTGCAACATACAAGTCAATTAAAGCAAATTGAACTATATGCATTGCAATCAAGATTTTATGGATAGTCTATCTATGCCTTTACAGTCGATGCCATGAGCATTACATACCAAGTTTACAACATCTATGTATTCATGTAGGGATACCAAGAAAACTTTAAATCGATTCTCAATAACCACAAGAAAATGGAAGAATCCGCCAGGATTGTTGAGCCAGGAATTGCCGTTTTTGCTACTGGAACACTTGCTAATGGATCTAATGTGCATATATTAAACATTGGCAGATCTCGTGCTGTACCAGTAGAAACTGACCCCACCAATGTACCTGTCGTCATGTCCAATCCAAGAGTATATGTCAACATGAAAGGTAGCAAAGTAATATGCTTTAAACATGCATATTGTATTTACGATTCGTTCAAAAAGTTTAAATCTAACATTGCATGACTACAAATGGCGAGAAATAGGCAGCGTTTCAAATGTGTACGACGCAGTATTTAGTTATCAAGTAATTGATAAATGCAAAACAAACGAATCTTACCGTAAAGATGTCTTGAACCTTGCAGTTAGCTGTGTCAAGGAAACGTTCAACTTTGATTTGGACACCGCATGTAAGTTTGCCGTAGTCGATCGTATTACTTTTGGACCAAGATGGCATGAACAGATTCATTTCAATTCTTAAATCAAGTTTTGATTGTTGATTTGGTATTATATAGCATTTCAAATGAAACATGACACATACTTTGGACCGTATGGATGGAATGACAAAACTGGTAAACCAATAGAAACAAGCGACTCGAGTCAAAACCACGAAACTGATTTTTCAAAATTCAATGTTCTTTCAAGCCCCTCTGATTACCTAAAGCAAACTGTGGACAAAGATGTTTCAGAAGCAGCAGAGCATGTTTCTATTCCAGGAATATCCATGGGCTGCAACCCAGCATTCCAAAAAGTACCATTTATTACTACTGTAGAGCCGGCTGATCAACCAAAAAAGCAGGCATCTACTGCAAGATCTGATCAAACTTCTTTGACCAAACCCAAAGTATTGATTCAAGAGCTTACTGATGGAGTTGCTAATACCACTCTTGGTGCAGAACCAACACCATTAATTCAAGAAATTGTCAAACCAATCGTGTCTCGACCAAAGTGTGCTATTAAAGACGCGGATACTTTTTTGGATATTGTGATTCTGCTACCAGAGATAGTAAGTTGTATCATGTTACTACTGTTTGTATTGCCATATTTAACACTATATTTGGATCATTTATAGCGCTCATCTACGGACATTGTGTACGTTTTGCATGAACGAAAACTGATTTTGGATACCCGCTCTGATCAAAACTATGCTACGATTTACCACCTTGAACTGAATCTGCCAACTCAGATCCAGCCGCATACAGAAACCAGTAAATTTCATACAGTTCGCAGACAATTAGTGATTCGCGTTGAAAAGTGCTCAACTCTTATTTTCCAAGACAGTAGTAATGGAATACCGACTGACTTGAGCAATTGAAGATGCAGTATAAATAACAATGCTTTTACATGACATGGTTGATATGGTTGGAATAGACGGCATGTAAACCAGGATCTTTGATCCTGTTCAGTGTGTGACTATCAGATGCAACAGTCAGATGCAACAACCAGCAATCCAGTCTAAAGTATGTCAGAATAAAACTTTACAAGAAACTAGCATGATTCGAGTGTAACTTTGCATTCATTGAATTGTAGCCGAAACAATTCAAATCTAAAATATTTCCAACATTTATCAGGTAGCCATTGATATTCTATTCAAGGCAGTTGGAAACACCCTTTTATCAACAGTCGTTGCTACAAGTCATCAACCATGACTGGTAGTAACCATTCTCAGTCTCCAGCAGACAACTCAGATATGTCCGCTGGCAAGACAATGCGACAACGTGCAACTCATAAACCCAAGGCCAGAGCAAGAGGTCGTCGTTTGGCAGTTCCAGACGAGCCCACTTCTGGCGACGAGGATATGGACCAGAGCCAAGATCAGGAGTTGGGTCGTACTTCCGACTCTAATGATCGACTGGTCAGTGATGGCCAAAAGAAGGAAGAAAAGGCCTCGTTGGAAAGTGGGGATCTGGGTGCTGGTAAAACCAGGTCCAAGGCTATTGGCAAGGTCGATGAGGATCAAGACAAGGATGTGGACATGGATGATGATGATGATGATGACGACGACGATGATGACGATGAAGACGATGACGATGACGAAGAAGAGGTTTGTTCGTCTTTTTTGACTACTGCCTTGCTATCAGATCCGCTCTTCTGGCAAACATCACTTTGAATATGCTTTGAGCTTCTGATAGTATACATTGGCTCATGCTTCTTTATTACTAACTGTTTCTGCTATCGCTTGTTCTTCAAACATTAATGTTTTGATATTTTAAATCTGGGTCGCATCTTCATGCTTATTGTACAATGATGTTCATCTGGGGCATCATTCATGTTTGTTACTTTTGCGTTATCCTTGCTTTAGACTTTCTGTGCTATTTGTGGAAGAGCATATAGTCCAAAGGCCAACTGCATTGTTTTGTGCGACGGTGAAAGTATGTTGTATACCATTTAATACTTTAGATTCACAAGTTGCATCATGATTGGCAAACCTCTTTGATATCGATGTAATGATAATTCAAGACAGATATCTGGTTATTCATATTGCTATGCACTTGCTTCAGAATCAAGATTGAAAATTCATCGATCGTGCTGTAATTAGCTTGTGGTTTACTAATATACTGTATTTATTAAATTCTAGACTGCGACGTTCCTGTTCATCAAAGTATGTGGTTTTGATGTCATCAGTTTGTATATCTCACCTGGAATAGTAGTGATATCAAATTTGTTTGTAACTAATAATTCGAGTACTTTACACCATCTTCTCCAGAATGCTATGGCATAGACGTTGTTCCACCGGGTGATGAAAAGTGGTTCTGCCATCGGTACGAATATGTTGTTGATTTATCTCCAGTATTCTAAATCATAGCACATGAATGTCACTGGCTTTATCAGATTTGACTAGTAAATTAACAGATGGGTAACTGATTGTTTTTCGATAACTAGGTGTGCTGATGGTGTTCTTGTGGCGGACACTGTGAGTTGGATTTGAGTGATGATCATTCCAAATATTTGCTTATTAAATTTCAATGTTTTAGAGCATCATTTGCTGCTCAGATCTTGGCGGTGCTCTCAAGCGCACAAAGACTCTGAATCAATATGTTCATGTTGTTTGTGCCAAATGGAATGGATCGAATGGTGTTGAAAACGACGTCATTGATGTGGTGAATTGGCCACTGAATAGTCACGTAAGTCAATAATCGCTACTAGTATATATTGCCATTTAATTTTATGTGCATATCACACAACTAACCTTATCCTGATTCAATCTGACTAAAGACATGCTATATTTGCAACGAAAGCCATGGTCTCACACTACAATGCACATCTCCTTCATGTGAAAAGTAAGCCATACTCGTTGTTGATTGGTTCCAGCTGATCCTGTTCCGGTGATTGTTTACTAAAATTTTAATTTACTTGCTCAGATGGCTTCACGCAACGTGTGGTATCAAGGAAGATGTCTTGCAGCACCCAACACGCAACTTGACTAAATTCACTGTGCTCTGCTTTGATCACAAGAATCAAAAGTCATTGAAGAATGCTCCTTCTATTAAACGTCTAGCTCCACCCACATCTACCAAAGTAAAAAGAGCTACATTGAAGCGTCAACGAAATTCTAGCGGAAAAGATCTTAAATGGGAGGCTGATTCGGATATAGATATCAGTATAGAAATTGCAGATGATGAGGCTGATGGCTCTGCATCTGTTGTATCCAGCTCAGCCATGGCTGAAGACGAAGATGAGCCTGTAATGCAAACTGTTGGAAAGGACTCACCTTCTCGATCTATTCGAGTAGACACCCTATCCAAAGGTAAATTAAGGAAATCAACTGTACAACCAACCAGCAGTACTATTTTCCCCAAAAATAGTTCGGCTGATAAGTCAGCCACAGGATATCATTCTTCTACAGGTGCTATCCTTGCTCGAGTATCCAAAAAATCTGCACCTATATCACCTTCACAAGCCTCATCAGATGCTAGCACTGATTCTAAAAAACCAAGTATTGCCATCATACCTCGGAAATCAACGGACTCTATATTAGCCACTGGAAAGTTTAATAGCACACGCCCTCTACCTGCAAATCAGGCTGTCAAAATGTCTTCTGCTTACAAACCTTGGTTAAAAGATTCTGTATGTTTTGTTGGAAATACAAGCAATTTCGAGTTTTTAAACCCTAACAGTGTTTCATTTGTCAATAGCAACGTCCATTAGTATCATCAGTGGCAGGGCTTTTAAACTCTGTCAGTAATGATGATGCAAATTTTGATGCTAATTCTCGATCCACCACAGCCCAAACTCCTCGTTCTATCCAAGAAACGGCTTCACAATCTGGGTGTGTACTTTGTAATTTAGCTACTTATTTACACTTGGAGTTGCATTTCTGTTTATTTCTAATCAAAAAATGTATACTTTTTGGTATTAACACAACGTGCCACTTGTTTGTGGGATTTCTTTGTCAGATCTGCTTGGTCGTGGTTAATGGATAAGCTTGCCACAATTAAAACCACTGCTGCTGAAATCGAGAATATGCCGGTTGAGATTAAGCGTAAGTTGATGTCGAGTATTAAATATATCTGGCACCCCCTAATTTTGATTACACGCCTTTTAGCTGTATCAATGTCTAACATTCCAATACCAACTTGATTTTTACGGGATTTGAATCCATATTGAAATTCATTAGGCCTTTTTAGCAAGGAGGCGGTTGGTTCTGCTACATCAACTACAAGTAATTCTGCATTGGCTCTTGATACACTTTTGGAGAGTTCTTATAATGATTTTTCCAAAATTGCCGAGGAACGAATAAACGAAATCCGAGCACTCAAACAACAACTCTCAGTCGCCAACACAGAGATTCAAAAACTTCAACAAGAAAGCATTCGCATGAGAACGTTTGCGCAGCCGACCTTGCAAGCATCGCAGATGACCGAATCTTCAAATCAAAATTCAACTGGGGCTGCTGGAACATCTACTTCAAATAGCGTTAGCAACGTTATCATGCAAGCCCAGTATCAGGCCATGCAAGACAATCTTGAGGTGATATTTAGTTTTTTGAATCTTCCACAAATGCCTAACCCATCCAAAGGAGATATAGATGGGTATGTCAGTGCTTTGCGTGCGATCGTGGAACGAGCCAAACGAAGTGCCAATGTGATAGATACCGGTACCCCTAATGCAGGCACATTTCCCACTGGTTCACACAACACTAACCACAACATCAAAATGGATTCTTCTGGGGATTTTGAAACCAGTAACTCTATGTATGCACCAAATATGAAAAGGGTGGCTAACGATATGTGATTCGGTTTTCAATTAAACCGCTTGGTCAAATTAACTTTTTTCTTAACTTGATATTTAAATTTTTATTGGTTCAAAGATCATCTTATGAAAGTATCATTCAGTAATGTGCAACTAGTGTAGGAAATACGTGACAAATCGTTATTTTTAGTTTTACTCATCTTCAGCGGCAATCGCCATTGAATAATCGTCCATTGCGTCTGGCCATTTGGACTGAGACCCACGACTAGTTATCAAGCATTGAATAGATTCAAGTATAATCCAGTGTATTGTTAGTAACATGAGTATATGTCAGTTTGGGGCTTCGCAACTGGCTCCACTTTGCATGATAGTTTGATGTGTCAATTCAAACATGAAAACACGATATTACAATTCACTTACGCTTTTCCACGATGCATATAAGCTACACTATCCCTTGGTAATAACTCGACAACTTTTGTATACTCTTTTTCTGCCAGTACATATTTTCCTGTTGACAATTCTACGTAGTCAGTAATAATCACAGCAAGTATGCCCATGTACACAACACTATAATGAATTGACCATCACAGCAGTCGCACATACCAAGTGATTGGAACAAGTGGCCACGATTGAAATGCACGTGGGGAGAGTCGGGATCAATTTCTGCCGCCAAATCCAAATCATTCAGTGCACCGTCCGTATCTAACCAGTTTAAATATGTGTACAAAATCAGTTATGAAATCTTTTAGTAACTCAATAATATAGTCAACGATATACCTTTTAGCATTAGTTTGCAAATGCTACGGTTGAGCAAAGCTGCCTTGTCTTTGCTGTTGATTATTAATGCTTTGTTAAAATAAAAAATTGCTTGTTCCCATAGTTTTTGCTGTATATATAAATTGGCTGCATTAAAGTGTGCCAACCCGTAATTGGGATCTGCCAAAATAGCCGCTTTATAGCTTTGTAATGCAGAGGTATTGTCTTTCATGGCTTCAAATATCACACCTCTATTTGTGAGGAATTCGGGATTAGTTGGCGAAATTTCCTATTAGATTTACGCAAAACATCTGTTAGTTTAAAGATAGCTGATAAAAGTTCAAATAGTGATCCCATTGTAGCAGCCTCTGTTAATGCAATAGCTTGGCGTAATGTATCAGCTAGATCTACACATGATACTTACAATTGCTTTGGTGATATCTACCAAGGCTGCAAACGCGTTCTTCATGGTCAAATGCATAATGGATCGTCCTTCAAGAGCTGCAGTGCATTGTGGATCAATTTTAAGCGCAGTTGAAAAAAAGTTCCATGATTCTTGTGGTCTTCCTTCAGTTTGCATTGTATACGCAATGTTTACATATGCCTCTGCACAAAGTGGAAACATGTGTATCACTTTTGAATAATCTTGCCTGGAAATTTAAACAATCATAAGACATGTAGCATACATTGATTTAAATAAATCAAGATATGAAATGCAAAAAATCAATGTTTTGTCATTCAGCATTTACCTTGCTAATTTCAAATTATTCATTGACGCATGAACATTTCCACGGCCCAGCAACGCTTCGTACATGAATGGACTTAGCTCAAGTGCCTAGAGTATTTTGACAGTTAGTTATTGTAGATATATGGCTAGAGATACTGTCTGATTATATTTTATCAACCTTTGTAAATTCATCTATGCTTTCTTGATTTTGTGATACTTTGTGTAAACATAGTCCAAACAAACCACGCAGTTTTGCATCTTGTGGATAGTAGTTGCGTGCAGCATGTAGATCCTGCAATGCATTCTGATGGTCCCCCTTTTTCCAATATATCAAAGCTCGATTTCGATACGCATTCTAGAATGCCAGATTGCATTGATTTCAAGGTCGAATCAGTTGACAAATTCAGAGTAATATTTGTATACAGATTAAAATATACGCCAATCCAGGCACGCATAGGTGGTGGGTATGACGGCAAATCAAACTTTACTAACCGAATCATCTCGAAGCAATAATACAATACTATAATCTTTAATCGCATTGTCTAAATCATTTAAAAGCTGATACGTGATTGCTCTATTATAAAACGCAAAATGACTCGACTAAAAAAGTTTAAAAATGCATTGGTATAGAATTGTTTTTTGGCAATATTTAATACTGATAAAATGATTTACCTTGTCTATAATTGTTGCTCTTGTGAAATCAGCAATGGCTAGACCAAATTGATTGAGTTTGCATTTGCACGCACCACGGAGTAAATGCGATCTGATACTGGTTGGTTCAAGCTTCAAAGCCTCATTGCAATCCTCAATACCTCGTGTATACATTCCTGTATTAGAAAAACAGCATGAGTCGATGCATTTGGCAAATAATCCTTTAATGCAGCCCAATATTACCTTTAGAGTGGTGGAAAGATGCTCTGGTTAGATATGCCTCAAAAAACTTTTCGTCATACTGAATTGCAAGATCTAAATCATTCACACCCGTGTCATTTTTTTCATATAGTTTGCATAAACCGCGATGGTAATATGCCTTTGCATATGTGGGCATGTATGTAATGCACTTTGTAAATTCTGCTGATGCAGCAGACCAGTCTTGAAGATGCTCAAAACAAATTCCTCTTTGTAAAAATGTCTGTGGATCGTTTTGACTATAGTCCAAAGCACTGGTAAGATCTCGCAAAGCACCTATATTTAATCAGCAATTTCAACATTATTTAAAAATGACAGTAAAGATTAAAAAGCTGAAAGGAGTACCTTTAAAATCTCCACATTGAATTCGTGCCTTGGCAATCAATAACAATAAGGCTGGATCATCAACCATCTGTGTCTTTTTTTTCTCATCAAACTCGTCAATAACTTGCTTGTATTTGCGCTGAAAACACAATACCAGTGCTCTCTAAACAGTTGCAATCAACCAAACACACATTAAACATGTTGAAATTAGAACCAATACTAAATATTGTAATTCCAATCAGCGTATAGTTTAAAATACATTGCACCTGGATAAATGTTTGTGCAATATTCGAGTTGAGATCAAACGCGGCATGAAAATCAGTAGTTGCTTCCGCCATAAGTCTATACCAGTTAAAAGCGTCAAAATAGGAGTCAATTTAATAATATTGTCTATTTTGTTAAAATAAAGTTTACCCTTGTTTAAGAAGAAGACGGCCACGATATAAAAATAGTAGATAATTGCTTGGACACAAGTGAATTGCTCGGCTATAATCCTGTATGGCTTTACTTATATAACTGATGGATGGATTATCACGATTTCCAAGCCGACTCAATCGGGGTTTCCCTAAAATCTGTCGGTTTGGAAGCTCTGGAAGTGCCTCTGCTTGTAACAGCTGATACAGTTCTCCGCGACAGAGATAGGTTTGAAGATTGATCGGGTCTGTAAATAGAATGCGTAAACAATTTAGAAAAATGGTACGATTGCTGATGATCAAAGTATATTTAATACAGGATTTAAACGTACCATTTGCAATGGACTTGCTAAACGAGTACAGAGCTTTTCTATATTCAGCATAGTGTCTCATATGCAAAATGCCGAGATTGAGATATGCCTTGGATTTGGTTGAATCCAAATCAATTACCGAGGTGTAATCTGAAATAGAAAGATCGTACTTTCCGATTGTCTGATATACTTTTGCTCGTTGATAGAATGCATCATTGTTTGCACTCGAATCGTCTAGCAAAATGGACACACTTAGATCTTGGATTGCACGTGTTGGATTACGACTACGTAGCAGGCAACCACGATGGAAAAAGTACTGCGCTCGAGTTGGATTTATTCTGATTGCTGTAGACAAATCCTATATATACATGCAAGAATTAAAATTGCACATTACATTTTCAGTCAAACTCGGACATGCACTAGCTATTGTGTATTACTGCATATTCTAGTACAATTACATAATAAAAACTGGCTTACATCTAGTGCTTCATCATATCTGGCTACTGCAGCATTAGCACGTCCACGATACATATACGCTTGTGAGTTTTCGGGATTAAGACCAATCAGTTTTGTGAAAGCTTGAATAGAATCCTCCCAAAGCTGTTTTTGAAAACTGTAAATGGCAAGATTGTAAATTGCATGGGAATTTGACGGGTCTAATGTTCGAACCATACGAAAATCTTCATTTGCGTACACCATTTCGTTTTCAGCTTCAAACAAGCAAGCTCGATTATAATATCCATCAGGATCATCAGGTTTTAGGCGAATAACTGCAGAATAGTTGACGATAGCTGGCTTGATCATACCGAGAGCTTGATAAATACGTGCTTTGGTTTGAAATGCTCCATAATGCATTTTGTTATTGTCTGTAATAATATCAAGATCACACAGAGCCTTTTCAACATCGTTGATGCGTAAAAATAGCTGATGCCTATGCCAATATGCATCAGAATTGAACTGGTCTACACTCGGTTGCATGCAACTATAAAGTTAGTTTCCATTTGATACTTGGATACGTGTAAAATAAGTGACTAAAAGCATGTTACCATATTGAATAGCTTTGTCCAAATCATCCATGGCTGTGGTAAATCGCCCAAGTCGAGCTAAAAGAGTTGCTCGTTTTCTATAAAATGTTGGAACTGGAACAGTAGATTGGAGAATAATCTTATCTAGTCGCTCAACATCTGACAAAATGTCCTCAATACTTTGACTTGAAGGCAAACCGCCATCAGCATTGACAATAGGCATTCCAGTGGCATCTAATGGTGGACCTGGATCATCAAAGGTTGGGTAACGGGAGCGTTCAATTGCATTTAGCCCGGAAAGCCGGCGCTCAGGATCGTGCACCACCTGATATACAGACTGGCCAAGTCCTCGAACAAATCCATTTATTTGAAGAGCCTGCTGCAGTAATTTTCGGTTTGCCAATGTTGCTGAATCAACTTCATCATTATTTTCACTGACCATATTGGACTTGGGCTCGGATTTTACGGAATCCGCGTATTGTTTGCTGCTTACAGATGGCTTACGTTGCTCGGTATGTGAAGGAATTAACGAAACACCAATTACAGGTCGAGTACCCATACCATCATTTTCTACCCGATTCAGTCCAAGTCCTGATGCTTTTTTTACTTGCATGTTGTAATATGCACTTGGGTCAGCGGTATCTGAAACAAATGCTTGACGACTATGCTGTTTTTTCAGCACCTCACTTGACAGTCCAGTTTGTTGTGTAGATAAAGATCGCGCATGAGCAGAAGCTGATCGTGATGAGTAGGAAACCTCGTTGACTTTTGCAGTCTGACTTTCAATCAATTTTATAGCAGCACATGAAGAGTATCGTTTTGTATTGCTAGATCCTGCTCGAGATGCAAATAAAACCATTGACTTTTTAAATCCTTTTTTAATTGAAACTCTTGGTCGCGAAAGCTCGTGTGATTCAGCCGGCTTGATTTGTACACGCTTTTGTTTCAGGTCCACTGTATCTTTGTTTTCGTCATCTTCGGACTTTTCTGAAAGTATTTCCATGTCAGAGTCGTCAAAATCAACCTGATTCAACGCTAATGATTTGATTTGCTCATCTTGGTCACTCTCGAAATCTGTTTTTTGTTGCTCTGATATATTGTCCGTTGATGAATTTTTGTGCAAGTCTGATGGTATGTTAATACTTTCACTCTTGCAATCTAACGCTACTGATACGTCTTGAGGCATAATCTGATCTGTTGGCTTTTCAAATACTTTTTGAGAAATTCGAGCAGAATGTAATTGTGCATCATTGTTTGACTGCGCGAGTGAAATACTATTAGATAAGAATTGCTCATTGATCTTATGGGTAGAGTCTTGAATGCTATTTTGTATTTCAACTTTGGCTGGTGGGATATCAAATGGAGTTGGAATAACAAGTTGGTCTGTTGAAATCCAAGCACTTGTGGCTTGAGTCGTAAGTGTGTCAGTAGCCATATCAACACTCACATTCAATTTCTGATTATACATTTCAGGCTCCCTTTTATATTCTTCAATATTCAACCCCAAATCGTCATTTGGAGTATCGGGAGTATTTAAATCGTTTGATACCAAGGAAACTGGGTTTACAGAAAAAACTGCACTAGTCCGTTTGTTTGACAGAATTGCTTCAAGATCGTGTGTGCTCAAAGTATTGGGCTTTGATATGCTTTCTTTTGTTTTTGGAAGCAATGCGTTCCGTGGTGCTACCACTTTGGCTTTATGGTATGGGTGAAGTCCAAACGCAGGAATTGAAAGTGCAGAGTTGATGGGAACAGGGCTTGCACCAATAATAGCTGATCCGCGGCCAAGAGTTCCCATTTCCAGATACATTCGTGATCCATCAATCTTAAGACTAAACGGTTCTTTGCTACTTGGCTCACTACTTGGTTGGTCTTTTTGCATAAAATCTTGTTTGATAGCCTCGGTATTCACCAAATCAAATGCACAACTATCATTTTTTTGAAAAGCATATGCATTTTTAGTATTGCTAAATATAGAATGATTTAAATTAGTAATTTGACAGAGTATAAGCCAAGATTTTGCAAGTCAAAATCACCCAACCTTGATTCTTCTAAACGATTGCTTTTGGACATATGTGCATTTATGCGGTGATGTTTACCATTTAAGATATCTCCTTTAGCTTCATCTTTTGAAGGTAATTTATGATCAAGCCCTGCATTATTTACTGGAAAATATGGTCGATAGTCTTTAAGGTGGGGCTCAGGAGTTGCATATTCTGCGAATGGAAACGTGTATTTCAATGGAAGCTTTGGCTCAATTTCACACTTGCTTTTGTTTTCAGAAATGAGTTTTAAGCTTTTGACAATCATGCCATCCTGCCAATCAGTGATTTCTTCTTCATGTTGAAACATCAACGAGTTGGGTGACATCAAGTCATGATTGTTGGCATTAGGTGAGAAAGTTTCAAACTCTCTACTATCGGCAGTATCGGACATGGTTTCCACGGTCATGTACGATTGATATTGAGAGCTAGTATCTGTGCCAGGGCGATACGCTTTTATATCAGCAGTAGATTTTCCTGAAGTGGTGCTCTCTGTATTTGGTGTCAACTTTCGGGGAGTTTCGCCCACAGTACTGTCGAGACTAAACAGCGCCGTTTTAGGCGATGGCTTTGGCGAGGCAGAGTGCTTCATCAAAGGAAGTGCTGACTTCCAATAACCTCGACACAAAACCGCGGGTTCATTTGGTATAGAGTCAGAATGCTGGATAGGTGCAAGTGAAGATCTGGCACTAGGCTGACGCTTAGCATCTGCATTCAAAAAGTTTACTTTTTTGGCGCTTTCGCAAAGTGGCTCGGGAATGATAGAAAGTTTAGGCCGACTACTTTTTACTAATGTTTCCGATTCCAATAAAGGTGCGCTGGCTTGTTCTAATATGCTTAGATTCAAAGTCTCAAATTCAGTGGTTGATCCCGTTGTTTTCGGTTCCAAGAGTGCCGAGCTGATTCGATAACTAACTTCGATTGGCTCCATATTTAATTCTAGATTGGGTTTTAAATCAGATTTAGTTACTGAGGATGTTGGTTCAATGATGATGGTTTCAACTGGAAAACCCTCGGCCTGACAAGTCGGCAGCGATGGCGCCGTCAATATGGAGGCATTGGGTTCATGACTTTTGATTTCCATTGGTGTCAATGGAATTACTGAAGGAACGTCTTCTCCGCGCAGTTTACGAATACGATTCTCTAAAATTGAGGCATACCGATTGCCAATCTGGTCCACATCATCTATATTGCTAAATTCAAACGAATCTGGTTCTTGCAAGGCAGCAGACTTATTTTTTTGATTTTCCGAGTCATCATCTGAATCATATGCCTCATTGTCAGGTACAATCACAGGAGAAAGACAGACGAGTCCATTCCGTTGATGAGTAAATGTGCTCTCTAGCATCTGCTGATTAGTCTTTGAAGTCTGAAATTCGTCTAAACTTTCATCCACTTCAAGGATAAAATCATCTATTGCATTGTATTCGTTATCAGGAGCTATGGGCATGCTAAATTCATCCACAGCAGATTCGTTTGTCTGATTTTCCGGCAACGTCTTGACACGTTGACCAATCAGCACAACATTTAAAAAAGCTTCATTCTGCTGCTGCTTTCTTTCAGTGGTAGCCAAATCTATCGGTAGTCTTCCAGTAGATGCTTTTCCAAACTTGTTTTGTTGAGGTTGTATATGACGAATAGCGTGTGTTTGCAAGGTGGATTTACGGGTGTTTAAAGAATCGTATAGCGTTGCATTATTAAAAGACTCGTTATCTCCTTGAGTCACATTAAGCTTCAGAAAAGGGTTTGTTTTGAATCCATGACTTTCATCAGATTCTTGTTTTGAGGACGCAGTTTTTTCAATCTTTTTAAAGCTGTTGCTTTGTTTGGGTTCTACAGAGTGGATTGGAGATGTGTTTAATGTGGATCGACGTAGTAGCTGACGGTAAGTTGGCTGTATAGCTTTTTTTGTGTCAACTTCCTGATTAAAATGGCTGGATTTTGGCAGTTCATTTAATTGAGAGAAATGGTACTGTTTTCTACAAAAGCATCAAATCGGGTATAGATGACAGTGCGTTTAAATATTGCAGATCAAACATAGTAGAGTACGCCTTGAATACTTGAAGCAATAAAACTTACAGAGAATCATTTGTTCTAGAGTCTTTGGTTATAAAGTTGCTGTAATCAGTATCATGAGCATTTAGATGAGAGTCCAATGACAATACTGGTGGTTGAGTGGTTTCCGTTTTAAAAGTGTGTTTATAGCCAAACTTTTGAGTATTTGAGGGTTGTACTGGTAGTTTGAATCCCAGTTTGTCATTCAAGTCTTTTGCAATAGCATTAATATCACTTGTAGTTAAGATGCGATATAGTTAGATTCAATAGTGAATGCAGTTCATGCTTGCTTCTGATGATTAAAACATGCAATATTACCGTGTCGTTCTATGCGACGGAGCCATTTTCAACAACAAGAGTTTTTGTTAGCAAGTTTGAGTTTGATTTCTCGTGTAATATAATTGAATGCAAGCGAGTTTCCTAAACTTGACAGTTTGTCGAGTGCGACCGCATTCAAGACGCGTTGCTGGAATTCGGTTGGAATTCAACTTTGTCAGCAAGTCTGAATCTGCTCTTCTATTGTCGTACCGATTCATACATTCATCTATTCTACAACACTCGGATTAAAATGGCTGCAGTTTGCCCACACATCGAAGAATCTCGCTTACCTATTGCATCTGCCTCGTCAAAGGTGTACAAGGATGAATGTCTGTTGTGTTTTGACTCTCAAGTGAGTTTGGTTCTATATTGATTCTTGTTCAACTCAACTACGGATTATCATGAAGATCAAATATTCATTCATCTGTGATGCAGGATATGCCAAACGGAATCAATGTGTGCATGACTTGCTTTAATGGCGGTTGCAGCAACAATCATGGCGACCGCAGTCATGCTGACCTGCACTATCGTAAAGCCAGCCATGCTCTTGTTCTCAATGTTAAACGTATTAAAAAAGCAGCAAGCAGAGTGAGTATTCAATCGTTTGTGTAATCACTTTATTGCACATGTTGTATGTTTTCAACTATACCAACCACTTGGATTAGTATTTTGCAAATCACTGATGCAATCTGGGTTTATTGTCAAGGATTCTGATACTCAACCACAAAAAATCACCAAGCTGGCCATTCAGGAAGAGGACGACTCACTTAAATATGATTTGGTTACTAAAGTCATTTGCCTTGCTTGTGGAAATCTTGAAATTGATTCTGCCTTGCCTAAAATTAAAACAAGTGTTGATGGTATTCTTCAAGCCGTATCTGCCAAGAAACAGTCCGAGATCCAATCATGGCAGGAAGAAACCCTTCGTCCATGCAGTCATACCAAAGATCTGGTGCAAACTCAACCTCGAAAGCTTGAAGGAAAAGGTTTGGTTTGTTTAGCATTCGAGTTGTTTGAACTTTGATATGTTTAGCATTTCAATAATATTTGTATATATTATCAATTGTACATTGATGCAATCTGCCGTTCAAATGACATCAACTTATTTGTGTGTGCTGGAATCTAACATGCTTTTTAATAGCATTCGCTCATTGCCAAAATTGTGACCTTCAAGAAAATCTTTGGCTTTGTCTTTCATGTGGCAACATTGGCTGTGGTCGTGCCCAATATGGTGGGCTGGGTGGTAATGGACATGCTCTTTCTCACTTTGATGCTGAAAATCATCCCATCGCAGTTAAACTCGGTACAATTACTCCCGAAGGAACAGCTGGTAAAACAGAATGCCTTTTCAAAAAAACATATTGCATTAGCCTATATGAAAGTGATGCATCGAGTTACGATTTTTAATTTTAATTTTACTGAAATCATGTAACCATAAATTTGCAATTGAAAAACATGATTGATTTAGATTTGTTTTGCTATGCTCATGCCAATGAGGTGATTAATTCAAATCTCAGTGCACATCTTTCAACATTTGGTATCAATTTGATGTCCCAGCAAAAAACTGAAAAAAGCATTGCCGAGCTTGTAAGTGAATTATTTTTTGGTTTGCTGACTAAACCTTGAAAGGTGGTTTCAATGATCAATACTTTACATTTATTTTCTAAATCGAGCGTTTTTGTTGATGAATTTGACTATAAATAGCAACTGGAGCAGAATCTCAAGTTTGATTTTAGTATGACTACAGAAGACGGCAAAATATTTACACCCATGTTTGGCCCCGGCTTTACTGGTCTTAAAAATCTTGGAAACAGGTGATTACATTTTAAACTCTCGCTTATGTTGTTAATAAGTGTATGCGGTGGTTTTAGATTATTGTGATACGCATCTACTAAGTCATCTGTTGGATTTATGGTAAAGTTGCTATATGGCATCAGTACTTCAAGTGCTATTTGCTCTTGATCCATTCAAGACCCGTTATAATGACTCTTTTGAATCGCACACATCTCAGTGTCATGAATTGTCTGCAAAATGCTTTCATTGTCAGATGGGCAAGATTGCAGACGGACTCATGAGTGGACGATACAGTATCCCTATCATTGGTGATGATGGTGAAGAACGTGGACAAGAAGGCATTGCTCCTTTAATGTTCAAAACTCTTATTGGACACGGTCATCATGAGTTTTCGACAATGCGCCAGCAAGACGCACAGGAATTTTTGCAATACCTACTGACCACCGTCGAACAAAAGGAGCGTTCCAGTGGAAATGATCCATCTCAGGCATTTCGGTTTAAGCTAGAGCAGCGACTACAATGTCTTGAATGTACTGGGGTTCGATACAAAACTGATCCTGCGTCCTCGATTATGCTATCCGTTCCTGCTCGTGTTTGTGGCGAAGAAGATGGGAAAAAACAATACGAATCAGTATCGCTTGACGAATGTTTGCATCAATACTTTGAAGCAGATATGAGGCAGTATGAGTGCCCTTGTGACAAAACCACGACTACTGCCACATTGTATGTATTGTTGAGCATGCACAAGTATATTTTTTGTAAATGTATTCTACAAAGTTAATTAACCATTAATATGTTTACTAGTGTACAACGTTTTCATTCTTATCCAAGCGTCCTTTCGTGTGCTGTATCGAGATTTGTTCCTGGAGACAGCTGGGTTATGGAGAAACTTAGTAAGCAGATGCATAGATATGCTATCTTGTCAATCAGATGCTTTTTGATGGTTCAGTTTAGAACTGAAATTTAATTGATAACCCATTAGTCATTGGTTTGCTATTTATCAACACTAATATATTTTGGCTTGAAATATGTAGATGTCGAACTCAAAGTTTCAGAGCAGATTGATCTCAGCCAATATAGAGCATGTGGAAAACTACCCAATGAAACATTGTTGCCTGAAGGTGTGTGCTATTTTCACTTGTGCTGTAAATAAATAATTCAATTGATTTGTGAAACTAATTTTTAACATTGGATTTATAAACTGTATAGAACCCAAGACAGGATCTGCTGAGATTCAAATTGATGCGGTTGCACTTGAGCAACTCATGTCTATGGGATTCCCAGAAAACAGATGCAAGCGATCTTTAATCAAAACGGGAAACACTGGACCAGATGCAGCAATGAATTGGTTGATGGAGCACATGGATGATCCAGGTAAAGTTTGGCAATTAATACAGATAGCGTACACTACGGCCACTGGTTCTTCTAAGCCTACTATTGATGGCTTTAAAAGCTAAACGTTTTTTACATGTGACTATTTTACAGATATCGACGATCCTATTACATCTGTAGGCGAAACACCTTCTGCTTGTACTGCTACAGAGGCCGACATATCTCAGTTGATGGACATGGGATTTTCCCTGATTCAAGCCAAAACCGCTTTGGGAAAAACTGTAATTTACTCTTTTCAGTATATATCCTGCTTATTCCGATTGTATTGGCTTTTTTTGATGCGTTTATTTGTAGGCAAACAATTTGGACCGCGCAGTGGATTGGCTTTTTAGCCATTCTGGAAGTGATATGCCTATGGATGATGAGCCCATCATAACCAGTAATTCAACCTCTGCAGATGACACAATTGATCAAGGATTGGCCAAATACAACTTGTTTGCCATTATTTCACACCGAGGCACCTCTGCTCACTGTGGACATTATGTAGCATTTATCAAGCACGGATCACAATGGGTTATGTATAATGATAGCAAGGTAGTCAAGGTGCCAGATATGTCGAATTATATCGGACAAGGATACATTTACCTTTATAAGCGAGAGTAAAAACTGTATTCAAAGGCAAAGGATCACCAAGTGGCAGTACTCCTTTACATCAATGAATGAAAGTGATCAACTGATTTTAGTAAAATGAACCAACCTTTATCTACCCTTTTACTTGTGGCATCCGTTACCAACCAAACAGTACAACCCATTATCAAACCCAGCAAGTCGGCAAAATGTGGCATATTTCCATCTTACACTATCCTTGAATTTATTGAATTATGTTGAGAAGATTGTTGCTGAAATAATTTAATCAATTGCGCAAAATGTCCTAATCGAGTTTTAAGATTTGGTGATAAATCTGAAGAAATAGTAAAACTAAATACAATTGAACAATATTCAGACAGCAGTTCAAATGTAAGATGCCTGATCATTACACAAAGGTGGCCAACTCTTTCAACAAAAGCACTCACCTTTCAAGCTTATCTTGGGCAGATGGAGAAAACTCCAAAAATGTGCCAGCAGTATGAACAACCATTCTTGCGCCATCACAAAACAACACAACAAAGGAAGTGGCAGAAGCAGAAGAGTGATCTGTGTGTTCGTTGACTCGATGATGCAAGTCACTGGACTTGATTTGTTTAAAACACCATCCGATGTTATCCAAAAATACCAAGGGCGATGGAGTTGTGCCATATGTCCCAGCGGCACTGGAGCTACTACCATACATATTTTCTTGTGTTGATTCAGATTTGGATAACGCAGCAGTCAAGGGGTGTGGACGAGAAGACGATATTCCTGAATCACTGGCTGATGACAAAACACGGTGGGAAGATCTGGCTTTGGTTGCTGCAGTATTGAATAGACCACAAAGATAAAATGTTAAAAGCTATATAATTCTATAGACCAAAAAATACAGCAAATTAGAGAGATTTAAACACACCATTGCAATATGTTAAAGGCTGCACCAAAGTCTGCTGAGTGGAAATAGAAGGGCAGGTTTCAGTTTGTGTAGTGCAGTCTATTTCAGAAGCTTTGAAAGAAGAGTGTTGAAGTTGGGCTACTTGATTTCTATGTGGAGCAAAGCTGTCCAAACCAGTTTCACCGAGTCCATGCTTTGAATTTTGGTTTACGCTTCTACCAGGAGTGGAGTAGGCAAACGCCGATTGCGACGATGGATGTATGGAATGTGAGGTTGGGTTGGTATAACTGTTGCTAGGTGAGTCTGGACATGACAATGAAGATGAAACATGTTTGGTATGCGATGATTTGAGGATAATCGGAAATCGAGTGTGCTTGTCAAATTTTCCAGAACGATCGATATCTAAGCATTGTCGCAAGCACTCTTGTGCATGCTTAAATATAGATTGAAGATCTGACGGTAAAGAAATGTCGTCAGGCCTAGAAAGATCTACTTTCTGTACAAAATAATCATGTGGTGTTTTTGAAGTCGAGGCAAGGACTCCGGGCTTTGAAACTGGCGGCTTGGGGACACGAATTTCCAACGTTTGCTTACTGACAGAGGTATGTACACGCACTCCACTATAAAATATCATTTCAAAATCTGGTATTTGGCCATTTTCCATAAGAATACATTTTGCCTGTGGAGAATAGAATATAATCTTTGGAGTTTTGGCGCGCACCAGTTCGACAAATCGAGCAGCATATCGAAACTTTTTTAATAATGAAGTTGGGAGGCTGCTGCGAGAATATTGTCGGGCCGGTTGCATATTACTATCAACATGATATGTACTACGTGGGTATAAACTAATCTGTGAATAAAATTAGTTTACAATGTAAATTGACAAGAGTTTGATTTTCCCAAAACACCAAGCTTATGCTTATACTTGAACAATATTGAACTTTAGTCAAATGTAAATTACATACCGTCTCGCTGTTACCAGAAATAATCATGATATATTGATCCCCAGAAAAGTTCAATAGTATTTTTCTGGTAGGTAAGATTTCCACTTGGCCATGTTTGGTGATTTGCCTCATCGGATTTAACCGATCAGTGGAAAAACACTCGTTAGGTTGGATGGTCGAAGAGGTAGCTGAAGAAATCTTGTCTGGTTTCTTTACATTAGGTATTGCGTGAGATAGTCTACTATTAATGGGTATCCGATTGTGGTCAGTACATTGATGAGCGACTGGTGTGCTGAAATTGTTGGCTGAAAGAGTGCCAGTATCAATAGGATGTTTTGGATCTCTTTCAACAAGACTATCAGGCTTTCGCGGTAAAACATTGACATTTGCAGATAATGCTACAATAGGTTTTCCAATTTCAAAAAACGGATGCTGTAATACTTGAGAAAGAGAAATCCGCTGTTTTGGGTCCTATATAAATCAAGTTAAAATATTTGCAAGATATACAATCAAGTTTGTAAAGTCAAAAAACGTTACCAATTGCAATAGCTTATCAATCAAATCTCTAGCTTCAAATGAAATGCTGTTTGGCAATGAGTATTCCAATCGACTCGCTTTGTCCAATGTGCTTTTGACGGCCCCACTTTGAAAAGGTGGAGCGCCTGTTAGGATTGTGACAATCATGCAACCAAAAGACCATAGGTCTGTTTCCAGTCCGTACGAATGCCGTGAAACTATTTCACTAGTGAAAATAAAAACACTTTAAACAAAAGAAACCCAAATACTCTGTAATAAATATATACTTACGGAGATATATAGTTTGGAGTACCACACATTGTTTTCTGCTCACCGTCTCTATTATCCAATCTAGTGGCAAGTCCAAAATCAGCAAGTTTCTAAAGATATAAGATCAAGTTGAATAGTTGTTTCCAAAATTGAAATTAGTCAATCAGAATTGGACCGACTAGGTTAAAATCAAGTTCACTTATACCAAATCAAATGTATGTGTCAGAAGCAAATTAGAAAGTTTGAGATCCCGATGCAAAATGTTGTTGGAATGCATATATTGAAGGCCTCTAACCAGTTGCATGAGAATGCCGCGAGCCTCTGGCTCTGATAGTACAAAATGTGGTCGTTTATGAATATATGCAAACAGTTCACCATTTTTACAAAACTCCATAATGAGGTATACACATTTAGCATCTTCAAAGTAGTTGTAAAGCTCTAAAATGCTTGGGTGGTGCAGCTGCCAGTGGATCTCTACTTCGTTTGCTACTCTTCTAGTCATTCCGGCAGCTTTCATCAAGCCTTTATCAATCTAACATAAAATCAATAGTAAATACCATATTGTATATTTGATAATGTCAGAATATATAAACATACCATTTTAATTGCAATTTCTTGACCAAACGATCCTTTACATCTACTGATAGCTCTATGGACTACTCCGAATCCTCCTCTTCCCAAGACTTCATGTAGTTCGTAGTCCTAGATACATATTGAATTGGCAGAGTATGGGTTTAGATTGAAACCTTGAAGTATAAAAGCCAACAATTAAGCCTGATGATGAAATGATTCTGAGCAGAAACAAGACAATGATTGTATTGGTTCATCCTTGCCAAATTATAAAGATAGAATACGGATTTCAAGAGTATTCAAGGCAAGACTGCAGTAGCAACTTGGATGTGAAAATCACCATACATTGATATTGTTTGAGAACCGACGGAAACTCTTATGTGGAGAAGTAAAAGAGTAACCGACATGGCTAGACCTAGAATCTGCAGCAGGAATTTTTGCACGATGGTGTTGTGCTAGAGAAGCCATGGCTTGTAGGCTTCGTATCGATATTTAAATAGTTTCAGATTAGATAACTCGACTGTCCGATTCGCGAATTAATTCATCGCAAATCACGTGTGCATGTTGGATTCAATCTGTCATTTTATTTCTTAAACACATACGAAACCATTCCATCTGACTTGGAAAGCACGGTTTCCAACACTCCGTCATCAGTATTCTTGCACGCATTCATGTGAAGTGGCCCAAAATGCTTCCACGTCTCGTCACTCGGATCGCATTCATTGTCGCTTCCGTCTTGGTCGGTCTGTTTTGTGTCGAGATTAAAGTCTGATTCTCCCATTCCTAAACAAGAGCATCCAAGCATTTCATGCGTTCCACAATCCGTGTTGGTATCAAGAGAAAATATATCCCGCAATTCATCTTGCGAAAAAGAGTTCTTGGTACTTTGTACGTTATCAATAACTGAATCACTGAGTGCTACTTTGGTAAGCTGGCGTTGGTAAATACGCTCTAATGATTAAAAAGATTCATATAGATTTGGTATTTAGATTCAAAACAAAAATTTGGTTAATATGCATGTGAGATTTAATTACCCTCGATTGTTCCTGTAGTTAATAGTCTGTAAATCGTGACATTGTTGCGCTGTCCGTCTCTCCAAATACGTGCCATTGCTATTTATTCAAATTCGTGCAAGACCATCAGTCGATTTAAAAACATCAGCACTGCATTCAACCAAACTTAAATACAGCAGCTTTATAAAAATCAGTGATGTCGTATACCTTGTTGATCAACACTTGGGTTCCAATCGATATCATACATAATTAGTCGAGATGCACCAGTAAGATTCAAACCAACACCACCAGCCTTACTGCTAAGCAAAAATAAAAACGTATTTGATGTGTTGAATTTATCAACAAGTCTATGGTTTAAATGTAAAATAAATACATATAATGTCAGAACTAAAACTGCAAGTATGCAAAAATTATGGATTAAAGTGGTAGATATGGTTCTAGACTGTAAATGTATCAACTCACTCTTGTCGATTTTGCTGTGGAGTTTGACCGTCTAGGCGGACAAAGGAATACTGCATGCTTTGGCAAAGTATTTCAAATATATTCAATGTGGCAGTCCAATTTGAAACAAGAACCACCTGAGATTGAAATATATGCAATGGTTTAAATATGCTTGAATCAAATAAAGTTTGAATTTAAACTTTCATGTACCTTGCTATTAGGTTTCGCATTGATTGCTGCCAAGAGTTGTTTAAGAACACTCAATTTTCCTAAATTAATCAGTCTAAATTATTAGCTATATAAAAACATTGGCTTTATAATGAAAGCAAATGTATTTTAGTTAAAAAGTCAACTTACCACTTTCCATACGATCGATCGCTACTTTAGTGTAGCTGCATCCAATATTTAACAACAAGTTATCCTCTGCAACGAGTTTTGGTGAATTGGTGCACTTTCGAAGCAATGTCATTAAAGGCAATACTGCACTTCCACTTTCACCAGTTTCTAAGCAATCGCAAACATTCGGCGACTCAATAATGGACTTGTATAGTTCACTTTGAGAAGTGGACATTTTACAAAATAATATTATCTGTGTTTTTTCGGGAAGATACTGAGCATTGACATCTGCTGTTCGACGCAAAACAAATCCATCTGTAATTTGGATAAGCTATAATTAAATTTACAAGGTCAAAGGTTCATCAAAATTAAAATACAGTCAACAGTTGCAACTTTACGAAAACTTACATTGAGCATCTTTTCGTTGCCAATCTGACGTTCTTCCTCTGAGCATTCAAGTGCGCGTCCACGAAGAATAGGTCCTTCAATTGTATGCTACAATACGATTTTCAGTATATATAAACTTACTATTTACATGTACAGATCCCGAGACAAAGTATGACACTACTAAACTATTACCTTGAATGCAGCACGTGTTCCAAGCAGCCCTGGATTCACAAAATCGACCATGGCGTAAAACTCGGTAAGATCATTCTAAAATAATAATAGTATTATATTGGATGGCGTAAAGCATGTAAAATGAAATCAACACATTGATCATTGCCGCAAACTCTTGTCGATTTGACCAATAAAATAAATTCACGCTACTACCTGAATAGGTGTTCCTGATAGAATAATTCGTTTTGCAGTTTCAAATCCTTGTAAAATAGTCGAGGCTTGAATGGAACTATTTTTTAACCGATGACCTGCCCATTTGTTTTACCATTAATATACAAGTTTATATGCATTCAACAAAAAATCTGATTAATAAAAGTTTATATTTTAAACACCAGAGACTTACAAACCTTCATCACATATAACCATGTCAAATTTAGCATCAAAAAGAGCTTGTTGAAATGAACGCATTCGTTCGTAGCCAATCACCATGACAGAATATACTTTTCCGACCACGAAATCAGTAATATCCGACTTGATGCCTTGAATAGCATAGACTATATGGGTCATGGTTGCATCATTAGTACTTTTATGATAAAGTTGCAACACAAAGTTTGGATAATCCAACAGCTTTGTGATATAATTATAGTATATGCATTAAAATTGTAATATCACTCACCTCGAATGCGTTGATCACCCAGCCATTTTTTGAATTCTTTTTTCCAGTTACCAACAAGGGATGCAGGACATACAATCAAGACTATTTAAACATCAAATCAGTCACTTTTGTAATCACTGCGTACTTTAAACTTTATGTGGCGTGGTATTGTCTGGATCTATGCGGCAGTAATTTACCTCGTTTCATTGTTGGACCACCAATATAAGGTGTTTGTTTAAGTAGTGTCCATATAAGTGCAATAGCCTGAACAGTTTTTCCAAGGCCCATTTCATCTGCCAAAATGGCGCCTTGGCCATTGTGATCTATAGCGTAAATTTCCAAAGGATTCTGTTAGCGCTCAATAGTACATCAGGAAATCACTCAAATCATTCACCTCTCATTCCCATGACACTTTTGTACAAGAACGTGACGCCCTTTCGCTGATGTGGTCGCAACTTATCTACAGTTGTCATTTATTTAAAACGATTTTAATGAAATTAACAGAGTTGCTTTTACATTATTATCAGCAAAACATTGAAATTCAATACAAATCTAGCCACATTTAAACATACGAGTCAATATTGGATCAACAACAACATCAACAATCTCAGGCCCGTTAGACTGTGGTTTAGGGCGAGGCATTACTAGAGCATTTGGCGCAAAGGGATCGTGTCGTGGATCATTCTTTGATATCTTTTGTGGTCGAATACCATCAATTATATGCGGTTTGAATTTAGCCATTTTTGGCATGGCTGGAATAGAGACTTCAGTTTTGATACTTGGATGCTTGGTATAGGCATCGGATACACTTATTGCCTCCAGAATCTGTGTAATAGAGTGAAATTTTAGCAGACAACACATGGAAAGTATAGGTTTAGATTACAAGTCATTTGGACTACTAAACTTCAACTTCTTTTTGCCCGACTCGCACCACCAGCCCAATATCTAAATTCGCAGACTTTCGTCCAGACGCGATCCTATAAGCATTGCAATCATCGGACAAAGCAAGCAGTTGTCAGTGGTGTTTAAGTAGCATTTAATGACTGAATGCAAGTATACTACACACATATTCCCACTCTCGTCGTTCAATATAAGAGATTCATTATTATTATGCAGCACACCGTCGCCATCCCAGGATTTGTGCTAAAACAAATCAATGCGATATAAGGATCATTGAGTACTAACATGGAAACTCTAAACATGCACAATCAGTCTAGACTTACGACTTTGTTGGTTTGTTTGCGATACATCACTTTAAAGCACTGAGTAAAGTTGTTTTCTGTATTGGATGGATCAGTCAAACCCTTTAAAGTCTTGGATGAAACAGTGGGTACAAACGTTGCTCTGAAAGATGATCCATTAACGACCTGCAATGCTGGATTAGCAGCTGATAGCTGTGGATGAAGTGCAGGTTGTTGATTGATAGAAACAGGCTGAGTGGGGTCAGATACAGTTATATCCACATGTGCGAGTTTACGCTTAGAGGGAGCTTGTGAGCGACGCATTGATGATCTGGGATAATAGTGCAAACTGTCCTGACCGATTCAACTGTTATAATGTTATTGAAGAGTATGGCTTCGAAATGAAGAGTATTCGAACACTTTGTCCGGATTTAACGTTTGGATATTTGTCTGGACACAATCATCTATAACAGCGTTTGCATTTATTTAATATTCCAACACATCTGCATGGATGTGACAGTTGCAATCTACTGTTCTGATGCTTTTAACAGTTTACTCAGTCGCGATGCACGATCGAGACTCTTGATAGCAACACATGTGTTCATTGCTCGTCGCAACAAGGACAGGCTCAAGAGCTGCTCTGACTTGGTCCATTTCGATGAAAAAAAGGGTGCGCATACATTCGTTACAAACACTTGCTCAAAATACTCGAGGAATTTGGGTGTCTGAAACCTTTCTGCAGGAATCCATGACGATGGAATAATGGCCACAATCTAATCATTCGTGTTCACAAATTATGACCAGAAAGTACAAGTTAGTATCAGAAATTAAACCATAAATAAGCTTCAATTACATTGTAAGAAACTTGCCATTTCATACAACTCCATATCATTTTCGTAGGACAGTGAACCATCAAGTGCCTTGAGTAGCACATTGTTAATTCCAATGGTAACAACCAGCGACTGAATTCTCTCTGCCCCAACATGTTTCTCGCATGATATTAGGTTTGACAACAACTATCCAAAATATAAATGATGAATTAGCAGATTAAATCAATATATTAAAAGGTGAACCAAGTATACCACTGCATGTATACACGATTTAAACTATACCTGAATGTAAATACTAAACCATGACAGTTTGGCAGAAACAGCTGCTTGGCGATTAGACACGTTGACAAGCTGCAAAGGATTGCAGGTGTACTGTGTTGCAGAATCCAAAACTGTTTTAAATCTCAGTAAAAAAGCATCCACAAGATTCTACAAAAGATCGTATTAGTTGGCAAAATGTATATTCAGTTGGTGTTTCATGACCAAAAAATCCGGTTTTCAGTAAAGTAATACAAAAATATTAGCAGTCGAGAATAAAGCATAATACCTTGAATGGTGTAGATGAACACTCTGTATAATCAAGTAGTTGATCAAGTATACGAATAAAAAGTTTGGTTTGATCACCAGAAAATGGATCGAATGTATCCATTGCAATTACAAGTTGTGGAATAATCGTTTTTTCCATTACTTTGCTCACCAGCATTGCATCTGCCTCGTCGGGATCGAGCAAACGTTCATCTGAGATCCCAAACGAACATAGCTCTTGGTGCCAGTTTGTTTCTTCAAAATTTAGAGGTACCTTGCAGTGTCATGGCAGTGTTGTTAGTGTAGATACACAAGTGCATAAAATAATAACTAGATAATACCTTGAAAGGCTCCCATCCAAAGTGCTCAAATCTGACATGTAACGCAAATGCTCCAACAAGACTCAATGATCCATAAGCCTGATCGTACTCTTTAGGAAATTTGCATTTCCATATTTGAAAGCGATCTTTAATTACAGATAGCTTTCGATACTGTTTTTTGGCATCATCAAGCAATGTCCTGTGTTGATCCATGATTTGTTCCACTATTCCAAAACCAATCAAATTAAAATTTTAGTAAAACCAATTCAAATATAATGGTAGATTTAAACTATTGTATAAACAACCGAGTATTAATTTTAAACTGCTATGCAAATATCAAACCTGATTGGGTAGGAAGTGTATGCTCCTGATTTTCATTCATGTCAGCATCTGTCCTGTCGCCTAAATCAGATACCGAGTATTAAAACAAATCAAGCCAGAATACTATTATTAAGCAACCTTTCAATCATATGCGACACTCGGATCAAACCACCATTATACTTACTTCCGGAAAATGTTGTAAATAACTCATTCAGTCTAGTTTGAACAGCCTTGACAGCGTCCTTTGCGTGTACCATTCTCCATGAGTGAAGATCTTGTTCAAGTTCTTCTAAAGTAGTCAACTAAAAATTTCAATTGAATGCAAAATTAAATAACGTTTTGTCAATTAAAAGGTGTTAAAGCCAATGCCAGATTACCGTTAAAAAGTAATTTAAACAGTTTACAAACCTTGGCGTCAAGAAATCCATCCAAATCAATTACATAAGTGAATAGTTGCTGAAAGTAATCGTATCGTTCTGACAAAAGCTTCAACTCCAAATCCATTTTAATGATTGCTTGTTCAGATGCATTAATTTCTGCAAGCGATGAATTTAACTGAAACGTATGCTCATTTGCGAGATCTGTAAGTTCCATAATCTGCTTGTCTAGGGTGAAAATAATATCTGGAACTGATGGAATTGGCGCTATTTCAGGAACTTGTTACAGGAACGAATCAACATAGTAAATGTAAATCAGCATATTGTTGAAGAATAAAAAAAAGTACGGTAGCTAAACCAAAGAAACAGATCGTTACCATGCTGGATATCATTTGACATGGGTGGTTTCTTGAGAACGGCCGACATATCAGCAAGTTCAAGATCCATGCAATGCCCCTTGCTGATTTGCTGTAACTCCCACTGCTTTACCTCACTGTCATCCTCTATGTCTTGATCTCTAAAAGTCAATTATAGTTAAAACCATCAATGTTTTATAATTTAAAAAGCATAAATCAAGTTGCTTACGCCATCATAATCTCATCTTGCATGGCTCGTTTAAAGTTCTCTTTTACTTTCTTGGCTGTTTGAGCACCAAATTCAATGGTATTGCCCTGATTGTCTTCAAATGCTTCCTCTCCATCAATCTCTTGATCCTCAGTCAGCAACCGCGATTCTCCGTATCGTCTAGACACAGTCTATACCAATCATAAGTATATGCAACACTAATGAAATCAACAGTGTTGTTTTATCAATAAAATATAAAATCCAACTTACAGATTCATCCAATGGAATATAAGATGGTGTGGTTTCCTGTAATATTGATGCAGTAGTACGACGCTTTTCTCTAAGCAATCGAGCAGCATGAATTTGCTTTGCGTCTGGAATAACTGTTTTTTGATTTTCTGGATTCTTTCCAGATCCAGGATCTTTGATATCATTGGGATCAAACTCAATTACTGGACGAGCGACTGCAGCTTGTTGCCGTTTCATTTCAGCAAGAATTTCGGGGGTATATGACCCAGCCTTCCCTGATCGAAAGGAATCTACTGACGATTTATTTAAAGTAGCGGATGAAGCTGAAGGGATTGAGGCAAATACCGATTGAGATGACGAAATTGTCAAAGGATTGGCTTTTTTGAACTTGAATGTTTGAAATTTTGGGTCAATATAATCCTATAATTATCAAATAGATGTCAGATGAAACATGCTAAAAGGAGTAAACAACAAAGTTTCAATATAATCAAAGTTCAGACCTCTTCATTATCAAAGCTAGACACTGCCTGCTTGGGTTTTTGAGTAGTAGATCGACTGTTTGTCGAACGAGACTTGATAGGTTTTTCTTCTGGCTCATCATCCACCATGGAAACTGCCACAGATGCAGGAACACTGCTATCATCATCATCGTCATCCCATTTCTTACGCAGTGAAGTAGGTTTTTTTGGTTTACGAAAAGAAGGAAAGCTCATGTTTGAATTCAAGGCAAAGTTGAACCAAATTCTGAATTTTGTTCAAACTGATTTTCAACTTATTATGGCTCACCACTCCGCCATGCATCCTGCTTCCGAGTCACACTCGGCCATCCATGAGTATCTGCTAGAGTCTCCCTGTCGCTCCATCTTCTACATTCCACAATTCATTACTGCTGAAGAGGCTTCAAGTTTAATCACACATATCTTCCAACGGTCGAACCGATGGACTACTCTACGCAACAGACGACTGCAGACATGGGGAACCATGCCTGCTCCGCCATTGATGAATCAATCTTGGTCAGCATCAAAACACCAACCACTTCCATCATGGATGCATCCAGTACTGGATCGTATCCAGTCACTCGGCATATTTTCATCATCTCAACCACCCAACAACTGCCTTGTTAACGAATACAGACCTGGACAAGGCATCATGCCACATTTGGATGGTCCTAAATATACATCAATGGTTGCAACGGTTTCACTTGGTGAGGCTGCGATGCTCGACTTTTACCCCTATCACTCTAATACTCGTGATGAGTATGCAACAGATCGAGACAAGATCGAATCGAGTGCATCATATCAATCGGACATCAAACCTGCATTTTCTGTGATTGTTGAGCCATTGTCGCTGTTGGTGCTTCAGGACGAAGCATATGATCACTACATGCATGGAATTGACGAATCATTCGAGTTTTCTATTGGTGGTGTGGGCTTAACTGATGAGCCTAAAAATACCACTGTTCATAGTATCATCAATGCTGACACGGTTCGATCCAGAATTCTATCCCAAAATCACAATGCCAAATACCCTCAGTTGTCAGTAACTGTAAAAACCTCGACCAACTTGGATCCTGTAACCAAAAGTCCTATTGACACAGATCTTGACCATGGTATTGTAATACATCGTGTATGCACTCGTGTTAGCTTGACCTTTAGACATGCATTGTAAAAGCATAACCCAAAAGATCCAATGTTTTGTAAAAATAAATATACAATATAGCCACGTTTATATGAAAGCTGCATATAGCTTCAGTCCAATCAAGCACTTATATTCTGAATCGTTTTAAATTAAAAAATTGAAACTGGCAAATCCCTAATTTTAATTATTCTTGCGCTTTCGCTTATTCTGTCGGTTAAGACGACTCTTGTTTGTCAACTTGTCTGTACCAGACGTGTTTTTTACCAAGTCTTCAGATTCCATCTGCTTTGCTGTTCGAGCGTTCATCTCAGCGTGTGCTTTTACTTTACCACGCAAATCGTCAGTGGCTTTATTCGTATTGAAAGCAGGCATAATAGATCCTAGTGTATAAAAGTAGAAATTTGTTAGAATAGAACCACTAGATACGTTGGGTCGAGTCATGGCATAGCTCAAAATCACCTTTTCCAGAAGACATGAGACGCAAAGGCAGATCTTGCATAGAATTACTTGTCAAATACAGCGAAGATATACCCCGAGGCATAATAGGCTGTTCTAGTAGCTCCTTGAGCTGACTCTTCAGATTCTTTAGTTTTTGTCGCTCTTTGGCATTTAAAACAGCACCACGTTCCACATGTGTGTCATTATCTAAATCATCCACTCCATTTGATCGGTGTCGCTTGTTGCCTTGCGCTTGGTCCTCATCATCTGAAATAAGAATGTCAGCCTCTTCAGCAGCTTTACGAAACCATTCTTGTTCATTGCGCACTTTTTTTTCCTTGTGCTGAAAAGCATCGATTTGCTTGGCAATTTCAAGTCGCTGTTTAATCTTGGAAAATGTTGACATGTCTACTGGAAAATCAGGCAAACCATTCTCTGATATCATTGAAAAGCGCAATATCAGCCAAATATTGAAACCATAGAATAAAAGCATTGAATGCGTCAACAATCGTGCCAAACCATGCAGACCCCACTAAAATACAGATTTTTAAACCAACCTACCTTTAGAAAGAGCATGACATATTTTTTTGTACGTAACTAGCTCTTCAGGACAAACCAGGGCCACACTAACACCCTCAGCATTAGCACGAGCAGTTCGTCCAGATCTATGCACATATATATCCGCAGCTCGAGGGAGTTGGTAGTGGATTACGTGATCCACTTTGGGAATATCAAGACCACGCGAAGCAACATCACTGGCAATCAAAACTCCATTTGGAGTCTCGACAAATCTAAAGATCAATATTGATTTTGATTTAAATAGCATCAAACAAGGTATTTTGATTAGTCATCATAGTACGCATGCTATCCCAGAATAGCAAACGACACTAACCTATCTAAATTTTTGAGTCTCTGGCGTTGTTGCATCTCGGCATGCAAACCAAATACTTGAACACCAAGATACGACAGGATTGGCACCAACCGCCGAATGGCATCAATGCTGTTGACAAAGACGATCGTTTTTGCAGTATATCTACATAGCACATAGTATAGCATAGTATCCTACAAGCATTCACGTGAGTAACATTACAAAGCTAGTCTTGAAAAAAATTGAAGCATGTACACAATAGTTTCAACCATCAGTAAAACCCACCTTTTCAGTCTTGAGACAATTAATTTTTGATTCCAAAAGTCCTTTTGCTGTAACTCCCTCAGTTGATAGATTGATATACACAGGACTCTTGTCATGAAAATCGATTTTTTGAAGCAACTTGTCTAAAATGGCATTGTAACAGAAAATCATGCATTGCTGTTAATAAGGTTTGGCATTGACAAATAGTCCAATGCATTTATTTCAAAAAAACACATCAACTCACTAAATAAACTACTCTTGATTTTGTTATGTTTTTTAAAGTTCAAAGTTGCCTTTTGCTTGATTGCATCGTCTTCTAACATGGTGGCAGAAAAGACCATGGTTCTTCGTTTGATTTGAGAAGCATTGTCGGTATTGCAAACAGAAATACAGCCCAAAATGCTGTCCAAATCTTTAAAGTGCCCCGCTTCAAGCATACGATCGGCTTCATCAATGACAAGGTAGGTGGTATGCTTGAGCATGTCAAGTAGCTCGGGATCTTCTTGAATGAGCTCCCACAATCTTCCGGGTGTTCCCACAATGATATGAGGTTTAGTAGCGATAAGACGACGTTGTTTTTGCAAGGACATTCCTCCAACTATTGGAGTAATCTATACAGCATGAATGCGAGTTCAAAGCATTGTTTAGTACAACTTGTAGATATAAGCAGATTGTTAAAACCTACCTTGTGGGTAATAGCAGCACCAGCTCGTTTAAGATGATCAGAAACCTGAATAGCCAGCTCTCGTGTAGGAGTAATAATCAGGCCAATGCAGGCAGTATTTGGGTTTTTTTGAAGTTGGATTGCCAAGTGGTGCAAGATTGGTAGTCCAAACGCAAGTGTTTTTCCAGATCCCTGCACAACATTAAAATGAGAATTAACAGATAGTTATACAAAATATTAGACTGTGGATCTAATGCCTTCAATGCAATACTGGCGACATACAGTTTCTGCAGCACCAATAATATCTTTATGGCGAACCAGTGTGTTTTCCAACGATTTTGCCTGAATATCAGTTGGACAAGAGAAACCGAGCTTGTGGAGTGTTTGAACCAGCTGTAAATTCAGACCAAACTCGAGCCATTTGGAATCAGATGGCACTTTGTAATGATCCACAATGGGCTCGTCGCTAACAGGTGCATCTGTGATATGAAAAGTGTCATGATCGTTCAAGTTTGGAGCCGTGGTTTTTTCGACTACAAACGGATGGCCTAGTGTATCTTTGGCACTAATGCGCTTTAGTTTTTTTGTCGAGTGAGTGGATTCCTTTTGATTGTTGGACTTTGGAGCAATCGATTTGGATTCATCGAATTCATCAATATGAATAAACGAGTCAAGATCAATTCCAGATGGAAATATATCTTCGACAGAGCCGTTGATTGTAGCTCCAACTTCTGCATTGGGGTCATCATCCACTGGCTCGATTTCTTCGAGGGAAAAGAAACAAGCATCACCAGCCGATGCAACTGATTCAGGAAGAGCAGTTTTTTTCCATCTGTACTTTGACAGTTTGATAGTCTTTCCTGCCATTCTATGATTTTTGATTGAGGTTGCTATATATTAACCAGCAGTTTCAATGAAATGCAAGGATATCCAAAAACAATAAAAAAAACAAATCTTGTTGCATACATACAATCACGTGCACCAGTCAACCGACCTATGTCGATTCTGGCAGACAATTCAAGAGCCATTTCATATGTTTTAGTATCTCGAGAGTTGTATTAAACTCGGGCTTGGCTATTGCAAGCATTATAATATCTATGTAACCGATCTACTTTGAATTAGAGCATGGGCTGGTTAGGTGGCTAATAAGCACGTGAATCCTTGACATATGAGCAGTATGTTCCCCATCTCCTTGCTATCTGGTGCATATTTTCCTTTGACTTGTTAGTTGTTTGCAGAAGCCACATTTCAGTCCAAGCTTTCCAAGTTTTATTTCGATTGGGAAAACCTTTTGTTTTTTAGAAAAAGCACCAAATGTAGGACCAAGTTACAGATGTTGATACTGTTCAATTCATCCAGAGTTGCATTGTCAAGACTGTTCCTAACTAAACTCGATATCAAATAAAACGGTGTGGCTGGGTTATTGTTGGTAGGAGTCTTGGTGTTTAAAACTCATTATTTGGTCTGACTCATGGCATATGTCAATATTTCCATTAAATAATTGATACCGATTTTTCAGTACCATTTTCCTTCAAGTATGCTGGGCAGTGCCAAATTATTGGTATGTTAAACATGAGTTTAGACAGTATTGGTGTTTCAGTTTGTTTTAGTCATTGAGCCATCCTTGTGAATTGTGACTCGATGTATCATAATTGCACTGCAAACGGTCTATCCAAATCGCGGTATGACTAAAGCATAGGTGGAGCATCCGGGATCCCTTTTTGGGCGAGGCAATTTATGTACCGAAAAGCATAGTGGTTGAAAACTACTATGCAAAGGATTACTATTCAAACAGATCATTCTGGATCAGACTCGACCAACAATGCATCACTCTTATATCGGAATCAATCAACAGCTATAACCAAGTCTACAATATACTGTTGGGGTTTCTAGCATTTTAAATTGAGCGATTTCCAACCACGTGGCTTTGCTCGTTAAAGATACCCCCAACGACGCTTTGCATGTTAAAGGTAAAGTATCACCAAAGTGCTTGTATTTTGGATATGAATTGGCTGTGAACAGGCTGAGGCACTTGATCACCAAATTAGAATGCAAAAGTTTGAAGCTGCATTGCTGAAACGGGCACATGGATTCGGCAAATGGTCATTAATGACTATGGAAACATGCACTATATAATCATTAATATCTGGATAAAATTGATTGTTGTTGATGGTCGACTAAAGTTGAATGTATTGGGATTTTTAAAGTTGGGTAATAACGATCATGATCGTAGTCACAATTCCAATCCATAATATTTAATTTGGGTGGAGAAAAAATCGTCAATCGAAATAAACACAGGATGAAAAACAACTAAACTGGATTGTTGGGTATCAAAGGGGCCAAAGAAGCCAAGAAAAACAAACAGAGTCATGAAGAAAGCTGAATAAAACGATGCTCATCAAATTTTCCTTATAATAACCACAATAAAAACGCAGGAGCGATTATATCAAGTCCGCTAATTTGGCTAACTCCTTCCAATCCACCAACTGCCATTTTTTACCAAGGACCGAGGTCTATTAGTCGACCAAGTTGGGATTCATTATTGACTATCCAATAATTCAACTCTATTATTACCACAGTTGTCTTGACTATTTTACTATTACGCCAGGAATCACACTACTTTAATACTAGGACAAGTCTCGACTAATGGATGCCAAGTCACATTCCCCAACATTACAACCAAGACAACCACAGCAACAAGCACCGACTGAGCCAGAGCCTGGTGCGGACTCTGTCCTGTCCCCATCTAAACTCGCATGTACTCGTTTAGATTCTACCTTGCCATATCAATTTATCACTCTCTCACAGACTCCTCCAATCCGTACAAACAGGTTTGTTACTGCTTTCGGCTCTATAATTGCTCAAATAATGGTTATATAGATTCTATCTGTGCCTCTTGGCTTTTTATCGATTATTTGAGACCATTCTGAAATAAGTCGGCTTGTCTGGTTATGCTGCCGAATATGGGCTACTTTGGTCTCTTGGATGCTTTTATACGCGGTCTTGCTGGGTTGTTTTGCAAGACCTACACCGTCTATTTTGTCTACTCTGGTCAAAAACCAGTTTGGTTGTATATGATGTCTCGATGCACAGTTATTTGTGTAAATATCGAATTTTGTAGATTTGGAGCATCTACATGATCATAGGCACGGAATACTGCTTATTTTGATTTGTGCAGCATCGGCCCTTTCTAGTGCAAATTCTTGAAGCACCTAATTACACAATTGCTTTTCCGCCAGCCTTGTGTACTAGAGTTTAATGGGTCCTTTTGAAACTCCAACTAGTGGCAATTTATTTGCTTCGACTCCCATCTGAGCCAGCACTTTACTTTTACCCCTGTGTGAGATGTGGAATAGTGACTGCAACACACTCGAGTAAGAGGAAAGAAAGCGGTGGCTGTAATGAATGGAGGGTTAAATTTGCCGAAGCAGCAAATTTCGATTTCCCGATATTCTTGTGATTTGGTGATACACCTTGACAGGTGATATCCACCCACCAGAGTAGCTTACTATTGGCTAACGTTTCAAGCACTAATAGTCCGGGCTATCCAAAGACATCTACAGCCGCAATTAATTTTTATTGGGGAGACATCTTCATAAAACAAATCGTATGATTTGTGCTGATACTATTGGCATCATGCTTGACTTTCTAATTTAATCTTGGGTATTTGTCGAGTTACTGCGGTGCCATATTCATTATGGTCATTGACTGCAGTGATGCTTGGATATTTTATCCTATGCTTGATGGGGCAGGAAAAACTTGCACTGGAGCTAAAACAATGCAATTGAATTTTTGGGCCGTTTTTCAAATGTAAATGGGCTATACTTTGTATCCAACTCACTATGATATGGAGCAAAAAGGACCGCTACGACTCGAGCTCCAATTCATGTTCTCTACCATTTTCAAAGGGTCTATGAGTGAGTTTTCAAAGTTACGCCAATACATTGTTTTGGTATTATCGAGAAATCCGCTTTTTGTATGCCACTTTGAGATTTCCATTGGAAACTCATGCATGACTGAAGCACTAGCCAATCGGACTTGATCTATTTATCACGTGGATTTTGAGTTTGTGGCAGGGAGCGCGTTGAGTTGTTTGCTGGGCCTACTTGTTGATTGGGTCAAAAGACCTGTTGCTTTGAATCGGGTGTGAATCAGGAGGCTGGAGATTAGAGGCTAAATAATGGTGTGCTTGGGATATTCCGGCATAGGAATGCTTGTTTGCTCATACTGGTGTTCCAAGACGTGTATTGTGCTTGACGGTACTAGCCCATTATTCCTGGTGCGTGCATTTGAACATTGCTTGTAATGTTTCTAATCCCAAAACGGTTGTATTCATTATTGAACGACACCTTATTTATTTGATACGGCTGGATTGGTCGGTTGATATGGGATTACATCAGTTACCTTGTGTAGACTGATCGATGCACGCCGAACAGGTTTACATTAGGTTCACAATAGCAATGCTTCTAATAATTGTGTAGCATTGACGAGAGCTTTGCTTTGGACTATTTTGCCAGTTCTTTGCCTCCCTAGCACACTGTTACTATTTCCAGCATTGTTGACGCACCACATGCCATAATTTCCTCACGTTTAGTGATCTAATTCGATCCGTTATTGCTTTTGAAGTTCAGTGGCTGCTAGCAATCTGGTGCTGCAAGAGCCGGACTGTTTCGGGCTAAGCTCAAACCTATGCTTGCGCTTTTCCCTTTCCATTCCCTTTTCAGTGGATTTTTTGATCCAAGCTATCCCAGCTTTCTTATCCAAACTGCTTGACGTACATTTACATTCAGTTTACTTTGGGATAGTCGAGAGGAAAATCGACTGCATCCATGAACTACCGCCCATCACTGTTCGTAATTTTCGCTTCAATGCAATATTACACTATTTACCATATAATGTCTGAATATGGTTTGCTCACATCAGTATCACCAAATAGTCACTTGTATATTGAGCAGTTATAGTTTATTACAAGTCTATTTGTTTAAGCACCTGGAAAAATGATACTATTCTATGCTCGTCTAGTACGTTTATCCAACAGCAGACGCCTTGCGTCAAATGAACCCCCAAAACACTGCGTACTATTGATAGTATGCCCTGAGTTTAATCATCTACCAAGAGATGTTCTAATACTCGGTACCTTGAACAGACTTCGGCATCTGCCAATTCGGCCGATATTTCTGTTCAATTTAGGTGTATCAGAAACGTGTTTGTATCACTCGACACAATCACCTTGCTCAGTAATGGCTCATTTTAGACTGGGTCAATATGTATTCTGCACTTGTGCATTGATGTGATGGCACTTTAACCATAACCATTTTCTTTGAAATTCCAACTGCATCACTTTAACACTAATACTTTGTTCTTATATGCTCTTATTTTTTAGGAGGTATGATCTCGTTCTTCGCCAGCAGCCCGAGCATTCTCGTGTTTGCGGTCTTGGAGAAAAAGGTGTGCTTTTATTTACCATTATGGGGGCCATGCTGGCATTTTTCCTGACTAGATTTTGCTCTCAACCTGCTCAAACTGATGTATCAAGTAGTTTAGAAACTAACCTAGTGTTTTACTTGGAATATAGTGGATCGCCGACCCGTTGATCCGCCTCCTATCATTGTAAGTACCATTGAGTGTTGCATCAACTAATGAAACTGATACCTTGCTGGCCAATGGCGTCATTGTTGAACTCGGCATCTTTGCTCATTTGCATTGCTTTTAAACTGCTTGACATTTTAGCAAATGACCATTCACTCATGTGACGATGATGAAAATGCATTATTATACAATCCGTACTACTTTGTGTATGCGTCACTGATGTCTGCCACAACAGATGATGAGCGACATCTTCTTCGCGATCGATACACTCGCACAACCACTGGGTCAATTGTATCTTCTCTCTATCGTCTTCGAGACACTGACGAAAAAGAGGGTGCTTTTTTTGTTTTTCCTGATCTCTCTGTCCGCTCTGAAGGGGAGTATCGCCTCAAGTTTACTCTATACGAAATTATTGGAAAGGATGTGTATTACTGCACCTCGATTATCTCCAAGCCTTTTAGTGTTCATGCTGCCAAGCGGTTTACTGGTATGCAAGTGTCCACTCCATTATCCCGAGTGTTTTCCAAGCAGGGACTAAAGCTTCGAGTACGCACTGAAGTTCGAGCAAAACGGTACACGTATTTTCATCAAAGCCGAATAGACTGGTTTCATGCTAGATGTTTCTAACGTGTAATTGTTTATCCATTGCTTTTTAAATTAACATCACTGCATAGGCAACTATCCAGCAAACGTCGAGGCAACAACAGCAATGGTGGTAGCACTGACGATAATTCTCGACATGATAACGTAGACAACCGGGAAAAGAAACGACATCGCCAGGCCAACAGTGATGAGGACTCGGATGAAGATGCATCTAGCGATGGGGCTGCATTGGGCCGCAAGCATTCTTCTAACCAGTTAGGGCATGCTTCACAGAATTTGCCCGAGATTCAAAACTATGATGGCAGCGATACCTCCAGCAGCTATCCCAGGCAGCCGCACTCTCAGAGACCAGAATTGCGTTACCCCAAGCATGAATATTCGCCACGCCATATGGGTCATTCTCCCTACCCTGCCAGTCACAACCAGGCTCACGGACAACATTCTTATCCTGTGACCGATCCTCGTAGCTACTATGGATACGATCGACCACAACACTCTTCACATAATAGCTATTCTCACCAAGCTTCAGGATCTATGAATCAGGGAGGTGCTTCTTTATCGCCCTACTCATCTCATCCACACTCTGCTGCATATGGGGGATTGTATCCTCCGCATCCGATGTATCCCTATCCCCCGCCAAATCAGGGAGATGGCTCATCGTATGTGATGCGCGGGAATACTGGATATGCGCCCCTATCGCAGTATCATAATTCTGGACCTGCATCTGGCTCATCACCTACATCGGGGGCTAATGCATTTCCACTGAAAGACAGTCCACACTATCGATCCACATATCCATACCCGGGTGGTGGTACCCCTGGCGGGTTGAATGATCCTCAAGATAGAAACAACTCCAACTCCTGGCCAGACTATCCTCGCGGTGTTTCAACGACGCAGTCGCATTTGACAGTCCCATCATCGGCATCAATAGCTCAACCGCCTGCTCCTGCATCGGAGTTGCGCAGCTTTGAAATGGTCCCGCTTTCACGGCCTGGGCCACAATCGCACACAGGCAGATCCTCTACTCCAGTGAATCATCTTGCTCCATCCATTTCTTCTGGATCACCCCCTCCTTACATAGATGATCGCGCTTCAGCCAACAACGCCTCACATCCCTACGCTTACCAATACTCTGGTTCGTATCCCTATCCGCCCCAACCTTTATCTTATCCATTGTCTGAGCATCATATGTATCGCGGACCACCGCCAGTGCTTCCTCGGCAGCAACCTCCCGTTCATGCATCTCAGCATTCACAGCAACATCCGTATGCGGGATACGGACATTATTCTTACACAGTGCCATCTTCACACTTGGCTGCCCCTCGTTCTAACGACTATTCTCCGGGGCCTCCACTGATGTCGATACAGTACCCTCCACATCCAGCTCAGCCCGAATATTCTCAAGATCGTCGGGGGTCTCTGGTAAACCATGCCAACCACTCCCAATATCGAGCCTCGCCACTATACCAATTTCCTGGGAATGCTGGCCCTAATGATGATCCAAGCAGAGGTTCAGCCACTCCATTGAGATATCCTTCTTATCCTCCTTCCTATCTGCCGCACCCCGTTCATTCATCACAGCACTCGAATCAGCAGATGAATCCCCCATCAACAAGCACCCACGATGCGGCTTTTGATTCGAGCCCGCCCACTATTGATCGATCAGCTTAGATTCTATGGTTTTGCCATTATGCATTTGATGTTTATTCAACAGCATCTTGGTTTCGTGGATGTGTTGTTTTAGAGATGCCAGTGTTGAGCAGTGATTTCATTTATTCAAATCAAGCAGATTAGTTAGATTCAATGACTTTGAAAATCTATTATGAATTACAGTCGTACTCACATAAAATGGACCATTAAATAAAGGTGTCAGCACATGAGTGATTTCGTAAAATAATGGGTTAGTTTAATGGTTAGTGTTTGGGTCTCGACTATCGAACATGCTGTTGCAGATCAAACCTAGGACAATGTCTTTATTGGCAGTGCCAATTTTGCTACTTGTGTTGACAATCGAATATTTTCAAAGTTTGCAGAACCACAGTTGATTAGGTAGATACTCGGAATGGTCGAGTCAGTGCTGTGTGTATTGCCCTGCCTGGTAGCTGGATACATGTTGCATGCTCCTCGATGGAATAGGAGCAGCCTGACTTTGGAAGCAGCATGCAAGTAGTAATTCAAAACCACATGAACTTTACAAAAATAACTCGATAAAACAGTATTGTTGAACGTGAACAGTTGAATTGGCTTACAACTTGACTACCATTGTATCAATAAAACTAGTGCTTACTGTGGGTTCAATTCTTGCAGCCATTCTAGAGCATTTGCCATCATCCAATACTAAATTACTAAACCGACATGCTACGTTTAGGTTTGTGATCTATTTTGAAATTATAAACTACATTAGCTGAACTAGCCATAGTAGTTGAGCTTCTGATCTGCGCCATCATTGACCAATTGATGCTGTTTTGGGTTGATGTTTTGAATTAAGCCGTATTCATGTAAAATGAACCACTATCTTGCAGTAATCGCCTCTTGTTTTGGAATAGCCAATGGTTAACTATCCGTTACGCTTTCCTATTAGAAATTAGCTGTTTCAAATAGACATCCATCATATGCTGCTCACAAACTATAGTTTTGAATCTGCTTTCTCTCCTTTTCTATTGATATAACCATACATTGTACGATCACCAGGTTCACATATTGCAGCCCAGATACTACATTTGTTCTGATCTTCAAATTATAAACTCCTGTATCCCAACTCACATTCGCGTTCTGGTTGAGAATCCAATGATTGCATGTATTAGAAATTGATGTTTTCATGTCAATTACCAGTAGACCAGTAGACTAAAGAGTTTACAAAACAGCATTTCCCAGTAGATTGGCACCCTTGTTCAGTGTTTCGTTTTACGTGAATGCAGCTGTGATGATCATGAATCACTGTTATAGTTTTGATCATTACTTTTGAATCCAACCATTCTTGTACTATTCATCTGACAAGATCTTTTGATGGAATAATGACCATAGCACTCGTAGGTATGGAGTCACTATAGGAACTACTCTGGTACCTTTGGTTGCTACATCCACTTTTCTTTTGGCTGATTGCCTAGGTATATCTCAAGGTAATTTTAGGCATGTATACTTTACTGGCTCTGAGTTGGACAGAAAATGTTCACCCATCGACAGCTGTTGGATATGTTGATTTGTTCCTCAGTCTCATTCTCAGTTTAGACCAGTCCAATTTTATACAGTATATTTTAGGCATAATGCATGCCGTATACGTTGTTTCTGGTATGTGTTTAGCCAACCATGTATGCCATGATTGGCTCAAAGAAAATGATGCATCGAGATATGCTGTAGTAGCAGGTGTTACGGGCAGTTTAATTTCTGTACTTGCTCCATTTTCTCCGTGTAAGTCGTGATTTGCATTTTCCAGGCTGCTTGGTATTGTATTTGTTGGCCGCAATGACAAATACTACAGACATACCAAACCATCCATATTTTAATTCTTTGTTTATTGCATAGTTTCGTGGTGGATGTTGACGTGTGCTCCGGTACTATTTATTGGAGCATTTGTTGTGCTACAGCGAATCATGGGACAGATCCTGACCCTTGAGGAAACATACATTATAGCAACAATGTCATCCATCTCACTTTTGGATATGCTTTTCATTTCATTGTCAATGGTACGTTTACTATATTTTGAATCATGCATATTGAGTACAAATATTTATTAGCTTTGATGTATACATAGATGAAAGTGCTTTCAAAGAAATTACTGTTTACCCGAAGCATTGTTTCTGTATTCCATCCTGCATTGCTATGGGGGATGGTTTTGATTGGGATAGTTGGGTATCCAATCCTTTTACAAGCAAGACTTGCTCAAGAATCACAGCATAATGGAGTAATGCATATCGTGTATTCAGTTGGATTTGCGGTATCTGCAATCGTCGTTGTTGGTATCATAGATCCATGGATATGGCTAATAATTAAGACCGAGCCGTTTACATGGTGTGTTGACCAGAAATATAGATTGCATAGAATAGGAGTATATAGTGGTTTTACTGTAGCTGGATCATTTGGTCTTGCATTCTCATGTACGAGTAAGCCCATGTTTAGTTCTTGACTAAACTGTTTTTTCAACTAGGACGATTACGTACATTACAGATGCAAATACATGGCGACCCTACTTGATAATATATTGGATGATTTTGGTTACAGGGGCAGTCACAATTGCATCCACTTGGTCATCTACTGCATCATCGTTGTCATCACACATCAATTTTCGTCGAAAGTACTTTCATGCATTAGCTTTGCTTCTATTTGCTCCTGGATATCTTTTAGAGGTATGCAATTTGACTATTTGGTTTGCCTCGATAAGCATTAATACTTTTATGAAACACGGAATGCACTGAAATGTAGCCTCAATTGATGCATCTTGCGTTTTCTGTTGCAATAAGTGCCTTTATCATGATCGAATATATGCGTATATTCCATATCGGTCCTATTCAACCACAAACTATGGATATGTTTGTTCATCAATTTTTAAACGCGCGAGATCAACTTGTTCAATCTAAATCGTCTCCAAAGGGTGAAACAAAGAAACGTCGAGAAGTTGTCGTATCCCATCTATCTTTGATGTTTGGATGTGCAGTTCCTGTGTGGTTGACACAGATTGTCTTGGTTTTGGAAAATAAACCATTGCTTATACTTGGTTTAACCGGTATTCTGTCTCTTGGCGTGGGCGACTCGGCTGCATCGATTATTGGCAAAGCTGTTGGCAAGACAAAATGGTTTCGTAAAGACAAGACGGTTGAAGGTACGCTCGGGTTTGTAATTGGATCGCTTGGTGCATTATATGCTGTCCAGATTTGGCTGGATAGATTTGGTGACTCTGTACCAAAAGTCGGCTTTTTTGTTAGATCTGCTATATCGGTTGTCTTGACAGGTAAATACTCGAGGATCAATATCCCGACACTGTAAAGATCTTTTACACTTGCATTCACTAATTACTATTGACTTGCAGGCTTGTTGGAGGCTTTTTCTGAGCAAAACGATAATCTTGTTGTCCCACTATACATGTTTGCACTGCTCTCTTTAGGAATGGTATATTTATAGTCGACGTTTTTTGGCGTGCTGAATCCCATCTAGTTTCGTATTACCATTTGCCACTAAAACATAAACCATTTCTATCAAACCACATTTCAACAACTATTATATCCTACTTTTGCCAAGCATACATATTTTGCACAAAAATAACAGCCATTAAATAAAAACCCAAAGCTTTATGCAGAAAAATGGGAAGATGCAAGTCGCTCACGACGGGCACGAACACCCTGTCGAAGGATTTCCAAAACCTTGACAGTGTCGGCCCAACTGATGCAAGCATCAGTGATTGACATGCCGTATTCTATTGGCACATCCTGCCTTCCCTCTTTGATATGCGACTCAATCATGACACCACAAATTGAAGATCCGGAATCGCAAGAAGATAGCTGCCGGGCAACTTCAATAGCCACACCCGCTTGCTTTTTGTGGTTCTTTTCGGAATTTCCGTGAGAGCAGTCAATCATGATGGCAGGACGGACACCAGCCTTGCAAAGATCTTTAGCACACGATAGCACATCTGCCTCGCTGTAATTTGGACCAGTAGCACTACTACCACGCAAAATCACATGGCAAGACGTATTTCCAGACGTTTCGACAATAGCCGATAGACCATGTTTAGTGACAGAAAGAAAGCGATGGCCTGCAGACGCTGCGCGAATGGCATCAATGGCGATACGAACGTTGCCATCTGTGCCATTTTTGAAACCAACAGGAACTGAAAGACCGGATGCAAGTTCTCTGTGGACTTGAGACTCGGTGGTGCGAGCTCCAATAGCACCCCACGAAACCAAATCTGCAATGAATTGGGGAGAGATTGTGTCGAGAAACTCTACTGCAGCAGGAACACCGCTACTGTTCAAATCCAACAGAAGCTTACGAGCAGTACGTAGTCCTTTGTTAATCGAAAAGGAATTGTTCATATCGGGATCATTGATGAGCCCTTTCCATCCTGTCAAAAAAAGTTTGAATTAGATGAATTGGAAGCATTCAATTCAAGCACATTAAAGCTCCGGGATTTCACATGACAGCAAAATAGCACAACTCGAATCATTGAGCAAGCAGGGGTATGAATGCCATGACTGCCGTATCAACGAAGCATTACTTACCAACAGTTGTACGAGGTTTCTCAAAGTACACTCTCATGATTAAACATAGTTCCTTGCTAGAGCCGTTGCTGGCATACTTCTTTAGTAGCTGCGAATACTCTATTGCAGCCGTGACATCGTGAATGGAGCACGGACCTACAATAACCAGCAGCCGATCGTCTTCTCCTGATAGAATTGATTCGGCTTCTTTACGTGCCTTGGAAACAGTAATGTTGGCATCAGCCGTTAATGGCAGGTCTTCCATAAGAATCTGGGGAGGAATCAGAGGACGAATGTTGACAATGCGGTTGTCATCCAAGTCATTGAGTTTATCGGTAGTGCATTTAATCAAAGTGCTAGCATGGGTCGATGAAGCTAGAGTGGAATGGATTTTTCCAGTAGCAGCAGTCGAGGTTTCTGAAGTAGCAAGAGTCATGACTTTGGAGATGTTGGTTTTAGTAGTAAAAAACTGGCGAGTTTCAGTATTTCAAGGTCGATGCGATGCTGTGTTGAGGGCGGATTATTGCTTATGGATTTCTGAATGATACGAATGACTTGCCGATTGGTTTCTGCAGAATGTTCGCATGGTTTCATCTGTATATCTACTTGGCTTTACATTACAACCAATTTTGGAATCTGTCAATGCTAAATGGATGCCCGACAGTCGCACTTGGCTCGAATCATCAAAAGTCGCGACTCTGCAACAGCAGGCTTACCATCAACATGTTTACAAAAACCTCAAAACAAGTCCTATCTCCACTGGCTGAAAGTGTCAGTGCTCTTATTGTCATCATCTCTGATTCTGAACTCAATGGAACTCCTATTCCAGATCTATCCCAATTGAGCCTGGCCCTAGAATCCCAGTTGGCCAATTTGCTCAATGTGGCAACCAAGATTGTTGAGCAACAAATGGCAGATGTTCAAATAAAAAAGGATATGCCTGGTGCCTGTGAAGAAGGTTTGTTTTGGATTCAAATATCATCCTTATTCAAATAGCTAGTATCTGAGCTCTACTACAAATTGCTTCAGTTACTTTCAAAGAATGGTTGCTGTACATATTTGTAATGCGTGTGGCTCGATATCTCAGGCCAACTGGTCATTATCATTAGTTCGTATCATTATGGCCAATACTATTCACTCAAACTTATTTAATTACACGACTATATAGTATCGACCACTTCAAAAATTCTGGTTTCGTCGGTCAAGGAGCTCAAACAAAACCCAGTATCCAATCTTGGTCGAACCCAGTTGCTCGAGGCTGTAAAGGGTATTCTTTCTGGAACAACACATATACTACAAGTGGTTGACGATGCTCAAGTCCGTAAGATTCTTGCAGCATCGACTGTATTTCGAGATCACTTGTCTGGGCTTCTCAACTGTCCTTCCAAACAATCAGACGATCAATTATTTCAGCAAAAGGCAAAAGCTTATATTCAATGCGTTACACAAATGTCCCAGCGTGTAGTCGTTCTTGCGCAGCTTGCGTCTCAGCGAGTAGGAGAAATCTTGTCAGACTTTATGCAGCAGGAACTACAGGAGGCTATCAAAGTACTTACAAAGGAAAGTCCATTGGTAGTGAGCGCTTGTAAGATGGTGATCACTCAGCCTGGCATTGAAACTTCTGCATCGATCATGAAGAGCATATGTGAACAGCTTCGAGATGCTAGTTTGCGGATTGATGAAATTGTTTTATGGAAGGGAGATGAGGATCATAGTACAGTGATCAATCAGGTAAAATTTTGTAGTTTTGATCCACATAATAGCCTATTCGTAATTATGTGTCAGTGTGATCCATACATTTTATAACCGTGCCTTGGAAATGGCTATATTGACAATTTTATTGTAGATATCATCCCATGAAAATGCTGAAAAACGACGAAAGGCGGCAATGCATATGATTGTAGAGCCATTTTCTACTCTTAATGTATCCGAATCTTGTCAAAAAATCTACCAAAACTACCTTGTGACATGCAAAGAAAGTTTAAAAGAGCTGCAAGGTATTACATTTTAAACCCCAAATGCAGCAGACAGTCAAATTTTGCTGAAAGCATCCACTTTTTATTGGTATTGATTTGTGGTTTTGTCAATCGACACCCATTTTAGGCTCACTTTCCACGATCGGTGTAACCAAGCAAACCACGTTTTCCTATACTCTTGCAAATGAGCTGCAAACTAATATTTCTAGGCTTGAAGAACTCATCAACAACACAAAATATAGCGAATTTTCTACGGCCAACAAAGACGCAATCGACGTTGAAATCAAAGAGCTGATGTCTTCCATTGACAAAGGCTTTACTATTTTGGAAACAAGTGTTTCTAGATGTCTTGTTGGAGACCTTGTTAGCACTATTGGCACGCTTTCTGAACCAACACGTCCCGGATCACTAGTGTCAACCATGCTACTTTCTGCTGAAGCTCAGGACTGTGTAGCAATGGCAGAATCTAACCGTCAATTTATCCTAGCAAATCAAAAGCTTGGTAATCTCATCAACCATACTCTTTCTGCTACTGAACATGCCAATCCGCAACAATGTCAATTGGTACGCCTGAAGACCTCTCGTGTTGAAAAGCTGCAATGTGCTGTATCTCTTGCTAGTGATATGGTTCGTGTCAATCCTACAGACAATATATCCCGAGAACACTTCAAGACAATCATGGCTTCTTACGTTGAAGCGGTTCGAGATTTACAAGCAGTAGTTATAATGCAAGAAGGTATATTTTCTGCCGACAATCTCGTGTTTGGTTCTAAAAAAGCATTTGATCAGCAAGCGGACGCTCTCTGTGCCGATCTGGCTCAAGGAGTCAAGCCTGAAATCATGGCTCATCGTCTAGCATCCCTTCAAGCAGCAGCGTCTCAGTTTATTGCTGTAGCTGAAAAGGAAAAGGAATACAGTGAAGATGTGGGATACAAGTCTGAATTGGACATGAAACTCAATATTGTCCAAACTGTTTTTAATGGACTCGTTGCCAATGTTCAAACGCTTATGTTACAAAACGTACCCGTAACGGCCGATCAGATGGAAGGTATTCATCTTGTGGTTGAAAATCTTACCGAGCAACTATCTAGTCTTGGATCCACAGTAGGATCATACAAGGGTGGTAGCGATGAGGTTTTGATCAAACCGCCACCTGTTTCTGCAGCAGTGATTTCTATAGAATCCATTGCCGAGGTTCCTGTCAAATCCGAGGATAAAGATTTGGAATGTGTGAATCAGCAAATAAGCACGCTGATGGTTGCCGGACCGCCTGTTGACTCGAATCGAACATCACGTCCCTCGCGTACATCGTTTGTTGAGGACGAAGCCTTGCGTGCTTTAACCAAAATGGTGTCTGAAACGGTTGTTGTGAATGAGATTGCACCACAGATGCTCACTGTTGAAGAAGCCATCTTGAATCCGATCAAGGTAAGCCAATACGAGTACTTGGAATTTAATGCAGGACATATTAGTTGTATGGGTTAAAATACCACCGACTTGCTGTGTACGTGAGCAGCGAGCTTTGAAATATTTACATGAATGTATTCTACATATAATTCCGACAGGCTGCAGGACAGGAACTGATGGTAGAAGCATCAATCTGGGCTACAGAAAACAATCCGATTATTGAAACTGTCGCGTGCATGTCGCAGCGGATGCTGGATCTATCACAACACCATCAAAAACTGATCTATTCAGGTCAAAATGCAGGAGCCAAACGATTGTTTATTCAATCAGCACAAGCCATCCTGGTGGATGCCAACACACTTCTTAAAGTAGCCCAACCTTTGGCAGAGTCATGCACAGACAGAAGACTTCGTATACAGCTGAACGGTACGCTTACACACATGACGACACTTGCGCAGCAGCTCAAGATTGTAGCAGCAGTAAAGGCGTCGTCGCCGTTAGATTCAGACCGAGATGTGCAGTTGATATCGTGCGCGCAAAATCTAATGAAGAGTGTCAAGACGGGACTGCGTGAATGCGTCAGCTGCAGTCTGCGAGTCAAGAAAGGAGCCGAGGGATCAGTCAGTGGAGGGATTATAAAGTTCCGTAGAGTCATCTATGCAGAGAACAATTCTTGAGTAATAATGAAGAATAGATCCAATTGAACCAGATTTGAATAAACCAAGTTTATACCATCATCAGTCTGTGCTCATGGAAGGATTCCCGCTGCTCCATGCCATCTTCTTTAGTGAATTCCATCACATTCAAGGTCCTAAAGTGGTGTACGAAACCCCAGAGGGTTTTGTGCGGTCGTCGATTGGATCCGGAGGATCCATGCCATTGAATGCGCTGGCCTGGCAAGACTCGAGTCCAGCGCACACAGTCCAGCCAGGACTGCCACAGAGACCATTGCATCCCAGCCAGCCTCAATCCAGCCATCATCGTCCCGAGTCGTTGTCGCTGGCTCACACTGGCAGCACCAGCTCAACTGCTACAGTCACCCAAACATCTGTTCTTGCTCATCTCAAGTCGCTCCACGCTGGCCAAGGTTCTGTGGCCAGCAGCGAGGGTCAGTTGATGTCTGCCTCCAGTGCTGGTCCTGCGTCTGCCTCGAGCACTGGATCGGCTTCTCATCTGCATCAACTGCGATCGTCAATGCTGCAGACTGGACCATCGTTCCCATCGACAGACCCATTCGACTTCTTTCCTGTCTCTCCTGTCAAGGCTTCCATTGATACCTGTGACTCGGGTGATCTGCCATCCAATGGTGTGTCTCCGGCTGTTGTGTCTCGACAATCGCCTTCCAATGCAGACCATACGCTTACTACCAGTCCCAGACAGAGTCCTCAGCTTCCTCATATGCCTCTTCATCACCATACAAATAGCACTGGCAGCACTGGCACGAATAGCAATCTAAACTTGTTTGATGCTCGTTCTAGCAATACTGATGATGCGTTGTTGGATGGGACAATTTCTACATTCGCAAACATGGCAGCAACAGCTCCAAACTCGCATCTCTTGCTCGACTTTGATGCCATCTCAGATTACATTATTCCCAAATCCGATCTCTGCAACCGTCTAGTCACACTTTCTGCTACTCCTCCCTACAAAATTGTTGGTCATCCTGTTTTGATTGAGCATCCCAAATACGAACGTAATGCAATGTTGTTCAACTTGTGCTTTGTGTTTGATTCCAATGCCAATACGGCTTGCTACGAGCAGATTGTTACCAAAATGGCTCGCGTATTGAAATCTCTCGAGGTCAGTTGTTATAAGTTGGCTCTACTGCGTCATTTCTAATTCTAATATACTGTTTGAAATACAAGGTAGAAAGTGAGTTTTTATCCAATCCTGCTACAAAAGCCACGGTATTAAACATTATCGAGCAGCTGCTTGAAGATTTGAATTCATACAACGAATGCCAGATCCCTATTAGTATGTGCATTCAAATTACAACGTGTTTTAATTTCCTGGACAGTTCAGCTCATACTAATGTTATTTTTATTTGCTGTAGACGATGCAAACACGATCAACCTAAAGTTGTTTCCTCATTATCCACCACCGCCACTTGTTCATGACTATCAAGTTCCTGTCTCGATGTTGAATTTGGAAAGCATTATGGACAAGCATTGGGATCTTACAATGCAAAGAGTAAGCCGTGCTGTTTAATTCAAAACACTACTGGTTACAAATATCACTAATCAACTGTTTTATTCACCATGGTACTAGATTATCCCATTTATAAATGGCATTCATTCTGTACAGCGCATTTCATATTTATCTGATGTTAATATCATGCTTGTGCGACTTGCTGTGCAGCATTTGCATTATTATGGATGCGTAAGGCTTATTGATATATTTCAGGTAGATTTAGATGATTTACAAAAACGATCACCAATCGTTGTGTTAGTATTGAGTTTGTAATGCGATCCTGATTTGCTCTGTAGTTTTCCAATATTTATAGCGTGACTTCTGCTGTTGCAACATTAGTATCTTCAGAAGAAGCTCAGTACGACTGTATTCAGTTTGTATGTAAACCAAGTAAGCAATGTCAACTACTAGCATTTGTGCGCAGGTTGATTTGAATACTAACCCGTGTATCGTCTTTAAATGCTATCGCAGATGTGTCATTGCCAAAATTTGGAGTCATACTCTCTTTGTACTGTTCTCTCAAAGGCGGTATGACAATTATTGACTGGATCAGTGACAATCGAGAAATTATGTCTAGTATTGATGTTAGGTAATTGTTTGATTCGAAAAATGTCTAAACTGTAGTGTGTGTGCATTATCTTTTTATTCTGATGCCAAATTACGATAAAATTATTATTGTAGGCGATTTATTGTATATGGTCTTTTGAAAGGGTTTGTGTATCGAGTTCATCGATATCCTATTTTGACTCGATCTGTTGATGAATCTAGATTGGCCATAGACACCCTCCTATCTCGAAATAGAAGGTAAATGGTGTTTGGTTTGTTTACCTATCTGCTCAACCTACTATGGGCTTATTAACGCCTGGATTCGACAACCCTTTTAGACTTTTAGATGGACAGCACCATTTTGATGATATTTGCACAAAACTGCAAATCAGTGCCAAAGACCTTAACGATCGACTCACTCATTTGGGCACACATTTTATTCTGAGTTGATAGGCATGTTTGAGTTAATTTGTGAATAAAGCTACTATTTTATTGAAAGTTTGCTCGTGTAACTGAGCTACTCTAGGCATTTTAGTAAGCTAGACCCCAATGGTTTAAACCATCAACCTCTTTTGGAAAATAAATGGCGAATCAGTTGCTCTTCACATCATCGTACTCGTATTTTGACAAAACACGGATCAGCTTGCCAAGACCCATCCACCAAGCATCCTTGGTTCGACGCGCCTTCATGTCAACTTCCGCAACCAAATCCTCAATGGGGGAAAATACAACCAAAGCACCACGAATACCAATCACAGCACTGTGATTCTTTTCAATAGTATAGATTGACATGCCAGCACGCTTGGCAATGTCATCGCTAGACATGTTCAAATGGTTGGTCGAACCCGATCCACCTTCAGTTCGAACGTGACAAGCAACTGCTTCGAGCCAGTCAATACACTTGACAGCCAGGCGTGTCGCACGAATACGATCAAGTGGACTCGGAACACCACCTTGCTGCAAATGACCGAGCACAGCTGTACGCGAATCAAACAAGCCTTTACCCTCGGCACGAAGAATACCCGAAATCACCTCGGTCGAATAGACTTCTGGCAAAGTAGATTCTGTCCGTAAAATCACTCTACCCTCCGAATTGACACCGTTGCGCTGGTCTTCAGTGTATCGTTTGCAAAGGTGCTTGATATCTTTCTGCAGTATTTTAATACCAATCTCTTGTTCGGGAATATAAACGGTGGTAGCACCCACAGTCAATCCGCCCAATGTTGCCAAATATCTTTTTGAAATCAAGTTTACAAAGCACATGGTTAATCTACCACGTCACTATGTTTTCTTGATCACCATTTCAAATCATATGCCATACCCACAGGTTCCGCCTTGAACTTCAACAACAAACACACGCTTACGACTTGCGTTTGCACTGAGTTTAAGTCGATCGCAAGATTCGACAATCACATTCAATGCAGTATCGCATCCAATAGAATAGTCCGTTCCAGGCACATTGTTACTCACAGTTGCAGGTAAATGTATCATAGGAATAGCAAATGCGGGGTAAACTTTGCGTGCCTCGGTGAGCGTCAATTGTGCAGTATATGCTTCAAACCCACCAATAATCATAAGAGCTTGAATATCGTGTTTCTGCATGTGGTATGCAATCAAACCCATGTCAACAAAGTTGTCAATTCCTTTGGGCGATACCTTGGTTGAGCCAGGAATCGGACGAGGATGGTCACGATTGGTGCCCAGCTCAGAACCACCACGCACTTGCCATCCCACTATTTCTTGCCATTGGAAGGGATGAACTTCGTCATTGACAAGACCTGTAAAACCGTTGCGGATAGCCAAGGGAACATGACCTCGATTCAAACTAAGACTAGCAGCAACTCTTGTGGCAGCATTCATTCCACCTGCCGGAGCCCCGCAGTGTATAATACCAATCCTCAATCGCTAGGATATCATTGAGCAGATATCAGTAAAGTTTATATTGGATAGCACATGACAGATCTTGAATAAAAACAAAATACCTTTTCTACAGGAACTTGTAACGATCCGGGACATCCAATCAGTGTACTCTCCATGTAAGCACCGAATGCAGAAGTAAAATCTGGATCACGCAGCTCCATCGCATGCTTAAAATCCTTGTGAGAAATGGCTTGAGCAACAGATTGGGTCAATTTCACGGCATCCATAAGCGGGACGCTAATGACTTTGTTTTGGCTCATTCCAATCATGGCTGCTGGTGTATTCGGAGTAGAACTCAACACAGCTTCGACAGCTTCAACTCCTTGAACGGTGGCCTGGAATTCATTAAATGTAAATCAATTAAAGGACTGGTGAGTTAAAGATGGGCAGATGAATGAAAATGACTCAATGAAACGCACAAGATGCACTGACCAAGTAACGATCAAATGCACAAGGACTGCCTCCGCGTTGAACATGTCCAAGAGTAGTGACACGAGTATCAAGACCAAGTCTTTCCTCCAGAATCTGTTTAACTTCTTCTGGTTTAATGGGTTTGAGATTACGATCAATGGCTCCCTCGCATACAATAATAATCGACTTTCGATTTCCCATTGATCGATACTAAAAGATACAAGTTTATAAAGTTTAATCCATTGGGTTTTTTGAAATTAAAAAATGATTGAGCAAAGTGGACAGCATTAAATGTACAAATAAATCAACACACCTGCTTGACAATATCAACCATCTCCTCTGCCCAATCATCGCCATATTTGTTGTCCAAAGGAGGTGGACGTTCGGGAAGACATACCCAATCAGCTCCAACCTTTAATGGGGTCACGTTGTTAGAACTGCTGTTGCATCATAGTAGTAGAATGACGAGCACAAGACCAAAGTTAAAAGTGCACTTACGGCAATACCAGCCATAAGTCCAAGCCAACCACAATGCCTGCCCATGACTTCAACCACAAAAGCACGTTTGTGGGATTGCGCAGTTGATGTAAGCGAATCCACCGCTTCACATATACGATGAAGCGAGGTGACAGCGCCAATAGTGATATCTAGTGATGAACAGAATGTGTTGTAATCGTCAATGAAATGCTTGTGGATTACCAACCGACTATTGGATATTATCCTTTATAAGCATATTATCGCATCCAGTTATACCTGTTGCAGACATGTCATTATCAATTGAGCCAACCAAGCCAACAATTGTCAAATCGCTACGTAAATGTTCGCTTTCTTCTTTTGTGAGTCGTCCTACAGTTGATGCAAGCCAAAGTATTTCAATGAATCAATCATTTTTTGATACCAACATTAAACGTGTAATAAAAAGCGTTACCTTGCTTGATCAACTCATCGACAAGAGTTGCCCATTCAGCACGTAAGATGTCAGCGCCAGTCAGTGAACCATCACCGCCTATAATCACCAGCGCGTCAATGCCATTCTTGATAAGATTATACGTAGCGTCAAGTCTTCCCTGCCGAGTTCTAAAAGCAGAACATCTTGCAGTGCCAATACTTGTTCCTCCCTAGATAAGACATTATAATGCATTTTAAACCCATGAAACCAGTTTAAAATTCAAATGTAAACGGTAGTGCTGATCATGATACACATACCACTGCGAGGAAACCGCGGACATTTTCCCAGCTCATGGCCTTGATCTTGTCACCACCGTCTACAAGGCCCTGATACCCTTCAAAGATTGCAAAAGGAAGACAATTGCGCTGCAAAGCAACACGAACAATGGCTCTCACAGCAGCATTCATTCCAGAAGAATCACCACCTGAAGTTAAAATACCGATACGTTTTTGGGTGGGTGCAAGGGAAAAAGTTTGATGCACACCAGCAGGGGAGAATGCTGAATCAGGCAAAGCAAGATGATTAAAGCGAGAAATGGACGAACTGAGATCGTTATGACAAACGTGGCATTTCCCCTTGTCGGCATGCTGATGAGTAGGTTTCTTGAATGTATTAATGAGCACTTTTGTGCCAGACGGATCCGAAGTTTCAATGACCAAATCTGCACCCGATCCATTTGAAATGAATTGATAAGAAGCTTTCTGTAATGCATGCTCGACAGACTAAACATTTGTTTAATTAAAGAATAGATTCAGATCCTGGAGTGCATGTTGGATAGTATGTTATACTATTCAACATGTTTAGATGCTAAAAGAATATCCAATGCCTTACCTGGACATTGTTCATGCTAAATGAAAATGCATTCGTAGTGATGCGCTGAGTATCCTTGACTTGATTGTCATCATTCATGACAATACAGATGCAAGGCATATCAGAACTTGATTCAATACCAGGTGTAGACTCAAACAGTTTCATCCATATAGGAGTAGACTGGCTATTCACTGCAGCTTCGGGATAGTCTGCAACAGCAACCAGCTTGAATCCAAGACGGCAGTAAAAATCAATGGTTTTATTGAACAACTCCTTCGTAGGAGCTACAATTGTATAGGAAGCTTGCATATTACTCATGGCTCAATAACGTCAATGAATGCACTGGATGAATAGACTTGCTGTCCACAAAAGGTTGTATAAAGCAACTGCTTAACTGAAAACAATTCCAATGACTGTAAATTGATATCTGCAGCGCTGCTTCCAATTCTCAAGCACTCAATTACGCCGATCCAAAAACATTGTGTTCAACCATCTTTTATTGATCCGAGTCTGTGTTAATTCACGAAGTTGGCCAGACATAATGCATGCTACATCTATCATCTGTAGCCTACGCAATTCCCACTGGTCCTTGACCACGCAAACCATACCATTATAAAAAACTCAATTTCAGGCGGCTTCAAGAGTGGGTCTATTGCTGTCATCATGCTCCTCTGGCAACGGATTTTGTCTGTCAGAAACAGGTTCTTCTTCAGGCGTTTCTGTGTCATATTCCAGTTCCTCAGAATCAGAGTCGGATGTTTTTACAAGATCAAACTCGACCACAAACAAATAGATGTTTTTGGACTGTGACTTGGCCATTAGCCGCAAAGGCTGTCTCTTGAGATATCGCAACAGGTTCATGCTGATACCGAGGTTAAGATCAAATGTGTTTAAATCAATAAAGGGTGCAAAGATCTGTGGATATAAACATGTTGGTGAATGCGTTGGCAAGATTAGAATGGTGTGATTTGTAAATACATCTGATAATCTGCATTTACAGACAGCTTCAAAATGCAGGTGCTGGCACAAAACTCACCTCAAAATTATAGATATTTTCAGGTCGGAAAATAGTGTTCTTTCTAACCTTGGCCTTTTGGTAGTATTTTCTTCTTTTGGAAATAGAGTCTGAAGGAAATGTGGCTTCCTTGTCATCAATGGATAGCAAAGTATTGTTTTCCACAAGTTCGTTTGACCCACTCCACAACCATTCTCCAAGAAGCTCAGTAGGCGATGGTTTGCTTACTACAGTCGCAGTGGACATTGAGATTTCAGACTCGGGAGATCGCTTGAATGAAGTGTCAGGCCCAGCCAAAAGATTCGGATTTGCACTTGCAGATGACAGTTTCGACGAAACAGAAGTCTCGCCTATCTTCTTGACATAGGCGGGATCAAGTGGTGCTGCACCAGAAATGGCTTGCGATGATTTAGTTACGTTGACTATATTCATGGAGCATAAAATAGGACTAAACAGCCACGGCTTTTCGGCATAAACATCTGCTTGCAATGCTGGATCAATCAAGTTTGCAAACTTGAGTGCAACCCATGACCCAGTAGGCGGAACCACCTTTCGCTCAAATTCGGCACCAAACATGATATCATCTGCCATGTATTCCTAGCAAATATATACATGAGTACATGGAGATCAATAGAGTGGATATCACGTCAAGCTTGTTTTCAATAGCATGTAATCAAGGCTTGGATTTAATCAAAATGTAGATTGAGGGCCGACTCAAATGCAGTTCAATAGATGGCGGCTGTTACTCGAGAGTCATTCACCATTAATAAAATCAAAACTGTCTGCAACAGAGCCATTGGGATGAAGCAGACAGTCATCTGAGTCTCTGGTATCAAGTCATACTCCATATCTGTTTATAGACTCTTGGAAGACCAAGATATTGGACACATACTAGATAATGCTAGCATAGACTAATGCAAGGGGTTAAGCCATATAACCCCTCAAGATGAGTATGCATTCAGCAAGCAAACTCAACTAACACTACTATGAATACAGTATAATGAATCTAAGCTGTCAAGCCAGCCATGCATCCAACCCTGACATGCTCTTCCCTCCATCAATGCATTCGAGTCAAGACAGCTTACATGCTTAAACCTGCCACAGACTTGCAAGGCAAATAGACGCTTCTTGGTTCCAAAGTATTCTGTAGCCTGCTTGATGGGCTGGTCTTTGGGAGTAATGCCTCGAAAGTCCTTGATACGCACAACGATGTGACCAACAAAATATGGAGAGTCGATAAAATGGGGAGTGACTTCGTCGTTTGGGTTGCATATGGTGAGTGAGTGTATTGATGGACCGATACGCACCTGCAGCTTCCTGTTTCCAATGGCATTGTTACCACTCGCTCCAAAGATGTATTCCATTGTGTGTTGGTGTAGAGTCGTAGAAAGTGCAGGAATATGCAAAGTCTAGGGCGAGCCAAACCTGGGGATGCTTTGGCAACTGTTGGTTATACAAGAGCCAAGGTGATTCAAGAGATCAAAGCAACTGTCAATACACGATCATCATCAGATATACACTCATGCCGAGTCTTGATAAAAATACGACTTTATTTAATTTGTCATTGTTCCGTGCTGCCCTTTCTTCGTCCTGCTAGATCCTTGAAGAATTGCATAAAACCACCTTGGAAAAATGAGTGCCAGTTTTTTAAATTCGCACTCCATCTGCTGCAAACCAACAAATGACATTTAAATCTAAACAAATTACCTTCAGTTTTGCTTGATCCTGATGTATCGTCTGATGACGTGGCACGAGGCGAGGTGTCTGACTTATTATAATTGGAAGAACCATCACTTGTTGATGTGGTGCTCTTGGCTCCAAATGCCTCCATCATCAGTCGCTTTTGCTCACTTGTGAGCGATTTTGGAATCTCCACTTCCAATGTAACCCACTGGTCTCCGCGCGAGCTGCTGCCAAACCCATGTCGTGACGACACATTGGGTGCACCACGTTGTCGAAGCACCTTGCGTTCATTGGGTTGCGTGCCAGGCGGGATAGTCAGATCGACATCACCATCTACAGTCGGAATACGAATCGAGCCACCAAGTATAGCAATATGAAGAGGAACGGTCGCTTGTATGTGTACATCGGCGCCATCCCTTTTGAAAATAGGGTGTCCAGCCACCTATGCAAGTGTAATATGGTAAGACAATGAAAGCTACAAGGCATTTGATTTTGTAAAAGCAATATATACCTGTACTGTAACAATTAGATCCCCGTTCGGTCCTTGGCCAGATAGAGATGCATTTCCTTGACCAGAAATACGAACTTTCATACCATCCTCGACACCTATAAAAACCCCAATTAGTCAAATACATACCAGATAAAAAGACTGGTGATTCAATAAAGATCAGCCATGTGTGGCAGAAAACATACCGGCGGGAATATCCACTGTAACAGATTGGCGTTCGCGAACCAGTCCAGCACCATTACATGACGTGCATTTGGCTTCTGGTGCAATGCTAGTCCCCAAACCGCCACATGTAGGGCAATTGGTAAACATTTGGAAACCGCCCCGATGAAGCGACATCTACATAAATAAAAGACACCAGATGAGTACAAGGTTTGAAACCATAAATCTAGACTGTTTCCAATCTACTCCAAACCTCATTAAAGTAGCATGCGCTAGAAAAAACATACCTGACCAGATCCTTTGCATGTTATGCATGTAGTTTTTTTGTGGCCAGGTTTGGTGCCAGAGCCAGAGCAAGGAGCACATCCACGGATACCAACAAACACAATCGACTTTTTAGCACCCTTGATTGCCTCCATAAATGAAAGTCTTGTGCCGGCAAGAACACTTTCACCCGTGCTTGCACCTCTGGCATTACTCTGGCCGCCAAACTTTTGAAAGATTTGATCAAATATATCCCCGCCAAAATCAGCACTTTCCCCACCAAACCCACTAAAGCCATATGGAAATCCACCCGGAAATCCACCCGAAAACCCATGTTCACCTTGGCGTGACGAGTCATCTAATCATTATAGATTTAAAAGTGAGATACAGGCAAAAACAGCGCATAAAAGCATATGCATATCAATCTAGCCTACCAACGTTTCCGTACTGATCAAACTGGGCCCTTTTTTGTTCATCACTTAAAATCTAAACACGCAGTATACAATAACCATGTATGATTAATTGTTTCCCAGCCAAGACTAATTCGATCAAAAAACCGACTTATTCAAACAGAAAAATCCACATTGATGGGTTATTACCTCGTAAGCGTGTTGGATTTCAACAAACTTTTCTTTGGCGGATGGATCCTTGTTTGTATCTGGATGATACTGCTTTGCTAGCTAAATACATGAATCAACTGATTAGTCTGATATCCATACTTGACTCGCCAAGTTTAAAAGCGTACCTGATAATATGCTTTTTTGATTTCGTTGGCGGTAGATGTTTTTGATACACCAATCACATCATAGGGATTGCGTTTAGCCATGGATGATGCTAAACAATATTAGACATGAAATAAAAGAATGAGTATCAAATAGGCTATTAACCAGAAATATCATTTTAAAGCAAATCAAAATACCTGTTGCATGCAATCTTCGCTAAATAATAGATTCATGGCATGTAACAAAATGAGATTCATTGAAAAAAAAAGATTAAATAGATCAAAAATGTCAATATGCTATTTGGAAAGCAAGGTGCCAAAACAAACAGCTCAACTGGATAGAAATGGACATGAATTGAGTCAAAGAGTTTGACCAAGTAAATCCTCAGTGATGAGTAGATTGGCACATGCAATCTCACTTGTTTTGAAGATGAAATTCAGAGCATTACAGCTGTATTGGATTGAAATTTGAACGAAATGGTACGATTGGAAAATAAAAAGGATCAACCAGCGAATAGTCAAACATACGTTGTGAGAGAGAATGATGGAGCAGCATGGTCTATCATTCAAAGTATTAGCCGAGCAAAGCTTGAGGTTGTTGTGAATAGGTTTAATACTGCAATGAAAAGAAGAATTCGACAAGACTTGTACAGTGGATCCCACAACAGACAATGCAGCTGGCTTGTAGCCAGGCCGGACCAAGGGCTGCAACAACTGGATTTGTAGAGTGCGCATCCTATAGATAAGACTTGTACTGGCAAAGTAGAATTGGAGTTGATATTTATGTCAAAATCGGAATTGTTTTTTGCGGAATTTTTTGGAAAAAATACTCTGCACAATCAGATTGTATTCCACACTCTAAACCATTCTGAAATACACAAATCTATACAATAATTAACAGGAGACTGAACTATATATTTGAAATAGAACAAGCCATTACTCTTCATCAGCCTCGTTATTGGCAATGTTGAAGTACTTGACAACGTAGGAAGTCTTGTCAGTAGAAATAACACGGAGCCAATCGCGAAGCATGTACTTCTTGAGGAACTTCTTGGTGAGGTACTTCAAGTAACGCTTGGCAAATCGAACATTGGGAGCAATCTCGACGGTAAAAATAGCATCCTTGCGGGTGATGGTAATGGCATCGGTGAGGTTGCCAGTACGACCGCCGACCTTGACACGGGAGCGCAGATAGTTATCATAGATATCAGCATCTATAATCATATCCTCAACTGGTCTGGACAGATCAATAGTCAGCTTGACAGCGTCCTTGTTGGATTTCTGCTCAATTAAAAATATAAATTAGCCTCAACATACCACAGACCAACAGCAAAAACGAATTGAGCAAACTTCTGAGGCTACTCGGTTTGTCTAGTGCTTTTGCAGATCAATGGAGTGTAGACAAAAAAGCCAGGAATGTGTATAGCAATATGCAAGAAATACACTTGGATAGCAGCACTGTTTGATCCAAACTCTTACAAACGGCTGAAATCGCAGGGTAACAGCACTACAACCAATACATCCCAAACTATCCACAGCACACATTCAATCGCAAAGCAACAACCAAGATAACCACCAGTAGGGTCTACGCAAATCATCTCATTGCTGTAATCATATCAGTTTGATAGTAACAAGTTGATAAAAGAGTAGTCATTGCCAGTTGGATGAGCCAAATCTACAACTCACGAATGGTTCAGGTTTAACCCATAAAACACACTCGAGCCCACCAAGCAGCAATGTTCCAGCTCTCATATCAAAAGTGTACACACAATACATTGATAACAGACAAGTGAGTCAAAGACTACGCAAAACACACCACAGCGGTCTTGACGGAAGCAGCAGGCATCTCGGGAAAAATGAAAGATAAGGTGAGTGTGACAGAAAGAACGATTCGAAGAAAAAAAGAAAACACCACACTGTGGCGCAGCACATACCCTCAGGAATAGTGTAAATCAGCGACCACACAAACTTGGATTCCATCTGTTTGCAGCCAACACTGATGAAGTAAGTTTATACTAAACGATGCGTGCCTGAGAATCTTTTTTATTGAATACTCATGTTGCTATGAATTCATACTACTAGTGTCATTAAAGAGATTCAAAAACTCAATGCTCTTGAACTAGAACGAGGACTGACTGATAAAGGCTCTTGGCACAACCAATACAAGGTATTTTTGAGCTAGATTCATTTGTAATGTGCTAATCTATTCTTGGTCGGATTTAACCATCGCTTTTGTTTCAACTCTATTACAGGACTCGGCATATATCTACATTGGTGGCTTGCCCTATCATTTGACAGAAGGAGATGTAATATGTGTATTTTCTCAGTAAGTTGTCTATTCAACTAAACTACAACCCTATTTACGTAAATAGACTACTTTATCTTGTAGTAATTGTCCCTGGAGTATACAATGGTTGAATACTCGCTGTGTTTTCCTATTGGAAATTGACTATTTAATAGAACTCACAACTCAATAGACAACGTCCATATAAAAATCAAGCCAAAATCATCTCTTGGCATAACCATATACTGCACAATCACCAGATTCATCCATTGCAATCCGGATACTGGGATTGATTGTTGCCAATCAAATCTGTCAAGAGATTCACAAAACAATGGTGTCCAGTAAATTGAATCATTTGATGAGATTGGCTAGTTGTATGCAATTTGTCATCCTTATTTAGTGCACATTTTACAAGATTGGATTGGTGGACTCAGATTTTGTTGGATTACCAAATTCAATCAAGCTTTTTCAATTAAATCATTGTACATGCGTCTACGTTTTATTGTCAGTGGCATAGCCAATTCAATGGATTGATTTGACTCAAACTATAGATTTGGTTTAGGTTTGGCGAAGTAGTGGATCTGGATATGGTGCGTGATAAAGAAACCGGGAAGAGTAAGGGCTTTGCATTTTTAGCCTATGAAGATCAACGAAGTACGGTTCTTGCTGTAGACAATCTAAATGGCATACAGGTTTGTATCGTTTTAAGCTTTTGAACTATGTAATTCTATATAGCCATTTAATCGTTGAATATTATCATTGGACGAGTTAGATTTCTGGCAGAGTCATCCGTGTCGATCATACAGCCAAGTATAGAGGACCTAGGCGTGATGATGGCTTTGATGAACAAGCAGAGTATGAGCGCAAGCAGGCAGTTTTTAGTACCGTATAGAAACTAAAGTACTGTATCCATGTGATGCCAGCCCAAACCATTTGAAACTAGATGGTGGCCATGATGTCAAGACTGATTCAACTACGGTGGATATTGATCTGAATCTGACGTGATGGTATTTGCTGAAATAAAGACCAACAGCTGGAAAGCAAGGGATTATATTTTTGTAACGTTTAATTTATTCTATATTAAAGTCGTATTCATGTAAAGTACCAAATAGTCTAATGGACAACTAGTTCCATGGCATGATTACTGTCAATTTATTAGACAGCACCAAAACAATTGAATTCAATATCTGGATTTTAATGAACTTGATAATCATGCAATGTATGGTTATGCCAAAAGTGAGCAATCTCGGTTCAAAAGTATGATTTGTAATGTACAATGATCAAGTACTTGTTACACTTTTCTATTATAAACTGACTACTTTAGTAGACATTTCTAATTAATAAACACAATATCCACTGTATGTTACATAATCAAGCAAACTATAGTTTGAACCTACCCTTTCTTTTTTGGCATAGTCATACATTGTATAATCACCAGATTCGAAACCAAATTCATCCACTGCAATCAAGATACTGGATTCGATTGTCTTGATGCTATCGATCAACCTTCACTTTACTGTATCCTAAAAGCTCGGGACATCTGCGATCTAGCACAAAGACCGCATGTTTTAGAAACGCAACTGTTGCTTTCATACCACTTAATTTTTGCTTGTTTAATTTCCGATTCTTCAAACCAAACATTACAAGATTTACTGGAACTGTGGTGCCAAGATTGCTTTGAACATTCATTCGGCTGACCTGTACAAAAATAAGCATGGAAAAAGGTCAACAAACTTTGTTAGGGAGCTCAAAGGGCTTAGTGTTGTTCAGTAAATTTAATGGGAATTGGCATCAACCTTTCGTGAGATTGGCTGTTTATTACGCACTTTGGTCCCTTTAGTGTTTCATCTTGGATAGGGCTGTAAATTGAAAGCCAAATGGTCAAGCACCAAATGGAATGCCTAGCAACAAGCTCAAGCATCGAATGGAATGCCCGGCAATGAATCGAAGCGTTAAATGGAATATCCGGCAATGAATCAAAGCATTTATGGGTTCTGCATTTCCATCAGTCAATTCTAGCTTATGGCGAGCTTGTTAAAAGTGCCTCTGTAGCCTAATCAACAAAGGGACGCTAATATTGGGCTTGTGTGCGGCAAGCCCAATCATTGTCATCTGCATCTGCTTGAGTAGTGTGGATAAACTACTTCCAAGCTATTGCTTACTAAAAGCAAACACAAGAGTTGCAAAGTATAAGCAAGGTCCAGATAGTTGTTCAGCTATCTGGATCACGCTGTAATGCATTGGTTCATGGCAATGATGGTTGACAGTAGTACTTTAAATGAAACCCAACGAATACATATTAGATGTTATTACCATGGTACATTCACTAATCAGTCAGCCCTGATACTGTTTAATGCCAAGCCCAAGCAATAATAAGCATTTGACTCAAACAAGCTGCTAAGATGCTTGAGAATTACGTCAGCCGAGCATTGGCTTGAATGGTCTGACATGAATCATAGATCCAGATTTCACTTTTTTTACTGGTAACTGGAAACGAGGATAGATGACTGTATGGCAGATGAATCAGCAACATTATGGACTAGTTGATAACTTGTCAATCTGCTCTTTTGTCTTGAGGATATATATGGGGTAGAATCCGCTCCAGCTAGCGGGGATATGAACAGGGTTGTTTTAATAAAAATTACAAGGCAGCCTCATGACCAAAACCATACAGTTGCTAGTTTGAAACGAAACATTTATTTTCAATGAACATCTCAGGTGCAAGCTTAGTCAATGGTAGTTTATCCAATCAAGAGTCACAATGCTGGAGGGGTGTATCTGGATTTATTTTGAAACAGCGATTGGAGTGGGCTGCAATATAAGATTATTGCTTTAGATTGGAGTCCCTATCTTTCAAGACAATACTCTCCGAATCTGATAATTCATCCTTTCTAAATTTAAAAACACCAAAGCACTTTATTAACCGAAGCCTTTTGACTCAATTTCAGCTCAGCTCTTTGGTTACTGCGATACTGTATCCATCATCTCAGTGGGGTTTCTGCTAGTGGATTGAGCCATCATTTCGACATATCAATCGTAAGTGTATTGCTCTACTCGTATTTGTGCTATTAGTATACTCGAGTCATTGATTTACCCACACTTTGCTACCAGGCTTGCAAAGCTGCAAGACACATCTATTGTTGACACCATTATTGCTGTCTTTCATTTGCGTAATTATCCGACCTTTTGATTTCAAGCGTCATTGCTCCAAACTTGACGATACGCTTGTCTGGCGCACTACGAATTGTATCTGCTACGAGGTGGTGCATATATTAACCTGTGACCTACTTATTTTTTCAGCTTATACATACAGTATAAAACCCTGACTGGCGGTTTAGTCACTTTCATGCCTTTCGGGCTAAACTGCAAACATCTTTTATAATTTGACAAGCAGACTCTACTTGAACAATTTGCATTGTTATAAAACTTTAGCCTTTCGCCTCATTCACCAAAAGAAGTCCAACACACTCATTATTGACTGCAGCCTTGTCTAAATTGGACTTGTTGACAATGAGCGGCATTTCGTCATACACTCACCATCCCCCACCTTACCCACAGCATAGTCATGACGATCACCACAATCAGCATCAGCAACATGATCCTCCCAAATCTTCATATAAATCCCTACAGTACGAATCAGAGCCAAAGCATCAATTCCATCAACAAAAACAATCGAATCATACCCAGCCTATTGATTCTTTTCAGAACCATCCATATAGTCATCAATCTGAATATAATCCGCACTACCTTATGCCAATTCCATATAGCAGTAGGTCGGGTTTAGATCAACAGGTAGGGTACAGCCCTGTCAAGACATACTTTAGCCCCCCGCATGCTATACCGTCAAGCAAATTCGGCAACCAAAAACAATACGATACCGCAGCTTTGAGTGCATTTGATAGGGAAAAAATGACCGCCACTTTTTCAGAAAATCCGGGGCAAGAATCCAGACTCGTGGCCGATAAGCAGGGCGGAAAACTCGTACAAGTAAAGAGAGAGGTTGAATGGGGGGGAGCTGCAGCGAGTGGTAGGAACAAACCAAGTACAAGTAATGGTTCTGATGTAGAGGAAAGAGAAACCATCAACACATTGAACTTGACTACTCAATACCGCAATAGCAAACAGGGTTCAAGTCCAGCTCGTCTCACAAGTCGTCATTCTCACAACCTCAATCACAGTAGCCGAGCACATTCTCACAACCATCCGAGTTCAAGGGAATACTCGGAAAAGAATCCTTCACAGCAGGGTTTAGACTGTTTGAAAAGTATACATTATAATTACAGTGCTACTCCTACACCAGTACAATCCATGATGCCATCCACAGTGTCGCCTCACTCTACACAACCATCTGGCCAAGGCCCAGCTGTCTCCCATCCGGCACCATCGTCTACCTGCACAAGAGAGACGCAAGCAACTGAAGAAGCAGCGTTGCCTCCATCTGCTGCTACCGCAGCCACCAGAGAACCTAGTTTGCAGATCCAGACTCGTGCTCGGACACTTGCCCATCAGAAGCAGAATCCTGTTCAGGATGCTGGCCATATCTCACCATCTCAAACAGACAGTGTCTGTGCTGCTGCATCCAATCCACAGTCAAACTCTCATCACACTAGCAGCAGCACATGCAGTTCTAGTATAGACCCACATTCACAACGTCGCTATTCTCTGCTAGTCCAGCCTCCATTTGTCCATTCTAATCCAGTCTATCCAGCAAACTATCAGCATGCAACGACTACTTCTCCTTCTCCTGCAGAATCACTCATTCATCTTTCTCACGGGAGACAATCCATGAATGGTGTTGCTACACACTCTTCTCACCCCTATTACAAGTATCCATCATCTCACTCTTATCCTCATGGACATGCTTCTCATCCCTATATCCACAGTCTTCCAAATGCTCATACTCAATACTCTCAACCGCAGCACCATCCATCTGCTCCATACTATGGATATCACAATAGTGGCCCTGCGATCCCTCCTGCAGAACATTATTCTCATCCACATACCCATTCTCTAACTCCTCATGCTTATCGATTCGCAGTGTAGGCCTTCCG